GGGTTCCTCAGCCTTGGGTTCCTCAGCCTTGGGTTCCTCAGCCTTGGGTTCCTCAGCCTTGGGTTCCTCAGCCTTGGGTTCCTCAGCCTTGGGTTCCTCAGTCTTGGTCTCCTCAATAGCAGCGGGAACAACAGCAGGTTCCTCAGCCTTGGGTTCCTCAGTCTTGGGTTCCTCAGCCTTGGGTTCCTCAGCCTTGGGTTCCTCAGCCTTGGTCTCCTCAGCCTTGGTCTCCTCAATAGCAGCGGGAACAACAGCGGGTTCCTCAGCCTTGGTCTCCTCAACAACAGCGGGTTGCTCGGATGTAGTTTCCTCAGTCTTGATTTGTTCGGCAACGGCGGGTTCCTCAGCCGGAGGCTCTTTAACCTGCTCTTCAACAGACGCAACCGCGGCGGGTTCCTCGGTGGAAGATTCCTTGCCCAGGTCAATCGTCTCAGAAACAGCTGCCTTTTCCTCAACTTCTGACTGTTCGGCTACAACTTCCTTCGGGAGTTCGTCCGACGGAGCTGCGGTATCCGTGGCAGGCACCTCAACGGCCGGTTCATCTACTCCTGTTTGGTTTTCAGCAGAACCTTCGGTTGCTTCCCCAGTCGTGATTTCTTTTGTTGATTCAACCGCTTCGGGAACGGCCGCGGCTTTTTCTACCTCAACCGGCTCAACAGTCTCAGTAGTAGCTATGGGCTCTTCTAGCTTAGGCTCTTCAATTGCTGTTTCCGTTTCAGTAGTTGCGGTTGAAGTTGGCTTTTCAGCTGTGGTGGTGTTGACGGGCTCCACAGTCTCAGTGTCAACTGCCGAGTTGTCCACCTTGGTTTCATCTCCAACTTCGGTTTTTGACTCGGCCGCAGGCTTTTCCTCAGCTGGGTATTCATCGGCCGTCGTCTCTTTACTTGTTTCCTCGATGTAAGGCTTCTCGACAATGCGTTCGGAAGTTGGCTGCTCAGTGAAGGGTTCCTTTTCAGCTGCTAGCACTTCATCCTCCGCAGACGTGCTCTTTGCTGATGGTTCTGAGGTCGGTGCTTCTTTTTCCGGTTCTAAGGCAGCCTCTACTGCATGATTCGGCTCTTCGGCAGGTTCTTTGGCTGTGCGCGTTTCCTCAGATTCTGTAGAAGTCGCAGCTGGTGTCTCAGTCACCTCTCCTTCAGCTTCTGTGGCCTTGGTTTCGTCCACAGATTCTCTTGAAGCGGCTGGTTCCTCGACCGGTTGTTCACTTGTGGATTCACCAACAGGCTCAACCGTAGCAGAGTCCTGGGGGATAGATTCGGGTGCCGCTGTAACTTCCGTTGGCTCACTCTTCACAGCAGATTCCTCAGTAGGCTCATCGATAGGTTCCTTTGTCACCTCATCATTAAATGTTTCCTTGGCGGTCGATATCTCCGTCTCGACAGCCGGCGCCTCAGATGTGGTTTCGGCCGGCGCCAGGTCAGCAGAAGGGGCATCAGCATCCTTGGTAGTCGTTTCCTCTGGCTCGGTAGCGGCGGTGTCTGCAACCTTCTCGCCCTCAGCCTCGTCCCTTCCCCTCTCGTCCACTAGTTTTGTGGATACCTCTTGCGCATCCGGAGCCTCGACATTCTCATCCGACTGCCCAGCCTCGATGGTGGTTGCGGTTGGGACTTCTTCAGGCTTCTCTTCCGCCTTTGTAGCTTCAGGTACAGGTTCCGCAACTGAAGGCTTTTCTTCCTTCAAGGCCTCCCTCTCCTCAGCCACTGGCAGCTCATCAGTTGTGACACCACTTGATTCAGCCTCATCGGAAGCAACAGCAGGTGCCTGGGCAGTAGTGGTATCCTTCTCCTCGCTGGAGTGTGTACCATTTTGCAGCGGAGTCACATCCTTTTCGGTTCCGACAGGTATGGCTCCGACATCTTTGGCGATCTCCTTTGCCTTCTCTGTCACTTCTTGTTCAACGGTTTCCGCCGAGGAAGTGGTGGGAGCTGCAGTGGGCTCAGCATCGACAGCGCTGCTTGTGATGCCTGCTTCTTGGGGTATGTAAGCCGCATGCGTCTAGGTATTGGATGCTTTGGATTGCATTACTCACCATTTTTCAAGTGTTCATTGGTAACGGGGATAGCGACGGTTTCGCCAATAGGAGCAGCCATTATGGTCGTAACGGTCGTAACGGTCGTTAAAATTCGGACAAAAGTACAGGGCGATCAAACTTGATTCTGAAATCAAGCCTTACAAAAACTCAACGATAACGCAAGCACACAGGGGTATTCTTCAGGGAACTGGCGGAATAATGTACAGATACGGAGCGGTGATGCGGGGTGTAGCAGCACGAGAAGACAGCAACCTCCCAAGCTCAACTTGGAACGCGAAACAGAGAATTAGGATAGGTAAAGACGATTAGCCCGATGATAAAAGGACAATGGGGATCTGTGAGCAGTGATGATGAGAGCAACAAGGAAAGAACTGAGGCAAGAGAAGACGAGCAGGCTTGAGGGGGGGAGGACGATAGAAAAAAAAAAAAAAAAGTAAAAAGGACAAGGTCTCCACCGAGTCACCAGAGTCCCCGATGACTACCAGAACTTCAACTTCTCGCAGTGACTAGCTTCATCGCTAGTGGGGAGAGCCGTTAGTGAGCGGGGCGCCAGCACTTATCACCACAGTGATCTTTATTATGGTTTGGTTGGATTGGGCAGTCTAAACAATGCGCTCTCGCATCTACAGCGCCTCGACTCGAACAGAAATTGCAGGCCCAGGGGGTGGCCTACAGAGATCAAAACTGGCGAGAATGCAGGGCCCATTGTTTGCGAAGCTGCACTTGAGGCGACTCGACCCAATGGACGAGAAGGTCTGAGTTGTCGCTCGTCTTGGAGCGAAGACGAGATGTGCAGATCGTGAGCACCCAAGGCCAAAATGCGGTGAGTTGGCGCCGGAGGGCACCAATCACAGGCTGGGCAACAACGAGACTTTTTGGTATATTTTCAAGCCCGAATGATGTGCCCGAGGACATCCGGACTTTCCCTCGCTCCATCATCGGAGAGAAGTCATCGAGGACCTTTTCGTCAGAGGGTGTGGCACCATCACGCTGTGGATGGGCGGAAGAGAAGACCCCACCAGTGATCATGCTACAAAGGTACCCCTGCTGTTACCCAAGCAGAAGCGTTGTCAATCTCAGGATTCTACGATATCGAATAATAAAAAGGACAGTCCGGCAATCGCAGTGGCAGAGTGTTCTGCATCATTCGTGCAGAGCTAAAGCACATAAACTGTCCTGAACTGCGATCTGAATATATACTTCGATCCACACCTTCATGGATGTATATTATTTCCTCTCACGCTCCCTCCGGAAACTCCGCCAACATTCAACCAAAAGGCAAAGAGCCTGTCAAGTTAGACTAGCCTACGTCTCTTGACCTACAAATTCCAGAATTACTTTTCTCTCGCGATCCACTGTAGATTTTTTTCTTTCAGCCGTGTTATGATTTTGTGGAGCAAAACATCCCATGAGCCATGGAACTCAACGGGTTCCTCGGTAAGCAGCCCATGGTTACCAACATGTTACATTTACATTAGTCTTGTCTCGGCCCGGAGCTTCACGGCTCGTCTACGTAGCAGTCTGCAACTGAAGCTCCCGCTCGGGCATGACATGACGCCCAAAATTCGAGTGAGTCGGTCGTGATCGTTGGGCATATCTCGTAGTCTAAATTTCCTTGTGACGAACTGCGTGACGCGATCCGAGCCCCCCATTGCGGGCTCTTGTCTCGCAGTAGGGAACATCCATCAGTAACTGCGGAGAGAGCTTCCCGCTTGGGGTAATTGTCGAGATTATTGGTCACTTTTGCGCTTGGAAGTGAGTTACGAGCTAACCTTGAGGACCCCCTCCAAGGTGAACTGCAGGAGCCGTCACTCTAGCGCTGTTGATCAACGCAGCGAAAGATAAGGGAAGGAAGTTGACTCTGACTCTGACGCTGACGCTGGCGACTCTCCAACTCCCCAACCAGTATCGTTTAGATAGACGAACTGGTTATTTTTTTTATTTGCTGTTATCCTTGGCGTAATTTTTTCTTCTACAAATTATCTCATTGTTATTATCCGTGTTTATACTTTGTTAGATGCGCGTGCCGTCGATCCTGCACCTGAAGCTGGTATAAGCTCCTGTGGAGACCAAATCATGTGCTTTACTGGACAAGCAGCTGCAGCCGCGGCATTGGATTGGTTTATGCAACAGGTATTTTACTGGGATAAAGCAGAGGGTGCTTATATGGAATACGTAGTAAGAAATTTCAGATTATTCTGATCATAAAAATGTTGGAAAAAAGAAAGATGAATGAGAAAACCTGAACCGTCAAACAGCGGCAGTAGAGGCAGAGATTGGAATCCAAACAACGTGCTCGTAATCAAGTCATTGAGAGAAAGGGAAAATATGGTAAGACTAATAAGAACAATGAATAAAAAAACGTAAGCCATGACGCCCGTAGACGATAAGAATAAGCACTCGTTAGGCATCGAATAAGCTGTCGTAATCATAACAAGGCTAACGGCGATCTGGGGAATCATTGAAGAAATGAAGCACAGGAAAGATGGAGAATATATCACAAAATCTCCAAATCTTCAAACTCGACCACCAAGTGATCGCCTGTCCCTGGCGCGCTGGAGCTCGATCCCAACGCTGGCCGGTGAGTCATGCCCCAGACGGTACTGCTGCGCTGGATATTCGCTGGGCGGCTGGCATACACGCCCACGTGGACGAACTTGTCTTCTACCCCGTAGAAGAACCAGGTGACTTCGCGCATCTTCTTCCACGTACTGCCCACTGCGCTTGGTGAGGTCGCATACGGGGATATCGTTGGAACCTGGTACCAGACCCAGAGTGAGTGGCCGACTCGTTCGAGTTTGAGGCGTAATGAATGGACGGCTGACGGCCCTCGATCGGACGTGCTGAGTGGCGACAGGCACCAGTCAGCCCCGTCTGCTGTTGCGCTGACGGATGAAACGTTGATTGCGCCAGAACAGAATTCCATGCCCGCCTTGACCCATTTACATGGCCGGCTATTCTGCGGGTTGTTACCCCCAAATCTATTTGATCGGACCAGGGGGACGGTATCAGAGGATATTGACTGGGGAGCACTGCCGGCGAAGATTACCAGACCTCCCTGATCCCATTCCATCTCAAAGTCCGCCGTCACGGTTACTTCAGCGACCAAGAATGGATTCCGTAATGAGGTGAATACAATGGGAGCTGTCGAAGTGTCTCCGTTTGGCGGCTTCCGCCAAAGATCGGTGTTCGGTCCAGCGGTGAGGGTAAAGTATTCCATGCATTGCGGGAGCGTAAAGTCTGCAGGCAAATTCAATGCCGTAAACGATGAGCCGCTGGGAGGCATCTTGATTCTTCGCACCAAGCTCGCGGGTTTCGACCACCCACAAAAAGCGCAGATCTCCTCTCCTCGCTCTCTTTTTGCGGAATCTTGTTAGTGGCCAAGTATATTAAATACCTGAGCGCGTCGATCTTCTTCTTGTTCTTATGGTTTGTGTTCCCCTAACCCTAGAGCTCCCGGGAACCCAGTACAAAATACGGAAATTGTCCCCGAGCCGAGTGCTCGAGCGTACCGTGAAGAGGAATAAGAAAGGAGAACAGCCGGGTAGTTAGTTGAGGATGGAGGAAGTCTTTCCCCTGTGTGGCCGCGAGAAGTAAGGGAGTCCCAACAACAGCCCTCCAGTCAGGCAGTCCTCAGTGCGCCGTGGCGTCCTGCGTCAGCGACGATGGTTCTATTAGCAAGGCAAGAGCTCGTGATAAGTAAGTCTGAAGAGAATTTGAGCTAGTAGAAGGAGAGAGAAGATCCGAGAGAGGAAAAAAAGAAAAGAACGTCAGGACGTGCTCAGTTCCAGGATCAAGGTGGTGAGCTAGGATGGCCGGAAACGGATGTGGGTTGCGTTTGAACCACAAACAAGTGAAGGTTCCTCCCGGCCCTATTCATACGGAACCGATCCAAACTTGCCAGATCTACCCAAATCCTGGGGGGGAGCGCCATCCGGAGTGTTCCACTCATCGTGGTTTCTTATTATATGTCTCGGTCAGGGGGGTAACATCTCCACGGCTTCATCATACGCTGGGCAAAAAGACGAACCACTCCGCTGGGACAGGAGACTGGATCCGAGTTGCTGGGTTCGCAACAGAGACCCATCATGGTGGCATTCGCGTTTCCTGCGCTCCTGCTGTTGTCTTTTTCTTTGTTGGATTTCCGGTCATCCCATTTGCTTTTGCCCAAAGCTGGTCTTGATTTGTTCATCGACTGCGCAGCTGTGCAGGAGTGGCGGGTCACCGATCAAGGCTGCATCCCGAACGCGAAGGCGAGCCAGTCCACGCCAAAGGAAGATGGAAACTGTGGCGAGTTGCTCGGGCAGGGCAGCTGAGCTGAAACGGTGGCAGACAACGGCGCTCTGACGAGGCCCACGATCTCGCGGGCCACTGATTGGGCTAATTGGAGGCGATGAGAGCTGAAAGCGAGACTCGCCCGGGACGGATTCACCGCCTTGGCCGGTGCTTTGGTCGCTTCACTTGTCACAGCTGAGCCCATCACATCCGCATCACTTCCATTCCTGCAGCCCCGTTATTGATCGAAGGATTGTGCTCCCCTCACTTCCAGCACCAAGTTACATCTTGCACTCGAGCCGTCTTAATCTGGATGGACGCCACTATCGGCTGCCTCGAGCGGTAAAGATTCCATTTTCGGAGTTCCCTACTGGCTCGCGCTGGGAGCTCGGACCAGTCTGGTGCTTGAAAAAGCGAATGGCTGAACAATCCCTTGACAATCGAGACAGTAATAAGATCCGTTAGGATCCCGTCTCTTGCGGCGGGTGTGTCCGCCAGCCGGCCTGATGTGGATGACGAACCCATGCCCCGGCCTGTCCGAACTCCAAACCCTTGCACCCTGGTCCCTGAGCAATCCAAGTCCTGCAAGGAATCATTACAGATATGTTTGCGCGCTTCTGTTGCTAGAACTCGCAAACGCCGATCAGTAACGACGGCTGACCGGGCAATAAGTAGTGAAAGTCCTTAACCACGTCCCGGTAAATATCGAGCACCACTCTTGGTGACAACAACTTGGACAGTAGTTAACTAGCCCGGGTCAGTTTGTCAACTAAGCGTGATGAAATAATCAACTCGCGTACTAACTATGTGTAAGAAATCTGAGACCCTGATGGTTATTCCGATGGCCGCAGCCCTTCCCAAGACACCCCTGACTGTCTCTGCGCACACAGCTGTCTCTCTGGCATCCTTCCTGGAAGACATTGAATTTTTCAATTTACGTTTTGAGCTGTCGCACTCTGTTATTTTTGCGCTGCTTTTATCCCTTCCGCGTGAACATGCTGGTCGAACTGAGTCTGCCTGGTCCCGTAGTTTTCTTTGTCCCACCCCTCTGTAGTCATCTCAGTCAGAAATTGGTATTTCGCGTAGAGGGTAGGCAAGATTTGGATGAATCGAGTGAGCTACCACCGCCCGAGTCTGGTTCTACACGCTCCTGCCCATTCGGATTCTTTTCAACGAAGGACAGCAGGCGACTTCCATTAGGCGTACCGTGAGGGGGAGCCTCGGAGTAGATATATCACTTGAACCCTGGCATCCGGTATAATGGCCGAGATCGTTATCACCGTCCTCACCGTCCCAGCAGCAACTTCGATGCTATGTCCCCCCAGCTTGCAAAGTATACTGGAGCAAAAAACAAAGAGTAGACCAAGAGGATAAATGATAGGAACACATATATTCGAGCGTTCCCCACAATCAATGTAACAATAGAGCCAATCCAACGCAACGAGACTGCATCAGACGACTTAAATGTGCCATGGAGCTATGAGCCAACACATTGAAAGAGCTGTGGTGAATAAGAAGTGAGTTGATTCAGAACAGCTTTGGTATCAGAAGAGCAAGAAAAATCTAATGGAATACAAGATAACCCAACAGCCCAACAAAAGGCAAGGGGCAATAACATAAGCATCCGCAGAGCCCATTAAGCACCAAAATCTCTCATTGGTGCACCCCATTTTGCTTCCCATTCCCGAAGTCTGTCGTCATCCCAGAGCGCGTAGGCCCAGGTCCAGCGTCGAGAATTGACACCGGTTTCGAACATTTCTTCGAAAAGTGGCTCATCTTCTTCCATTTGCTTGAGCCAGGTTTTTACCCAAGAGAGATTAGGTTGGTCTATCTCCGGCAGCGTTGACAAAAGTGCTCGTAACCCTTCCCAGTCCATACCGAAATTAAATTGATCTGCAGGGTAAATCAATGGGTATTGAATTTCGTAGTTCCGTAGTATGGATTGAAGAAAATATGCACCGCCTCCCCACGCATTCGCATACACCATATTGCGCTGAGTGTTAAAGTCTTCCTCTTGAAGAAGCTTGTGGAGGAAAGTCGGCCCAAAAGAGGCCAGTACCTCACGGTTGTTGCAATCATTCGATCGTAGATCGTCAGTGTCCAGTAAGCTACAGCTAGGGAGGACTGTGACCTCCAGAGGTGCTGGAAGCGCGCCATTTTCAATGGGCCCGTATTGCTCCAGGTCATTGGCGACCTTTGCGTAAATCTCACCATTTCTGTGGTGGCAGTACCACCACAAACCAGCAAACTCTTCATACTCCCAAGGCGCAAATGTTCCAAAGAAGAACTTCCATATTTCCTCCCTTGTGAAGGGCTGGCTATTGTCCCAGTATAACGATCTCGAGCTGTCCGGGCTATCAGCAGGATTCTCGACATTACCAAACAAGTTACAAAAGGTTTGTAGTCGATAGAATGCTCGGTAGTAGCGTTTCTTTTCATTTTTGGAAAACTTCAGTGGTAAAATATGTGTGCTCCAACTGACCTCGTCAATCCAGAATGGGCATGGTGCGTTTTTGCTATAATCGTTAAGAAGCCAAATTGCTATTTCATGGAGTCGCAGCAGATCGCGGACTTCATTTAGATCAACTGGCTGGTCAGGGAGAGGCTGCGTTGCCCCGGATCTCTTTCCCAAGCAGCGAATCTCTCTGCTGCGGCGTCGATCATCTAGCAGTGCAATTATTCTCTCTCGATCTGAGCGTCTGGTACCGTGGAATTTCTTTGAGCGAACAGCAGTAATCGCTTCAGTGACCTCCACAAGTCCACCGTAATTCTTTTGCAAAAATTTCGGTAGGGATTCCTGACGGGCGAGGCAGTATGCCTGGTAAAGAGCGGTTGAAGAACAAGCTATTGCATTGAGAGACTCTAGATCGGGCAGCTCTAACAGGATCTGAACGCGCAGCTCAATAGGCAGGCTCTCTAGCTCAGCCATGGCCTATTTACGAGGTCAACGATACGGGTTTAGTATATTCGGGATGAAATCTTAACTGACCATAATTGTGGCGGTAGAATGAAGGGAGGAAGATGAGGGGTCTCGATCGCAGACGGCTCAGCTTGTTGATGTCTCTGGTCTGCGCCGCCTTATGTAACATATAAGTTAACCCCCTCCCAATCTATATTTACCACTACCCCGCCAGAGGTGCGTTCGAAAGCATAGACACAGTTAAATTGGGCGCTTACGGGTGTACTTTCCCCAATCATCAACCGAGGACATTCCTGCTAACTCGTCTTCTCCCTATAGCCGCCAGGATCGATCCCCCAGGTTCACTCTCGAGCTTCGACCTCCATCCAGCTGAGGCTGCCGTTTTGCTTAGCGCCAACCTATTTTGATATTCTAACACAATTTTCCAAGATGCCAGTGAATATATTGTGGTTGAAATCGATTTCTGTGTACCGGAGTATACAGATTATGGTATGTCCGGGCATTATCATGGACATTATACCACAAGTTATGATCAAATTGCAGTGGATAAAAGCAGGATAAACAATCAGGCTCTACTTAGAAGTATATATTCTGGATAGGTAGTTTAACTGTTGTCAATTTTGGGAGTATCAGGGCCATCGACATTGACGCATCTATACATGCGCACGGACCACGAAACGCCACAAAGACAACGCGGCAGATCTCCAATGTGGCGCAGTCAGTTCCCACCCAGCCACCGATGACATCCAGCTCCAAATTCGAAGTCTTCGGCTCCATCTATCATTCCAGAATCAACACCAAGCCAAATTTTCGAACTCTCGATCCAAATAGACACGAGTTACGCCAGTAACCTCATATAAAAAATCAGCGGAAAAAAAAAAGCGGCAAAAAGGACCATGGTCTGCGCAAAATGCCAAAAGAAGCTAAAATCCACCGAACTAGCCACGCCGGGCGTAAAACGCAAAAGTGAAATGTACTATGGCTCCCCATCGACGTCGCTAGGTGGTGGCGGGAGTAGTGGCTCTGGCTCTGGGGGCGCAGGGTCAGCTACAGCTGCAGCGTATAGGTCTAAGCCGACGTTAGGAGGCACCGGTGTTTCGAAGGTACGCGGACTACTTTATTTCTTTCCTCGTTTTTTTCGTTGTCTGCGAGAGGTAATTGATTGGGGTATACTAACATGAATTGTCGGGCCACAGAACAAGCTTCTTAGCTCCAAGGCGAAGAATCCATATGCAGCGTACGCATCATCCTGTGAGATGTGCAAGACCAAGACGGAGCAAGGGAAGAAGTTTTGTCAGCGGTGTGCTTATCAGAAAAATGGTCAGTTGGTCTACGTGCATCAATACTAAATTTTGATGAAATATGGCTAATCTGTGTGTAGCGTGTCCGATGTGTGGAAAGAGCCTGACAGGGAAGTCGTCGAAGGATCAGCCCGTGGTGCAGGGGCAAAAATTCAATCTGAAATGAATGATGAATGACTTAATCTTCGTTTGACGGGGGTTGGCTACTTTATGGGTTGGCGCGGCGTTTGGGTTAGGACTAATATTGCACTTTCACAAGGCTCGGGATCAAAGTATATACCGTATGAAATAGAAATAAATAATTGATGAGCTAGTTATACATGACATGATAAACTCGAATATATGCAGATCTGAGCCAGGTTATCCTACAGCTTTCCAGACGCTCTAACAAATCATTGTTCTTCCCTGATGCCCCGCTCCTCCACGCTCGAGGAGTAAATCCTAAGACAATACCGATTACCGCTCGGCGAGCATGTTCTTGATGCTGGCGTAGTACTGTGGAAGCAGGAACTTCTTGAGCTCCTCCTTGGCAAGCCATTTGAAATCCTGAAGGTTTTGCACGTTGGCAGAAAGATCCGCCTGGCCGGCCATAATACGTCCTTTCAAGAAGAAGGTCTTCTCACCGGCCACGGTAACTCCAGTTGACTCGTCGGTCTTCGGCTTCCGAGCGTTGTAGACGTAGTGGCCGGCAGGGTGGTATCCGACCATGAAAGTGTTCATGTTCACACCAGCGGATTGTTCGAGGGTACGTTCAGCAGCCTATAATACCCAAAAGTTAGCAAGACACCGCGATAAAGATCTGGAATAGCATACCAATCGGAGAGTTTCGTCAGTGGCGACAGGGGAGCTAGGAAGCTTCCAATATCCCTCTTTAGACTGGACGAGCAAGTAAAGAGTCCTCTGAAGAGCCCGATTAAGGCTCCTGGTGTCACCCTTCTGATCAGCCTCTGTTACCCGGGGGTGCGGCCGAGGGATCTCTTCTTTCTTGCTAGTATCCTGAGAAGTGTTGTTGGCCGTGCTTTCAGCATCAGAAATCAACGTTTCGACAACATTGGCCGGTTCCGACTCAGGCGATCCGACAAGGAGCTCATCGTTCCACGCCTCCTTGGAGTACGCATTATAATTGCCGATATCACGCGCAGGCGTCTGGCGCTCACGGATCTTACGCTTCCAGTCCTCGTCCACGGGCGTTCCGCGCTTGAAGTAGAAGTATTTCGTGAATGGAAGCGCCTGGCGCTCGTTCAGCCGTTTCTGGTAAAAGTAGTATGCTTTTTCGAAATCGGTGAGGTCGCGTGTGATCTGGGGTGGACGGGATAGGAGCACGCCTGCATTGATGGTGTAGGAAGGATTCACGACGGGGAACGTAGTTGAGTTCGAGGAAGAGGGTGCTGGCGAGATTGGGGTTGCGGCGGAGGCATAACTGCGGCGGCCAAGTGTCTCTTGACAGCTTCTGCAAACTCGCTGTTCGGCGATTGAGGGACCTGCAAGCGGTCAGCATCAGTGCTAGCCCCACAGTATGTAGCAATTCATCACGTACGCAGTATTGAGGCTATGCGCCTGGCACCATTGGATCCTGAAGACATCTCCGAGTGGGCGTCGGTGTGGTTGTCAACAGGCGTCGCTCTGGACTTGCATGCAAGAAAAGTTGGCGGTCACCTGTTTTGCTCCGGGCCTGGCGCTAACCCTATACTAGTTAGCCAAGCACGTGACCAGCACTCTACTTTTTCTTATTTTTTCCGACTGCTCGCGACTTTCTTTTCTTTTCTCTCCACAGCACCATTCCTTATCGTCACTGCGTTCAGTTGCTTCTACAACCAGTCGATCATTCTTTCGGTGCTCAGAGAAAGTGTTGACGGCTATTTTCGCTAGCGGTACCTTCGTGAACCCAAGGTGTACTGTTAGATAGACGCTGTGCACATCCATCTCAGCCCAATCGCTTGAGGTTTTATTTTATTATATTTTTTTTTTCAGCCAAGCGCTATTGTAGATGCTCTTCCAGAGAGGTTTACGAGCTATGCTGTGCCTTCAACCAATATGACAGACCCTTTCCTCTGTTCCGAAGACGCGTAGTTTGTTGCCATAAACCTTCCAAAATTGAAAACCCGGTCTTGGAATCAAATGCCCTTTTTTGGCCTGCCGTATCTCAACTGCAGAACCATACTCGCCAAGAACTTCATCGCTTCTCATGCTATCGCTATCGTTATCAATTGCACTGGAGAGTCCCGCCCGAGTCTCTTTAACCTGAAGTTGAACAAGCCGATTGTGAAGACCGGCTTGCTCCGTCGTTTGGGAGCCTGTAGTTAAGAGTGGCGTGACCAATCCGACTTGGTGCCCTTCGTCAAGCTGTGCTGAGAGCTTTATGAATACTTGTGCCGTAAGCAGACTATCGTAGCCTGCTTCATGGTCGGGTTTCTCTATGTGGTACCTGGCGAAGTGTGGATGTATAACTAAGAAATGTCAGTTTGAATATCGAGTAGGCATGGTCTCTCTCACTGATTTCGGGATTCGGTATCTGAAGCAAACTGTCATTGATCTCTTGCAACGATGACCTTGGGTTGATTGATCCGCAATTATGTGTGGCAAGATACTTAGTGTCAATGAGGACTGGGAAATGCTCGTGCACCATGGTTTGGAAGTCCTCCACACTGTCCGGAAGAGGACCAAAAAAGCACCGAAAGAAATATATCAAGTCCATGAAAAGATTATGCCCAACAAGAACAGGCCGATGGGCTTTGAGGTTCTTCTTGAAGTTGCCTACAAAGTCCTTAAGAGTTTCGCCTTGGCCTACAGGCCCCATGTTGGCTCTGATGGCGCCGAAATAACCGGGACTGAGATTTGAGAGATCGCCTCCAGCCAGTGCCTCAGCAATCCATCTGAAGCCAGTCTCATTCCAAACTCGCTCTCGCACCCGCTGTACCCTTTTGTCTCGAATAGCGTTCTCACGATCTTCATCATAGTGGACAATCTGGACAAACGTAGGCCGTCCAATCGTGACGTAACCTGGGTATTCCACCTCGACAAGTTGATGAACCAGCCTTTTCTGGAACCTATTCAAAACCGAAGGCATACCCTTAAGTCCCTGGGAGTTGATTTGACTGGAAGGTGGCGGGATATTGAGGTAGCCGTCACGTTTCTAAAACTAATTAGGCGGTTCGTAAGAGTGAGAACAGGCAATGTACATCACCAAGGGCAATCCAATTATTGATGAGCATCCGGGCAAGTATAAGGAATGCTAGCGACTCGTAGTCGGTTTCTTTGACATTCATCGATGTTTGAGCCGTGGATGGTTTATTCCTTTGGACGGCTATCGAGATGGCTTTTTCTTCCTCCTCTCTCGATATATATGTGACGCCGGTTCGGTACAGAGAGTCCATACTGAATTTGTTTTCCAAAAGGAACTCAACCGCTGTATGGACATCAGTATGGATGAAAGATAGAGCAATATATGCGTACCGCTGCTCTGGAATGACCAGTTCCGCTCAACTTCTAGCCTACGGTCAATGATCGGGCTCAGATATAAATTATATGGTTTTAGTGTATACTGTGCTAGATATAGGCTTAGTATACTGATTGGTAGGGAAGAATCAGGATATAAGTATGCCTAACCTGCCTCTGCATCCTCATGACAAAAGGTCAAACCGACTTGGAGTATTTGGTATTGAGAAGCAGACTCTTTCACCTCTTGGTATCTCTGCTGTAAGCTCTGCGGTGGGCCTGCCCGCCCCTGTTGAGCTTTTGGGATACCGGAGAACTCCAGGTCGATAGAGACAAAGACGGAAGACGCAAGATCCTGCAGCATCCGAGCAAGATGATACGGGAACGTCTGTGTAGTGACATCCATGGCAGGTTTTGGGTTTAGGCAAGCGAGAAGTATCTGAGGGTGGGAGTATGTGATAGAAGAAAAGAATGTAGTGATCTAGCAACTATGTACTGAGAAGTAAGTAGGATATCGTATATCGGAGAGCTACCGAGAGCCACTCGTTTCAAGGACTCCTATTTTATCGGTGATGACTATAGTGCCACCTGCTTTTAATCGCAGACGTGACCTGCCACTGGGTTAAAAAATGACGGCAACTCCTACCCATGGTCGTTGAAGTTGTTGAAGAAGTTGCGAATGACGCCAAGCAAGACAAACGCTAGCAGCGATCCGGTGAAGTCCCGTGATGCCAACCCCAGAGTTGGATGTCAGTCCGAGCCGAGGGAAAAGCGACCGACCAGCGGGAGTGACTAGTGCGTCGCTGCTCGGCCGTCACCTCACACCCCAAAGCCGCAACTGTAACTCAACCCCAGAGCTCACATGTGTCCAATTGCACTTACTTGATCCTTTCAACTACCTCTTACTTCACTCCTGCGACTGCTGTTACTCTTTTAAGTGAATCGCATCCCATCTCACCTTCCCAACCGCCTCATCCGTTGGCGGTCAACATGTCCGACGATGCATCCGTCCTGTCGGCGTCCACGTCGTCCCTCTCACCGTCGAAGCTCTGCTCGAAGACGTACAAGAAAGCTTCACAGCTCTTCTTAACCCGTCGACTACAAGAAGCTCTCGTATCTCTGGAGCCTGTAATTACGGCGAAGAATGGGAATGGTGACCAAGATGTCAATGGCGTGGACTCCGTGCCACCGATCGGTACAGTTCCTGCCACCTGGCGGATCAAAATATGGAATCTGTACGTTACGCTTCTGAGCGCTATTATCGACTTAGGCCCAGAGGAAGGAAAGGCGATGATTGGGCAAAAGGAATGGAAAGACATCTCAACGCAAGTCCGCGACGGGACTATCTGGGAGAAGGTCGTACAGATTGGCTACCAAGGGCGCGAAGGGTCAATAGATGCGGAGGTTGTTTATAACCTGTAAGTGAAGCTTCTGACGCAGATTATACCAGCTATCTGACGACTCATTTCTCCAGGGGTACTCTTCTCCTCAACCATTCTCCTTCTCAAACTGTGAACCAGCAACGACTCGAAACCTACCTCTCCTCCTACGGGCAACCAAACCTTGATATTGAAGAGCATCTGAACTCCCCCACAAACACTCAGCGAAATCAATTCCGCCCGAATGGTGGTACAGATACACCAAAAGACCTCGCCGCCCGAGTCCGACTGATCGAGCTTTTCACGCTTCATGTTCTTCCCAGGAATGAAGAGTGGGAGTACGCGACCGAGTTCATCAATTTGAGTGAGGTTCTTGACGACGAACGGAAGGAGCTCTTTTTGCAGACGCTGGACGGGCTTAGGGAAGAGAAGGAACAAGGAAAACTCCGTGCCGCAGCTCTACAACGCGAAAAAGACGCCGAGTTAGAGAGGCAGATACAGGATGCAGAGCGCCAGAAAGCAGAGGAGGCTGCAGCTGCAGAAGAGAATACTCAACAGAAGAGCCACAAACGTAGTGGTAGTGAGGTTGATTACGGGATCGAGAAGAAGCATCCAAACGGCAGTATCAGAGGCAAAAAGGGCGAGAAGCCAGGCAGCAGCAAATCTGGTTCCTCATCACGGACGGCCCTTTCTCCCCCCAACTCGAAGAATCTTAAAAAGCCGGAGAAGCCTGAAACTCGAGCGAGACAATCACAGGCGCTGGCTACTGTGCTACGAAATATCGTGCAGTACTTGAGCAAAACGATATCCAACAACCCTCTGTCCTTCGTCCGGTCACTATTGTTTTTGTTGGGTCTTCTTTTCGCCCTTAATAGACCGAATGTCCGCGAACGAATCCGGAGGATAACCGGATCTGGCTGGCAAAAGATCCGGGGAACTGTGGGTATGGGTGTGAAAGTGAGCTATATTTGAAGGCTTTGTTTTTTATTGTTTGCTTTTTTTGCAGAGTTTGATACGCTCTGCCTCGGTGCATTCCACTCGGACGTGGTCTGTTGCATATATATCATATATCCTTCTATCTGTAAATCTAAATACGATTCTGCGAATGACTCTGGCAATTAATTGCTATGAAAATGCTATTAAAATGCTATTGGGTATCTTTCTATCGCATTAATTTTTAGGGCAAACGTATCACATGCAACATATTAAGTGACATCACGAAGCCGGTGTATGTTTTTCTTCTTGGTTTGCTACCTCCGATACACAAACAGAAGGTGGTCCCTCCAATTCAGCCACTCCATCCTCAGTCGCCTCTTCGCATTCACTCGGTCTTGACCTCTCAAGTCTTTGTTTCCACCACTGAAAAGCATGGACAAAAAAGTGAGCTACGAATAGCTGCTCTGTTGTGTACAGTAAGACAGGCACGGATGTTTTCGCTTTGAGGAATAGATCAACCGGCGTCCACATCGCATATAACAGAGGAATACCCAGAGCTGTGCTCTTCGCGGGCCCGCAGAAACATACAGCAATGGCCTCCTCTGGCGGTATTTGTTTCAGAATGTGCCATCGACCAATTTTTGCCCGTGTACACGGAGACTGGGGAGGCCGGGACAAGCAGAAACACACGGCTGTTAGGAAGACGTACAGGGCGATGTTGAACAGCACGACGAAGACAACAGTCTCAGTCGAAAGGTCTTCCAGGGCTCCTGTTGCAAAACAGGAGGAGAACGTTACCCTGGTGTATGTGAGCAGCGGGCTTTCAGAGGGAGTCGTGTTAGATTTTCAAACTCACCAGATCATAAGAAGAAGACACACCGTCCCAATCTTTGCAATCTTATATTTTTGGATCACATGCGCAGTCCGCTCAGGCCAGAAGAACCTCACCGCTTGGCCAACAGCTAGAGGTATCAACACGGCCAAGCCCAATTGCTTAAACACATCACGATACATTGATGTGAGATCACCATTCTGATCTCGCCAGACTTCGAACTCTTCCGAGGCCGGTATCAAGGTCACTGTCCACCCAGCCGTCACGAACGGGCCCAATATATTCGCAATAAGCACCTCCGCTAATGCGGCCGCATCGTCACCCCCCGCAGACCTAGTCATGACCACATTCGAGGCGATTGTTGTCGGAATACAAGCGGTAAATATGTATCCCGCCAACACAGCACGATCAATACGCGCATTTCTATCGCCGGCAAGAATTGCGTGGACAACGGCGAGAACAAGCGCAGGGATGAAAAGAAACGAAGTAACCTGCACAAGGAAGTGGAGGCGCCAGTTAAAGAGCTGCCGAACAAGCTTATCCTGTGGTATACTAAGACCCGATAACAAGAAAACGATCGCAACAGCGCCATAGAGAATACTATATTCGGAACGAATCACACCGCCGTGTTTGGCGACATTGGGAAACAAGTATGCCAGCAGGCAAGCAAGGCCGATGCCGAAGATGAGCCATTGGTGGAGGATCAGCAAGACGATGCGTTTCCATTTCGGCTGCGGGGTGCTCATGGCGCGTAAACTGGAATATACCGAGTCATCGAGGTCCTGCTCTTTTCGTCTCTTCAGAATTCTCGTCCTGCCATTTCGTGGAGAGATTTTGAAGATCCGAGTTGGAGAAATATACACAGTAAGATCGGCGGTTTCGCCGATGCAAGGACGATAGCGGTCTGATAGGGAGAATGATTGACCGAAAGCACGATGGCGTTCAACTCAGGCGTACACACAGAAGATGTGATGCGGAATGGATGTGGCGGAACCTTTCCAGCCCGCTCAATTCCCGCGTCGATGTCGCAAGAACAACCATTCCTTTGTAGGACGGTGCCGAGTAGGCCGTCTGTCCCCCATTGATTTCTGCTGTGGATAGACTGCAGTACCAGCACGAGCAGCACGAATACCCGTCGGACATTGTTTTGCTTGATCTTGCTTCAGCAATTAGACTTTCTACATAATCTCCCATTAATTGGCGATAAGATCAACTTTAAGCTTATCAATCGGCAAGGGTATACAGAGTCCAGACTCCAAAGTCAAAAAATTATGATGCCTGAGGCAGAACAGCCGATGGAAAAAGTCTGGGTAAAACATGAGCCGACCGGTTCTGTATCACATCGCAGTTACTCCGCGAATGCATTGTTTCTCTACTGGAGAACAGCTGATTCTTACTAGGCCACATGACCTTTTTAAACGCCATATAGGCCTGGTATAGCCGCCTGCTTACCAGCTCGGTGCCTCCTGATAAGAGTGGCTCACGTCGGCATTCCCAGAGCGGAAGTAACCTCGGCACAGGAGCAGCAACGTCATTCTTCCTGGGGTCCGGATTCTCCCGCCTGCAGTTCTCCATTCACCCTGTGAAGCTGGCAGGCCCTGGGAATCACAAGCTCGGAGCGAGCAAGCTGCAGCGATCGAGCTATACTTCTCAGCTGGCTGTCCAGTCGCCAGCGCTTTCACATGAAGACATGCGACGCTCGTCTCCTAGTATCGGACCAGTGACCAAGTTGAGTTCGAGGTGCACTGGTTGATGAGATCATGTCCTCTGGAACCACCAGCGTTGCAGAGCCAGCAGCAGAGCCAGACTATGGGCGAGCTCTCGTTCGTCGGACCTGCCGGTAGAAGTCTGGGGTCGTCCAGTCTCGGCAGCAGGGCATAGTAGTAATGATGATGAGAAGAACGACAAGGGACTTGGCCACTTGGTTAAATAAGATGGCCAGGGCTCCTGTAGACGATATTTATCAGATTTCCGCGTTACAATAATACCCTGTTCTCGGGTGGTCTCTGATCAGATCTCAAACAGTCAACTTCTTCCGCTCGTCCATCTCTCCGTCTCCGCTTCCCCGTTCCACCTCCGCGGGCTGGCCTAGCCAGCTAAAAAATTAACCACTGGCAAAGGCAGAGCCAAAAGCCGCCATTGGAACCGAGCCCCCGGTCTCTGATCGACTTATCCGAAGCTCTGACTCCCAACTCCCTTTGGTGGGCTTCTTTCCAGAGCTTTGTTCTCCCTCGGTTCAACCGAGGGTACTTATACTTCCGTATCTCTCCGCGCTCATAGCTGGCGCAATTCACCTTGTGAACTTCCGATATCGTCGCTATTCTTTTTGTCCTCGTGACTCTTTCGGTCCTTTTCTTTCTTTTGGATTGCTCTTTCCTTCCTTTCTTGCTTTTTTGTTCAAGAGTTGGCGCGCTGCATTTGAGAAAGACAAGCTATACAACTTTCATTTGAGTCACAATGTCTGCTAAGGGAGGCAATGGCAAGAAACCGGCCTCGCCAGCCGTCAACTTGATCGGTATAGTTACCTAACTGTATGCTGTCTATTTCGGTGCTAATTATGAACAGCTGGTGGTGGCGCCGGTATGATGGAGGCGCTTGTATGCCATCCGCTAGGTATGCAATTCCCAATTGAGCCCTGCAAGAATACTAGTAGTCGCTTACAAAATTCTAGATACTATCAAAGTCCGCATGCAGCTGTCTCGACGGGCCACTGCGCCGGGTGTACGTTTTATGTAGCTTCAGTTTATTTCCGACGCTCCAACTAACGTTCAATTGCAGGCCAAACCCCGCGGCTTCGTAAGAACTGGAGTTGATATCGTCAAGAAGGAAACTGGCCTAGGTCTGTACAAGGGTCTCGGAGCCGTCCTCGGTGGTATCATCCCCAAGATGGCCATCCGGTTTACATCCTACGAATCATACAAGCAAATGCTTGCGGATAAGAACACTGGTGCCGTCACCAGTAAAGCTACCTTCCTCGGTACGGGCCCCATCAAGTTGATTCTATTCTCAAGCTTATCGCATGCTAACAAACGAAAATAGCTGGTCTCGCCGCAGGTGTCACCGAAGCCGTCGCAGTCGTAAACCCCATGGAAGTCGTAAAAATCCGTCTTCAGGCGCAACATCACTCTCTTGCTGATCCCCTCGACGCACCTAAATACCGCTCCGCCCCGCACGCCCTCTTCACCGTCATTAGAGAAGAAGGTTTCAGCGCCCTCTACCGCGGTGTCTCATTAACTGCCCTGCGCCAGGGTACCAACCAAGCAGCCAACTTCACAGCCTACACGGAGCTCAAGGCCTTCCTGCAACGCGTCCAGCCCGAGTACAGCAACACCCAGCTCCCCTCTTACCAAACAACCGTTATTGGTTTGATCTCTGGTGCGGTGGGCCCGTTCTCGAATGCGCCGATTGATACGATCAAGACGCGCCTGCAGAAGACGAGGGCTGAGCCCGGACAGAGTGCTGTCTCTAGGATTATGGCCATCGCGCGCGAGATGTTCAAGCAGGAGGGTGCGCGCGCCTTCTACAAGGGTATCACGCCACGTGTGATGCGTGTTGCGCCTGGACAGGCTGTGACATTCACAGTGTATGAGTACTTGAAGGGGAAGCTGGAGGCCTCGAACTGGGCCTTTGTTGGAGGCAACTTTGAGGAGTAGATTTTTCCTCCTCTTTGACTTAAGCCACTTCTCTTGAAACCCCATTTCAACTGCGCGTCGGGCCAGCTTCTGGTCCTGACTCCCGACCCCGGAACTTTGATTCTGTCGAGCCGAATCAAGTTTTCTTTTTTCGGAAGAAGCGGGTGAGAAGAAGGTTGCGATGGTTGGAAAAGCATTCCAATTGATAGATACCATGGGCATCATTGGTGGCGTTGTTGTTTTGTCCTATCTTTGTCTTGCCTTGCCCTATTTCCTTTTGCTCTGTTATATATATTGATTGATCTATTGTCCAATGACTCGTCTGGGATTGGACTGAGCTTTGTTCCCTTAGGGTTTGCAAAGCCTGCTCGCATGCTATACAGCCAGCGAGGGTGGATTGTATATAGACTGCTCGTTGTTAGCTCTTCCTGTTGGCTGTTCTATTTCGAAATACATCGTATATACTCGAAACATGGGGTTTCAAAATGGCTCTTATCCAAGTAAAGTAGTATGTAGTATTTTCCAAGTTCTTATCGACTGCTTATTGGGGACCCACGGACACAGAGTTTGACATTGATAAGTGATTGTACTTTGTGAGGCTTGGCACTTATGCCGCAGTTTCTGCTTCTGCTTCTGCTTGCCCCTGGCAGTGTGTACTAAGTATGCCCTAACAATACTATGACTACTAAGGCAATAGTCTAGTGCTCTGGTCGAAAGACTTCAAGCTAGCTCCCCCAAGATTTTAAGAGTCCAGAATTCAATGACCCACAGTAAGCGTTAAATGTAAAGTGACAGATGCGCCTCGCAAATCGCAATTAAATCGAAACAGCGAAGCACATATGTTGTAGAGGCCAGGAAATAGTCTAGTAGTATAGGGTAAGAGACTGCGGTAGTTAGTGGATGGAAGGTATAAAATGGCATGACCGTCGAACTAGTCTACGGGGTATTGTTTTGTCAAACTCCACGGCGCCCGTCTGATAAAATAAACAAGCAGGCAAGATTCAAGATGTCTCCTACTATCGTCCTCATCACCGGTGCCAACCGCGGTATTGGAAGAGGTCTCTTGGAGCGTTACATAGCCAAGCCAAACCACACTGTTATTGCTGCAAACCGCGACCCTAAGCACTCGGCTTCGACGGAGCTGCTAGCTCTCCCGACAGCGGAGGGTACAACTGTGAAAGTGGTAAAGCTAGATGTCACCTCTGAAACGGATGGGGAGAATGCAGCTCGAGAACTCAAAGAGTTGGGAATTAATCACGTCGATATCCTCATCGCCAATGCCGCAATCGGTTACGTGTTTCCTAAGCTTGAAATGGCACGGCTGGACGATATCAGGACACATTTCGAGACAAATGTGATTGGATTCGCCCGTACGTATCAGGCTTTTTTCCCTTTCCTGCAGACGGCAAGGGACCGTCACCCTAAACTGGTGACAATTGGCTCGAGTGCGGCATTCTTTAAGGTATGCTTTCCTTCGCTGTATTATAATCACCCAGCTAACACGTAGTAGTAAGTAGAATTAATCCTTTAGCCGAAATGGCCTTTACTAAGTTAGTAGGAACACGTATCCGGCGCCAAATTCTGCATACGGTGCCACGAAGGTTGTGCAACATTGGTATACAAGGTCAATTGCGCTCCAGGAACCGTGGCTTACAGCCTTTCCAATTGATCCAGGGTACTGCCCATTCCTTTCTCGAACGTTGATCCCAACTAACCGAGCTAAAGCTTTGTTCAGAGTGATTTGGGCAACTTCGGCGCCAGTTTCATTGGACTTGAAAAGGCGCCTACCACTATCGAAGATAGCACGCGGGCGGTTGTTGAGGTTATAGATGCGTCAACTAGAGAAACGCATTCTGGGAGGCTATGGAAGTGGACTGGAGAAGAGGAGCCGTGGTAAACACTGGCGAATCTATCCAGCAGTAGAGCATGGCCTTCATGTCTAGTGTGTGAGGCAGTTGCTACTCAGATAATGGCTAGCAGCAAAATCTGGGCTTGAGATTGGTTGTCCATCTTTTTCCGTGTGTTCATCGGTTGAAAATTGGTGATAGCGTGGGTTCTCCAAAAGATGCAGGCTCGGTTGAAGTGTTGGTAAATGTCGAAGTTTGATACGGGCATAATCAGGTTGTCAATTGGTTCAGATCAAATGGAATAATTTTTTCAGTCATCCAACACTTTTTCGCTTTGGCGTTCATGTCAGCTCCGAACTGGATAAGCAAGAGGACGCCCTCCTCGAAACCCCGTTCTACAGCCAGATGTAGTGGCGTCCAACCGTGGTTATCATGGGCATTGATATCACAAGAGCCTCGCTCGTGCGCTGACCAATGTCTAAGAAGAGTTCGCAGTACCTCTAGCTGCTGATACTGCGCCGCCCAATGCAACACGGATCGCCTGTAACAGTCCAAGTGCGAGATTCGTGACCCGTGGTTTAATAGTAGCCGCACCACTGATTCATGACCTCCAAGCGCAGCATAGAAAAGAGCGGTTCGGCCATCACTATCGGCGCTGTTGGCGTCCATATCGCCCTGCTCGAGCAGCACCCGGAGTATACGCTCGTGACCTTTTTGAGCAGCGATGTGCATTGTGCTAAGCCAACCTTCCCCAGTCTTGGTCTTGAATGATTCGTGTACAGCTCCCGCCAAATGGGTAGCATCGGGGACATGGTGGGGATTATTGTGTTCCGTATCTACGGATAACGTCTGGTCTGGAGGTACGAGAAATGAAGAGAACAGCTGCCCGCCCAGCGGCTGGTCTGAAGAGCCGTAGCCCGAGAGGAGGTTGTCGATAGCCCCTAGGTCAAAAGCAGCGTTTTCGAAACTGGAATTTGTCAGAGAAAGCCCATCTAAAATAGCCGAGTCCAGTGGTCTATCTGTGGGCATCTCATTATCACCGCTCCCTTGTGGGTGCTCAATTGGTCGGTCAACATGGCCATTGGGCACGCGATCACCCGTTCGTTCAAGTTGTTTTTTCTCTATACCCAAGCACTTGTTAATAAAACAATTCACAGAGAATGGGAAAAGACCAATTTAGCTCAAGAACCACTCACGGCGAAACCTGCGCTGAGCAATGCGATTCTGTAGTCGGCGGCGCTCCGTGGGGTCAGTCGACAGTTGTAGAGAACTCAAATCCATGTCTCCTCGGCAATCTCTTGGATTCAACTTCTTCCAAGGCCGACAAGGCGAGCAAATGGCCTTCTCTCGCCAAGAGAGACTTCATCTACTGGGGCGATCGAAAGCAGGTGAGGACAGAGACGGAGATCTAGCCAGCTGAGAAACACTTAATAAGCCCCCATCTCAGCCCCGCTAACCCAACACACCGCTCCTGCCTCCTCGCTCAGGACAACAGTTCATCTTACAAGTCATATCGCCCATCCTTTGTGTTCGATAAGGCAAGGCTGCAGCCCGAATTGCAGTCAATATGCAGTCTGGAATCTCAGGTACCTATTCCCCCGCCTGCCATCTATACCGATAACCCCACCACGCCGCCCCTGTTAAGCCCGTAATACACAACTAACCACATAAACAGTCTCGCAAGAGCTGCACGATGCATTTGCAACGTTCGCCTCCGACAACTCCATTTTTTGCTTGCCCGTAACAATCACTTCCGAGAGTCTGACTCCGCTTTCTCCGATCCCCTTCTCCGCCGGAGACGCATTCTACCCCTCCCTCTCGCAATTGTCGTCTGTTCTGGAACCCAAGACGCCGATTTATCTGCTTATTCGACGGACCGGGTCCGGATCCCCTTCTCTCGTTGCCCTAACTTATATCCCGTCAAACGCGGGAGTGCGTGCAAAGACCCTTTTTGCGTCTACCCGGGCGACGCTGGTTCGGGAGCTAGGCAGCGAGAAGTTTTCGGAGACAATTTTCGCTACAGATGAGGATGAGGTTGTTGGTGAGAAGGCGTGGCGGGAACGGGAGGCTGAGAAGAATGGGTCTCCAGAAGCAGGATACAGCCGCGAGGATCTGATGGGGGATAAGGAGAGAGAGCTGGACGCTGTGCGGAAGGCGGAGGAGGCTGCTCGGAGTGGGACGCCTGGCAGAGACATTGGCATCGGCGGGACCTTTGCACGAGGCCCTTCCAGGATGCGCATTGAAATGCAAGTGGATGAGGATGCGAAGGGGGCACTACAAGGCTTGCAACAAGGGGGACTAGTACAAGTGGTAGGTTTCTTCGCAGACGATACAGCCCCGGGATGATTTGAGGAAGCTAATTGTTCATTGTTGCACGTATAATACAGGCCATTGATGTTCCAACGGAAACACTCAAGCTTGTGTCCTCCGAGTCTGGGGTTGACGCCGATTCCGTCCAAAAACAGATCTCCGAATCCTCGCCGAGATACTCATTTTATCATTATCCCGACTCTGATGCTGTCATCTTCATTTACACATGCCCATCGGGCTCGTCGATCAAGGAGCGGATGCTGTTTGCTAGCTCCCGGATGTACGCGCTCCAAGTGGCAGAACAACAGGGCCTAAAGGTTTCGAAGAAGGTATGGCGACTCAACACAAGTGACTGATTTGAAAACATCCTGACAACCGAAATTGCAGATTGAGGCCGGCGCACCGGACGAGGTTACAGGCGAGCGGCTCCACGAAGAGGTGAACCCGCCCCAAAACGACGGTATCAGACGAGGATTCGCGAAGCCCAGGCGGCCAGGGAGGTAAATCAAGTTTTGTAGCCACATCCCACTCCGACAACGCTTGCTACGGAGAGCCGAGTGGGCCCAACGTAGAAGCAGCCATACACTTATCTCCTGCAGTCGAGTTCCATTGATATTCTCAGCAGCCACATTAACAGTAACCCGCTGTCGAGAAAGCCAGCGATGTAGGATAAAAGGCACGCCGGCTCGTCGTACACGCGTAGGCCCAGTCGCATATTCCCCGCGACAAAATCAAGGCCGAAATCCACCACATCAATGATTTCGAAAACTCTTTTTTTGATAGAATAAATCTGTCCTTGAACTTCCCAAATTTATAATCTTCGGACAGCCGTCTCTGTCCTTCTCTAGTCGCGTGCATTCAAAGCAGTAGAATGCATCACTGATGCCCTCGCCACCGCAAACGATGCATTTATTCTGGTAGTTACCGAATGAACACTCGTCACAAATACGGACCAGGGTGGTAGGGCGCACGTAGGAGTCGCACACGGGGCACTTTCCATCACATTTGTCACACAGACGGCCGATAGAGATGCCAGGTTGCTTGCGGCACATAACGAGATCGGGGTGATGGCGCGACATGTTGCTGAACGAACAATGACAGATGAATAGACGATTGTATGAATAGAGTCGAAATATGAACGCAGGAAATCGCGAGTTCTAAGCTGAGTCTGCTTAGAAATGGTCTAGGGGTGGCACTGGGGAAGTACCGATCGAAGCTGTTGGAAGGGAAGAGAGAAGAGGTCAAGCCAGGAACCGCTGGCACCTTTTTCTGCCGCCCCGACGCGGTGAATTGGTCCGTGCGGAGAAGACTGGAACTTTGCGGCTCTATGGCAAGAGCAACACGTCCGGATTTCACACAGCTCATTATATTGATTTCTGAACTGTATATATGCGCTTCATCTGACAGTTTATTCATTGTTCGCTTGCACTCGGCCGCCTCGATTCCCCTTATCCTGTGTATAAAACTTCCTCGCCGCTCTCCACTTCGGCCGATCCAAGGCAGATACTCGACATGGCAGAAGGGTATGCGATTTCTTTTCCTACCTCTTACCGTCATTTACAGTAGCTAAATGAGCTTTAATATAGAATTTTATCCTCTGCTGTGATCATCCCCGATCAAGATAGCGTCATTCCCTCCCCAGAACACGGCGCGAAGCGAAGACAATCCTCAACCGCAGACCCGGATTCAGACATCAAACGCCGCCGTCTGAGCGCTCAGGATGATAACCAAGACTCCGGACAACCTCCCGTTCGCAGACCATCGACTCCACAGACAGGCGCTCAAGACCCGGAACGAAGACGTAATCATCGGGACGAAGAACGAAAACGCGGACAGCGGTTATTTGGTTCTCTACTAGGAACACTCTCGCAGAGCTCCAATTCGGCGGCGCAACGACGGCGGGCGGATATAGAGCGGAAGCAGCAGGATAAACTCAAACTACAAGATGAGGAATACGGGGAGCTGAAGAAGAAGAGGCGAGAGGACCGGGTTGCGCTACGGAAGAAAGAGCAGAAGCTTTATGAGAAAGAGATGGTGGGTTTTGACCTTTGTGGTCTGATTTTGGAGAGGGCTGATACTAATTGACTTCCGATCTATCCAGATGCATACCCGTCACACGAATCTTCTGGCCACGGCTCACTTCCTGAAAACGAAGTCAGAGCCCGTACTGGTAGGCTCCCCCATGCTGCAATTGTCTGTTACATGTGTCTGATCAAGCCAATAGTACTATAAGCCATGGCAGCTCCGATCTAAGGACGAAGATATTATACAAGATCAAGTACGGGAAGCAGAGGCGACAATCGCACGAGAAGTGGAGGAATTCGATGCGCGCAGCAAAGAAGAAGAACAACCAGAGAAACCAGACACAGAGAAGCCCAGCGACACGAAGCCGGACCGGTCTGAAGAGCAGAGACCAGAACCACCCAAGTCTGATGAAAATGCTCAGGATGAGCAGTCCAAAGAGAACAGGGACGCAGTAACAACTGAAACCAGCCACGAGAAGGGCACAGAAGGGACTAAACCTGAGGGTCCTCCCCTACCTAGCGATGACGTACCGACGACTACAAATCAAGATGTCCATCGAGGAGCTGAGGATGACGGCGGGGAAGTTGTGGAAGACAATGAAGATACGGTGATTTACTGAGCATCAGCTATCTTGTCGCTGTTGTCTAGTATACGGTGTACAAACAGTCCCAAAATGGTGGTCAATACGTGTAAAATACTAGTACTGAGGGGATGATTTGACGAGGGCCGAGGCATCTCGGAAAAGGAGCTTATCGAGACTCCCCACTGGAGCTCTCACAACTCCAGGTCCCTAGAAAGCTGTTACTATTGAGTTTTTATACGTCTCAATACTATTATATTATCCTCTAAATATATTCTGTCTCGTTTCCCCACTTTTTTAGACAAAACGGTCGGCTTCACGTGGCAAAAACAGCGGGGTGCTCAAGCTAGGGAATATCAACGAGACAACAATCCCATTATCGAACACACCTTGTTCTTTGTTCGCGATTGTCAGCTATTTTTCTGATCCATATAACTTTAACTCTACGCGTGTCTTGTGGCCATGGCTATTGACAAAATCAAGGTCTCGGGAGACCCTCGGGTTGAGCATCGCTCAGCTTTTGTGAATGGGAAGACATACGGTATGAGAGCTTGTTCTATATTCTACATCGTCGAGGAGTAATTTTTCTGGAGATTCACTCCGTTCCCTTCAACAAAATAACTTACCCCAAAGCGAAATATTCACTCGAAGAGGTAATTGGCTGATTATATATTTTCAGGCTACCTATACAGCCAGCCGGAGTCTGGAAACCACAAGGGCACTGTGGTTTTGGTATGTCCTTCTGATTTACTGTACGATCAAAAGAAAAAATTAACACAGCGTCGTAGCTCCATGGATTCCCCGACATCTCAATGGGTTGGAGATACCAGATACCCCTGTTCACCAACAGAGGCTACCGAGTCATTGCCCCCGATTGCATTGGATATGGAAGAACGGTACGGCATGTTCGGACAACTGCTAGCTCTAGAATTTGCTGATCAGAGATATTTAGGATGCGCCTGCTGATCTCACTGCGTATTCGCTCAAGAGCTCGTCCGACGACGTCAAAGAACTAGCTACCCAGCTGGGTGCATCCAAGATTATCCTGGGTGGCCACGATTGGTACTTACAGCCCACCCCCCTCTTTCAGCTACCTCAAGATTAGAGCCAGAAACTGATTCCTCCAAAGGGGCGCATACCTCGCCTATCGCGTTGCTCTGTGGCACCCAGAGCTCGTACAGTATCTCTTCACTGTTTGCGTTCCCTACAGCCCACCGTACAAGAAATGGATGTCACTTGAGGAGATGATAGAGAAGGTTACGCCGCATTTTGCGTACCAGCTGCATTTCGCCAGTGGAGAGATTGAAAAGGAGGTGCATACTAAGGACGAAAATAAACAGTTTCTTAGTGCACTGTATGGTGGAAGGACGGAGAAGAAGGAGTTTGCGTTCGACGTGCGTAAGGGCGTGGATATGGACAAGCTGAAACAACTACGCCGCTCGAGGCTGTTAAGTGAGGAGGTATGTTTATCTACTTAGCGATCTTTTGGGTGCTGTTCTTGGATTTTGAGAGAACTAACCGGAACTTGACTACAGGAACTTGAATACTACGCCTGGGAATTTGCCAGACATGGTCTCCGTGGTCCTCGTATGTTACCTCCCTAAACAAAACCCCGTCTATCTACTAATGCGCTAAACAAATAGTGAACTGGTACCGAACCCGCAAAATCAACTACGATGACGAGCTCTCTCTCGGAAAGAACACCATCGATGTTCCGGTTCTTTTCATCCAAGCTCTCAGGGATGCCGCTCTCCCGCCAAGCCTAGGCAAGACAATGGGCAAAAGCTTGCCTAACCTGGTGACGAAGCCTGTTGACACTTCGCACTGGGCGCTATGGGAGAAGCCTCACGACGTTAATGTGATTTTGGACAACTGGCTAGATGAGGTTGTTGAGGGTGGGGACAGCAAAGCGAAGCTGTGATTTCGTTAACTACGTGAGCAGTTTGTGTGAATGTACTTGTTTTCGATTGAAATACGCCGTGGGGTGCGATATATTGGATTATCAGTGTAGGATAATGGCACCATGAAATATCGTGAACTCAAATCAGTCATAAGACAATCATGCGACTAGTAGAACAGTAACCCGCAGCTCAGTTCTCCAACACCTGCGTCTCAACACTGCATCCAACTTTCTCCAGCCGGTCGAGAAAGTCTTGGCCCAACACCGCCGAGGTAACAATACCACACCTCGAGACCTTCTTCACCTTCTCTTCGTGCTCCAAAATCACCATGGCTGCTTCAGCCATTAGCACCCCAGTGACATGATACATCGAGCCTTGAAACTTCAACTTCCCTAACACGCGCTTCGACGTGTTCTGGTCCGGCGTAGCAATAGCACGATACTCGCAGCGATCCTCACGGCCACTTTCAATAGTCGGACCACTACCCGGAGCGTAGATGAGTTTCTTCGCGAGCCAACGGACTGGAGGGAGGATTAAAAGAGCAGTTCCGATCAAGAAGGCGTAGTTGAATAGGATCCCAACTAAGGTGTTGCGGACGTGGAGGAATTGGCGGAAGTAGAATCTGGGTCCGTAGAATTCGGGCATCAATGTGCTGCTGCGGTGGACGATGGTCATGTCACAGAAGTCTGAAGGTGACTTGGTGAGGGTGCCTAGGCCGGGCACAGATCGAACACCGAGGACCTTGGCCATTATAGACTCGGATGGAATGTCCCTTGGCGGTGGGGAAGCCGCGAGCGCAAATGGCTGGGTGGACTCAAGGAGATGGCCTGCGGAGAAGTCCTCAACGCAGGTCAGGATAGAAGAGAGGGTTCCGCCACTTGCCCCGGAGGATCTATACGTGTTAGAACGTAGTAAGCCTTATGCATATATGGAGTTTATAGTAGCATACTTCAGCTCCCAAATCGCGCCAGTGATTTCCTTGGTATGGCATGCTAGTTTCTCCCGGACTTCTTTTACGATAGCCCAAACTAGCATGTCTGCAGGTGCGCTTTCAATGCCAACACAGTGGATTATCTGCAGCGTTATTAGAAGGCTGTCGTGAAGGAATAACTGGTAGGGGACATACAATAGCACCATTAGACTTGGCTGTCTCATGATACTGATCAACTGTCTGTTTGACCCAGGGGGTTTCTCCAGTCCTGCATAGTGGTAAGACTTTTTGAGCATTCCATTATCACATTGGGAATCTTACGCATCAAGATAGTGGGTGCCAGTCTGAGCACAAGCTTCGACCACAGGTGTGGAGTATACGTGATACGGCCCAACGCAGTTTATTATAACCTTAGTTCTCTCTGCGAGAGCGTGCAATTCTTCTTTATTGAGCTGGACAGCAATGATCTCTATGGACTAGTTAGCATAGACGTTCAGTTGTTTAGTATCCATGACTCAGTGCGTACCTGGGTCTGCGCGATCCGGATTGAGCTTCTTCAGCTCCTGGGAAACACCTTCGATTTTTTGCGGTGAACGTCCTGCGAGGGCCCATTTCAGGTTTGTTGGGAGGTTCTTAACGATATGCTCGGCGCAATACTTCCCGGTATACCCGGTGGGCCCAAGAACCACAATATCGAATTCCCTGCTGGACTGCATTGTATCTACCAGGGTAATTAATGCCTCCGTTCTTCACTTTAGGAAGTTGGTTGAAAATAGGGGTCGACACGATGCAACTTATAGTGCTACCAGAACAAGATTTATAGGTGAAGTCAGAGCTCAATTGTGACAGACTAAGTGAAGTTCATAGTGTTGTGAATTCCATTGCCAAAAGGTAAGTGCTAGCCGTGGACAATTGAGGAGAACAGATCAGCCGCGGCCCAGATACTGAATACGTCACTTGAAGCCGGATCCGCTTGTGAATGAGCTAGTCAAGGCTTGGTCGTCCGAGAAATCAGCTGTATGGGCTACGCAGAGTCTCTGGATTGGTCATTTTTTATGCCGCCGCAATTAAGATGACAATATATGCAAAGTTTCCTGAGCACATCATGGTTGCCAGCATCCCGTAGTTGCGAGTGTTAACCCTTTTTAAATTTATGCCTTAAATTATTGGCCCGAATCCGCTTATCTAATACAGCAACCATTTTTTTGCATGATATCCTTTTTTGTGCCTTTTCTGACCGCCTGCCTCTTTTTATAAACGCAGACTTGGTTGTTTGAACGACTTATAGGGTGCCTGGCTGAATAAATAATGATAGCTGCCAATTAAAATCTTCAAAAAAGAATAAAATACTCCCAAATAACTTACTTATTTCGCCCTAGTCTACTATTGCTCTGCATTTACTCCGGGGTTGGTCAAGTTACGGCCGACTTAGTGATTTCGATACTCATCACGTGGTGCCAAGGCTGAGCCCTAAGCGAGCGCACCCACAATTTGGCCCTCACTTGAAAGCGTCAGTCTCGATTTCGAACTTCCCGCACTGTTCCCATCTTCGACCTCAACAGCCGCACAGAGACAAGATGACGAAGCGCACTAAGAGTGAGTATAGCAAACATTCTTGATTCCCCTTTCAATCAATGGGCAATTGAAAAACAGAAGCTGACTTGTTTCTCCAGAGGTCGGCATCACCGGTAAATATGGTACCAGGTATGCTTTTTGCTAGAAACCCTTTCCCATCGTCCGATTGAATTCGAACGCGATTTTTCGTTCACGACAAGGCGAAATTTGAGGATTCAAGCGTCGAAAAAACGAGCGACTGGACATTTTATTGACTGATGGCTCGCCAATAGATATGGTGCCTCCCTGCGTAAGCAGGTGAAGAAGATGGAAGTGTCGCAGCACGCCCGCTACATCTGCACCTTCTGCGGAAAGAACACCGTCAAGCGCCAGGCTGTTGGTATCTGGGAGTGCAAGGGTTGCAAGAAGACCATTGCTGGTGGTGCCTACACCGTCGCGTAAGTCGACCGAATCGCTTTCCTTCGCCCACCCCCAACGGACCGTGCATCTTGAACTGTAAATATGGCTAACACGGGATATACTTAGTACCCCCGCCGCCGCTGCCACCCGCTCCACCATCCGTCGTCTCAGAGAAATCGCGGAGGTTTAAATGTGATGATGGGATTCCTTTCTGTTTCCGGTTAATTAAAAAAAATGAGACAAATACAAGATCTGGATTGTCATGAACGCATCCTCACGAATTTTTCCTTTCCAATGCTGATAGCGTCGTCTGCCACGTCGAACACAATTTACCACTTAAGACTTGAATTGAGCCGATGGTTTCAGATTTGTCACATTAGCTAGTCCATGTTCCGTCGATCTTCTGCACCTGGTAGATCAGACACTCACCTCGCTTCGTATGGCCGGACTTTACCCTGGTTTACCAAGGGTGCTGCCTTGGAGGTACCCGTGATGGTGTCTTCTGACGGGCCAAATGCCAACACCCTGCCAACATGTGAGGACCACTGGGGCCGAGAGCAACGGTATTTGCCCGTTCATCGATAGCGGTCGGAAGTAGTCAAATTTCAGCGTCAAGCCTCTGGTACATTCTTTTTCGGCCGCCATTTCCCATTAATGTTTCGTATTTTATTTACAATTAAATGGTTGCTCTCATGATCCGCTTTGCCGCCCGAGACTCGGCTTGCTACGCTTCGCTGGAGCACATATTATTCCGTATAAAGAGGGGTTAATCCGCATTGAGCGCACTGCAGGAACATCATCTTGCACCTCAGCGAAACGCACAAGCGCCGTGACCATGTTTGCCAGGGCCAACAGGGTGATTTTGGAGGGCGCTGATTCGCCTTGCGTCGGGCTGGTCACGTTGGCACCCAGACTGTTTCGCGTTAGACCGGATTACTGACCTTCAAAAGGCGGCGCCCGTTTCTCCCCACATCACTCGTCCTACTACCTCCTCTCTCTTCCTCCCCTTCTCTCTTCATCTCTTCTTCTCCTCCATTCCTTTTTGATAGCTGTCCTTCATGCCTTCTCTCAGCTCCCCTTTACACAGCTCTATCATATCGCCATCCGTTAATGTCCGACACTTGTATTGTGTGCTTAGGAGACCTTGGCGAAAGCGCCAGCGATCCTCTTGCCGTCGCAGCGCCAAGACCTGACCTTGAACCCGATGGCAAGGCGCCTAGTACTTCTGCCAAACCAGAAGAACTCGACGGCAATGATGAAAGTATTGGTCTTATCGCCCAGTTGTTACCATGCGGCCATATCCTGCACAACGACTGTCTGAAACCCTGGGTCGAACGGGCTAATAGTTGTCCGATATGCCGCCGTACTTTCAATGTAGTGGAGCTGAGTGATCGAGTCGGAGGTAAGCCACCGTTCTATCCCAGTCATTGTCTGCTTTTATTCTGCTGCATTTCTCGCAGCTCCACTAAAGCATGAGTGCTGATTTTGTATTTACCCAAGGCCCCGTTCTTTCTTCCTATGGCGTGCAAGACCGCGTTCAGGTCGCAGATGTCGACCCGTCCATGGTGGTCGAATATATAGACGATGACCTCTCGGATTCTCAACCTTGTACTATTTGCGGGAATGCCGACCATGAGGAGCAGCTACTTCTCTGTGATGGTTGCGATGTCCCGACACATACGTACTGTATTGGTCTTGATGAGGTGCCAGCGGGATCCTGGTATTGCTCCCGATGTGAGACCCAACGTCCCATCGGACTGTCTTCTGATGCGCCTGATAGACCGTCACTGGCTCAAAACCGACGGCGCCACCGCACCAGGGCACAGCAGCGGAGGGTTCAGAGTAGGAATCAGATCAATTCCCTCCACTGGGCCCGTGTATGGCAGTCAGTATGGGACCACCTCAACATAGACCTAGACTTCCCCTTCGATGATGATAGGGCTGTCGAGCGTGTGTTGCAACAACAGCGCCGAGAGCAAGCTCATCAGAGAGAATTTCGTACTTGGCAACGTCGCTTCGAAGTCGCAGAGCGACAGGGCGGAAGCAACCGATTCCGGGATACCGCTGCCTTGCTTGACATCGAGGCTCCTCGGCCATCGCGCCCTCGAGTTCCTAGGGAACCAACCCCTGAGCCAGAGTCTCTGGAAGAAATGAGAGCGTGGAACGCCTTTGAACGTGCTCGAGAGATTGAGAACAACCCGACCGCAGCCAGGAAACGAAAGGAGCCTACAATGTCTCCTTCTCCAGAACCAACTGAACCGGCGCGAAAATTAAAACGACCGCGCACCCGCAGAGCCCAGGACCTTGCAGCCCTGGCTGTGCAAAATGGCGAATCCTCAAGGACCGCCAGTGCTCAAGCATCTGCTCGGATTAACGCCGACGCCTCGAGTGAACCGAGCTTCCTGCAGTCTCTTTTAAAGGAAGTCGAGGATGCGTCAACGCCACCTAGTGTGAACTCGTACGGTCCCTCGGCTCCGGTCTCTGCCGAACATAGCACTCCCGGGCCTTCATCACCCTCACTCTCACCCGCACCCTCCAACCAGTCTTCTCCTCATTTATCCTCCTCCACCCCGCTCCCGAATATCGGAAGTAGGCCAATCTCTCCAATCCAACTCACATCACCTAATGAAAAGACACCACCTCTTTTTTCCCCGGAAGTCTCACCGACCAACTCCCAGAAAGAAAATACGGAGGAGTCACCGTCGCGTCCTCCTCGAGCCCGCCGGGTGCCCCGGGCCGCACATATAAGCAGAACAGCACGTTCTAATGAAAACTCGCCAACCCGACCAGGCCTATCGCTGGCGGTAAAATCCGACATCCAGAAACTCGTCGGAGCTGCCCTGAAACCGTACTACCGGTCAAAGATTGTTTCCAAAGAGGAGTACACCGACATCAATAGAAGTATTTCTCGGAAGCTGTACGAAAGTGCGCTGGGATTGGAAACGTTACAACAACCCTTGAGGACACAATTGGAAACTATGGCCAAAGAGGAAGTGCAGAGCGCGATTGACGCTCTGAAACAAAGTAGAGGGAAGGTTAGCGGGTCTTCTGACGATAGTTCATGATTTTTTTTGGAGCATATAATGGCGCGCTACAGCGAATTTTGGGCCTTGTCTGTATCAACGTGGGCATGCATATTATTAGGCGCTGGTTGTATTCTATACTACGGCTATAATTCTCAACGGGTGTATATAATGGCTCTAGATTTATTTCTAGGAAAGATAGTTCTCGACCTTCCCGGGCCCTTCTTTAGGTGCACCGAAGGACTCCGCAAGATTACTGACTGATCAACCCCGACTCTCCGTATAGCAATATTCCGACCCCGAACAAGCCGAGCCCTCGGATCTGATAATAAGAGCTGTGCTTATTTCCGGCTGCACAAGCTCATCTGCAGTGGGCACAAGCGGGCCGTTACCCGCTTACGTGTGAGGGATCATGACTTCCTTGCCTGACTCACATTGATTATTGATCATTCAGCATTGACTATTGAGTCATCGGGCTCTCCATCGTAGTAAAGAGTTGGAGGTAAGGAATCAGGGCCGTGTAGCTTGACAACCCCGTCCATCGACTCAGCGGTCAGCACGGCCAGCCCTGCGCTAGGAGCAATCATTTGGCCAGGGAACCATCACGATTCCATGTTCTTCTCTAAGATTTGTGATGAGCCCATGGATGGCGGATTTACCTAAGTTAGCTCTCTGAAGCTTACCAACATCAACGGAGTCGGCGTTTTTTGGACCGATCTCCGCGTTTTAGGCCTGATACGGATACGCATGAAATCCGAGCACCAGCGTTATTCAGCATTTGCATTGGCATAACTAATTTCGCGTCAACCCTAGTAGTATGAGGCAGGTCGGCGGCAATGCGTTATGCGGTAGAATTTTAAGTATGGTCAATGTGTTGACTTCACCGCGACCTTCGTAGAAGAATCTCTCGGGCTCGGCATCAAAAAGTTGTGCGATCTCCCGAAAATGGACCCACGAGTGCCGCCATAAGCCCAGAATCCACGGAACAGATGGACTAAGATATCAGGGTGGGCTTTTTTGTACACATTTTTTCATTTCCAGCCAATTATTCGGGGCCTTGCACTGTTTCTTTAAGTGTGGGTCCCTATTAAGGCTATGCGAACCGACTGAGTTCGCTCACGCCCGAAAGGCACAGGAGCTAAGTGTCTTATGCGAGCAGCGATTGCGACTTGTGTTGGAACTGTTGATTTGTAACTCGTTGAGTGCCTAGCTTCGGATAACCGGCAGAGAGTCTTGCTGATTCGTGGCCAGCAACTACGGCGCCCTGGTTGCAGGGTGCCATAACGGACGGAGTGGTTGCTGATTGGGCTTCCCCGGCCATTTTCTCATGTCCTCCCGGTGTTAGGACCTGGCCTTGGTCGGAGATAGGAACACCGATCTCGATGGTGTCATGTCCACTATCCGATTCTGCGGCCTCAGTCCACGCGATGAGGGCCGGCCCCTCTTGCGATATGGTGGAATTATGAATCCAGATTTTGATGGCCCACTTTGCTGTAATGCGCCGGTAGTATATGAATAGCGGTATCAAACTTTTTTTTCTACCTTTTTGTTCAGACCAGTCTATTATCTTTTACCCTTGCCTTTGAGAGGGGTTCCGCTCCCTACTTCACTTATACCTACCCATAACCTTCAGCTTCGTATGCCTATCGCAGCAACCAACAGACGATGAACGACCCAACCAACCTCCACCCGGGCCAGGGGAATGTGCATGAACTGCCCTCATCTGGCACCACCCTTCGCTCAGAATCTCTCCCCAGTCTTGGAGACGGCGAGAAGGCTGAATATCCTTCCCAAGGCTTAGGCGCTCTGGACTATGAAGAACGCGATCTCGAAAGTGGCAACAATAACACACAATCATCACCAACAAATGAAAAGCCCAAGGAGGAAGCGAACACCAAGGATCCCAATCTCGTCGAGTGGGATGGGCCCGATGACCTAGAAAACCCCCAGAATATGCCCAAGTGGAGGAAATGGGTCGTGACGATGACCATGTCGTCGATGACAATGTGGCTCACCTTTGCGAGTAGTGTGTTTTCGACAGCGACATTGGTAACGGCAAAGGAGTTCGGGGTATCCACGGAGGTTATGATCCTCGCTACCAGTCTCGTCGTGTTTGGGTTTGCTGCTGGACCTTTGCTTTGGTCGCCGCTGTCCGAGCTGTATGGGCGTAAATATCCTCTGTTTATTGGATATGCCTTGTTTGCCATCTTCCAGATCCCTGTGGCCGTGGCTAAGAACGTCGAGACCATTCTCGTCTGTCGTTTCTTGATGGGCTTTCTGGGATGCTCGCCCTTGGCTGTTGTTGGAGGCGCAATGGCGGATTTTTGGGATCCCATTGATCGCGCCGTGGCAATTGCAATGTTCTCTGCGGCTACTTTTGTTGGGCCCGTGCTCGGTATGTGTTCTGATTGTTCTAATTATGTCTTTTTGGTGAGTAATATACTGACGGGGAGTAACTCTAGGCCCGATTGTTGGTGGTTTCCTCACTGATTCTTACCTTGGCTGGCGTTGGACTGCCTGGATCACCTTAATCGCTGCAGGGTCGTTTGGTACCATCGCTTGGTTCGTGGTCCCGGAGACTTATCATCCCGTGCTCCTACAAAGACGTGCTGCTCGACTTCGTCGCGAGACTGGGAACGAGAACTTGTACGCGTTCCTCGACCACCATAAGCCAACCTTCACCGACATCGTCCGCAAATACCTTTTCCGTCCGGTTCAGATGCTCATCCTCGAACCTATTCTAATACTCATCACTATCTACCTTGCGCTGGTGTATGGCATCCTCTACCTCTTCTTCGAAGCCTATCCGGTTTCCTTCCAAGAGGTTCGCGGGTGGACAAACGGGGGTATTGCCGGTCTTCCGTTCATTGGAATCATGATCGGAGTTTTCTGCGGTGTGGCACTGATCATCTGGCAAACAAAGACTCGCTTTGCTCGCAAACTCGCCAAACACGGCCGTGTTGTACCTGAAGAGCGCCTCATTCCCATGATGATAGCCTCAGTCCTCCTGCCGGCCGGTCTTTTCTGGTTCGGCTGGACCTCCAAGACGAGTGTTCACTGGATGGCTCAGATTGCCGCTGGTGTCCCTATCGGTATGGGTATTTTGGTGATTTTCATGCAAGGTCTCAACTACATCATTGACGTGTACCTCATGTTCGCCAACTCTGCCATCGCGGCCAACACTCTAATCCGAAGCTCGCTGGGAGGTGCCTTCCCTCTCTTCGCCACGCAGATGTATCACAAGCTTGGTGTGGATTGGGCGTCCAGTCTCCTCGGATTCATCACTGTAGCGATGATTCCCATCCCCATAATTTTCTTCATTTATGGCAAGAAGATCCGGGCGATGAGCAAGTTCTCGCCCAAGTTCTAACCCAGTTATTCCAACCCTATCTCTGTCAGCATTGGCATTGTTAGCAAGCATTTGAAGCGTTGATTTATCGACGTCGACGATTCTGCATCATGATTGGCATTGCATTGAATTAATAGCAGTTGATTCGCGTGAGCGTTTGTTTAGACAATAATGTAATTAGCATATAGTAATTATTGAAGATCTCCGAATACCAAAAAAAAAACATTGTGAATTGAATTAATTGAATATTGATGTGCATGTCTTGATATTTGTCCGACAGAAGGCCCAACGCGCGACGCGTCCCAGAAGTGGAGGCGGTCAATGTTGGATTTCCTTTTTTGGCGGAAGTTGATTTGAGATGAAACGCTCCAACACTCCCTCGCATCTTCTCTCCTCCCCGACGAAGTTGATTCCTTTTCGGAATTCCGGAAAGCCAGTTCCTTGTATATCGGGAACCGCACTTGGCTACCTCCACTGCATCCTTATTCCCAGGGAAGCGCATGGTGCGTTGAGAGCGTGCAGCCCCTTCCACCGCCGGCTTCCCCGCGCCTCGCCCACGATGCCTGCGCGCACACGTCAAGGCCCCTCCGTGGCCACGGAGGCCGTGGAACCTGAGGAGCCTTCCGGCGCTCTTCGCCATCTGAAATTCAATGAGCCGCTTTCCTGGCGCGTTGGACGCTCCGCAATTCCGATCGCGGACTTGCTACAGCGTCTGCAGACACTGGCGCAGGAGTTGCGCAAGTTCGAACAAGAGGAGATTGAGAAGGAGTCTCTTAGGAAGGTCTCGCAGGAGCTGGCCGCTACTCAGCTTCTAGGGCATAAGGATAAGGGCGTTCGAGCCTGGGCGATATGCTGCATTGTGGATGTGTTGCGCCTCTGTGCGCCTGACGCGCCTTTTACGGCGAATCAACTCAAGGTGCGACCTCTCCGCCGTCTTCAGATTTTATGATATATCGGTGCGCGACATCTATAACTAACTTTTCCCTGCGTAATAGGATATCTTTACTTGTATAGTGTCGTCGATTATTCCGTCGCTGGGCGATCCCTCTAACCCATATAATGCCCAACACATCTACGTCTTAAATTCCCTGGCGGAAGTCAAGAGTGTGGTTCTTATGACTGATTTGGATCATCCGGACACATTGATTGTTCCGCTTTTTACAAGCTGCTTCGATATTGTCGCAGGCTCGGCCAAGGCCTCGACCGGCGAGCCAGTCGCCAAGAACGTCGAGTACGATATGACCCGCCTCTTGGTGACAGTAATCGACGAATCACCCGTTCTTGCGCCTGATGTGGTGGACGTTATAGTAGCGCAGTTCTTGCGCATCGACCCCCGTGTCTTGGAAGGGCCTGTGAGAAAGGGAAAGAAGCCCGAGACTGAGGTAGATGAAAAACAGGAGACGCTTCTTTTGAAGGACTACCCGCCTGCTTACAACATGGCCAAAGCGATCTGTCAGGCTTGCCCAGAAAGAATGACGAGCCACATCAGCCAGTATTTCAACAATGTCATCATTGATGCCTCCTCTGCCGGAAAGAGGAGCGGCCCTTCGAAGCAATCCCATCGCAAGCCAAACCTCGACGATTCAGACGAAGAGGGTGAAGATATCAAGGAGCTGAGCAAAGCGCATCGGTTAATTCGAGAACTCTGGAGAGCGTGTCCCGACGTCCTGCAGAATGTGGTTCCTCAATTAGAAGCAGAGCTGTCCGCCGAGTCGATGTCGTTGCGTTTGTTGGCAACGCAAACCATCGGCGACCTGACATCCGGAACTGGAGTTTCTGGGCCACCCCCTCCTCTGCCGATGGACCCTGCTGCCTACCCGCAGGTGGCATTGGATGAATACACCCGATCAATCCCCCAGCCGAATGTCCTTCTTATGCCTTTCTCCCCGAAGCCCTTCTCACAAGCACACAGCTCCGCGTATGACAGCTTTTTGAGTCGGCGACTAGACAAGTCGGCTTCAGTGCGTGCCTCCTGGGCTACTGGTGTAGGTCGAATCATCCTTACATCGGCGGGTGGTTCTGGTTTGAGTGATAACGAGGAGCAAGCCCTTATCACTCATCTCGCATCGATGCTTCGAGACGCGGATGAGAGGGTCCGCCTTGCAGCTGTTGATGCAGTTGGCACATTCGGCTTGTCTCACATTGTGAACAAACTAGGTGTTACTGGTGGCTTTTCAACGCAAGACTCGCTGCTTTTTATCCTTGCAGAGCGCGTCAAGGACCGGAAACCTCAAGTGCGAGAACATGCTATGAAGATCTTGGCCCGAGCCTGGGCTGTCGCCTCTGGTGAGATTGAACAAGACAATGAACAGGTCACGTCCCTGCTAAAGGATGGGCCTTCCAAAATATTTGACGCTTTCTACACCAACGACCTTGATATTCACGTTTGTATCGATCGCGTCCTTTTCGAGGTCCTTCTTCCTCTCAGCTACCCCCCGATCAAACCCAAGCTTTCTAAAGGTGGCTCGAGCCAATCTCAAAAGCAGAAGGACTCTCAGGCCTCCGAGCCAGAAAACGAGGCCGATGTTGACAAGATCCGCGTTCGTCGAATTCTCACACTTCTACGAGGACTAGATGAGAAGGCCAAGAAGGTATTCTTTGCTATGCAAGCTCGGCAGCTATCCATGAGGACGGCTGTCACAGTATATCTCCAGGCCTGTGAAGACTACAATGTGAGTTAAATCATGAAACATTGAGCTGGGGCAGGTAGCTAACAGGTATTAGGGCGGCGTGATGGAAAAGAACAAGGACCAGATCAAGACACAACTAACTAAAATTATTGACACTTTGTCGAAGACATTTCCTGATCCAGTGAGAACATCTGCCGACTTATGGAAGTTCGCAAAGGTCCACGATCGACGGGGCTACCAACTCATTCGCTTCGCAATGGCTGCCGTCAGTGACTATCGCACTGTCACCAAAGCTGTTAAGGAACTTTCAAGAAGAATACAGTCCAGCAATAACAGCACAATCCTGCACGAGACTCTAACGCCATTGCTGTATCGATGCAGCTCCGTTGTTTTCAACCGAAGCCATATCCCTGCGATCATGAGCCTTTCGCGCTCAAACGAAAACGGGTTAGCGAATCCCGCACATGAGATGCTGCGCGAAATTTCGTCACGCAACCCCGAGGTTTTAGAGGCCCAGGTGCAAGAAATGTGCAAAGATCTTGAAGCACATGCACCAAAAGCCGCCACATTGAGCGCTGCAGGGACCGAGGAAATACTCAAGGCCTGCTCTGGGTTCGCAAAGAAGCTCCCCTCTAGGTTACCGAAGGAGCGCAAGTTCCTCCAGGCTCTTGTCGACTATGCTCTGCACAGTCCGTCACCTCGTGCTGCTAAACATGCGGTACTAATTCTCATGGCTGTAGCTGATAAGAAGGAGATGTATGCCAAAGATCTCGTTAAGAAATGTGTTTCCAAGTGCAGCTACAATTCCGACAAATTTCTAACGAAACTCGCAACGCTGTCGCAACTTAACCTTCTTGCTCCACGAGAGGCCGACGAGGAGAGCGACGCCATCATCAAGATTTCTGTCAATCAAATCCTACTAACAAACCGATCTCCTACACCAGACTCGGAATATTCATGGTCAGATGAAGTCAATGATGAGACTGCAGCCAAGGAATGGGCACTCAAAATCATCGTCAATCGTCTCCGGGCCAAAGATGGCTCTGACAGTGACGACGACTTCCGTGCTCACGCAGGGCCTGTTTATGACACTTTGAATAAGCTCATCCTCAATTCTGGCGAGCTGTCGAAGAAGAAAGATACACCGGCTGCCCAGAAGTCAAGACTGCGGCTTCTAGCTGCCAATTCTTTGCTGAAGCTCTGCGGCTCACACACTCTATGTGAACAATTGCTCACCCCGAAAGACTTCAACGCGCTTGCGCTTGTAGCTCAAGACCCAATTCCGGAGGTCAGAAGCGGGTTTATTAACCAACTCAAAAAGAAACTTGTGCAGAACTCCCGGCTAGGTCATCGGTGGTACGTCGTACCGTACTTGCTTGCATTCGAGCCCCAGATTGGGCTGAAAGATAGCACTCTGACGTGGTTGCGATCTCGGGTCGCATTCTTCTCCCAACAAACGAATGGCAAGAAAGGCGAGAAGCAGATGGTTATGGAAGCTATGTTTTCACGTCTCCTATCCCTTCTCGCATACCATCCCGATTACCCACCGGCTGATCTGGATGAATCGACAAGGTTGGACGACTTGGCAGATTTTGCTCGTTACATCCTCTTCTATCTCTCTGCGGTGGCAAATGAACATAATCTCTCCCTAATATTCCACATCGCGCAGCGTGTGAAGCAAGCACGGGATGGAATTACGAACTCTGATGAAATATCTACGCGCCTGCACACACTTTCTGATCTAGCACAAGCAACAATCCGACGGTTCGCAGACATCTACTCCCAGCAACGCAGGTTCGGTGGGGGCGCCGGTGGTGTCAACATCCTCCAAACATATCCTGGCAAGGTTGGTGTGCCTAGCTCCATATTTGCCCCAATGGGAAGTCACCGTGAGGCGCAAGAAGTTGCAGACACGACTTTCCTCCCGGAAGATGCCGACGACAGACTCGATCGGATTGTGCGATCCTCCATGCGAGCAAAGAACGGATCAACCAGCCAGGGCGCTGCAAAGAAGCGAAAGACCGACGAGGGTAATGGGAGCACCAACGCAACGAAGCGGGTGAAGAAGCAAAACGCACCTTCAAGTAGGCGCAAATCATCTTCTGCCGCCACCTCAAGGAACCCCAAGAATAAGAAGAAAGCCGGAGATGGTTGGTCGTCAGATGATGGCGAAGCGGCGGGTGAAGGTACTAGTTTGGCAGCTCGGAGACGTAGCAACAGAGGCAACCCACGAAGAGTCAGCTACGCAGACCGTGACAGCGATGAAGATGACATGGAAATGGACGAATGGAACGAGGCTCAAGCCGAAGATGAAGCCGAGGAATCCGACGGAAGCGAACTGAGTGAACCCGATAGCGAGGTGCTAAAGGAAGCCGACGGTCCCGACTCCGAAAAAGAGAACGAGCCCAATGATAAGCAAAACGGCGAAGATGCAGAGCCTGAGTCCCCAGCCCCAGTCCCGAAGCCGAAATCAACACCCAAACGCTCAGAGAAGGCACCGACGACCACAACACTTCCAACACGACGATCCTCTCGGCGTGGTTGATATTCCCCTCTCCCACTGCTTTTACTCGCTCCCCCCCCCTTCTCTACCTTAGTGTATCTACGTTGATACGACACTCGGTATGAGTCTGTATCCTGCCCTGTCTGTGAATACGTCACAATTTCGATCGATTGATCTCAAGTTCGATTTGTCCATACCTACTCTTAACTTGCCTCATGCTTGTTTGTTTATTTACCTAGCTATGCGGTGAGCTTGTGAAACCCAGTCAGTCAATTTGTTTGCAGCTCCTCCTTGATGGAATGGATTTTCTATTTTCTTTTTCTACTTTCTCTTCCCTTGTGCTTCCTAGCTGCTAAAATTCCGACCTGAGATTGTTGATCTACTAGTTTCTCGTCCTGTCCAGAGTTTGAATACCCAACCCGATCATTCAAATTAGTTTTATTTGGCTTCATGGAGGCAGTACTTCTTTTTCTTTACACTATCGAAACGGAATGAATGTAATAATGTGTTCGATGTAGTTAAAATACGATCTATCCCTTTCAATTACTCGCATGAATATCTTCCCGCTGCGTGGTGCCTTCAGTAAATGAGATTTGACTATACCCTAGGGGACGCCAGAATGATCCTTCAATATCCAGAATCTCTGAACAGACCAAGGCAAGTTACGTTGGTGTAGCTCGTGGGTACTTTTACGAGGGCGGATAATACGAGTTGCTTCTATAGTAGGCCCAAAGGAGGTGGCCGAAAGCTCGGAAACTCAAAAAGGACAAATCAATGGGAAAAGATAAGTCACCAAAGTAGGTAGGTAGGTATTGAACAGGCACAGCCACTAATTCGCTCACAAATCATATACACCAGGACCAGAAACCAAAACCAAAACTGAAACTGAAACCGGGAAGAGACGGTAATCAGACATGACATGATTTGAGATGAGAGAAAGGAGGGATTTGTTGTAAAACAAGGGAAGGTTTAAATGCAGACACAAAGGAAGAGAAGTGTACATTTGTTGTGTCAGGAATGAAATGAAATCGAGCTTTCCTATCATTCAGTTCTTATGCAGGCGGGTTGGTCCCAGAAGCAGGTTTCGAGATCCGTTCTTCCACGCGTTCCTTGTGTTGTCGGTTTCGGAGATGGACCTCAAAGTTGTCCACGGTTGTGCCAGGTCCAGGAGTGTATAGTTTCCCAGGGCAGTCGTGACACCGAATACGAGGAAGATATAGGAATTTCAACTTCTGGCTAGGATGAGAGTTAGGGTTGGCCACGGGCTGCATTGTTTCCGTGTCCACAGCAGTATACCGCATCACTGCTTCGAAGGAGTCATTCGGGTTCGCCTGGTTGAGTCGACCGAGTCCTGCTACTAGCCAACTCGGAGGCGGGGGCTAGAATAGAAACCATCAGTACGGTGCCTCATATTCAGCATTATTCCTCTAGCAGTTGGGGGCCTTCGGTTCGAGGGAAAGCGGGGCTTTCATTTACGTACCCCAGAGACGCCTGGTTGAGGAGGATTAGGCGCTTCTACAGCCCCAAGGTGCTGGATAGGGCCCGGGCGACCGGCGCTTGATAACCGAGCTTGGTGGGTTTGGGAGGGAGTTGGTGTTGAGTTTAGGGTTGGTGTGTGGACCTGCGGTGTACTTCGTTGGGATGTGGCCTGCGTTACCGCTGTAGAGCTAGGGACGTTAGGGTTGATTTTAAAGCCATTGGCAATAAATTGGCGAAACTTTTCACGTGAAATCTTGAGCGTTACAACCAGCCTCTCCGGCTCTTCGGGCGTTTCTTCGCGGTAGTCACGCCTGCGAGACGAGACTCGAGGTTCATGGTGAGGTTCAGGAGTTGCGGACTGGCCTAGATTCGCACGTAGGGCTGCATGTGCTGCGGTAGCAGCTCCTCGCATGCCTCTCGTGCGTGCCGTGCCTTGAGCCAGATGAGGACCAATAGCGGGAGATCCAACCAAGGAGGACTCATCGCTATCTGACTCGTCTGACTCGTCACCTCCATCCCGTAGCCCAACTGTGGTACGTCGGCGGCTCGTCCCAGACCGTTTCAAGACGTTACTCTCTTCTAGTGAAGAAGCTGTATTCGGGATGACAGACGATACCAGCAGGGTGCGAATTGTTCGCTGGCGGTCTTTGAGGTCGGGTAAAGCTGGCCCACCGCGACGATTGACAGACCGTTTCTGTCGCCGTTGATCTCTCTGGAACGATACCTCTGTCCGCTCAAGTTCCGCTTCATTAAGTTCGTAGAGATACGGCGTGAATTCCTTTGCGGCCTGGAAGGGTCGGAAGGATGAGAGAAGTGGTGTAGGCAAGAAGGCCATCTTCAGGTCTGGGTCGTCAACGGGACGTCCGTCGAAAGGATGTGAGAGAATATAGAGCGATTTGGTAAATAGTTGTGACTGCTCACGAATTGAATGGGCAATTGCTGTTGTAAATTCTCCGGAAAGGGAAAGATCATTCGTCATTCGCGCGGCGAATTCTTCAGGGCTATTGTGAGGGTCGTTGATATCCCATTCAAATTGATCAACCAAAGTATTCTGACCAATGGTGATGTTTAATTTGACCACAATGCGCATTTCGTCGTTTTTGTACGCGCTGTATGGGAGGTGGGGATCGAGAGCCTCCTCTTCGATATTTAGATGCGGGTAATAGTCACAAAGCTGCTCCTGGATGCTCTGTGAGATAATTCGTATCAGCGGGCCACACGACTCGAGTGGAAGACCTAGGTCCTCCACGAGTTTCTCCGCGAATAGGTCAGGCGAAACAACACGGTCATGGAGGTTCCACGTGAAGGTATCCCGGATTTTCACTTTCTCCCAATCAATATCCAACCGAACTGGTACCAGATTTTCAAGTTGTTCGTTCTGAGTTTTTAAATCTTTCCGCGAAACTCGAAGCTCGCGTGTCTTCCGATTGCCAGGACGGCGTCGGTGGGCGGGATATAGCAATTGTGGGTGTTGATTGCGCAAGTCGGTACGGACATTTCCAAACCCTTCGTAGCCAACACCGTAAAGAGCGGCAGGGTTCATATGGTTTTCCCGTCGTAAAGTAAGGTAATAATCGCGTTCCGCGCGCTTTTCTTGCTGTAGCTGTTGGCTCGGACTTTGCCATGCTGTCAGAGCAGAATGGCTGAATTCCCGGTTGACGTATTCATCCAGTAGTACCCTTTCTACAGGGGTCTCTCGTACGCGTACGGGCAGGGCATTGCTGGAGGTGGAGGTCTGAACAAGGGCTCCATCTCGCGATCGCTTTTTTCCGGACGCGGTTCCATTGGCACTGCCCTTCTGCGAATCCGGTGAAGAATTGGCGTTAGACGCATCATTGCTCGACTCTGGTTTGGGTAATGTCACGCCGGATGCCGCAAGAACAGCCTTCGCATTCTGCTTCCCTTCCTCGATCGTATCTGGTCCTTCTATTCCGTGGTCCACGAGAAGGGAGGTATCGACATCATTATCGAAGTCGGCAGCTCCATCCAGTAAGTCCGAGTTATTGTGAATTGAGTCTGATTGCGCGTCGGTCATCCCAGACTGGGATGGATCGGGGAAAGGCATTATTCCTGAATATAATCACGACCGACCGCAACACTTTCCAAACGAGACACGGTAGGATTCACTCGCAACCAATTGAAGACGTGAAAACCGAAAAGAAAGAGATCGAGAATATATTATGACAGCATTCTTTGGAAGAAATGATTCTGGAGCTGTGACAAAGTACATTAGTCTTGAGTACAAGCTTTTCTCTGCTCAGAGTCATCGCAGAACGGACGCGACAGCGCAACAAACAGAGCCGTGAAACGCGATCATCTAAAGGCAAGAAAAGCATGACGCGGAATCATCGCAAATAGACCATCATTTAGATGGCCAGGGAGACGTAGCGTCGCAACATCCTCGGTAGGGCAAAGAGGAGCCAGCCACGCAGACCCAATGCAATGACCCCGATGAGGGGGCCGCATTCCAAAGCAAAAGCGCAATAATTAAGGGTAAGTGCAAGCAAGAGGGAAAATAGATTGAGATATAAAGTAGAATACTAACCGCGAATTATAGTAACGAGCAAAGAGGCTCCAGGGCCGAACGAAGCACTCTATGGGTCTGCGTGCCGGGTCTGGTCTGGGTCTTTCGCGAGAGAGAAACAGCGCCCGGAAAGGAGCGGCGGGATCAGCTGACGGCGCACCGAGGTCACGGCGCGTCTCGACGAGGCCAATGGCAACTGTCTTCCTTTGACTCTAGAAAAAACTAAAACTTCACACTTAAAGTTGCTTCCAAACGGTGGGTGTCAGAGCTTGTTTGGATGAGCCGCGTTCTGCGACAGGACGTCAGGGGCAAAGAGAGGAAAAGAGAGAGGGAGGGTGAAGCGCTGCGAGAGGAAGAAAAGCTGGAGCGGCGTTTTGTCCGTTACAAGCGGTTTCCGAATGGCAAGACAGAGGACAGCTGGGGGGAAGACTGGAGGCGAGCAAGCAGCCCGAGAAACAGCGCTTTCAAAGCAGAATCCGAGAAAAGACCCTAGAGCCTTTTTGAAGCCATTCAGACACTCTTTTACCTCCATCCTGCCTCATCAGAGCGCCAGTCCATTTACCATTGTTACTGTATTATAACCGTAAATGGTGGTATTTTATAGCACGTGACCAGATGTCTCTCGCTCTCCCAGACTATCATGTGACTCCAACCATACCATAAACGGTATAGTCAAGGGCGGCTTGTGCCCTTAGCATGACAGCCGCTTCTCCAGTCCGTAAGACACAATACCGATTTCGTCCGGTCGTACAAACTTCTTACAGAGGAGGACATCAGCTCGCCCGTGCATTATTCCAGGCTGCAGGATGCTTACGAGTACATGAAAATATGCATGCTGATGGCTCCAGGGGATGATCACCCCAACTTCAAAAGTTCAGTTGCGTAAACTCACATCAACCACCACCGCCCGATGATCCGAGTTGAACACGCCATCATCGAACTGGTTTGCCAAGACTGCATACCCTTCAACCCCCCAGGGAAGGCCACGGCGACGACTCTCGCTATCCACAGCCTGAGCAGGCCCCAGAAAGACGTAATCGATTCGTGAGGGCTCCTCCGGCTCGTATCCAAACCCCGTCCATGTAATGTGGTTGCCGTACGAATCGGCCTTGTTCACCAATTCTGCGGAGTCAAGCAGCGGGGACTCCTTGGCCGTCAATACCGAGTGTGCTTCTTGAGACTCTTCACTGTTCAAGTCGCCCGCCAGGAAGACGCCCGAGATTATATGCCCGAGGCGCCCAGTTCGGTACTCTTCGATCTTCCGCAAGATGATATGGGCCGCCTCAAACCGCGAGCGGGATCCTTGGTCATCTAGATGGGTGTTCAGGGCGAGAACTGTTCGGCGGCTGACATGATGAGTGAAGACACCAATGGTCACGATGCGAATCGATGCAGCATCCCAACCTTTCGATGGGACATTTGGCGTCTCGGAGAGCCAGACGGTCTCCCACTGCCGAAGCTCCCAGACCGAAGGACGATAAAATATGGGTGAATATTCGCCAGCTTTGTAGCCATCATTTCGACCAACGCCAATGTAGGCCCAAGCTCCGGCACCGGCTTCCGATGTGGTGGAATCGCTCGAGTTTAACCCAGATAATAGATCAATGAGCTGATGGTCAAGGGCCTCTTGTAGACATATGAATGCATCCAAGTTGCGAGCGTTGTAGTGGAGCTCGCTGAGGATGCGCGGTGCTCGCTCATTCCAAGGTCGCTCCTTTTTGAACGGAGAAGAACCGGTGTCATACCGAATGTTTTTCGTTAGGATGCGCAAAGGAATCCCCGTACTGTCCAGCATCATGTTTGATTCAGCTGTGATCATTTGGGTAAGGGAAATTCAACTTTTTCGAATTGCAGTGAGGTTGCAAGTGAGGAGGAAACGCCATGACGCAACCCCGCGGCTCGTTGGAGAGGGGACTGATGTGACCTTGATCTTAGGTGGTCGTCTTTGTACTCAGTTAGACATTTTTATAATCCCCTGTAATGCGTTTTCTATACGAGCTTGGGATATTCAAATTGAGTGGTACAAAGTTATGGCCGGAAATATTATGTTAAGAGATTCGCCTATCGCAAACTATATATTTTTGCGATAAGCTAGTCGCATACACGACGACCACAAGGTCTTAGATTAGTTTCAAGATACTGATTTAGGGACCTTTTTTATATATCTCATTCTAAGCATTGAATAAAGCAATATGTAACGAAAAAACTTATTCAAGATCCATCTCTAGTACATGTACCGGAAGTGAAGATTCTCCTGATCAGTGCGGTCTTCAAATGCATGCGCCAGATTTTCCTCGTTGGGATCAAGACCTGCTTCAAGAAGCATGCGGTCTTTCTTCTTATTCTGTATGGACAGGTACATTCGCAGAAATATGACCGCAAATGTTAAACAAACGTAACAGCCCAAGTGTACGCCAAAGGCAGTGAGGTAGCGAGGGGCATCGTTATCAAGGAAGACTTGAGGACCTGCTGAGGTTAGCAAATCGTTCTATACACCCTGAATTGAGATAGATAAAATGGATGGATAGTACCGATGGAATTTCCAACGGCCCAGGAAACAAAGGTCGTCGCGATAACAACGGACTTTTTGGTCGCACCGCCGATATTTCTAGAGACCATGGATAAACCCAGTGTCTGAGCAGCCCAAAACGACATGGTGATGTAGTAGCTAACTAGGAGTCCAATCTTTGTGGCAAAATTAGTATTTTCCACAGTCATTAAGACGATGGTGCCAACATATGACCTGAATATGTTAGTTGTGCAATTGGATAGAAGTATAAGGAGAGCCAGCAGACGGAAAAGAAGCCAGCCAAGGGCCAGGGACATACGGTATAATAAATCCCAGCATAATATACAGGTTTTGGCCGGTCTTCTTGATCAAGAACAAGGTTGTGAACAGCACAATAATAATATAGAACCCAAGGACCATTGATAACAGCTGAGTCTGTAGCACAGTAAAGTCAAAGCTTTCAATGATTATATTGGCAAAGTTGGCCAATCCACTGGTTGGAAGTGTAGTGAAGATCTGGATTGCCATATAGCAGTAAACCTGGGGATCTCGGAATGCTTCCAAAACCTGATAGGCGCGAAACTGTTTATTCTGCAGTCCTGTCTGGTTGGATCGAACGCGCTCGATCATCAGGCGTTTATCGTCCTCATTAAAGCATTTGGCGCGCATGGGTGAATCAGGCATCCAGTGGATCACGAAGATGCCCCATAGCACAGAAATACACCCATATGTCAGGAAGAGAGCCTGAAAGGACTTGATATGGTAATCGTTGCCAATAAGACTGAAGCAGTAAGCCAAGAGGCCGCCAACTACTTGTTGACCACCATTCATCATATACCTATTCCCTGTAAGCCGATTGGACTAACACAGAGACCGAGTCCTGGCACCTACCAGTAGGTGACAATTTCTGCTTGTTCATGCCGTTTGTACCACATACTAGAAAGTAGCACAAATGAGGGTTGACAAGCAGCCTCAAAGATACCCAGCAGCGTGCGAACAGCAAGTAAACTAGGGAAACTTTTGCAGACAGAGTGTAAAGCAAGAATGGCACCCCATAGAACAATATTAAGACTCAGGTATTTGGCAATCGGAACGCGCTGGATAATCAGATTCGTCGGGTATTCAACAACAAGGACGGCGATGTAGATGCAGGTCGTTAACCAAGAGTACTGCCCACGATTAGTACATGGAGTATTAGTGGTGATAGAATCTAGGAACCTTCTGGCCATTCTCCAAGCCAGCATATTCTCTGATCCCCATAATAGAAGCAAAGGACATTGTCCCTTTATCCAGCGCCTGCAGGAAGTAGGTAAGGATCATGACTATCAGCACGCGTCGGTCGATCATTTTGCGTAGACGCTTGTTTGTTGCTTCATCGATTGGGGTGGATTCCTGGCCGGCGTACTGCTGGACTTCATTGTCGACACGCGAATAGTCGACAGTCTGCTTATCTATGGCTCCTTCGGAGAGGACTTGCTCCAGACTCGGCTCATCTGGAGCATCCTTGGCCGCCCTAGAAGGCTGAGCGTCATCGGCCATTATGAATAGGATCAAGGCAATGAAGAAATCCCTTCTCTGAAAAATAGATAGGGATAGGGGTGTAGGGCACGATGAAATGCGAAGGGAGGGACTCGCCTTTTATCAACATTGTTCGTCCTCAATAGGATTACCCCAGACCCCAGATCCCGTACCCCGGCCTTTACTACCAGTATGCCATGCCGCTTATATTTCCTTTAATGCTAATGGTACCTCTGGACTATGTAGGTATATTAACCCGCATTTGCTTGGAGAGCAGATGCTTACACTCGGGAAAATTACTGGGTAGGGACTAGACCCGTTGGAGGGAGAAAAGGAAGGGAAAAAGGTCCGTCTGAATCGGAAAAGCGCTAGATGATCCCAAGGCGAGGGATGGCAGTACATGAATCGCGCAGACTGGTGCGTGGTGGTCTCCAACTTGGAGCTCTTGGGGTCCTGCAGATGCCCAACAGCCCCCTCTCTTTCGCAAAAAATACCACTTCAGGCGGCCCTGTCTACTTGACAGCTACAGGTCGGGGCCATAAATAAGTAACCTGGGACGAGACTGGTTCTTCTACAGCATCTCACCTTTACATCGCTAATAAATATGTCGTTTACCCCTCCCCAGGCCCATGAGACGATCAACCGCCTCATCCATAACCTCATCAATATCAGAGACACGAGCGGCCAATTCATCCATCATCTTGAAGATGGGCGCATTGTTGACACCAAATCCTGGACAGGCTGGGACTGGACGCATGGAATCGGCCTCTATGGAATCTGGAAATACTATGAGATGACAAATGATAAGAAATACCTTACCATTATTGAGGAGTGGTTCGCCGCGCGATTCGCTGAAGGTGGCACGACAAAGAATATCAATACCATGTCACCGTTCCTGACGTTGGCGTACCTCTACGAGCACACCGGAAACTCGACCTATCTTCCCTGGCTAGATGCATGGGCCGAATGGGCAATGTACGATCTGGAGCGAACCCGATTCGGGGGCATGCAGCATATCACATACCTAACCGACAACTACCAGCAGCTCTGGGATGACACGCTAATGATGACGGTTATGCCGTTGGCCAAAATCGGGAAGTTGCTGAATCGACCTGCATATATCGCCGAGGCAAAGCGCCAGTTCCTTGTGCATATCAAATATCTTTTCGATACTCGGACAGGCCTCTTCTTCCACGGGTGGACATTCGAAGACGGAGGTCACAACTTTGCTCGAGCCCTTTGGGGTCGCGGCAATAGCTGGATTACCATCGTTATCCCCGATTTCATTGAATTATTGGACTTGGAACCTAGTGATCCCATCCGCATCCACCTGATCGACACTCTCCTGGCGCAGGTAGAGGCATTGCAGCGTCTACAAACAAAAGAGGGGTACTGGCGTACGCTGTTGGACCATGAAGACTCATATGTGGAGGCCTCCGCCACCGCCGGGTTCGCTTACGGCATTCTCAAGGCTGTGAGGAAACGCTACATCAGCGACAAGTTCAGGCCCGTAGCTCAGAAGGCAATTGCGGCTGTCTTTGGTGCGGTGGATGAGCAAGGAGAACTCAAGAACACCAGCTTTGGTACTGCAATCGGCGATACCCTGGAGTTCTATAAGAATGTGCCTTTGACAGCCATGCCCTACGGACAGTCCATGGCTTGTATAAGCTTGGTGGAGTACTTGCTAGGAACATTGTAGACTCAAGTAGCATCCAATGAGAGCAGCGATTATTCCTCAAGTGCAAGATGTTGACGGTCCAGGCTACCAAGCGCCTTACTAGCACGAGAAGTTGCAGGCTGTAATCAACTCGCGTGACGTATTCCTCATCTGACACGTTGAGGTCTCAGAACAGCATTAGTGGAGGATATGCATTTGTTTTTCCTCTAGTTGAATTTGCCACCGGGGTCGTTGTAGGATATCGGTAAGATCGGTATCAGTGTACGAATCGCCCCAAAATAGAAAATAACAAGGCACGGCCGGATACGGAGTGACATCAGCATGAGTGCCTCACTCTGCCTCACTGGCAGGCGAGAAAATCGACGGGAAAGTGGGCGGTCTGGTAAGAAACGGTAATTGCCATACAAAGCCCTACCCAAGGCTTGGCCCCTCCCGGCGCACTCACAGGAGCTCTTAGCCAGAGCCCCGCCAACTCTGTAACCATGATACGTAATGGGTACTTTCAGTGCACACGACTGACTTCAGCTCCATACCTCATTATCTGGCCGACGAAGCTGGCTAATTTTCCTCCTCCTCCACCTCCGCACGACTGCTGATTTTGAGCCTTGTTGCCTGTCACCTCCTCGCGCCAGTGCGAGTTTGAATCCATTTACAATGGCCGAAACCCAGACCCCCCAGACCACCGAGGTTGGTAAGTGTTGACTGCTTAGCAGTGCCCCTCTTCTGCTGTGTGAAAAAGCTCCGCGTTTGTGGGCTTCCCGCTTGCTTCATCATCGTCATAACCGGACGAGGCAGGCAGAGCCGCTGCACCCAGCCGTCCGCGGGACTCGCCCGTGAAATTCTTCACATCTGTTTCTCTTCTCAAGCCGGATGCCCTTATTCTTGCATTGACACTGTTTCAGTGTGCTCGTCGCAACAGTACCAGCTAACCACTTATTGGATTGCTTCCAGACTACACCTTGAACAACCCCGATACGCTTACCAAGTACAAGACCGCTGCCCAGATTTCGCACAAGGTCGTCGAGGCTGTCTCAGGTGTGTTGCCCGAGCTCTAACGCCGTCCCAAACCCTATCCTGAAGTGACAAGTCTAATCTGAGTTCTCTAGCGCTATGTGTTGAGGGCGCCAAGATCGTCGAAATCTGCCAGCAGGGTGATAAGATCCTGGACGAGGAGCTTGCTAAGGTCTACAAGGGCAAGAAGATTACAAAGGGTGCGTTGCGAGCCCCCTCCATTACCTTGCCCAAGGCTTGAAGGGCTCCCGAGCCGTGTACTGACCTGCCTTTGTTGCAGGTATTGGTCACCCAACGACTGTTTCTCCCAGCTCCTATGTGACCCCGTACACTCCCCTGGTATCGGACACCCAGGAGGCCGAGATAACCCTGAAGGCCGGTGAAATCGCCAAGATCCAGCTTGGTGCTCAGATCGATGGATTCGGAACCATTGTTTGCGACATGGTCGTTGTCGGCAAGTCTGAGGTTACCGGTCGCGAGGCCGACCTGATCCACGCCACTTACTACGCCAACGAGCTACTTCTGAGACTCATGGCGCCCCCCGGCCTCCTCGCTACTGGATCCGAGGAAGAGAAGAAGAAGGCCGCCGCCGAGCGCGCTCCTACCCAGGCTCGCATTTCCCAGCTGATCGAGAAGGTCGCCAAGATCTACGACCTCAACGTCGTTGAGAACACAACCACCTGGCAATTCGAGCGCAATGAGATTGAAGCCGAGAAGAAGATCATTCTTTCCCCCAGCGCCAACAGCACAAGGGGCGACGGTATCCCTGACGTTGGTGAGGTTTGGGGTGTTGAGATGGGCCTGTCTCTTGGATCCGGAAAAGTGAAGAACCTGGACCACCGCTCCACCCTGCACCGTCGTACCACTACGACATACCAGCTCAAGAGACCCAGCTCTCGACAGGTTCTTTCCGAGGTCGTCAAGAAGTTCGGCCAGTTCCCCTTCAGCTTGCGACAGCTCGATGACGAGAAAGCCGCCAAGGTCGGTGTCCTAGAGTGTGTCCGTGGAGGTGTCCTACGGCAATACGAGCCTGCCGGTGAGGCCGATAACTCTGCGGTTTCCCGCTACCTGACTACAATTGGTGAGTCCAGACCACTCATTTGGATGGCTATTGTGTAGACATCCATAGACCTTGAACCATTCACTCACACGCGTCACAGCGATTACCAAGAACGGTATCACCAAGCTGGCTGCTCCTGCTACGCCCGACTTTGAGAAGATCAAGTCGGACAAGAAAATCGAGGACGAAGAAATCCTCAAGATCCTTGAGCTCCCGCTCTCGAAATCCACTGGATCGTCGAAGAACAAGAACAAGAAGAAGAAGGCCAAGAAGGCTGATGGTGCTCAGGATGCGGAATAGATGGACTGCTCAATTGGTTGAATTTTGCTGTATCCATTGGACCTCGCCCATGTCCTGACTCAGACTCACCCTGAGATCATGTCCTGTGGCTATCTGGCCACCGGCGCCGCCTGCTACCACAAGCCGGAGATGGAGGGGTTTATTACTGTAGGGGAAGAAGCAAAAGGCTAAACCGAAGAACCGGTTAGACGCCTTTCATCCTTATCCCATGTCTATTAAGAACCTTTGTCAGATAACAAATACATTAAAAAAAGTCACATGAGAGTCGCACATAGTCACAAGTATCTAAGCAAAGAAGATAATCATCACAGGGACCACCCCGTGAGCAAAAGACATGAGATAACAACATTCTTGCCTGTATTATGAAGCCATCCGTTTTTATTAGAAGTACTTTCCTTCGATTTTGCGCTATCCTGAGGTAGGGTTTCACGATTGCTTTGGATGAAGCCATTCAGGGGGGTTATCGAACGATCCCTGTTCCCCATCCATGTCTGTAACCGCTGGACCTTAGTGACACTTCTTGTATTTCCACACCTGATGAAACGCTACTCTTTTACTTGGTCGGTATGCCTGGTGTAGTCATTAGTCTCCTGAAAAGTTGTCCTGGATGATGTTCAGTTGGTGTGATATAGGGACGAAGCCTCACCGGTTGTTGTCGCCTTCCACCATGGCATATTTTCTCACTGCCTTCCTTAGATCTAGAGGCTCATAGGAGGGATTCTATACTCTAAGTATGCCGACGTCGAGAGACGCCCATCCACCAAGTGTTATTCGGATGCTAAAGCAGATCATGGAGGTGCACTTAACCCCCGACTGCATGTAGCTGAGCGGTCCCAAGGGCAAGATAGACCGTTTCCTCAAACCGGTAGAGTCATATGTAGAGAAATACAGCATGCCAAGTGGTCTACAGAAGTGTTGTGGTGCCTGGCGTTGTGAGTGGTGAGCTGGTCATCACTGGGGAGTGGGCCAACGAAAAGGCTCGTCTGCCTCTTCGCATCTCTCTTCCTCTTCCTCTCTCCCGGCTGCCACCCTCCCCATCCACATAGACCTGCCTTTTTCTACCCATCACGCAGGTATAAATGGAGTAAACTTCTAGGCTCGTCTTCTTTATAATTTGTTTCTGTTGTTGAAGTCTTGCCCCTTGTTCCTTCTTGCGCGGTCATCTGAACATAGCACTTCCGAGCGAACTCCGAAAAAGTTGCTGCTGGGCTATAACCTATCAGTGCCCAACGCAAGATTGACTCCGTTGTTCTAGACGTCTATCTCGCTGCGACTAGTTTCGTGTGTTCTGGCTTATTGATGTCTCGCGAAATCAAAGAGCGAGTGTGAAACCTGTCCGGTATTGACAACCCCTACCTTCGCCTGCCAAAGGACAGCGCCACCAACACACTATTCACCTGTCGCCCGGGCTGCATATTGAGCTCTTTCAATAACACAGCCTATTCTCACTTACGGTAACACTCCTCTTCCTTCTAATATATTTTACTTCTGTTCAAACCCCCATCCCCAACCTTCATCTCTTCTGCCCTCTTCTCCTTTCACCCCCATCTTCATACATCCACGCTTTCTGCATTTTCAACTTCCAGTACACCTCGCATAGTCTTTACCGCTCAAAAAACAATATACTGACGCTTTCAGGAATTCTCGAGCTGAGAGAAGCGTTCCCTGTATTTCCGCTGCCTCTGGGGATACCGAGGGTCACCTTGCCTCGCTCCACCAAAGAACCCAACAAACAGGTTGTGTTTTTATTGTCCACCGAGACTCTTAAGCCACTATACGCTGTAAGTCTCTGAATTTTCTATTACTTCACGGGGGAAAGCACCCTGCAATCTGCAATAGATGCTTCGCTTTTACTGGGCGTGTTGGACTTATCAGATGTCCCTGGTTCGTCGTCGCAATAGCCTACCAGAACCCTCTCCACCTTTATGACCCTTTCTTCTTCCTTGACGGGGCACCTCCATTTGTTTTACGTGTTTCCTGAAGATCTAGCATTGGCCTTTCTCATTCGGTCTCAATGAGCTACAGTTGACTTGAGTGTTATGCTAATGGACAAAGCTTCAGGTTTGGGGGCGTCTGGGAAATTACTTCTCAGAATATTTGCAATCTTGCGACAGCTACTGTATTCTACTTTGGATACTACTATCTACCACCTTTTTCTGGCAGCCTTTGTGATTATCCAGGACTGTAACCGCCAAGGGTGCGTACGTGAGCATTTGGTAAGACCCACCATTCACAATATAACCAAAATCCCCAATTCAGCCTGTAATAATTATTATTTGGGCTCGAAATCTGACATTTTACTAGTGTTATTGAGGTGTGAAATTCCCGTGGTTGGTGCAGCATCCGCCGCGAACCCCTGGGAGCGTGATTGGGGCTCGGGTCCTCAAAAAGTCCCGTTTCGCAACTCCGCAATCTTTCTTTCTTCAACCGCGCGGGCTGGCCACGATTCCAACCAGCCACGCCGGGCACGGTCGCTGAGTTCAAGGAGTCTGTTTATTGGTAAGTACTATTTTAGTTGGAGAAGAAATTTATTTTTTTCTCTATATTCTTCCAGGAGCTAACGGCATGCTGCGCAGGCGTCCCGATTGTTGTGCCCTGCTTTCGCAACAATGGCACGGAATCTCCGTTCGTCCTCCCACGCAAGGTCAAACGACTCCCGACCCTCGACACCAGCACAAAACACGGCCAACATGGCTTCTTCTTTCACAGATTCCACCAGACCGCGTAAACAGCGCCGGACTGGAAGGACTTCACGAGTAGCGACAGATCCACTTCGAGACACGCCGGTTTCAAGCCAGTCGCAACCCGATCCGCCTGAAGAGGCCCAAACGAATGGAGTCAATGGTACAGGATTGCCCGGACAGAATGGGGATTGGGCCGAGCCAGAACTGAGAGCACCTGTACCGAGCTATGATGATACGCCCTGGTCAGCGGTATCGAGCAGCGCAAACCCCGTACTAGGCACCATGCGCCCATTAGGCACAATGCCCTCTGCAGCGGATTTGCGCAAGGTTGGTCTGGGACCATCCAAGCCGGGCACCCCTAGCATTGCTGCCAGGAAAGAGCTGCAACCCGAAGTAGATGGGGAGAAGAACGATGACATTCAGACTCCTTTGACACCCGAGGAGCAGGCTCCTGAGGCAGTTCCGCAAAAGCCTACGATTGAAGAAGATCTAGCAGCATTCGCAATATTGCCTGTTCCAAACCCCGGAGACGCCGATATCGACACGCTCAAGGATGCAGTCCAAAGCGCCATACGATTGGCTTCAGACGCCGATAACCGCCCCGTCATCAAAGGGCTGCTCCGTATGTGGGAAAAGTGTGGCAATGACCCCTATGCGCTCGATATTCTAGATGGAGTTTGTCAGGAAACACCCGACTCCCCGCAGAGGTCCATGTTCCAAAAGGTAATGCAAGGTGCTTGGAGCGAACTGGAAACCCAAGATGTTACAGGCAACGGAATCGCTACATTACCAGCCCCTCGACGGGCCCGTTCTGGTAGTAGTGAATCTACCCTATCGTCTGCAAAGTCACTTGATGCGGAGACCTATGCGCCTGCCGTAACTTCCACGGCTTCCGCTGGACAGACCAAGAAAGGAAAGCAGGCCAAGAATACAAAGCAAAAGAAGAATGTTCCGGAACGTCGCTCCGTGTTGGCTTCCGGTGCTCGTCAACGACAGACGGCATCGGAAAACCCCGAGCTTTCAACTGAGGCTGTACAGGCAAAGAGAACTCGATTGCGGAAGTCTATCCCGAAGATTGTAGCTCCCGAAAGTGGGCTTCGCTCTTCTTTGGCTAAAAACCCTCGATCAAACTTGTCTTCTCCCGGACCAGTCGCGAAGGGTATAGATGATTCCACCGATGATGCAGCAACGCGGTCACAGCGTTCAGAGAGTGTGTCGAGCAGTGACGCCGGCGATAACAGGCGCCTTACACCATCCCTAAGGTACGTACTTACTGCTTTCGTTGCCTTTAGGCTACAACCATTCCATTTATTACCTACTGGACACTGGAATGGCTGACTTGGACCAGTGACGACGAGCCTGCGGAAAATAATGACTTCTGTCGAAACTGTAACCGCAGTGGGCGGCTCTTATGCTGCGATGGCTGTGTGCTGTCGTTCCACTTTTCCTGTCTAACGCCGCCGTTGGACCCTGCCAACCCTCCGGATGGTGATTGGTTTTGTCCCAAATGCTCGGTGTCGCAATCAATGAATAGTCTACTCGGAGGCATGGAAAAGGTAACGGATAGAGACTTCGCACTACCTTCTCGCATTCGAGACTTCTTTGCTGGAGTCCGCACCAATGACGAAGGAAAATATGAGGAGGTCGCATCGCTACCGCGCCTCAATCCGCGTGCCGCTCGGGGAAGCCGCACTGGTCGTTACGATGACCCGTTCCTGTTACGAACCGTTGATGCAAAGGGGAACCTGATTTTCTGCGTCAAGTGTGGGCGCACTACTAATGGCTGCCGGCCTATCATCCAGTGCGACTATTGCCCCTGTGCTTTCCATATGGACTGCGTTGATCCACCACTCGCTGTTCCACCAACCCAGCGACCTGGCAGCGATCGCCTCCACCACACTTGGATGTGTCCGAACCACGCTATACATGACATGAAATACACTGCCACGGATGAAGAAGGACATGAAACAATTAAACGCATCCGCCGCCCAAAAAATCCCCGTTATGTTGACATTGAGATTCTCCCAGATGATGATGAGGATGAGAACCTGGAGGACTACGAAACGGAGGGTGTTACTTACCGTGTTTCTGAGAAAGGTGTTAAGCTTGACTTCATCGAGAGAGTCAAAAGGTCCGTCACAATATCCTTTTATTGCGCCTTTTCTTTTGCTAACGAAACGTAGGGAAAACGAAAATTATGCGGCAAAGAAAGAAGCAGCCAATAGGTACTTCGAGTACGCAAAGGCGAGCTTTGATAACCTCACCTCCAAGGCAACCGCTTTTTACGCGTCTCAAAAGCCAGCTGTTCCAGAGGAGGACATTACAACCTCAATATTGAATTCGCGGACGGTGGCAGAGCGCGAAGCAGCTGCAAACTTGATATCCTTCGCGCAGAGCAATAAGGTCGCTTGGCGAAACGAAGAGGACGGTAGAATCAGCCTCTTGATCGACCAACTCAAGGCGAATGAGCCCAAGAATCTCCCTGCGCCGAACGACGAGATTTCCTCCCTACGTGCTCTTCAAAAACTCATTGAACAACGCATCAGTGTGTTGAACCCGCAACGCGATACCGCAACCGAGGACGCTCGGTCCCCTGAGATTCAGCCTACTTCGACTGAACAAACGGCAGCGTCTCCTCAATAAGGCTATGGCCCCAACCATCTTCCTCTTAATTTTATCCTATATAACTTATTGGCTTACGATGAACGGCTTCCCTTGGCTACGGTTTTTTCTTGCTGCTTCCGTTTTACCCCTTTCCCGCCCCACCAATTTCGGCTTTGACTTTGTTTTTTTCAAAAGGATCACTTGGCGCATAAAGAATGGCATTATCGAGCGTGTCGATTATTGCATGAAGTCCAGCTACTCATGGCTGAGAGGACTTTCCCCTACCCGCTTTCCCTTCTATCCTGTCTTATCACTTTACTCTATTTTACCAAGCTCATTAAACACCCGCCCCGCTTGTTTCTTTCTTCGCTGCGCATCAATCATCAAACGTTTGCCTGCTCAAAGACATCATGCTACCAAGAGGGAAATGGGGCTGTATTTACGCCGCCGTGAATATCTCCAGTCCATCGAACAGATTGTTGCAATCTCGATATCGCGTTATCTGCCCTCTTCTTCGAGGGTGAAGTCCCATTCCATCATTAGAATGTGAAACAAGCGAATGGAGCTAGGATCATGAGCCCTGCAGAGCAAACCCGAACCGCATATGTATGTATTATACGATAATTTCTAGAATTTTTCCTTTTTCCATTTTTTCCCTCTTGTCCCGTTTCCTAAAGGTCTTTAGCAAGCCAGAAATGAAAACATACTGCTGTTTACAGATCAATATTGAGGAAAATTTAAGCAAAGAGATGCATTGCTCTATTCTATAGGCTATGCCGTAAAATAAACAACCATAAACCCAACCCAGCTTCCCACGACCCCAAGCGCAGAATAACTACTCGTAAACATCAAGGGCAGGAATTGATACCGCTCCAGACCAAACACAAGCTGATGGACCAGCGAAGTGTAAATAATCAGCGGGATGGAAACAGTGATGTAGAGAAGGGAGAAGCGATCAAGGAGGAAGATCCTCGGCCGTTCGGGGACGGGCGCAATGCGGTCAAAGGCGAAGAGGAAGAGGATTAGCCACAGAAGGGTGTAGACTGTTTTGAGCGGGAACTCCGCAGCTGTGAAGAGGAGGGGAAAGAGCGAGACGTGGCCCGCCACGGCTATGGGACGGAATGCGCTGAAGTAGCGTCGGTCTTTGAGGGCGATTAGGCTGAAGGGGATGATGATTAGGAGGATGGCCTTTTCGTGGACGTGCCAGCCGAAAAGGAAAGAGGCATAACCACAAAGAGTCAGGGCTCCGATGAAGGTGTCTGGGTCGGGACGACGCCATAGTTTGATCAAGGGAAGCTAAATTGAGTTAGAATTGTGAACGGTGGTTTTGAAGGAAGGAGGCCTACTAATTGAAACAGGAGCGTCAGAGCGAACGTGTGTTCTTTGGAGACCTCTGGTAGTACAGCGAAAGATGTATCGCCGACAAGACCGCGGGTGACACTTGAGAGAGCTTCGTAGTTGACTGGGAGCCGAAGTCTCGGGGCAACTGCAATGGTCAGCAAGGCACAAAACAAGAGTAGGGTTGTACGTACGTGGAATGAGAACGCGGTCTGTAAATGAATACATGGCCCAGACGTTCGGAGCCCAGTATGCATGGCACAAGCCTCTTGAGAACGGAAATAGCCTATCTTTCAGTTGAAGTAGCTGACCCCAGGACGCAAATGGACCAAAGGCAAGCCCGAATATTGTGACTACACTGAGACCCAGCTTGATGATATTTCCGAATCGCGGTCGAAACACCGATTTCAGGTCTAAACAATACGCTCGTAGCAAGTAGACGAAATAGGCGAGCGAGAGGTAGAGGTAGATGTGTTTCAGGCAGAGCAAAACGGCGAAGGCAACCCCGCTGTAAAGTAAAGTCGATTGCTTTCGAGCCCAAACGATAGAAAGAATTAGTATCCCGTACAGAAATCCGTTGTATTGAAAATGAATATGATCAATAATGAATAACCCGGGAGACAGCAAAATCGACAAGCTAGCGGCATGCGCGAGGTGTTTATTAGGCTGAGGAACGGACTTGATGAATCTATATGGGTAAAGTCAGTTAGGCCTTCAGAGACACGCGACAATGGTGCTGACTGTTTGAGAGCAAAAAAGAGGACAAGTTCCGTCAGAATGACCGTCGCCCTCTGGAAGTAGACGGTCTGCCAGGAATCGTAGTTGAGATTCTGGACCACAAGCATCGCCGGGTCCGCATATTGCGCCAATTGAGAGAGCATCCACTCAAACGCAGCGAAGAAGGGAGGATAATCGAGTGTCCATTCCGAGGTTTTCTAACCACAATACTTTTAGTTTCCAGACAACCAAAGTAGTGCGGAGCAAGGGTCAGGTACCTCGTAGTACCATTCTTGTACTGGCAACGAATGCGTGATAGCCAACCAGTTGCGATGAACTTCGAAATCAGTCGACTTGCTGTATCATGGTTTCCGTAAGTCACCATCCCTCGCGTAAATCTCCGGCGAATTCGAAGTTTAGAGAATCAACTGTCAGGCAACGTACTAAGCGGGGAAAAGGAGGATTTTGAACGCCGTTGCGACAACGGCGCATTGCGTCAGAGAAGGGTACAAGTCAGCCATTGAAACTGTTATTGGGCATCCCGAATATGCAGTCGAGGAGAAGAGGTCATCTAAAGCGCCCGTGAAGCTTTCCTGGCCGTCCAATGCTGAAGAAGAGCTCGCACTGTCGAAGCTTCTTGGGCGGCCCGACGATCGATCCGGGGAGCTTGCACGTGACCGCGCGTCTCGGGAGTCCGATCTGGACCGCTGACGAAAGGCCAGTGTGTCCCGTCTCCGTATATCGTGGGGAAAGCTCTTCGACAGGCTCGACAGGCTCGACTTCTGCCATTCAATTGATCTTTGTTCGCCACTCTTTTCTGCGCAACAGGTCTCTAACTCCATCGCTATTGCTCTTCAATCGCCGTGATATTTGGGTGGGCCGTCATCTTATTGCCTTATCTCCACGTACCACCGCGGAGCTTCGACGGGCCCCTGGCCATATAGATCGTCTACATTTTTCGCCCATTGTCTCGGCCATTTTATACCGGCTTGCTTTGTTCTCTTAATCGGATATCTGTTTACTGCAATAGCATCTCGCTACCCAATTCTTCTTCCAAGACAGGACGTGGCGCCCAAGTCATTACCGCTGAATTATAGACACCATGAAGATCCCTGCTTCGTCGTTCCTTCTCTTCGCCGCCGCCACGGCTCAGACGGTGATTGAGTCTTCGAGCTTTGGTCATGGCGCCATGTAATCACCTCTATCCCTTTATTATTGCATGTGTTTGGGGTAACTGACCGCCCGTACAGGGTAGCACCTAGCCGTGACGGTGTTCCAGGTTGGGACCTCGGGGGCGAAGGACATTCCCCTCAAATTGTACGTGTCCAGGCTTCTGGAACTGGTCATTTATTGGCAAGGAACTAACATTCGCAGCTTTCCAATAAAATCATCTTAACACCACCATACCCAGGTAACACAAGAGGATATGCCTGGTCTCAAGCTCCGTATGTCATGGCACCTGATTTCATTGCGCAAGCTCGATAACTGACGAATTAACTCTAACTTCAACAGGTTGTCCCATCCGGAATGGACAGCAGAGTTTCAATTCCGAGCGACCGGTGTTGAGAGGGGTGGGGGGAATCTCCAGCTTTGGTATGCCAAAGACGGAAAGAATAAAGTTGGCTCGGCTAGCATATACACCGTGGGCCAGTGGGATGGTTTCGCCCTCGTTGTAGACACTCACAGTGGGAGGGTATGTCGTGCAGTCTTCTCTTGCATCCTGTCGCTGACATCTGGCTAGGGTGGTAGTGTTCGGGGATTCCTCAACGACGGTACGACGGATTACAAGAGCCACCGGAGCGTAGACAGCCTAGCCTTCGGACATTGCGACTACTCTTACCGTAACCTTGGACGGCCGTCCGTTATCCGCATCAGACACACTAATGCCGTCTTTGAGGTCACCGTGGATGAGAAGCCATGCTTCTCGACAGACAAGGTGTGTATCCCCCTCCCAAGCTATCTGCGTTTTCTAACGCGGTATAGGTCATTCTTCCTGCCGGAAATACTATCGGTGTCACAGCCGCAACCCCTGAAAATCCAGACTCTTTCGAGGTTTTCAAGGTCGAACTGCAGACCGCTACATCTCCTTTTGGAAAGGCTCCTCCTATCCAACAGCAACAGCGTAGCAACGATCAGCAGCCTCCTGTTGTTGCTCAGCCGCAAGGCGACTCTTCCCAGCAAGCGCAGGCCATACCAAATGATGTGAACTCACTAAACACCCAGCTTGTAAACCTTGGAGCCCGTCTCCAGCTCATCGATAAGGCTATTGCCAACACCATGCGCGATATTTCAAGCCAGGGATCCAAATCTAATACCAGACAATCAGAGCTCCTCCAACGGCTCGCGACAAAAGACCATGTTCAAGGCCTCGATGTCCGCCTCCAAAGAATGGAACAGACTCTCCTAACCATTCAACGAGACCTTGAAGGAAAAGATTACCGCGACAAGTTCAATCAACTGCACGAGACGCTAAGATCCTCGCATCTCAGCCTGACCGAAAACATCAAAGATAATTTCCTCAATGGTAGGTTCTAATTTTCGCACTGTTGGATGTATACCCGCGGAATAATTTTCTGACCTTTACATAGTTATCACGGCGTCTACCCCTCGCATGGGCTTCTTCATCTTCCTAGTCATCGCGGTCCAAATTCTCCTCGCCGGTTCATACATCATGTACAAGCGCCGCCGCGCCAACATGCCCAAGAAGTTCCTTTAATCATGCCCTGTACGAGTAATGGAAGATACGACACGAATCTTTTCTTCACGTGTATGGGATTAGCCGGCATCAGGTCTTTTCAGTAGTGTTATCGTCTCATGTTTTGCTCATTTTGGCGCATTTGTCCTGTAAATTTGATTAGCCTTTTGTTCGGAATTATCACATGTATATTTACCTACTGGAATTCCTCTATACACCGTATATATCGTTATAATAATATTAACATGGGTAACACGCGACACGCTCAAGGTTCCCTTTTCCCTGGGATGATGTAATTGGCCATGTTTGCACTGTTTGGTTAATCCACGTGTTTCCGCCCGAGAAACCTTGACAGACCCACCAGATTAACACAAACCTAGCTTTAATCGGGCTAGCTCAAGAGCTAAAATATGATCAATCCGTTTGGCGATTACTCCATACTTCGCAGTGACGGACACCGCAGAGGATGTCGGGGATGGTGTTCGGAAGATTTTCTTTTAGATAAAGTATACTAAGACCTTGAGCTTACCTCTAACGGATCTGATTTCTATTTTCATTAGGTTGTATAGTTTTGAGTGGTGTTGCAACAATGAGTGTTCAAAGTATATCCTTCTGCAAAACGGTTGGGGTGGCGGGTCCCTACATTTGCTCCCGTTTCATTCGGGCGTTTATCTGTCTCGAACCAATACGTCAACGAAAAATTCTTTCCGTGCTTATAACAAATTATGGCCTCAGGGAACATTGGAGATATTTATTAACATAATAGAAATCTACTTGACCACGTAGTACGCAGTAGGAGTTCCCAACGCTGCTAATAAAAGATGGCTTCCTTAGGTATGCTGCGACAAAATTTCACCTGATATTCTACCTTCTTCGATATGAGAAATATAATATTACTTACTGCAATGTAGCGACTAAAAACAAAAAGGGTACATGGGCATCTGGTTAAGCATATATACATATATACTTCTACTAACAACCCTGTAGTAGGTGAGGTGCCAGTGGGAGAGCAAGGACAAGATCAGCCAAGGCTGAACCGTCAGCTGAAATAAATATTTGCAATTCTCACTCAGATCTTTGTGCTGCATGAGCTAGATCTGAAATGAATTCGCACTGTGATTGTTCGTACATTCTAACAGTCAGACCAAGCGAACAAGGTTGAAGAAGGGCTCATGTTCAAAAATATTTGGCAATTGATAAGAAAGCACGATCCACAAAATAGAAAGCAGGGGTATGAGAGCATGAGTGGGATATTGTTTGGTCATCTCCGTGTCTTTGGTGTTTTGTTTTGCTTGCAGTGCGGCCGGGTAATTTTTATGGATCGGAACAAATGAAGCAGAGTATCAAATGAATACTGGATACAACACTGAAGTAGCGCATTTTAAGATTGACTTATATTTCAATAAGAAAGCAGGCGCAGTGGTGGGTTTATTGGTTGATCTGGTTTAGATATGGAATTGTCCCACTCAGTTGTATAGTTCAAGCATATCTGGAACAAAATGGACAAAGCCAAAAAGGGTTTATTCATTATTTGAAGGTAAAAGAGTATAAATAAGATATAAATAAACATGAAAGGGAGGGTGAAAGAATGTTTTGACAAGCGGTGGTAGGCATCTGTAAGCGTTATTGTTCTTTGTCTACTGCACGAGACCCCTCAGGTGTCTCGGCGAGTGTCCGATGTATTTCAGGCAGAAGCAAGTATCAATTGCAAGATAAATATATTAGTATGGTATGGGAAGATTCTGCGGGAAAAAAGCTGCAGATTGAATGCAAATACGCATGGAGAGGGCACAGACGCCGTGTTGTGGAGGCGCAAGAAAGCACAAGTCGGGCAAAGCAGCTGGAGAAGAGTCAGGCCGGGTAGGATGAGTCCCAAAGAGGAAAAGCTCCTCCGCTCGACGTCCACTGCGGTGTGGCCCAATCAGCGGCTGCGGTTCCTCGGCGGCCCTCCCTCAGCCTTCAGGGCTCTCCCTCTCCTTCACCCGGTTCTGCCGCCGCTTCGGTGCGGCGACCGCTTCTCCTTTCCTCCACTGTCCTCTTTCAGAAGTTCTTCTCTTCTCTTGTCCTCTTTCTCCTCTCACCTTCTCTCATCTCCCGACAAACTCCATCTCTCACCTGCTGCGCATAATCGAACTACGAACTTCCCGCCCTCCGGCTCCGCTACGTCGCAATTGTCGAGTATTTACATTTGCTTCCTTTTGCTACCTTCCAGTCTGGGTAGTTCTACCTCCGGGTTGTCCCTGCGCCTGCCCGTTCCTCGCCATATCTGGTTTGCATCTGTGAGCATATCAAGGCAGCCCTCGGGCTTACGGTGCGACTGGGACGCGTTTCTCTAGGTAAATTTGCTATTTACAGCTGGAACGGAGGCTATGTTTGTAGTCCCGCACACCGCGACTCCTGCTAATTATATTTCGCGCAATAGATATTCCGTGCGATCTCCGCCCACCGTCCTCGGATATTTATGGTATTTCGACGCGTTTCCCTGCCCGTTAGCATATACAGGTCATAATGGTGTGTTGAGAGCTTCGACGCCTGCGAAACCTTATCGCAGAAGACAATAGGCACAGCTGGCTAAATAATATTGCTCCTAGGTGCTGTTTAAACGAAAACCCGTCCAATATCTCCCGCGACCCGTTATTGAAGATGACAGCTCTGAGGCATGTACCCTCCGCCGATATTCGCGCAGGGGAAAGATATACTGACATGCGCGGCGCGTAGGTCTGGGTTATTTCGGAGACAAATGAGGTCTTCACCAATTATGAATCGTACCTACAGCGCATGGATTTCTATAAACAAAGGAAATTCATATGTGAGATCACGGGTCATTCTGGATTAAATTTCTTCGAAGCTTTTCGGAGTGAAGTATGTCGACCAGGTTTCCCCTATAGCACTGAGATTAGTCCTGACAAATAATTTCACAGATGGAGGAATCCCGGGAAGTGAACAACTCATTTCCCGAGGCACTGAAGGGTCCTATTTTGCGCAGAACACAATTCTCCACTGTATCGCGGGTCGATAATCTCGGTAGGCGCCCCAATTCTTTGCCTAAATAGTCCACCATGACTAACTTAGTGTGTGTTAATAGTGGACGAAATATTCGAAGTGAGTGTCAAGCCGTTGGCGACTCCACCGGTGCTCTTGTTTGCTGACAAACTGTAGGAATTCAAGCAGGAATTCTATCCTGGTGAAATGATTCTCATTCTACTGGACGACAATACCCGCCTTCATGGTGTGATTAGGGACAAAGCCAACTTTGCAGAGCAGCTCCATCCGGATGGAACTGTAAAGAGGCCTGCATATGCGACATATCTCGTTAAAGTGTTGGACCGCCAAAACGAAGGCGAAGAAGCGCTTTTGGATCATAATCACATCACTCGTGATAGGAAGACATTTACTAAACAGATGCTCCGGGCATTCATCAAAAATAACGTGACTCGAGAATCTTGGAATGGTGCTCCTTGGCTTGTTAAGGCATCGATCGCTGAAGAATATAGGATATCGACAGAAGTGCCGAAGCACCTGCAATACGGAGCCAGAGTCGCCGAGAAGAAAGCACAGAAGAAGGCCGACCAGGAGGGATTCTTCGGATTTTTCGCATCACAGCAACTCCCGGAGCTGAAGCCAGCGGTTAAGGGTCAGAAGGTGAAACCATCGGATCAGGATTTGGCGCGTTCAGAAGAGGCACAATTTCTGGAATATAAACGTTCCTTGAACGGAAACCCAAGTTTTCTTGTCGGCAACAAACCTACAAATGGATCCCCGTTGGTTTCGAAATCCCAGGAGCCGGATAAGAAACTTGTCCCTAGCGTCGTGGTGAAGGCTGAACCGCCGAAAGCACCATCCCCTCCTCCAATTAAGTATCCTATTGAAGACCTCGATATCCCTCCGAGCCGCGAGAAAAAGAAACAGCGGCCGCCGCTCAAGCTTTTGAAAGCAAACGAACTTGATGACCCGGACGATGAGGATCTTTTGCAGGATGCCATTCAAATGGAATCAGTGGGACCCCTGCTTGAAACATGGAATACGCTCAACGTGTATTGCGAAGTGTTCCAGCTGGATTCATTCACTTTCGACGACTTTTTGCAAGCAATGCGTTTCTCATCAGACGAGGTTGATTGTGAGCTCTTTGTCGAAATCCACTGCGCCGTTTTGAAGAAACTAGTCAACGCCGAGAAGGATAATAACGGCGCAATCCAAATTTCCCTCCCAGAGCTTCCCGAAGAAGAGTCTGACGACTCAGATGGAGAGGAAGAGGAGGACGAAGAGAACGAAGAGGATGAGGCGGAGCGTACACCAGAACCCGCAGTGACAAGAATGACGACAAGGGGTAGCTTGGCAAAAGCTGAGGCGGAGGGCTTGAAGGCATTGGTGAACGGTCAGCCCGATCCGAGCGAAGTCAAGATTCACCGCGCTAGCGAGATGTTTTCTGAGTACGGCTGGGTTGATCGTCTGCGGAAACGGGATTTCCGGAATGGTGGTTGGGAGATGATTATGATTGGACTCCTCCACCAATTGTCCGTTCGGCCGCGGATGGAGGAAGTCTGCAACCAAATACTTGAGAATCTCGCGCCTTTAGACCAAGAACCAACGCAAGACACCGCCCGCGAGCAATATGCCGTTCTCGACGTTAATCTACGAATCCGAGCTCTTCAAATTATTTGCATGCTCAGTCTGGAGACCAAAGCTATTCGAAACTACCTGGAAGAATGCAGCAATCAAATGACGGAGTTTCGAAAGGAGAAGATTGAGTATCAGAAATCTCGGAAAGCAGCGTAAGCACAACTTCCTGTTTTACATTATTTATATTCTGGGAAGCTAACAACCTTTGTTTTTAGATTGGAGGAACTTCGTCGACTGCACCAAGAGCGTAAAGCACTTCAACCCGAACCTGAGAAGTCGCCAAGCCCCATACCAGAGCTGGAAGCTCCTGAAGACTCGAAGATGGGAGGTGTGGACGGAGATTCACAAGTTGATTCTGATGTAGATGGGACCCCGCAGCGATCTCTTCGTGGCGGCGTGGATCGGGTTATGGAACGGAAGCGAAAGCTAGATGAAGAACGTGAACGAAAAGAGCAGCTTGCTAAGCAACCCAAGGGATCAAAGCAGTACCAGCGTGTGCTGAAGAAAATCGAGGACCAGAAGGCTGCTGTTGCTAAATTCGAGGAGAAGATTATGGTCGTCGACAACGATCTCAGAGAGGCCGATTGCCCGCGCACAAGGTGTTTAGGGAAGGACCGCTTTTGCAACCGATACTGGTGGTTTGAGCGCAACGCAATGCCGTATGAGGGAATGCCGAACAGTTCAACCGCTGAGGCGAAATATGCCAACGGCCGTCTCTGGGTTCAAGGCCCGGACGAGATGGAGCGCCTTGGGTTCATTGACATTCCGGAGGACCTGAAAAAGCAGTATCAGAGACAATTCCATGTGTCTCCGGCAGAGCGCAAGAAGCACGAAGAAGGACCCACACGCCTTTCGCGCGCGAACGAATGGGGTTATTACGATGAGGGATTTGCTCTTGACAAACTCATAGACTGGCTTGACTCTCGCGGTGAGCGCGAGACAAAGCTACGGAAAGAGCTCTTACTCCATCGTCGCAACCTCATCAAATGTATGGAAGCACGCCACGAGTTTCTGTCACGTACGGAGTACGACTCAGAGGATATGCCAACTAAACGGGTAACTACTCGAAACAAGACATATGTGGCCGACGACAAACACCGGTGCTTAAATTGGCGGAACTCGACGTCTCTAGCAGAGAATGGACACCTTCATATTGATGCATCCCGGCCGTCCAAGCGTGCGCGGAAATCGGGTGATGATCCCAAGGAGACCAAGACTACAAATCGACAAGGGAAACCCCTCACGAGGCAAGGCGGGCGATACAATTTTTAACACCAGTTATTGCTTAATTTGTTTGCATACTACGGACCACGGTTGCATTTTTTTTGGGAGCCGACGGCGTTTAATGCTTTTACCAGGATTTTGTTCGGGGAGCGCCCAATAGCAGCAAAAAGGTGGCTTTTCTCATTTTGAACACACGAGCAACACGGCCATGAATATCAGACTCGGTTATACAGTGTACATTGCATTAGAAAGGCGGTTGTGGTCTGGTGTTTAGAGACAGGTGTACATGTTGGAGTGTTAGCGATGAACATTTATTGAATACATAGACAACTGCACAATAGTTGAAATTCCATGTGAATACTCAGTAATAATCTAACTTATGCATATTACCTGAGTAAAATATCGGCCAATAAGAGCCATGTGAGAGCAAATCCAGGAGGCGGAAGGCCCTGCGTAACGTGACCGTATGCAGCGGTGATTGTAGTGGCAGAGGCGGGTATCGGCATGTCAGGGGAGTAATGTTCCGCTTTGAGTCGGCGCCACTATGACGCTCTCCGCCTCTCCTCCAATATTCTCGGGATTATTATTCACGCTTAATGATCTTCTTCAAGTAGGCTTCTCAGCATTACTCTGATTTTCTATTCGGCATCAGCTCTTAAATACACCTCTTACAACCTCTTCGCCAAAAGGATAGACCCCGGAGAAACACCACCTCTTGCGATCGCTTGCCGTCGCAGATCTATGGCCGCGAATATCCGGTAGTCCGTCGGCCCCAGATTTCTCACCACCTGAATCAACCGAGCTTGCCTGTCGGCGTGCGTTCATGTCTGCTGCCGCCACCGACCATGCGCAAGCCAACTCTCCCACCGTCTCCTCAAGATCTCATCCTTCCCACGCCATAGCAGAACCGCAGTCTCGGAATCAGTCCGTTTTTCAACAGATGGAATCAGCTTCCCACACGCCACGGCCGACATCACATAACATTGGTAGCGGGGCAGTGGTGGCCGGGCCTCATGCGACCACCGCCGACGATGCTTTGAATCGCTCGGCTCAGAGCAGCCGTAGTGGAGGCAAAGAGACGAGTAAGAGAAGTGTCGATTATGTTTTGAGGAGCGGGCTCGCTGGAGGGTTAGCAGGTTGTGCGGTAAGATTTTGCCCCCCCAGACTTTGTACGCCAGACGGACTGGGAGTAACTGACAAATTTATGTTATAGGCTAAGACGGTTGTTGCACCCCTTGATCGAGTGAAGATTCTCTTCCAAGCGTCAAATCCTCAATTCGCCAAATATACGGGTAGCTGGGCTGGCCTTGTTTTCGCTGTCCGGGATATCAAGCGATATGAGGGCGCGCGAGGTCTCTTCCGAGGCCATTCAGCGACGCTCCTTAGGATATTTCCATATGCTGCTATCAAGTTTCTAGCGTACGAACAGATTCGAGCGTTTTTCATACGCTCAAAAGAGCAGGAGACGCCATTCCGTCGACTGATATCGGGAAGTTTGGCGGGCATAACCTCGGTATTTTTCACCTACCCGCTAGAGTTGGTTAGAGTGCGGCTGGCGTTTGAGACGAAAAAGTCGTCTGGGGTTTCCCTTGTTGATACCGTACGGCAAATCTACAGTGAACGAGTTACACCCCCGAAAGACCTCCCAACGGGCAAGGGTGTTCCAACGGCTACTACCGCAGCCGCAGAGACCATTAGCGCTACGACCCAGAAAATTGTTCCCAGTTCAGGGTTTGCAAACTTCTACCGGGGCTTCACTCCAACACTTCTTGGAATGCTCCCGTACGCTGGAGTGTCCTTCCTCACTCATGATACAATTGGCGACTGGCTCCGTTTGCCATCTCTGGCCCCCTACACGACCATTCCTCGATCCGAATCGTCCACTTCTGGTCACAAAAATTCACGGAGGCCACAGCTGACAGCGGCGGCAGAATTGTTCTCAGGAGCGATTGCTGGTGTTGTCTCACAAACATCATCCTACCCATTTGAGGTGATGCGCCGGCGTATGCAAGTCGGAGGCGTAGTCGGTGACGGGCGCCGTCTCAGAATCGCCGAAACAGCGCGGACAATATGGATGGAGCGCGGGTTCCGCGGCTTTTGGATCGGTTTAACGATTGGCTATCTCAAGGTGATACCCATGACAGCTACTGGTTTCTTTGTCTACGAGCGTCTCAAGTGGTCGTTGGGGATTTAGACATGGCGCTCCTTTATTTCCTTGGATCTTTTCTCTGTTTGTCCTCTCTGGCGTCCATTGGGTTGGTTGTCTCGATGTCGGTATTACCTTTATATCATACCCATTCTTTTGCATAACTGAGTTACGTACATAGCTCGCACTGTGGCGTGGCTGCTTAGACAAGTGTCTCTTTGAATATAAAGATTAGAGATTTGCGAAATTGCGTCTTCACTTTAAGATTCGACACTCGCTGTGGGGTTTCCGAAGGCCTACGTACACAAGTGTCGTTTGGCAAGGTAAATCATCTCGGACGGCGTAAAATTATAGCAAGAACCGTTGATATTTGTGCATATGTGAGTGTAAATTATACACTTGGTGGAAAAGTAGATTTATGAAATATGTAGAAATTTATTTTCTGCTGTACCTAGCAGCCGCGACTGTACGTATACTAATTGTGATCTTTCGGTAATCCTATCATGTAGCAGAATGACACCTGATCGGTAAGGCAGAAACACACGGCCCACCCGCCGATAAAAAAAGTTGATGATCTCCAGCACCCGCAACATCTCAACAACACGCACCTTCAACAAAACATCTGCGATCTCTTCTCAATCGTTTATACCCAGAACCGGAAACTTATCACGAAGAACTGTTTACGTTCCCGAAAACTCGAACAAGCCTACAAACACCATGACAACCCGCAAGCGGAACGAGTTTCTCGACATTGTCTCCAGCGACGACGAAGATGCCGACGCCGGATACGACTCGGAAGCCGCCGAGGAGAGCAAAACCCGGAACGTGAAGCGGAGAAAGACTAAGATGCGCGATACGGAACTAGAAAGTGGTTCTGGCGAGGAAGAATCCGATGTGTCGGAGGGGGAGGACTCGAGCGATGCGGAGGTTGGGGGTGTACACTTGTCAAAGAAGGAAAAGGGGGAACCGCAAGAGGACGAATTAAACGATAATGATGATGACGAAGACAATGAAGAGGATCATTACCTTGATGTGAGCGCCGAAGCCGAAAAGACGAAGAAGGGCCAGAAATCCACCGACAAACTCAAGCTCAAGCCGAGCAAGAAGAACAAAACAGGCGTTGTCTATTTTTCCTCTCTGCCGCCGTACATGAAACCGTTTGCACTCAAGTCGCTTATTGAGGCGCGTGGGTTTAGCCCGATTACAAAAGTGTTCTTGTCGCCCGAGGTGCGGGCACCGTCGGCGCCGCGGCGGCGATCGAATAAGCGGAAGTCGTACTCAGATGGTTGGGTGGAGTTTGCATCGAAAAAGACCGCCAAGATTTGCGCCGAGTCATTAAACGCGTCGATCGTGGGTGGCAGGAAAGGCTCATGGTATCACGACGACATATTGAATCTTAAATACCTGAAGGGATTCAAGTGGGCCGATTTACAGGAAACAGTTCAGCGCGAGAGATCGGAGAGGGAGGCAAAACGGCGGATTGAAGATGCTAGGGCGAGAAAGGAGGAGAAGGTGTTCCTGCAGGGATATGAGAAAGGAAAGATGCTCGATGGGATTCAGAAGAAGAACGAGGCAAAGCGCAAGCGGAAGATGCAGGCGGGAGGCCAGGACGGAAAGAAAGATGAGGCCATCAATGCACGGAGATTGTTCAAACAGAATGAAGTCAGGCATGGACGTGATAAGGTCCAAGATGATCAGGGCGATCTGGAGGAAAATGCCAGGAGGGTTTTAGCAAAGATTTTCTAATGGCTTGCACTCTTCTTTGTACTTGTATAGATCTATTAGCGGATACCTGATGGTTGACCATCCAGTTTTGGTACCAACAATGCCAACTGGCGCATGTAGCATACTGGTAGAAATTTAATTGACCATAACCCTATTTCGTACATAAATCTCATCATTTCAAAAATCCTAGAATAAGTTTGACCAAGAAGAAAGAACTTGGGGACCTGAAGTATATACGTGCTTACTCATTGTTTGCATACTTTGCATTGAACGTCACCAGCTTCAGGATCTCCGCAAGAAAACCTATCATTTCAACTCCAATTTCCATCATATTCCCGCCAATCGTCGGCAATGATGAATAGGACATTGCTGAGGGCCCCGCGGCGCTTTCCGGAAGTAGCTCGTGTCGCGCCCTCTGTGTACTCTACTGTTCCTCGCTATACATTCCTCTCATACGGCCGAGTGCGGAGTTTGACCTCATCTTCTCACATCTCAGCAGAACACCCAACTCCGAGCTCTCCCTCGCCCAGCGGCGTACCAGCTGAAGAGAAGGACACGGTTAAATTACAGCCGACTTCTCAACCGACGCAACACATTCCTTGGTATCTCCAAGAGGAGAGTTCGGTTCCTGCAGCCGCCGAAGTAACTTCCAGAGATCAGCTTCCCGAGCTTCCGGAGAACCCGCCAAAAATACTGCCAGAGCTCCTAGAATATGTTTTTAAAGATCTTGGTCTAGATGGACTCAAATTGATTGACTTACGGGGGTTGGAAACACCCGCCGCCTTGGGTGCCAATGTCATCATGATCATCGGGACCGCGCGCAGTGTCAAACATCTGAATGTCTCTGCGGACCGTCTCTGCCGCTGGCTGCGGAGCACTCATAAGCTGTCACCCTATGCGGATGGATTGCTGGGAAGGAACGAGTTAAAAATCAAGCTTCGACGCAAGACTCGGCGCGCTAGAATTGCTAGCCGGACAGGTGCCATGGTTGATGATAAAGATGATGGGATTACCACGGGCTGGATTTGTGTCAACGCAGGCGTTGTAGAAAAAGCCCCCGCAAAAGAGGAGACGGACGGCGAATTTGAGGGTTTTGGGCCTCGAGTGGGAGGAACACGAGTGGTTGTCCAGTTGTTCACCGAGGAGAAGAGAGCGGAATTGGATCTGGAAACTCTCTGGGAGGGACGGATAATGCGCGCCCAACTGGAGAAAGAGAAGAATTCTGATATCGCCATGGACGCATCCGAGGAGGTTCGTTCTATAAACTCGATAAAGCGGTCACCATCTGACTATAAACCATCGCATATTCCCAGGTCAACCGTGAGCCTTCCATTTGAACAGAAAAGGAATTTTAGTAGTACGATGCGCATCAACGGTCCGTCACCTGTGCATTTTGCTGCAGGTAAGGAACGACAGGTCAGGCGTCAGGGCGAGCGACGCAATTCTGGGTCACTGGCTGGGTTATCAGAGTCTCTTTCGTCTTTGTCTGTTGAGGAAATGAAGGTTAAACTGGGAGATGACCCTCGTGATCGCAAATCTACTGCGTTTTTACGGGACTTTTACAAAGAAGTGTCTAGCTCTTCATTGGACATTGCAGCCGTGGCTGAGCTCGAGCTTATGTGCTCCGCCGTTTCTCAAGGATATACTGGGTACAGCAGAGAAAGCATATACCGAGAATTCATGGGTTGTTGTATGTCTGCAGGTAACATATCTGGGCAAATCTTGGCCGTGGTTCTCGATGTTTTGCTTGCACCACGAACAGGTGACGATCCGCTAGTTGGGGGAGAATGGTTCACGGACTCGGACAAAGAAATGGCTCTTTCCGCTCTAGATCAATTTATTTTGAGAGGAGAAGATTTCATGAATTTGCAGGTTTTCGCCCGGCTATACTATCTGGCCTCTCTTCCCCCTGGCCCTGGGGAATATGGCGAGACCAGTCCGGCAGACAGAGGAGCTCATGTACTGCGTATGATCGACACACTCAACATCCCCTTCGACCCCGTGGCGGCTCGAACGCTCATGTTCTCCATATTACGGAACCGTGACTTCCAGGCCTTTTGGATATGGTGGCGAAAGCTACCTTTAAAGGGGAGCGCTCGCACATACGAAGACTATACAACTCTTTTCCGAATTCATGCCGAGCTAAATGATAGGATTTCTGCGCGTGAATGCCTCCTCAACGTCACGCCCATGATGGGCCGAGAGAACCCGCCAATTGCATTAGAAGGTGACCTGGTTACACACATCCACGATTGTTTGTTCATTGCATATCCTAAGCTTGGATCGCAAATCGAGGAGGGTGGCGATGCTCAGTTTGAGAAGCTGTTGAAGAAATGCCAGGATAAGCTAAGGGGTTAGCATGGCCACTCCACCCTTCGTACTAATTACCATGTTGCATGTACATGTACATTCTACTCGATACCCGACAAACCGCAGTCCATAGCCCACTTGTCTTCTAGCGGGGACGCCACTGGTAATGTCTGCTGTACTTCGTGTGAAGGTTGTCAGGTTGGTTACCTCCGCCACTGTATAATTATATAAATCTTTTTATATTTCACCTTCTACGTTCCTTCTATGCTTCAATATCTTGATTTTCCCGCAACTGGCGGATGAAGTGGTTTCCGATGGAAATCTTTTGCCATTCGCGATGATTCGCCTCGGATACCTTAGAGGCGGCTTAAGCGACCATTTGAGCCACGTGGTGAAGTTTAGTAGAAAGTAGAAAGTGTTGTCCTGGTAACATGGTGCAGATTTACCAATTTCAATACAATGCCAGATGAAGCACTTGGTTATATGCAGTTAGTTATGCAGTGACATGGATAGTAATGACTAATTAAACCACGTGCCGATGAGCCTCGGCCCAAAGCGGACGTGGAGTTGTGGAAGCCCCGGCCTCTTGCCGTAATTCATCTCCATCCCCATCTCTTCTCCGTCTCGCGTCTCCGAGCCTGCTCTCCTTGTATTGCAGAGCAGACGAGGTATCTCCGCCGGAATTATGGAGTACCTACCAAGTCTCCAGCAGGAGTTCGATGACTTCAAACCGTCGCTCTTTGGTAAGTTTTGGGTAACCTCCATGCGGAGAGCAGTCGAGAGCTAACCACCAGTCTGATAGAACTACTCGCGGAACAGCAGCTGTCGGACCTCCTTCCTCCATCGTTACGATATATTCTTGCAGTTGCTACACATCGGCACCCACGATATCTGCTCCGAGTGCTAAACTCCTATGATGAGGTCTATGCATTGCTCTCCCTTATTGTCGAGCGATACTACTTGCGCAACTTCGGCGGCTCATTCACAGAGAACTTTTACTCGCTCAAACGCGAGCGTGTTCTGCTGACCAAAAATGGCGAGATTCCCCGAACTCAATTGGGAGCCCCTGGCCCCGTTCGCGACAGTCTGAAGTTGCGCACTACGGACGTGTGGAAGAACTTATTCGTTATGATCGGCATTCCTTACCTCAAGCGCAAGTTGGACGAAGGGTACGATATCCACGCAGCTCCCCAGGCTTCCCTTATCATGAGCGGTGGTCCACGGTACAACCCCAGCGACGATTTACCCCCGAACCCTACCATTCGGCAGCGCCTCATGCACACTTATAAATGGTTTCTCCGCAACGTTTATCCCTCCGTCAATGCGGCCTATTACTTCTCTATTCTCGCCTTCAACCTCGCCTATCTTTTCGATAACACCAAATACTCTTCTCCCTTCCTTTGGCTCATTGGGACACGGATCCGCCGTTTAAGCTCCGCGGACCACCATGCAATCGCCAAAATCTTGGAAGGCAGCCCGCAAAGCCCGCGCGGTGCACGAACACGCCCAGGATCTGGTCTCTTAGGTGCCCTCAGCCCGCAAAACATCTACCCCCAACTCCTGAGCTCCCTTCGATACTTCCTTCCTGCCTCTATCTTCGCTCTCAAGTTCCTTGAATGGTGGCATGCCAGCGACTTCTCACGTCAACTGGCCCGCAAAGCCACCGACACTCTCGACATCCCAGCCCCCATAACAAAGGGGATGATTCCGCCGTCCGAACGGAAGCAGAAGTCCTCAGAAAAACAAGCTCCTGATACTGGTGTATCGTCCCCTAAATCAGCCCTTAAAACCTCCTCACCCCGCAAGCGCATTCAGCCCCCTATCTCCACCACTTCATACCTACCGATATTCACTGTATCCCTCCCACCTGCAGACTCCGACGTCGCTTCCTCGTGCCCTGTCTGTCTCAACCAGCTCGCCAACCCCACTGCATGCCAGACCGGCTACGTGTACTGTTACGTATGCATCTTCCACTGGTTGAACGGCGAGCATCAGCGTCAAATTGATTTCATGAACGGGGATGGCGCCGGCGCTCCATGGGAGGATGATCTTGACCAAGGCGAAGATGTGGATGGCCCGGAACAAACCACGCATGTTGGACAAAGTAGGGAAGGGAAATGGGAGAGCGGGAAAGGCCGATGCCCGGTTACGGGAAGAAGAGTGTTGGGTGGGACGGAAGGGTTGAGAAGGGTTCTTATCTGATATCTCACCACCTTTTCCGACCAACATTATTCACTTTTCCTTTTGTTTATTTTGGAGAACTGTATAGCTACGACTTTAGCGTCATTTGCATGGTGATTGTATATATGGGGAGGCTTGGGAGTGGTTGATGCATATAGTAGCCCGCATAGTCTAGGTTACTCAATATACCCATGATACTAGTAATGATACCATTGATGGATATTATAACTACATAGTGCTCATAAACAGGTAAGGTGTTACTATTATCTCAACAGATAAGCCTCCCACATCATTGATACCACAACCAAAATCAACCACAGTATCACAATCACTTCAACAGACCCCTCAGCCATATCTAAGGGACATATGCCTCCGCCCCCTTCCCGAAGACAATGTGCGGCCGCTCAGCCGCAATCTTCAGTACCGTCTGCGCAAAGACCGAGTTCGCCCACGCAAACCAAGGACGCGTATACTCATGGATATTGTTCACGTCGATAGACTCATGCACGAGACCAAGCCGGCTTGAGTCCCGGACCATATTAATGCACTTCTCGATTTCGGCGTCGGAGTCGGAGGTCTGGGCTTGCATGAGCAGGGACATGGGCCAAGCATTCTCAAGACCGACTAGTAGGGTTTTAGTTAGCTTCTGCACCTTTTGGTTTTGTAAGGGGTAGGTAGAGTAGGGCTTACTGTGTGGACCGCCAATACCATGGAAGGCGGTTCCATTGAGGTAATATGGGTTTCCGTCCTTGGAGAGAACCATCTCGCGGGTATTTTTGTATACCGGGTCATCCTGGTCGACGAAGCCGAGGACGGGGAGGGAGAGGAGGGAGGGGATATTTGCGTCGTCCATGAAGATATGCGACCCGTAGCCATCTACCTCGAAAGCATAGACGTCGCCGAACTTAGGGTGTGTGACTATGGCGTTGTCCTGGATTGCCTTGCGGAGGCGGGTGCTGCGGCGCTCGAGATCATAGACGAGATCAGAGCGTCCGCCGGCGGAGCGGAGCATGTCTGCTGTACGCTTGAGCTGCACAGCCATCTGCGCGTTTGCGGGGATGAAAAAGCCCATGATTGTTGAGTCATCGCTGGGGCGGAAGGCGCTGCGGATGAGGCCTGTTCCGGTGTTGAGCGGGTTACCGACGCCAGCGAGGTTGAGGGTTTCGGTTCCTAGAGTTGTAGTTCGTTGGAAGGTATACTGATTTTCAACGTATTGGCCTGCTTCGTTGAAGGTCGGTTCGGATTGTGCGTCCAGAACTTGGAGGACCGTCTCTAGCGCTGTATACCAGCGGTTGGTGAGGAAGTCCTTCGAACCGGTGTGCTCGTGGAACTCGGTTGCAAGAGTGAGGAAGTTGGCGAGGGAATCAAGTTCATACTTGCATTCGAATACGACTGATGGCTCGTAGGTAGGATGGACTGTGTCATCTTGACTGTTATTTGCCGGTTTGATATGGCTTGGAGGTGGAGGTTGGAAGGCATTGCAATACGGTGATTGTATGACGAATTCGGCCTGCGTATTGATTGCGCCGAGAATGAGGTTAAAGAGTCGTTCGTCCTTGTTCGCTAGGGTTTGGTAGTTGGTTAATTGATTTGTAGAATCGCGTAGCCACTCTGCGTTGATGTCTCCAGTCACGATAAAGCTCTGTGGACCCTCCCACTGGGAGCTGGCTCTCTTGCCCTTTTTTACTGCTGTCGTAGAGCCGTCGGTGTGCCACCTGATGGTTGTGTCTAGTGTATTGGGGAATGCGTTGCGGAACAGTTGGGCGAGATCCTTGTCATGCATGCGAGAAGTAACATCCTCAATGACCTTCTCCACGACTGAGGAATTGAAAGTTCGACATTCCGTCACTGGTCTCTGGAATGGGAGTTTCAATGGCCCTTCGCTGTATGGAGCGCTACGAAGGCAGAGTGTTAGTCTCGAACACTAGAATAAGCGAAGAAACGGAGAGATATGGCCTGGAGCATACTGAGGAGATTGAGAGTAATCGAGATAGTCAGGACACGCTCGTCGAAGGATTGAAGGCTCGTCTCGCAGGGCTACAGCTCCCGTTGCGCCGAAGCCAAGCAGCGACAGGCCGTAAACCAACGCGGAGAGTGTCATGGTCTCGCGAACGGGGTTGAGTGAAACGAGCGTCAAAATACCGCCCACGAGAATAATGTAATAGCATGCATTTGGGAGGAGGGGATTTTAAAGGGGATCGAGGCCCCTGCTTGCAGAGGCATTGCCGGGGTGTTGCGCAGGCTGGAGATGAAATGCGGAGAATATCGAAAACGGCGGAGCTCCAACTGCAACAAGCGACGATCATTCTCCGCCCCTTGGCTTGACAACTTGCGCCACGACGAGGCGATTTGCCATCGCTTTGAAGGATTATACCCGAATGCTACGGTGCATCGCGACCTTGGAGTCGTTCACGTTTATATTAATTGCTAGTGGTCTGCGTTATGCAATCAGATCTCTACACCACGCATCGTCATTTCGGAATATGCCGCTCCCCCCGCCATGAATCATGCCTCCAAGCTTACTTTTTGCCAAAAAACGACATGATATTCCCTTGCCCCGCTTTGGCACCAGGTTTACCCTTTGGCGCGTTCACTACTGGTTTCTTCTTGGGCGGCGGCGGTGCGGGTTCGTCTTCCGAGAATGATTCCCAGCTGGGCTCTTCGACCGTAACTAAGAACAGGGTTAGCTCAACGATAGATTTCAAAATATAGGGGCGCAGGGCGCACCGAGATAGCCTTCGCTATCCTTCTTCACTGCCTTCTTCATGATTTGCCGCCGTCCTCTGCGACGGCCACCTTTAGTAGTGGCTTCTACCTTGAGATCCTCTTGTTTGGGAGCTGGTTCGTCGATAGTCTCTGGTTCTACCGGCGGTTCTGCCGGCGACTCTGCAGCGTCGGGCATATCTTCGTCTTCCTCATCTGCGATTATTTAGTTTTTGATGCAAGAAGAATTGCGGAACGACAAACCGTCGTCTTCCATCATCTTCCTAAGCCTATCTTCGCGCTCTCTCCTGCTTTCGCGGGTTTCATTAGAGGCTTCCTTCTTGGATTCCGGGAAGAGTTCTTCCTGCTCTTCTTCAGAGGCATCATCTAGAACCACTATGATCCATTAGCTCACGTAAAGCACCGGTAAATCTCAATCAACTTACCATCTTCAGCACCACTAGGTCCAGCCTGCGAGACAGTTAGTACGCTGAATAGTAACCTGGACAATATCGAATATGCTCACCGATTCAGCACCAGACGCAGCTGGCGTTGAAGACTCTTCCTTCTTCTGCTTTGGTTTCGCTTTCGCGAAAGAACTGAACAAACTGCCCTTCTCTTTCTTTGCCGGCGCACTCTTTTCTGCTGGCTTTGCTGACAAAGAGGAATTCTGGCGCTGCGCAGGTTTGGGAGGTTCTGTGTGCTCTTCCTTCGTGACTTCTTCTTTCTTTGGCTGAGTCTTTGGCTGAGATGGCTCGGACTGCGCGGGACGTTTCGCCGGTACCGTGCTCGAAGACGCCGGAGGTGGGGGTGGTGGTCGTGCCCCTATTCTCCTCTGTCCAATGTCAAGTCAGTGGGACATGGCTTGTTCGAGTATTGTGTGGTAGACCTTGGCTAGTCCATACCTTGACATTTGTATTTTGAATCATACCCCATTGCTTCCCATATTCTAATGGATCCTCCTGCGCATGGCTGGCGAGCATTTCACGACTGACATCGGTAAGGACGTTGAGATCCTGTAATACGGTGGCCTGCAAACTATATATGTATATGGACGATATTGACTCGAAACTAGCTTTCGCGCCTGCAAAGCGCATTAGTAGCGATCCAACATCAAATAGCAAGCCAGTTGTCATAGAACGCGAAACAAAACAAACTCGCCTTCTAGGTCTTCCTCTCGCGCCAGTAGAACCGAGGAGACAGAAACCTGATCGGGCACGGCATCCTGGTTGGGCATAGAACTGCTAATATACGAGCTGCTAGGCATTATATCGTCATCGTCATCGTTGTTGCTGTTGCCGTTGACCGCGGCGTCGTTTGCCGTAGACTCGGTGGGCTTGGGAGCTCCCGTCAGGACATAGGTCGCGTTCACACTGGATGGCTTTTTCGAGTTTTCATTCTGGTGAAAGTCATACAGCATTCTTTTTTTGATAGTCAGTATCTCTGAAAATCATTAAATCAACAAGAGACCACACTTACTGCTTCGCGATGGTGCTGTGCACTCTCAATGCTCGACCCAGCGAGCGATATGTGACCTATTGTTGCTCATGTCAATGAGAAAGCCATACCCGCGCAAATGCAAATAGATACATACAGTCCGCCGCTCGCCGACAACATTCTCCGCGAGGTATTTCTTATAGTCCGCAACCGCCATAGTGCGACGAAAAGCCTGCTTTGCTGCTGAACAGTATATCGGAGATTCCGCGAGACAACAGCGAGATCGACGCGTTGCGGCGAACCACTTAACGCGTATCAGTCAGCCGGTCTTGGCGCTTCCCATCTCTTTCCCTCATCGAGCAACGCCGTTTCGAAATCAAGCTCCTCCGAGTCACCGTGAAGAGGGCCCCTGGCAACTGCTGGAGAATAATTGCGCTGGACTACAGCTGCAAATTTGACGCGAGTACCCTCATGGAGCCGACATTCGACATCCCCGACTCGACCGACTGGCTCGACACGCCGCTCACGCTTCTCGCACCGTTCGAATCCTCTCTCCGCTGCCAGGTCTGCAAAGACTTTTTTAACAACCCGGTGATTACGTCTTGCAGTCATACATTTTGCTCACTATGTATTCGACGGTGTCTAAGCACTGAGGGGAAATGCCCCACGTGTCGGAGCTCCGATCAGGAGTTGAAGCTGCGTCGAAATTGGGTGGTCCAGGAACTCGTTGAGGGGTTCAAGAATGCTCGACCAGGCGTTCTACAACTGGCGAGAAGGGCGGCCCGGAGCAATGAAGCCACGGAAAATGACGGCGAGGACGACTCTGCGGAACAGCGCGCGCCCAAGAAGCGTAGAATAGAACAAGACGCGGACCAGGACGGGTCAGGTAGTTCTGCCGGGGAGGGTATTCGCACAAGATCACAGAGCAGAGGTATCACGCGACAGGCTCAGGCTGTTCCTATCGAGACTATAGATGATATTCAGGACGAAGAATATATTCCAGGTATGCTCTGTTGCATCCTTACATCCACCGAAAGTGCAATGTTGACTTGAAAGTTGCAGACGATGGTTTAGTCGCGTGCCCGATCTGCTCACGCAGGATGAAGGACGAGGCTGTCTTCCGCCACCTCGATACATGCACAGGTGCTGCTCCTGAACCGAAACCTGCAGCATTTGGGTAAGCTCTGAGACATGGAGGTGTTAGTGGAATAGTACTAATTTCTCTATATACAGTTCTTTGTTGTCTGCGCCTCGAAAGCCATTACCGAATGCTACAGATAAAGCACCAGGAAGGCTTCCGGCTATAAATTATACATTAATGAAAGAGACCTCACTGCGCAGAAAACTCAAAGATCTGGGTATACCGAACTGGGGCTCGCGACCCCTGCTACAAAGGCGACACACAGAATGGATGAATTTATGGAACGCCAACTGTGACTCGAAAACCCCAAAGTCTAAACGTGAATTATTGCGAGAATTGGATGTTTGGGAGGGGACGCAAGGTGGTAATTCGGTGACCCCAACTGACCCAACGAGCTCCGTAATGCGCAAGGATTTCGATACAGGGGAGTGGTCAGCAAACTATAACACTGACTTCAAGCAATTGATCGCCAGTGCGCGAAGGAAGAACGATGCGGTTGTTCGTTCAACAATACCCAACGCCTCTCAGGGGGCGTCGAATGAAACGCAGAGCGCCCAACCCGTGCAGCCACCCGGTGTCTCCATCTCCCACGGATTGAAAGCTGATATCGATCCCAAGGTCGACGTCCAGACAGAGCCGGGAAGTCCCCAGACCTTGAACGTGGAAAGTACGACAATGACACTCCCGGATAATGCAGTGGGTGAGGCTCATGTGCAGGCTATACCGACGTCTCCCCCTAAACCGAGTGGGCAACATGCTTCAATGAATATCTCAAACATTATCGTGAGTGAGACTGGGATACAGGCAGCCCCAGACACTAGCAACAGCTAGAGCACCGCTTTCTCTCAGGTATATCTGTAGCAGTCTACTCCTAAATAACCGAGAAATGCTTGCAAAGAAGGCTCACAGGGTTTCATTGACCTTCTTCAACGGACATCCGTGAAAGCTTCTCGATACTGTCGTTCAAGGCGGAGTCAACGTTCTGTTCGGCCGGTGTTTCAAGACCGAGGTTGTCGAGCTCAGCAAGTTGCTTCCGGGTCTTCTCTGCCTCTTGCTCTTCCTTGGCTTCTCGCTCCTTGGACTCCAATTCCTCGAGCTCGTCGTCAATCTCAGTCTCGTCGATCTGAGGTCCAGCTTCGCCCATGATATTTCCAATCTCGTCCACCTTGGACATCTCCTCGCGCAGTTCGTCGACCACATCCTCGACCTTGGAAATGTCTCCGACCTGATCATTCAGGCCTCGAAGAACGCCCGTGCTAGCTTCCATCACCGCGACATATTCGATTTGGTCTGAGGCCTGTTCGATCTTTAGATAGACCTGTTCGAGTTGTGCGAGAGTATCAAGTCTCTGCTGCAGATTATGCTCCGCAAGCTTCTTCGACCGCACTGCAGCGAGGGCCGATACCCGGTTTTTATTGCTTAGAGCAGCCTTTGCAGTTGCGTTCAGCTCCGCGATCTTCTTCTCTAGGTTATTAACCTGTTTCGTTATCGTTGCTGTAAGAGTCTTGATAGATGCAATAGTTGTGTCTTGTTCGGAAATTTCCCTTGGAGAGTCGTTCGAGGGCCTGAACCTAACCGTCTAGCATATATTTAGCCTATGTCGTATTCGATGGGTGGGCTACTGTCACATACCTTGCCATCATAGGCAATGGCACCCTTATCACGGTATAGATAGAGCAATAGAACTTCGAAATCAGTATCAGACAACTCGGTTTCCTGATCCAGAACCGTCCCGAACGTTTCCACAAAGTTTTCTTTCGAATAAACAAGACCTGCTTTCGAAGGATTCAATCCAATTGCCTGCTTGACTACTTTCTCCCCAGCCTCCTATTGAAAAGGTTAGTTGTAAACAAAAAAGAATCAGACCTATCCAAGCACCATACCTGAAGATTTCCCACCAAGACCAGCACCTGAGGTTGCAACCTTGGCCCATCAGAGCCAGAACCAACCACAAAACCCTTTATCTGCTTTAACCCCCACGTCATAACATTCCACGGGCTAAGCGCCGTCGTATCAATAAGGCCCCATTGCGGTTTCCGTAGACTCGTCCCACTGGCTTTATACAACTGCACCGGCACCATCGTTCGGTTCCAGACTGCATCTTCCTACGACCCCCGAAATTGAGCAAGTTAGCATCAACTTGGCAAAGGACATATATAATATAAGCAGGTGAGACAAACAAAGACAGCTCCCAGCGCAACTGGCCTCCCCCACTCCGGATTCTCTAGATCTCGGACTAAGTTCTCGTCAACCTTGATACTCAGGTGGTTTGCTTTGCGCCGCTGCCCCGTCGCATCGTGTGAATGTGTGGAGATATATCCGTTGTGCGCGGCTTTCGTTAACACTTGCTCCCATGCTGCAACATTCACGTGGTACCCGTCGGGGTTCGTCTTCTTTTGGATCGAGAAGTCGGAGTAGAGTGAGGGGAGACGATTTCTAGATTGCAACGGGGAGTGATCAGTGAGAGTTGCAGGAGGTCGCGGTTATGGTGTCTACTGTACTTTCTGAAAGAGTCTTGGGAGAGGATGTAGTTGAGTAGGTCGCCCATGGTTGGTAGTTTGTGTTGTAACCAAGGAGTAGGCGGTTTAGGTTTGGGAAGCTAGAGGCTTGCGTTACTTTATCCTTGGATGGGTATTGAGCGAGTCTCCAGCTCGATCGGAGGTTGATCGAAATGCAAGTGGTGGAGACCTTATCGATAACAAGCAAAGGTACCAGTATCACGTGCCGGCAGTGACGATAGTTGAGTCTATTTACATTTTACGAGCGGCACTGAACAAAATTCAATGAGATAACTTTGTACAAGCCTCGCGTGAGACCACTTAGTAATACTCTATTATATTATTCAGCCTAGTATACGCCTCTTATCCGCCATGGTGGTATATTTATGCTCGTTCAAAATCGTCACTGGGCACGGTTTCCCCATCTCTCGCCGTTTGAAGCCCCGCGAGAGCTGTAGTGTCCAAGGCAGTGCCAATTAAGGACCTTCGGTTCATGCGCCTGTCTAGCTTTTCACTGGTCTCCACGTTGTCCAAGGGGTCTGTACTGCCTGTCTCCTCTCTGACATCCAAACCACGAGCTTCGAGATACCCGACTTTCACGGAAAGTCGGAGATTGTCGGCGAAAGTTTGCATTTCTGGCATAGGGAATGCACCATCGCTACCCAGAATGTCCGCGTAGAGACGCTCCGCCTCCTCAAGGCACGCGGATGCCAGCGATGGCTTACCAAGTCTGAGCCACATGTCAGCAGCGAAGAGACTCCACATTCCGGCCTTGCGGTGACGACCACCAAATCGTACTCCATTCGGGGGCGCTCGGGAAGCGTAGCATGACGATATCCTTTCGCTGAGAAGGCCCTGCCCAACCGACTCCACCAACCCTAGATCCATGACCCGCATGGCCCATTTAGCTGCGCTTTCGGCTGCAGAACCTCCACGCGATCTCAACAGCTCAACGGCTAGGGTTAGGCAGCGTAACGTAGCAACAGGATCCGAACACCGAGTCAGATAAGAATAACAAGCAGTGTCAATCATCTGATCAATGCCCTCAACTTTGGTCTTCGAACCCATTCCTAATGGATTCAGTAGTGTGCTCACCGCGTACATTTCGTAAGCACCGGCATGATATTTCCAGGCCTTGTCATTTGCGTAGTCGGAACGAAGCAGTTCATATGTTGACGCTGCCAGTTTCCAATCACGAAGCATGAAAGCATAGTCTGCCATCTTTCGTAATATGGCTTCGGAATGATCGAAATGATAAAACCCTTGAGACACATTGTAATTCCCGCTTGCTCCACCGGAACCTGAGCTGCGAGAGCCAGATCCGAAGCCCGCCCATTTGCGCGACATTGACATAAAGCGACCACTAATCCCACGCCTTCTCGACGCTACTTGATCATTCCATACAGCTACCCTATTCTCCATAAATGGAATAACGGACTGCGCGACGAGCTCTCGGACAAGACCTTTGATGGACATCACGTCGGATTCGAATAGGCAGAGAAGGCCATCGGAACCAAGGTCGACCAGTTGTTCTGGTACAGTTAGCATGCACGTACATAAATGGGGCCTAGCTTGTGATATTTTTCTTACCTGACCTGTCGAGAAGCCGCTCCGAGGGTGAGAGCCACTCGCATTCTGGCATTTGTACGCTATCATCATCTGTAACCACACATTGATTGCTGCGTAGTCTCAGAAGGTGGCAATGTAGACCGAAGTGGCGCTTCATCTGGTCATAGAGTTTGGTTGATTCTGAGATGTCGTCGTGGTCTTCATCGTGGACAAGTACATAGTAACGTAGATACTCGGGGTGTATCCAGTCTGGCACTTTCCGCTGGCCGTTATTGGTGTCTGCGTACAGTTGTCTAAGTGATTCCAGAGGTGCGGAGTTGCGAGAACTGATAGCAATCACACTGGCTACAGGATGGCGAAATGTTTCAAAGGGCGCGGCAGAGGCGATCGATAACAGTTGGCGAAGGTATAGCTTATATAAAGGTGAAGTAGATGAGAGGCCTATTAGATCTTTAGGATGTAATGACCCGCTTGGCGGACCGTCGGTGGAGTCTAGGTGCTTCTCCAGGACTGTCTCAACTTGAGATAGGGGCGAATTCCGCGTCTGGTTTGCGTCGTTGGGTGCCCGGCATATCTCGCCTAAATCGACGAACCGAACCCCGTAATCCTCCCAGCCGCGACTTGAGCCCACGCTATCTCGAATGATAAGTTTTCCCGGTACATTCTCTCCGAAAGGCCGAATTAACTCGCAGAACCCACCCTTGAAGCCTTTTTGCCGGACCAGTTCGTCGGTGTCTGGGGATGCATAGACTCCAATAACGGGCGAGAATGAACGCACGATTAAAGATCGTGTATCCAGGGCAGCATCGGCTCTCCCATCTACTGGTGATCCCAGTGACGTCCGTAATTGCGGGGTCGATGACCGGACCGATCTGGCATGGGGAGACGCAGTTCGAAGGGGAAGTTCAGCGGTGGCATTTGATAGCGGGGGTGTCGGAGACGACGAGGCTATTCTTGGTTCCACCCTTTCCGTGTCCAAAGACGAGGACGAGTCGCGCCGCTGGTGAGGGTATCTCGTCTTGGCTGGGACACGCGGCACGCCGGGCGAGAAGGACGGCGGAGGTTTGACCGGAGTACCATCTCCGGGCGATGTCATCGACACCGAATGGATTCCGACAGTTGATGAAGAAGGGAAAAGGAGGGTTTAGCTTTATCCCATGGACCGAGGGTACAGCAAGCTCTGAGAATGTAGAAGCGAAGGCCAGAAGGGACTTGTAACTGAGGCGACACCGTCCAGAGGATTGCGAGAGTGCGGAACGGAGGAGAGGTAGGCGATGACGATTTGGAAACGTGGTGAGGCGGTTCGGGATGAGGCCAACTCACTGCGCCGAAACGTGGAGCAATTCTTCAGGCCAGGCGAATCGCGTTTGAATTGTGCATTACCCCAGCATGTGAACCAAGTAAGAAATCTATACCTGAGTCAGACCATCAGAATGGATGGATAAGAGTTATTCGAGGGTCACGGTTGGGATGTTGAACAGGATTCCCCCAGCAGCCAACGAAGGCGGTGTTGTGCTTGCCGCTGCGGATGATTCTCCCCAAGGCTCCGTTGGTCTTTTGCTGTGACTCAATGGACATCCCAACAATGACTTAACTACCTCCTCTCGCTCTCTTTCTCTCTGTGCGATGGTCCTTTCTCCATGTTCACCCCTTCCCTCGCCTTTCCTCGCCAAATTTCCTCCCGACTGACACGATCAACGGCGTACCTGATTAGCAACCCCTCACCGCGACTGACCCTCCGCGTTTTCCTACAGCTCACCCCGTTCCGGCTTGCCTCATACAGCCGTTATATGAGCCGTCGTCAGGCATTCGATTCCCCTTCTCCGCGCGCAAACAAGAGGCGGCGAATTTCCACGACTTCCCCGGAGGAAGCCGGTTCTGCGGCCATGATTTCAGCCGCCGACGAAACCGCGCAGCAACCCCCGACCATTGAACTCACACCTCTCGAGAACACATTCAAGACGCTGCTCCTTGATGTCTGTCAATATATACAGGAGCGCGACGTAGCAGCTGGCAAGACCAGTGCGGATACCTCAAAAACTGTCCTCCGGTTTACGGGAGGTTGGGTGCGGGACAAGCTGCTAGGAGTTGAAAGCCATGATATTGACGTTGCGATCAATAACATGACCGGTTACCAGTTTGGGAATATCCTGATAGAGTATTTGGAAACTCCGGGAAACCTGGACAAGTATCGAAAAGGCAATGAAAAGGACGAACTGGAGAAAGCATTCAGTAGTCTTCACAAAATCGAAGCGAACCCGGAGAAATCAAAGCATCTGGAAACAGTTACAACAAAGATCTTTGGATATGACGTGGATTTAGTCAATCTCCGGAAGGAGACTTATACCGAAAACAGCCGGACCCCCCAGATGGAATTTGGAAGCGCGGAAGAAGATGCCTTGCGCCGAGATGCCACCATAAACGCTCTTTTTTACAACCTGAATGAATCTAAAGTCGAGGACCTTACTAAGAGGGGGCTGGATGACATGCGAGACCAAATCATTCGGACTCCGCTGGAGCCATACCAAACGTTCAAGGACGATCCTCTTCGAGTTTTGAGGCTTATTCGTTTTGCGAGCCGGCTAGGATTCCGCATCGACAAAGATACAGAGAGCGCAATGCAGCACAGTGACATTGGTACTGCGCTTAAGCTGAAGATCAGTAGGGAGCGTGTAGGCATTGAGGTGGAAAAGATGCTTCGAGGCCCAGATCCCCGCGGGGCGCTTAACACCATCGATCGTCTTAATCTGTACCCCATTATTTTCACCAACTATCAGGACGACGCTACCGCAGACCCATCCTCGTGGTCGCTTGCTTATAATGCGCTCCACCGCTTTTTATTCTCAACTGAGGAGCTAGAAGCTGTCGGCCGTCTTCGCACGTTGCTCATCCGTGACTCGCTCCAAGAATATTATGCTTGGGTGATCGCTGCATTCGCTCCTTGGTCGGCAGTCCCTGGACGTCCTCCGAAAGGGAAGCCGTTACCACCGCGTATGGCAGAGGCCGCCCGCGATGCTTTGCGCTCAGATAACAAGACAGTGACGATTCTGAAACATGCCGCGAGCAATTGGCGCAATATTATCAACGTCAAAACCGAAGTCGTCGATGGAAAACTGCAAGGGACAGCTGCAGAGATTCGACAACAGGTTGGGCTACATATTCGGTCTTGGGGTATGGACTGGAGGCTCTGTGTTCTCCTGTCTCTTCTACAGGAGATCATGCAGGGGGGAGACTTTGCCGCGGTGGTGCAGAGCTATGATAAGTTCCTCACGTACATTTTAGAACAGGATCTCCAGGATGTCTGTGAGCTAAAGCCTATTGTAAACGGAGGCGAGGTCATGGGTGCAATCCCAGCCAAAAAGGGACCCTGGGTGTCCAAAGCCCTGGAGCTCGCGATACAGTGGCAGCTGTTGCACCCGGACATTCAAGACAAGCAAAAAGCATTGGAGTATCTTGAGTCTAAGAAAGGGGAATTTGGTGTATGAATACAACAATGGCATAGAAAGAATAAATATAATCATTCACCCAGTTGGTGAATTGTTCTGTTTGTTGTATATATTTGGGCTGTAGTTGAGCCTTCCCGCTTACTTAACATCCTTGATGGGTCCCCCTCGGCTTCTACCGTACTCGCGTTTTCTCTTCCACTCGCAACCGTTTATGTATTCGCCGAACTCATCTCAAGGCTGCCCTGATGTGCGTTTTCGAAGATACTTATATTAAATGATGGAAGAACTACGCAATGCAGCACGTGGAGCTCTACGGCAGCAAAAACCCGCTCTCATTCCCGAGTCAATACTGAGTAATGTTACTATTCCAGCTGCCGTGGATCAGCTATGGCAAGAAATATCTACACATGACAATTCAGATCATGCCAAAGTACGGTCTATGCATTCTACTTTACTTGTTGATACTTACAATTCAGCAGATTCTCGAAGATCTTCTCGTTGCGCAGGGATTTTTGAGCGGCAAGGCCCTTGAGAGTGTGTCTGATGCAGACAAAGCCGCCATTAACAGGCTTTACGAATGGGCGAGTAGGATTGCTCTGCCAGCTCCAGTTTTTGCGGAGTCTCCAGAGGAATCATTCCCAGAGAGTGAGCGCTCCGGTGAAATTTGCCTTTGAGTCTACTAACGGTGGTTGTAGCGCAAATGGAGAGCCAGCAGCGGTCTACTCTGGCCATACCTGTCATTTCATCGCTAGCTAAACTGCTTCCAATTGAGGATGCCGAGTCACTGGATGACGTTCTTATTGCTTTGGCAAGCTTCACCTCTGAACAAGATGCATGGACTACACCTGAGACTTACACAACCTCGACCGCATTGTTAAATGATTTCGTTGAGAGATCTGAAGCCTCGCATTTTTGGGGAACAGTGGAATCTCTGCTCAAAACCCGGATCAGACCTCTGTTTGCAAAGACTAAAAACCCGGCTATTACTGAATCTGGTCGAAAGAACTTCCACCCTATTCCTTTGCCGCGGTTCGACATGAGTATTTTGGACCCTGAGACTAAACCGTGGAAGATGTATGATGTCTACATCACCACTGTCTTTTCCTGGGTTGTCAACCAGTATAAAGTGTGTATTTCTGTGTTGAAGTCGGCCAACCTACTAATCAGGATTTAGCACACCGATCGCGAGCATCTCGAGTCACATTTCCCCCTTCTAGTTCCACCTATTCTCACCATGATAGACGATGACAGCCTTTCCTTTAAACGCCACGGCTGTATTCTGCTGTCACATTTCTTGATCCCCATCCAAGAAAGCAAATCCGATATTCTGCGACGGACGAATCTGTCATCGGTCTTCGAAGATGCCATCAGACCGTGCTTCCACTCCTTGCCGACAATCACCCCAGAAGACGACTCTATCCAACTCCTTGCTGCAGCCTACCCAGCTCTACGATCTCTCCTCCAAACCAGTTACCGATCGGCCCTAACCCAGGATAGCCAACCCACCCCAATAAAACACATGAAAGATAACGAAACATTCATATCCGCAACAACCAAAACACTACGCGACCACCTCATCCCTTCCTTCCACCACATCAGTTCAGCAGACATAACATCGACTTCTACCTTTGCGTCGTTCCCTCATCCCCGTTTATCAACCCTCCTTCTTAACCAAGTCGCCATCACCTGCGCGGATCTGGGGATCCACACTACCAAGTACCTCCAAGACATCGTCCCTCTAGTGTATAGCACATTATCCAATATGTTCGGAACCACACACCCGCCACTCCTCCTCTCCGCACTTTCTGTTGCGCGAGCGGCGATTCTCAATGCGTACCCGCGGATATGGAGATGGCGAGGCGAAATAATTGGGGCGATTTGTTCATGCTGGGTTAATGTTCTTGATGACGAAGAAGAGTCAAAGACCGCTGGAACTAGAGCTCCCAAGGATAAAACATCGGCGTCGCCTCCTAGAGACGAAAACAAAACCGCGGAATTGATGCGGTTGAAAAAGGAATTACAGGGCTCCGTCTATCTGCTGAGATACGCGCTTGAGAATCCCGCTCACATAGATAGCGATGAAGGGCAACGAGAGGCAAAGGAGAATATTGGGCGAGAGATACAGATGTTGGTTGATGCTGATGACAGCTTAAAAGAGTGTCTTCTCGCGGATGTTGACCCGGATGATGGGAATTATTTTGGGTTTGGTAGTATTTGACGTTAGAATAAAAAATTGATATCCAGATAATAACTACGTCATTATACACTTAGCTAAACGCGTCCTGTTATCCTGTTTGACCAAAGCAACAGTCAGTTCGAATTAAGGAGTAGTGTGAAGATGAGATGTGCTGCAATAGCTTTCTCGATCACTGACTACCCTTCTGAGACAATGGGAAGTGACAGTTTAACATGTGTTAATATAGGAGGCTTCATAAGGGTAGGAGAGAAGTGGCCTATACAATTGTCTGCTACACAAGCAATGTGTTGAGTCTTGTGTTAGAGTGCTGTCCATGGCTTCCAACTCTCATCTATCCATCGTTTAAGACTTCAGCACGTACTCATTCTCGTTTCCCATTGCCTCTGATACCGGTTAAAAGTACGCAAGCCAAAGGCAACAAACAATCTTCCGCCACTTAGCAGTTTCTCCCAAGATGGCCTACCGACTCCTTAATGATGGTGATATTGAGGGCTTCCATGCCTATAGGGCCATTCTGCCGAAGCCCATCAAGCGGTCTGCATCCGAAATCGAAGATGACGCTTTTGAGCAAATCTATTCGCTCCGCAAATCCTCTCGCCTAGCAGAGTTCCAGGAGAGAAATTGGACTCCTAGTCCTATATCTGAATGTAAGCATGGACTCCTTGCCACTCGCAAACAAAAGACTAAACAAGCTAGTTGTTGGCATAACCCTCGATGATCTCCCCATCGCTCCGCTTGGAACCTCAAACCCGATTATGATGTACTACCTGGACTTTCCCGTGAAGAGAAAGCTGGATTGGAGTACAGACGAAAATGGGAACCCAAAGCGCAGAAACCTTAAAGACGCAGGGTCGTTGATCGCCGGGTTTGTTCAGACCCGCGGCGAATTGGCAGAAACCCCTTGTAACTGGTGCAGCCAAGGCAAGGGAGTCTGGGAGAGATGCGTTATTGGGTCCGATGTACAGGACGGCAAGCCGATGAGTGAGGCATGCGCCAACTGTCGTTTCAGCCGCCGCCCTGACTGTACTTTCCGTGAGTATTTGGCCATGGAGAACACGCTCTGCTGGCTAAGCATATTCAGGGACCAGTTATGACCGTGAGGAAAGTCTGGAAACTGATTCAGTGGCCGACTACGGTGCTCAAGCATACCAGTCGCCTTTTCTGACTCCCCCTTCGAGAAACCAGCGTCGCGCGCCATTCTTGGATTTACGGCTTCAGTCACGGCGAGTTGTTGAATTACCAGACGACAACACCCTAAACACAGCTCTAGAAACTGAGACAAAAACCTCACTCAGAGCCCCGTCCCGCCACGATGGCAAGGTCATTCCATTTCCCCTCGATCCGAAATCAATCAACGATCTACCGCTGCTGAAGCAGGCCTCGCGTGATCTGGCTGCACACTTGGCGGTGGTTGACAAGAGAATAAGGCAGCTTGAGGAGGAGGAAAAGAAAAGAAAGAAAGCCGGGAATCCTTGGGACCTGTTGTAGCCTTGTTTCTGTTGTTTTGTGGATTGTGCTTTGAGTCTGGTCCAGCGTTGTTGTTAAGCGTTATCTTGTTTATTTCGATTTCCTATTATGGATAAGAATGATACTATCGTGGTCAAGTACCAGATATATTCGCGTAAAACTGTTGGTTCTTTTATATTTGCAAGAAGTACCTCGTCCTGAATGGGGCTGTGCTCCACCGGCAGGAATTTCTGTTTTTGGCAGTCACGTCCCGCCGAGTTCTCTCATCACTGAACAACACCCAGCACAGAAGCCAAGCGATAAATCACCAAGTGCTATTTGGGAAATTACAATATGACCACCTGTTCTGCTGAGACTGTCTCAGACATCAATGCACTATCTGAGTACTTGAGTGACCCTCAGTTAGACAACCTCTCCTCTGCACCTCCAGTGGATTGTATAATAGTATGCGCCTCGCAAGTCCTTTTCGGAGCCGAAACAATTTTCCATACACTCGAGCAAAAGCCTGATCTTACAAAATGCCTGGTGCTTTGCGGCGGCATCGGCCACTCAACGAAACTGCTCTACGCCGCTCTCCGGCATCACCCTCGCTACTCAAACCTCGCCAACTCGATCGAAGGACTGCCAGAGGCTCGAGTGTTGGAAAAGATTCTGGATGAATCATTCGATCGTGACAGGATTACGGCGCAGGGATGTCAGATTCTGATTGAAGACCAATCCACCAACTGTGGGCAGAACGCGTTGTTTAGTCGCCGCGTGCTTGAGCGGGCAGGTTTCCGGGACATCAAATCGTGTATCATCAACCAAGACCCGACGATGATGCTTAGAACGAAGGCTTCATTTGAAATGGTTTACGGCGATATATTGTCCCAGGTCTCGTTCCTCAGTTTCCCGGGGTTTGTTCCCAAGGTGCGATTATCGGACAATTGGCTTTTGGAGTATGAGCATACGGACGACGTGTCTGGCTCATGGGTACTGGACCGGTTTATTGAATTGATTCTGGGAGAGATACCGAGGGTAAGAGATGATGAAGAGGGATATGGTCCACGCGGGCGAGGTTTCATAGCTCATGTTGACCTGCCAGCTGATGTCGAGCTGGCGTGGTCCCGGCTACGGGTTTTATTCGAACATCATGGACGTAGATAATATAGAATTATGGATCCCAAGCGACTGAAGTGCAACGTAGCGAGATATTATGTCTTATTGCATTGTATGCAACTATCGTTACATGTCTTCCAAAGGATATACACAGGACTGTCCCGTTCATAACCTGAGCCTCATATCCGTGCAACGGGCCACTGATCGCCCAACCTATAACCCTCTTGAAATGGATCCGTCGAGTCAAGCACAGCCTGTCTGAAGCCGGTTATCCAAGCACGGCCCTTTACCGTAGGCAAAACCGCGGGATATTTCCCGACTGTTGTAAGTCCACGAATGCGACTCACAAACTCAGTCCCTATTATGCTTCGGTGCTTGAAGATTTCTCCTTCCTTAATCTGGCCCCTTGCATGCATAACAGCTAGCCTAGCACACGTCCCGGTACCGCATGGGCTGCGATCGAAGCGACCGGGTGAAACAACCACAGCATTAGGTGCAACTTTGTATCCGTCCTCCGTTCGAAGCGGCTCTGTGAATGAAATAACAGAGAACCCCGTTATCCCTGGGTTCTCAGGGTGGATAGGGGTGTATACAGCCTCAGTCGCACGCTTAATCCGCTCGCCAATGTCAATTAATTCGCGGGAGTAGTTGCTGTTGACAGCCAGGCCCAGGGAGGCAGCATCCACAATCACGTACATCATCCCACCGTATGCAATATCAATAGATATCTCGCCCAGATCGGGAACTTGGACTTTGAAGTCGAGCTCGAGCGCAAAGGCGGGGACGTTATTGAATTCAACACTCTTACACTTGCCTGCTTCGCACTCTGCAGTGACAGTTACCAGTCCAGCAGCAGTGTCCAGTGTAACTTCAGTAAGGGGCTCTTTCATCGGGAGCATCCCGGTCTCTAACAGCACGGTCGTCGTACATATTGTATTAGAGCCGGACATGGGCGCATATTCGGTACTTTCCATGATCAGAAACCCGGCGTCGGCGCGAGGATCGCAGGGTGGCAGAAGAAGGTTCACATTCATTGGAGCACGGCCTCGAGGTTCATTGAGAACGAACTGTCGCAGGTCGTCTCTTTTTGTTTGGAAATGCATCAGCTTGTCGAACATGGTCTTGCCGGGGACATCAAGGACACCGCCGGTGATCACGTCGCCGACTTCTCCTTCAGCATGGCAGCCGACGATATGAATAGATCGCGAGAAGGTCATTGCCAGACAGAAAGCAGATTTGGTGAGAATCGAAAGCGGGTATTGCGTGAGCTCGTGAAGAGGATAGAGAGGGAAACGACGACTGCGCCTGTTGTGGTCATTTTTGTGGTCGCGTGTCCTCGTTTAAATAAAGGTCAGCCTGGGACCATATTCCGGAAGGTCTGGCCACTTTTGCCATTACACGAACGAATGCAGGAGTCGGGGATCATCGCGGGGTGGAATGCGGGAGGCGCTTCCGGCGGGTCTCAGCTCGGGTGATCGGTTTGGAGGCGTGGGGGCAGCCAGACGAGCGGGGTTGGAGGTTGAAGGCTGGAGGTCCAAGCTGAGAATCAGTTCAGGAGATCGAACGATAAAGGATGTGTGTGTAGGAAAAGGAAACATGGACGGGGAAGTTGAAGAGCTTCCAATAGTGTACTTGCCGCATGGTAGGGATACCGGGAAAGCTCCGAATGGATGAGTCGAGATCGCGTGAGGTGCGATTATCAAATCTCCACATAGGGAACGAATAAAAAGAGAGCAATTCTAATATGCAGGAAACGGGGTCGTGGACTTGGTTAGAAGCGTGGGCTGGGAAGGAATATTGAGCAATGCGTATTACAAAGAGGTTGGTGAGAGGCGTGGGGAGTACAGTGGGTGGAACTACTATTTACGAAGACCAAGAGAGATGAAGCTCAATGTATCGTCAAGATGTTCATTCATGACTCACTCAGGAGACCACTATATAGCAAATCAAGACAGTAGATGGATGTATACATAAAGAAAAGACACCGACATAAGTACTTGTAACCGCGTGCACTCAGTTTCAAGACTCAAAAGGTGTAAGTGAGAGAGCATATAAGAAAAGATAGACGAGATACAAAACATTGGACAACTAGATTGCCATACATAGACAAATAAATGGAAAACAGTGGATTCAAACCCCCCCATTTGGGCAGCGAACCTAGGGAAACTTCCAGGCAGCATTTTATGCTTGCTCTGGTAAAAACCTGGTTGGGGCCGATACATGAAAGGTGGAATATATTGAGATGTTTGGAAGATGATGGTAGGATGAGAGAGATAGTGGCCTGGACACCGCAGGCGAGTGAGGTAAGGGTAGGACCGAGGATGTGGTAGGTGTCATGGAGTGGAGATGAAGGTAGGTAAGGGTAGAGTAAAGGTAGAGTAAGACATCCAGTGATGATAGAGTGAGGATTATTGTAGAGAGAAGATAGGATGATATGAGTTGAAGATATGGTAGAGTAAGGTCAAGGTAGAGTAAGGTCAAGGTAGAGTAAGGTGAGGTCAAGGAGGGTTGATTTCAGCGGATAGAAGAGGGGCCCAAGGGATTTCGGAGGGATGAGAGTAGGTGTTTGAAGGTAGAAGTAGAAGGTCGAGATAGAATGTAGTCCACTCAGTTGTGGAGTGTTTGAGGTCGTGTAAGGCAAGTAGATGTAGTAGTAGTAGTAGTGGTTGTTGTTTGAGATACTCACCGCGAGGGGCTTCACCTCGACGTTGCGACATAGGGCTGCCGACCCTGGTCTGTGACAATGGTTGGCCCGGCCATCACACCATCGGGCCCGATGGAGGCGCCAGCAGCTATCCTCAACCTTAACTGCCTACGTCGTGGGATCATACCTTCTCGTGGTGGAGGATCGTGGAGGAGTTTAGAAGTTGTCGGGAACATCGAGCATATCAATATCAGAATAGGGTTGACGAGGGGCCTCGAAGACAGGAGCATCTGGGGAGGAGGGAGCATCCATGTCCATGGCCGAGACATCTGAATCGGTATGCCCGAGTTCGTAGTGGAGTTTTCGATATTGGTGGGTGTCACGCAGATGGCGCATATATTGGATACGCCGCCACTGCTTCTTGGTGTAGATGAATGGCATTCCAGTCATGGTGGAATCGTTGTCCTATAGCGTGTTAGTTCCCAATGCAAGACAGAAGAGTGGAAGGGTACTTACAAAGTCAAGACCCCGGGGGGCGGCGGGGATAGGGTTGTTTCGAGGGCTTACGCCCTTTTTATAGCGGTTGTTTGTGTTTTTAGGGTAGTGGTTTTTTGGGCCTTGGCCAGGGCCAGAATTAGGAATTAGGGAGCCTTTGGAGCTATACTCTGGAGGAGGGTAGGCGTACTGGCCACGAGCTCCCCTCCAAGTGGGTGTTTGTCTCGGGCCAGCAGAGGCGTTCCACTTGACGTTTCCTTGGTTGCAGCGAGGGTCCGGACCCTGTTTCTTGTCAGTCAAAGCCGTCTTTAAACGTGAAATGAGAGGGGTTTATACCTGTCTGCGGTTTGCGTTCCCAGTGCCATGGGTTTGGCCGTTGCCCTGGCGAGGGGCATTTGGCCCTTCTCCGCCAGCGTTTTGCTTGCGAGCGGAGGGGTTGAAAGAAGAGAATTGAGGGTTTTGAGAGCGGTAGGCCATGATGATTAGGTGGAGAAGAGGTGTCAACGATAGGTTCAAAGCAAGAAGTCTCACACAAGAAGGTCACGGATTCCACCTAGTTAGAGTCTGTCGAGGCCACGGTCTGTGAACGGATCTTGCAAAAAATTGGACTAAACTTTCGGATTTTGTTCGCCTGGGGAGGTGAGGCTTTGTTTGAGAGATTTTTTAAAAGCAATTTAACAATTGGAAAACAACGTCCAAGGTTGGGCTCTTTTTGGAGGCAGGTCCACTTTTGTGGGTGTAGTTTCAAGGTCTGCGGAGTGGGAGAGTGAGGTTGTTCTTGTTGTCGTCGATGGAGATCACTTTCTCAGTTCGGATTTAGAGAAGGGCGTTTTTTCTAGATGTCTTCTTTCGTGGAGTAGTAGATGATAATGGTCACTGGGGAACAATGGAGGAGAGTGAAGAAGGAAAAAAAGAAGGGGCGTCTGGCCGCCGACGAGGGGTTCTTAAATAGACATCTGGGACTGACAGAGGAGTCATCCAGATGCCATGGCACCACAGAAAAAAGATATAAAGCCATGGCGATGTTGTGCTGGAGGGTCTTTCCGGAGAAGTATAAAATAAGGTTTTCCCCAGGAACAACAATCCTGAACTATATCGGCATGAGGGATGAAGTTGATTGGTCGATTCTAGTTATACATGATGCCCCTAAAAATAACAACGATGTAGCCTCATAGTGGGATAGTCTAGAGGCTTACGACACCCAGCGTCCATATCAAGACAACAACAATTCCGATCCTATCGAGACCCTCCTTCGTGTCACCGGCTAGCTCCCTGACTGAGTTTAAACTTTTTCCTCGGCTTCGTGCTATTTATCGACGAAGTGCTAGTATTGGACGCAAGGCTATCACGGTCCCGTTTCCGTTTCTCAGGTCTCGAGTCACGCTTGCGCCGCTGCTCTTCCTTAATTTCTAACCGTCGTTGCACTTCGTCTGAGATATCCTCGGTCTCCAATGACACCGGAATGGCGCCCTGAACATCGTCATCGGCGCCGGGAATCGCCACATCTGTTCGTTTCCGCTTTAATCGTTGCACCTCAAGCAAAGGTTCTTTTGACTCAACCCCTGACTCTATTTCAGTGTTTGAAAGCCTATTTCGCTTCCTTCTCTTTCGGCCAGAGTCATCTTCAGGGTTGGATGGCGTGGTATGCGTAGAATCAGTACCATCCCCTGTCGGCCGCACAGGGTCAAACCGACGACCCGCTCCTATTCAACGTTAACGATTACATGAGCTTGACTCAGTTCTTTCATTACTTATATAAAGAACCAGAAGAAAAAACTACAAAACGTACGTGGTGTCTATATTCCATTAGCAACCGTACGCAACAAAGCAGATCCAAACGGCAAGAACTTACAATATGTTTCTTGACACCCTCAAACTGCAGCATCAATTTATTCGTCCTCTCAATCATCGCAGAGATAAGCTGAGAGGCCTCTGGGTCTGACGAAACCTGCTCTTTCAACGCCTGGAGCGTGCTCAGGTGCGATGAAAGGACAGAGTCATGCTGTGTGCATATCTGTCCCCAAATATACACAGTTAGCGAATGTTCCAGTACTTTAAAAAAGGCAAACTGTAACATATGATAGCATTCGCAAGTAAACGTTTTTATAAGCGAAATAATTGGTCGGGGTATTGCAACTGCTCATTCACGCACCTGCGGCCATAACATGCCGGGATTCGGCGTGTTTCCAGCATTATTACCGCCCTGCTCGTCGGGAATTTCTTCCACGGTGGGATTAAGAGGCGTAGATGAGTCTGGGAGAGGCATTGGGGTGGATGGTTGTAGACAAGGCGAGACTGAGGTCCGGATAGAGTTTGGCAGGCCAGGAATTGCAGGCTCCACGCCAAGACTGCGGTTCCTGCTTGCCAGGCCAATCAGCGGCGGCCATTTTTGAGCACAAATATACACCGTAAAGTAAGATTGGTACCTTAGTCTGTCGACCACTAACTTACAACCCTGGAAATCTACTGGAGGCGTCTCATGTAAGGTTAGGTATGCTGGTACGGTATTGTATTCAATCGTGTATCCATACGTTATTACTGCCCAATGCGCCGTTCGCTAACGCCAACCCAAACCAAGTTACTAATACAAGCAGTCCTGATTACCATGCACCCGCGTCGAAATCAAATCTAGCCAGTTCCTTTTGCGAGTCCTCCACGTCCTTCTTCGCCTTCATGCGCATGTAGAAAATAGGACAGTCGCGAGACGAGCAGATAACCTCGCAGTGAAGACTGCCCTGGCACCGCTGACACTGCGTCCATAACCGTCCGAACCGAACCTCCAGGTCGGACATCTTGTTTAAGCTCTTGGTATAGAGTTCGCCCAGGCGAGGGCGACATGACTCACAGACGGCACCTGCTTTGACGTCCTTGCCCCTCAGCGGCTTCTTGCAGCCCAGGCAGGTTTCCGTCTTCTGGGTGAATTTCATTAGTCCACCCATTGTCGGCGCGGCCATCGCGATTGACCGGGTGTGCTCTCCGTGGAGCAGTTGCCCCACCTTCTTCTCGCCGAGAATAGGCTCGAAAATACGACCTAGTGGGTTGGCTAGCTGGTTGTCGAGGTAGTATCGCGTGTCAATGGGAATGTTGTTCTCAAGGACATAGATTGGGTCTTCGGCCTTTTCGAAGTTCTTCGCACCAGCAGCGCCTTTGACGATAACGTAAGCGACACGGTCACCAAGAGTAGGCGCAGAACCGGCATCACGCTTTCGCATGCGTTCGGCGAGCTCGACGTGGGCTTGTTTAGCCGTATAGACCTCTTTGGTCAGGGCTTTCGTAATCACCAGTTTCGACATATCCACCTTGTTCTGCAACAAGTCGGAAATAGTGTCTTTTACGTAGCTAAAGGGAGTCAGCAAATCATGTAAACCAGCATTGGGTGGAGACGTACTCTTGAGCGGCTTCTTCGTCGCGGTCAATTAGGATCTTATGCAACACAGTCTCAATGACGTTCTGGACGAGCAAGCAGTTGTCTCTACGAACGGTCTCAATTCCTTTCGTGTCCATTTTGTCGTACTTGTTGGGGTTCGTCCAGAAGAGACCTGCATATCGCTTCTTGTTGATAAGAAGATACGGGAAGTAGACCTTTTCGAACTCCAGTTTGATAGGCTTGATGAATTTTGAGGAGACGTATTCAGACGCCTCTTGCCCAAGTCTCATAGCCTCTGCAAGTTCCGTCACGCCGAACTTCACCATGACCGAGTCAGTATCACCGTAAACGACCTTGGCATCGTGAGAATAGCCGTTGGCGATGGTGTATTTGGCCTCGACCTCGGCCTTTGTTTTTTCAATCATTTGACGACCATAACTCGTTGTACTACTAGCAATCGGTAGACAGGGTAGTTTACCGACTGTAGCACCAGTCAAACCGTAGACACTGTTGGCACTGATCTTCAACGCGAGCTGCCGTCCGTTGAGCACAGCCTTCTTGAATGGGTCGGTTTCCATAGAAAGGTCCTTCTTCGCCTTCTTTCTAGCACCCAACAATTCTTCCAAAATCTGTGACAGGAGACCTTTTCGCACTTTCGGAGTACAAAACATATCTCCACTAGGGGTGACAATATAGTCCTCATCCTTGACCAATCCAGCGGCGCTGTTTTTGTTGAGTAGAGTCGTGTAGCAGAGGTTGTGCGCTTGCATGATGGAAGGATACAGAGAGGCGAAATCGAGAGTGGCGATGGGGACCTTGTAATAGTCGCGGACGGGCTCGATAACGGTGGCACCCTCGTAGTCTTGCTCGTCTGTTGATTTCATGTTGGGAATCACCAGCTGCTGCTCCAACGCTTTACGGTACAGCTGACTCAAGAACTTGACTTGTTGCCCGCGGGAGAGCAGGAAATTAAACGGAACACCTGTTACTCTTGCCATCTCTGTATAATTGACCAGACACATCAGTTTGTCCATCAGCCGTTGTGGTAGGTATGCATCCTTCAAGCAATAAACAGCCAAACGACGCCGTGAATCGGGGGTACCGTTATAAAGCTCGGTAATCATCGTATGATGGACGTCTTCCTTCTGCTCTCCAAGGAACTCGTATGACACAGAGTTGAGGGTATAACTTCGCAGGTTATGATCTCTCTGGACGAGTTGAAGCAAATCCAACTGTATTCTCCCGTTTGTATTCGTCGTCTTCGTATCGCGGTTACCCATTTGCTTGCTAGAGAAATTCGACTCCTTGGCCTCAGACCTCATACCATTGAGTCGAGTCCAGTAGGGGAAGTTGGTACACTTGAGATGCTTCGCTCTGTCCAATAAATAAGGAAAATCGAAGTTGGCAATGTTATATCCAATAATGACATCCGGATCGACTTTTTGAACAAAGTCTCGCCAGGCCATCAGCATCTTCTCCTCCTGCTGGAACTCCAAAATCTGGGTGTTGACGATCAAACTGCAAGTGTTCAAAACAAAGACATTTCGGACGAACGGTTTCGACTCTCCATACCGAGTCACTACGTTGGCGATCTGGATGACCGGGTCTTGGTTTGGTTCTGGGAAGATCCCTTTTCGTCCCGCACACTCGATATCGAAGGAAAGAATCCGTAGCGGCGCCATCTTGGCCCAGTCACCAACCGGTTGATGGGCGACGAGATCACGGTAGTCAATGCGCGCTTCGAGCTGACAGTTTGAAACCTTGTCCTCTGGCGCGTGAAGCTGGTATTTTCCTGCCGGTGCCTCAACCCAGGACATACCTTGAATGCCGGTGTCAATCATGAACCGGAGAAGGTACTGAATGCTATCGAAAGTCAAAATCCCAGGCTCAGACTTGTTCCACAGCCCCTTGTAGTTCAGCGTCTGGGCCTTTGTCTCCAGAGCACTTCGCAACTTGGGGACGTGCTTCGGGTCCGTCACAGTGATTTTCAAGTAGTAGCTTTTCTTGTTGCCCTGGAATCCATAAATGTTCTCTCTCATCGTTATTTGGACGGAGTCGACAACGGTCGTAAAGTGTGCGAGCTTCGTCTCCAAGAAAGCACGGTACGGGTTGCAATCCTCCTTCGTGAAGCCAACAGGCGCAGCGATGTAAATATAGTGCTGAAAACCGGTAACATGGAGCAAGACCGACTGGCCAACCTATTCCAAGTCATCAGAAAAAAAACCCCAGAAGCTCTCCACCGAGAGTAAAGAACATACCTCCGTGACACCAAACAGCCGAATAGCAGCCCTCCCCCCATCCGCCGTCCCCTCCTCAGCATCAATCTGCTGGAAGCAAATATTCTGCGTTTTCGGATCAAACTCGCCCAGCGGCGGACGCTCCCACTGCTGGTCCTTCTCCGAGTTATTCTCCTTCAACCCACTGATATCCTGCGTCAATTTTTCCAGCACTTCCTCTTCGAATTGGCTTTTCTGCGGCTGGCTCGAGCCGCCAACTCTCCGCTGCGCCGCATCATTATGGGTCCGCGGGCTGGGTTTCACGGCCGCAGCAGGAGCAGGCTCAGTATCGATCTTGCGTTTCTTCATCCCGGGGGGTGATTGTACGGCGCCGCGGGGGTTCGTGTTTGTTGCGTCGCCCAGAACCCGCTTCTGGGGCATGGCGATGGCTTCAGGCATGGCGGGCGCTCATAGATAACGCGGGAGTGTGCGGGCAAGGGCGATGGCAGAGGCGTGGAGCTCGTTAAGCTGCGTGTATGGAATTCGGTTCAAGGAATGTGAGTGAATGCCCGGGCCTGTGTTTTGGTGCAATCTAGGCGCGGACGAATCTGGGGCAGGATAATTAATTAGAGGCGTGTCTTGCGCGCGCGTGACGTGACCCGACGCGTTGAGCGGCATCACGTGATAATGTACATATTATGCATGCATTAATTGTGCCAGTGCAGGAAAACAATCTCATGCGATAATGCTGTTAGTCTTCAATGGAGTAGGCTCGCTTCGAAGTTGACGACCTTGAGTCATGTATTCGGTGAATTCTATTGCGCTACGCCGTGATCTGCTGTTATTTGCCGACATTTAGATTTCGCGTCTCAGACTTATACTTCGAGATATATATAATTGGTTTGCATTCGCAAGAACACTGCGATATATGAAATATACCACTGAAAATTAAATATTGGGTAGATTTCTGAGTAATCGACTCTACCATGCTATCTGACTAATTTAGAATTTGATCTCGTCAAACCCTCGATTTCAAAGATGTGCAACAAGCTCAATCTCTACCTCTGCATCAAGCGGTAAACTAGCAACAGCAACGCAGGTCCGACACTAGAGAACATATTAGACAACTGACCATAGCTCAGATAGGAAACAAGGGAGAGTTTATACCGGCTTCACCCCATCATTAAAAACCTTGGCATACCCCTCATTCACCTTGGTGTAGTGCTGCATGCTGGAAAGGAAGATGGTTACTTTGACGACTTTGCTAAGATCACTACCACCAGACTTGAGGACCTCTTCGAGGTTCCGGAGGGCTTGGACCTTTATGTCTATATTAGCAGGGCAAATCTCGATATGGTGGTGGGTGGTGTATAAGTATGGGGGTTCTACCGTTCTGTCCGATGCATCGCCATCAACGAACTTCCCAGTCTTTGGGTCGATGCCAAGACTCCCTGAACAGTAGATCGTGCCGTTGATGATGATTCCTTGGGACATCAGTGGGCTCGGGGCCGGGGCGTTGGGGCTTAAGATGGCGGCCTTGGTGGATGACATATTGGTGGTTTTGTGGGTATCGGATTTAGAAGGAAATTAAATATATACCCGCAGTAGATTATAGTAGATTATAGTACGGAAAATGTGCTACAAGTGATTTTGAGTGATAATATAAATATTATATAGGCATAACCATTGGAGCGCGGGTGAATCGGGAACGCCTTCCCCTCCAGGCCAGGGAGTGAGCGCAGGCAGGCGACAGCGAGAGCTAAACCTGCACTGTACAAGCCTACGTTAACATCAGAGCCGTGTTATTTCTCGCCGCGATTTGCCTCCACAGACTCGTTTTCCGGTCTCCATCGCCCGGCCCTTCTGCCCAAACCTGCTCGAGGACACCGATGCCGGGGCTCATAGACCCAATAGCATGCGGCTCCACCTGCGCATACCAGGCTCTAAATCGGTCTTGGAGGCGAGGGTCGAAGGTCTCGCTGGCTGCAATAAATGCTGGCCAGTACAGAGGGGATGCTTGGACTTGCCACTCGGCTTTTATCCGTTCAACGGCTTCAATGCCCTCGAGCACCTCCTCGACGAATGGCTTCAGATATCGATGGTCTAAGAGTCTTATGTGTTGTGCAAAGTATATTACGATGGCCTTGTGGAAGGCCCGCGTCATATCGTGAATAATGCCTGTGTTTGCTGCGAGTCTTGATGTGACATCTGTATGTGCGGTGTCGGTTTGCCAGTCCATGATGTTCGTTTCCAACTCGTCGCATCTTTCGGCCAGCGGCGACGGAATGTTCTTGTTTTGAGAGATCTCTCGTACCTCGTAGACGGCGTTAATAAGGTCGGTGGCTTTACCAAGGAATACTAGTAGGCTCTTCGGAATGGCATATATGCTTTCATAGGCACCGGCCTGTTTCGTGTCGTCGGGGCCTGCAAATGGCGAGGTCACCAACAGTGAGCCCTCGAGAACGGCATCAAATCCATAACATGATGGAGATGTGGCGTCCGTCTCGGAAGCTTTTATAGGAGGAGCGCGAATCGCTGTACTCTCGTAGATAGTGCGTAAATAGAAGTAGATGCGATGAAGAGCTTTGGCCTTGTTTGAGTACTGCGTCTTCCACTTTGCGGTCTCAGTAATCAGCCTGCAGGCAGCGTCTAGGTGAAGACCGCAGCTGGCGATATCACCCGATATGACCTAAGCCAATATGAACTCATTATCCAGCATTCAGTGACGAGAGTCTTACATTGATGGAGATCATAGAAAGCATAGTCGCCAGGAACTCCTTATATTTTGGCCTGACAGTAGATGTAGACCTGGTCTTAACAGAATCCTTAAGCAGAGTCATGGCCGTGCCGTGAAAGTGCATAGCCTCTCTCCTCCATTTTGTCGCTTCATCGCTCCTGGACTGGAGCCTGTTGTGCTTGGATAAATAGAACGCGCTGACTGATAGCAATGTAGTCCTCAGAGCAGCTCGGATTTGGGAAGTCGAGCCGTCAACAACCATCTCGCCAGCGCTTTGCAACATGCGGGGTAGATGAACGGTCTTCCAAGGGCTTTTGGGACTATCAAGGACTGGGAACAGGTGAACGACCGTGGTGCCGTAGTAGTGCATCAAGAGGCGTTCATTGCTGGACAGATGTTCCGGAGACAGAGACCGTGGAATGACAGGACTGAAACTGATTTCCCAGGTATCTCGGGCAGGGTGTGAGCTGTCTATGCCTTGAAAACCAAATATATCGAACTCGCTGAAAGGGTCAAGTGCAAGAGGTTCGTCTTCAGTGGCGAGCTGGAGCGAGTTAAAAGGGTTCATGTACGGTCTCTCGATGGGATAGATCTCTTCCTCCGGAATAGGAGCTGTGATTGTCGGTATTGCATCGGCAATCTCTTCAGCGACCGTAGCGGAGTCTTCTTGATCTGGAGATGGTGGGATAGACGCGCAGGCTGTTTCTGGAGGAGTCCTTGTAGGAGCTGCATCGCGATCGGAATTCGACAAGTCGAATACACCAAAACCTCCTACAAATGTAGAAGACACCTCCCCGTCTCCTTGATAATCAACCTGCCCTGGCTTTATCGCATCGATAGCAGCCAGGGCCTCATCAACCTGACACGATGGAGGTGCGTCCTCATTGTCACCTGCAATAGTTATTACCTATACAATTCACAGATACAGCGGGTGAGTACATACCGGACATGAGCCGCCGTCTACACGATCCAGTTAGAACCGGCTGCTTACCAACTCCCTGGCTATCGTCCTCCAGCCCAGTCCCGGGTGCCATCCACTGCAGTCGGATCCCATATCCACCGCAGGGAATGTCTCTCCGGCGGCATTGGCGACAGACTGGTCGTCCCTCGTCGCATTTCACCTTGCGTGCGCGACAGGTCCAGCAGCCTGTGAATGTTTTGTTATGCCTGCGAGGCCGATTGGCAGAGCGAGGAGAGTGGGTGGGCATTGCAGGTGGATGAGTTGTTGGAGAAAGAAGGAAAGTCAGAGCGAGAGTTGGAGTTATCTGGGGCTAATGCTGACACTGATAACATAGTTAAGCTGTCTACCCCAAATATTATTTACGCAGATTTCTTGCAAGGATTCTCATACTGCTTAACTGCTGCAATCGATACCCGTTTATACCTATTATGTATACGTTTAGAAATAAGTAATCAAGCAGCAGCCCTCCCCCTCGTCTCAATAGGCAAAACCAAAAATACCAAACCAGCCAGCACAAACAACGCCGCCGAGATCCAAACCGGCATATCCGTCTCAACCCCAGTATACGCCGCAATAATCGGCGCCATAAGACCCGACAGCCGATTAAACATAGCCACCAGCCCATTCGCCGTGCCCCTGACCGGCGCGGGAAACAGTTCCGGTGTATACGAGTAAAGCAAACCATAGACAAGATTCTGGAAGAATGCAATCGCGCACGTAAACCCCAGCACGGCGGCGTTTGTAGAGGCGCGTGTAAATAGGAATAGGAAGACGCCTGTGCTGATGCATGCAATTGTCCCTGTGCCCTTGCGCCCGATATGGCGCATTTCGACTGTGATTCCGCCGAGTAGGGAGGCGGGGATTCCGCAGACTGCTTGGATGGCGTAGTTGCGGTATACTTGTGCTGGGGAGGTGCTGCTGTATTCAACGCCTTTGGCGGCGAGGTAGATTGGGATGAAGGAGTTGTAGAGGGGGTATGCCATCCCGATTGAGCACCAGAGGAAGAGCATCATGGTCGTCGAGAAGGCAAGACGGGGAGTTGAGAAGAGGGATTTTACCTTGTCTGGGCTGAATTTGGTGATGCTGCGTTTGAGGATGTTTGTGGAGGTTGTGTTTGGTGCTTCTTGGGTTTCTTCAGAGCGCTGGCTTGCAAGCTGGGCGTCGATGGTCTCAAAGTGGGTTACTGTAAGCCAGGTGCTGGTTCGATTTCGAGACGCCACTTTTGATACGACATCCACTGCTTGCTTGTCGAGTCCTTTTCCCAGGAGATATTTGGGGGTTTCGTAGACCCGGAAGAGCAGACGTGCCAGGAACATGGCCAGAGTGAGGCCGCCGAAGGTCCAGTAACAGTATCGCCATCCGAGATTGTCCTGGAACGTGCATTGACCAGAAGGCGTGTCGGAAGGACAAGAGTATTTTGCCATCAACGGCCTAAGGCAGGTCAGTATACCAATCCACCGACGAATATGGTCAAACATACCAAGCAATCAACGCAGCAACAGCCTGCCCAAGAGACCAGAATGCCGACTGCATGGTAAGCAGATATTGATGCGTTGCAGGAATGAACTCCAGAAAGATGGCGCTATCCACAGGCTGATTCCCACCAGTCCCCACGCCAATAAAGGCGCAGAACACCGATATAGCAATGAAATTAGGGCTGCCAGCCCCAACCAGCCCCGAGACAGCGGATATCAAGAGAGTAACATTAAACGCCAATCGCCTGCCAATAAAATCCGCTGTCATCGGCCAAATACTCGATCCCACGACCAGGCCGGCGTACTTGGCTACAGTGAGGAAGGCAATCTTGTCGACAGAGAATTCGACTTGCACAGCAGGACTGATGATAGTTATAGCCTGCATCCAGAACTGCACAAATAATTATTTTCAGCGAAAGAATGCAAGCTGCTTCTAGTATACGCACATTATCAATAAACCACCCCAGGCCGGTCAACGCAAAGATCTTCCATTGAAACGAGCCCATCCCAAGGTCAATAAGGGCCTCGTTCATGATTGCCACTTTCCTTTCATACACTTCGTCCGCGCCCTGGGCGATAGTACTAGTGTCGATTCCGTGGTAGTCGACATGGCCAGTAGTGATATCTTTGTGGGCCGTATGAACGAGATTCGCCTCTTGCTCTTGGGCGGCCGGTGGGTCTTTCTTCTGGTTGAGCATTCTGTTGTCTGCCATTTTACAAAGTTCAACGAGCCTGCTTTTCAACATTAAGATGTACTGCAGACTTTAGGCGATACCCCGCTTGATACCCAGGTCGTGCCCCGCGTTGTGCGGTGGATCATGATAGAAAGAGATATGCAACTGATAGGAAAGCTAGCCTATTCTGGCAAAATATTCCTTTCACCTGACACCAAACAAGTGGTAAATACTCTGTGGTTGTACCTTGCGCTTGGTATGAAATTGACTCAACTGTTGATATCAATGTATGAAGACTGGTGGAACAAGAAATCTACTTCTCCACCGGCGGCTGGAATACCCCAAATCCAGAAACTGCAGTGCAGATCTGGACCTGACAGAGTATGAAAATAAAAAGTGGGGTGAATTCAGGCAGTGTATCCTGGGCGCTTTGAATACCCTCATTTCAGTATAGTACAGAGGCAAATGATGGCGGCTCAAATTACCGGAATGCGTAATGTCAGCCTATCTAGATTGCATAAATATCCAATGTATACTGGAAGAAACGGATAAGATACAACACTTTCAAGTGATCACTACTCTCTGATATCGTACCTTATTCTAAATGGCTCCCCCAGTTGCACTCGAAACTCCACAAGCTGGCATTCTCCCCAAAACACCAAAAACCCAACATGACCCAGTAGGACCAAGCCAGGCTGGCACTACACTATTCAACCCAGCAAAACACCTATCCTTCTCGCCACCCTCCAAAACCCTCCAAATGTCCGACCTAGCCCTCGAGCCGACACCCCTCTCCAACGTCGCAACAACAGAACCGTTTCCACTCCTCTCCCACGACGCAGTCCTTGCGCACCGCCGAGAGATATTCAGCCCTGACGTACTCGACAACTGCATGCACCACACACGACCGGGCTCCGTGCAGATCCGCGGGATGGCACCGCGCTACGCCCCCTTCATCCACCAGTTCTGGCACTCCCCTGAAGTCCTGAGAATCATCAGCAACGTTGCGGGCGTGGAACTTGTTCCGGCGATGGATTATGAGATCTCGCATGCTAATGTGCAGCTCGGGGGTGGGGGGTTAGAGGAGGTGCGTAGGACGCCTGTTGAGCCGCCTGTTGCGACGGAGGAGGCGATTGGGAATTTTCGTCGGGAGAAGGAGAAGATGAAGGAGAGGGAGGCTGTGACGGATCAGACGAAGCCGATTATTGAGTGGCACAAGGACTCGCATCCTTTTGTTTGTGTTGTTATGCTGTCTGACGCGAGACATATGGCTGGGGGTGAGACAGAGTTGATGAAGGGGGATGGGTCGACTTTGAAGGTGAAGGCGCCGCAGATGGTGAGTTGTCTTAGCATTAATGGGGTTATAGCAATTGCTGACTTCGGCTAGGGATGTGCTGTCCTACTGCAAGGGCGATATATCACGCACACCGCAGCGCCGGTAACTAACATGCCGGAAAGGGTTACGATCGTGACGTCTTTCCGGCCAAAAAACCCTATGCTGGTGGATGAGATGACGAATGCAAACATCAGGAACAAGTCTCATCTTTCGGAGCTGTACTACCAGTGGACAACGTATCGTCTGGACGTGCTGGCAGAGCGTGCGCGGATAGTTGCAGAGACGCTGCGCAAGCGCTACGAGGAGAATGTCAAGCAGTCAGATCCAGAAGGAAAGAAAGGCCTGTGTCGTATCGAGACGGTGGACGTCGCCGCGATGCAGAAATGGGCAGACGAGCAGATTGCTTATATCCAGCAGACCATGTACGAGATGAGGCCGCTTGGGCAGTAGCCTAGCATCCGATTCTCTTTATTAGCTGTTAACAGTTGCAAATGAGTTTGATTGACTGTATATATTCAGCACAACTATCCCAGTAGGATCGTACTGTTCGTAGTATTTGCTATACCTGCGTCACTTGCACTCCAGGAGTTGAGTAGCATGTCTACCACGCAGCTAAAGTGCTTCATGTGAAATTGCCGCTCAAGAGTATTTAGACGAAGAAGGATATAGGCCCGCTGGGACCCATCAAGAAGAGTCAACTCCTTCGCAACAATCCCAATCGGCCAGAGAAGTGTACTTTCGTACGGCGAGCCTTCGGGCAATAGTTGCACCAGCTGGACTGCCCACAGGGCCAGGCGATTCTTGGACAGGTCTTGATTAATCCACATGCTTTCACGCTGTCGTCTGTAGACCATGCCTGCAATTCGATACAGTTCTGACATTATCATCTGGTCGGTTGGGTTGTATGTATTGATTAAATGTTCGACACGGTGGAAATGGGGATCCATCGCTAGATATAGATTATCCCAATGGAAATAAGTCTCAGCATTCTCTGACGCCACCAAGGCGAAGCTAGGAAACCAGTCCAGCCTTCCATCCCAGGCGGAAATTTCTGCATCAGTCACAGTTGGGTCACCGGAACTAATACGCGCGATAAGGCAAGGGAAAGCGAAGCGTCCGGGACTGGAAAGTCGGTCCAGGGAGATCTGAGCCGAGATCCCGGTGAGGTAAAAGTCAGACAGAGTTGGCGCCTGCAATGAAGTTGATCGGACAAGATCGTTGTACCAGAAGAGACTTAGAAGAAAGTCAAACTCCTTGTCCACAGGCCAGAGCAAGGGCTGGGAGCAGAGTTGGGCTATGAAGCTGAGATGGGGAGACCAGTTCTCTTGGCCTTCCCCAGCGAGCTTTTCGAAAAGGAGTAATAGCATGCAGCTGGCAAAGACGCTGATTATAGTTTGATTGTGCATTCCTTTGAGCTCAACTCCAGGCATATCAAGCTGGGATAGAAGCTGGCGACACCCGCCCAGTGCCTTCTGCCTCAGTCTCAGCATTGCTGCGCCCATGCCGAATGATCCATTCTCCCAGCTCTGGACAGCACTGAGTGCGAGGAGCGAATCCAGGACAACACGGCACTGCATGGCGAGTGGCAGCAAAACGGTCAGGAATGGGTTTGTAGGTCCTGAAAACGCGGGATAAGTGTTAGAGAATCTCTGGATGTAGCGGTCGAGAAGCACAGATTCGGTAGCATTGAGCTCAAACGGCCAGGCTGACAGCCCAGAGATCCTGCTCGTTAAAGCGACACCATGGGGACTGTTCATTGCAAGGGCTTTGCCTGGGCCCCTCCTCCTCATCCCTTCTCTTCGTACGTCGTCTTCCCATACGAGTTGGACATTGTTCTCACACGGTAGTCCCAGTCTGGTACAGTTGCGGCATGGGGTGCCTGTGCCATCGCACTTCTTCTTTCTGGTTCCTGTTAGTGATGCTCGGCGGGCCCGGCGTCAGTATACCTTTTCCTGTAGGTCCAACACCCGTTGCGCGATCTGCAGTGTTTCTGTGTGGAGCTCATTTCGAAGAATATTAATAGTTGATGAGCCCGTCAAGATGCGGACGAGACTGTGAGTCAGTTAAAGCGAGCCTGAGTTACTCCAACTCCCCCAACGGTCGCCATCACTATTCCCAATTAGGGCATCAGTTCCCCAGGCCCACCAGTTCCAAGATACAGATTACAGTATAACTATGGTTGTGCCCATTCATTTGGATACTATGTACAATGACTGAAATGGCCAACCCCGAGACATACTATTTCCCCCCAACGCGTTATGTACCGAATAGCAGATTTCCAGTCCTGGTCTATAGGAACGCCTTCCCCCGCCTTATGACGAATCCGCGATGCAGAATCAACTAGAAAAGAATAAATGGTTCAAAGGGGTGAGTGTAGACAATGATTCACCCAACCAGCAAGTTAACAATTGGAAGGGCACCTGGGGCGCAGTCCCTCGTCACCACTTCCACCCAAATTCTCATGAATGCTATGGTTCGTTATGCCAGATACCCTCTAGGATATACTAACCCTGCATTTAGCTATCCTACAGGGTTCATCTACTCTTCTAGTAGGCGTTGGACCTCTCGATGACCCGGGCATAGGAAAGACGATCCGCGTTGAGGCTGGCGATGCCATTATTTTCCCATCAGGGGTGTCGCATTGCTCAGTTGACTCTGAAGGTTATCGTTACATGGGTGTTTATCCTGAGGTTTGTGCCACCTATTCCTATGTCTTTCATGCACTAAGAGAGTGAATAAATTAGGGCGCACCAAAGTGGAAGAACGAGTATTGCAAGGACTCCAGCCGATGGGAATCGATATGTAGGGAAGCACAGCAGGTTCCTGTTCCAGAGTGGGATCCCATACGTGGACATCTAGGCCCGCTATCCAGACTCTGGTCTGGAGACTCGAAGCTAGAAACATAACTATCTGAGAAGCTTATAGACCTGTTTACGATAACTGATACCATCTAATCATTTCACCCACTCTCTGGCTACTTAATAAATCATGCAGTAGCAGACGTAATCCCCCCGTCCACTACGATCTTCTGCCCTGTGATATACCTACTCTGGCCACTCGCCAAAAACAACACCGCCATCGCAATATCCATCCCATCACCCATCCTCCCCGTCGGCACAGCATTATGCCTCTTCTCAATAAACCCCTCCAAATTACCCTGCGCGTACTTCTCCGCTAGAACCGTCACAAGCGGCGTATGCATAAGACCCGGAACAGCAACATTCAGCCGGATCCCCTTCGCAGCATAAATCACAGCCGTGGCTTTCGTGAACTGGATCACACCGGCTTTTGTGGCAGAGTACGCGACCTGTGGTTTGCCGATGTAGCGTAGACCTGCAATGGACGAAATATTGACTACGGCGCCGCTACCCTGGTTTTCCATCACGGGCAGAATATGGTGGCATGTTAGGTAGACGGATTTGAGGTTGATGTCTGTTTGATCGTCCCAGACTTTCTCGGTCAGTTCGACGGGGTCGCCGCGTTCAGATCGACCGACATTGCTGTGTAGTTAGCAGTGGATCTCATTTAAGATCCATGTCCAGATATTCCAGCACCGGGTAAGTGTTTACTTACTTCACGAGAACGTCAATCCGGCCGTACTTCGCAAGACATTCATCGACAGCACGCTTAACGTCCTGGTCTTGCGTTACGTTTGCCTGTGTGACGGTAATATCACCGCCTTCTTCTGCCTGGACACGCTTCTGTGTGCGCAAGGCAGCATCTAGATTCAGGTCGCAGCCAAAGATCTTTGCGCCTTGATGTGCCATAAGCCGAGCTATTGAGGCTCCATTTCCCCACATGGTGAGACTGGGATCGCCGGACTGGCCGACTCCGGTTACTGAGTATCAATTAGCATTGATTAATTGGGAGGGGTTTGTGACATACGGAAAACGACTTTGTCTTTTAGGTCTGGGTATGTTGCGAGCTGTGGGTCGGGATTTGGATGTGTGGTTGCCATCTTGGACTTGTGTTTTTATCGCAGAGTTAAGTCAGATTTGGATGTTATTTTAGGATTGATATTTCTGGCTGGCATCAAAGAGCCAAGCTGTGCTTGAGGGGTACTGTTATATAAGTAGATGTGAGGTCTCGGAGAAGTATCCGGGCAGTTCAACCTGAATGGACGTACCCATAGAATACTAGCAGGAGCACACAACTGTTCGTAAATAGATTTAGGTAGAGAGGCAACTGTCAGAGACCTTCTAACTGCACAATGTCCATAGTAGTGTATCAAATGATGAGCAACCGAGTTGAACGAAATATTGCCTCGCTCCTAACTGCCAAACTGAAAGCTGGATAGCCCACCCCACTAAACAAATAGCTCCGGCAAAGTGGAGGTTCTATTAGCATGGGTAATAAATTTGGTGTTACGTGGGACGCCGGAAGTCCATTCCATTTTAAAAAGCTGGGGGTTTATACTAGAACTTAGGAACTATCCGTGCACTGAAGACTCATACCCTATCAAGTCTGGATCACAGGCTATCATACGGATAAGATGTCACTACGAGGTAGTACACTCGCTTACTGTTATGAACAGGCCAGAATGTACTATGATAAATTGTAATATCTAGACGACTGCCTCTACAAAGATGCCCTATGAACGACGTTGACATTCCCCGTAATAACCGTCTTCATGTTCAAGTAGTCCTCTATGCCATACTTGCTTCCCTCGCGGCCTAGACCAGAGTGCTTGACACCACCGAACCTGTATTTGTTAGCAGTATGTTCAACCATAGACAAAATAGAGGCACTCACGGAGCAGCTGCATCTGACACAACCCCAGTGTTCACCGCAACCATCCCAAAGGAGAGAGTCTCTGTAACGCGCGCAACACGGTTGACGTCTTGCGAAAAGACATAAGATGCCAGACCTACATCACACTTGTTTGCGATATCGACGACTTGGTTCTCGTCGTCAAAGCTGAGGATCGGCGCAACAGGGCCGAATATCTCTTCCTCCATTAGTCGCATGTCTGTCGTGACATTTGTCAAGATGGTGGGCTCGATGAAGTTAGGTCCTAAGGGAAGCTATTAGCACCAACCAGAATCCAGTTGGATAAACGTACCAAGATCAGACCGCCGTTTTCCTCCAACTTCAACTTTAGCACCAGTCTTGACAGCATCTGAAATAAGAGACTCCACCCGGGCAGCAGCCGCAGCAGTAACAAGCGGCCCATGAGTAGTACTGCTATCAAACCCAGACCCAACCTGGAATCCCTTTACAACCTCCTTAAGCTTACGCACAAACTCCTGATAAACGCCCCTCTGAACAAAAATCCGATTCGAACAAACACAAGTCTGCCCCGACGACTTGAACTTACTCGCAACCGCTGCCGCAACCGCAATATCCAGATCTGCATCCTCAAACACAATAAACGGCGCGTTCCCACCAAGTTCAAGGCTGAGTTTCTTCAACGTGTCACTAGACTGGTTCATAAGGATCTTACCAACGCGAGTCGAGCCCGTGAATGAGATCTTGCGCACGGTATTCGACGCGCACAGCGTCTGCCCGATTATAGGTGTATTCTCCAGGGCCGTGATACTGTTGACCACGCCCTTGGGAACACCAGCCCGTTCACCAAGAACCAGCAGCGCATTCGCAGTGAACGGCGTCTCGCCTGCCGTTTTCACAACCGCCGTACAGCCAGCTGCAAGAGCAGGTCCGAGTTTGCGGGTTATCATCGCAGCAGGGAAGTTCCACCTACACCTCTATTAGCATCTGCACCGAGTATAGTTAGGGGGCGCATACGGCGTAATAAGCCCAACAACACCCACAGGTTCCTTCAGCACCGAAACCCTAAACCCAGGCTGCGAGTGCGGCACAACGTCACCATAAACCCTTGGCGCCTCCTCGGCAAACCACTCCAAGAAACTCGCGGCAAAGAGTACCTCGCCTGCTGCATCGGGGCCCGCTTTGCCGTTTTCCCAGGTAATGAGGGTCGCAAGGTCCTCTTTGTTCTGGATAACCAGTTCGTACCATTTGCGCAGGACGCGCGAGCGGTCGCGGCCTGTGCGGGTGCGCCAGGCTGGGAGGGCTGCTGAGGCGGCGCGGATGGCCTGTTCGGTGTCTTGGGGGGTTGATTCGGGGCATGTTCCTATTAGGGCGTTGCTTGCGGGGTCTATATCCATTAGAACTGCAATATCTATAAAAGGAGGGTAATACCGTAGACGTCGAATGTCTTTCGCGATGCGGACTCGACCCAGTGGCCGCCGACATAGTTCTTGCCTATGAAGAGCGAGGGATCGTTGAGTTTGGGTGCAGCCATTTTCAATAGCTTGGAAGGCATAATGCAATTCTGAAATGTGTTGGGATATCACATATATTTGCAGCCCATTGTATACTCTTGATTCTCCAATGACGAGCTGCGACGGTTTAGGAAGGCGACTGCGAGACTCAATAAAGCAGCCCCGAGCGAGACCCACAGGCGGGGTATTTGGAGTATTGAGTATTGGAGTATTGATATCAGTATTGATATCTCTTGGGAAGGAAACCAGATAAGTGCAGACATTCGTAGTCAAGTCCACTCCTCTCCTCAATATCTCAACTGAATAATCTGTTCATCATGCCCAAGACAGTCGAAACAGTGGATCTCTCCCACACCGCAGGCCTCTACTACGGCCCTGCCACAATTTCCAGTGGAAAAGTGCTGCACATCTCCGGCCAGCCAGGGAGCACCAACTCCGGCCACGTCCCAGACGACTACGAGTCCCAAATCCACCTATGCCTGTTCAACCTGCGAAAGCTGATCATCGCAGCGGGGGCCGACATCAAAGACATCGCAAAGCTCAACGTCTACATCGTCAACTACGACGCCGGCAACCGCAAGCATGCCCGCCCCATCCAACGTTTCTTCGGCAAGCACCGACCAGCGCAGACTCTTGTTCCTGTGCCCAAGCTTGCTGTCCCGAGCTGGTTGATTGAGATTGATGCGGTTGTTGCACTCCCCGAGCAGCCTTCTATCCCTCCGGCTCTCCCTGCTGCGACCGAGACTGCTGATGTCGTGGTTATCGGCGCCGGTCTAGCTGGACTTACTGCCGCGCATGAAGTTATTCGAGCCGGTCTGTCTTGCATTGTCCTCGAAGCCCGAGACCGGGTTGGCGGAAAGACATGGAGTCAGTCTACTGCCGATGGAAAGGGGGTCATTGACGTGGGCGCTGCCTGGATCAACGATACCAACCAGAGCAAGGTCTACGCGTTGGCGAAGCGGTATGGCGCCGAGATGATCGTGCAGAATACCCAGGGTAATGCAGTGATTGAAGATTCTGATGGGAATGTGTCCCCGTTTGCGTATGGGGAGTTGCCAAATGTAAGCCCACCAAATTAATACCAGTAAACTACGTCAAGTTAACAGCTACAGTTCGACGAAGCGACAAAGAAAAACGTCGCCGATATAAGAGACATGTGCGAGGCAGACTGCCAGGCCCTGGATACCTGGCGACCGAAGGACACAGTCCTCGATGCCCTAACCTTCGAGGCATATCTTCGCTCTCGCGGCGCAAGCAAGACAGCCCTGGCCACAGCAACAGTGTGGACGCGCGCAATGCTCGGTCTTGAACCCAGCGACGTCTCGGCACTTTATTTCCTCAACTACTGCAAATCAGGCGGTGGTCTGCTCCAGATGCGCTCCGACCGGAAGGACGGCGGACAGTATCTACGGATCCGCGGGGGCACGCAGACATTCGCAAAGGGCCTCGCCGGTTCTCTTCCCGACAATGTCGTTCGTCTGAACAGTCCCGTCCAATCTATAATCCAAGAGAGCGGTCGGACTGTCAAGATCCAGGCATCCGGTGTCGTCTATTCAGCGCGGAAGGTCATAACGACCGTCCCCGGCCCAGTCGTTAAGAATATCTCATTCTACCCACCCCTCCCACCCGTGAAGCGCGCATGGACCGAGTCGCTATACTACGGGTACTACACCAAAGCGATGATGGAATTCAAGGCTCCCTTCTGGATAGACCGTGGGTTCTGCGGTCTCACACAGTCCTTCATCGGTCCTGCCGGCGTTATCCGCGACAGTTCCATCCCGCAGGACCACAAGTTCGTCCTGACCTGCTTTATGGGCGGCGAGCCAGGGCGCGCATGGGCTTCTCTTTCCACCTCCGAACGAGAGAAGCATCTACTAGCCCAGATAAGCAAGCTCTACGGAGCCGATGCGGAAAGTCAGTTTGTGCGCATGACGGCGTACGAGTGGCCGAATGACGAGTTTGCCGGGTTTGGGTGTCCCTGTACGTCGCTTCCACCTGGTGTATTGGATTCGCTGGGTGGTGATGCGTTGAGGGCGCCGGCTGGCAATGTGCATTTTGCGGGCACGGAGACGGCGGGCGAGTGGAAGGGGTATATGGAGGGGGCTGTGAGGAGTGGGGAGCGTGCTGCAGAGGAAGTTGTTAGGGATTTTAATCCGCCTGTTGTTGCTAGGCTGTAGACGCCATAGTATCTATAGTCTAAATGCTATTCTTTATTGTCTATTGCGGCTTGGATTATAGTGGCAATGTAGGGTTGCCCACTTCAACGATACACATAAAGTAAATAGTATGTAAGCAGAAAGCTGATTAAGTTGATAAGTAACATTATCATCTGCGATTGGAAATACTTGAGAATTTGGTAGTCGCTCATGATGCGCAGAGTACAATCAGGCAGGCGACGCCGAAGAACAGGAAGGCCGGAGCGAGACCGCGCCACTGCGGGGTCTCCAATTTACCAGAGCTATATGAAGAAACCCTTCTGTCCACTTTTCCTTTCTCCCTTGCATCTTAATCTACATCCATTGTAACAGATATGACTGTCAGCAAGAGCAGAATCCTCATCGTCGGCACCGGCGGCATCGGCACCGTCTCCGCGTACTCGCTCGAACGAGGCGGCGCTGCGGAGGTCACAGCAGTGATGCGCTCAAACTACGAAGCTGCTGTGAAGAAGGGAATCGATATTGACTCCGTGCAGTACGGCCAGGTCAAAGCGTGGAGGCCAACAGCCAGTAAGGCCACCTAAACCTATACATATAAAGCTATATACTAACATAAAAAGTCGTCAAATCCGTCCCCGACGTTTCAAAGGAGAATATTCCCCCCTTCGACTACATCGTCGTAACAACAAAAAATATTCCAGACGCACCACCGACAGTCTCCGACCTAATCGCGCCCGCCGTAACCCCAGGCAAAACAGCCATAGTGCTATCCCAGAATGGCCTCAACATCGAGAACCCCCTAATCGAGCGCTTCCCCACAAACCCCCTAATCAGCAGCGTCGTCTACACAGGGGCAACAATCACCGGCCCAGCAGCCGTCTACCACGACGACGATGAGTGCCAGAAGATCGGCGCATTCGTGAACCCTGCCGTCCCTGCGAGTGTTGCAGATGAGGCAGCGCAGCGCTATGTGCAAATCTTCAACCCTAGCGGTGAACTAGAGATAATCTACGAGCCAGACGTGGCGACGACGCGCTGGCGCAAGATCGCATACAACGGGAGCATGAACCCCGTCGCGACGATTCTGGGGATGGACACGCCGCGCATGCGCATGACGGTGCATGTCATCGATGACCTGATCTTGCCTATAATGCGGGAGGTGGTTGAGATCGCGAAGGCTTGTGGAGTGACGCTTCCTGAGGAGAAGGACCTGGCGCATGCGATACTGCACCAGGATCCGAATGATACGGCGTTTAAGCCCAGCATGTGTCAGGACTATGAGAAGGGGAATTTGATGGAGATTGAGAATATTTTGGGCGAGCCGCTGAGGGTGGCGGAGAGGGTTGGTGTGCCGGCGCCGAATTTGAGGATTGTTTATAGCATCATGAAGGGGTTGCAGGTTAGGGTTAAGGAGAGTAAGGGGCTGTGGGAGGCTACTTTTCAGCCGGGGAATCCGTATGTGTAGTTTTATTTGATTATGATGTATTTAGAATGATATTCACATACTGGTTCAATAAGTTTTAGCATCTACATTGGTTACTCAGTTCAGACAGCAAAATGACCTACCTATGCTCGTAGCGTGAGACTCCACGAGACTGGAAAATCAAGAGTGTCCAATTTCCAGACCAGCAGATAACATCATACTCCGTGTCAAGGACGTCCGGCATCGCCTTCCCCAATTTCAAATCCAGCTTGGAACCACGCAGCGGGGTAAATCGTATCCACCGATCGATAAACGAGTGGATCCTCGATCTGTCTATCCAAGTCAAACAAGGCAGCCCACAGCGAAGCGCCTTTCTCCAACACACGGGGCAGCCGACGGCGAGTATCAAACAGCAAGACATTCCGACGCCACTTGAATTACTCATACTCCTGATCCAAGATTGCAAACGTATGACTAGGACGGGAGATTAATACTACCCAGATCGCTCTATCTTATCTTCAACCTACCCATATCATAACTTATCCAAAATGTCTACAACCACTACCATGGAAGCAACGCCTATTGCGCAGCCTCAGATACAGGAAAAGCTCAATGAGCAAAAGAGCTCCAGTTATCCAACCCAGAACCTCGCCGTCGCTACAGGCGGCTACATCTTCCCCGGTATCCCCAAGATAACAGACCCCTACAAGAAGCGCCAGTGGCAGCTCGAGCACATGGCGGGCGCATTCAGAGTCTTCGCCCGCAAGGGCTTCACCGAGGGAACAAGTGGGCATATCAGCGTGCGGGACCCGGTTGAGCCGGACACATTCTGGATTAACCCGTAAGTCAAGTCTAGTATTCTTTGACTCCTTGTATAGGTGAATGGGCTAACTAACTTGAACAGCCTCGGCAAGCATTTTGGCATGCTAAAGGCCAGCGATATGGTACATATCAATGAAGCAGGCCAAGTCATCGGGGGTAACAGAGTCGCTATAAACGCCGCCGGCTTCGTGATCCACAGCGCCATCCACCGCGCACGGCCCGACATCCACGCTGCATGCCACATGCACTCGCCGAACGGAAAAGCGTGGTCGACGTTTGGCCGGCCCGTTGATATTATCAACCAGGACTCGTGCAACTTCTACGGCACGCAGGCGGTGTATACGAACTTTGGCGGGGTGGTTATTGAGGATGAGGAGGGGAAGAGGATTACTGATGCGCTTGGGGAGAAAGGTAGGGTTATGTTCTTGCAGAATCATGGGCTGCTTACGACTGGTGGGACGGTGGATGAGGCTGCGTATCTGTTTACTTGTCTTGAGAGGACTTGTGAGGTGCAGTTGAAGGTGGAGGCGGCGGGGTTGGAGAAGAAGTTTATTAGCAAGGAGGCTGCTGAGTTTACGGCTGCGGCTAATGCGGATCCGGTATGCTCTTCCCTGCTGAAGTTTACCAATGGAGTTATGGCTAATGAGGTCAGGAAACGCTGTATACGGAGTTTCAGCCGGACTTTGAGTATGAGATTTGGAAGTCCAAAGGGGAGCTATGCAAGGGGGAGTAAACCCTGTTAATCGCCGTCTGGCTTCTCCCTGGGATTAAGTCTAGTTAACTGTTATTTGCTAAATGAATTTCCTTGTCGATAACGTGTCGGTGTTATACACGATGCCGTAAAGACGTGAGACCCTCCGAGGTTGGAAAATATTTAAGATTTACCTGTTATCACTCTCGTCGCAGAAATAAATACTTTTTAAATAATAGTATTACAAGTACATCTCGGAAGTCCAAGTCAAGAGAAACCTCAATGTATATCAACAGCTATCGAGAACCAAAATAACAAGCACGATCAATCACCCAATATCAAACCCAGCAAATATCCAGATAAACCAGTATTCAACTTCAATCTTCCCCTTCTTATCTACGAATTTGAATTATCCTCACAAGTCCAAGGCCTCGACCCTCCCCCAGCACTAAGGGACTGCATAATCCCGACAATCGACCCATAAGTCCCAGCAACAGTCATAAAGGTCCCAGAGACGATAACAAACCCCGCCCAGGCCGCAAGAAGCATCCACAACCACGGCCTATCCGTCGTCTTGCGCTGGTGCCAGTTATCGTAGAACCACATACACCCAGTAGGTTGGTAGGCCAGGAACGCACCCAGCAAGGCGCCGACAAGCGAGACGAGGTCGTTGAAGACCGGGATCCCGCTGGCGATTATATATGCGATGACCGTGCAGCTGAATGTGCAGGCTATCCAGGTTGTCCAGTGGATTAGGGAGTTGGAGGTTAGATGTGCTGAGCCGCGCAGAATGCGGACGAAGAAGTATTTGCTTGGGAGCTGTTCCTGTCAGAGTACTGTGGTGTTTAGAGGTGGGACACGTACATGTATCACGATAGTCGTTGTAGCGATTAGGCCGGGCAAGGATAGGCCATAGGCGATTTTCTTAATCAGAGTACCTGCAGACCCTAGGGCAGGAGAGGCGACCATGGTCCCGCAGTAGTAGTAAACCACAACACCAACGACGAGATACAGCAGAGTCGAGCCGAGCTGACTGATAACGAGAGCGCGGGTAAAGTACCGCGGGTCGCGCATTTCTGCTGCGAGGGAGAAATACGCTGGTGTGGCGGAGCAGGCGAATAATAATGTTGACACTGCCGAAACGCCTTCTGCGAAGGAGGGATAGTTTATGATTTTGTAGTCCGAAGACCAGCCTGGGGGTGCAGTTGAGGGACCTCCTTGAATGCCGACAGCGATTGTGACGACGAGGACTAGAAGTGTCAGTCAAGGCCTGAACTGGGGTAGGGTGTACAGACCAGATGTAACAATGCAGCCGAGACCAACCCATGCTATCCAGCTTATCCTCCCCAGTGTACGGATACTCGCCAGAAGGAACCCAGCAAGGGCAGCCACGACAACAAAGGCAGCGGTGCATGTTCCGTGGGATGAGATGGCATTCAAGCCGATAGAGAGGCCTAGGATACCAGACCCGGCAACAAATATCCAGTCTTATAAATTAGTATTCACGAGCATGGTGTATAGGAAGCTGGCTCTGGTGCCACTCACATAGACTAAATGCCAGTCCAAAGACCTCTCGACCAGCTCTTCCAAACATCAATCCCCCTGCATCATCCATTCCATACACTTCACGATGATTGAGCTTGAATATACCAACCATATAGCTTGTCCACGTTGCTATTCCGGCCACGACGCAGAGAAGTATCACGCCCGGCACCACGCCCACCTTGTCGAAGACAGCGGGGATAGAGAGGACACCCAGACCAATCTGTGTTTTCATCATCAGGGCAACCGTTCCTAGCCAGCCGACCTGTTTACATTAGTATTGCACTCTAGTAGACATCAATATGGCGAAGGACCTACGCTGCGGTAGTTGGGTCCATCTCCGGTGACCTCACCAAAGACTGGGTCATAGGTAGTATCATTCTCTGTGAGCTTTCCAGGCTCAACATCCAATGTAGGTGTATGGATAGTGTTGTCCGTTTTGGCCTTCTCCAGACCAATATCGCCAGACATGGAAGCCATATGTTCTGCGTCTTCGAGGTGCTCAATGTCACCGGGGTTCGCTTCTTTTCCACCCATGATGTTGGATTCGTGTAGTCCTTTTACGTTAGATGGTTTGTCGAGGGAGTTGAAATCTATTACCAAACAGACTGCTCCTATCTTCTTATCAGCGAGAGGCGGATACGCAGGATAACCCCCAGAAAGTAGGGCAGCTAGCAAGGTCGATATCTCAGGTATATTTACTGTGGGCCTGTGGAAGAAGACACCAGTTACCGATTGGTGATTACAACGCCGGCACCTTGGAGGTATGCAGAGAGTCTCAGAATATAGAGATAAGCGGTTTTAGGGGCATGTTGTTGGCCAATCGGCATAGCTTCAAAAGGTGAGATTCAAATGAAGCAGGCGACAGCGATATCTTGGAACGGACCCATCCGGGGAACTTGGCCTGGGGAAGGAGGCATATTGTGGGGAAGGAAACGCCGAGTAAGTGACTGCGGCATTGTAACTGTGAGCTTCTTAGTTTTGTCTTGCACTGTCATTGCAGGCCGGGTGGCTTATTAGGTATTAGATTAAGGGCTAGTATACGATGGCTTTTTACGACGCTCCAACCCGTCGCATGGGATGTATTCCATAGCAAGCAAATATGATTCACGGGGCGCTTATGGTTCTAGTGATCTAGGAATTCTCGTACGTGGAGTATATGCTGTTATAGCAATTCAGCGACTCCCGCTCCAGACTCTCCATATCTCTTCCCCTGAACCTCGTCGGATCCAGCGCCTTCTTCAGTGCCACATCCACTTCCTCTCCCTTAAGCAAGCTCGTCAAGAACTTTGCTGACCCACCAGCATGTGTAACCCAAACCCCCGCCGCCAAGTACAGCCCCTTCACGTCCGGAACCTCCCCAATCAATGGCATATTGTCCGGTGTCATAGAGAATATTCCATTGAACTTTTCCCTAACCCTCAGATTGGTCTTCTCAGGTACCAACTTCACCGCACGATCCAATGCCGTATCAAACTCGTCAACCCAGTTTCCGATAGCGGTGCCTCCTGGCTTCGCAGCGAGAGGCTTATGGTCGTATGAGCCGAGTCCGAAATAGGTACCGTGATCTCGAACATAAACATGATGCTCTGGGTATCTGACAAAAGGAGATGTGTACACCTTCGGCTCACGCACTTCACCATACATATAGGGGTGCGCGACTGGGATAACTGGAATGGGGATATCAAAGTCACATAAGGACTTGGCCCAGATACCAGTAGCCAGGACAACTCTCGGCGCGTGGATGAATCCCTTTGAAGTCATAACTCCGGTCACTTTGTCTCCATCCCGTCGAATCTCCGAGACATCGGCTTCCAGGAACTGAACGCCTGTATTCTGAGCTTCGGACTGAAAGAATGCAGTAACGGTCGCCGGATTGGCAGTCCCATCTGCTGGAAAATGTAGTGCCGAAACATACTCCTCCTTCACGAGATCGGGTGCAATCTCCGCTGCCCTTTGGATAGAAATCAACTCTGCTTGCAGTCCTCTTGCCCTGGCAGTTTCCTGTCTCCATTTGAGATTCTCGACTGCGGCACTGCTTGTCGCGACTTCGAGTCCGCCGACATGGTCGAACCCCCCAGGGACCTTAGAGTACTCCCTCACACTGTCGACAGCAAGCCGGGTCAGGACTTCAGACTCGTTGAATTGGCCCACGAAACCCGGTGCATAGCCTGTTGAGCCGGTGAGGCGGGAAATGGATCGTTCAGCGACCGTTATCTTTTTTTCATCACTAGAAGAAGAGAGGAAATAGGCCAGGGCAGAGCCGAAAATGCCCGCTCCAATAATGACAATGTCGGAAGATTTCTGTGTTGACATATCGTGCTCCTTCTGGCTTATATGGATACTGAGTCCTACTTGTTCAACGGGGTCAAGGTGGCTCTTAAGCTTGTGCCAAGACAAACTGAACTGGACGCGTCAGTCGATCTTGCAGCTTAACCATGTTCTGGATAGTGGTCGCTTATTCACGGCAGTGGGGTGGCTGAGAACATTACCGGTCCATTCGAGGGGTTCATTCGGGAGTGCGATGGGGAAATACGAGGTGCGCCCTTTGGAAGACATGAGCGTCATCCTCAACGCCACAATTGGTCGTTACCCTAGTCTGAGAGTGTACTTTATGGTGAGGGCTCCGGCCAACTATACTTAAATCGGTTGACAATTTGAACTTAGTATGAATGCATCGAATGGGGTAATATGATCCTTGAGTCACTCTCGCGTATTATTATGACGTAGCTACAGGTTCAGTTAACAGTCCTCCACCCCTGCGGTGCCCGCCCTACTATGTACAAGTACAATGGTTTCCTACATAAGAGCCACCATGAGGGATCCAATGAGACCACCCACGGCAATTCCGGCGGGTCTGTTCAGCGCAGCAGCACCAGTGAACTCAGGGTCCGGGGTTGGGCTGCTCGAGGACTGAAGGCATCAGTTAGCAGGTTGATACTAAGTCGGAATAAATACAGAGAAGCTTACCGAGCTTCCCGGGGTCGTCGTAGCAGGAGTAGTCACTGTAGGAATCACAGGGGTGGAGCTCACAGTAGTGCTCGAGTCGGTAGTCTCAGAAGCCGAAGTCGACTCTGTCGCAGACTCGGTGGGAGTACTGCTTGACTCGGCCTCGGAGCTCGTTTCAGTGGCAGTCTCCGAGGCAGAGGAAGAGCTAGACGAGCTGGATGAGCCCTCGACCGGGGTCGCGTCAAGCCCGCATTCCTCCGCGGCCGATGAGACCGAATTCCCATAGTACTTCCAGATATCGAACTCGAGGGCGCAGTCCAGGCAGTCGTTCAGCTTGGTCTTGAAGTCGCTTTTGTCGCAGTACCCATCCGAGCGGGCGTCGGTGATAATGCCGCCTGTTGGAAGCAATGCATTAGATCAGTTGTTTGGTTTGACTATTTCCGTTACTCACCGCAGTTGGCATGACATTCGTAGGCAGGAGTGCCTGGTTCCTGGCGCTTGTGCAAGGGCACGAATTCAGGGTACTCGAACGCACTAGCACCGGCGAGGATGCAGGCAATGGAAACAGCGATGAATTTCATAATGAAAGGATTAATACACTGGATGTCGAAGGAAGAATATCAGACAATTAACCAGGAGTGAAGATCTCGATGTACCTGAGAGGAGGCCGCTTTTATAGCTCTCTTTGGCCGGCAAAGGGGAGATCGCTTACCTCCCGGGCCTGGACTCCCAGCCAAGGAAGTATCGGAGCATCTTTATTAGCTCAATATCGGTGTCTCAGTGCCACAAGCCAGAATACAGCATTTCGCAGCTGGCGAGGGCGCATCAAAGCCCGTGGTGTGCTTTAATTGGACAATCCCGCCCCACTCTGCATCTTATCAGATTGATAATCCGAATATCGGCCTCCTCCCCCCACTGCCATCCACTCATGTCCACCGGTTCTTGCTCTTCGTTTAATCTATACCGCTTGGCGCAGCTCCAAGATCCCTCCTCGCTTGCCTTCCGGATCTGCAATTGGACGGCTATCCCAAACTCAGCGGTGGCATGAGCGCGATGCACTGCAAGCCGAGAAATCTCTTCCTCGTCACACCTCCTTGACTCGCTAGGCGCTCTAGTCCCTAGCCGGAGGGAGGACACCACGGACCAGTATCCATCGGCGCTACCCGACATGTTACATCAAATGCTGGGACCAGAACATTTGCCGAGGGGTGTGATACAGCAGCCTTATAAACACCGGCACCCTCCGGAAACTTTCTGCCGTACTGTCCTCTCTCTCGCTTGTGAATAATTCCCCTCTTCCCGTTTACTCTATTATGATGAAAGGTTATCCCACGCTCTTAATGGTATTGTCCGCCTTTGCGCGGGCAGACCCCCATGGCGAGGACGCCGCCAAAGAGATGGGCCCTGTGGCGTTCATGTGGCCGCCAGACCGCACCTGGGGCGCAGCATTCGATAATAACGCACCCTGCGGCTCGAAGGAGGGTGTTGAAAACAGAACAGAATTTCCTCTCGGTGAGTAGTTCTCGATCTCTCAATAAGGACATGCTAAACTCAGATCTAGTGAACGGCCAACTTGCCCTGGTGGTCCAAGACGAGTCCTGGAACGTGCAAATCGCCGTTTCCCACAGGAACAGTATGTCTTTCTTCTTTCATCCATTCATAATTTATGTAAATGTGTTGCCGTATTAACAATCCAGACCCAACAAACAACAATGACTTCGAGACCCTCGTCTCGGAGAGACGAATCAGCGACATCGACCCAGGCCACATGTGCTACCCCGTCACAAACCCAGGAGTGGACACTGAAGCCGGGATGAACGCTACCTTCCAGATCAGATATACCTCTGACATGGAAGATCATAAGAATGAAACGTACTACGCCTGCGCAGACGTCACGTACGTCGCTGCGAGCAAGTTCACGTATCAGGTACCCTGTTTCAATGTCACGGCGGATGAGTTTACTGCTACAGACGAGGACGATAACGACTCGACGGGAAGTGGGTCGGACTCGAACTCGGCCTCATCGGATTCGAGTGCTGATAGTGCCAGCAGTGGCTCTGGGGGGTCGAAGCTCTCTGGGGGTGCCATTGCTGGGATTGTTGTTGGGTGCGTGGCGGCGGCGGTCATTGCTGCGGGTCTTCTGTTTGGGTATAGACGATTGTTGCAGAAGTATCGATCCATGCGTCAGAAGGCGTCTGTTCGCAACGTTGACTGGCCTGCTGAGGAGGGTGGGAAGCCGGCGGCCGACAATTCGTCTGGGTCTTCTTATGGTTTGAGGAAGCTTAAGTAGATGCACCTTCTGAATGCGACGTTGAGATATCATCCTGGTGCATTGGGGCTGTTTGAGGATGAGTATCGTTACTGATCCTATTTGGAGTTGTACTCGTCAGTTGGACAATAAATACCATTGGCTGTCTCTATCCCACTGTCGCCGTCAAAACGTCCTTTCTCTTCCATGGTCACTCGTTTTTGTCCTCTTCCGGCTCGTCCTTCCAAGCCGCAATATACCCAATTGACAGATTAAATGCCCCCGACTGGGATCCAAAATGACTGTAATTCTGAATTAGCTTATGAAACATATGATTGGCCAGTTCATACCTCCGCATCATAATTCCCAGCCGCTTAATAGACTTCAAATCCAATGGCTCTTCATCAATCTCCTTCCCCCGATACGTCGGCCTGAAGTCCTCCCATCTCACCACAACCTTTCCACTCCCAACGACCCGGAAGTCAGCCTGCCAGCTCAGACTACTCCGTTCACGCCCATCCGGTCTAGGTGGGAGTAAGTCGTCTTTCAGAATCAATGCATACTGTTTCCCGTCCGATTCTGCGAGGTCTAATTCAATCCCGTCGTACGCGGACAGGTCCCATCTTCGAGACCCTGTTGTGCGCTGCGATGCAAAGCCAGCTCCACCCAGCGTATCAATGTCTAGATTTCCCTGAAATCTCGCATGGTTGGTCTCTGGTAAGATTTCAAGGGTTGAGTGAGAGGAACCCCCTCGGACGCGGTCATCGGAGGATGTCCAGTCGTTCGGTGACCATTTCCTGGCTAGTTAGATTATTGAAATCAATTTTCTGGCTGGTAAACGTACTCAGTGCCTCCGAAGAGATAATTTGTGGTTTTTTGGGCCATGGTGCTGACGATCAGGAGCTTGAAGTTGATTGAGATCGGTTCGTCTATTTTTTTATGATAGTGACGTCATGCATACACTTGGTGCTCTTTCTACGCGATCGTCAGGAACTCCCACTGGCGATTCCTTCAGCTGGGGATGCACGAAAGCGATGATCACTACAGATCCTTTTGCAATCAGGTCCAGTTGACTTTAGTACACCATGTTCGCCCACTCTATTTTTTCTATGCTGTCTTGGCTTAGCTACTCTTTTCGTTCCCTCGGCATGAAAGCTTGTTGCCCTTCAACAATGGCACGTTCGATTCAGTTCTTTAATCCATGGGGGTTATCGGGTATTTGTACTAGCTGTACTGAATAGAACTTTCTCTCCGGGACCATCTACCGTGCTTGGGGTTGGACCTGCTGTTTTGACAGAGTGTCTCGGCGTTCTACAAGTGCTGAAGTCATTGTTTGTTTAGTTGTTGTCGAGAAATATATCTTGCACAGACCATCCCCAATTTGGGGCTACATTCGTTTCGTCACCACCAACAATTAATATAGAGTATATAATGTCTTCAATATCCATGATAATATTCATTACATCGTCATCAACATTAATCATCGAGTTGTGAATGTGTTTGTTGCCCCAGGCAGCAAGGCAGTGACTCACGGGAACCATCACGTGGCGAAAACGGCCATCTCGCGGTGTCAACTTCTTCTCAGCAACATCTTCAGTTAACAAATCATCCCAGCCTGGGAAGCAAGATAGATCGACAGTCCTAATTCTATCCTCCAATCTGATCGGGTGACGATACATTGGGTGCATATCTGCAGCTAGTGGACGCCCTGCCAGTGACCTGAGGAATCCATAGAATCCCATCGAAACGCGCCCGCCAGAGGACACTTTGTTGATTCTTTCAACATCAGTCACACCAATTCGTGGCCTTTTAAGCATCGCATTGCGCCGCCATTCTCACATTCATACCCAACCGAGTTTTGCATCCAATTACTATCTTGCGATCTGTTTTCAGTCTGTTGTGCATTTCTGCCACCTGCCAAGACCCCGCTCGGATTTTTGAGGCTCAGAATATCCAGCCGATGTGAACTATACACTGTATACGGTTCTATTCAACACAATTTAAGAAGTAGATGGCTGGCCCGTCTCAGTATTGCATGGCCTCGACCTGGCCATAGACTCGAAACTTCACTTCGCCACCCTTTTCCATTCACCATGTCCATGTTTAGACCGGCCGCAGAGATAGGCTCGTCTGATTCCGACTCAAGTGCGGAAGCAAGCGATCATGAAGTGGTTACCAAGAAGGAAGCTAAGAGTGAAACTCAGCCCGTGCAAAATGGGAAACTGCCCATCCCAGAAGATGGAGGAACGGATGACAGTAGCACCCAAGATCTGCTTGCTGCAGATACCGATGGCCACTCAAATATTATGACTTCTGCCTTGTTGGAATTCTACTGCCTTACCCGGGCTGCCGACCTCCTCAATAAACAGCACGGATCTCGTAATCGCTATACGCGAGACTCACCGGAGGTGCAGTTCCTCGGGAAGAAGTTGTACTCTCACAAATCCAAGTTTCTTTCAGCCCATGGCGTCCTCGCCGATGGCATTGAGGACGATGAGTGGGGATCAACGCGGCAGTACTATCGCGATAACCTCGACGCTCTTGGCTTATCCGCACTCGAAGGGCTCGACATCGGGGACACTGGTGGGAAGCCGGCCATTGGAGGAACCGGCGACCTTGTTGTGGCCTCCAAGACCACGAGAAGTGCAGCGAAACCAACTCAGAAATCTGCACCAGGTCTGCGTGTGGAGGGCCACGAGGTAGGTCCGTTGGATTTTCGAGGGCATCATGGCGCGGAACAAGGTATCCCGGCATTGGAGGACTTCCGGCTTGACCCAAGGAGGATACCCCGGCCCCTCTTACCACTCACTGGCAGCTCACCGACGAGCTTTCCCCTGTTTGATGTCAAGTCAACCCCATCCAACACAACAATGTCCAGGTACGCCATGGAATTCGCTGAAATTCAGATCGTCGGCCGGGGCTCTTTTGGAGAGGTGTACCATGTCAAGAACCACATCGATGGACAGGACTATGCTGTTAAGAAAATCCCACTCAGTCAAAGACGCCTCGAGCAGTTACAGTGTGGAAATGAAAACCAGCTGGAGAATATCATGAAGGAAATCCGGACGCTGGCTCGACTAGAGCATGCAAACGTCGTTAGATATTATGGCGCCTGGCTTGAACAGACAAATTTCCCGCGCATCCCGTTTGCCAGTCAGGATCCAGGGAAGCTTGACGACGAAGAGACCCAAGACAGCGAAGCCGATGAACCGTCGGGCGTTGACAGTTTTGGGATTGTCTTTGAGCATTCTCAAGCGGAACAGCCGTCGTCGACTGGAGACGGCTCGATTGATCGCAGAAGTGCAACGGATTCCACAGTTCATTCGTTGGAGAAGATCCTGTCACGCAGCTCAGAAGACGATGTCGAATCTATTCCACGCGAGTTCAACGAGGCAACTTATAGCCAGCTGTCAACGTTTGGCGCCAGTGACGGGGATATTTTCACAGATGGATTTAGCAATGATAGATCACAACTCCAACTACAGCGGAGACATCGAAACGGCGAGGCGGTTCCTGCTGTGGTTCTGCATATACAGATGTCATTACACCCAATTCCCCTTAGCTCGTACTTGAGCCAACAACAAACAAACGATACCCACACTTTACTACGTCGGCACTGTTACCACCTCATCCCATCTCTGAAACTCATCCTAAGCATCGTCTCCGGAGTCGACTATCTTCACTCCAAAGGCATCATCCATCGCGACCTCAAACCAGCAAACATTTTCTTATCCTGCGCCGAAGACAGGAACTTCACAGAGTGCCAAATGTGTAAAGCGAGGCTGGGCGCATGCTCAAAATTCTGCCATCCTCGTATCGGTGACTTTGGACTCGTGGCAGATATCTCACATATGAACGACTCCTCCCCAGGAACTCCCATCGGCTCTACTCTTCCCAAACTCAACCGCGTCGTCGGAACAGAATTCTACTGCCCACCATTCTTCCGAACAAATGGGCTTCCCGGGCCGGAACCTGCCGGCCCGTCCAGCGAAGAGTACTTCGACTACTCAATCGACGAGTCGCTCGATGTCTACGCCCTTGGCGTTATATTATTCGAACTCGTTTACCGCATCGGCACAAAGATGGAACGCCAGATGGTCTTGACTGGACTGACGAGGGGCTCGCAACGACCCACCCCTACTGGTTTAGTTCGAGAACGACCGGTATTTCCGGAGGACTTTGAACGGAAGGTCGACCGCGGCTCGACGGCTTTACCGAGTGGGGAGAGCGTTGCTGAGTCGCTGAAGACGTGCATCAGGGGTATGTTGGAGCTGCAACCTCACCGGCGCTGGAGGTGTTGCGATGTACAGAGATACTTGACAGGACTGCTTAACATTGCTGAGCAGTCTTTTGTTTAGTGGTTAAACAGATGAACTCTCCTCTTAATGAAGTACATGAATGATCTAGTTAGTGGTCCATGAATAGCAGCGTCAGGATCTATATCTACGCAGAATAAGACCAACATTAAATCGGCTAAACCGTGGACTCAGGAACCTTACAATATATATTAGACAACAACTTGACTCCGTCATTCGCGCGTGCAGTGTGTCTCAAGGGTACGTAACATCGACCTTGGAACTAAAGCTGCCTGGCATGTATCAGAAAACGCGGGGAAAGCGGTCCAGGCGGTTCGACCCGCAACCTCTATGGATAAACATGCCGATGAATATCTTAAGTTATCGTATATTATAGGTCAGAAATGCTAACTTACAGCCGAGGTAAAATAAATCAAGTCCCGAATCCTCGGTGCAGCAAGAAAACATTTATAGCGTGGTAGCTCACAAAGATGAGGATGAGCTAGCTACACTAAAGCTGGATTATATCTCGGTATTATACCCCGATCCAAACAAGGGCTCCGAACAAGAACGTACCTATTTATGGATAGTAGAGACCATGGAAAATACCTTGTAAGCAGGAATTACCGAGCTCAGAGAGCCGAGACAGTGTGCTATGGCCGGCTTCCCAGGAAATACTAAAGCCCCCTGCAGGCCCTAAATGCGGGGTGCATTCGACTACGTACCAGTGCCAAGGGCTGTTATGCATATAAAGATACCCCTCTCTCTGGATATGAAGTAAGGGGCGGACATATGAAGTAAGGGACGGACAAAATTCCGAGCTCTTTCTCGACGTCCTCTGCACTTGCCATTATTGCATTTCGATGCGAACTGCTACCCTTGCTATATGCAGACCAGCACCATGAGAACAGAGGAGATAATGCGTAATAGTTCCGAAGATCATAAAACAGCAGATGAAGGCGCCGACCACATTTCAGATGTCTCGAACGGTGGCCACACTAACGCCGTCCAAGATGCGGTGGAAAATGCGCCCGGTGTTCATGAGCGCGTGAGTAATGCTCCTTTCTATACACATCTAATATAGAAGTACAGTCAATAGAATGAGCTAAAATACCCGCAAACTATTCAGATGAGCTGGAAGTTCTTCTTGTCACTGGTCACCATGTCCTTTCTCTGGGTCGGGTCGCAGATCCCGCTGTACCTCTTTGGCAGCGTGATACCGCTCATCTACTCGGACATTGGAGGCTACGATCGCTATATCTGGCTGGTCATAGGCTATCTTATCCCCAACGCCGCTCTCTGCCCCTTCGTTGGCGCATTGTCGGACATGTTCGGCCGGCGCTCTGTTGCCATCTGTGGGCAGATCCTGTTGATACTCGGGCCTATTGTCACAGCCACCGCGAAGGAGATGAACATTGCCATCGGTATGTACCAGGCCTATTCAAAGGCCTCCTGATTGACACTGCAATACAGCCGGCGAAGTGTTTTCCGGCCTCGGGGCTGGTTTAAACGAACTGATTGCACTCGCGGGCACAGCAGAGATGGTGCCATACGAAAAGCGCGGGACTTATATCGGTGCCATTGTCTTCACAATCCTGCCCTTTTGCCCCTCTGTGCTTTGGGCGCAGATGATCGCGGAGGCCTCGCACTGGCGATATGTAGGTATTGTCGTGGGCCTGTGGAATTTCATTGGACTCGTGCTTGTCAGCTTGTTCTATAAGGGACCAGGACGGAGCTCGACTCGCAGCAAGATGGATATCGTCAGGGAGATTGACTACATTGGAGGTTTTTTGAGCACTATTGGAGTCTTATGTTTCATGATGGGTATGCAGTGGGGTGCCCAGCAGGTACGTCGACTATCCTTGTAGCCTCCCTGTACTACACAACCCTGATGCTGTTAGTTAGTACCCCTGGGACAGTGCGCATGTCCTTGCGCCATTCATCCTTGGAATCGTCGGCATCATCGCCTTTTTCGTCTGGGAGGTGAAATTCGCCCCGTATCCCATGGTCCCCGCGAAGCTTTTCTCCAAGGACAAGCGGACAATGACAGCCATCCTGCTTGTTACCTTCTGGAGTGGCGGCAACTACTTTGTGCTTCTACTCCTCTGGCCAACGCAGTGTTATAACGTCTACGGTATGCAGCATACTTCTTGTCCTAAATCTGGATCTGACAAATGCTAGGCGGCGACCCGATCGGCATTGGCATTCGAGCTTTGCCCATTGGCTTTGGTATCATTTTTGGAGCTGCCATAGCCCTAATACTCATCCCAGTCGTAAAGGGCCGCACCACACCATTGATGATATTCTCCTGTGCCCTAATGACAGCAGGTAATACTCAAGTCTCAAAACCTTAAAGACGACTGTTAATCATTCTATTCAGGAACCGGCTCCATCGCAGTTGGCACACCGCATAACCTTTCCACCCTATGGGGTCTAACAACCATCGCGTCAATTGGAGTCGGCTGCGTTATCATCCCCTGCTCCATAATAGCGCAGCTGGTATGCCCCGTTGATCTCATCGGCACCATCACAGCAATCACCCTGAGCATTCGGTTTATAGGCGGGGCCGTTGCATTCACGGCCTACGACAACGTGCTATATCGGAAGTTGAACGGCTATATTCTCACCATTGTTGCGCCCGCTATCGTCAAGAACGGTATCGTGGCTGCAAGTAGGGAGGACGTTATTAGTGCCCTTGCAGGGCTAGCTGCTCAAGCCAAGTTTCCGGAACTGAAAGAGGTTATTGCTGCTAATCCTGCGGTGCAGCGTAAAGAGGTTGCGTATGAGGTTGTAATTGGAGCTATGCAGGAGGCTTATGCGCTGGCGTTCAGGTATCCATACTGGATCAGTATTGCATTTGGAGTGATCTCTTTGGTGTCTTCTTTCTTTTTGAAAGACGTGAGGACGGTTATCCGGGGCGAGAACTGATTGCTTGTATAATCGAGGCAGCTTGCAAACAAACTTGAGTTTAAGAGCTACTTACCATACTTGACATATCTCAGATCTAGCTCGTATATTTAGATGCATGCACGTGCTATTTCATTAAGTCTAGTATCCGTACCGAGCCCCAAAGCCACCACAGTCTATATCCATGGGTATGCTATTTCCCTACCTAGCAGCTCACGTAGATGGCCATTACAATTATAGCTCAATCTGGACTATTTCATCTGGGGATCAATCACATTGTTATTTTTGCAGTAACGCTTGTGACTAGGCAGAAGCCGGTCTAGTAATTCTTCGAAATTATTTGTTCATATGGTCTCCACCCCCTCCCTTGCCATCTAAGGAAAAGGGACCGTGGCTGCAATGGAATACTAAATTAGTAGTAGTAGACGGAAATACAAAACTAGTTGAAATACCCTTAGAAGCGGCTCCTAGAGCGCCAGTTTCCAGTTCTCTCCAGTCAACTTGAAGCCCAGTAGCTCATGATCTTCAGCTTTTACAAGCTTGTACCCCTCCTTCCCGTAAAGATATCTCGCCGAGTCAAGGACGCTGTTCGTCCACAGACGTAGAGAGTGGAGAAAATAATCCAGAGCACAATGAAATTTAGTGGTCAGTCCTTCAGTTGATTGGCTTCTTACTTCTTGTCATCCTCCGGGAAGCTCCGTTCTGCCACGTGGACTGTTACAAATCAACCCAGTTTTGGCTATATATACACACCATCTGACTGCATTTTAGAACTGCATGCTACACCAAATCAACATGTCTAACAAAATTGCGCTGTCCGGAGGCCTCTTTACTTCCACACACCATTCTACCACCTATGATTACATCTCCCCACTTAAACAAGATCTAAACGGCAAGCATGTTCTGATCACCGGCGCCGCCTGGGAAGACGGAGTAGGATATGCCACAGCCACAGCCTTCGCGCGTGCAGGAGCCTCCGCAATAGCAGTTGCCGACCTTCACGGCGTATCAGGCGATCTCGTCGCACAGCTCAAGTCAGCTGCAGTACAAGCCGGTCGTCCCGAGCCTACCGTGCTAAGCTGTACAGTTGATATCGCCAGCCGAGAGAGTGTCCAAGCAATGCATCGCACGGTGTCGGAGGGCTTTGGTGGGCGCCTGGACATTATCGTCAACAATGCAGCCCATATGGAACCGGTCGAATCGTTCCTTGACTCAGACCCGGATGTGTACTGGCAAACATGGGAAGTTAATGTTCGGGGGCTGTTTAACGTGGCGCGTGAATTTCTCCCTATGCAGCTCTCAACCCGTACTAGCGCCGACGGTTCATGCATCATGATCAATGTATCGTCTTCAGGCGCATTGAGCGCTAGGCCGGGGGGTGCGAGCTATCGGAGTTCAAAGCTCGCGATATTAAGGTGGACGGAGTCACTGCATTTGGAATATGCTGATAAGGGGCTCTTGACGTTCTGTGTCAATCCTGGCGCGATCAGAACAAAGATTAGTGACGGAATACTGCCGGCGACGATGCGCGATGCATTTCCTGACAGTCCAGATATGGCTGGTGATACCATTGCATGGTTGGCTGCCGAGCGGAGGGAGTGGCTAGGGGGGCGGTACGTGAGCTGTCCATGGGATATGGAGGAGCTCATGAAGAAGAAACACGAAATTGTGGAGGAAGACAAGCTTAAAATGAGAATGGCCTTTTAAGCCCATTGCTTATGGGTCACTCCATATAAGTTCATGCGTTCCGTTACCTGTAGAAATTATTTAGCCAACTAACTGGTTAGTAGTATGGTAGATGACTACATGCAAACCCCAGCTGTTGTATGCTTTTTGTTTTTTAGATGTAGGTTTTGCTTTATGCTATTTTCCTTACTGACTAGGCGGTAGTATATAGAGTAAGGAAGAGGGGGGTGTGCATTCGTGGGTGGTTTCATTGAACTTGGTAAAATGACCAAAAAGAATATGTACATATATGGTTCCAGAACCGCTAACAGACCTCTTGTCCGGATTAGGTATTCGAAGAATGAATATGGGTTTTCAGTTGTGCCCTGAAAACATGGAATAGTACAGAAGTCTTCTGGGATAGGACCCTGAATAACGGCATTGTCGGCGCAAGACAGCCAACAATAAGAACGATCCACATCTCGGTTCTGGCTGCTGGTTAGAATCTGCAAAGGTTTAGGGTTAATGTATTTACTGGTGCCAGACAATGATCTCCGCTAAAAAGTCTATAATGATTTCGTCATTACTCGTCCCGATGGCAATTTGCGAAGAAAGCTCACATGTTGCATCTGTTATATTGAGAATCAAAGGTATCTTCCACCCCTTCAGCGCTGCAAGAACTGTGGCACTGCAGTCTGATCAGCCTGGGTCTTTGCACCAGGGCGTACTAAGGGCTTTCAACTCACGTAACACCGAGTCCAAACAATAGAGAGATGCCGAGCCTTTTAAGTCTGGAGAGCGCATGAACATTCCAGAAGAGCACGGCAGGGTATAAGGCAAGGGTGAAGTCACAGAATCCGGACCATGCTAATCAGCCATCAAAAGTTAGAGGTGATCGTGCAAAGTTAAGGAGACACCGACATGTTTGAAAAATCCCAAACTTTTCAACAATGATGGTTCCGGGACAAACATCTACTTGTTGGCTGACGTCGAACAGCTTCTGGATTGGCCGGCATTGCGTGAAGAACAGGACGACCTCGATAGTGTTAACAACCATAGTGGTTCCAACAAGGAACCAGAGGAAGACAGATCTCCACGGATCATACACAGAGTAGCCTTGTATACTTATGATAAACCCAACTACTGCGATTTTGCCGAGTCCGATCGCGATCAGAGCCAGCGCGAGGTTGATCCAGCCGTACATAATTGCTAGATAAGCTTGTCTAGGTGCCAAGTTGGACATGTGCTGTCCTAACCCTTGCGCAGTGCCCAGAGTGAGCATCACCATACTAGCCACTCCTATCGCCTAGAGCAGGGTATGATGCTGTTAACGGCGTCTCTGACTCTTTGTGAACAGACAGTGGGCCTTACAAATGTGGTGATTGCCAGATAGAGATCTGCCCGGTGTCTCCCTAGAAGTTTCCAGGCTGCATAACATCGCCCGATTAGCAGAACCAACGCGATACCACACAGAACCCATGATAATACGAAGAAAGGTTGATTGGTGGAAGTCTGGTGGCGAGGTACTAAACGCGACATGAGACCCGGGGGGCGGGGCGATATTGCTGGTCAGTGCATGCTACGCACGATGACCGCTTTGTACCTCGTAGTAGCGACTGGATGGAAGCTCAGGCACCGAACTGGATAATTGGGAGGTAAAATAAGGACAGAATCTCCTGCGACGATGCGATGATGGCGAAATCCGGTTCGGCCATTTGGCAGACTGGCTGCTGAATAACAAGGTGTCACCAGCTCTAATACAAACCCTTCAGGGTTATTCTACGTGTACTTTATCCGTCCTTAAAACAGCAGATCGTCTAATTTTATTATCAGTAGCCTTCCTACCAGATCCAGACAGGTATAGAGTTACCTCAGATCTGTCTAGTCACACTATGAAGATTTAGTATAGTTATACTAGCCTGGGACTATAAACAGCTAAAGGGTATTCTAAGACTATTTTTTTCAGTAGCTTTCTTACTAGAAGAGAATAAAATTGTCTCTAGTTTACTAGATAGAATAATCAAGCTCTGGGATACTATAGCTCCCTCAGCAAGAATTGGGTGGAGGTGAGGTGGGCGACTTTGCATGTTGTGGGCAGGTTGAGGGATGAGATGGGAGCTGGTGTTTAGGGTTATAGCCAGGATACTGCCGGAGGGGGAGATGGTGAGGAGGGCCCGAATATACGGAACGTCAAGTGGTGTGGGAGAATGGTATTAATCAATAGTGGAATTACTGTTCTTCACAGATGTCTGTACCATTTGACGTCTCATGTTTGTCCTACTTGTCCGGAAGACAGCAGCAGTAATCCTACCTATAATAATACCAACTATATCTCAAGTGTCAAATTTACAACCTCTTGAACCAGGCTGCTTCTACGTCCGTATCCCACTTCCACCATAGACCGGCCACTCTACCTCCCTCATCAACCAGGAACTTAAGCAGCATCTGCTCATAACTTCTGGCGATAATCGCCTGCGCTTTCAAATAGTCCTCGCTCGGCTGAAAGAAACTGTACACGTCCGCCTGGTAGAATATCAACGGACATTGCGAGGCAAGACGGTGGTTGAACACGACAGCAAGTGACAGCGGCTTCGCCTCCACGATACTTAGGGTAAACCGATCATTAAAGCCGCGGTAGTCACCCACATAAAGCATCCGATCCCGCTCCGTGTCATACTCCCGCCGATTTCTCATCCACGGCTCTTCAATATGATCACGGTAGAATCTCCCTGCCAAGTCCGCCTCCTGCCTCACCCACGGCAGTAAATCCACCGTAGGTCTCAGGTTGAAGAGAGCCTGGACCAAGACCTGCGCTGTAAAGTCACTTGCATCACCAAAGTCCCGACCATTTGCAGCTGTCACCACGGCGCTCTGTGTCTCCGGGAACGTATACACGGAGAATATCGATCCCCGCATACCACCTGTATGGCCCACGGCCGTAAGCGGAGCAGGTGTAGATTCCTTCCCGAGGACATAGTTTAAGTGAGCTTGATGCTCTTTGCTCTGCGACAGTGCATTCCCGCTGAATGAGCTGAGTTTTGAGGATGGCAGGTTGACGCGGAACCAGCCCATTCCGTACGCGGCCGGTTTGCTGAATTCAGGGTCGTCTGCGGGTAGGGACCAGTATCCGCGGCGGACGCGGGAGATTTGTTTAAGGGGGTTGTTAGGGACGGTGCGGGTGTAGTTGGGGTCTGTTTCGCTGCGCTCAGCATCCATTACTGCGATACACCAGGTGAGCATGTCGTTTATAGTGCTTCGCATGCCCATGCCTGCGAGGAGCGGGGAGTGGTTGTCGCAGGGCCACGAAGTATCCGGCAGGTGATAGTACTCTCCGTTACTTAGCTTCGTGCATGGAGCAGCAATATTATCATCATGAGCCATGTCATCATAAGTCATAACTGTCCTGTTCATCCCAAGCGGCTCCAGGATCCTCTCTTTCACGAAATGAGCAAACGGCTGGCCGGATACGCGCTCGATGATAAGAGCGATCAGGCCCACGGCGGCATTATTATACAGCCACTCTTTGTTAAACCTCTGCTCGCCACTTGTATTCCGAGTAGGCATTGCGTTGAGAATCGGAATCAAATCCTGCGCGTCACTGGCAACAGTCCCCCTCGGACCCACATTAAGCATGGTAGGCGATGCAAGACCAGTAGTGTGTCTTAGACTATCAATAATATCAGCATCCTGCCCAATGCGCGCATCGCCCTCGGGGTTAAACTCCGGTAGATGCTGTTGTATGCGATCACTCCAGCTCAGCTTCCCTTCTTCAACCAGGATCCCCACTGCGGCGGCCGTAAACATCTTCGAGCAAGAGCCCAGCATGTATATTGTGTTTGAGTTTGCAGGGAGGCTCAGCTCGCTGTCGCGGTAGCCGAAACTCTTCTTCATGATTACACGGCCACGGTGGGCCACGCCAAAGGTGATCGAGGGGGTCTGGCATATCGAGTGGATTTGGTGGATTTGTGGTAGACTGGCTGAGAGTCTATTCAGTGCTGCAGAAGGGTCCTGTTGTTCGTCCATTATTGCAAGGGACGGGATGCTGAAGGGAAAAAACCCAGAGGATAGAGCGTAAGCTCTATTCTGACGAGAAAACTGAACGGCGAGGGGCACCCAGTATTTGAATAAGCGAAACTCCCATGTATGACTAGCTAGGTAAGGAGGAATCACTGCGTCACTACATACCGTCCGTCTATAAACGACTGTATTGTGCCGATGGATATCACCACCCATCATTCAGAGCTAAGCCCCGTCTACACGTAAACTGAACACACTTCTCAGCTGATGTAATTTGGATTAATTCCATGTAAAGAACGGACGGCAGTAGATTTGTGCCACTCCTGCCAAATCCACACCACCAAACTAGTTCACTACAACTTGTGGAAGCATTCCCAGACCCTCCCTCTTACTCCTATCCGACCAGATACTCCAGCCCGTGCACATCAGCTTCATTCCTCACTTGGGAAGGGCCTCGCCCCCAGCATTTCCTGCACCAGCACAAGCGATATCACCCCAGGGATACATTTTGGTCTATAGTTGTCCGAAGTTAACCGTTGAATTGCTCTGCTTGGCAGCGTATACTTAATGTGCTGTACACTTACTGGATGGTGGATAGTTAGATCTGGTAGCATCAGCAAAGTCACATATAAGTATAGTCAAATACGTGAATGGGATTGGGGGAAGAGGAAACGTCGGATTCATACCCTAGAAATTCACTTGAGATAGATAGATAATCGAAGCTTTTGTTCTTTTCGGTTGCGGGTGAGATGAAGTAGAAATGCAGCGACGGGCAGGAAACCGGGGGCTATTTAACCCTCAGGCGGGCGAAGTCTCTTCAGCTGGATGATGCGTTTTGAGCTGACAGGATCAAGTTGTGGTGTTTGTTATTTGCCTCTACAACTGCCCCCCGCAATGCCGAGATCTTCAGGATGTAGAGCGTCAAGGCCAGTGGATGCACTTGTCTTCAAACAAACAATAAGCCAAGCTACAGCTGCACTCGCTATTGGACCGGGGCGGAGCTTTGACCCCCGCAGGATGGATTGTCAGCCGCGGACTCTCCCCGCATCGCAGGCCAAGGATATTGAGTAAGCCCTAAGATAGTTATATACTGCACTTTGAACATTTCACAGCCATATTTCAAGGCTTATAAAGTATAGTTCCGATTATACTTAGTACAGACAATGTATGGAGTCTAGAACCCCGCAGGACGCCTTAACAGCCGCGGGGAGCGTCCGCGGCAGGACAGAGGGCCGGACGTATTAGGTTAGCCCTAAGATGATTATGCTACACTGCTAAGATTTGACAACACTTTCTCTGGTCAACGAAGCGTAACCTTCATTCTATTCACTGCAGAATGGAATAATATAAACATCTATGTCGGCAGGGCTTGGCCTGCAGGACTCTAGGTTACACCGGTCAGTCGATGTATCCAATGGGAGGCAGCAATTGACCCCGGAATTTGGAGATACCCCATGCTTTCAATCGCTATCGCGGGGTACTCTTCAATAGATAAATGCGGGTAGAGGAAATTGGTATTACAGTTCTCTTATGATTGTACGCAAACAAGGTGACGAGGTGACGCTACTTGCATGACGTACAAGGCCCAGGCATGTTTAGGCTGCCGGCGACTTGGCTCCAACAACAGAAGAAATATGGCAGATATAATATTAACAGTGGCAATTGCCAAGATGAGCAGTAAACTAGCGTCATTGTTCCTCCGGCACATACGGTGTCTCGAAAGGTCGTTCGGCTTGCGGGGTAAGACGTGCCAAATGCCGACGCTGACGCCCATCCCAGTCGACAATTGCCGTATGCGCAGTGACGCGGTTCTAGTACACTTGTCAGCATACACGCCCAGATACAGAGAGTATAGAGTATAGAGTAACTAACATCCCAAAGAACAACCGTCCCAGGCTCCCAGCGCACCCGAACCTGGTGTTCCAAGCAGCGTGCAATGTGGTTGTTTAAGAACCCAAGCAACATGTCGCTCTCCTCTTTCTTCATACCGACAATGTGCGTTGTCACTACGTACCTCTGTTAGCCAGGATCAAAACCCAAAAGCAGAAAGAGAGGAAACTGAAACCCACGGGCATTCACAAAAAGTGCCTTCTCCCCTGTAACTGGATGAGTGCGGACAAGTGGATGCTCCACGCTTATCGGCTTTCTACGCACTAGCCTCCCATCCCGGTAATATGGCTCTACCTGGGATATGCCATCATGCACGCCCCTTAGGCCATGCAGCCGTTCCCTGAGGACCGGCGAAAGCCGTCGATATGCTTCGACAGTGTTTGCAAAGCCCGTATCCCCGCCTACATCGGGGAGCTCGAGCGCGTACAGAATGGTTGTCCCGGGTGGCTGTTCTTCGTATGTGACATCTGAATGCCAGAGAACTGTGCTATTCTTCCCCGCCGTAAAAATTGCAAAGTCATTCTTGTCGGCGGGGCTCTGGCGCATGTGCACGATGTGGATCTCGGGATAGCCCTCGGGGACACCGGCTGTGGGGTGTACGTGATGTCTTCCGAAGTGGCCGCCGAATTCGAGTATCTGGGGGACTGGGAGGTCTGCGAAATCCTGGTCCCGGAAGACGAGGACTTTGCGCTGGGCTGTGAGCAGCGCGAGCTGGTCTTTTCCCGCGTCGCTGAGTGTTGAGAGTTGAATTCCGAATATCTCGGTGCCGGTTGTCGGCGTTAGCTTTCTAGCGGTTACTCCTTCATGGAGGAGGTCTTTGAATGATGGGTCGGCGTTTTTGCCTGGGTCGTGGTGTGTGTATGGTTCTAGAGGGGGGAGCTGCTCGGCGTGGTCCCAGACGGGGAGGTAGTGGGGGTACTATTATCACGGCTTAGATCAGTTTGCACGCCCGCATTGATAGAATATTGACCTACTTTCGCATCTGTCGTTCCTCCCTCGTCGTCAATGGCCCGTATAATTTTAGACCTTCCCCCGTTCGAATATCCATTCAGACTGCCATCAGCATCTGCACTATCAGCATGTCTTTCGCGTGGCATGGGCATTCTGCAGCTCCCTTGATCGAGATGTCAGCCGTAATCAGTAGATCCTGTATGAGCCCCGTGCAGAACTAGCTTATATACAAGGGAGGAAGCACACAACTGTGGGGTACTTGGCATTCACCCTTGCATCTACTCCGCCACGGGGAGGGTCCGACACTGCTCCTATTGTCAGTTCAGATATTACACTAGGGCTGACATACTGCAGAGTGAACCTTAGCTACGAGTACGTATTCAAACTCCCCGAGAGGCAGTCGTGCTAATTTCTAGTCCCTATTAATTGTCACACCCACTGCTATTTCACAGCAACATTTTCAGGCGGGCTTTTAAGGCACCGTCCTGTGCCAAGTTCGCTAGTATTGGAAGGAAAATGTCAATCCGCCGCCATCGAAGAGCGGGGACTAAGGGTTGCAGCTGAATGATAAACGTGGGTGCAGGGTGAGAATATCACCTGTTCAGGTAAGGAAAGGTAGGTATAAGTAAGAAGTACTTTGATTCCTGTAAACTTAGAACATATAGCCCTAACTAAAGGGGAATTAAAGTATAACTGTCAATAGAGCACGAGGCTACTTTGGTGCTGCTGCTCCTGCAGACGATTGAGCACTTGTTTCTTCAGAGATTCCGCGTACGGGAGGGGTTGGTGAAGCGGCTATAATATACATTCATTAGCTACATGTTTATACAGCTCATTCGGGGTTTACTAGCGAGAGAATAGGTTACCTGGAGGATTTAATCAGGTATGGGGACCAGGCGATCAGACCGATATCAGTACTAATCCTGCCATGCCCTTGCTGAAAATAGCATCTGCCTATTCGAAGCCTGGGGAAATGATCTTTCACGGTCAGGAAAATCTGCCACTCTGACGACTATTTCCAATCTCCAAGACTCGCCGAGTTGTATACTCAGCTGCTGGAGATGATTCTACCCCACTAGAACCCCCACACTCCAAATGGCTGCTGCCGATGGAGAGCCGGGCCTCCACTACTCCAAGATCAGGCGGTTGAAGATCAAAATAAATCAACCTGGCTGCTCTTTTTTGGTGTCGAAGTCAGATCAGAGGTTGCCACTGCCCTACCTCCGCCATGTTTCTCCAAGAACCCCTTCTTCTCCCAGGAGTAACCCTCGCATCTTCATCTGACCAGTCAACATCAACATTCCAAGTCATAGGTAACAAATATCGCACCCTTAACAAGCCCTGTTTGTCAGCTCTAAAAGGCTCTACTAGATCCAGCAACATCCCACCCCATCGCAACCCTCGCCGACTCTACCCCCGAGCACTGCCACACCGCCATCACGAACTCCCTCTCTGCAAATGAAGCCTTACGATCCCTGAACGCTCGTGCCCGCGCTTCCCTGCTCTTAAAATGGTACACTCTGGTACTCGAAGCCGAAACGGACCTGGCGACTATCATCACCGCGGAAAACGGCAAGACGGCCCGCGAAGCGCGAGACGAGGTGAAATATGCAGCGGAGTTTTTATTCTGGTTTGCAGGGGAGGCGCAGAGGGTTTATGGAAATGTCTGTTACACCCTTTCTTTTCTTTTTTTGTTTTTTAACAGCTGAACGACGTGTAGCAGGGTAGAAGCTAACTATCCTGGCGACATATAGGTAATTCCATCTTCTGCACCCAATACCAAAGCCAAAACAATCCACCAGCCCATCGGTCTGGTTAGCATAATAAACCCCTGGAACTTCCCCGCCGCCATGGTCACCCGGAAAGTCGGGGCTGCGTTTGCAGCCGGCTGCGCCTGTATTCTCAAGCCTGCGACAGAGACCCCTCTGACCGCGATCGCTCTGGCAACGTTGGCTGTTAGGGCTGGATTCCCCGAGCACGCGCTGCAGGTCCTCCCGACAAAAGAGCATACGGCTGCAATTGGGGAGATTCTAACGACGGATTCCAGGATTAAAAGTTCAGTTTTACGGGGTCCACCGCTGTAGGGAAGATGCTTGCGGCGCGGTGCATGAATCATGGTGTTAAGCAGTTGAGCCTTGAACTTGGGGGTAACGCCCCAGTTGTTGTCTTTGAGGATGCGAATGTGGACAAGGCCGTGGAGGGAATTATGGTGAGTAAGTTCCGGCTCTCGGGGCAGACCTGTGTATGTGCCAACCGAGTTTTCGTCCACTCGAGTATCTATGGGGCTGTTGTCAAGCGGTTGGTGGAAAGGATTAGAGCCGAGTTAAAGCTTGGTAAGGGGGATGAAGAGGGAACGACGATGGGGCCGTTGATCTCAGCACAGGCGGCGGAGAAGGTTGCTGCTCATATGGAGGATGCGGTGCAGAGGGGCGCGAAGGTTGTTGTTGGGGGTGGAGTCTCGGAGCTTGGTGCTGCGTTCTTCGAGCCGACGGTACTGGTCGACGTCAGTCCAGGCTCGATTTGCTTGGAGCAGGAGACATTTGGGCCGCTGGTTCCGGTTGTGCGGTTTGACAGAGAGGACGAAGTGGTGCATATGGCGAACCGCGTGGCGGCTGGGTTGGCCGGGTATATCTTCACCGAGAGTATTGCGAGGGCTGAGCGGGTGAGCGAGGCGTTGGAGGTTGGCATGATCGGGGTCAATACCGGCAAGATCAGCGATCCTGCGGTGCCGTTTGGAGGAATCAAGGAAAGCGGCATTGGAAGAGAGGTTCGTCTTCATCTCCACCGTCCTGACCCTGCATATACTAACGGGTTAGGGCTCATGGCTGGGTATCCACGAGTACCTCCAAGTCAAAAGCATTACCACAAATATCAGCCCATAGACAGACTGCTCGGAAATACAGATCTACATGGAATCCGCAATAAACACTTAAAGTGGCCCAGTGTACCGACATGGTCGTAACGTACATGACTCAGAATAGTTGCGTCGATATCTGTCGCTTTCAACTCACCCTTTCATACCATGACGGCTGTCCCGGTTGCAGCTGGATGGAGACTGGGCAGTAATGGAGGCTACGGCGGATGCCAAGGTCAGCGACGATCCTCTTGCCTGAGGGATGTTACACCAGAAATGGCACGGAGGGGACAAGGGGGGGCGCATTGGAGGCTCCTTGGTCTGCGCAGAAGCACCTCGTGGGTGATTAGGTGACACGACGGGAGAAGGAGAAAGGAGAGGTTGGCGAATTCCATTTTCAGTTTATTTTCGCATGTCCAGATGCTGCGAGGTGGATAATTCTCACTGCAACTATATACTCCAGTCTCCATTGTGGGGGTAACCCTAAGCTCTACTAATTCGTACAAGAGTCGGCTTACTGCCCATTGACCCCGTTCGAAACACCCCCATCCTCTGCAATCCACTGGTAAATAACCTTGGCATCCAACCCTTTGTACTTCTCCAACCCCGCCGTAGCCCTGTAGGCTTCCAACGCCGGTTCTCCAAGGACCATCCTGACCCCCAGTTCTTCTCCAGCCTTATGTGCCAACTCGAGCACTCCAAGACACATCTCAATAGCAAAGCCGGGCTTATAGCCGTTACTCGCCGGGTTTCCCGGTGTAAGCCCAGGAACCGGATTATTCACCTTGGTATTAAAACTCATTCCGGAGGACGCGTTGAGGACGTCGTTGAGCTTGTGCTTGTCGAGGCCAGCGCGGATGCCCATGTTGATTGTTTCGGCAGTGGCAATGGTGGTGATGGACGAGAGGTAGTTGTTCAGCAGTTTTGTTTTGAGGCCCGTGCCTGAAGGTCCGCAGTGAAAGATGGAGGACTCCTTGCCCATGTGGAGGAGGATAGAGAGGACTCGAGGGTACAGGTGGTCTGGTGAGCCGACCATGAATGACAAGATACCCTTCTCGGCACCCATGGAGCCGCCCTAAGACTCACCGTATCAGAAAGGGTTATCTGAATAGACATTGGATCAGGGATTTACCGAACATGGCGCGTCCACAAAGGCGCCGTATCCGCCTCCTGTGACCTTGACTCCGATCTGGCTCGACACCGTTGCGTCAATTGTACTCAGCTCGAGATACAGAACAGACTCTCGAGCCCTTGCCGCTAGCAGGCCAGACTCGGGATGTAGAAAGACTTGCTCGACATGCGGCGCCCGTGGAACCGAGGTGAGGATGATATCCTGTTGCTATTAGTCTTATGTTCATCGCCGTTAGGATGGGTAGCCTAGCCGCCGTACACTATGCTCACCAATTTCCTTTGGTGAAGAAGCGATGATTACATTTCCTGCCTTGCCGAACTCTTCCTTGAACTTGGTCAACGTCTCGGGGTTCACGTCGTAGACAAACAATTTATCAGATGAAGAGATCTTCTGTCGGAGGTTCTTTGCCATGCCGTGACCCATCTGGCCGAGACCGATGAAGCCGTAGGTTGTGGTACTAGTAGCCATGATAGGAGAGGAATTAGGCCTGGGCTAGGTGTGTATGACAGCCAAAGGATGCAGCGGCCTCGACAGTCGACCTGGCGTATATGAAGTACATCTTTGTCTGATAATCGAAAGCCCCCGGCTGAGTCCGTGGGCCCCTCGTAAGTTGCTTGATCGGAGATGCCCACCCACGATGCTCATTGTGGAGGAGTTGGAGACTCCATCCCGCCAAGTTGGAGATCGATGATCATCTTGGGGTTGTGCTCAGTGTTGGAGAGCAGAAGCAACAACTTTGCTAGCACAAGATCCCCCAGAAGTAGTTAAAAGCCCATCCTTCGCGCAATCAATGAAAGCTAATCATCACACCACTCACTTCCTCAAAACAGCTTCAGTTGGAAACCAACTTTACAAATCAATTCTGCAACCACCAAAATGACCACCCGCGAAACCAACCAAAAGGCCCTCTATGAGGTCGGCATGCCTATCCGTCGCGCCGTCCTCGGCGACGCCTACGTCAATAATGCCCTTGCAAAGGGCAGCACCGAGTTTGCCCGCGCCATGCAGGAGTTTACCACCGCCTTCTGCTGGGGTGCAGTCTGGGACCGCCCTGGGCTCGACCGCAAGCAACGCTCCCTGATCAACTTGAGCATGCTGGCGGCAACGGGAAAGATTCATGAATTGGCCGTGCATACTCGCGGAGCTGTGATCAATGGACTGTCCAAGACGGAGATTCGGGAGGTGCTGGTGCAGATCTGTATTTACATGGGTGTGCCGGCTGGGATGGAGGCGTTCAAGACCTGTGAGGGTGTGTTGGAGACTATGGAGAGGGAAGGTGTTCAGGTCAAGGAGTAGAGCACAGACACAGTGTGACTATTGCTATATAGAAATATCAAATCTGGTTGATAAGCTCCGAGTGTGTGCGTAGAACGCGGGATAATTTTGGAATCAACCCCCAAACAGTCGTTTCTCTAGTATCGAATAATTGGCTCCATTGCTGAAGAACAGCCGACGCCATGTGCGTAAGGACGGAGGTTGATAGGGCGTCGGTATGGCTTATGGCCAACGCCTGCTGAATCAGATCAATCACTTTCCACTCCTCGGGTGTTACTTGGGCGACGCCATCGTCAGACAGACATAACAGCCATGCAGAGAGCACTAGGGCGCATTCAAAGTAGCAAACCGGATGTTGCACACTCCAGCCCCAGAAACTGGTCCGCGCGACAACGTTGAACCCCAGTTGCACAGGGACTCGCAGAGCAAGACATGCATGAAGCGCCGCTCTTGTGGCATCTGGTCCACGAGTGAGCTGGCTGACCTCACGAATCGACGCCTCAATTACATCGATGGAGTCGCACCAGCTAAGATGCTGACGAACAGGAGAGTAGTCCGTCACTAGACGCATGTATGCCAGCCGTAAAAGTGCGGTGCTGTTGAAAAGCATCGGTCCGTGTGGGCTACTTGGGGAGAGCGAGGCACTCGGCTCCCGCTCCCAAACCCTCTGCCATCGCCGAAGAGCACGCAGGAAGCGGTGATACATTGCGGCGCTCGCAGCGTCATCCTTAGGCGACGCCTTGCGGAACAGGATGATCCGTTGCACAAGACATGAGACAATGATGTGGCAGCCAAATGCTGGGATCCGGCTGGGGATGTTCTGCGCCTCATCACTCATGATATCATCAGCAACCGCAGCAGCAGAGCAGTATGGCGCTGCACTGGCATGCCTCTGACTTGACCGGTTCCATTCGTCTTCTGATTTGGCCGCCCATTGGCTCTCATGGCTGGGCATGCCAAACCGATCCTCGAGGTTAATGGGGGCAGTTATATCGTATGCCACGTTGATTAGTGTTGTAAGCGTGAAGACGCAATATGTGACCCTACACTTGTTAGCAGACTCAACGGACAAGTAAGATACAACTGACCTTCTTAATGATTCCTGCTCACACCATAACTCCCAGGTAACTGGCTCCGAGCCAGAGTTCATCCGAGCCCATTCTCGTCGTACCAGAAGAGTAATTTCGCCAAAGAACCCAAGTGCCGTTTGTAAATCATCACTCTTGCCGCTCCAGGCCTTGTAGGCTGTCAAGACCATCAGTGTCTGCAGTGTCCACAGTCCCGGCTCCTCGTACCGAAAGCACGCCACGGCTGCCTGGTACAAGTTATCAGCGGCTTCTCCTTCAAGGCTATACAGCGCCCCGCTGGCTGATATGGCAAGAATCAAAGCAGTCCTTGCGGTCTCAAAGGACCAGGTGGCCGCGTGCAGAAAGGGCTGGTGGCGGTGAAAACTTTCAAAGTAGCGTCTTGCGTACTTTGAGACGCAGAACTGGGACGGTAATCCATTTCCGTGGCCGCAGCTCTCGAGTTCCTCCTGCATTGCTGTCCATCGTGCCTGGGAGATTCCCGGTATGGTTGCATCGGCCGTCTCAAGCTGCTGCGCTGGCTCGGTGCGGAGGATTTCCAGCAGCGGGGAGCCGGGGCGAGACAGCATTGTCGTGTCGCCCGTAGTCTGGGGTCCGACTTCGTCACTCGACGGCGGTAGTTGCACAGTTCGATCAAGGCTTTGAAGCTGATGCAGCCAGAAAAGGTCGTCCGGCAGCAAGCTCTCCGAGAGGGACAGGGCGAGGCCGGTCTGGGACGGGGGAGGCCAGTCGGTCGAGCCGCCATCAAAAGGCCAGGTATTTGGCAAGTCGACACCTTCCATGTTGAATGTAGCTGTCGGGCTCTCCGGCTAGTGACCATCAGCGCTGCTTTCTCCACTCTTGGGAGTCACCTACGATTCTGATCTCTCGGTGTTGTGGCGATGCTACACCGGGTCGTGTTATGCGGGCCGTAAGACGAGACGGGTGGGATTTCTTTTCATGACGACGGAGTAGGTCTGTCCTGGAAAAGCTTTTCTCGCACAACTTGCAGCTGAAGGGCTTTTCCTTGGTGTCTTCTTCAAAATCAGTGTGAAAACAGGGTAGCGCGCGGTAGCATCACTCACGGATCCGTTCGTGGCGGACGAGGTGCTCAGCACGAACAAACTCCCTCGCACAATGGGAGCACCGGTGGGATGGCGTCTGAAGAGGCGACATGGTCCTCAGCTTATTGAAGGGGAGACGAAGGTGAGGACAGCAGGCTGGCAGCCAACGGTCGGGGAAAAGGCCGAGCTAGCGTCGGGGTTCCCCAGATTGGAGTAGATATAATAATACGAATTTTATTCCGGCTACGGCATGTAGATCGTGCTTGGCTCTCTCCCCCAGATTCAAGGCTATCTAAGCTGCCGAGGGCATGCTACCACCCTCCTGCTCCAAGATTCCCCACGGCCCTCCTGGACTGCCTATAGAGTGTGCAAGGTTGGCTGCTCTCCCATTGCCTCATATCTTGCGATAAGCTTGCGGTTGTCTCGCTTCAGCGTCACTTTCATCACCACGCAGCAGGCAATGCTCAGCACAGCAAACGCCATCATCAGGATCATCGCGAGCACATAACGCGGTTCGTCGCCGTCGCGGAAGAAATACGGGCTCCAGATGTTGCCCAGCTGGCTGGTCAGGTTGATGAGTGCCGTCGCACAGGCTCGCTTCTCCGGCGTCTGGCTCACTGCCGACGCGGCCCAGGTGTACACCAGGGAGTTGGCTGCAAAGCATCCCGGGATGTACAGAAACGAGGAGAAGTACCGTGCAGGGGTATTCAGCGTTGACACGCTGATCACGAAGCCAGCAACGGCCACAGCCATGGATCCGCCAATGTGATGGCCTCGATCACCGATTCGGTCACTCGACCATGCGACGCCGAACGCAATAATCGCCCCGAGAACATACGGTGGTGCAGTGCACAAGAGTGTCACGACCGTACTTCCTAGGTTGAATCCTCTGACAATTGATGGGTAGAAATTGTTGAAGCCGTACGCGGTGTGGTTCGCACAGAGCATGAGGGCCTTTTGTACAGGACAATGTTAGTCAGGCTCACTTTGGAAAGAAAAGACGCGATAAATCGTACAAATACAGCAACTCGGGGATCCTTAACAGCTGATTTGAGCCCAAACCAAACTGATCGGTCCGACTCCTGGTTGGACACCTGGTCCCTCTGGATGCGATCTATGGCCAGTGCCCGCTCGGACTCATTAAAAACCCACTTCGTCGAGCCTGTTGCAGTTCCGGGAAAGTCTGGAAGCAGAAGCAGTGCGAGAAGGCCAGCAACAAAACTGCCGGCCCCTTCGATGATAAACAACCAGCGCCACCCGGCCAGCCCACGCGCCCCGTCCAGGCCAGAGAATATCCCGGCGGCAAGAAGGCCGGAAAACGCAGTAGCGAGAACAAGGCCAGAGTATAGAACGGCAGTTCTGAGCGCCAGTTCTCTCTTGGTGTACCAACAGGAGAGAAGGTAGAATACCCCCGGAAAGAAGGGCGCTTCAGAAATACCCAGCAATAGACGCACTGCTATCAGTTGCCCGTACGTGTGTACGGCACCGGTAGCTGCGGATATGCAGGACCACACACACACCCAGATTGCAATGTATATGGATGGACGAACTCGCGTTATGATCATATTACTCGGTAACTGCATGAGCATGTACCTATCCGGAGTTAGCCAGGCCTCTCTTGCGAAGGCTACCACATACCCGACGTTGAGAATTGAAATGGCGGTGTTGTATTCACTGCCATGTAAGTTCAGATCCTCTTCAAAAGAGTTTAATTTGGCTTGCCTGTTGGAGTCAGTGAAAGGTCGCTAGCAGGGAGGTATATCTCACGCGATGTTATTGCGGTCCAAATAGTTGAACAGGTATAGAACCCACACCATCGGCATCAACGTCAAGTCCAGTTTCCGGACTAGACGTTTCTCCTGGATTAGAGTCTCTCCATCCCAGGCGATTTGGCTTGGACCTTTCTCGTCGATAATATTATCCACATGCTGTGACGCCGGCCCAACAGGCTTTTCAGACATGGTGGCCTTGCTAAACGATGAATAGATACTCGTTCCCACTCCTTGTGTCTCGAATGAGGGTCTTTATATAGGAGCCTTGGGAGCTGAATGGGGCGGTGATCAGATCTCCGCAAACTGATAATCCGGGGAAGCTGGACTATGGAGGCTTTGAAGAATGGCGTATTCCAGACCGTGAGCTTTACCCCCGCCCGGTCGTTCTGGTCATGCTGTGGTTGCCGGCCTCCATTGTGGAGGCGACGGATGTTTTCGAGCAGCTGTGGGGGAATTGTGGAGGTGGCTTGGGGGTTGGAGATAATCGTCCTTACGGGTTACACGCTCGGTGCGCCGACTCGTAAAGTAAGACAGCATTCCCTTTGAGTACAGGGCAAAGGCCCAATTCCTTTCTCTCCATCTGACAACGGACCCAGAGTTGCAGGAGCTTCGTACAGTTAACTAACCTTGAAGCGTGTCGTACCGAGTAGAGACCCTGGTAGGGATCCGCGTCCACGAAAACACCAAATAAAGCCATTAATTCAACCAGTAATGAAAGGTCTAATAGGAAATATGAGAAATAATATAAACTAATCTCACCCAATCTCACGCCGACCCCCACCTGACTGCTGCCCGCGGTGAAACCACACGCTGGTTGGCGACTGACTATATCGGAGTCCCAGCTCTGGTATCTTTATTTTTATGTATTCATTGGAGCAGTGGTCCGACTGTTAATGCAGTATCTCAGTGGATTTGTATAGAAACAAGAGAGAAAAGCAAAAGAATACAGTTTCAACACCACCGTTTCCAACATACCCACCCGGCTGTCCACCTTACAATATATCTAGTCACTCAACAATCTCTCTTCAATAAGACCTGACACAAGAATTCCCCTTTTATCTCTCTAATCCCTGAGCTGTGTACCTAAGCCCTACTCTATTTTTATACTAGCTGAAAGTTAAGCTGGCTAAGCAGTATTATAAGTATCTTAAGAATATTTATTATTCCTAAATTCTGACTTATACACATGTGGTGTCTAATACTGAAAGGAATTAGGTATCTGCCTTTTTCTTTACTGTATGTCTTGTCAAGCTAGCGGCTCGGATTGTAGGAGTTTGTGATTGAGGATGTAGTTTGATATATATATGTGATAACATCCCGAGATCGGTAAATATCGAAACCATGGAAATGCCGAAGTGCAGCCCGAAGGCGCACTTCTGGCGTCATTTTTCTTTAAATCTGCCAGCTACCTAAGAGTTTATATATAACCTACTAAAATATCGGCAATCGTCTTAACGGATGGTGGAACCACGGGATATCGATGTCTCCGATGTACATCGAAGGCATCGATATCTCCGAGCATCACCATCGAGAATCACATATATACTTGTCTAAGACTATCGGTTCTGATTAATATTTAGTAAAGAAGGATAAAAAGGCTTATTTCTTGAGTGATATAGCTACCTTTAATATTTATATTATCTAGATATTTAACATAACACTACAGAGATATTATGAAGATAGGATTAAGATAGAAGTTCTCTTGGATACAGGCTATTATATATAGTAAAGAGGCCTTAAGGCTTTAAATAGAATAAAAAATTTAGTTTTCTCTAAAAGAATCTAGGTTTATTTAGATTTTCTTTTATATAGTGGCTAGTATCTCAGGATTCTGTATATAGCTACATAATTGATGCTCTAATGCTTATCGAGAGTCATTACTAGTAGATATAGATATCTAAGTCTATCGAGACATTGAGCGTTATTGAGAGGTACGACACGATAAAGCAGCCAACGTTGGGCGCGAAATGTGTGAACTGAAAACATGGTCGAATTTCGTAATGGCAGTCTTCAGTTCTCGTCTGCGGCTCAAAGTGCTATCAGGTTCTTCCTGGCTCATAGCGTGTGGTTGTTGAGCGGAGAGTTGGTACTCCGTAACTAACCCTCCGATCAAATGAAAGCTTACTTTCATAGCCGAACCGCTGTCCAGAGATTCGGTGATAACTGGGATGCTTGGTATAGAGACAAACAGATCCATAATCCGCGGTACGTAGTTGCAGTTATGTTGCCGAGCCTAGGGACAGGCAGGAGAAGGGTTTAAATGCAAGAGAATGGAAACTGTTGTATGAGTGTCTTATGTACAACCATAATTTCAATGCGACTCAGTAAGGACAAACGGACGATATGCACTAGTGTCAGTTGTCCTATTGATGATCAGACTGAATTTAAAAGCCTTATCCTCTAGATCATGAACAGCCTGATATCACCAACCACCAAAATACCGACAGGCAAAGGCGCGAACAACCCCCCCCGGGGCAATAACCATCTCCGACGCTCTAGAGGTTTTTCAATTCCTCAAAGGTGGACTGCATCTGCGAATACTGGTCCGAGTCCAGGTTGTTGTACAGCAGACATGCAGAGCCACAGGGAGTGGCCACGGGGCCCTCCACATCGCCGGTGATGACGTTACTCAGAACCATGCACTGAGAGGTCAGGCCGTCAATTTGGACACCTGAGAGGGAAGAGGTAGAGCAGTTAGCCTGATTCAACCAAGCAGGGCGTTGTTCTCTAGTTTGCTCACCGTTGTTCTCAACAGGACCGGTCACCGTCACAGTGACTGCCGGGTCCATCAAGCTGTCCACGCACTGATCAAAGTTGTGCTGGGGGACTCCCTCGGGCGCCTCGACCTGGACGGCACGGCCATTTAGATCGAAGCTTCTCTTACTGTCAGATCCAGCTGCCGCCCCGGCAATCGCACCACCGAAGCTGGCTGCCGCGGAGCCGACCTGGGCGACGGTCATGGCCACAGCATCGCCGATAAGAGGGCCAGCGATGAACGGGCACTGGATCGGCTGGCCTAACAGGTAGACAGCCACGGCGGCGCCGAGGCCTTTGGCTTTCAAAGACAAGGGTGCCATATTTAGAGGTGAAGTGTTTGTAATTTGGGTTGCAAAGAAGTTGTTATGTCTTATTGAGGGTGAGGATGGAAAGCACTAGGTGTAGGTCAAGGCGGACAGGACAGGGTCTTTATACCCATCTTCAAGGAGCCCGTGGCGTAATGAATGGCCAATAGCCCTTGCCTTTGATATGTCGCATAACCTTCCATGACCGCGGGAAAAGGATCAGTGTATCCATTATAATGTATGGCCTAACAAATATCCCGCTCGTTTATGGCCGCGGATTGAGGCGAAGCAGGCGTTCAGTCCCTGAACACGAAGCGCGACTTGGAGAAGCCAAGTAACTACATCAAAAGTATTGCCAGGATTGTGATCCTACGTGAAGATCTGTCTATCCAGGAAAATGGGGGGGCGGTTTCTTCGGTTTCTTTACGGGATGTAATGAATCAGACTGGCTCATTTAGACAAACGTGCTGCTCGATTCATTCAGGATATCACTTTCTCGGCATGTGTCGGCGTGCATACATCGCAGTTACAAGGGGAGTCGGTACTACTGGACTGATTGGCTGACTTGCTGTGGAGCGCGGCCTCCGGGAAACAGGATATCTGCATTGGAGATATCTTGGACAGGGCAAGCCATTGTTAGATGATTCTTGGAAGTCCCAGTAACAGCCAGGCTGTGGAGAAGTAGGAGTAGACGCAGTAGAATGGCTGAGTTTGGCCCCCAATATGGTGGGTTGATTACCGGGGCCGCGACTTTACACCTCCAGCTTCCTAGGATTCTCAGGGAAGGTAGGGACTACTATTGGCAATAGATAGGTCCGCGCTTGTTATTGCAAGATAACAAAATAATAGTCACAAAGGAAAATGAAAACGCTGGCGGAGTGGTCAAATAGGCCAGGGCGGGTTAGGGCAAATCTTGGGTTAGATATGCCGAAGCTGTGGAGAGGCAATGTTTCGAATAATGGTAATAATCCACAACTCACAAGCTAACATGCGCCCAGTTTGCAAAATACACGCAAGTCTGGACTTAAGGATAGGATACTTTCCTATACCTACCTACCCTACCTGCCAATCCCCTTTTGCTGCTGTCAAACCCTTGAATTTTCTCGCACTTTGCACGCGATGGAGGTCTTGTCACTCTCACCATTGTTCTACTTCCTCGTAGCAAGCTTGCTCACCATAACCGGTCTTAAAAGACGCCGACTAACCCGTGTCCTGCTACTGGGGCCCATCTGGCTTTTCTCGCTAATGGCATTGGCCTCATCCCATAGGCTGGCTTGGATGACTGGGGCTGATAGTATTTTTGCAAGCCTGGTGGTCTTCTATCTGCTCTACTCGCCAAAGACGCTCGTTTTTGATCAGCATACTGTTATTCCGGAGCTGAACGATTCCCATGGCTGGAGCTTCATCGACTGTTGTCGGGTATGGAACAATCCTCGACAACTGCCACTACGATTACAGCACGAAAGAAAGGCTGCCAACACTCCCTCGAAGTCTCGAGTCCTCTTCTGCCTCAGTCGTTCAATCAAAGCAGCGGGGTTGTGGGCATTCGAGTACTTTATTTTTCAAAAGATCCTCATGTATGCCCTCTGGCCAGTGACTATCAGCGACTTTGCGCCTGAAATGGAAAGCCCGTTTTTCCACCGGCTATCGAAACATGAAATCCGAGTCCGCTCGATCATTTCCCTCCAGTGGATCTGGCGGGCCTACTTTTTCCTTGAGTTTCATCATTCGCTCTTGGCCATCGTTTTTGTGGGCATTCTGCGCTTCGATTCTCCGGGAGAGTGGCCGTCTCTCTTCGGGAGCCCGCTGGAAGCGTATACCATCAGAGGGTTTTGGGGCCGCTTCTGGCATCAATTGACGGTTCCTACGTACGTGTTTTATGCCCGGCTTGTCTCGAGGCAAATGGTGCAGCCAAACTCGCTCTGGGCCAAGGTATTAACCGCACTGCTTGTGTTCACGATATCCGGACTCTCGCACTCGGTGGTTGGGTGGGCGTTGGGTGACACGGCGCTATGTAGGGACATTCTATTCTTTGAGATGTGTTTCCTCGCCGCTGCGGGCGAGACAGTGGTGTCCAAGATAAGAGTCAAGGAACCGAGCATCTTCAGACGGACTTTTTCGCCAGTGTTTCGCAGGGTGGCGGGCATGATGTGGGTATTTGTATTCTTTTTCTGCACGGTTCCCACGTGGATTTACCCTAAAACGTACCACTATCTATTGAACCCGGAAGGATGAGTTTTTTTATATGTACGTATGAGACAGGCTTTCTTAGATACACAAACGAGTCAGGATGGGCCAATACCCCGAAATAACATGGTAGGCAAGCTCTGGAAGACGAGCGAATTCCTGCAGGGCAATGACAACCCATCCAATGAAGGGTACATACCCTCTGACAAAACCGAGGACCTGGCGGCGGTCCAAGAAGCCCTGGCTGCCCGAATACATGACCGTATCGTCGACGTGGTTATTATCCCCCTTGGTCAATATCAGCTGCTGGCTACTACGGCATTCGAAATCAGCACGGTGGAACAAAGCAAAGTTATTTAGTTTTGTAAAGTTCTTACGGGTTGTTTTGGTGGTCATGCCCATATGTCACCCGGTGCACCCTATGAACCATTGGGAACGCGCTCCCAGGTAACCAACAAACAGGCAAATCGCCTATTGCAGCATCCTTATGATGGTTGGAGACAAACAAGACGCCCCCCGGGGCAAATGCGGGCAGCATCGACTCAGTGGTGACCACCATCACTGGGTATGGCGTCCCGGTGCAAAGGCAAATGGCCTTCCAGGCCATGAAGCAGTTGGCAACGAGCTGGGCTGCGCCGAGGACCACGTTCAGAGTAGTTCGCATTCTTTGTCATTGCAGGAGGATGTTGGCTGAAGGCTCTTTAGGTGTTATTACTAGGGGCACCTCATTAACTCCGGCGCACGGATGGCGGCGACTGACCCACAGTCACAGCCACGTTTGCGGAACTGCTGCAGATCGAAGGAGCCGGGCGTAAACCCCTGGCATCAGAGGAGGGTGCCGCATGAATACCAGAACAATGGATTAAGCCGAGTTGCTCGAGAGAACAACCAAGCAAGACATCCTTGATCCCGGTACCCCTTTCTGGCGGCAAGTACAGCCTTTCTGAGCTTACACCTGCGCCTTCAATTCCATTTACAAAGTAACAGTAAATTGAGGCTCATCCGTGACATTTCAAAGGTTTGAGGGTGATGTATCCATGCCTCCTCAAAGGTAGTGCTGGGCTTCGGACGGACCGCCTCGGATAGGCCATTGTTCGACGAGGTTACAATAGTGTTGGAGATCCACCCGCTTGTAAACTCGCAGGTGGGGGCGTAATCTTGGGGTTTTAACTATAGGTCGGACTATTATAATGGCCCCCAAATGGCTGTTGAAGGATTCTAGGACGGCCCTTTCAGATTATCTGTTACAACGAGCATACCGCGGGAGTTGAGGGACGCACTGGTTGCTACGTGGTCATCAACGCTGTGGTGTAATATAGCTGAAACTACGTAGACTACTCCGTCAAAGGGAATATAAATTGCCTCCGGGGCGATGCTTTCAATTGCTTGTGGTCTCGGTGTCTTGCCATCCGCGATCGTACTACTATCTCTGCTCCCATTCCTCTAGCAGTATACATATACTCAGGGCCAAGGAACTGATACAGAAACGATCGAGTGATTTAAATAATTTCATCGCGTAAGGTGCGTTTTTTTTTTTTTTTTTTTTTGAAAAGGTCTTGGAAAGTGTGGGATTTGGTGACTAGTAAATAATATCTTTGCCCAGTATTTTTTGGCCCCAGGATCAGATGCACCAAGTTATCCGAGCTCTTACAGGACCATTTTGCACCATAATGCCACCAGATACTGGACCTGAAAACGTCATAAGTGGCGGGGTTACTAGAGCATGCATATTATGTGATATCTACCCTCTCCCTCGTCTTCCCGGCTCTTCCCAACCCGAGTCGAGTCCATCATGGCCACACACCAGGATAACAAAGCCCTGTCATCATCGCATTCTCATTATGGCCCGCTTTCATTTCCGTCAACCATGAGCGTCCACGGCCAATGGACAAAATGGAAATCCATGAACCTCTGCGGCGCCCATGCCAAAGACCGCCTATGCCTGATCGAAATGCAAACAGGTTACAGTGGCAAGCCCCCGCTAGGGATGAGAACTGGGTTTCTTCTGCGCGATGGGATGAGCCCCAAAGATCCTCTGCTTGCTGCTGCGGGCGATGAGGTGCCGGGCCTTCATGCTTTTAACCCTGATGGTATCATCTTCTTGCGCGGCTCCCAACCGCCCGTTGACGACCCCAAGTGCATGGATATGGGAATGAAAACCGAGCTTATGAGCGCTGAACCTGGTGTGGACAATGATGTCGCCTTCCGCTTCGCTATTGAGGTGGGGGAGAAGCTGCGGCGGGAGGAGTTTGCATGGAGGAGGGTCAAGGAGGGTAAGAGAAACGGCTATGAATTAATTCAGGTCTCATCCCAATTCGACAGCGGTTCCGAAAATGCTGAGCGCGTCGCCTTTCTTGAATGGCGGACAGCCTGGTCTAGCCTGACGCATGCGTTCACACTACACTTGACGGATGGCCAGGCCGAGGCGTTGGGAGAACGCTGGACTCTTATGGTTGTTGTCACTGCAATCAGGCTCTATACGTTGTATATCAAGGGAAGAACGAACAACACTGTCGTCGGTATTGGGAAGGGCACATTTGGAAGGTGATTTATTATCATTATTATTATTGTCTCTAATGTATGAGACCTGCAACTATTATCATTTCTTCTAAAAATTATTCCATATATACCTCTTATCTGTCATAGTGTCGTGTAGTCTGCAACTAGTGTTCGTTATTCTGCTGATGTATATTTAGTGCCTTGCCGTTGAGGAAGGAACGAATCAGTCATGAGATCCTGCCTGCTTCATTAGAACTCTGTCTTGATCAACCATCTGTTACCATCCAGTATTAAAGGCTCAACCAAGAAGGATTGATGCTAACTTTGTACCTTCCATCCTTCAAAATATCTACTGGCAATCGAATAGTTTAATGATAGAAAATAAATACATGCAAGCACCAAGTCAAAACAACTTTTCACCCTTTTAAGAACGTCGCAACAAAATCCGAATGAGATTTGTTTCCATCTAGACCTCGCCAAAACGCGGGTTGGGTTGGGTTCTCACTTTTTCGGCCCGCCCATGGGTTACCGAAGGCGGGTTTTGGGTGCTGTTAAAATATCCCGGTTACTGAGATAATCATGGGGGTGTCAACCCGTGGAGACGTGCATGCCTATATACCTGTTCACCAGTCTACTTGTACCTTGTGCAACACACAGTCAACTCCCCTCAATAACATGAACACTGAAGCATCACTTGTAAATCAACAGGTTATGAGCCCGGCAATGCTCACGTCAGATTGGAGAATACTTCCTACTCCTAAGTTTCCCCTTCAAGTGAAAGCTTCATCTATTGACTGAACTGGAATTTCAGGAATTCATCAAAGAAGAAGGGCGGTTCAAGGAGGAGGATAAGAAGACATCGTGGAAAGACGTCGGGGACATGAGGCTAAACTAGCGCATTTATCTGCTATCCTATATTATGCTATGCCAGTGTGTCTGCAACTATAGCCTTTTACCCATTACTTAGCGTAGGAACTCCTTGTTGATGCATTCTGTGTTAGGATCGAAATTCCCCCTTCCGACCATTACAGACGTAATGGGCTTTACCGGCACCAACGCGCAGCTGATAACCGTCCTGCCATATATTGCTAGTGCCATAACCGCAGTCCTATTTTTTAAACTGCCAGACCAGTACTACTGGCACATGCTATTTGTTGCAGTGCCCCTTCTTCTGATCATTATGGGGTACGCGATAATAAATAGGCCTTAAGGGTTGACTAGAGGCCAATATCAGGCCTGAGTATTTTATAATTATAGTAGCATATATAGGTATCTACCTAACCTACCCAGCTATAATCTTATATATAATGAACAACCTAGCGTCCTTAAAGTGCTGTACTATTAGCAGTGCATTCATTACCTGCATAGACAATACTGGAGGCATTATCGGTAGCTACATGTATCTTGATAAGGAGGCCCCGATCTATCTTACTGGCTTTGGGCTGTTGTTGGCTTTTGGTGAATCAGCCCTTCTTGTAGCTACTCTTTTCGAGTTATTCTTTATGTATGGCAACAAGCGCAATGCTAACTTGACCGAGACGGGTATCCGGGAGAAGTACACCGACGAGCAGTTGCTAGCCATGGGAGGCAGGTCCCCGCTCTTCAACTGCACGCTTTGAACAGGATTGTGGCTCAGGTGAAGCCTATAGATATCTTCCCTGACAGCCTGTCGGATGTGATGATATTAACTCCGAGCCAGGTTTTTTTGTTTGTAGGGGTAATAAATCAAGGAAGCCGGGTACTTCTGAGAGGGTGCAATATATACATTGACAAAACTTAGTATCCTATTTACTGTTCCCGGCCTTTTTGTAAATCAAAAGTCCCCAATCAGCTTAATCCAGGCCTCTTGGACTGCGGCGGATGAAAAACCAGCTGCCACATACCTCCGATGCATGTTCTGATTACTATCTGCGTGATTTCATTGCAGTCTTCCTCGCTCCTGTGGACTCTCCCACCACCACCCCTTCGCGCCAAGCGCCCCGATCAGCGAATCCACTCGGTGGACGATCTAGATGATACCATACCGATATCCTCCCACAGTGATCGTGGAGAGTTTGTGGGAGGGATCCGCTTTTAAAAGGTACATCCTCGGCCCCACCCGACTATGCTACCACTCGTTCCTGGCTAAGCCACCAAGCACCTGTGATGCCGGATATGTGTGTATGCACAACCGGTGTTTTGCTTTGCAAGGTGATGGCCACAGAGTTATTTACAGGAATGATCTGCAATAACCAGAAGAGGAAGGTCATCAGCGCCATGGTGATTAAAAACTTATCCGATGCTCATGAGGTACGGATTGGACTTGTCTAGGTGTTGAGAGATAGATATATAAAGGTTCCCGTTCACTCCTTAACTGAAGAGCAACAACAGGAAAGCCAGACAGAATCACATTTCTTAATTGACTTTTATCACCCTCTATCGTTCTGCCATGCAGCTAACTAATGCGATTTACTTCACCGTCTTTGGAAGCGCCATCCTCGCCCTTGCACATCCCGGGCATCACGAGAAGCGCGACCCAGCACCTGTGAGGGCATACAAGAGAGATGTCGAGCATGGACTGGCAAAGTGTGCAAGCCAGCTAGAGGCCAGTGGCCTTCAAGCTCGTTCTGAAGCGCGCCGTAAGGCAACAGTCCAGTTGCACCGTCGACAGTTGATCACCCGAGACATCGATGCCGTGCTCAGCAAATCGCATCAGGCAACCCACCCCGTGTCGCCGTCCATACCTCCTAATGAACTCTTCAATGACACGACCCAGAAGGCTTGCATCCTTGGCCCCACTGCCGAGGGAGAAACCGGTCCATATTGGATAACCGGCGAGCGAGTCCGGTCCGAGATCCGCGAGGGACAGCCCGGAGTTCCGGTTCTTCTTGAACAGCAGTATATTGACGTCGAAACGTGCAAACCCATTCCGCGTCTCTATGCTGAAATCTGGGGCTGCAATGCTACTGGGGTTTACTCCGGCCTGGTTGCAGACGGTAATGGGAACTCTAATGACCTGGGCAATCGAAACCGCACTTTCCTTCGTGGCGTTCAGGAAACCGACGCAGATGGTGTTGTCACATTTGATACTCTCTTCCCGGGCCACTATGATGGACGCACCACGCATTACCATAATATCGCCCATTTTGGTGCGAGGCATCTTTCCAACAACACCATTGCTGGTGGGACAGTAGGGCACGTCGCTCAAATATTCTTCGACCAGGACCTGATTGACCAAGTCGAATCAACCTATCCGTACAATACCAACCATATTCCCATCACACCTAACTCAGTGGATCGGGTCGTCGGCCAGGAGACGGAGAGCGGTGACTCTGACCCCATGCTCAATTATGCCTTCCTGGGAGACCATATCGAAGATGGACTCTTTGCCTGGATCACCGTGGCTGTCAACCTCTCGGCTGTGCACTATCCATACTACACCAACGTTTACACGGCCGCAGGAGCGGTGGAAGTGGAAGGCACTTCGGATGGAGACCCTAGGGCAATTGATGGTGGCCTTCCCCAGAGCTCTACGGCATAGGTTTATGGTTATAGGGTTACATATCTTCAAGGATTTAAACGTTGGCAAACCATGAGCACAGGAAGAAGAGTGTGAGTATGTTGGAGAGGTCTCGTATATCTAGATACCTCTTGACGATAGCTTTGATGATGCCTTACATGACGTTTCTTTCGCCGATCGTTCTCTAAGATGCATACGTTACGATGGTCCCATAGCTCTTCTAGGATAGGCTGCCATCTTGGAAAGTGTGTTTACCTCTTAAGGGAGGTCGTGCCACTGCTCACTGTACAGCTACGTCATATTGCATCAGCATAGAAATATATTGCCTTTAAAGTCAGAAGAACTTCTCAGATGGACCGGATGAATAAGCTTTCCTATTAATTTTTCCTTGTTTGGTCGTGCGACCTTGGAATGGTGATAGTCGTCATGGTATTTTATGGGCTTTAATCAACCTCGCATTTCTCGTTGATGAAATGCATTTACAGATCCTTCGAAAATCACTCTGTCTCATATGATAACAACTTCCCATCGCGTACATGCAAAAACAAGGACAGTATCCACTTCACAGTGCGTCCTTAAGAGCCACCCTTTTACATCTACATCTATACTGTAGTATAAATCTCCCGGGTCTACTACCACTTTTTAAGGATCAAGAAATTAATAGAGGTGAAGTAAGTAACGGAATATATCAACTCACGGCATCTTCAAAGCTGACTTTATTGGTTTTATTATCCAAGAGCTGCTCAAATATCTTTCCTGAAAGACCTCGCCAGTATTAAATAAAGTAAGAACTGCTTCCAGTCAATACTAATAATAAACTCAACAACACCTCAATAAAGCGGCCTGGATTTTATTAGTGAGCTAAATATTCCTGGGTAGATAAAGAACCCCTCATATAAAACTCGAGCCGTATTTCAGTATATAATATCAATGCCAGGAGGATATCATTCTCAATAGTCATTTTCATACAGTTCTTCCTAGACTAGGAAAGTTACCTCATTATAGGAATAGATACCCAGGGTTGTTACTGAGCTACCTCAATGCGTGCAGCAATCATGAAGTGTACCCTACTGACGGCGCTGTATGGTGTAGAGCTCATCTACATGGCCTAAAACAAACAGGATCTCTTGACTGCCTGTGCTCCCTGATCAATTACCTAATTTCCTAGTATACGATAATAGCTGGTACAGTACGAATCCACAAATCAGATCTACCTAGCCCAAAAACCCTGTTTGATGACGCAGGAAGCAGGAGTCTGATACAAAGGCCCGGACATCAAAAATCGCATTGCGATCGATCACTGCTGACAGCATTTTCAGATTTGGTCCTACAGGCCAGGTGTAAGAGACTACAACTGTCAACCTTTATGCCGCTCTATACGTGTTACTGACATCGTGCAGGTGGCTCTCGTAGCGGAGCGTCTACGGACTAGGAAGAATGTGATGCATCCAGAGGTTCTGCAGGATTAATTGAAATCTACGGGCAGTATTTATCATTAAGGCCTCGGGGATTGACCTTGCACTTAGAGACCAGCCCTTGAAAACGGCCCGAAATGACAATCAGTTATCTTCTGGCTAACTAATCTGTAACACCCGTGAACTTCACTACGTATATGACGTGGCCGCAAATATAAATGTTCCGGACAAGGTAGTCAGAATTAGATTCCAAAACGGGCCCTAGCGAGGGCTTGGATTATTGTATCCTATGCTTGAATGACAGTTACTGTCCATACCCAGGTATAAGCTATAATAGACCCGACTTTGTGTATATACAAATCAGTTGACAAAATAAACCAAAAGAACCCCAAGTAGAGTACGTTAAGGTACAATGTAGCCCCCCCTTTCACCAAATAAACCTCAAACAAGAGGCTGGGCGATGCCACCAAACATCACCAGTATCAACACCAACACAGACTTAGTATCCAAACCCGTAGCCGCCGCCTCATTCGATCCAGTCGGGTCAGACTTTTCATCTTTCGTTGCGCTCGGAGTGCCCGTAGCCGTAGCATTCGCATTGGTATTGCACCATACCTGTCCCGCGGCAGAGCCCTTAATTAGACACTCTGCAAGGTCGCCAATGGTCTGGTTCTGCGCAAGACAGTAATAGTCGCAGTCCGAGTAGGGGATAACGCTGGCGGAGCCACAGCAGTCCGTCATGAGAGTGTGGTAGGCGTTGTTCATGGGCATGGCACACGCAGCATCCCTGCTTGGGATTTCGTAGAGCTTTGCGTGGCACAATGATGTTGCTGTAGAGGCAGTGGTGGTTGTTGTAGAAGACATTTTGAATTGGATTCGGTGAAACGAAGAGTTATGTTTGTTTAAAATCCCGATGAGCCAAGGCACGGTTGAAGGAATCGTCTCCTGGTAATGGTCATTAAGATGTCAGGACATGGTCTTGATCTGAAATTTATGTGCTCGAACCTGAGCGATATTCATGCCCAAAATTAGATCTATGAAGCGAACACTGCCCCACAAAAGGCACGGGTAAACGGAGTGAGTCCGGACCTCATAATCGTTTATATTCCCTAAATATGTAGCGGTTCGAATGCCATGGCTTGATTCGTAGGCCACTCCTCACCTCGCTTAGATGTATGGTGTGATCTCTGTTGCGGACTCTTCATTTAGTCTGAGGCGAGTGGAGTGCAGTAGCTACCATTCACTTCTAATTCGTGAATTGAGGATAGATGCTATATGTTATTGGTCTACCGATGCGGTGGTTCAATATCTACTTTGCTTTCCGATCTCAGCTTCACCATTCGCAGGAGCATACCCAGTGATTATTTTAAGCCGTGGGTAAGCGATGGCCCGGCATAGCTGACCGTGTCTGCCTTCGATAAAACTTATATCAGCATCCGAGTCCGGGATCGGCCGGGTTGCCGATAAATAAATCTATGCCAGGCTCATCTTACTGTCTCGGGAAAGGCCACCATGGACCCATCCTGAGCAGCCGAGATCCAGAGAGTGCTTTTTTTATTTTTGGATCTAGTCATGGTGGCAGTAGACAAAATCCCCACGATGGATCTCCACACAATGAGGGGACGTCGACGCATCTTCTGTGGCACTGCGATCCGCATCTAGGATCATATAATTCTATTCCGATGGGTTGGTCTTGCAATTTACTACAAATCTAAAAAAAGAAGGTTCGGCGGATCTCTGACCAAGTTTCAGGCAAAGTATGGACAGACCCGTTGGTGCAGGAAGCTGGACGAGCGGTATATAATTAGCCCTAAATTAGCTAACACATTGCCTACTTGATAGTGTCTAAGCACCGACCACGCAGTGTATGCAGTAAAATCGCTAAATCATCGTATATAACGTACTTATGTTCCGAAGGCAGGATTCAGCATAGGATTATTGTTCATGTTCGATTTCCCCAGCTGTACCTTTTTTATACTTCTATCATTGCCGCTGAAACCACCAACCCGTCATTGCCAAACATGGATCGAATCCATCCTGATGAAAAGAAATGCCAAGAGCACTTTGCCGTCTGGCTCCAGGTACTCTCGCAACAACTACCTGTATTGGCGTTGCGACTAACGAGTCAATGTTGGCCTGGTTACGCTGTAACCGAAGTCTCAAACCTAACGACCAGCTCCTCCACTGCACGTTGCTCTGTGACGTTCGAGGATGCAACCCGTGTACTTCTCTGGTTTCCCTTTCCCGGCGGTAGCCACATGTGCGCTGAGAAGTTAAGCAACGAGGTATCTGTAATGAGATACCTTGCGCGAACAACGATAATCCCCGTCCCCACTGTCTTTGGAGCCGGGACCTGGGAATGCGGTCCATATATTATTACCGACTTCATCGAAGGAATTCCACTATCTAAGCGCCTGAAGCCCAGCCTTCCCAGCGCCAAACGCGATCTCGAACGGGCTTATCACTGTATATCCCAGGTCATGCTGGAGCTCTCTAAACAAACATTTCCAAGGATTGGAGCCCTCGTGCAGAGCTCGGACGGCAAGTGGAGTGTATGAAAGAGAGCCCTTGCTGCCAAAATTGAAGATTTAGTCCAAGCCGACAATACCCCCCACGGCCCAATTCTTAGCAAGACTTTTGCCAACGCGTCCGAATATTTTACAGACATAGCCACCCAACAGGTCCGCCATCTGCGTTACCAGTGTCACAAAGGCCTGCTTGAAAACCATCACTTGAGAGAGAAATACATAGCCCGGTGCATGTTCCGGCGCATAGCACGCTCGCTGGAAACAGAACCTGGCCCGTTCCGGCTATACTGTGACGATCTCGGCCCGTCGAGTGTTTTCGTCTTGTCTGGTGAAAATGTGGACTTTAGCGTTACGGCTGTTACCAACTGGGAATCCACTTACGTCGCTCCTAATGAATTCACCTACACCCTACCGTGGTGGTTACTCTTCCAAGCCCCGCAGGGGTGGGAAGAAGATTTACGTCGGTTTAAGAGTAGATGCAACCCTTGTCTTGACACATTCCTTCGGGTTCTTAGAACCTGCGAGGATAGAGAGATACATAAGGGGGAATTAGAAGCATCGCAGTGCCTGTCAAATCGAATGGCTGACTCGTTGGACAATGGACTATTTTGGTTTTGCCTTGCTGCGAGGAGAACCTCGTTACTCGATGATATATATTGGACCTTTCTTGATGAGAGGTACTTTGGACCGCTGGGGTCTTTAGACGACCGCCTCGAACTTTTGTCAGTTGACGAGGTACAGGAGCTAAATCGGCTTTGTGGGGACTGAAATGGGAGAAAGAGGAGGGAAGATTGCCAGATCTAGGCGTGGGAGAGAACAGAAACATGTACGTGGGATAATATGATACACCGGAAGATGGCCTTTTAGAACTTCAGACCCAGGTAGAGAATCTGGTACCAAATCCCCCCTTCTATAAACCGAGCTACCTCATCCAAGGTGTTCGAGGTTTCCTGCTATGTAGCCGCCAGATAACGATGTAGACAGAGACAGTGGAGCTACGGTAGGTTTCCTTTCTTTCTACTAGAGGGTGCTGTTGCCATGGCTGGAATGTGGAGTGAGATGAAAGGCGTATGCTCACCAGATACCTCGTCTCCACAAAAGTATACTCGAAGCCCAGGCTAAAGGCTTTGCGATTGCGTGTTGGTGGCAATTTCTGGGTGCACACGGCTCCTAAGTGCAAGCCCACATCTTCCTACATTAACATTACGGAATGCGCCAGTTGCGTCAAATGAAGCTAACATTTCCCAGTGGATCCGGTGCTTAGCACCATGGACTTTCAAAAACCACTGTTATCCCACACGGTGTTATTTTTAGATCTTGTGTAGGTATTTATCAGGTCCACAATCCAAGTAGGAAGTAGGGCCACAGCCTGAAGAATAGCTTTCATCTAGCCATTGTCACACCTCAAGTCGTGGTTTTCTCTTCTCATCTGCCACTTGGTTTTTTAATCTTGTCCTTACCTTTAAAACTGGATTTGGTCGACCCCAGCGCTTCCTCAGCAGGCATCACGATGAATAGCAGCCCCCCCATATTTTCAAACAGCACACCGTACGACAGCGAGAGCAGCCAATGTCACCCCGGCCACGAGGTGAGTATCGCTGGACATGTCTGCGCCATACTCTAACACCAGCAGCAACACCCCTTCTACCCGGAAGGATCCGAGGAGCAAGAGCTTTCGCTCCTGCAACGGAGCGGGTGCAGCCATAACGGCTCGCCATTTGTCGATTCCGCTGCCGAGTCGGATTCACAACCGCAATATACGCTGCATGATCCCGGTCCATTGATCTTCGGCGCCCCGGAAGCCGAACCAGTTCAGTCGAGTGCAAAGAAGCCTCGCACGGGGCTGGCTCGGTACGGGACAAGAAAGATTAACCTGGTGAAAGGCACTGTCCTGAGTGTCGATTATCCGGTTCCGAGCGCGATTCGGAATGCGATTCAGCCCGAGTATCGTGATGCCGAGGACGCTTTCCCAGAAGAGTTTACACACTTGCGATGTGGGTACCTTTATTCTAGAAATCGGGGAAGTGGTTGAGCTGAATTGATGATGATCCTGATTACCAGATACGGCGGCGACATGCGACCCCGACGAGTTCACTCTGCACAAGGGATACAATCTTCGGCCTGCTATCTATAATCGGCATACAGAGTTGCTTATTGCGGTGACCTACTATAACGAAGACAAGGTCCTGACTTCGCGTACTCTGCACGGAGTAATGCAGAATATTCGGGATATTGTCAAATTGAAAAGATCCGAGTTTTGGAATAAGGGTGGCCCAGCGTGGCAGAAGATTGTTGTCTGTTTAATCTTCGATGGCATTGAGCCCTGCGATAAGAATACACTGGATGTGCTGGCCACAATCGGCATCTACCAAGACGGTATCATGAAGAAGGATGTAGACGGTCAAGAGACTGTCGCGCATGTGGTGAGTGGATGACCACTCGGTTGACCAGAGCAGCAGTAAACTGGCCATTTGTTACATTTGACACTGACAGCAGCAGTTTGAATACACAACCCAATTATCGGTCACTGCTGCTCAGCAGTTAGTTCGACCTCACGGTAACGAATCAAGCAACCTTCCGCCGGTACAATTTATATTCTGCCTGAAGCAGAAGAACACCAAAAAGATCAACTCGCATCGCTGGCTTCTCAATGCCTTCAGCCGAATACTAAATCCCGAAGTTATCGTCCTGCTAGATGCAGGCACAAAACCTGGCCCAAAGTCCTTGCTATCGCTGTGGGAGGCCTTCTATAATGACAAAACACTTGGTGGAGCATGCGGTGAGATCCATGCAATGCTTGGCTCGGGCTGGCGCAAGGTTATAAACCCCCTTGTTGCTGCCCTGTACGCGATGATGCATTTCGGGCGTATTTATCACAGCGGCCATAACATCATTCGATTGTTTTTCTTGCATATTCAGATGCTTTATAATCTCTGCCAGCTTATCATGACCTGGTTTTCTCTCGGTGTGTCTTTCCAACCCCCTCAGCTTTCTTGTTGGATAGAGCTTGGTACATGCTAACATGTCGGGCAGCGTCATACTGGCTGACAAGCTCGGTGATTATGGACCTGGTCGGCACCCCGAGCAGCCACAACAGGGAAAAAGGCTGGCCTTGGGGTAATGAAGCATCCCCGATAGTCAATACCTTTGTTAAATACGGTTATCTCTGGGTACTGATGCTCCAGTTCATCCTAGCACTTGGTAACCGACCGAAAGGGTGAGTGCTCCTTCTCATAATCCTGGCTGTCACTAGCTTACAGAGTAATAGGGTTGTCATCCCCTACACGCTCTCCTTCCTCTACTTCTCACTCGTGCAGCTCTATGTTCTCGTCCTTTCTTTCTACCTAGTCGTGAATGTCTTTACTGGCGGTATGCTTGATTTCAATTTCGATGATGGTGTCGCCGCCTTCATAAAGTCCTTCTTCAGCTCCTCTGGCGGTGGTATCGTGCTCATTGCGCTAGCATCAACATACGGTATCTACATCATTGCGAGTATTCTATACCTTGACCCTTGGCACATCCTAACCAGTTCGTGGGCATACTTCCTCGGCATAACGACAGGTGTCAATGTGCTCATGGTATACGCGTTCTGCAATTGGCACGATGTCTCCTGGGGCACAAAAGGGTCTGACGAAGCAGATGGCTTACCGTCTGTAACGATTAAAAAAGACGACAACAGCAGGAAGAACTTTATTGAAGAGCTTGACAAACCGCAAGCCGATATTGACAGCCAGTTTGAGGTTACTGTGAAACGCGCCTTAGCACCATGGGCTGAACTCGAAGAGAATGGTGGTAAAACCTTAGACGACTCATATAAGAATTTTCGAACCGGATTGGTGTGTTTTTGGGTCTTTAGTAACTTGCTCCTGGCGTTGATGATTACCGCCACGGGTGTGGATAGGATGTGTTTGACAAATACATCGACCACCAGAACGACAGGATACTTCCAGGCCATCTTGTGGATTACAGCAGGCTTGTCACTGTTTCGGTTTACTGGGTCGTTGTACTTCCTCGGGCGATCGGGAATTCTCTGTTGTGTGTCCCGGCGCTGATTCGTCCTCGCCTGTACTATAATATCTTGTTCTTATACTACAAATTGTCTGGGAAAGGATAATCTAGTTTCCGACTAAAGAGTGGTATTCATGCTTTTCCAACCATTCAGCAAGAGCAAGCGGAACTGAAGCAATTCGGAAGCAAAAAGCACAACTGGCAACTGGCTACTCCTGATCTACGTACTGGAATGTACTATTTGAAATATGACCCCAGCCCCCAAATTGCAGACGCAGCATGGACTGTATCGTTATATTTTATGGTTTCGTGAGGAATTAGTCTACTTGATCCTGAATCATCTAGGCACAGGAAAAGCGAGGTCGGGGCTCAGATGACAATATGTCTGAGTCCGAGTGCACTGGCGGAATCTCCATGCACCAACCGTAGTAGAAACTAAATCCTCACAGCATATACCTGAATAACGGCGACCGATCTCCAAGCACAAGGAGCTCATCATCCGTATACCATTCTCTTACCTCACTCTCGACCATCCTCGCCTTCCTCTTATTCGCAATAACCAGCGAAACCTCTAGAATACCAGCAACAAGCAGCCCCGAGACCCCAAACGCAAGCGACAGCCCAAACCCAGTGAGATACGTCGGGCTCTCGCGGTCTAGATACATGTAGCTCCCAATTATCCCACCTGTATTGCCCATGCAGATGTTAAACGCGCTCCCGATTGCGCGCCGCTTCGAGGGCGCGAGGTTGTTGATTGCCCACGAGGCCGTGGCCGGGTAGGTTGGGTAGATGCCCATGCAGGCAACGATAAGGGCGAAGAAGCCCACTCCTACATGCGCTTCAAGGCGGCCCTTTAGACCTATAATAATCGCGTATCCGGTTATGATTAGTAGAAGTGGGGTGGCGATAAAGGGGAACCGCCAGTTATAGCAGTCAGAGATATTGGACAAGACAATTGCCGCGATTGCACCGGCGATGTAGGGAGGTACTGTCATAAGCTGTGCGTTGGTGCCTTGGAAGCCCATGGCTTTTGTCACAGTAGGGAGGGTGAATTTCGTTCCTAGCGAGAAAATGAGGTATTAGTAGAGCGCTAATGTGAGGTTCCTGGATGGAGAGATAAGTGGTAACGAACCATAGTTGCAGGCACACTGGCACAACATGATATACGCAGCGAGGTACAGCCTCCAATTCTTCATAACCCCACCAACGTCCTTTAACGTTGTCTTTTGCTGCTCTTCTCTAAAGCGTCCGCCTTCCTTGATAAAGTGCTGTATCTCCAGATACCGTATCTCGTCTTGGTCCAGCCACCTAGTTGAGAGGCGCGGGGAGTCAATAAGCAGGAAGAAGCATGTGACTCCTAACATAACAGTAATTAGGCCCTCAATCAAAAGGATCCATCGCCACCCTTTGTACCCGCCGACATTATCCATTTCGCTGATCCCCGCCGCGAGAAGACCGGAAAATGCACCGGATAGCGCGCTGGCGCAGAAGAAGGAGGCTACGCGTGTGCCGAGCTCACGGGGCATGTACCAGAGTGAGCAGAGGTATACGGAGCCGGGGAAGAAGCCGGCTCTGATCTTGTATCAGAGAAACGCGAGGACTTTTGCAAGGGATAATGACTTAACACACTCGAAGATTCCCAGTAAGAGCCGCATGGTTACCAGCCCGCCAAAGTTTTGGACCACGCCAGTCAATGTCATGATGATTCCCCAGCTAACGATTAAGGTACCCAGGTAGACTGATGGTCGGCTGAATTTCTTGAGCAGGATGTTGCTCGGCACCTCTACCGATCCATTAGAAGCGGGAGCCAGGTGACGTCGCAAGAAGCAACTCACCGAGCAGAATATATGGGATGAAGAACAAACTGAGCGCGATATTATACTGGATGCCGCTCAAGCCCAAGTCTTCTGTCAGTCCGAGGATCTTCGCGTTTCCGATATTGGCTCTGTCGAGATGGGATATCAGATAGAGGACGGCGAGCATGGGGATAAGTCTGATGTCAATCTACAGCATGTGCGCTGTGAGCTTTCCATATTATCAAGTGCGGTAGTCAATAAAACGCGGAATTACCTTTCGCAAGAGTCTCTTCCTCCTCTCGGCAGGGAAACTGCGATAAAACGCTGCATCATCGGAGGCAAGCCCTAGTACCTGGATGTTGTCAAGTGTTGTGACAACGGTATAGTTCTCGATGGTCTCGGAGCTGCACTCTTTTTCATCGACGGGGTCATGCTGGTGCTCATGGGTCGAGGGCATGGTTGCGGTGGTGCGCTCTTTACTCAAATGAAGAACGGGAAGTTATTGAGAACAAAGTCGTGCGATGGGAATACACCTGCTATTTATCGACTGGTCACGGTCAGGAGCCCTAACCTTGGCAGCTAGGGGAATCAGGCGAAGCCGCCCCCCATGTTCACTCCGGACTGCCGAACTGCGGAGTCGAGAAATTTGGGGCTGAGACCCCAGATCTAACCCCGTGGCGCTTCTCCGCAGCGGCGTTCTCCATCCCGCGGGTAGTCTCCAGCGGGCGCTTTTGGCCCGTTTACGGGGCCAAATCTCCGTGAACGTAGGGTTCCGCGCATGGTGTACCTGGACGCAACACCACTGACGAGAATGTAATGGGGCATACCGGATATGCATTTAGCAGATGTGAAAAACGGAAAGACCTTAAATAAGACCAGGGAAGGCGATGATCGAAACCTGGTCGCACCTTAATCCATCATTCCCCTCTCTTATCTTCCTCCCACAGCGTCCATATCCGACCGCTCATTACAACCAATACAATGGGTGAAGCCAGCATTCTCGACCGCCTATCCGCCCTCGATACCAGCACCGTCTCCGACGCGCTCGATTTCCTGCACCTCAAAGGCGCAACCTACGGCCTGCGCCCACTCTGGGACTGCCCGAAGATCGTCGGCCGCGCGAGCACAGTCAAAGTCGGGCATAAGACCGACTCGGCCTCCACCGCACATCCATTCACACCCGTTATCGACGCAATCACCACGGACGACCGCGTGCTCGTTATCTCCAGCGGCCTGGAGGGCGTTTCCTGCTGGGGCGATATCATCTCCAATGCGTCCAAGGCAAAGGGGATTCGGGGAACAGTCATTGATGGTATGTGTCGCGATATTAACGGGAGTCACGACATCGGGTATCCTGTCTACGGACGTGATGTTACCATGATTAGTGGGCGGAGCCGCCTCGTGCAGGTTTCTGCTGGGGCGCCGGTGCAGATGCGCGGTGTCACGGTGCGCGAGGGGGACTATGTTATCGCTGATATCTGCGGGACGGTGTTTATCCCCGCTGAGCGGATTAAGGAGGTGCTTGACCTGGGCGAGCGGATTGAGCCCCGCGAGAGTCTGATGGTGCAGGATGTTCGGGCGGGAAAGCCCGTGTCGGAGGTGATGCACGACGCGAAGTTCCAAGCGATCCACGCAGAGACAATGTCCGTCGCGGCTGCTGTGACGGCCTCGCATTCCAAGCAGAATATCAAGAGCGCCAGCGCCGAGGATCAGGAGTTGGTCAAGCTCTTTGCGGGTCTAGATGCTCCCGCGGTCTCGGACGCGCTGGATAAGCTCGGAATCCCTGGGCAGGCACTTGGAATCATGCCGCTGACCAACTATAAAAAAGTCACTATCGGACCAGCCTTTACTGTCCGGTACGTCCCCGCCAGCGACCCACCAGGAAGCGTCGGTGACTTTATTGACGACGTGGCCGCCGGCGACGTCGTGGTCATCGACAACGGCGGCCGCACGGATTGTACTGTCTGGGGCGATATTATGACGCAGTATGCTGGACTTCGCGGGATAGCAGGAACTGTTATTGACGGCGTCTGCCGCGACGTGAATCTAGCTATTAATGAAGAGTATCCTCTCTTCAGCGCTGGTCGATGGATGCGCACGGGCAAGGATCGGGTGCAGGTGGGCGGCGTTAATGAGGCGGTTGGGGTTGGCAAGGTGCATGTCAAGCCGAGGGATATTGTAGTCGCAGATGTTAATGGGGTTGTTGTTGTGCCAAGAGAGAAAGTGCATGAGGTCGCTGAGATTGCACGCAAGATTGAGGCTAGCGAAACTGCTATTCGCCAGATGACGAGCAATGGGGCCACGATTGCAGAGGCGAGGAAAGCGCTGGGTTATCATACACTGCAGCGGAGGGTATAGTTCGACGTAGTTCTAGACTTGGCGTAGATTTGTTTTCATGAAAAGGATTTTATGTGCTTCTCTGGCTCTGAACCGTACATCTAGAGATATTATGGCCCCCGAGGTCCAACCCATATAAGTGTCTAGAGCTAGGGATTGGCCTGGTGAAAGGGATGCTGACCCTCTGGGCGATAAAGGTAGAACCGGAGAATTGGAAAAACGGAGCTGCCTACAATCTTAGTACTGAGCCAGAACCTGTTTGGGTAGCTGCTATGGATATCACTCCATATACGTGCAATTAGTCTATCAATCATCGCTACATCAAGTGTATCAATGCAGTACTGCTAATTTATCTGCAAATAGTAATCAAGCCAGCGCAACCTTCAACTCAGCTGTATACCAATTCTGGATTGCCCGAACATCATAGCTCATTGCCACCGTATCAAACACTTTCAAATGCTCCCTGCACGAAGCTCCATCATTCGATAGCCGGCTAACCCACTTACCATGCCTTCGTGCTGCTTCCACAATCTTCTCGATGGCCCCGACGAACTCAGGCTCGTAGCCTCCTGCAGGAACGTAGCCGAGAAGCGAAAGCGCGAGATCATTCGGCCCAATGAAGATCATATCTTGGGAATGTTAGCAGGGCTGTCTATGGGACTGTGATTTCTCAACTTACCAACGCCCGGAACAGCACAGATCTCATCGATATTCTCGACCCCAGTCTTCGTTTCAATCTGAAGACAGGTAATGAGCGTCTGGTTTGCCGTCTTCATATACGTCGGGATATCGACACCGTGGGCGAGTGCCGGAAAGGCTGACCCCTGCCCTCGGCGGCCCTGTGGTGGGAATTGCGCATCAGCCACTACAGATCGGGCTTCTTCCGCCGTGTTTACCTGCGGGACGACGATGCCGCTTCCGGGACTTTAGTATGGATATGGGGGGGAAGACTTGGGACGACCTACTGCGCCCCAGCGTCCAGCGCTCTCTTAATCAGATATCCATGCATCATCCGAATCCGGATGAGCGGCGACACACCCAGTGCAGCGATCGCCGCCGTCGCGCTGTGCATTGCGTCATCGCTGATATGGCCGTGCTCACAGTCGATGATGATGCCCTGCACGGTATCAGACTACTGAAACAACAACTACCCGGTAGGGGAAGCTTACATCGACGCCTGTCTGTGCTACAACCTGCGCGGTGCGAAATGAGGGGAGGCCGAGGAATGTCATTATGGGCTTTGCATTTGCGCGCAGGGCGTTGAGGAGGCGGAGGCGCGGGTTGTGGATTGGGGTTGTCATGGCGGAGTTAGATGTCATTTGCACGGCGATAGCAGTCTGGCTGTTGAAAAGGTAGTGTACGCAGTTTAGCCAAGTACTACTAATATGAACACACTGAACGCATCATATTTGATGCTGAGATGGTGGAGCTAGACCTGCGGACATGCATTTCCGTCTCCGTTGATGCGGACCCTAACTGAGTGGTCCGTGACATTGACGGAGGGCTCACGGAGGCTAGATACCGTCTGCGAGCTCAAGTTAGACTATTGATAATATAACCGATAAAATGATACGCCTGGTTTTTCTGTTTCCAACCGTCGTTGCTGATTCCATAACATAATCATGGCAAACCAGATTGAAGAGCCCGATATGCTGGAACTGGCAAAAGTGGCTGATCTCCAGGTCGAGCTGCCTGTTGATCCAGATGAAGGTCTCAGCGAATCAGAGAAGAAGGACATCGTCAGTAGATCTCGGGGGGCAACAACGATTATATGTCCAAGATGTCTAATGTTCCTAGGACGACCGTCTTCTCCGCAAGCTGGATCTACGACTCCTCCCGTGGCTATCACTGCTCACTCTCGCCGGATTTCTAGACCGGACCAACATGGGCAACGCAAAGATTGAGGGCCTCCAGCAAGCCCTGCGCTTGACCAACAGCCAATACAATGCATCGCTGACCATTTTCTTCGTCCCTTACGCCCTCTTCGAGCCGGTCACAAATGTCCTGCTGAAGCGGATGGGGCCGAGATTGTTCATCCCCAGTATCATGGTGACATGGGTTAGTTAGTACTTTCAGTAAAGTCTACGCGAAGCGCGTTTGACAGTCTCTTAGGGAACCGTCATGACCCTCATGGGCCTGCTCCAGAACTTTTCCGGTCTCATGGTGGCCCGCTTCTTCCTCGGCCTCGCCGAAGCTGGTCTCTCGCCAGGTATCAGCTACTACCTGTCATGCTGGTACAGACGGTCTGAGTTCGGACTCCGAATGGCCATATCCTTCTCATCTGCCGCATTAGCCGGCTCATTCGGTGGCCTGCTCGCCGCAGGGATTTCCAAGATGGGCGGCGTCGGCGGTAAGCCGGGCTGGGCGTGGATCTTTATACTGGAGGGCCTTGTCACGGTGCTTCTGGCACTCATCTCCTTTCGTGTTCTTGTTGGATTCCCGGATCAGGCGGATTTTCTCACAGAGGCTGATAGGCGCCGTGTAATCCGGCGGCTGGCGGTAGATCAGCAGTCGAGTGCGAGATATCAGGAATGGCGTACGGATTTTCTTTGGGTGAGTCTGCGAGATTGGAAGACGTATATGGGGCTGTTGGTTTACATGGGGGCCGGCGGGTCGCTATATGCGTTTGCGCTGTTCTTGCCTATGATTGTCGAGGAGATGGTGAGAACTTCTATCACTATGTTTTTTCTGGAGCCTATACTAACCATAGGCAGGGATACACCTCGACAACCGCACAATTGCTCACTGTTGCTCCCAATGCCATTGCTTTTCTTGCTACAGTGCTGATGGGCTACATTGGCGATCGCACTCAGGCGCGTGGTATCCTCAATATTATCGCCTCGTCCATCGGCATTGCAGGCTTCTGTCTGCTCCTTACTGCATCCACGCCGGCCGCTCGCTACGTGGGGACATTTCTCGGCGCGATGGCGATATTCCCCTGCGTGGTCAACACAATAACATGGACCAGCAACAATGTTGAAGGTGAAGCAGAAACATTGTTTTATGTCTCTCATAAAATATCTCTCCTCCTGCTAACCATTTGATTTCTTAAGGAGTCTACGAACGCGGCATCACGCTCGGAATCATGATCGGCTGGGGAAATCTAAACGGGATCGTCTCATCCAATATTTATCGCGGACAAGACGCTCCGAGCTTCTACTTGGGCCACGGCGTCGTGCTGGGGTATCTGACTGTGTGTCTGCTGTTCGGGTCTATTCTGCAGACGATTCTCCTTCGGGTTGAGAACCGGAAGCGGCGTAGTGGCCTGCGCGACGGGTGGATTCGAGGTCTTGGTCGCGAGCAGATGGAGCTGTTGGGGGATATGCGGCCGGATTTTCTTTACACTACATAGCGACTCTCGATACTTCTTTCGTCGTAGCAGAAGAGTGGGGCGTGTACGGAGACTCCCACCCGTGAGACGGAGTGTCAGGCTCCGTGTCAATAAGCATTCAGAAGCAAGGTGGGTATTCGCACGGACTCTGTTATATTCACGTCGAATGATTGGATCCCACGCTTGATTCCACCAACCCAGGAATATACGAATCGGCGAATGAGCAGGCTAGTCATTCTCACAACCGAGTCATGATGTGCCGGGACATTGATGCTTGGACTGAACTGGGGTAGACAGCGGGGAAGCGAAATCGCCCCCAATGCTGCACAGATGAGGATGCAACATTTTCGCTGGGGGGACCTCGCCTCCTACACTTTTAGATAGCAAAGGCCAGAATTTGCCTGCATTGACATACCAAGTATAACCATGGTCCGCGCCTGCGACTTCTGCCGCACGCGCAAAATCCGCTGCGACACCGCGAAGCCGACATGCTCCGCGTGCCGCAACAGTAACCGGGTCTGCGTGTACCACAGCGGCCCACGGAAACAACGACCATCTGCGGCGCGCATCGAGTTCCTGGAGAGTGAGAGGGCGGCGCTGGAGGACGCGTTGGTGAGACTGAAGGGTGCGGATAAGGCACAGCGCGATGCGCTGCTCGAGTCAGTGGTTGTGCGTGGTGGGCGGGTGTCGCTGGGACAGGGGGGAAGGGTCGCGAATGAATGGGAGAGAACGATGCAGCGGAGTCTTGGGGATAGGATTCTTTCTCCGATGTCGTGTACGAGGGGGGAGGGTGTTGCTATACAAGAAGAGGATAATCGGGGCCGCGATGACGGCGGTGGGCTGAACCAAGGTGATCATGAGCGAGCGCTTTCTCCGGGGAAGGGGAAAGACGTCTGGGCCATAGGCGTGTCTGATAAGGCAGACAAGAGCCCTCACGCCAGCGACAGTATCTTCAGCTCGACGTCTGTCGTCCAGGCCAGCACCGCAAGGCACCCACACAGCCATGAGCAGCAACGTGCCGCCACAGAGACGCTGCGCTACCAGTTAATCGCCAACGCCGCAATGGAGCGACAGCAAGAGCACCGACTGCGCGGGTTATCGACAATCCGAGGAGTCCCCGCAGAACTCGCGCTCCATCTCCTCCACCTCCACTGGAGCCGACAGCACCACACTTTCCTTCTCACGTACCGGCCGGTCTTCATGCGCGAGCTACAGCACGGAGGGCCCTACTGCTCCGACCTGTTATTGTACACCGTCTTTGCATGTGCGTCAAAGTTCTCCGAGCGGCCAGACCCAGAAACCGGACAGGCTTTCTTTGCCCGATGCGATGAGCTCTTGCTACAACACGGGCTACTGATTCAATCAAGCATCCCCACCGTCATTGCCCTGGTCATGCTTGGGTCGACATTTATCGCCAGAGGCATGGCCTCCAAGGGATGGCTGTATACCGGATATGCGATGCGCATGATATACGACCTGGGCCTCCACACTGAGCCGCAGATCGAAGTGACCAAGTATAATGTTGAAGAGATTGAGATCCGACGTCGCGTCTTTTGGGGCGCGTTTGTCTGCGAGAAGCTGCAGAGCCTGTATCTGGGGCGGCCGCCGACGATCAGACTACAGGATGCGCATGTTTCGCACGAGTTTCTGGATACGTTTGAGGAGCTTGAACCGTGGGAGCCGTATGACGATTGTCCTACGAGCACAAAGGGTCCCGGAATGGTGTCGTTGACACCGCCGTTGGCATACTCTGTGTCGGTCTTTCAGCAGCTCTGTCTGCTCTCACAGATCATGACGCAGATCATCGACAAAATCTACTGCGTCGGAGCAGCTAGCTCAAGCACCCGTCGCGAGATCGGCGCCCTCGACGATGCCCTCACCTCCTGGTACACCAATCTGCCCGACCACCTTGCGTACGAGCCCTGGGCGCGAGACCCTCTCGACCCACCAGCGGCCATCGCTCCGAACCGCATCATCCTGCTAACAACCTACCACTTTCTCATCGTTCTGCTCCATCGTCCATTCATCACGGCCTCCAACCCAAGCACTCACAGCCACACCACCAGCACACCCGGAATCCCCCCCGTCGCCTGGGAACGCTGCACCACAGCCTCTCGCCATATCACCAGCCTCGCCCTAAGCTACCAATCCATCTATCCACTCCGCAAATCAAGCTACCTGCTCAGCTACTCGGTTTATGTCGCATGCACGATCCACGTGCTCAACACGGCCTCGCTCGCGGCCGGTAATGACAGACATGCGCACGCCGAATCGTTGACACTGCTCAGCGCGAGTCTGAAGTGTCTTGATGCGCTGGCGGTACCGAACTCTGGGGTCGCTGATACGGCGGGGATTATTCGGAGGCTTATATTGGCGAATGGGCTCGAGGAGGCATCGGGTATGATTACTCTCTTGCTGTTCTGTATATTAGATCTACAAATACTAACAGGAAATCTTTAGGTGTTGTGGAAGACCAGGACTTGGCACGGACTCAGCCCTCTGAGAATGCGCCGCTGTTTTCGAATGTGTCCCGCGTGTATGATGATATCGAGCAGATGCAGCTTTTTCAGGATATCTTTGACCCGGGGCAGGACTTGCTGTTTGGATTTATGAATGAGAATATATCTCTGGGGACATTTGGTTTACATGAAGGACTTCCTGATGAACTGAATACCAATGAATAGGGCCATCGATGTTCCACTCTATTCCCCGACAACAGCTATCGGCTCCTCGTACTCATCAGGCAATTAATCATGCAGACGCCTACTCCAACAACTCCGGCTCCTCCTTAACAACCAGATCAAAATACGGCTGAAACGCCAACCACATCTTGCTCGCATTCCCACTCCTCCGGTGCCCGACCTCCGCCATCTCATCCTCAATAACCCTCTTCTCCCACCCGGGACACGCCGCCGCCGCATTCGCCAGCAACTGCGCATGACAGCATCGATCCAGCGCAAGGAACAAAAACGCCGCCTCGTCAACCGTCCGCCCACATGTGATCATCCCGTGGTTCTGCAGTATAACACTGCGACATTTCGGGCCCAGCGCCGCCGCGATCCGGTCCCCCTCCGCCCTGTCGAGGACCGTCCCGCCGTACCGCGGGTACACGGCGAGGTCGTTGTAGAAGCGCAGCGCGTCCTGGTAGAGCATCTCAATCGGGCGGCCAAACGCGCTGAAGGCTTTGCCGTAGACGCTGTGCGCGTGGCATGCGGCGTTGAGGTCCGGTCGGGCGCGGTGGATCGCGGCGTGGATTGCGAAGGCCGGTGCGTTGATGGGACGCTGTGCGCCGCCGGGGAGGACGGAGCCGTCGTCGCCGACGAGGACAAGATCGCTGTCGCGAATCTGGGCGAAATGGGTGCTTAGTGGGTTTATCCAGAAGGTGTGGGGGTTCTCTGGGTCGCGGAGGGAGATGTGGCCTGCGACACCTTCGTCGAAGTTCTGGCGGGCGAGGACGCGGAAGGCGGCGGCGAGGTGCTGTTTGAGGTGGGTGCGGGTTTCGGCGATGCTGGTGAAGGTTGGAGGGTGGCGGAGGGTGATTTTTGAGGCTTTGTCGGTGAGGTAGTGAACTTCTTGTTGCCAGGTTGACAAGGGCTGTGGTGTGGTCGGATCTGTGTTGGTGGACTCTCGGTGTGGTTCTGAGAGCTGGGCAGGCTCTTCTGTAAGGTTGATCAGTGACATGATGGGCAAAGTCAGTTACAATTCGTCCCAAGGGACGAGGGTCGATTAGGTTGAAATAGCTCTGCAGAGTAAAACACCATTACCCCATACTGATATATGTATTCAACACACGGCGTAGCTCTCAGCTACTCGTCGAATAACAAACTGTGTAGAGTTACAATCTTGCAGAGGCATTCGCGGTCAGTATTGTTCCGGTGGATTGTGAAATTCCGCTCAGCGCAGCCGTCCATGACGAGGAGAGGATTTCTGCCATGGACTAGCTACTGTGAATTGGCATTCGCCCTTTCGTAGGGCGTCCATCGTACCATGCGACAGTCCTAGCCCTAGACGGAGGTTCGACTCCGTCAACGGAGGGTAACAATCCGCGCTACGTTGGGACTAACGCACGCAGCACCCACCTACAGAGAGACCTATATTACGCCGAAAAGGGCAGCTATTAGAAGAACGGACCGCATGGGAGAATTCGATCTAGAGAAGACGGCGTTCCTGAACTTGATGTGGCGCATGTTGGTTTAGTAACTTATCTATACCGTGTAATAATGACATTACTGGAATAGTTCAAGTGAATTTGCAACAAGAGTGACCAAACACAACACACTGCAGAACATTGCAGAAATAGATTTATTGCTGGTAACAGATTATTGTAAAGTCAAAGCTAAAATACATGATGGGAATTTGAGAAAGAAATTGAAAACTACATGCTATTGGTTAAAGTTTGTATTGGAAGCTTGAGACTATCCATTCTCCTACTAGGTGACAGGTACAGTCTAGACTCAGAAAGCTTATAACTATATCCAGGACTACTGAGGAATATCCTGCTGTTTTTAATATAAACCTACTCGATATAAATTTATAATATATTAAGATACATATATACAGTATTAAATACTCTTGTATGAGTTAGTCAGTCATATATCTACAGGAATAAGGTTTACTGCAGATCCCCTAAGCCTTTTAGATCTTCGATCCTCGCCGCGACACCGCACGCGCCCGCAGACCGACAATCACAGTTCATGGATAGACATGATCATAATTATTAGTTTCATTCGCTGCTTAAAAAACAAAAACATACAACAGCTGGGATTCGCATGTGGTCACCCACCATACTACTAACCAGCCGGCGTGTGGCTTAAGTACGGCTGAGCGGACGGGAAGCCCTGTTTTCCACACCCTGTGGTCGTATGTACTAGAGCTAGATTGGTTTCTAAAGATAGCTGATTTGGTCATTGATTGTTAAGACAGATCATCCCTATCAAGGAGCATTGAGACACTCGGAGAGGCTTCTACAGAGCTTCCAGAAGTGTGAATTGCACACAATTCCCTGGCATAGTTGAAATTATACTAACTAATGGAGGCCTCTGGGTCCTGGAGGAAAAGACTGTTGAGTTGCGAGAGCTTCACACCTCCCGCGAGCCTGAGGGTCGTGAGTCTCGCATCCGAGTTCTGCACTCTGGAAAAACCCGAACGGCATATACAATACGGCTATCGGCTATGACTTTCGAGCAACAGGCCTCGAGGCGACTTCCAGGTTGGAGATATCGTTGCCGAGGGAGGAGCACTTGTAAGGCTCTGTATAAAATAGTCTAAGTATTTATAAGAGACTAAGCTGAGTAGCTGGAGGCTTACCCATCTTATAAGGATACTCCTTTACTCTATAAAGACTATAATATTAGAACTTCAGTAATACTCTCTTAATAAAATTTGGCCTCTTACAACATAGTATTCACCACGCCCCTTATCCTATTCCTATTAATTAGGTGTATTATATTCTTTCACACTATTTGCAACAGCTCTAAAGGCCAGGGGCCTTTATAAAGATCTCATTTAATTACTCTGCTGCTTTAATTATATACACTAAAATTACTCCTCCTTATCCAATTTCAAGTTACCAGATATACTAGCTAATAGAGAGTAATACAGTAGATAGTGTTCATAAGATAGTTTCTTCGCGGCTAAATGGGCCCCCGGTATGCTGGGCATGGAGCTGATACCTGAAACGACGCGTATTGTTTATTCTGGGACCGTGCGCCGCTGGCTGACACTGCTGTTGTCTTTCGACTACATGCCAGTTTGCCTGGACTTATTCCCAGTTAGTTACTGTAAAGACTGGTGGCTTCGTATCTCCAGCCCCGGAGGCCTTGGCCACGACAGCAGCGCTGATTTGCAGTAGTAATAACAACTAGACTAGAGATATAGGTGTTTGTTCCATTTAGCGGCGGGGTATTGCACAACCGCGAATTCCACCGATGCATTGGGCAGGGCGGGTCCTTCTCGACCAGCGGGCGAAATCGACCGCGACAATTCGCCCGGCGGAGGTGCACTATAGAACGTACGTAACAGCGCGCTTGACAACTCCCTTCGCAAGCTTTTCATCTCTGAGCTGATAGAGGCACCGCGAAGGCACAGAATCACGAGCGACAGATCATGACGCGCCACGCGCAAGATGAAGCGTCGAATGCGCAAGCACTGGTGGAGTTATTCTCCGAGAATGTGCTGGCCAAAGTCCTCCGGGTCGCCATAGAGGGACTCGAGAATAATGTAACATCCATTCACTCGTTCTGCTACATTGCCTAATTTCTTCAGATACCACCGACAGTATACCCAGAGTTTGTTCCCCAGCACGGCAAAGGCACAGGGCGCTACTTTCTCCGTGACGCAGACTTCTGGACCTGCGGCTTTTTCCCGGGTATCCTGTATTCCCTTCTCGAGCGCGCAGTCCGATATCCGCAAGTCTTTCCCTATCTTGAGCATGAGAAGTCAAATGCACCAGACTCAAGTGAATCTCTACGGGAGCAACTGGTGTCTCTTTCCCACACCTGGACGGGACCCATCCAGGCTATGATGACTCGCACCGATACCCATGATATTGGCTTCATCCTGCAGCCATCGCTCCAAAAGGACTGGGAATTGACAAGCAACCGGGAGAGTCTGCAAGCAGTATTAACCGGTGCTCGCAGCCTTGCGAGTCGCTATGTCCCTTCCGCGCGCGCAATCCGTAGCTGGGACGTTCTCCGCCAGGCAGATATCGCGATAACAAGTCTCACAGACGACTGCCTCGTAATAATCGACAGCATGATGAATCTGGATCTTCTCTACTACGCATCCAAGCATATTTCAGATCCCAGTTTAGCCGACATAGCTACGACACACGCGCGAACGGTTATGCAGTCTCTACTCCGTCCAGAGGGCCCAGCGACTAGCAATGACAAGAGCTCTACATCCCCGGAGCTCTACTCTACCTATCACGTCGTGAACTTTGATTGCCATACCGGAGCTGTAAAACAGCGCCGCACCGCACAGGGATATAGCAACGATTCGACCTGGGCGCGCGGCCAGGCATGGGCAATTACAGGGTTTGCGGAGACATACAAGTGGACAAAGGAGAAGGACTTCCTGGCTACTGCCTGCGGACTGGCAGACTACTTCTTGCAACGGCTCGAAACATCGCCGGCGTGCGTGGAGAAGCGTGCCGTCACACTCTCCAATGGAGCGACGAATGGACAGGCAGAAAAGACAACCGGGCGCTACGTCCCCTTGTGGGACTTTGATGCACCGATCGAGGACGAAACAAACCCGTTGCGCGATTCTTCGGCGGGCGCAATTGCTGCAAATGGAATGCTGCTTCTCTCGCAGTCGCTGGCTGCGTTGGGCGATGTGGAATTGGCAGAGAGATACCGAAGAGCTGGAATACGAATTGTCAGTGATACAATTGAGTACTCTTTAGCGCAGGAGAAGGCCAAGTTGGCGACTGGGGGGGAGGATGGAAGTATCCGAGTGGAAGACGTGGTGCCCGGCCAGCGGTTTGATGCTATCCTGAAGAATGCTACAGCGAACCATAATGCTCAGGACTATGATCAGTATAGTGATCACGGGTTGGTTTATGGGGATTACTATCTGCTGGAGTTTGGTAATAAGCTGTTGAGGATGGGCTTGTTTTAGCTGCGACATAGATCCATTATGCACATGATGAAGTATATGTGGTTCAATTTCTAAATCAATAACACTCAATATATGTATGCCCGTACACACTAAGCAGCCAGAATAATCGCATCCTCAACCCCCTCCGATTCCCCCGGCCCTCCCAAATGCACTCTCGGTGCATCCAGCCACCTCTCACGCAGTGTCTCCCAATTCCCATCCTTAACCCCCGGGGCAGCAACAGCAAATACACTGATGACCAGCACAATTTCCTCCCCCACTGCAATATCAAACACCTCGCATCTTAAAACAGGAATCAGCGACCGCTGCGCTTTGATATTCGTATTTGAGTCGGGCTTCATCACCTCGTGCTCAACGGATGCGGATGGTCCAGAGCCAGAGCGCTTTGCCGTTCCCACAACACCGCTTGCGCCGGCTGAAGAAAGGACGAAAGCCTTCGTCTCGGTTGCATAGATCCCTTGGCGTGCCTCCGACCCCATTGCAGATAAACTGCTGCTATCATCCGGCAGCAGCGGCAGAACTCGAGTCTGGTCACGGCTCGGGACGCGGGAAATCGCAAACCCACCCTCGACAAGATGCAGACTCTCCAGCCCAGAGCTTGATGATGACCCATTAAGCCTGATACGATGCACCCGTGTATGCCAGTCCGGCCACCTGCTTGTTGGCGGAACCAGGGTCGTCTGAACAGTCACGGCCCCATCAACCCACGGCCGCCATACAACACTCGCAGCGGGCACAGTCTCTCCCTTCACACTTGCTGTCAGATACCGCACAGTTGCACACTTCCACTTCATAGCCCATGTTGCCGCGCCATCCCGGCTAAGGGTTAGCATGTTATCTGGCGCGATCTGTTGGATCAACGGGCCCGTTGGAACATTAAAAGTAAAGGCAGACGAGTACGCGAATTTGCAGTACTTCGCCTGGCTGGCTTTCATGGGCCAGGCAACAAACTGGCCGGGTGAAAGCATGAAATGGTGCCACGCGGATGGGTGGTTGCAGAGGATTTGAGCTGGTTGGGGGATGAGTTTGACTGAACTGTCCATTGTCACAGAAGGGTACGGTGGCTCGGGCGAGGTCCAGAATGCATGCGTGCTTGGTAAAACGAGCGGGATCAGGGACTTTAGTGCCCAGTAGACTGATTGTGGCGAGTTGTAGTCTTCGGCCATGTACATGTTTCTGGAATTGTTAGGGTAGTTCGTGGATATATATATCGGTAGGGAGACTTACGGATAGGTATAGCCGATATTCATTGTCCCGTCCGAGTTGAATATGTCCTTAGAATGAGCCCCCCACCACCGCAGATGCCGAAGCAAAAAGCCCTTGGTTGCCCCTGGCGAATCCAGCGGCGCCGGCATATCAGGCACCTCAGCAACGGCCAGCGCAGCAAAATAGCCCGCACAGGCGAAGCGGTATGTAAGTGATCGGCCAAAGGGAATTGCGGCACCTATCACTGTCAATTACCATTCACATCAAGGACGGGATAGATGTCGAACCCACCGTTCGCATCGAAGTATCTCCAGAAATCACTACCGAACTCCCGTGCTTGCTGCTGGTACCTTGCTGCGCGGCCCGGGTCCAGGTTACCCGCATACTTCGCATACAGAAGTTGGCTGAACTGGATTGCAAAGCTGCCAGAGTAGTAGTCAACCTGACGCCCACATCCGACTTTATCTCGTCGCCTGGTTCGGATACACTCCGCTTCTTCTGCAGCCTCTTGCTCGGCTGTCAGCCACGGCCCGTCTCCAGACCAGCCATGACCTAGATAAAATGAATCCAGGACTACAAAGTCACTGGCCATTTCACTCTTTAACTTAGCATATGGTATTCCTGCTACGACAACCAAAGCCAGGTTCGAGAAGATCCGGAACCAGCGCCAGTTATTGACAGGCATATCCTGCCCGTTCATCCCGGAGAGCCAGGAAATAATATTCTCGCGAACCCCAGGACTCTGCGAGTGAAAAAACTCATCTGGTGCAAGTAGTAGAGCGACAGCAATAACCTCCGCTTCCACCATGCGCTGGTCGCCATTCGCAATTGTACCCCAGTACTCGGGGTGCGTCGGGTCCGTCCCCGTCGCAATTCCCTGAACCCAGGGCCATGCGAGGGAGCGGATCAAATCCGCATTCTCGGGATCCGATCGTGCTGTATGTAGCAGGGACGCGATGGCCCATAGTGGACGTGCAAAGCCCTCTAGCTGCGCTGCGCGCTCGTCAAAGTGTGCGCCGGTTGAGCTGGGCAGGCGGACGAACGCCCGGGCGGGCGAGAAGTGCGCGTGGAGGGGCTCGATCAATGCGATCGCTGCGCGCATTACATCGGCCCGGTCGATGAGAGGGTTGTCTGTGAATCCTGCGAGGGGTGGCATGGTCGGTACACCTTGGTCGTTTCTATGCTGTGTTGCGACCCTGGGCATAGGCGGGGCTTTAACTTGGTGGAAGAAGACTTCGGGGCCTCGGGGGAGGTGTCGGCTTGGGGCCGATGCCCGTCATGGTATTGTCCCGGTGGAACGTAGTCTAAATTAGGAGTACTAGGACTGATTTTAATTAGGTGCCTCGAGAGCTGAATACTTATGCCGAGGGCTCTAGAGTCCTGAGTCTAAGAATGCAGTACGAGTACCAGGAAAAAGGGATCAAGTAATTAAAAAGTGTTTTTGAACTTCTGGATGTTAAGTGGGCTTGAATATGGTATTTCATGTGGACATTAATGAATATAAGCCATATCAGTCGCAAAGTTCGCGTTGTTCAAACTAATAATGCGATCCATCTCCGAGTACTGCTGGTCCAGCAATATGGACGTCACAGCAGTCAATTCATCCGGGCTGCCGGTATTGTAACCCATTCCCTCAGAAGCAGTGCCCAGTAACATGGGTGCCGGACCTTGTCCAGGTCCCAAGCCGGGAGTACTGACCATGTAGGGTTGCTTGAATGGGGCGAATTCCCCGTGACCTGACATATCCGGGCCTTCAGAAGGGCCTTTCATTGCCTGGTGGTTGCTGGGTAGAGCTGGTGTTTGACTGCTTACGTTCCTCCCATTCCATTCAATCTCGTTGGAGTAACCTAAGACGTCTAATTTGAACGTTGTGTCATTTTGGCACTGGATGTACGTCTGTTTGAGCTGGGTGCAGTATTTGGCAGCTATATTTGCTGCGGTAACGCCCGTAGGCCGATAGTGGCCAGACCAGCGGGTCGACATGGCATCAAGGAACCCTGTCAGGGTCCAAAAGTCAGGAGAGAGCTCCGTTTTGTAGTAGCGCCAGTGTACTGCCGTCATATTATCTTCTGATTAATGTATTCAGTGCAAGAGGCAGAAGGTAGTAAACTAACCTAATAAGACCCGCGCACTGACAAAAACGCAAAAAGCAAAGGGGGTATCCATGAGACACTGCACCGGTGAGTTGTCAATGAATCTCTTGGCGATATTTGCCGTCTCAGAGGCCGCAGCTTCGCACGTTTCGGCACTGGATAGACTGGGTAGTTTGACGACCTCCAGCCATTCCGCCGGCGGATATGCAATGCGCTGATGGAGGAGGATCATGGAAGTGTTATGCGTGACGTGGGCTAGTGTGAGGTTGGGGTCCATGTTCACCATCGTCGGTTGGCGCGAGATGTTCGAGTCTTTCCACTTCTGGGGGAGAAACATCTTCCAGCTATCATGTTCAGCGTATCGTCTTCGTTAGGTTGTCTGATTGTCATACCTCACTAGGCGCAGGTCTAGCTCCTTGAACCGCATGAGCCAGCGTCCCATCTCCTGGCGATCTCGGTAGTTGACTCTCTGTTGTAGGAAGAACGTGGTTACCCGGCTCAGTGACTCTGTAGCTTCAATGCGATAGGCAAAGGCCCCGACGGTTGACATGTCGACCTTGGCGTCCGGGGGAGCTGGTACGCGCGAGCTTGCCTGTGCTGCAGGGAGGCCAGTGGGTGAGGACTCGGTGTCATTATAGTCGGTTGGGAGGAATGCAATCAAGTTTCCAATTTTACCGGCGGGCTTATCCCAGATGCCAAAGAAGGGCGTGATGACGCTTTCCTCGTTGTGCCACAGGCCTCCGTCCGCGGGGAGTCGGCGGCGGACGTCGTTGGACGTTAAGCTGGTGTTCCATCTAAATTCATTAGCATTTAGCACAAGTCACAGAAGAAGGTTAATGTACCCTGTAGTCACAGAGCAAAACCTGGCAATAGACCGTCTTAGTATCACATTCAGAGTCCCCGTTAGGCGACTCACCTGTCCAAGGTAAAGATGGTCCAGAAAACGCGCCGTCGCTCCTCCTCCTCGACCCAATCTCGAGCAGGTGGAAGGCAAGGCCGTGGCTGCAATACTGGTCCATTGTCATGACTGTCTGACTCCACGCTCAGTTGAAGGTATTCCACCGTCCTGGTGAGCGAGCCGACAATCGACCAGGCGCGAGAGAGTCTTCCGGATCCAATCTACACGGGTCAACAAGCCAAGCTTCAATCCTGATGTGTGGGTTTACCTCCTCAAAGCACAGAATAGTCAGTGCCTGCAAGTTCTCCACGTGTAAATCATTCATGGCAGTCAAGAGGACAATCTTGCGCGACCGCTCACAGACAGCATCGACATCATGCACGTTTTTTAGCAGACTCGGGTCCACATGCTTGAGCAATGCGAAAACCATCGCGTGCAGCACGACCTCGAAATTCTCTCGCTCATCAGGATCCTTCAACCGCTGGTGAAAGCGACGCTCGTGAAGAACTGGAATCCACGGCTGCACCAATGCGAAATATAGATCGACAACTGCCTCCAAAACTTCGGCGGACGGGAGGGTCGATGTTAGCTCTGCAAAATCATCGGGCTCTATTAGGGCTCGGGCATTTCGACGTTTCCGTTTGTGCCTGGTTTGTGAGAGAGGCCGAGGTGTCCCTTGTATGGACCGTGCTTCGAAGCTGGGGGAGGCCTCTGGTAATGAGCGTTTTCGTCGCTGGCTGTGTTGGGTTTGTCCAAGCAGAAGCTCTAAGCCTTCACAGAACGCCGAGGCCAGGGCCTTGGAATCTTGGCCCGGTGGGCATATAGCATCGGCCTTTTCTTGTTGGAAGACAGCGTGCTCAAGAGCATCTATAGTACCATCTCAGTACGCCACCGCGCAAGGAAGGACATGGCCGGGCCAATTACCTACTCGCCTCCTCAAGGCCTCCACTGCGCCGGCCTTAAGCCCCGGCCTTTCGCGGTCGTCAGTATAATTACAGTCGGTTCCTATGGGTTACTTAGGGTTAAGTCAACTGAAAATGGGCGGCCTTGCCTACCGATGCGACGACAATGCGAGCACTGCGGCAGCTCGCGTGAGCATCGGAGCTTCCGCCTGCGACAGGCACCACAGGCCGGGCGGTCGTCTGTCGGGGGCTCTGGTTCCATTTTGCTGATGCCCATGTCAGCGACCGCGGGGGAGATGGCGTGGTCTAAATATCCCGGTGGAATTCAACCGACGCCCGCGCTCTTTTACCCGACAATCGTCCCATCTTCCCCATGGGCCAAACCCCGTGCTTTTCGCGTGCCATTATTGGCGACCCGCTGTTCGCATCCCCAAAGGCAGAACATTATTGGCCGCCACAAGGCAGATTCTCCGCTGTCGTGCATCGGGGTAATGCCCCCCAGAAAGACGCCGACGTGGAGGATCCAGCCTGCGCATTAACACCTTGGCGACATGTATCCTGCAAACTCTCCGCTTCGCCAGGTGCCACAGCTGCGTCCCCTTTTAATCCGACAAGTAGACCCTGGTGTGCGGCGGGCTAGCATAAAATGCATCTCGTGCCGTCCAGTCCGCATGCCCTCATAGTACGCCGAGGATAAACAACCATTATTACAACCCCGTCTCCTTTCTCGACAAGCACACCAGAATGGCCGGGTCACACAATGATAGAGCACCGCCTGTGCACTACAGTGCCGAGTTCCAGGGTCTGGCTCTCGCCGATGTCATTCCTCAAGACCGCCAGCCGTGGTATCGCGACTGGACCCTGTGGAAGCTCAATGCACTCCTTCTCAGCTGTCTCCTGACGCAAACTGCGACGGGCTTCGACGCGAGTATGATCAACGGCATGCAGTCTCTGCCGCAGTGGCAGAAGTTCTTTGGAAATCCAATGGGCACGGAGCTCGGTGCAATGACGTTTGGGCCCAATGGAGGCGTCCTCATCTCAATTCTCATCTCGGCCCAGCTATGTGACTGGTTCGGACGCCGCGTGCCAATATTCATCGGATCCATCATCATTGTCTTGGGCTCTGCCATCCAAGCTGCCTCCACCAACTATGCAATGTTCGTCGCCTCGCGCTTTGTTATCGGTTTTGGTCTAGGGATCGTCTCTACCGCTGCTCCTCCTCTGTTATCGGAAGTTGCATATCCAACCCACCGCGGCCAAATTGTGTCCTTCTTTCTAGTCTCGTGGCCTCTTGGCGCACTGATGGCGGCTTGGATCACATACGGCACGTTCAGCATGCAGAATTCGTGGGCCTGGCGCCTTCCCAGCCTGCTGCAATGTACATTCTCAATCGTCCAGGCTGTGCTCTGCATGTTCGTTCCAGAGTCACCAAGATGGCTCATCTACAAAGGCCGCTATGAAAAGGCGTTCGATATCTTGGTCAAGTGGCATGGCTACGGGGACAATCAGTCGCAGCTGGCTCGCTTTGAAATGGAAGAGATCACAGCTACACTTGAGATGGAAAAGCTCCAGAACAAGTCTCGATGGGCCGAGTGGATATCCAGCAAGGGAAACATGCACCGTCTTTTCATCGCCTTATATATTCCAGTCATGCTACAGTGGTCTGGAAACGCCCTTACATCCTATTATCTGAGCAAAGTGTTAAACTCGATTAACATCACTGATTCGAAAACCCAGCTTATTATCAACGGGTGCACCCAAATCTGGAGCTTTCTAACAGCCTGTCTGTTCGCTACCCTTGTTGATAAAGCCGGCCGCCGCAGACTCTTCCTCCTCGGTATGCTGGGAATGGGTATTTCCTACATTATTTGGACTATTTGCTCCGCACGTAACGAACAGACTAATTTCCAACACCAGGGCTATGCAGGCGCTGTAATTGCTATGATCTTTGTCTTCTCGCTATGGTACCATGCCTGTTCCCCAATCGGTGCCACATATATCATGGAAATAGCACCTTATTCGCTCCGCGCAAAGGCGTCCATGTTATACCAGCTCACGGGCAACTTGGCCATGGCTTTTAATGCCTTTGTCAATCCGGTCGCAATGGAGGCTATATCCTGGAAGTACTACATCGTGTGGTGTGCTGCTATCGGGTTGCACTTTGTCTTGATCTGGTTCTTCTTCCCTGAGACCAAAGGCAGGGCACTAGAGGAAGTGGCGGAGATTTTCGACGGACCCAGTGCTGCCACTAGCCCGAATGCTATAAAGCGGTTGGATACGAACAAAGATGAGCAGGACACTGCTGCTAAGCCTGCTGTCCAACATGTTGATGGCGCTTGATTGCAGAGTATTGGGGAATTGGCTGTGGTGATTGTTTGTATGTTTTCTAAGCTGTATGTCCGCGCATTCGTCGGACCGAACTTCTAGCTCGAGAATGGTCTCGTCTTAGCCTTGAGCTTTGCCTGTCCAACGTGTTCTGAATCAAATCTCGATCAAATAAACAATATAGCCTCGTAAACGGAATCTTTCCCTTATACAATCAGGTTGCTTTCTAATCAATCTGGTATACAATCTTGTTTTCTGATGAGAATAACACATAAATCTTCTTCTGAATCACAACACTCAGGAGTCTATTGGTAGAGAATTTCCCGTCCAGGTGTGCGACGAGGAAAGATCACCATGCTGATTACCGGCGCTGCAGGTGCGGTGGGCGTGTATCTCGTCCGGCAGCGGCGGGGGTACGATGTTGCGAATCGGAGCTTTTACCTATACACGTGGAAAGATCATCCTTGCTGTTTGACATATTCGTTTGACATATTCTTGCTGGTCTATCAGTGCCAAATTTACTCGCAAATCGCGTCATTCCTATATAACCCAGGTATAGCCAACAGCATGATTATAATCCATTGCTCATCTCCCACGGAGGATGATCCAGTTCTCCAAGGTTATACCAGCCACATAGATCTTCAATGGCTCCGATGGAGGCACGCAGATCGTTATCATCCGCGGACAGACCGCCGGTGGGCGAATCGAAACTGACCCCGTCCGTACCGAGAGACGGCAGTTCACTCGATCCAGTCATACTATGACTACTAGAAACTTGCCCAAGGTTCAACACGCACTGAGCAATCGTTTGGATCTCGCGTACATTCCTCGCCGTCCTCGGCCAGACTTCCCCCAGCGCCTTGAGACAGCCGAGCGTCATTCGGATCTGATCTCTTGCGATGGCTAGGTCCCTCCCCTTGAGCAGAGCACTGCAAGCGGAGAGGAGCGCTAGTGTCCCCTCGCTTACCATGCATGTGGTGAAGGGTGTGTGGTGAAATTGGCGGAGCGGTAAGGCCAGAAGACGGATTTGGGCCTCCACCGCCCGTAGGACCCGGACGGTATGGACATTGACCAGATCGGGCGTGGGCGTGTCCAAGGGCGGTTCTCGGGCACAGCTCGATACATTCTCGACGGCGTTGAATTTGAGGGCCGATAGTGGACGGTGGAGGCCGATTGTGGATCTAACCAGTGAGCGGCATATGGCGAAGAAGAAACGAGAAACTTACACATGGATCAGCAGATGCGCTTGGAACATGAGTTCGTCGATTTCGCCATCCTGATTCATGACGTGTTTGTGCTCCTGGGGTAATAAAAGTCGCCATCCCTCCAGGCTACAATCAACCGCTTGAATCAGATGGATCGAGTCTTCCACGGCGGCAACTTTGGGGGTTATGGATATAGCGGTGGCGGCGCACTGCACGGCGCCAATAAGATATGCGAAGGAGGAGAAGTGCACACTGCTGGGGATAAATTCGCGGTGATTAAATTCCTCAGGGGTTTTGGGTGTCGGAATATCCTGCAGTCTCATGTATGAGTTATATGGGCACTGGTCAATGGACGACAGGGTGCGCAACTCACCCCAGACTCATAGTCTGACTCGTCGCATGGTAGTTCTACTGTCACGTCAATGTCCATAACTCGGAGATTCATCGTCCCCAGAGTGCCCGCGTAGTATGCGTCCAGAATATATAGCATCCACCACGTTCGTCTCCAAGATTCCCTCTGTACTCGGTCATCAGCTCCCTGGGACGCCGCAAATTCGGCCCGGAACATCTGCAGATCAACGGCGAGTTTCACTCCCCGGTCCATATGTGACATGGCCTCAGCCTTGCAGTCATACCAGAACAAGGCCACGGAGTACAACATTTGGCATTGGACGCGGATCGGATCAGACGGCGACAACGCTGAAAGGGATGTTTCGATCTCATCTTTGAGCGGAATTGACCATTCTCGCGCATTGTAAATATTCCCGATGAAGCGGAGAGTGGCAACTAGTGGTGCAAGGCCTTGTTGTCTACCCGGATCCTGATATAGTTTTGTCAGGTGTTTCCGTGGTAAGACGAACGGATGACAGATGTGAAAATTCCTGTAGTATGAGTCGATGAATGGGTCATTTTCGATCATTCCCGGGTGGAATGTGTTCTCTGCCGGCAGGACGAAGCCCATGTTGCTGTCTCTATCGATATTGAGCACGTCAGGCTCAGGTCGAGCATCCACCGCGAGGAACTGCATGGTAGACTCCTCGGGAGGAACTGTTCTACCTCGTTGCAGAGTCGGGTGATCAATGGGTTCAGTGTACGCCGCTGAAGCCAGTAGCTTACGACGTTCGGCCAAGGCAGCGCGATCTAATCCCCCGCGCCGTGACGGTGCATAGCTACACTCGTTGCCGACCTCCGAACAGCGGGCACAACATGGCCGCTTCCCATCGCATTTTGCGTGGCGGGAGCGACAGGGCAAGCAAGCCAGAGATGAGCGTGTAGACCGACGATTCTGTGTGATTGGAGTCGCATCCATGAGGTACTGCCAATAGCGGATTAAGCGGTCATGCGTTTGAACAAGAGCTGGCCGAGCATTGAAAGGCTCTTGCATTTCCGGTGGAGCGAGACCGGCGGGTATCCGCGGATACCCGATTACCCGCTGAATGACGTCCAACTCCAATGGGCGTGGCGGAGCTCCATAACATCTACAGCGGAGTGTTGTGAAAGGCATATTGTTACCATTTCAAATCATCAAGTAGTATCCTGCTACCAACTCCATGGTCACGTGTCTAGCAGACCATGACTACCTGATACTTTGCTGGTCAATACGTGGGCAGCAGTGGTACTAATATATATATCACCCTGATCATCTCACGACCACATCCAACACAGCAGAGATCTGGTCCTCAGCTACCACACGAACTGCTTCCTGCAACGCCGACTCCAGCTCCCCTGCGCTAGTCACCTTTTTGGTCCAAAGGTGGCCGTTCGCCGCCGCCTTGGCCACGCCACCATAATCCGGTCCGTCCTCTTCCAACGAGATGCCCAGCTCTGCATTCGACGCCTTGTTCGCAGCTCCCTGCGGGTGTACGTCTGCAAGACATGAGCGCGTAGCCCTCCATCCGCCGTTGTTCAGGATGACCGTCAAAAACGGGCATCCGTGTCGGTGGCTGGCCCAGTAAACGGCCGCCGGCACCGCAAACACGAAGCTGCCATCTCCCGTAATGCTGCAGACGAATGGCCGCACATCGTCGTCGGTCGCTTTTCGACGGATATCCGGTCGGTCTGAGATGTCGTAGAGTGCCGTGGCTAGCTTGACGCCGACTGCGGCGCCGCAGGCCCAACCCAGGCCGCTCCCGCCCTTGGTGAGGTGCGAGCCTGGCCGCGTGAGCTGGAGCTGCTCCGTCATGGGAACTTGGTTAGTGACAGAATCCGTGACGAAGATCGTGTTCGACGGCAGCGTATGGCGGATCCTATTGCAGAGAAAGTCGACACTGCATGGCTCATTTGGCCTGTCCATGAGCTGCGCGACGGCGGCTCGGGCTTCGATGGTCTTCATGCCTTCGGCGTGGGAGCGCTGGAGTGCAGTCCATCGTTCATCCAGCACAGATTGTTTTGCTGCGAGGTCGTGGGAGCCTGAAAGCCAGTCGTAGATCTGGGATAGCGCGACGGCGGTGTCGGAGTGGAACGTGGCAGCGGCACCAATGTCGAACAGATTCATCTTCTCCTTTCTGGGGTCCAGGTCGACATGGAAAATGCGCGCTGCAGCAGATGGCCGCACCTTGGTCGGGATCCAGGGCACGTCTGCGTCCAGCACGAGGATCACGTCTGCCGTCTTCACGGCGGGAGCTGCACCGGTGCCCCTGCTCACCCACGCCGGGTGGTCAGCAGGGAAAGACACTTCGCGCAGCTCCGAGTCAAAGACCTTAATCCCCTTGACCAAGTCAGCCAGTGCAACCAGCGTCTTGACTGCCTGGTGACTCCGTCCCAGATATCCCGTGATGACGAGCGGCCTTTCCGCCTCTAGCAGCGCTTGGCCGATGAGTTGCACCGCATCCACAGGCAAGGCCCCCAGTCTACATGACGGGACTGGATTTGGCCGGGGCACAAGGTCTGTGATGGGTGTTGCCAGGATCTCTCTGGTCGCAGTCAAGTAGACCGGACCCGGCGACCCTGTCGTCGCCATCAGCACAGCACGGTGTACGACGGTTTGCACGTTCAGGGCCGACTTGATCTCTGCGCTGTACCGGCTATACGGCGCCAGTAGGGCTGCTTGATTCGGGACGTCTTGATACCACTGGACATGCTCGGAGCGAGACCCGGGGGCTTCTCCAAGGAACGTCGATGGCGCGACGCCTGCGAAGATAACCACTGGAGCCCGCCCGCTGGAAGCATTATGCAGGCCCTGGCCGAGCGCAGCGGTGCCGACGTCTACATGCGCAATCACACATGTCGGCTTGTGTGTGAGTCGTGCGTATCCATCTGCAGCGGACATGGCCGCAAACTGGAGATCGGATCAGCGATGGATCAGTGGGATGGATCGGATGGATCGGTGAGATGGAATCTGGTAGAGCTGTGACACTGCCTCAAAGGACTGTCCGTTGCAGGACAAAAAAGAAAAAAAAAAACCTGATATTGCCTACCTCATGCTGAAACAGTACCATCTTTGGGTACTGCTTGCTTTCAACATTCTGTCGGCGGACATAGGCTTCGATGATACTGGGATGGTCCGACCCCAGCACCGTGAATAGGTGGTCAACGCCCGCCTGGTTTCACTGTTAAATCGACTTTCTCCAACACGGAAACGAAGGAGAGGAGTGCAATACTTCTGCAAGGGCCTCCAAGAGGGCGTCGGCCACAACACACTGGCCCGCGGGAGGGGCAGGGTTGCTGTGATCCATGGACATTCTACTCGTACGTCGAGCGTGATGAATAAAACGGCGTGGAGGAGATCTCTGGGCAGGATCTTCAACAGAAGACTGTTTCCTAGTACTCAACTGGGAGGCTACTGGCTTTCTGGAACGTTGACACAGTGTGAGTTCGCCGGCACAGCAGGCTGCATTCTGCCTTTCTCGCACCCCCAAGACACTAGTCTAGTGTCTCCAATGCGGCATGTGTAGCGCCAATCTCTGCCACTGAAGCTTCATATCGCGCGCTGTGACCATGTCCATGGTGGGGGATCGGGGATACTGGGCCAGGCCGTCAGGGACAGGGCAGCCACACGCCACTGTGGGTATTCAAGAACCAGGCACGGCGATAGTTGGCCCAAATCCGACCGGAATCCAGTTGTCCATCGATCGACCGGCTGAAATGGCCCCATTGTTACATCCACCTATGCATCCTTCGGCCAAGGAGCTAAGCAGCTAATCCTAAGCAGCCAAGCCTAAGCAGCGAGGCTTAAGCAGCCTAAGCAAGGGTCATGCCGTGTGCACTCGGTTTGACATTGAGTACACGGGTTTACTGTACGGTATTCTTCCTTCGGAGTCTCCGTGCTGTTATAGCGCGCAAGGTTACGACAATGCTGCATGCTGACTACGCACTTTAACTGTCGTGCTCCCATGCATCGGCATTCCTGCATTCGTGTCGTTTCTTTTTTTCCCTTTTATTCACCATTGCCTCCTGCTATATGCGACTATTCCACCATGGAGAAGTTGGTGGCTGTTGAGCCTCTGAGAATCGAAGCCCCCTCGCCCAATGGCTCCCAGACCAACAGTCTGTCTCTCGAGGACCAGCGTCTGGAGAAGAAGCTCCTGCGCAAGCTCGACTTTAGGATCATCCCTACGCTGTGGTTTCTCTTTCTCGTCTCTTTTTTCGATCGCTCCAACATTGGGTAACCCCTTCCTTCTGAGTAGCTGGCGGTCTTGAAATTGCGTAGACCTACTGACGGCACCAGAAATGCGAAAATCGCAGGAATGCCCAAGTCCCTCGCCATGGAGGGCAACGACTACAATATCGCTGTCTTGGTGTTCACGGTCGCCTATGTCGTCTTCGGCATGCCCGCGAACCTGATTGTGAAGAAAATGGGCCCCAAGGCGCTGGCGATCTACATGTTCTGCTGGGGTATGGCTTAACCCAACACTGATAGTGGGTATCGTGCTGATGATCTCAGGCCTCTGCACGCTGGGACAGGGTCTCACGCGTACCGTCGACGGGCTCATCGCCTGCCGGTTTCTTATGGGAATGTTCGAGGCGGGTTTTGTTCCTGGTATGGTTTCTGCTTTATGAAGTTTTCGTCTTTGGCCTAACGTGGGCTGCGGCAGGCTGTGCCTATTTGATCGGTAGCTACTACAAGCGCAACGAGTTTCTTCGTCGCTACGCCGTGTTCTTCAGTGCTAACATGGCTGCTGGTGCATTCAATGGAGTATGCTGTGCTCTGCTCTGAGGGTTATTGTGCCCGGCTAATGTTCTACAGCTCTTTTCGAGCCTTGTGACAAGGATACATGGGGCTGGCGGCTACGAGGGCTGGCGGTGGTAAGCTTCCTGATGCATTTAGTTTACAATACCAGAGTTCTCACACTGACCAGGCTGTTCATCATCGAGGCGTTGATTACTATCGCAGTCAGCTGCGTGTGCTACTGGTTTATCGTGCCATTCCCGGAAAACGCCACGTTCCTGACGCCTGCCGAGAGAACTCTGCTCGAGTCTCGCCTAGAGGCGGACGGCGGCGGCGTGCGTCATGACAATATCTCCTTCCGCCGTGTGCTTCCCATGATTGCCGATTGGAAGATCTGGATCTGGTAAGATCCCAGAAACAAGAAACAGACAGAGAGAGAGAGAGAGAGAAAGAAAACGGTGCTAATGAGAACTTTCCACAGTGTCTTGTCATACATGGGGGCCGAAGAAACGGCCAGCTCAGTAGTGGCCTTCCAGCCATCCATTCTGAAGGACCTGGGCTGGACCAGTACGAGTGCCCAAGTGCACACGATCCCGATCTATGCGGTGGCCTTTGTGCTAACGCTGAGCTGCGCGTGGCTGAGCGACCACCTACAACACCGGTTTGGGTTCACTCTATTCGGCTCATTCCTGATCATCATTGGGTGGAGCGTAGAACTGTCCTACGTTCCCGCCGCTGAGGTACGATACATGGGGATGTTCTTTGTAACGTCTGGGGCCTTCATCATGATGTCGACGCTCGTGGTCTGGCTGTGTGTCAACATGGGCAAGGGAGTGAAGCGCAGTGTGGCAATGGGCCTCTTGACGGGTTTTGGCAACTGCGGTGCGCTGGTCTCCAGCAATGTCTTCATTACAAACCAGGCGCCCAAGTATCCCGTTGGCTTCGGTGTAGGGCTGGCCTTTGGCGTCATGGCGGGTGTCACCGCCACGGCCTTTTTTGTCCACCTCAAGATGGAGAACCGGCGTCGCGATCGCCTCCAGAGCACCAGTGCCAGAGCTTACAGCCGCAACGAGCTGGAGAACCTGCAGGATTTGGGTGAGGACCATCCCGACTTCCGCTTCCAACCATAGAATGTATATAGGTGATGGTGTTGTTTTGGATAGTCTCAATCTATACTACAGTTTCATACCCCGTAATCCACCCTCGAGTCTGCTCTGCAATCGATGAATAGAGAGCTCTTCATTACGATCATTATACCGAGTATTGGTATCAGGAATAAGTAGCCCTTGAATAATTGCAAACTGCGCATAAGGGGCACATCAAAAGGCACAGCGACTTGCGATGTAAATCACTCTTTATTAAAAGCGCAAATAGCCAGTTTCATCGAAGCCAGGATCAAAAGCAACCAAAGCGGCCGGTGTGAGCGATGGGCCACCCAGTGTCAGGGTACGTTATTAAGGGGAGTGGGTACGCTTCTACCCTGGTAGGCCCTCGAATAATTGGCCCAGCGCTTTTATACCCCCCCGGAATAATAGACTTTGCAGTGGAGCATAGGGCAATCGGGATAATCGGGCCAATATCAAAACAAAGTCCACCGGATTCTCGACCCCACGAGCGAGGCCAATGAGGGTCTGCCCACAGACGCAGTAGGTGCACATCCCGGGGCCAAACTAGAAATTTGGAGGAAGATCCTGACGGCTGCGTTAGTAACAGTACACGGCGTATTGCTTTTGACAGTCCTGACAGCCTGATACGCCCCGGCCCGTCAGCGCGATCCTGGTTAGATCGGAAATGGTCGGATTTGGGTATGGTGGAGCGGCCGTATCCTGCGCTGCTTCCCTTCGGTTCAAACAGGCTATGGATTCAGTCCACTCGTGTTGCGTGCCATCGGTTTGGGAGTGTTACGATGCAGGTCAGCCTGTGGTGATCGATTCCCCAACAGATAAGGCTCTCATCTTCCGATGCTATGGCCGATGAACTGCCACTGCCACGGTAATCCTTTCGTTCCGCTGCGTGGTTGAGTTGTAATCAGTTTCCCTGCCGTACTTTGGGCAGCCTAGTTAATAGATTACGCAATAATCAGGTGTGTGGCAGGAATGTATAATATCAATAGGCGACTCCGTACACGTTGATCCCCCTTTACTGTCAGGTTGTCCCTCTCTGTTGTCCTTCGATCGATGGCGCGTATATCATGGCATCTATCGAGCATGTACCTGATCGAGGGCCGACATACATCACTGCCACGGCTGTCATAACTAGCATTGATTTCATCCTGGTGGCCTTTCGGTTGTTATGGAGATCGATCGTGCAGCAGTCTGTTGGCACTGATGATGTCTTCATCGGCTTAGCCATGGTGAGTTCCTTGTCTTTGCCTTGCCTGATCTGATGATGAAGTCTCTCCCTGATGTATTGAAACCTATAGGCCAGCCAGATTGTCATCACTGTCGTGGGTGATTTGGGTATGTCTGCTAGATCGCACTTTTCGACGGCTATATAGACACTGACAGTCGTCCATCAGCTTGTCGCTACTCCTTCGGTCGACATAGGAGTGATATTCCAAAGTCAGGAGGCAATGTCGTGCTTGGACTGAAGGTTTGTTGTTTCTTGTCTGTCTTGAGGTTTCCCGGCTAACGCAGAGCGCGAATCCAGTACTTCTGGCTCTTCCAGATCCTATACAAATTGACAATCTGCTTCAACAAACTGTCCCTTCTCTCTCTATACCTACGGCTCTTCCCCTCGAAAACTTTCCGCACGCTCTGTTACGTGACCATCGCAATTATTGTCGGAGGAAGCATCGGCTTCATATTTGCCACTGTTTTCCAATGTATCCCCGTCTACGCCAGCTGGCACAAACAAACCCCCGGCATGAAGTGCATCGACAACGCCGCCTTCCGCTGGTCCTGGGCTGCGTACAACACGGCCAGCGACATCTGGATCTTCCTGATGCCCCTGCCGCGGTTGGCTCGGCTTCAATTGGACCGCACGCGCAAGGCCGGCCTGATTGTGATCTTCAGCCTGGGTCTCTTTGTCTGCATCACCAGCATCGTCCGCATGGTCTACATCGCGGTCAGCACCACCACCTCAGACCCAACGTGGGGCTCGTTCGACGCCCTGCTCTGGAGCGCCATAGAGCCCGGCACCGGCATTATTTGCGCCTGTTTACCCTACCTCAAGCATCCCCTCCAACGTGCGTTCCCCAATGTCTTCTCCACACTGGGATCTTCAGGCAACTCGCGCTCGAAGCGCACCTATGGGGACTACGGTCTGTCGTCCGGTAATCCTCGGTCCCGAGTCTCTCGGCCTCGTGCTCCTGGCGACGTCTTCTGGCCGCACGGGGATGGGGTCGATAATTGGGCCATGGTTGCCAATGAAGGGAGACCCAGTGCGGATAGCAGGGAGCCAATTGCTACGGGCCAAATCCTGATGAAAACGGATTTTGAAATGCAGACTCACATACGGGGTGAGAGCTAATGCTTGCGCCTTCTCTGAGTGAAAATACTTTTTATTTTATTTTTTTTTTGTTTAATTAGAAGGTCTGCCTATGCAATCCTGACCCAGGGTTGCTTTACTGGGCGACATTCTCCTCCTGTCGGTATAGTAATGGAGCAGCAACTTTGGAGATAGAGTGTATTTTGCAGCCTTGGCTCATGCCATGCACGATTTCCCGCGAGTTCGACTAGACGCTCAAAGTCAAAAGCAGGCCAGGGCTTCATATGTACGAGTCATGCAGTGTTGGCATAATTAGGCGCCGAGTGGGCGCAGACCCATAACAGTTATATTACAACATAAGGGAGGGTAGTTTATTCAATGCAGTAGTTCGTTCTTTTTCTGTTACCGCGCTCTTCCACTCTGTTTATTGAAAATCATCAATACTGCAATACCACCCCCGTGGACTCCTGTCCTGCAGATGAGGTGGGAACCTCTAAGATTGTGGCGTAAATGATAATGCTGTTACGAAAGGTAGGTTCATGTAGCCACCTGAGAAGGACAGGCCTGGGCTTACCTTGAACGCAGTGTCCATGGCTTAGGCCCGCTTTTACGAACAGTATCCCGCCGACGTTCTTCACGGTCACCGGCCTACATCGACATGCATCTGCGCATGTAATGTACAGACTTTTGGTAGCTTTCTTCTATATAGAAATACTAGTTTTCCTCTACTAGATATAGGACTTTTTTATCTATCATCAATATATCTAGATAATAATTATTATAGTTATCAGAATAAGCCTAATAAGCAGATAGATACTGCTAGGATTTACTATCTATATTATAGCTATAGTTATTTCCCTGGTGTTAAGCTTGATAGTTTAGTATATCCCTGACCAGAAAACTGCAGGCGTGATCGTCCTTCTCTACTTGGCAAATGCCTTCAAGGTACACTTTCCCTTCCCAAGGTTACCAAGGCAATTCAAATCTCACAAGGACTGTAGTATTATTTCTATGTTACCAAACCCCAAGTCTTCGGCCCCTCCATCATCGCCATCGTCACTCTTAACGTTATTGTCGGATACGAGCTATAGGTATATCCTTCCCAGCATCCCATCCATATCTAACTTGCCTAATAATATAACATTTAGATGCATAAACTCGGCCTCGAAGTCGGTACCTCGAACGGCCAACCCTACTACCTAATCTACATCTTCGGGCCTCACAAGCTCCTGGCCGTGGCCGCCGGCTGGGCAATCTCCTTTATCTGGGTGATCCTGCCATACTCCGTAACATACAAGAGCCGACTGTGCAAGTTGCTGGGCGGCGGGCTGTCCCTCCTCGCCAGCTTCTATAGCTGCATGCACTCGAGCATCGAGCTTTGGCTTAGGGCCCAACTGGATGACAACCCATAAATACAGTACGGCCACCCTATCCAAGCACTGATGGATGAACACCAGAAAGCGCGCAAGGCAATATTTAAAGAGGAAATGACCCTCCTTGCTTATCTCGGCACCCCAGCCACTTCAGTACCTTTGAGCCTCCTATCAGGGGGGAATTCCCGAGAGCAACATACGACGCAATTATAGACCAAATCTAGCAGATACTAATCAGCATGGCACTAATGGCTCAGATAGCACAGAGCCTGCAGACACAACAACCACCACAGGAAACTCTAACTCCAGATCGTGCTCTTGGTTCGCGGCTCAGGGAGTACCTGGTTCAATCTCGGCTGACCTTTGCGACTGCTGCCAGCAAGCGCTTTGGCGAGGCTCTTATGATACTTGGTGATGTACTGTGGCGTCAGCTTAAGTTGGCTTAATGTAATTAACGGGTAAGTGGACGATCATCCAAAGCAAAATAACCATCTTAGGCATTGTCCGTGAGCTTTGCGGCCGAACGGTTCTATGTCCATGAACGCTCAAGCTGAGACACCGCCGAGGAAAAAAGGAGGCTGGATCACCGTCACCATGCACAATGACGCGGTATGTTACCGCTGTGCAATCTCAACACCAAGCAGTATTATGATGGGGTCCTTGAGAAGGGCTAGACCTTCCTTCAAGCTTTTCTCATGGCAGAAAGAAACGAACAGACATATTCAAGGCATCGCACAGCCACCCAGGAGATTCCAGTTGGGCTGTAATCCAGCTATAAACTTGTCTCTATTGTCTTGCAGCTGTTTCCTTTGCCTCTGCCGCAGATGTGGCGGTCAAAGAGAAAGCAAATAAGATGTAAGGCTAAGATAAGGCTGACACGAGAGAAAAATCAAGAGATGATGACACATGGAAAGGAACAAAAATGAGGCTATGCACAAAAAGGGCAGGGCACTAGAGGAAGTGGCGGAGATTTTTAACGGGCCCAGTGCTGCTACTAGCCTGAATACTATAAAGTAGTTAGATATGAATAAAGATAAGCAGGACACTGCTACTAAGCCTGCTGTCTAACATGTTAATGGCGCTTGATTGTAGAGTATTGGGGAGTCAGTGCGGGTTCAGGTTTAGGATTAGCAGCCACTAAAGGTCGACAGGACTTCAGGCTGGGTTATATATGTCTAATAATACTATAAGGCAGCCTTCAGGCTGTACTTCATAACTTTAATATATACTAAACTTAGGATATTATTATAATATTAATATTACTTAATTATTACTAGATCTTTAGTATTATTTCTTATTTTATACTATTAAAACTTAACTTAATCTTAATTATTAGTATTAAGTCAAGATTTTTATTAAAGTTAGTAAAGTCAAGACTTAAATATCTAAATCTAGTCTTATTATTACTAGTAGATATTAATTTTATTATATTTATCTATCTCTAGCTAGTACTTATTATTATATATTAGCTTACTAGTAGAGATATTATTTAAAATAGATAATATAAGCTATCTATTAAATATATTATATATATTATTAGTATAAATATCTTACTTTTTAGATTATTATCCTATTAAGGACCTCTACTGCTGAGAAATTTAACTATAATAAGAATAGTAAAAGATAATATACTATAGAGTTTTAGGGAAATCAGTCTATAAGCTTAGCTAGAAGATTAATAATAATCTTATTCTTAAACTATATTTTAATAAAGTTATATTCTATATTAAGATAATTAAGAAAATCTACTAAGAATTTATAGATAAAACTAGAAAATTTAGTAATATTAATATTAATAAGCTTTTTTATTAAATAACTATATATAAATATAATATTATTATTCTTAGTATAAAAAATTATATTAGATATATTAAAGAAATAAGTAATTATTTTCTTAAAATTATATACTAGATAGGCTAGTATTTATTTCTTATATATACTAGAGATTTTATTATAACTAGTATAATACTAGTAAATAAGTAAGTAAATATAATTTATAATATAGTAGAGGAAATTATAAATATTATTAATATTATAGATTTTAGATTTAAGAAAGAGATAGCTACTATAATATTTATTATTAATTATAATAATAAATAATATATATTAATAGCTATATAGTAGAGAAGATAGAATATTTTTAATATCTAGATTTATATCTCTTATATAGTTAAGATTACTATAATACTTAAGATAACTATTTATATATAGAGTATCTATTTCTTAAAAATAAGTAGATAGATATCTATATAAATTATAATAAAGAAAAACTCTAGATTAGAAGCTCTAGTTATATTAAATAACTAGAGTAGTAAGATACTATATTATCTCTAGTATAATACTATTACTAGTAGTAGAATAGATCTTTCTCTTATATATTATATATAATTTAATCTTATTAACTAGTAGAGATAAAGTTATAATAATATAAAGATCTTAAGCTCTTTATATTATAAATATTTAAATTTTAATATTTTAGAAGATTAGGCCTGTCTTTATAATATATTTAATCAGGTAGTCTGTTATCTAGGTATTCTTACTAATAGATAAATATAATATATATAGAAAATAGGGCTTATTATAGATTTAGTAAGAATATAAATAGAATTATAAGTTAAGATAGAGCTTTAAATATAAGGTACTTATATAAGTTATAGCCTAGTATAGAGCTAGTCAATAGCCAGGATAATACTTGATATATATAGTTAATTAGTGCTGTTAGACCTTGAATCTTATACAGCAAAGTTACATATCTTGCCCTGAAACAACCCAAGGGAGAGGAAGGGTAAGGTATTGCCATCTTAGTATATCCGCGGCTATCCAACCTACTCTCTCCCCAGCATGATGTCTAGTAGATTTACCTCCTCTTATTAAAACACGCCCGTGCTTAACATGCCAAAGCCCTCTGACAGTAATGAGCTTCTTTCTCTTATTTGCCAAGGACTGCGCTCCCTACAAGAAGAATTTGAATCCTGTGTATTATTACTTGCTCTTTTTCTACCAGAAATTTCTCTATTATATATACAGTTATCTATTACGCGCTATAAGAGTATAATAGTATCTGCTCTAGCTAGAAACCTATATTAAAATCTATACCTGTACTAGTCCTGACTCTGAATATAGACTAGATTAATTAATTATTAGATTTCTAAATATATAATATATACTAAACCTGCTATCCTACTAAAAACTACAGCCTGAAGCCCTATACTTAGTATACTACATGCTAAACAGCCTCCTTTAAAGACCTAATTAAAAGGGGGGGTATTGTTATAGGATAGCGGTGAGCCTCGGCCATGAGGCTACAAACGGTTGTATGTCCATGTACGCTCAATGTGGGACACCACTCAGTGCAATAAGGGGTAGGTTGGATGATCTTAACCTTGAACAATGACCCAGTATGCCACCACTGCGCAAGCTCAACACCAAGCAGTATTATGGCGAAGTGTCCTTGAGGAGGGCTAGACCTTAGTTCGAGGGTTTCACAAGGCATCACACAGCCACAGAGCCCATTCCAGTTAGGCTGCAGTCTAGTCATAAGCTCATCCTCATTAGCTTGCAGCCTTTTCCTTCGCCTCAGCTACAGACGTGGCGGTGAAAGAGAAAGTAAATAGGATGTAAGGCCAAGACAAGGCTGACACCTAAGAAAAATCGAGAGACGATGACACACATGGAAAGGAACAAAAATGAGGCTATGCACAACGGGGCCCGTGAGCACAGGTTCGACGTTTTTTCTGCAACCCTCTCCTCGGTCAACTTTGCTCTCACAAGTCTCCAGGTGCCTCCAAAGGCTGTTTCTCTATGGAGTCGTTTAAGCGCCGATGGCCTTCGAGTACCGAGGAGGACGGTGACAACAAGCGACTCTGCCGTGGCCTGATGGATGGCCCAGCCGATACAGATGCAGTATTCAATTACATCCCCGAGGGGCAGGCTCAGAGCTATCCTCAATTGTGCGGCCTACTCAACGATCAGCAATTCGCCGTCGAGGAGGAATATTTTCGTGGAACAACGAGCGCTGATAATATGGATCAGTACTTCTATCCAGGAGACGGCGCATATGCGCTACCTGAAATTTCATCCTTCGGAGATATATCCATGCTTGACTATAATTCTATGGATTTCGCGTTTGGCCTCCCTGAGTGGTCCAGTTATGACAATAGCAATGATGTGTTTGATTCAACGCATCAGCTATGTTGGAATCAACCAGAAATAGAACTTGGGAACGGTGAGAACTACCGCTCAGCAGGAATTCTGCAGATTATCCCGCTAACAGCTTCTCTCGCAGACATCACTGATCTGAGTAGCCTCAACGTCGGACCTGTCGAGCAAACGACCCCTAGTTTACTGGAGGTGCCGACGATATCCCCTTCCCCGATAAGCACGAGGATAGCCACGCCTGGCTCAATAAGCGAAGTGCCCGGGTACAGATGCTCCACGATAACCGCAAGCTCGGACACGCTTCGACCGTTGCCGGCACATGAAAGCCTTGGAGCGGAGACCTCAACATCAGACAAGATGCCGGAGATGGTGGATGAGTCCATATCGCGGGATGAGGACGCGGTAATGGAGAATGGTGTTGAGCACGCAGCGGAGGGCGCACAATTTAATACCTGCTTCGGAGAGGTGAGGAGTCCTTGTACTCGAGAGATACAAGCTAAGAAAGCCAGGTTATGGTGGGGGTAATCTCGTCCATCGATTGGAAGGGAGAGACCACGCCCAAGCGAGTCAGTATAGAGCCTTTTGGCAACGTACTAAAACTACGGCTGTGCACAGAGCCCCGAAAATACGCCGGAATGATCACTGTGCCTGCACTGAGAAAACTCCACGAGAAACATTCAGTACACTTGGCGGGGACGTTGTTTCCCCCGAAAACGACGGACGCTAAGGGCAAGAACGCTGAGTCTGACGCTGATCCAATGGTCCATGTACTGGTATACGGAAATCGGGACGACAAGGATAGTATTGGTGCTTGCCTGAACGAAGGGGATGTGTTTCTGCAGCATCCAATAACTGCACCCTTCGACCCGCGCATCACCTATCTTAACCCGAATTATCTGGTTAGACCCGGCGGCAAAGGGCCAGAGCTTGGGGAAGTCGTGGCCCTTGGTGAAGATCAGGAACCGGAAACCGCGAGATCAATTTCTTCTGCGGAAAAGAATAAAGTCATGCAAATCTTTGATTCCGCCATGCCTGAAACAGGGACATACTCTGCTATCAAGCAAAGCCAGCGGCTGTCGACCACTTTAAAAGAGTGAGTATGCCAGCCCTAGTTTGTGAGAATCCCTCACTGATGGAAGCCTAATAGGTATCAGCTTGTTGCGCTCTCGGTGATGGTTGAAAGGGAAACGAGCAGGGTCCATGACCTTAAGTTTCCGTCTCTTTGGAGGCCAGTTAAGGGCTCCTCAGGGTAAGCAGCCACACATCGTATTCATCAGAAAACCTAAATTTGTCTACCAACTCAGGTACCGCAATAATATCACGGGTGTAACCCAAGACAACCCGACCCCTTTGAAAGGTGGTATTCTAGCCGATGTGCGTGAGACTCTTACAACACTACACACAAGGCTGACTGTGAACAGGAGATGGGATTAGGAAAAACCTTGAGTCTCCTTTCCCTCGTTTGCTTCAGCCTGGACACCTTGGATGAAAGGGGTATTCCAGATAGTCATCCTCGAGCCACGCTTGTCATTGCACCAAAGTCGAGTAAGCTGCGTATCTCGTGAAGACAACTACTTTGCTAATGATAAAAGCCATCCCTGCCTGGGAACACCAGATAAAGAAGTATGCTCTTTCTCCACAGTAGGTATTCTGTTGCTCACCGTGCCTCTCAATATCTAGACACATCCAGCCTGGCCAAGTGCGTTACGTGGTATATCATGGGACGAAGCGAGAGGGTGTGAAGCAACCATTCAACCGGAACTACGACATAGTAATCACGACATACGAGACTCTACACCATGATTCAAAAGCAGACAATAAGCTCCGAGATGAAAAATGGTACAGGGTTGTACTGGATGAAGGTGGGTCACCCTGAACCCTACATTGCCCTCCGGCCCCCGCTAATACTCAATCATCCAGCTCATCGCATACGGAATCGAGCTTCTGCACAGTTCAAGGCGGCAGCCGAGCTCAATTCGTACTATCGATGGTGTCTGACAGGCACGCCGATTCAGAATTCGCTTGATGATTACTGTGCTCTTCTGGCCTTTCTACAGGTCGAGACCTTTCGGGAGAAGCGGCTGTTTGATTACTGGATTGCGGGCCCAATGGAGAGGAAAGGAGCAAGAGGCGTGAACGATTTGAAGATTCTTGTTGCTGCCACATGTTTGCGGCGTACCAAGAACATGGTCGAAGATGCAGTGGAGCTCCCGGGCAAGAGCGAGGTGATTGAGCCAATTCAGCTGGCACCCGCTGAACGCGAGATATATGAATTCTTCCAGCGAAAGGCATCGAAAATCATGGTACGACTGGACCAGCCGGAGCAATGTGAGAGGAAGAATAACACCTTGTCCATCATCAACAATATGCGAGTTATCTGTAACCACGGGGAAGACCTCCTCCCAGAATCCCAAGTTGCGATTTGGAATGACCACAAAAAGGCCAAGGAGGATACATCTTTGTCACCAGAACGAGTGGAAGGTCTATCGCTACCGTCTCCCGGTGGCGTACATTGCAATTTCAACACTGGCTCGAACAGGCCATCCACAAAGGTACAGGCGCTGCTAAAGAACCTAGAGAAGGAGCAGAGGGCTTCAGGGAAAGTAAGCCCTAAGCTTGTAAAGAGGTAAGCGTGAATCTGAGTATGTGATTGGGGTCTAACAATGATTTAATAGTGTGGTATTCAGCCAATGGACGAAAATGCTCGATCTAGTGGGTGATGCATTACGTGGTTGCAATTACGAATTCGCCCGGATAGATGGAGGCTCGAGTCTATCATATCGGTCTGATGCACTCCAGAGGTTCAATGAGAACGGGAACTGCACAGTCATGTTGGCAAGTACGCGCAGTGCTGCAGAAGGGTTTGTTCTAGTCTCTCAAATTCAGTCTGGCCACAGGGCATCGCTAAGATGATCTCCAGGATTGATATGACCGCAGCGAGCTTTGTGCATATTCTTGAGCCCCATTGGAATCCAAAGCTCGAGGATCAGGCAATTGCCCGTGTTCATCGCATTGGGCAATCACGCAATGTCCTCGTCACCAAATACCTTGTGCAAAATTCTATAGAAGACGTACGAAACTCCAAGCCACGCATAAACGCTCTACTTTACTAACTGCGGGGCAGTATGTCCGGTGGCTTCAGGATGATAAGAATTGGATAACGCAGATCTCGCTAGCAGGGACCGACGTAGAGTTGTCGTCCCTGGATCTCGACTGTCAAAGACGCGAAGTAAGAGAATCTGGCTGCCCTCCATTCTACTGGCTAACCCCTTGCGCAGAAGCTACAGCAGGTATTCACACTCACATAGTAGGCAGGATTTACGTCGGCTACAACCAGCATCTGGGTGGCTCCACCTGCCCTGCGTTTTACAATGATTTATGCATAAATATTTGGCATTATTTGCCTAGATTCAACCAGATCCGGCATCACGAGCCTGATGCCTTTCTATTAAGCTGAGTCTGGGAGACCAGCTCATCCCATGATACCCCAAGCCACTGAGATATTTCTTGTGCTCCCTTCTCCTCTGAGATCTTTTTATGAGTCCGACGTTTCCCGCCCGAAGTTGCGTATGGGTTGGCGCCGGAGAGGAGCAAGAATTTCATAAATTCAGCGTTTTCCGCCGACGATTTGCGCGCAGCCATCTGTAATGGGGAAACCACATGAGTGGCCCCTTCAATGTTAGCCCCGTATTTTAGAAGTTCCTTGCCAAGTTGTATGGAGCATGTAGTGCTCGCAACTGCGCCCAAGGCGGCTGACAGACTTTTTGGCTTCATCCATTCATTTTTGACGATGAAACCCCATATTGATAAGAGAAAGCTCTCCTTATCCTGGATTCGGCCAGTTGTGGCAATGACCTTTCTCGCAAAGCAGCGCAATGCTACCCGGTATCTCAACTTGACATTACAATGTGCAAAGCCCCGGACATGCCGCTGGCATAATGCATGCATTTGGGCGGTATCACTCTTAATGAAGGCAGCCATTACGTCCGCATTCCTCCAGTCATAGTGTCCTAACAATGAAGGCGCCCGCGAAATGTCTCCCAGTAGATGTTCGATAAGATCGATGTTTCCAGCGGATATTGCTGCAGCAAGAATTTCACAGATGTGAGAGTTCCCCCAATCCAAGAAGAACCTTGCCAAAGCAGGATCCCCAAATCTACCAACTGCCGACCAGATGTTGTCGCGTATTAACGGCTTTTTTTCCCTGACGATATGCTGAATCATTTCAAGTTCACCTGCCCGGATCAGGTCTACCAATATATTCTCATCAGCATCTCTAGAACTGACGTCGAAGGCATTGGTATGTTGTGTCTCGGGTCTGTGGGCGTTTTTAAGGTGTTCGTCCCTCATGCGCTCTGACAGGAAGCCAGTCTTCTCATACTCGCATCCAGGCGTACTACATTTCCACGCGCGACTATGCTGTTTCTCGTGTGCATCACGCTGTTTGTTCGAGTCGAAACCCTGTCGCTGCAAGGAACAGTTCAAAAATCCGCATTTAAATGGACGTTTACCCATATTCTCCATGATGAGATCACAGAGGCATCCGGGTCGATGGGCGCTGGATCGACACATCAATGCTTCAATTTTATCGTAGAGTGCAAGGGATGTCTTGAATGTTGTTAAAGGATCGTGTATATGCCAGGATTTGTCTGCTTGCGTCAGATATTGAGAGGCAGCGCCTAAGGATAACTAGGATCGGATCTTACCCCTGTTGATATGGTACGAATTCTGGGAACATTTGTCGGCAAACTGGGCTATATGACCGAGGAACTCTGATAGTTCTTGAGATTCGCCACTAAAGGCATCTGGGTATATTGAGCTGATGGCACTACCGCTTGCTGGTTCAAATGCACTGTTCGCTCGGTTAGATATCAAAATCTCGACAGAGTCTTCAAAGGTCTTCGTCGGTTGAATTCCTTTCTCCTGCACTTGCTCTAGATATTTCTTCACGAGGGCGAACCATTGGCCACATGCGAACCAATGAAGATTATAATATCCATCAAGCATCAGGTTTGTAAAAGTGTCGCCATCCTCGAGAGTATCAGCATCATAGTGTACCTGCGACAGCAACGTCATGCAGCGCATAGCAAGGTCCGAAGTGGCGTCGAACTCGGTGATGTTCCCCTTTATCTTATCACTAAATAGGTATCTGGAATTTGTCAGTTGAAGTTCCTAAATTGCAGCCCGGGGACTCATGCTCTTTCACGGTAAAGTGCACAAACTCTACACGGTCATCTACAATCTCAACAATCGGCCCGCAGAGGTGATTCAGGTTGGGCTTTGCTGATACCGGCTTACTAGGCTCGAGATCCCCTGGATGGATTGAGAGGACATGCTGGATTTCTTCGATCGTCAAGGGCGTCGGCGCACAGCCTACCCAGCCAAGGACTGCCCTAGCTTTGTCGCGAATATGTGGACGGAGTTTCTCAATCCTCGCCAGCACTCGCGCATACCTTGAACGAGTGTTTGTCAGTTGATACATGGTTATGATCACGATAAAATTGAGGAAAATACGCACACGCCATCTAAGTCTTCTGGTAATACTTTCAGGTACTCACGAATTTCCCCAATATCGTCCATGAGCTCGATGTCCTTTAGGACAAGACTGGCGTAGAGAAACATCCCTAGACGATACTATCAGTGGGAGTATCTGGTAATATTGTGGATTGCCAACCCTTTGCTTTCGATGGGATGTGGGAAAATGCGCTGGTGATTTCATCCCTGTCCGTGTCGGGGAATTGGCTGCTATTGAATAGTTGTGTCCGCCGAGCATCAACAAATGCCTTGATACTTTCTTTGTTCCTTTCATCCACGCGAATAGTCGTTGATACAGGATCCAGTATACCTTGTATGTCAGCCTCCTTTCTGCTACTTAGGAGTATGCGCATGTCTGGGCATTGCTGTGCCAGATTACACATCGTCATCAGCAAATGTCCGCGTTCGACTTCATCTATTTCATCAATACTATCGATGACAAGATAGGTACTACCGGCACAGTCCAAGAGGCCTTTTAGTAGGGCTTCCCCCGCTTTGAGATCACTCTTGATATGGCCCAGGGGCAGGTTAATCACCGCAGCCTGGAGATCCTCCTGCTGCCCGGCCAGTTGGAAGATGAGTGAGTTTAGAACGATGAGAGCCCGTGTGCCGCTACTGGAGTCGTGCCTCAGAAAGGCGAATGCAGTGTGACCGTGGACTCTTGCCTCATCTACTGCGGCGCCTGCAAGAAACGTTTTTCCTAGCAAATCGTCAGCAAGAAGTCTGAATTGGAGCTGAGGGTTAGGGTAACCCACCGGCCCCTGGAATGCCCTGTATCCAGAGCACCCGTGTTGTCTGATCTGCCTGGTCTAGCCACCTTTTGAAGATGCTGTCTTCCAGCAGCCATTTCCCAGTGCCCTCACAGACGTGGCTGTGGTACGCGTCAAGCCGATCATCATACGTCGTAGGATTGACATTGGTTCTGATGGCATTGTACTCTTGCTGCCGCCGCGCACGCTCAGTATCCTTGAAGTGCTGCAACTCCTTTAACCTCATGTCGTCCTTGAAATCGCTGACGGCCGCTTGCACAGCCTTTTGGATTCCAGGGGAAAGAGTAGCCATGTTTGCCGTGCCGGGAATATTGTAGGGACTATCAGTCGTCCTGGAGTTATATCTTCTCTCTCTGGCCTGACAGTAGGATGCTGGAGGAAAGAGGGGCACACCGTTATTCCTGGTGAGGTGTGCTGGGATGTGGCTGGGCGCAAGGCTGACACGGGCAAACTGCTGGCTTTTAATCGGTTGTCTTTGAGCCCTGCATAAATCGCCCAATCTCATTCTTCTAAAACCTTCATGACATGCAAGCCTTGTGTCCGACTGGCGACGATCCTGTTCCCGGGGTCTTCGAGCTGGCGCTGTAGATTGTTAAAGCAGTGATTAAGGCAAGTGAACTCACCCTGATTCCACCCAAGTTACATGACTGTAAAGCGGGCTTACCCTAAGCTCACCCGGGCGGCAACCACTGGGCTAGAATTCTCTGTGTCTTGCTTGACGCTGAGGTACCAGGAAGGGAGGAGTATCGCTCTACCACAGTAAACAAGTTATTTGGACCTGGACTGCCGGCATATAGAATTGGCCCGAAGAAATGATGAACTAGAATTATAGGCTCTATCCTGGTCGACCTCCAATCATGTATTTAACCCTAAGAATGTAATATATATCACCGCAGCTGCACTGACTATATTACTCCGGCTTTTGCCCTCAACTCCCATGCCTTGCTGGAGAAAGTGCGGACGGGGTATTTATGCTGCCGTGGTTAAATCGCTGATTGGGTCTCAATCTCAAATTCAACACAGGCTTGCTTACTGAGCTCATGCACCCGAGACTGGGCTTCCCCTTAATTTTGGACGGCCATCTCAGTTTGAACTGCACGACATTGCACCGGCAATAAGGGTTACAATATAGGGTTTTCGGCTCCGACGAAGGATTATTAATAAGTCTTAATACATCGCGCCTGACTCTCGCTTCTATCCTGCTTCCTACAGCCCTTTCTGCTGCAACTGTGCTGTAGTTACTTATAAAATGGATACTACTGTAGATATTTGCCTCAGTCTGCAGGTGACTCGCTAACTATAACTAGGACACCCTTTATATAATCTACAAGATTAGTATGCAGGCTCTACACGCGCACCGGGAGTAATAAAAGTATATTAATAAGTATTAAAACCTCCAAGAGGTGTTACAGCAAACCACCTCAGACCTGGAAGAGACTGCTAACTTATCTAGTCTTCTCTACAAGACTAATCAGCAGATGGGAATAGTGATTAACTATCTATTAAAGGAGCGGGAGACAGCCTTAGCTAGGAAATCCAATTGCTTTAAGATCATGGTGAACCATGTGCTCAACTAGCTTGAGAGCACCGAAGGACACCAAATAGATAGGACTAAGCCTCCGACCCCAGCAGGGGATGCCACCATGGCCGAGAATCCTGCATCAACAGGGGAACATTATGCCTAATTAGTGCCCGTATTTCGTAATAAGAAGCCTTGTACACTGGCTGGCAAATATAAACTCTCGGAAGAACGGATCCAGTCCACCCACGATCTCAAGCTGAGTTGCTTTGAAGAACCTGTGGTCGGACGTCCACGCCAATTTAGCATCAAACACCTCATCTTCAATCTTGCCCGTTTTACTACCCGGCTTTGGCCGCTCGGAGCGAACCTCACAGAGATATTCGGCGTCACGGCCTACCTCAGGGTAAGGTTTCCAGACGAACCGACGCCCACCGAATGTGAAGCGCCGCGGGGCCCATTCTTTATTCCGGTCTGAGTTCTCCGGAATTACACTGCCGTAGCTCGTTGTGTGCTGCATATTACGGCCGCTCAGATTCCAGTAGGCCGGGCCAACGCGAGTTGTGACGAAGGGACTGGGATAATCGGAGGCTCGGGAGATCGAAACGACTGGCATTTGTCGCTTCTTGTACTTGAGGCCCTCGCAGATATAGAGATTCTCGTCACTCCCAAACACCTTGACCTTGGTGGAGCACCAGTGAGAGGGTACGAAGGGTGTATTCTCAGCGTCTCCAGTGATGTCGAACTTCAGGGTCGGGACAGAGAAGTCCACTGTTGGCGTATAAAACGACACCTGCGGTTGTAGGAGATATTGAAAAAACGGCTCAATTGTCGCCTTTGGGTTCTGAGCGCATTCGCGCTTGTGCTTTCCGAGAACCATATCCTCCTGCAGTGTATCAAATTAGTCTGTAGGCTCGTTTGGACTGAAGCCGAGGCTTTACCAAACCAATCGTCACAACACCGCGACGAAGTTGCTCCTCGACCATATCCTTCCTGCTCTGGGGGACGACCAAAAGGAAAGGGCGAGCTTGCTGCTGGTTAAGGTTTTGGAGTCGACCTTGGTGGATTTTGATTTTCCGTCGCAGCACGCGCTTCTTGTTATGGTCGAGCATGCCGGCCTTCTGGAGGGCCTGTGAAAGCTGCGCGACGGATGACTGGTGAAGCGAACTAGCATTCTGATAGTCGTGTTGGTACTCTGCCGTGAAAGCAGAAACGCATAGATTATGGAGCGCTTGCTCCTCCCCCACGCTTGCGTCTGTCATACTGAATCGGTACTTTTCTCGAGATCTTTTGAGGATGCCCTGCGAACGAAACGAAAACTCCAGAAAGCGACTTGCTTTTTTCTCAATCAAAACAGCGAGAAGCAGAGCTTTTTGGGCCGGAGAGGCTCTTCTCTTAGATGGCACATCTAACCTTCTGGGTGCCAATCATTACTCTACTAGGTGGCAATACGAGAGCAGCTCATCCAGTCCACGCTGGACACAGCCTCAATTTAATGATCATGATCTCTTGGCACCGAGAGACACGTCAGCGTGATTATTAGTTGATGCCTTTTGGATGTTGTGTGCTTGCGCTCTGGAAACGGGCAGCCTTCTGCAGTTTGGCTGCTCCAAGAACCCTTGTGCAGACAAGTAGGTTACAGGTGAAGTGGCCTTGTTCAAACTGCCGCCTGCCCCGAAACTGGTCATATAATAGGCCTAGCAGTGTATATTCACTTGGGTGTGTGACTCACCCGGGAATTTCGTTAGTAAGTATAAGGAACCAACCACTTCCTAATTAATCCTAGTTGAACCTATTCTGCCAGCTAAAATAAAGTGTAAGTTAGTGTGAGCTGTATTCACATTTTTGCATGATAACTTAGTTAATACTCTGTCTAATGTGACATTGGCGTCATCAGTTATCATGATTTGGGGTTTTAACGATTCAAGGTATTCCTATTTGGGACCTAGATGAAGCCCCTAGATCACTATAAACATGTCTGTCAAGTATATATATCCCAACCCAGTTACAAGTACGGGTGAAGAGAGGTCAGATCGAATCGTTTAAACACCAGTAACGCCGCGGATGAAGTCACGGAAGTAAGCCAGGCTGGAGTAGATACCAGGGTATCCAGCGCCGGCACAGCTGTTACCTGAGAAGATGATGCTAATAAAGATACTATCAGAGATAAAAGAGCCACTAGTCACTCTATCAGCTATCTTTACTACCCTTCTCTACACTAGTATAGAGCATACTAGCAGTAATCATATAAAAGCCCTAGTAGTTCTAGGCATACTTCTTCTTATTAATAACAGGGACCCCGATAAACTACAGGATAGGAGAGACCTTGCTGCCCTCCTTAAGCGCACCCCAGCTAGTAATATTACTAACAGTACTGGTAGAGGGGAGGGAGCTGTTGCCCGCAGGGAGCTTAACAGCAGTAATACCATCACTATACTCAAGCTGCTTAGAGAGAGTAAGGATAGTAATATTATTATTAAGGTTCTGCGCGTTGTAGTCAGGGTATACAGTGATAGAGGGGGTGCTGATAGTAGCACTACCAGAGTTAGAGAAGAAGAAGCTGGTATAGATACTCAGGTTACTAGTAGTCTAGCCCTTAGTATAGTAGCTAGTAGTTATAATATACTTGTTATTAATAATACTACTACTATAGATAAGGGAGCTACCCTAGAGCAGGTTAATCCAGTAGAGATACTCCTCTATACTAGTCTCGGTGCTGCTGATAATATTCTCCTTGGCGAGGACGCTGGAGAGGACGGAGAGGAAGGCGACGGTGGTCTTTATGGTGGTGAAAGGGCTGGTAGAGAGGATTGGGAGGAGAGTGAGGTTGTCAGAGTGAGTGATGAGCTGGAGGTGGTGGTAGACATGGGCTTTTTATAGTGTTATTGGGGCTCAATCCACTGCATCCACAGCCTGCAGCGGCTGTCCACAGTTGGCACAAAGCCCACAAAGACAGCCCACTGGCACAAAGACTATTACTCGTGCAATCAAGAGCCCGCATCGCGATCTCATTCGACTGGTTTCTGAAGGCGATTATGCACTGTAACAGAAGCCGGGCTCGGGCCGTGTCTGGAATGCAATCTGCCTCTTGCCTACACCAGTAAGTCAAAAGTCTGGTTACAGCTTCCGAAAATGTTAATTTCTCCATACGTTTAAACTTTAATATCTCCATGAATTCTTGGTGTTTCAACTCTATATAAAGTGCAATCGATAGACAGGATCAATATTTAGTATACTAACCCTTAGCCTTAATTACTGCCTACAGGCAGCGCTGCATTAATCTAATAAGACTATTAATAACCCCCTAGTCAACCTTCTCCCATAAATAGATAATTACTTTATAAAATCATATCTAATCTATCTGGATTCTTTCTTATAGATAGATATTTGGGTAATCCCTTATTAGATAGTATTTTAGATAGTGCTAAATATATTCTATTAGGTTTATATCAGGTAAGTGTAGAGGCTAATTAATAACCTATATACTATAATTTTCAAACCACTTCTGTACTATCTCTACTATATATATTCGCGCGTTATCCTGCTAGAATATTAAACCAGGTTTATAGTATTCAATGAGGCTATTTTCAAGCATATTGATACAGGAATTTGCTGTGAATCCATGCCAAGATAACTGTTCGTCCTGCTTCATGATAACCACCCGTCCATGGATATAAAGTGATGTTCCATCTCCCGTTTATATAGGCCCATGGAAATTCCCATGGATGGGTCCCATGGGACCTGCCGAGGTCTAGTTCGGATCCTGTGACAATGCTGCCTGTTGCTCGCTTTGTCATTACGGCACGCTTATCGTCACCATTACCATTGCCACAGATCCTTCTGAATTGGCTCACCATCGCAATGAATAAGTGTCTGCTCCTCAACAATACCATACTCCGGAGGGTCAAGCTCTATGACCTTAAATTCCACCTCACGATCATCGTGTTGTATAGTAAACAGATCATCCTGGTGAACTGGCCGGTAATGGTCCCGGAAGTAAGGAGCAAGGTAGTCCTCAAAAAGAGAGCCTGTAAAGCCTTCCATAGTATCTAGCACAGGCCGGATAGCAATATGCTTAGCCTAAGTAACAAAAGAGCAAAGTTAGTTTAAATAAGACTTATAACAAGAAAAAGAGAAGTTTAAAGCTTACATATTTTATATCATCACAAGGATAGACCCTGACAATATCACCATGTTTGATACCAAGGTTGTTACGCACAACATGGTTAACACAAGCATATCCATCCTCCATTTTGTTATCAGATATAACAATTAAAGCAGTAGTCTTGTCCCTACTCTCCTTAACCAGGACAGTATCACCAGACTGGAGTTGAAGGACCTCCATAGTATTTGCTGAAAGAGTAATAACTGAGTTATCTTGATTTACTGCATCAATTACACTGTTCATAGGCTATTAGCTTTTATCCTCTATTTTTAACACACAGGGGAAACCTTACATCAGGGCGTTCGCAGTCTTCTTTTCAAGCATAGCAGCGGAGCCTGGCCAGTTGAAAGAATTGACGGTGCTTTTGTGATTTGCACCGAGGGTTTGCTCCTGCTGTCGTCCTAGGGGACTGGGAATCACCGGCGTTGAGGTGGGCTCTAGTTGTATATGAAATCATTTAGCAATCAGTTCGAGTTTGGAAAATGGTCCGTGGGCCGATATTAGAGGCTCTCACCAGAGTCTGCGAGAGTGTCTCGTGCTGTTGGGGTTGTAGCAATCTGATCAGTTGGAACCACCAAGAGAAGCTCTTTTGCATAAGCTGCGGCCACGGCCGCGGCATACCCCTGCCATTCTTTATTTTTGTGAGAGTCGGCATAGTCACAAATGCCCCGAACAACCAAACATGGAAAGTCATTCAGGAGTCCGGCCGCTTCCATATCTAAGCAGTACACCCCTAAGTCCCGAGCCAGCTTATCACGCCACCTTCCATCTTTCACTACCTGATTCCCAGATCCAATGAGGCCATAGTGAATAACTGGATCCTTGTTTTCTCGGTGAGACCGTGGAGATAGTTTGGATCGGTCACAATTGAGACATGTATTAGATACGATATGATTGTACTCCACTTGAAATAGACAATCTTCTTGGGTTGGTCGTGCAAATGTCATAGCCTTGTGAGCTGGAATTTTGGCTTGGATGTCAGAAATGAACTCAGTCACCCGGCTATCTCTTGTCATGTGGTAGGCTTTGAGCGTAGCAAGAGCAGTTAATAAAACCTTTGGAGGCCGGTTAAGTGATCCTGTCCGCTCAAATCTACCACCGCTGAGCACTTTTCCAAGATCGTATTGGATCACGCCCCCCGATGTGGCTGTTGGCTGGCTGACAACAATATCGCCGAGCCGAATATCTGCATTACTGCTCGGTACGCCGCCGCCGACACCAACCATGAGACCGATACGGATAGCGCGAAAACTAGACAGTAACTGCATCCCAACTGATGTAGCTGATGTGTTACCATATGCACCACCTGGCAAGCTAGCAATCACAACATTGTGTTCTCCGATGCTTCCAAGGATATATGTATTTTCATCCGCCCGCAAGCTAGGCAAAGGGGGGTGGAGTTTGTCCAACATCAGATTCGCAGCTGCCGTTTCCACAGGCAAGGCGCATATCCATCCGACGGTATAGTCGTCATGGGTAAGGGGAGCCCTGGTGTCCATGATTGGATGATAAATGATCTGGTATTTACCATAAAGTGATCGCTGATATAACAGGTTCTTGGATAAATCACGGTTTCATGGAGCGCAGGCGGTGGGAAAAGATGTCATGGTTTGATAGGAGTGGGGTTCAAAGGTGATGAGGTTGGACATGAGGCTCTCGACTCACACTGGTTTCTGTAAGATTCCATGGTGTTCTATATCATACGCAATACGAATTCCGTTGCAAAGTAAAATACCATACATTGATCTGCGCTAACGTCCTGACAATGGGGGCCAAAAGAGAGTGATGTATTGTGTCTGTCAAGCCGATTCCGATAGTGGCTGTATACTTAGGCCCGCGCTCAGTTTCCATTGCAAAGGGACACCATATCATGGGACGATTGAGGAGTATTTGAGTTCAGGCCAAGAAAGTACTTGGTTGATATCCTCTGCACCATAGTGAGGATTTGTCGTGTTGCGAGATGGGGCAGTGCCACCTACGGGAGTCAGTGCAAGGCCAACATAAAGGTAATCTAGCGGAATTCGGAGTACTCTTTCATGGTACGTGCTTTTTTATCTAGTATTACATGTCATTTTCTTCAAATCCCTGGTTGAAATACTATTCCCCAGTGATGCGGGGAAGATTCCGGTCAGATACCTATAGAATAGGCCTAGTGTGCTCTTGGTATTGGGTACAGGATACATAATAACCGTTCCGCAGGGTGACATGTAAGCGGCGAGGTCGGATTGGCGGCTGTTGTCAGTCGGTCTTCACTCGCGGCGATGTCCTAGCGAGCAACGAGATGCCGGCTACGAATAATATACGAAATAGGAAGGAGAGTTTGTATGCTAATTGATTCAGAAACCAATCGCTGGAGATCAGGAAGAGCAGCGATTCCCAAAGGTCATATATCAGCGATGCCAAGAGGGCCATTCAGGATTTGGCCCAAAGGCATCGATAGACCTAAAAAGGTCGGATCCGAGCGGCGGTCATTCGGTTCCCGGTACTGACTGCCCCAACAAGGAATCGCGCTATATCAACATAACCTAGATCTGTGGCATATAACAACAACATTCGATTATTAAAGTCCAGATAGTCTATATTAACCGAATCCCTTGCCAGTAAATCAGAGACGATCTTTTCGCGGCCGCCAAGCATTGCTAACATCAATGGAGTGCGCCCGCTTGTATAGAATAAGATCGTTGACTAGTGATTTCAGTTCAGTAACTACTCGATGTTTCGTATTAGGCGTGGACTCTGCCTAATTAGGAGCCAAGTGTTTTGAGTGCCTCAGGCAGCGAACCACGTGTTTCTCTCCCACTCGCTCATATACAGTCTTGCCCGTAACCGTAAGCGCGTCTACTTGGGACCGTAAAGCGGCCTCACCCAAAACTCACCCGGGCGGCACGCACCCGACTTTTGGCCGCGTTAAAGCCACACGCCGGCTGGTTAGTAGTATGGTGGGTGACCACATGCGAATCCCAGCTGTTGTATGTTTTTGTTTTTTATTCGTTGGAGCCATGATTTGACTCTTGATACAGTATCTAAGTTGATTTGTATAGAAACTGGAGAGGAAGCAAGTGGATAAACTCTCACACCCACAGTTTCGAAAATACCCACTTTGGCTGTTTAGCTTACAATATATCCAGGCGAGTCACTCAACGGTCTCTCTTCAATGAGACCCGACACAAGAATTCCCCCTTCATCTCTCCAATCCCGGAGCTACGCACCCCAACCCTGCTCTGCTTCTGCACGGGTTGGAAATCGAACTGGCTCAGCAGCGTAGTGAGCGTCTTGAGAATGTTCGTCATGGCTAGATTCCTTCCTATGCACATGCGGTGTCCAACGCTGAAGGGGATTAGGTATTTCCCCTTTTCTTTGTTGTAAGTCTCGTCAAGCCAGCGGTTGGGATTATATGAGTCGTAGTCCGCGCCCCAGATAGCAGGATTGTGGTGGAGGACGTAGTTCGATATACAGGCGCTCGTCTAGGGGTTATTAGTTCTCATTCAACTCACATCCGTTAAGGACAGGGAAAAAACAAACTTACTCCCTGAGGGATATAGTGGTCTCCGATATTGATACCACCCGGGTAGCCCACACGACGCCACAAGGGCATGGTGAAGACGGGGTTGAGGCGGAAGTTCTCTCGGACGCAGGCCATAGTGTATTGCAAGGACGCCTCTAGGCCTTGGATTGGATAGCAAATTTGGTGGTCTCCGAGAGGGCCCAGGTTTGTTTGGATTTCCTTTTGCACAGCAGCCAGCATTTCGGGGTTCTGTACAAGGTGCCAGAGAAGAAGGGTCAGGGTCCCTGATGTTGAGTGGGATCCGGCGACACTACAGTTGTTAGCGTATTGCTTTTAGAGGCTTTCATGTAGAGTTGGTCATACAGAACAGCAAATGCCTCAGAGTTAATCTCCTGCTCAGTCAAACGAGACCCAGTCGCCGGATCAACAGCTTCAACAAGGCTCTTCAGCAGATCCGGGCGCTCTGAAGGATTGTTAATCTTGAACTTGACGCACTTCGCACACACATTCTTAAGATTATTCCGGCTCTTGAGCAAGCGTCTCATCCAAGACACAGGCGAAATTCTCGCCAGCGTTTTCCATAAATTCTGACAAGGTAGTTCGCCAATGACACCTGCCAGCAGAAGATGGTCGTTGATAGCGTGGAGCTCCTCTGCTTCTCCTCTTTCTTGTACACCGAAGGCTTTGCTGAATGCCACCTCTCCTAGAATATCAAGCACATACAACGAGAGCATGTTCTTAAAATCGAATGCTTCTCCACTCCTCGCGAGAGCGTGGAGCTTGTCAATGAGGATCTCCATCTGCCCTTCAATCAGAGGTTCAAGCTTCTGGATAGAGACTTGGGAGAATCCATGGGAAAGTTGTCTGCGACGGAGGGAATGGATCTATTGTAACGGAACGTATACATTAGCTTCATAAATATCATGCTAAGGGGAAAGCCCATACATCCTCATTCGTCCCCCCAAACAGATTCGGGTTAAACGCAGTAAAGGCGTCGTAAAACTCCGTCTTGCCCATACTACGCCCTCCCTTATAGATTGGTGCGATTGCTTCGGCATCCCAAAGATGAAGATGATTGGGGCCAACGCGTACGACGGGACCGTATTGCATATGAAGCTCAAGCAGCTTCTCATGCAATATTGCGTTGTAAACATAGTACGCCTTGAAGGTGTTGGTGAGGGAGGCGAGTAATGGTCCAGGATATTTGCTCAAGGGGTGTAAGAATCTCATATAAATAACATAGATCAAGATTATAGCTGTGGATAGTATGCTGATAATGGTCCGAGTGTCGGATGTGGTGATGCTCACCATGCTCAAGAGGGTGTTGTAAGTCATGTTGGAGAGGGCTGTCCAAGTACAACTAGCCATACCAGACAATGATGTTTTATATGCTAGATCTCGGTTGCTGCACTCGGTAGTGCATCTCCAGTAATAGGCAGATCGACCATCAGGAAACCAAGAATGGTAATGATATGTTAGCCGTGTGTCCGCGGGACTCACCCACACATCCTCAGCATACCCTAGCTGGGGATCTGGGGCCGCTCACAGTAGCGGTGCCCCACCGAGGGTCTTTCGCGGAGTTCACCCACACTCTGGCCCGAGGGGAATGCTGATAAGATCATCGCCTTTGCTCTAAAATAAGGGAAATATTATACTATTTCTTTGTGGCTAGGTTGAGCTGTGTAACGTCGCCAACATGGCAGGCCCCCAGACTTCCACGCATACATTCAAAGTAGGCGCCGGAGTATCTCTCACCATCGACATCTCAAAACCGCCGAATGCTCCGGAAAACGGTATTACGCTTCTTCATTTCCACGGAGGGTTCCTGGTAGGATTTGGCTCTATTATACAATAGCTACACGGACACTAATAAATGCTGTATAGGTTATCGGAGAGAAAACCACGTTCCCGCCTCACTGGCTGATCAACGCCTGCCAGGCCCGCGGCTGGACATACGCAACGGCCTCATACCGTTTGATGCCAGAATCTACCGGGCTTGAAGTCCTCTCCGACGCTCTCGACGCAGTCCAGTGGACTCATAAGAACATCAGCGATCGCATTATAATCGCAGGATCAAGTGCAGGCGGGTATCTCGCCCTGGCCACCGCAGCACACCCTGAATGTCCACGACCACTAGCGGTGCTCTCTATCTATGGAATGCTTGATCCCGCAAGCACGAGATATATTGAGCCGGGTACACCTCTCCGCGCTGTGATCGCGGACCTGCCCATCGCATTAGAGGAAATCGACGCAGCCATGAATAGTGGCAAGGCGCTTGACGGCTACGCCTTCCCGGAAAGCCCTCCCACTGATCAGCGGTTCAGGTGGATTCGCGCTTTGCATCAGGCTGCGAAGTATCCGGATTTGCTTACGCGGACTCCGGGTTTGGCCGGGCAGATTGCCGAGCAGGGCGCTGACGCGATTCCCGAACGATATCGGACCCTGTTTCCGGTGTCTTTCGGACTGATGGAAGACTTTCCTCCGACTGTCCTGTTGCATGGCGATGATGATGTACTGGTCGGGCTCGATCAGAGTACTTCGGTCGCTGAAAGAATGATTTCGCTTGGAATCAACGTGCATCTGGAGATAGCGAAGGGCCAAGGCCACGGTTTTGAGGCCAAGGGTGAGGTTGATATTGACGCGAAAGAAGTTGCGGGTGAGGATACGGCGATTAAAGACTGTCTTAGACGCGTCATCACGGCACTGGAAAAAGCTGTGTGAGCTCTCAATAGCCATATCTCATTTCAGATCTAGATGTTCAACAGCTAATATAAGACCTGCCACTTGATCCATGTCCGTTTGATCGAAGGTAGCTAGATGTTCGCCCGGTTTCTGCGAGACATGTTCCGGCAGGTTCTTGACCATTGCGTTCCACTCGTCCGTAGACAGGTGTGATTTCTCAATATGGACTCGCGCAAGTAGAGCGAATTCTCTGGCACGATGGGGGAAGGCCTTCGAATGTGAGAGACCCTCAGTACTGCTCGTCCACGCATCTTCCCAGCGATCAAGCGCCCTTTTTAAAGGCCCAGTCGCCAGAGGAAGAGGCGAGAACGCTCTTAGTTGATGGAAGATAAGACCATGAATCGCTACAGAATGGTAAGCGTCATTTGATGGATGTTTTATGGGCACTTACCTGTCGCAAAAGTAAACAAATTAAGAGCGCTCTCGCTGTGAATATGGGTCAGTATCGCCGGATCGGGGTGATCTGCACATAGTGTGCGAATACAGTCAGTCAGTAGAGGAGGCGTGGGTCGGATAGGATGGGACTGGATTGCAATCATGAACTCCTCAGGTGTTGGTGCTTGGAAGACAGCTTCGGGGCATGTGAGGTCAATAGTCATTTCCTGCAAGACCATGCGCGGAACAGCGTTGTGGAATATCACAAACGCAGAATCGAGCAGGAATATATGGTTGAAAGTGCTGTTTGGATCAGCTATGTTCATTTTCGGCTGGGGAGCGCAACGTCTTACCGAATCATCTCCTCCTTCAATATCCATTCTCTCCACTGAGCATCGTTGATCATTGTACCCATGCTTCGGCTGTGGGTTGCTTGAGACAGGCCCATTGCTCTTGTCGTCTGCTCTTGTCAGTCCTCCGTAAACATGGAAGTGCATCTATCTTACCGCAACGAACGAAGTGAATCGATGCCGCTGCATTCGTAGTTTGGCGGAGTCACTCCCTTCCCATTTTTGCAACAGGCACATGAAGCAAGCTGCTTGTAATGTTTCGACATTCTGGCGGGTACCCAATTGATCATCCTTCCTCGTTCCAGTGAAAGCTACCTCTGAGAACAGCGGGCCTGAGAATATGAGCTCTTCCACCACATCCAAAAGGTGCTTTGCAGCTTGATGATCTGATTGTTGAGGAGACATGCATGCTCCGATAAGTGCCATTGTTGCGAAGAGTAAAATCCAGCAGTTCCCCAAGTCAAAAGTCGCTCTGTGGATGATCGGACAGTGCCGATACCAACGACTCCAGAACAAATCAAGACACCGCGTCAGGTTTTGCGGCGAGAGGAACCCGACCATGTCAAGAGAATACAGGTCGAAATGATTGGACTTTTGGCTCAGTAGTTCCCACAATTGACTCGACTTGTCAACCATCAATGAAGAAAGATCAATATCTCCCCAGAGACTGGCCACTTCGTTTAGATAGCAGCTGAATGGGTTTGAGACCGTAGAGTCTTCGAATGGAAAGCCTTCGGATGCTAGATTGTCAAAATCTACATCGACTGGAGATAACTGGCTTGTGCCATAGTTATACGCCTCGTTGAGTCCAGCGGCTTGGGTGAAGTTGAGAAGGAAATCGAACCGAGTCTGCGAAGCCTGTGCGTTTTGTGTATGGGAGTTGAGGTCGTCATTCTTCCAAGTCTTCTGTCTTTGACGACGCGACTGGACGCTGTCTGCTAATGTATCTGGCTGTCTCTGACTACTGCCCTCCGAGAGCCTCCGGAGCGCTTGTGCGCCATTATAGGTACATTCCGTGACCCGTAGAGAGCACTCGGAGCATGGCTGCCCCGCACTACAAGCTCGCTTACGAGAGGTACACTGATCGCATGCTTGTTTTCGCTTTCCGGATAAGCTGCGCTTTGGGATCTGAATACCGGACGCTACTCGTTGTGGACAAGTCTTCCAGTGTCGTCGCAATGCATCGGATCGCTTGTACCGAGAGTCGCAGAATAAACAAGTATGTGGTTTGTCATCGATATGAGTTAACGTATGTCGTTTCAGGTGCTCGGCTCTTCGAAATGTCTCAGAGCACACGGAGCATGTCAACACAGGTGCACTAGCCTGCTTCATCTCTGCTTGTGTTAGGAAGTGCATGAATGATCCGTGATGGGACCGAGTCGGTAAATGCAATCGGCTCCGACATGACGTAATCAGTCGCGATCAAACATTACGCTTGGCATTATTGTCTGTATAAAAGCTATTTTATAAAACTGTAAAATAATCAACTTGTTATAAAAAGATAGATTATCTATAGCTTTTTACTATATATATCTAATTCTTACAGGGAGTATTATTTTATTGTACTGTGAATATTTAAGACTACAATTAAAGACAACTTTGCGGGAATCAGGATTATATATTTTCATGTTTTTAGCGTATATTAAATTATCACGAAACAAGCTCATATGTAGATATTGTAATTTAGTACCTCGGCTACTGTATACCATACTAATTAAGCATAGAAACCCAGGGTTAAGCCTGAAGGTCAAAAAGTACCTACGGGGCCGGTTTTGGTTTCCGTTCAGGGGTTCAAGCAGCAATTCAGATTTGAACCACGTTTAATTCTCGAGTCGGCCCTTTGTGTGTTCTGCTAGAAGATCCACAACAGCCCGATGGCCCTGCGCCAGAGCTCTCGCCAATGGCGTACGGCTGTCATTATCAGGCAAGTCTATCGTCGCATTGCTGGCAAGAAGGCGCCGCACGACGTCTGGATACCCTCCGTCCGCAGCGTACCACAGGGCTGACCGACCGTGCTCAAGGTCAATCAAGTCCACATCCTGCCCTTGGTCAAGAAGGAGCTGGACAACGTCCGCATGCCCATGCTTAGCTGCCCTTAGGAGAAGTGGTGTCCCATATTCGTCTTGGTGTAGTAACGTCTCGTCGTGTTTGAGAAAAAGGCCTACCATTGTTGTTTGGCCCCGTTCCACGGCCCACGCGAGAGGGGTCCGATTATTTCGATCCAGCCGCCGTGGATCGGCTCCCCTGGCGAGTAGCACTCGTGTAGATGCTATGCTGTTCCAATAGACTGCCCAGAACAACGGCGTACGGCCTGATTCGTCCTCGGCCTCGATGTCCACATCTCTTCCCAGCAGAAGTTGGACTGTAGAGGCATGGCCCTTGAGTGCCGCCATCGCGAGTGGAGTCTTGTGGCTGCGGTCCTTGTGGTCAGCGGTGGCTCCATGGTGAAGGAGTATCTCTATAGTGGTATCATGGCCATGCATTGCCGCCCATGACAGCGGCGACCGACCATTTTGGTCGGCTAAATTTACGTTCGCATGGTAATTGATCAGGAGCCTGAGAACTGCATTGTGCCCTCTTTTTACAGCATGTAGTAGTGCCGTTTGGCTATCCCCATCTGCTGTATCCACCTCGGCGTGGTTCTGAAGGAGTAGCCTGACTACCCTGTCGTGTCCATGCTTTGCAGCCTGGATTAGCGGCGTTTGACCATGTCTTTCTGTCGAATTGACGCTTGCGCCAAATTTCAGGAGCTCTTCGATTATTGAGTGGTATCCCTTTGTTGCAGCTCGTAGAAGGGGCGTCTGGCCGAGACTATCCGCCGCGTCTGGATGAGCGTGGCTTGTAAGAAGCAGCCTAACCACTGAAATATGTCCTTCTCTCGCAGCTAAACACAATGGGGTCTGGCCATGTTGGCTTCTGAAATTAGGGCTTATTCCTTTCCGGACCAAGGCTTGCACCACCGGACTGTCTCCATTCTTCGCCGCCCACGCAAGAAAGGCTTCGCCATGATCAGCGTGAATCAAGATGCTGTCCTCGTGAGATTCCAGGAGCAGCTTTGCCACGTTCATATGCCCACCCATAATGGCCTTGGCCAACGGCGTGTAGCCGACCTCATCGCTCAAATTGAGAACGGTATCATTTTGGACGAGTTTAACTATAGTCTCATTCCCTTGTCCAGCAGCATGCCACAGAGAGGTTCGGCCATGCACGTCCTGGGCGTCATTCTTGGCACAATGGCTAAGAAGCAGTCTAACAATTCCCTCCTGCTGTTCGACTACCGCTTGAATCAAGGGCGTTTGGCCATTCCTATCTCTTGCTTCGCAATTGGCGCCCTTCTGCAATAGTAGTCTGGCCATCTCAAGACGATGTTTCCGAATTGCATGGGATAATGCCGCATGGCCATTCGTATCTTGCACATCAATATCAGCCCCATACTTTAGGAGAAGGATTACCACATGTTTATCTCCATCGGCCACTGCTGACATTAGCAACGATCGCCCATTGGTACCCATAAAGTCCGGATTGGCACCGTTGCCTAGCAGCAACTTTGCTATGGCTAGATCACGACTGTGTATGGCATGGGATAATGGTGTCCAGTGGTTACCATCCTCGACGTCGATGTCTGCGCCGTGATCAAGAAGCACCTCCACTGTGCCTGCATTGCCCGAGCGAACTGCGGACACCAAAGGCGTTCGGCCATATGGGAGTTCTTGACTGACTCTGGCGCCGTTTTCCAGAAGCAGACAAACCATATCCTGGTGTCCATTAAGCGCAGCAAGCGATAAAGGCGAGGCCTCAACGATTCCATCCGGGTTAACGGTTGCACCTGCAGCAAGTAGTAATTTTACTGCTGCTTGGTCACCGTGTGCAGCCGCTTTCAACATAGCCGAGCGTCTGTGACCGGTATGCGCCTCCGAGTCATTTGCTAGTCCCTGTTCAATAAGCACACTCAGAAGGCTGCGATGGCCCCTCTCTATAACCCAGTTGATTACGGGTAGCCACCCACCTGGATGGGTGGTCGCCCCTGGGTCTTTCCTAAGCAGCATGAGAGCCGCCTCGGGGCAATTCTTGAACACTGCCCACTTAAGACAAGTGTTTCCCAAATGATCCACAGGATGAAGGCTGGCTCCATTGTCGACCAGTATCTGAATTATGGAGCAGTAATCCATCGACGCGGCTAAGATTAATGGTGTTCTCCCAAGTTCATCTGTGCTGTTGACGTTCGCACCGCGATTGACTAGTAACTGTAATGTTTTCTGAAACCCACCTCGCGCGGAATATATCAGCGGTGTTATTCCCTCGGAATCTGGTAGATGCAGGTCTGCGTTCCTCTCTAGCAGCAGCTCAACAGCCCCGACCCTGCCGCTCTCTGCGGCATACGACAACGGCGTTCGCCCCCTGACATCCTGAGCATTGATATTGATTCTGTCCCGGAAGATCTGGACAGCGCCTGTAACCCCAAGATATGCTGCCAAATGAAGGCCCGTGGCTTCCATCGGCTCGTCGCCATGATAATCTATCGAGGCCATGTTAAAGTCCAGCAAGTGACGACCTCTCAAGTACGGCGCATATAGCATGTGGGGCAGGGTCATAAAGGTGGCGAATAATATCTGGCTCGCCGCGTCCGTTTGGGCAGGCTTCTTCAGAAACTCGATCACGCTGTTGGGGCAAGCGGAGGATAAGGAGGCATGGTATCCCCAGTTGTATGCAGCGTACAGATATAGCGGGCTGTCCTCCAGTCGTCGTTCGACCGCCGACGAATACGCGCAGCGGCCACTGGCAAATATATCGAACGATAGATATGTGGCACAAACATCTGTAATCGCGTCGTGGGCGTCAGGAAACCATCTTTTCTGCGTCCGCTCAAAGTATTCCTGCGTCGTGTAGTGAGCTAGGCGGATGACCTGGCTTTCGTGGTCAACCGTAACCAGTCCGCGACATACCGAGACCAAATCATTCAACTGCGGCAGATTGTCCTCGTGTAGCTTGCTCTCACCCACTTCGGTGGCAAGTGCATGTCGGAGCTCCTTGGTTGTGAGCGTCCGTCGTGCGCACGTCAGCCAGGCGAGGACCTCTTTCGCGAGCAAGGGGCTTTTGCCTATTTGCGCTTCGACACGCTCCATGGCCAAATCATATGTCTGGCTAATTGCCCCGGATCCTGTTGGTAGGCTGTCCAAGGCAGCGCGGATTGATCTGTCTGATTTCTCTCCAACCAGTGAGTCGACGTGGAATTGCGCCAGGAGAAACCTATAATAGTGGTCAGAATACCGTCTCAAGCTAGCTTTGGAACGGGGATATTCGCATACATGCCGTTGGCCGCCTTGGTAACCGCAGCTTTGATCTCATCTTGGAGCTCCGGGCAACTAGCGACAAATTCGGGGAGTCGAAACATTTGGCCATCTACGTACTTGCATAGGTCTGATTCATCGGCACGGACTTGGAGGACCGGACATCCGTCAAATGCGTCTGTGTTTCGCGGGATAAATCGAGAGGTAGCAAGAACACTGGCCTTGGCTCTCTTTTGCAATGACACCATCTCTGACAGGAAGGTTGAAAGGGAGCCATCGGGTTTCTGACATTCATCGAGTGCATCGATGATGATAAAGACCCTGGAATAGCTGGCCGCCACTGACTGCAAGGCTGTGGAAATCTCATGGAGCGATGGCCGAGTCCCCTGCCTTTTATGTCGCAGATGGAGCGCCTTTACGTTGTCTGGTAGCGAACAACGCTTCCGAATTATCTGCTTAAGAAGGCTAGCAAGCATGTGGTGGGCACTCTGGTCGTTGCTTCGCTGATAACTGCAATAGACGTAGGCAACGGCAATGCTAGGATCATGGTCACATCTTGTAAGGAGATGATCCACAACGATGGAGGCAAGTATTGTCTTGCCCGCCCCCGGCATGCCCGTACAGAGCAAAGTCTGCCTGTCCTCGTCAAGAAACCGCCGGAGCTCGGCGGACTCGAGAGGCCACTGCCCGGTGCCTGGGTGTCGCTTCTCGAGGTTGTCAGTCTGTTGTGACCCGTAGTCCGTTGCACACAGCCAGTCCAGGGCTTCTGTCATCTTCCTCTGTTCCTGCTCTGGGACCCATCAGCTCAGATGCATAAAAGAACTCCGTCATGACCTACCATCAAGCAGAGTTTCCACGTGGCCGTGTGTCTGCGAAAATCCTTGCTGCACCTGGTCTTGCAGACCATCCACTATTGATTGTCAGCAGCTAGGGCTTATACTTCTGCCTTTTAGACAGCTCAGATCGATGGCAGCTTTACTTACATCGCCTTGTTACCTCTCGTACCGGCATATCCATTGTATCCACTTGCTCGGGCGTGATAACCCTGAGCAGATCCTTTGCATACGCAGCCGCTACCACAGCAGCGTAGGGCTGCCAGCCATCGTGTTTGTGGTCATCGGAGTAGTCGCTTATACCTCGGACGACAACACAGGGAAAGTTATCCATCAGACCTGCTGCCTCCGTCTCGAAGCAGATAACGTTCCAGTCGGCTCGCAATGTATCGCGGGATTGCGCGGACTTCATGACAGTATTGCTCGAGCCGATTAGTCCGTAATGGACCACAGGATCCCTTGACTGGCGGTCTAGTCGAGTACACAACTGCCCGATATCGCATGTCGAACAATCATCTCCACCAGCATGCGGATAAGCCGAGTTGAAGAGCAAATCTCGATCTCTCCCCGGAAACCGATAGTCACTCAGGGTAGGGCGCTGGGTAGCTTGCGTCGCTGCCTCACTGATGTATTCGCCCATTTCGCCATCTTCAAAGTCGTGGTCGGATTGTAATCGTCCAACTGCCTGAGAGAGAATGGGTGGTGGCTTGTTCAAGTGGGATTCAATCACCAATGCGCCATCATGCTTTCTTCTCCCCCTGTCGTATTGCACGACACCACCTTGAACACGGCCAGGTTAGCACCGTCAGGCAAAGGTGTTGGCATAGCTTACCGTGACCTTTCTCCGCCTCACTGACAACAACGTCCCCAAGCCGAATGTCCTTCCGTGGATCACTGGTGTTTGGCGCTGAGGGAGCCCCCCCCGCCGATGCCAACCATGAGCCCGAACCGAATGTTGGGAAAACTGCGAAGAAGATTCGCTGCCGCATGCGCTGCAGCATTCGTCTCCTTCCCCACGCGTGCGATCACAATATTGTGGCCCTTCATGCGACCAAGTAGGTAACTGTTATCGTCCCCCCTAGCCCCCGCAAGCGTCTTGTGTATTTCGTCTAGTAACATCCTCGCTGCGTTGAACTCGCATTTCAGAGCACACAGCCACCCCACTGCATACTGCTCATGGGTTAATCCGTCCATCGTCTGTTCGTGGGCGCATTACCTGTCCTTTCTAGAGCCGCTCTGATGCGCAAGCTCAATAGAAAGGGTGGGGGGTCAACTCCCGTGATCGGAGGGGTGTAAAATCCAAAAGTCCGCAGCAGAGACATAAAAAGGCGAAGATTGAATTTGGCGCGGGGTGATTGCTTGTCCTTGTATCGAGACTAAGCGCCCAGGATTGCACGAAGCATTGGGTGGGCCACCAATTAGGACACTGGGGACGGCGGTTGGCACAGGGAACTTGCCAATGAAAGCCCTGCCGCGAACACCCCTCGGGCCATGGGTGCGGCTGTGTGGTGTCCGCTTGGACGAAATGATTCGCAAATCAATAATCCTGGCGTGCAGGTTAGCCATTTTTCTGCGCGCCTACCGATCAAAAAACTACGGCTGCCAAGGCGGTTGCCTGTCTTATTCTAGTAGGTGACTAGTACTGCCCTAAAGTCGCGCGACCTGAGTAGGTAAGATAAGCTTATAGAGTAAGTAGATAAGTAGTAGGGGTAAGAGTTACACAAGACTTATCTTAGTCGTTTGTAAGTAGGTGATTAAGATAATTAGTTAAGATACTATCTATTCTTTATGCTATAAAGAGAGCTCGGGGTTTTTAATTCCTGGCTTCTAGCAGCCCGTTGATGTTTACGAGAGCCATTCTCGCATATTCCATATTCAGCACCATAACTGTTAACTTTATAGAGTACTATTACAGTATTATGTCTTCACTCCAGGATTATAAACGATCCCTGTCTGATTTTGACGTTAAATATACGGAAGTCTCGGGATCCCTGAGCATTTGTATCCACCATAGAGAGTCTTGAAATTAATTTGGGTACAGGTTGTCTTGAAACCAGTGTCACCACTCACACTCTTCGATTGTTTTGTAGACCCTAATGCCAAGTCTTGCTAGTCTATATTGGGCGTGGCTGCGGAATACCATATTGATACATGGCGTTACTTTGATTAAAATACGCTCCTTCGTCTCGTACCTGCGTTTGATGATCCAAGGTCACTCCTTGATAATGCCCCAGCTTTGCATCTCTGGTGCCGGAGGAACTTCGGTTAAGCGTTTGACATGACAACCTTCGGGCCGCCAATCATCCCCAACTTTATTTTGGAATCAGTTGTCGGGTCGCCGGGACTGCTCGTGCCGAAGGGTTGACTTGCTTCCGAGATCCGGACCCCGGAAAGCCCAACGAACGCCATCCAGCTACGGAACATCAACGGAGCGGACCATGGGAATAACTTGACATGGGCCTATTTATTGGGACTAAATGCCCTGAGTCTCATCTCAAGTCAGTTAATTCTCCATGACCCAGACACTTTTCAAAAAATCCGAGCTTACGCTACACCAACGATGAGTCCGTCCTACGATCAAAGTACTCGGGCAAGCGAGCTTGTGCAGCAGTACGGGCCCCAAATTTCCGGGAAGATTATCCTCATCACCGGTGCCTCCCCCGGAAGCCTCGGCGAAAGCTTCGTGAAGCAAGTAGCTGTGGCAAAGCCAGCTATCTTCATCCTGGCAGGCCGCTCAATCCCTAAAATGCAGGGCCTCGTCGATGAGCTTAACAGCTCACACCCGGAAATAAAAGTCAAGCCTCTCGCCCTGAATCTGCTGTCGCTCGCCGATGTACGCAGAGCCGCTGAAACTGTCAATTCATGGGCTGATGTGCCTCATATCGACGTCCTGATCAACAATGCCGGTATAATGGCTGTCCCGTACCAGCTCACTGTGGATGGCTTTGAAAGCCAGTTCCAGACGAACCATCTCGGTCATTTCCTCTTCGCAAATCTTATCATGGCAAAGGTTCTCGCGTCGGATGCCCCTCGAGTTGTTGTCGTCTCTAGTGGCGTACATCGCGTTGGTCATATACGCTGGTCGGACTATAATTTCAACGGAGGCAAGCATTACCAGAGGTGGTTAGCGTACGGTCAGTCAAAGACGGCAAACGCCCTTATGGGTCTCAGTCTCGCCGAGAAGCTCGGCTCTCGAGGTCTCATCGCCCTTCCGTTGTGCCCTGGCGTGAGTTATACAAACCTCTCGGCACATGGGATTGATGACCAGGCTTCGTTTGCTGCGGACCTTACGCAGATGGACAACCTTTATGGAAATAAGTGGTTGTGGGGAATGGCCGAGATGCACATAAAGGACTTGGACCAGGGTGCAGCGACGCATGTTTTTGCTGCGTTCGACAGTAGCGTTGGAGAACACAATGGCGCTTTCTTGAATGATTGCCATGTTGCGGACCCAGAACGGGAGGAAGTATACCCGTGGGCAACTAGTAAGACGGATGCGGAGAGACTATGGAAATTGAGTGAGGAGCTTGTTGGTCAGGAGTTTAAGTATTAGAAAGACTAGCGATCTTTTCGGCGGTGGCTTATACCGCCTAAATATATCTTCATCATTCCTTCGATTGTAGGCTGCGTCACTGCATTCCTAGCACAGGACGCAGTCATCCTATTTTTACTATTCTGTGATTTAGTGGATTATAATTTATGTAAACTAGAATATTTACTAGTTATAAGTTTTCTTGGATACAATCCTGTCATACTTAATATTACTGTCTTTTCTAACCCGCCTTTTGATGCGAGTGCGTGGCTGATGCTAGATTTTTTTGCCTGGACGTCGAACTCGTCCTATAAAAAGATTACTATCTTTTTGAGATATAGTCTGGGCTTTTTGAGCAGATGATTATAAAGGGCTTCTAGCATAACTGGGGCGAGGTTCCGTGGCCATCCAACTTTGTTGGGTAGTGGCTTGACGCTACCAAAGAGGCGTATATTAGCAGAGATTCTAAGAATAATACACTTGCTGCAGCCGGCAGCCTGTGCCATCTGCAATATAGACAGTTCACTGTTATGGATCATATCATAGATAAGCTCATTCTTTGATGGGGCAAGGTTTGGCGCTATGCCGGTAGGGCCAAGTGTGGTTGTTAAGATCGTCCGAACTAAGGCCGATGGATTTCGAGGTGGGGTATGGAGCTGTGTGTACAAAAATTACAAGCGGATACACCCCGCTATAGCTAGAGGTATTTTATGTTAGAAACAATATCAGCCCGCTAGCAGGGACACCCCGGAATAATCCCAAATATGTAGTTAGGGTTTGGAAAACAATCTATATGTGACGGGGGTGACACCAGTTTCGGGACAGCCTGTATATGCTTCTAAACTCTTCGTTACTCTCTCTTAGCTTATATTAATGGATTTAGAGAAATTCGCTGCTGAAAGCGTAACTGTCTCTATATCAGACTTAACTGAGGATTAACGGGCTGTAAGAGATAATATACAGGCTATCTAAAGATAGATAAAGATAATATAAGCTTTTAAAAGTTACTGTAGTAAAAATCAGATATTATCTCTAAATAAGGATACTAGGGATCTGAAGATATTTAAAAACTAGAATAAGATAGTTTTTAATTCTAGTAAATATTATATTCTTCCGGGAGATAGGGACCGGGATCTGCGAGCTTAACTGATCAGGGTGCTCTATCTTGGTAGTAGCCTTTTCCCCCATGCTGACAATATGCTGTAATAGTGTAATCGCCCTCTCCGGCTTGCCATCTTTCAAATACGCTCTTGCAAGCGCGCGCTGGGAATCAAGGAGATCCGAATCCTGTTCATCCCAATACTTCTGGTGGACCGCAACAACGCGGTTCAATAATCCTACCGCCGCCCTGGTCTGCTCGGCTGCCAGATAAACGCGCGAGAGCAGCTCTTGCGCTGCAAGGCGGTGCGGATACTGTTCGTCAAAGTACTCTTCACGCAGCCGGACCACATGCGCCACCATCTCTAGAGCCTTGTCCTTCTCCCCGTTGTCCAGATACGCGGCCCCAAGAACATGCTGCGAGATCAGGCGGTCCGCAATGGCTCTTCTTCATCCCATCCACCATAGCTACATTACCCGCCTGCACGTCTTTATCCTCAAGTGCCCCCAAAAGCTCCGCAAAACGCAACGCAACCAGCCTCTCAATCCTCGACTTATATTGCGGCCTCACCTGCCCCACCTTCCCATCACGGCTCGCCTGCCTCACATTAAAAACATCATTAAGAATATCCAATTTCCCATGGCACTCAAACACATGGTGCGTCTCGTACGTATACGTGTAAATGAAATTGTTGTACCCGCTCCACAGGATCGTAGATACACACAGCGAGCAGGGCTCGTGCGTCGTGAGGAAGATGCAATCCTTCACGTTGGGCTGCTGTGCAGCGGGGATCTCGAAGAATTATTTCAGCGTTTGCTATTGATCTAAATATCATATAATCGCCATAGTTCCTTAAAATAATTCCTTGTTATAGATTGGGTAATTAACCTCCGCAGGTAAGTAATTTGTTCTGAAATCCGCAGGGGAAGACGGCAGGATGATGCCGTATCAGCTACAAACTAACTACGCAGTCTACTAAGGAACGGGTGTATTTATAACCATAGAACTTCAAATACCTGATCTCTTGCTCGATCCTGATCTTCTTCCTCCTTATATCTTCCTGTTCCGATTCTATCACCTTCCAGAATCTAGGGGAACCGTCGTTGATCCACGTCTATTGGGTTATTTGAGGTATTCATGTCGGGGTGACATTGTATTTAACCCGACCGAAAAACCCACCCTGACCCGCGGTTTAACAAATCTATCCCTGTTACCTTGACTATTTATACTCGACTAGGTCCTTTCTTTCCTTCTCTTCTATTTCTCTCCTCATAAACTCTTCTTATATTTACGGCATGGCTTAGTTGGACAATAGCACTTCGTCCCCTAACAAAACTATAGTGGGATAGTTTTCTATTTTCGGCATCGCACGCACGAACCCTAATTGCATGGAAAGTTGCGGCAATACGGAGTAGTTTCGGCGCGCGTTGGGCACTAGTAGGGACTAGAGTATTCTGATGGTGTAGTATAAGGAAGGTTTATCACTTAGCCCCAAACTTGATTTCGCTGATCGGACCATTATTCACACCGAGTTGGATGCCAGAGTTGTGGCCTCCAAAGCTGATATTCATATCACGATCTCCTTGATTGAGAAAATTGACAATCCTCTCCTCCAGCTCCACGTGCTGCGGGACAAGTCGATATAAAAGATCCCTAGCATACGCTGCTGCGATCATTGCCGCATAACCCTGCCAGCTGTTGTTCTTGTGCGAATCAGCGTAGTCGCAGATACCGCGGATCACAAGGCATGGAAAGTGGTTCATCAGCCCAGCCGCTTCCATTTCGAAACACAGAACGTCGTTTTGCGCCGCTAATTTGTCTCGAACCGAGGCATCTTTCATAAGTTGGTTGGCTGATGCTATCAAACCATAATGAATCACGAGATTATCATCGTCCTCAGCGCGTGAAACACGTGAAACTAGGCAAGATATACCATCTCCGCAACTTATAGTGCAAGGTCCTTCACCATCTGCGGGGTGGATAATGTGACTTTGGTAGAGCCGATCACTGGCAGGATCCGGACGACCATATCTTTTTTGCAGCCGTGGTTTCGTCTCGAAGACCTTGCGAACCGCAACTTCAAGCTGATGGCCTTCGCTCTCATATTGAGCCCTGAGTCCGTTTACTGCTGCACGTAGGACAGTTGGTGGCTGGTCAAGAAAACCCGTAAGCTGAAAACATTGCCCCTGTACCGTCTTGCCAAAGTCGTACTGAATAACACCACCTAAGCCATTGTGAGGAATGCTGACAACAATATCTCCCAGACGGATATCATGTTTTGGGCTGGGTGCACCACCGCCGATGCCGACCATCAGGCCAACGCGGATATTGGGGAAGCTAGATATCATGTCTTCTGCCACACGTGATGCCGATGAAGTGCCATACTCTCCTATAGGTAGAACAGAGATAACCACATTGTGTTTTCCAATCCTGCCCAGGGTGTAGTCATTTTTGTTATGAGGAGGCAACGACAAGGCGCCGTGATGCTTTTCATCGAGAAATGCTTGGGCAGCGACATATTCGGCGATGATGGCACAAATCCAACCCACAGTGTAGTCCTCCGGATCGGACATTGCAGAACATGAAACTAGTTAGATTGCCAACGTGTGCGGAAGTTCTTGGGACGTGGTTGACAACTGCCAGGGTAAGCGGTGGTAGTATTTCCGGCTGGAATATCGTCACTCAGCCGCAGCCCGCATAAATAGACTGGTTTTGTCTCATCTGCAGGCGTTCAGCCTGATGTGCTGTCAAGTCATCTGATGATGGGGTTGAAATACCCCTCACTCAGCTATATGTGGCGGGCTCCTGACCCCTTCCTGAAAACACAAGCACCACTTGAATCGCTTTAATCATGGCATGGAACTCGTTTGACGGTGGAAACTCTGGGCTCCAGATTGGGATCAATAATGCCCCTATCAACAACCCGCAGTTCTATTTGCCCCCAGGTAAGTGTCCCAGAACCAGGTGGGTTCAACGGCTAAAAGCTGGCATCGAAATGTCGATGCCACCTACGGTCTCCAAGTTGTCTACACTAAGTGTCCAGAAACTTGAGTTTGATGCAGCCAAGCTGACTAATAGCCGCCTTACCTAACTAGAGCGATCAGAAACTCCACCAAACCCGTTATCGACCGTCCCATTTCGTCGCGACCCGGATTTTGTTGATCGTGGAACACTGCTCGATCAGATCGACGAAAAAGGTTCCGAACCAGGATCCAGGATAGCCCTTGTTGGTTTAGGTGGTGTTGGGTGAGTTCAAGATGGTCAATAAACTTTTAATGCTGATGGCCTGGAAGAAAATCGCAACTTGCAATCGAATACTCTTACCGGGTTCGAGATAAATCGCCCAAGGCATGGGTTTTCTGGATTCACGCAAGTAACGCAACCCGTTTTGAACAGAGTTGTCGAGATATAGCCGACCGAGTCAAGATACACGGCCGGCATAATTTAAAAACGAATATATTCAAGCTCTTTCAAAACTGGCTACAGGATGAAAATAATGGTAAATGGGTTCTTATCATCGACAATCTCGATAATGATCAGCTCCTTCATGAATCTCCTCTAATAGAGCAAAACGACCTGCGGAGTGATGAAAAGGGCATGACAGGACAATCGCTCTGGGAGTATTTCCCCTATAGCTTGAGAGGGGTAATCGTTATTACGAGTCGGAGCAGACACGTGGTGTCAAGTATAATGGAAGATAGGGACATTATATCGGTTAACCCAATGGACGAAACCCATGCGATAACGCTCTTTGAGAAGAAACTTGGAGTGGAGACGAACAGGGAAGATATCATGGAACTGACGGCGGCACTAGAATTCATGCCACTCGCGATTGTGCAAGCAGCGGCGTACATCAAGCGAAGAGCACCCCGGCTTTCAGTCCCACAATATCTGAATAAGTTTCGGGAAAGTGACAGGCAGAAGATCAGACTCCTTGATCATGAGGGTGGACAGCTTCGCAGAGACCGAGAAGCCAAAAGCTCTATCCTTGTCACCTGGCAAATATCATTTGATTATATACAGGGGATGTGGCAATCAGCAGCGGATTTACTGTCTCTTATGAGCTTCTTTGACAGACAGGGAATCCCTGATATTTTGCTTCGGGAGGACAAAGAGACGAACTCCCGAAGCAAAGTGACGAACCAACAGAGTGAAAGTCTATTTGCACAGGTTATCGATGAGACAACCTACGGCACTGATACGAAGAGCGAAAGTGAATCCAGCATGATCAACATGTTTGAGGATGACATATTGGTGCTAAGAGACTACTCGTTGATATCTATTGGTGCGGATGGTAAAAGCTTTGAGATGCATCGCTTGGTCCAACTAGCCATGCAGGAGTGGCTCAAGGCGCATGAACAAGTTGAGGTGTGGAAGGAACGGTTTATTGGAAACCTTAACAGCAAATTTCCAGCCGATAATCGTGAGAACTGGCCACGGTGTCAATTGTTGTTTCCACACGTCAAATCAGCCATGTCACATCGCCCAGATAAAGATTCGGAGCACTCGATGCTGGAATGGGCACTGCTACTTCATAAGGGCTCACAGTATACTCGACACGGCGGAAACTGGGTCGATATGGAATCTATGGCAGCAAGATTGATAGAAGCATGCAGCCATTTATTTGGCCCGGAGGATCTAAAAACCTTAAATAGCATTGCAATGCTAGGGCTAGCATACAGCTTACAGGGACGATGGCTGGATGCCAAGAAGCTACATACACAGCTAGTTGATACTAGCTGCAGGGTGTTTGGCGCCGAACACCCCCGCACATTAAATAGCATGGCAAATCTAGCATCAACATACCGCTATGAAGGCCAATGGAAAGATGCGGAAATACTAGACTTGCAAGTGCTAGAGGCCCATGACAGGATGCTTGGTACAGAACATCCTTGGACGCTAATCGCCATGGCCAACCTTGCAACGACATACTGGAACCAAGGCCGATGGCACGACGCTGAAGCTCTCAACCGACATGTTCTGGAGACTCGCAAGAGGACTTTTGGCGCAGAACATCCTGATACATTAATTGGGATGGCACAGCTTGCAACAACTTACCAGAAACAAGAAGAGCGATGGCAGGACGCTGAAGCGCTTGAGGTGCAAGTACTTGATGCTCGCAAGCGGACCCTTGGTGTAAAGCACCCTGACACACTGAACAGTATGAACAACTTGGCATCAACATACTGGAATCAAGGTCGCTGGCAGGATGCTGAAGCACTTCTAGAACGAGTGCTAGAAGCTTATCAGGAATGGCCCAAAGATCATCCCCACGCGTTAGTCAGTATGGGAAATCTAGCATCCATTTACCTGAAACAAAGCCGCTTGGAGGATGCTGAGACCCTGAATGAGCAAGTTCTGAATACCCGCAAACAGGTGCTCGGAAAAGAGCACCCCGAAACATTGGCTACTATGGGAAACCTGGCATCAACATACTGGAGTCAAGGTCGGTGGCAGGATGCTGAACAGCTAGAAGTGCAAGTCCTTGAGATCAGCAGAAGGGTCCTTGGTAAAGAGCATCCTGGTACATTAACTAGTATGGCTAATCTTGCATTAACCTACCAAAAGCTAGGCCGAGCGCAAGATGCTAAAGCACTAGAGGCGCAGGTGCTCAAGGCTCCTAGAGATATGCTTCGAGAAGAGCACCAAGATCGAAGTACCCTTAATTTGATATCGGATTTTGCGAACCTTGAGACGCAGGTTGAAAGAACTTGTTGTCCCAAGGCCCCTTTCTCTTTTACCACCTTAGACAAGCCATCTGAGCTAAGAGACGACGGTGTCGAGGGCCTGTATTCCTTATCAAACGAGGAGACAGAAACGCGACGGAATTGTGACAAGTGTGATGAGGGATGCCTGATCGAAAAAGAACTAATGGGCAGTTCCAAACCTTCCTTGGTTACCGGCCGCTGGGGCCCTAGTCGATCCAGAACATTCGGCGTTAGCACCAGCCAGAAAATTGGCAGGATCGCTGAATGGCTAAGCAAAAAGACAGGTTATATTGGTTTTAAAGCATCAGGCTTTTTCTCAACCTCGAGGTTCGAGCGAAAAAGACCCGGAGAAAAAAGACCCGGAGAATTGGATTTCCCCGAGATTCCGGCAGAAATGATGCGAAACCAAACTCTTGTCGAGATCTCAAGACGCCCCTCACATAGGCTCTCGAGACCGAGAAACTCTACCGAGAGCATTGCGTCCGTAAGTGGAGTTCAAGGAGCTTGAAAGCCACCGGATCTGGTTTGTGTCAGTCCTGAATTCGCTTAATACCGCGTGAACTATTATTGTAATACATATCCCAAAGATACAGCAAGATGATTGCGTGAAGTGCTGATTACTATCTTCGGAAAAGATCAACAGAACATGTATATCTCACGGAGCTCTTGGTAAAGCATTTAAGGAGGCTTGAGGTTCTCCGAAGAAGGAACTCAAGCTTCAGCTTCTGTATCTACAAAGTTGTTGATTCCAGCATTGAATAGGATTCTTCCTGTTATATTGATTGATTCCTCCTGTCCTAACACTCTGTCTATTACACAGAATAGCAGAGTAGTTGAGAGTTTTAGACAAAGGCAAGGCAGAGTCTAAGGAGGGTAGGGGAAACTTCAAGCCTGCAAAAGACCCTGTACAATACCTGTACAATATATATTATGGTAGCTAACACACTAACATTGAGACGCACTGTCATTGAAACATGGAGGCAGAGTAACAGGCCCGCGGTGTACATCTCACAGTACCTCTAAACAAGACTTGGTGAGTGTACCATAGTGGGATGTCCAGGTTACAGGCGGAGATCTGACTTGCTACGCAGTATCCAGCGCCTCGCTCGATGAACTATTACTCGATGGTTGAGTAAAAGGATCAAAGGATCAAAATATTGTTCCTTTGTATTGAACTCTTGCTCTCTTGCTTGATCGAGATCTTTTTTCGAACATTTAGAAAAGCTATAAATTCACTATACATACACATTGTAATTCCAGGGATAGCACCTTCATCAAATCAAATTCAATTCATTTCTCAGAACCTTGGTCATATGACCAGATTTCAGCAGCCAGACGTAACCTCTATAGCTTGCATGGGATGAATGGCACGTGAGGGGCGCTTGGAGTGACGGCGGGATGCTAAGTTACGCGTGAAACGCAGCCGTAAAAGCCTGCGAAGGTAGTCGTCTCGGCTTCGATTTCACACGTCCCCATATTATAGCTGTAAAAGTCATGCAGTATCCGCTCGATCGTGTATCCGTTGTTGTTGAGGAAAAGATAATCACATCGAGCTTGTTGCGAATGATATCGCTGATTGCCTGCGCAGTCATCTGGAGACTGCCGTCGCCTTCGAACAATATCGTGCGGCCTAGGGCGCGTGTTCCTGCGTTGGCCATGTCTCTCTCCACTAATTCTGCGCCCTGACAAGCTGGGAGCATATAGCCGATGGAGGGCCAGATGGAAGAGTTGATCAGGGTCGTCCCATTCGGGAGAGCAAGGCCCTGACCACCGTAAGACGCAGTGCCGGTCTCTGTCATCACGATGTCGCCTGGTTGAAGGAAGTTCGACATGCGCAGCCACAGCGAGTACTGGTCGATTGATGCAGACCTAGGAGCTGCCGTTAAGCTTTTAGAGCGCCGATACCTTTGATTCGAACGTATCCATCTGCAGCATAGCCGGCGCACAGTTCGTTGGCATTTCCAACCCAGTGGAGGCCAGTTGGTTTGAGGTAGTCAAGGACAGTGAGATTACAGTCGCCAGGAACCCCGTGGATTGAACTTAGACCGAGCTGGGCAAGCCTCTGCAGGAGGTACTCTCTTAAATCCACCTGGCTTGCGTTGGTGAGCGTTGGTGCCATGTCGGATATGTGGCGGACCCCAGGATAGAGGGGGTTGTATAGAATGAACTTGAAGTTGAATGAATTTTAGAATAGACATAGGAGAGCTTTCATTTATAAACCGAAGTAGCACGCCGACGAGATTTGCAGAGCACCGGGTATGTAAAGGCTCGGTCTAATGTGAATCTATCAAGCTGGTTGTTTCAGGGACACCGGAAACATGATAGCGGGCCAGAAAGGGATTGTCTGTTAAGCAGGCTCTCTCGGATACCTATAAATGCCTTTCTGGTACGATTTCATTCAATCGCTATAGTGTGGTCATTATCTCTGTTCAAGACTGGTCCTCTAGGTTCCTCTGATTGTACTAGAACGGCAATGACTGTATAGAAAGCTGGCCTGTACTGCTAAGATCCTATCTCAACTGGCTGACTATCCTCCAGCCACTTTATCCCTGTCTGCTTGAGCCAGATGATGTGGCCCTTTCGCCTGTGGAATGACCTGTCCGGCGACTTTCTACCAGATATGAGAACTGTCTGTCGGGACCCAGGCATCGGCTGTAGCATAAGAAAGTCACGGCCAACAACGTCAGTTGTCGTCCATGTATTCTGCCGCGTGGTGGCAGCATACTGATACCAGGGCCGGTCGCTGACTTCGGACTTCTGGATCTCGTTCTCGGTCTTCATCTCTGCGATGCGGAACCAGGCTGCAGCATCCGCGAAGTGGAAGTACTTGCCCTTCACGCATACTCTGCCCCCCTGCCACATCAATGCCTGTTGGGTCTGACTGGCCCCGACGACACGCAGCGGATGCTGTGGCCCTAGCCCTGCTAGGTCCGGCATCCAGGACCGATCAGCCTCAGACGATGGGGAACTGCCTGCAAGGAGGTCAGCAGTCACAATGCCTGCTTGGACACAGTCCTCGATGACAGCGCGTAGAGACCGTCCACGATCAACCTTTACTTTGTCACCACCTTCAACGGAGGAAAGAAGAGCGTACACCCTGTCTTCCTCATTTGTGGTGTTTCTTCCGCTGGAGGCTTCCCAGGCCTGAACGAGGGTCAGGCGCGGCGGCTCGTAGGATTCCAGATTGTTGTACAGCATCCATCTCTCTGTTGAGCCTACAACTGTCTGGCGCTGCCTCAGTAGCCCGTCCCAGATGACCAGATTGGGATTTGCAACTACCGCGCTACCTATTGCCTTGCTTGAGACACACATGATTCTCGGCCTGGTAACGGCTTCGTACTTGCGCAAACCAATTAGGGAATCCATGATCGTCCCATCAAGCAACTGTTCCTGCGTGCAGAACACGCATTGTCTGGCAACCCATGCTTCTTGGAAAGTCCAGACGCGTTTAAGCCACTCACACGATATAATCTCCTTGAGAACATCTCTCGCCGCCTGTAATGCTCCATCCACATGTAATAGCTGGTCTGACGACATCACATCAAAGCTCGCGATGCTTGTCACGTCAGGCAGGAGAACAAGAACCTGCGCCGCGCTTTTGTAGTAGTCTCGCATGCGCTTGATCTCGGCGTTCTTCTCCGCCTTGTTCGTCTGGTCGATACAATACTGGTCAATCCACATATACTCATACCCCAACCTCATCGCCCGTGGCGTCGCCCACTCCAGCAACCTTTCCTTGCTGAACTGGCTCCACGTATATGAGATCACCGCGTAGACCACCTTCCTCTCCAGCTCCGCCGTCGCAACCACAGCTCCATCGCAAACCCGCACTAGTCTGAGCGGGTTGGTCGTACTGCTCCCTGCCTGAGCCAGCTTAGCGAATCGCACGACCGAGTCGTGCACCGACGGCGCAATCTCCATGTTGATCGGGACACTCGAATCAGCCCTCTTCTTGGACTCCCTCAGGTTCCTGTGGTTCCGCCACAGGTCCTGGAACCCTCCCCAGTTAGCGGGCTTGGGATGTTTCCGTTTCGGCACCTCCTCTGTTATCTTGTCCTCCCACCAGAGCATATTATCCGACAGCAGGATACTGGTACTCCTCCTTTCTGGCGTCAATGCCACACATGTATCGGCAATACGGACCACCTTGCTGCCAGCAAGATCCGTCAGCAAGTCCGTCACAACAAGTGAGCTCTGTGGCGCATTATCTCCGACCCAAAGCTGTTCATTTGCCGTGTAGCTCAGCGTCCGGGAAACCACATCCCTATCATCATGACCCGCAAGATTCCCACAGGTGTATACATAGACAAGACCGCCCTCGGCGCAAAGAGGAGCGGCACAGGGCTTCGGCGTGATGCCCTCCGTTCTCATTTGCAATTGCGGTCGAGGAGATGGAAACGGAGGAGGCAAACTTGAGTACTCCATCAGTGCCACGAAGAGCTCCGCTAGCTGCTCCTGCTGTGCTGGCACAAGGACCCGATCGCCTGCTACTTCCATCTTGGTCCTCCATTTTATACCGTCTACACACAGCTCGATACCGAGACTGCGGTCTTGGTATTCGAAGCTTGCGGTGGTGATTGTTGCGAGCTGCGCGCCTTGGGTTGTGTGTCTGAGGACTTGCAGCGGGGGGGAGGAATGGAATTGCATGGGCTGGTCCTCTTGTTCTTGTTCTTGTCCTTTTTCGTTGTCGGCTGTGCTCGTGCTTGGGCTCGCGGTCAGGCGGAATTGCGTGCAGCTGTCGCTGTCCGGACCCAGACCCGGTTGGATATTCCAGCCGACTACATTGCGTCTATTGTCATATTTATTGTCTTTTCCTTGTCTCATCGTTGTCTGTTGACTTGGGTTGTCGACTCTCAGTTCCAGGGTTTGGCATTTTCGTGCGGACAGCTTGCTCGTGGCATATATTAGTGAGAAGGTGTTTATTTTGCTTGGCATGAGGGGTCTAGTGTACTAGTGCTTACTAGGAGATAACACTGCTGCAATGACTTACTTTTGGACTGGTAAAACGAGGACCTGTCAATTTCGGCTCTCGTTAGTTTCGCCGTTTTGGGGATGGCCGCTCGATATCCCGTTTCTGACTCAGGTTGGCCACAAGAATGTCTATATCGACACGAGCGCGTGGTCTCCCAAGTATTATGCGCCGGAGTTTATCAACTTTGCGAACACCACGGGCAAGGAGAAGGTAATATTTAGAACTAATTTCCCACAGTTGGGTCTCAAGGACTGCGTTAATAAGGTTTATAACTTATCCCATGCACTGATGACGACATCATTGAACTATTTCACTAACCCCGTCAAAGAGCAACCGTAGGAATCAGAAGGTGGCTGGCAAAATCCCCAAAATACACCTGGTGCCTCCCTTTATTACCCGTTGTAAACCGCCCCCGAAGCGGCACGAACTCGGCGAGCGTCATATGGTGCCCTGCAATCTTCATCATAAGAGCCTCACCAGCGTCAAACTGAATAGCCGCTGGCCACAAGCCGATCTCCAGCTTGACTACGGAGCCCAGTGGGACAGGCGAGATCCGAGAATGGTCATGCGCAGGCCAATGCGGCTTTGACAGCCTATCGTCCAGGGCACGGTGACTCGCCCTCAGTACACCCGTAGGGCCCAGGTACTTGAGCGTATTTATACTCTCCACCTCCTGCTCGGATGCCAGCCCCAGCTGCTGCAGGGGGATATTGATATTGCGGAGGATTTTCCCGCGGCGGTCAACCTTGCGTAGCTGGACGAATACATCGAGGTCATTGTGGTCTGGGCAGGACATGTAGAGGACTGCCTTCGAGGCACCGACTATGGTTTTTCTTTCGCAGAATGTGAAACTGAACGTGGCCTCTTCCGGGTCATTGTCGACCTGCGAGGCTGGTGTGTCGCTCTGGTAGGATACCGAGCCGGAGATCACGTCTGCTGGCTGTTGTGTAAGTCGGCTGCCGGCAGACAGATAATACTTGTCGTACGTGGTGGTGGGAGGCGGCCAGCTTGAGAATGGGATATTTATCAAGGGAGACTAGAGCCATTTAGCCTTGACTGTGGAGGGAGAGAAATAGCAATACCCACCTGATTGAATCTCAGAATTGAGACGCGAGCCTGGGGAGTTGCCTCCCAGTTGTTCTGAATTCCCTTGGTATAGTAATCGAGGAACCGCTTCATATCGGCTATTGTCTCGGGGTGATAGAGATCATGCCACTCCTGCGTTGCGGTAATTCGAAGCCTATATAGAGGCAAATGTTAGCTTTCCCAGCTGCGCATTGGAACCTATCACCAACTGACCATTTCTTCTCATGAGGGATATCTTCGTAGCATCGGATAGATCCTACGGTGTGCAATCCTGTCGACATACTCGCGAGAATATAAGCAGGCGCTTGTATAAGGTGTGCTTTAGCCCGCTTATCCTCCCAATATTCATTCATGAGCGGATACTTGCGGATCATAGCGATAACATCTTCCTGCCTGTTTTTCCCTGCTGGAATCAGCCAAGCTTCCCAAGAGACATCATTCTCCTATTTCCTACCATATAACCCGTTATCCCGCAGAAACTCCCAGAACGGAGTATATGGCACTCCGCCACGGCACAGGGATTCGCGGTAAACATCACTTAACCCTTCCAGCGGCAGTATGCAGGAGAGGTGAGGGGGACGTTCAGCAGCGATGAACCACTGCGCCGTGGCAAGCCATGAGTTGCCAATCAAAGCAACACACCCATTACTCCAGTCCAGTGCGCCGAGATACTCGACCGTGTCATACCCGTCACGCCCTTCGGCGGTTCCGTGCCATCTTCAACCCGGATCTGCATGTCAGCTTTTGTTTTTGGTTTTTCTTTCAGGGCGTTACAAGTATTGGGATGGAAAGCTGAGGTTACCTGTGGTCACCCTCTGAGTGGAAAATCCCTCTCGCATCCACCTGCGCGACGGCATATCCATGTGCATTCCACTCCGCTGGATCGGGCCCTTCGAAGGATTCAAATCCGCTGAGTCGATCTACTGGGACACCGACACGTCCCTGAATCATATCCAGACTGAACATCCCTATAAACAAAGTAACCCCAATCAGTGAACGAATGCATGGGCCCACAAAAGCAACCTCAACCCACCAGTCCCTGTCTTCCCGTACGGGCCCCAGACAAGTAGAATCGGTATTTCCCCCGTAGTCTGCTGCGGTCTAAAGATATCTGCCCGCAGTTTCGTGCCATCCCGCAGTGGGATCGAGATGTCTCGCTCCCAAATGGTATCAACTTGTAGAGGGCGACAGCCATCTCCTTTACGGTAGCCAGCCGGGAGAACCGTGGTGCTTGGATTCAGACCGTCATCGTGGGCCTTGCGGATGCTGATCGGGGTAATAGGCTTGTGAATAACATCCATATTTCTTGGTTCTGCTTGTTTGTTTCGTTCGAGTGGGTAGACGGCGAGGTTCAGTAACCAGGACGATAGAGTGCAGAGAACAAACCGCAATCACCCTTAACCACGTTCCTTTCTTGTGCAAGAACACAAAGCCCTCTTTCCCGGAATTTGTCCTATTGACGGGCTTAATTGTGGACATAACAAACCGCGTCGGGATTGCGGGGAGCCGACGCCATTTGACAACCCCGCAAGCCCCGAACATCGTGGCGATATAGAGGGTCACTTTCGGCCGAGACATATGACATACGCGGTAGTAAAATGGAATGACTTTCAATAGGTCAATCTGGTCGTTTGGGATCTACTATATATTGGGAGGGGCGCTTTGTACTTGAATGGCTACTGGCTGCAGATATCGGGGACAATACTATAGGATTGACTGGAGTATACACAGATATTTGAAGTAGGCGGCATAACAATCGCCCAGTTGACTTCACGATAACATATCAAGACTGGGACAAAGCATAGGGCTTCCCAGGGGCCAAATCCACAACCCGCGTCCTCGTCGTTGATTCCACGGCCCTGCTGGCTGCGGTCGTATCAACCCTGTATGGCTTTATAAGGCTATGGAACGTCTGTCAGCACGGTACTAACAAAAAATAGAGGATAACCCACCATTCGTCATGCAAGCACCAAATCACTCTCTCCGGCTCCCCGAACCAACTCATCAGTTCCGCCGCAAACTCCGCAGCAGACCCATCGAACGGCCTGCCATTGAGATTCGCTCTCCCGGCAATGCCCTGCACGACAAGGTCTGGCTGCGGCCGGATCATCTTAGCAATCCCCTCATACGCCCCGAGATGCGCATTAAACAGGATTCCTCCATCCCCGTCGTGTTCAATACCTCTCTTCAACACATGAAACATGAGCTGCCCCCCATCACAAGCAGACATGACATTCCTCCCCGGCCCACGATCCTCAATCCACTCGATAAAACAGCGCATCTTTTCATCTGCCAGCGCCGCTGCAGGGACTAGCTCTCTGAGTTTAAACAGCCCGTACTTCATTCCCCGGGTTATGTCTACCGTCCCGTCAAAAGGCGTCGTGTCTCCTTCATACACACTACCGGAGTCAAGAACATCAGGCAACGCATCGTGGCCGCCTGGGGGCATGAGGCAGTGTAGGCTCGGCCAGATGTGCGCTTCTGTAACTGCGAGTCTATGGTGTGGTTCTCGGGGTGCGGTGGGCGGGTCTCCTTGCCGGAGGGTGATGCTAGTGATACCGCCAGCAGCAGCAGCAGCAGCCATGCGAACCTCCTTTGTAAACAGCGGGATACGCTCGCCGCCGGAGACGGGGAGGAGCTGTGTGTCCGGGACGCCGGCCTCGCGGAGGCGGTTGATGGCTTCGCAGTTTGCAATGATCGTGGCGCCGGTGGCTTTCGCTATGATGTCGGCGCCTGGTAGGCTACATAACAATAACAGGTTCAGTAGGTTCCAAGAGAAAGGTAATGGTGGACTGGAGGTTTAGTATGTGACGATGGCATGACGTACTGATCAAAATGGGCATGCGAGATCAGGATGTAATCCGCCTCTGTTACCTCATTGATATCAACGAACTGTGGGAGCAATGAAGGCCGGCTAAGCCATGCATCGTGGAATATGGTAAGCCCTGCGACCTGAAGCCGAAATGTTGTCGCGCCTGGTGCCTAGAGGTCAGATGGCGCCGAATTATGCAGCGAGAGCAGCTTACCAAAATACTCGAGTGTCTCCTGTTTCTCCATCTTTGCTGTGAGTGCTCCTACTCTAGCTGGGGGCATATTGTCTGGCTTTAACTCAGGGCGATGTGGGGTGGATTGCGGAGTGCCGACGCCCAGTCTCCATCTGTTCTGTACTAGACAAAAATGTCGTCCACATTACCAGCTATTTGAAATAAGGACCGGTATCTATTCTTCCGACTGGATACAGTCTCCTGAGTAATCGCCCCACGACTGCCACCGGTTTGTTAGAACTAGTTGGCATCGATTATTGCCTTGTTTCGGTATCCCCGTCGGGCTTAGGGCAACATCGGCTCCCCGCAATCCAGGGGCGAACGTCATCCTGGTGAGCAAAAGTATTTATTTCTTTAAATTAAATTACAAAGCGAATCAATGGAGGGAGGCAAGCAGAGAGTCTAAGAAGTCAAGGAATGCAGCTTCTCTTGACTTCAATCCCATAAACTCGACCAACAATGGCCACCCAGCCATTCAAAGTGATAATCATAGGCGCCGGCCTTGCCGGGTCTCTCCTCGCAAACGGGCTCTTGAACAACAATATTCGTTTCACCATATACGAACGAGATTCAGTCCACTCCAAACGAGAAGGGTATCAGATCCGCCTCGGAGACTCAGCCGTAAGAGGCTTCAAGGCTTGCCTATCTGAAAGCCTTGCAGGGGCCATTATTGGGAAGTTCGGGCAGTCAGCAACATCCGGGCCCACTGCTCCGTGTCTGTACACCACCGAGTTCCAGCCGGTGCTCGATTTGACCAGGCTGCCTACCTATTCGAGATCCTTTGCCATCAATCGCGTGGTCCTGCGCGATCTTCTTGTCAGTCCCGTGGCGCAGGGCGGGAATGTCCAGTACGGAAAGTCATTCTCCGGTTACGAGGTTGTCTTGGACGAAGCAACTGGGAGAGAGCTTGTTAGGGTATCATTCAGTGACGGCTCTGTCGACGAATGTGATGTCCTCATCGGCGCTGACGGGAGCAGCTCGCGAGTCAACGCTGCGGTAGGGGTGAACAATCTAGTCAATCTTGATTCGCACTGGTCTTTTCTATCCAAGGGGAGCTTACCTCAAGATCGCCTGGACAGGCTTCCTACCCAGCTGCAAAAGGGGCCCATTCTGGTTTTTGCGAATGGAGTGTCGTTCTTCTACGCCTGTGAGTGGCATCTACTTGCAAGGCCGTAGGGCTGCGCTGACGTGTATGCAGTATACCTGCCTCATAAAGGTACGAGTAACTCTGGTGAAGGAATGGAATATAACGCTTCCGAAGCGTCTTTCTACTGGGGATTAAATGTCCCCAAATCTCACGCCACGCAATATACCGACTCTGCAGAGATCCCCGATCGTCTTCAATTTTGCCAGGATATCATGCGTGACTGGGCCCCTGAACTGTGAGTACAGCCCCGTCCCCACCTCGTCCTAGTTCGAGGCTGACCAACTACCACGTACTCACTGGCACAGAAAATCCCTAGTCTCAATAGGCCGAGAAGACGACCATTCGTCCGAGATCACTGTGGTTCCCTTACGCGCAAGCTTCCAGCCAGAACAGAACTGGAGAGAGCGTTTCCAGACTGCACCAGGCGAGCGCAGGCAGAGTAAAGGCCACCCCAGGGTATGGCTTCTCGGTGACGCAATCCACGCGATGCAACCAAACCGGTACGGACCACTCAAAAAAGTCATTATTCGCATTTCTGACTCGTGTAATGCAGTGGCATGGGCGGTAATCAAGCAATGCACGACTGCGCCGAGCTCTTGCCGTATCTCATCGAGCTCAATGATATCACTGCTGCAGAGGGCAGGGCTCCTACCTTGGAAGAAGTCTCCGTCCGATGTACCAAGTATGAAGATCAGATGATGCAGAGAGCGTTTAGCTGGGTCCGTAAAAGCGGAGGGACCTCGATGCCAGTAAGTTCTAGAGATGATACGCATATCGCAATGTTGACCATGTTTCTAGGCCCTTGACTTCGATGGGATCCTGGGAAAATATATTACATTTATTGGCAGACTGTTAATTCCTGTTATTTGGGTTGTTCTGTGGCCATTTCTGAGAAAGCCGAACGAGAAAGTCGCCTGGTGATTGTCTTATATCTAGTCGTTCGCCTTTCCAGACGATTTATATATTGTGGCTCCAAAGTTTTGGTTGGCCAATATACATGTGCCATAACCCAACTATCGTTCCAACATATTTTGTAAATTAGCTGCCAACCGGGTGTTTTCACTATTACAGACTCCAACCCTGGTTAATAATTGTCGACGTTGGATATCGTTGGGACGGGGCGCTTAGCGGCTCTGCACGAAGCCCATATGGAGGCATTGAAGAGACTTCGGGTATGATGGCATTTGGCATGAAATAGGATGGCAGGCACTTCAATACAAGATATCAGGGAAAAGATCTTCTAAGTATGATTTAGGAATATTCTATTAGTAGGAGGCTTCTATTCGTGGAGGCTAGATTAGGTCCTGAACCTTTATTATTAATAGGATTAGGTTAAAAATTTATATAGTTAACTGTAGTACTGACCGCACTAATACCTGATAATATATAATAATAGATAAAGTAATAATGTTAATATTTTAAGTAAGATAAGAGATATTAGGCATAAGGCTTATATTAACTATAAATTACTATTAACTATAAGCTGTATACTTTTAATAAAAGGTAAATTTTGAATTCCCTTACCTGATGGGTTGACAGAAATCCGATGTGCTTTATTTATTCTGAGGCACTCTAAGGGACGTTCTTTGGTGGGGGGAAAAAGGGGTTAACCTGGGAGGAAGCAATGGATAATGACTATATCTTAAAATACCTTACTTTTATAAAGCAAGATAGGGGGTTATTATTATTTACTATATCAGTACCGCAACTCGAGATATAACCATTAGACCCCAGTATCACCGCACCTGGCGCTCCTGGGCATAAATTGCAGCATACAGTGAATCCAATTCTTCCCAGCTATGGGTGGGACTTATCTTGGTGAAGTATGTACATATAAGAGAATAAATAGAGAGAATAGACACTACTTGATGTCCATTATTTGTATTTACCTGATTATCTAAGGGAATGTAAATATTTTCATAAGAATAAAATCTTGTAACCAAGCAAAGTAGATTGCTGCAAGCATCCAACTCATAGGTCTGTGGTATCGCTTGCCTCCCGCAGCCTTTTCTCGTGAGCACGTAACATCTCCACGATCTCGTCGTGTCCTTCTTCGGCGGCGATTTTGCTTGCAGTTCCCCCATAATTTGTTTCTGCAAATATGTTGGCACCGTGGTCTAGTAAAGCTTTGACAACTGGGGCTTTGCCCCCCCTTGCAGCATAGACTAAGGGTGTGTACCCCTTCTTATCTGGGTGATTGATATCGGCGCCATGCTGGAGCAGTACGCGTACCATTTCTTCGGGTTCATTAGGTCCGATCCAGTGCATTGGTGTAGACCCCAGGCTTGCGAGGCAATGGGGGTCCGCTCCGTAGGAGAAAAGCACCCGCGCCATGTTGGGTTTTCCGATGGAAGCCGCCCACGTCAATGGTGGAAGCCCGGACCCGTCCCTTATGTCAAGTTTGGCGCCACTTTTTAGCAAAAATTCAAGGATATCAACATTACCACCGGAGATAGCACCTTGTACGGCGCCTATTACGTCACTATTGTGTTCCACGAGATTGATATTCGCCCCAAGTCTCACTAAAAGTTGTACCATTTCCAAGTTTCGAAAAGAACATGCCATCGTTAAAGGTGTGATGTCATCTTTGTCCACGAAATTGATATCAGCACCGTGCTTGAGTAATAACCGTACCATATATTCGTGCCCTGGACGTATCGCGACTTCCATGGGGTTTGTTGCCTTCCTTGGATTTACTCGGGCGCCATTCTCCAGCAGTAGCTGTGCAGTCGAGTCATGTCCTTTTCCAACACTCCAGGTTAGCGCACTGTAGCCACTCCGATCACACTTGTTGATATAGTGTTTTGTAGGGTACCCCGGTAGCTTCTGCGTTAGGAGTTTCGAAATCCACGGATTGAGGCCGCACATTGACGCTATGTGAAGTGTGGTGATATGATGTGACTCACGATCGTGATCCGCATAATCTTTGAACCAACTCGACAAGACATACGAATCTTTCTGAAATATCAGACGAGACATGTTGAATATTTCATCACTGTATTTACCAGCGTTTCGAGCGTGTGCTGGCCAGTTGCGAATCGCATATGTCAAGATGGAGGATGGATTCGGTGAATCGGACCTATGCTGATGGCTGTAGTTTATTTCGATGACATCCAGGCATTTTTGTGTTATCCTAAAGTGACCTTCTTCGGGTCTGATGCGAAAGGTCTCCAGAATTGGATTTTCATCATGTTCGTTCCTCAGCAGATACTCCCGAGCTGACTGATGGATAGGATGGATTTCATCATTTTGCGCGCGGAGAAGAGGTTTGCAAATGGCAATCTGATCCAACATAGCTTGCTCCTGACCCACACCCCTCGGAGTATGTATGTTGATTGCGTCAGCGAGTTCATGAACAGTTAAAGGACGAAATGCCAGTGCTACCCAGATGAGTATCAAGGAGCACACTTGCCGTTGCTGCTGATCACTTTGCAGCAAGATCCGATCATAAATGCTCGGTAAACCTTTCGGTATAGATTCTAACGTGTCTAGTAAGCCCGTGCAAGTCGTCCTTTGTAGCAGCTCGTTGACGGCGAACCCAATCCAAAGGAACGTGCCTTCTGAACGTTGAAGGAGAGTAGTTTTAACGTGCTCTGCTATTGTCGATGTAAATCCATTGACCCTGTACAGCTCTTGGACCCTTGAATGAACAAACCGCTGAACGTCATTATTGACTTGTTCATCAAAATCAAGATCCAGATGGATGGTTGGAAAGCCCTTTAGAGAGTGTATCTCTCGGCTAACTACCACCAATCGAAATTTGGATGAACGGGACCGGGATTCACCGTGTGCAAATAATTGTGAGAACTTGACACTCAGAAATTCGACCGATTCTTGGTCACACTCGTCCAAACCGTCAAAGACACAGTACATGGCTCCAATATCAGGATCCTGGGCTATGCCTCGGAAAATGGTCCACAAGGCTTCAGTGGACGACAACGTGTAATCGGCCTTCTCCTGAGTTTCAAAGAAATACTGTGCATGGCGGAACAACCAGGGCTTCTTATAACTTGGTATATCAACCCCCTCAAGACCGCAGTTGCAGTGCGTCGCTTCTCGTCATCCTGGCTGCAGAAGTAGAATAAGATGTCACCACCGCCGCCAAGTGATTTTGTATACCTTTCAAGCTCCTCCGAAAGGTAAATTGACAGCATGGTTTTACCCTTGCCAGGGCCACCGCATATCCAAAGAAACGGTGCCCCATGAGGACCTAGCCAAGAGGTGTAAGATTCATTCTCGCAGACCCATTCCCAGGTACCATCGACTCTTGTTCCCTTGGCGGTGATAAGGCTGGTTCGATCGATAAGAGGGTCGGTCATAAACATTGCCTCAAAATAAGGGTTGACATCCATAACCCGGATGTCTTGCGCAGGGGGAAGGACATTGAAAAGGGTCTTTGCGCAGAGAGCTGCCACAATTGCGGCATAGTCCTGCCACTGCTTGTTCTTGTGCGAATCACAGTAGTCGCAGATTCCACGTATGACCAGGCAAGGGAGCGTATTGACCACCCCTGCTGCTTCCATTTCGAAACACAGCACGCCTCCTAGTTCTCGGCTGAGCTTGTCTCGAGTGCCCCCATCCTTAACGACCTGGTTACCTGAAGCGACGACGCCATAATGAATGCAGATTTCTTCAGCTCGATCCCTCCGTAGCTTCACCTTGCTGGAGTCACAGTCCCGGCAAGTAGCACCTCCGACATGATCATATGGCGATTCATACAATGTATCCGAATTCGGTTTCCGAATACCTCCAGCCATTGGGAAATCAGCCAAGACCTGGCTACTTTGGTCCATTCCCAGTGCCTGAAACTTGGCAAGGGCGTTTAAAAGAATAGTGGGTGGCGGAGCCAGGTATCCTGTACGATGGTTCCTTCCCCCGGCCTCTATCTTCCCAAGGTCATACTGCACGACACCCCCATACTGGCCACGAGGCTGACTTATCACAACATCACCAAGCCTAACATCAGCATCATAACTAGGAACACCACCTGCGATACCAACAAGCAAGCCGTATTTGATCGAGCGGAATTTTTCCATCATCTGGGCCACGCACGCCGCGGCGGAGTTCGTACCGTAGCGGCCAGCGGGCAAAGATACTACCACGACATTGTGCTCGCCGATTCTGCCCAGACAGTAGACGTTTGTCTCGTGCGGTTGATGCGGAGGATCTTGGTGTCGTTCATCGAGCATTGCCTGCGCGGCGTGGAGCTCGAGTGGTAGAGCACAGACCCATCCGACGGTGTATTTTTCGAGTGGTAAGTAGCGGTAGGTTTCCATCATACACTGGTAATAGCACCGTGGATGATTCTTTCCAGGTTCAAGCCGCGCGTTGGATGCTGGCAGTTGGCGCTGGGCCTGAAGCTGACCGCGCAGGGGTGCAGCCCTTCGGAACTTACGATTGGCCCCGCCTGTTTATTGCCACTAGTTCCACGCGACACATAGACCCTATATATCACGAATTAGGCGATTAAGATGCTTGAGGATTAAGGAGATTAGGGATTTTAGATCGGGGATGTTGTTCTATCTTAAACTATAGCATATCGTGGTTTTATTTGTAGAATTAAATACACTTAGATGTGGCAATAACCTCGACTTCTCTTTTCTCACCACGCCCAAGTCCTCAATTCTCCACAATATTTCACAACCTCCGCATTCTTTCCACATCCTTCTGAACAGTTGCAAATGGAGCTCCACTGTGAGGTCTGCCATCAGCGATTCAATCGTAGAGAGCACCTGGAACGTCACCTTCGCCGTCATTCCGGCATCCGCCCTTTTCCGTGTCCATCATGTTCGCGCTCGTTCTCAAGAAGGTAAGTCAAGGTTGACCGTCACAAAGAAGTAATCTCATACATCCATGACCGCAGGGATACTCTTGGTCGACATATAACTACCCATGGTACCGGGGCCCAGCAGCTTCATACACGAGTCAGAGGGGCCAGAGCCTGCGTGCCTTGTTCTCGGGCTAAGCTGAAATGCAATGGGGAGGCCCCGTGTGCACGGTGCCAGGGAAAGGGTCACAACTGCATCTATCGAAGTTCTGACCAGCCTGCGGAGACTGCACTGGGGAACTCAAATGTTTCAGGGCATATCAGCGGATGCACTACAATGGAGCCGCAGATACCCTCGGGTCTCCACGACCCAATGTGCATACCCGGCAGCGAGGGAGACATGACCAACATCACAACTACCAATTATGACTTTCCCTGGATGCTGGAATATACCAACATTTTCCAAGATGATCCTGCGAGCGACCAGTCGGTTCTCGGTTTAGCAGCCCAATTCCCATTTTCATCACTTGGGTCAGTCCATACGCCAGGAGACGAGCATACCTTAAATCCTGACGGCCTAATGTCTTCTAACCGACAATTAAATGACACCCGAGCATCAGTCATGGACGCCACGGAGGAAGATATCATCACAGCCGAGAATTTCTGCCATGTCAGAGTTACCTTAGAAAGGCCGTACCAGGCCATTACTGAGTGCTACAAGCGGCAGGTGGACGTCCGTTTCAAGGAAACCCCGTTTCCCAGCCAACAAGCATTCAATTCCTTCATACAGTTGTACTACGAGTACTTCGACTGTCAGCTGAGTTTCATCCACCCATCTGTACTGGAAACGCAGGACCCGCCATGGCTTCTCGTCCTAGCTGTCGCATCTGTTGGCAGCCAGTATACCCAGCTACCCGAAAAGGAACAGTACTGTGCTTTGCTAACTGAGCTCCTGCGACTATCGCTGCCTCTTGATGTACGTCGTGCGCCCAATATTCCGTATAAACCTGATATCCAAACGGCTAACGGTTCATAGAGTGTCAAAGCGCAGAATCTTGATCCTTTACTGCTGGCACAGTGCTCGTTGCTTGCCATCGTCAATTTCATGTTTACCGGCTTCAAAGAGAACGTGATCAACTTGCAAGTCCAACGAGCATGGCTTGCCACTTTAGCACGGCCGTTTCTTACATCCTCCAAGCCCGAGGGCTCATTCCTATGCCAGGAAATCAACGATTGTACGACAGGGGACCACTGGGAGCTATGGCTTCGTTGCGAGACGGAAAGGAGACTCGCATACTGCTACCTAGGTTGGTATACCTTCACTACTATACTCTGCTATCGCAGTTAACGCATCTTCGTCTTAGTGGTCGACAGCTTTTGCTTCATTTTCATGGGGATGCCAGTGACCATCACTGTCCAGGATTGTCAGCAGATACTCCCCTCTGCGGACGCCCTATGGAGAGCACGTAATAGCGATGGGTGGAGGACCATCTCGTCAACAATAGACGCACGGACAGGGCACAGCCTCAGGGACCTCTTCATTGGCTCCACAGCACCTGCATCGCAAGTATCTGACTTCGCCAAACTTTGTCAACACTTGATGCTCTTTGTCGAGGAGCGGCAAGTGATAGCAGCACGCCAGTCGTGGCTTCTCAATGATTTTCGAGGCGACCAAGACGATAATCCATGGCCTCATCAGCCACTGCACAGTAGCCTGGACTGGAGATACCAGATGCTGATACCGACACGGTCATCAACCTCATCGTCGACAAAGGGAGTCTCAGACATGAGAGACACATTCTTCCATCTCCTATTTATCTTACGACATATACCGAGGGACACCCTATATCGGTACTCCGGGTGGTACGCATCCAAAGACGATGTCTCGAGCGCACAGTCATATCTCCACACCTGGCTCCACCACAATCCAGCGCTCGCTCGAGAATGTGTAGCGCACGCAGGCGCCCTCATTGGAAAGATTCGACTGGCGCCTACTCTATCGTGCTATGACCCGTTCTGTCTGCTGATATCAGTCTTGTTTGTATGGGCCTATGAACGGCTGAAGCCGGAACAACAAGAGTGCGGGGGCACCAGCGGCACTGCAGTCGTTTTCAAGATTGATCAACCTGACCAAGACGAGAGCATAAGAGAGCAATGGATCCACGGCGCTCCGGGCGTGGTGCTACACATCACTGGCGTTGGTTTGTTGTCTAGCACGGGAGGCACGAGGCGCCTGCTGCAAGAGTACATGCGTATCATCAGGGCAGGTATTGGATGGCCTACGCTGCGCAGGGGCTTGATAGGTACTGTGAGACAGACTGCTAGTGGTGTCGCCCCCATAAAGACGTCCCCGCCTCCGGATGAAGCGTAGTCTGATCCTGTGTGCGAATCCATTGTGGGGTTGCGGGGAGCCGAGCGGGGAACCAATTCTGTTATGACCTTTGATGGGTCAGACTTTCTATGTGTGCTCTATAGTCTTTCAAGTATTCGACCGGCAGGTCGTGCGGCTGGACTACACCTTACTCTGTCTGCGATGCTCAGGGACAGGCGAAAGCAAGACATCCCCAATAACCGCCCTTCGCACATTCTCCATCGCCCAAGCCTCCATCTTCGCCAGGGTCTCAACAGTATGCGTCCCAACATGCGGCACCATCAAGGCCTTTTCCTGTCGTAACAGCTTCTCATTAATCTCCGGCTCCTTTTCATAAACATCCAAACCCACAGCTCCAACATGTCCACTCTCCAATGCATCCGCCAAAGCCGCCTCATCGATAATCGCGCCCCGGGCCGTATTCACAATAACAACACCACGCTTCATCCTCGCCAGCTCCGACGGGCCGATAAGATGTCTTGTAGCTGGCGTCAGGGGCACATTGACACTAATCACATCGCTCTCAGTTAGAAGTCTCTCAAAGGAGACGTATTCAGCACCCGCCGCTTGCTCAGGCGGAAGTTCCGAGCGGTTGTGGTACACGGTCTTAAGGCCGAATGGATCGCATCGCTTCTTAATAGCCCGGCCGATTCGTCCCATGCCGAGAATACCCAGAACTTTGCCCTGGGGATCATTCCCGACGTCGACGCCGGATTTGAATCTCCCCGCGCGAAGAGAGGCGAGCGCGGGATTCAGCTGGCGGAGGGCGCCTAAAAGTAGGAATAGAGCTAGGTCGGCGGTTGCGTCGGTGACGGGGTCGGGGGCGTTGGTGACGATGATACCGCGTTGGGTACAGGCGGCTGTGTCGATTGGGTCATAGCCTTGGAATTTCAGTTAGTTAGGTTTATTTCAGATACAGTCAGTGATAGAGTGACTCACCAGCGCCATTGTGGCAGATATACTTGCAGCTCGGAGGAAGCTGGTCTATGAACTCGGTGTCGAATTTACCGGCCACCTGGGATATAGTGAGCGAAGGCTATCGTCATGACGGGCAGGAATTAATGAGTACGTACGGCACCACTGGATGAAGTTCTGTAGATGGCGAAGATGTTTCTGTACTTATGCTGGAGATCGTGGAAGAACTCGGTCCTACTCCTGCTTGTCACGACTTCCGTATGCGCCACCTGCTGGAGCTTCTCGAGGAAGGACCTGGCATGTTTGACGGGATTGAAGAAAAGGACGAAGGGTTTAGACGGTGGCATGGCTGGCAGTAACAAATATGCAGATATAAAGTGTAATTCCCATTAGCAGGGTTTTGAAGCGGGTTGATATGGGATTGCCGCCTGATTGTTATGGCTGAAGGATTTGCCGAGAAACCCTAACTCCAATGTCCAGTTACCGATGGGAGCAGAAAGACATCAAACAACAGTATGGAAGGCCTCTTTTAAATTATTTACTCCGGCTATATTAAGAGATATTGCAATAAAACCCTAATATCAATTATAACCCTCCAACTGTCCATGGTAGTGGCAGGGTAGACGTGCAGTAGTGGAAGCAACGTACTTTTGCCAGCACCAAGAATACATCCTCCTGCCGGCATATCACCAGCATTTAGGCTCTGGAGTTTCCCTCACGTAGATTATAGTGCCTCCTCCATCCTCGCATCTCTATCACTCCATCATATATAAAAGAAATCTAGTACTGAACCGCCGACATGTCATTGTCGGATCAGTCCCAGCTCTGGAGAACCATCTCCCAACGTGCGTCATCCAACCCCGCATCTCGAACTTTGACCTCATGGCAGGCAGATCTCCCCATTCCTGGAAGCAAGATCATAAATATCAAACAACATGGAACGTCGTATTATGGGCTAACGGCGCGAGTTGCCGTTGAGCTACCCTCTGGTGCGCTAGCGGACTACTTTCTAAAAGTAACCTTCTCATTCATTTAACCCAGGTTTAGACCGCTAATACACTATATATCCATCGATAGGCTATGCAAGGTGAACTGGCACAGGAATCCTGTGATGGCGAGTGCGAAGCCCTCAAGGCAATCCGCTCCGTCTGCACCCATGCCCCAGAGCCATACAGCTGGGGCAGATACAAAGAAAACGGAATCGAGCACGCATTTCTCCTGACAGAGTTCATCAAGATACGGAAACAGGCATGCTCTCCTCCCTCTATTAAGATTCTTATATCTGACTACAAACAGCCGGCAGACCCCCAAGCCCTAGCCGCCGCGCTGGCAACCTTGCATACCCAGTCCACCTCCCCAACAGGCAAATTCGGCTTCCACATCAGCACGGTCCATACGCGCAACATTCAAAACATAAGGTTCTGGACCTCATCCTGGTGCGAGCTCTTCAGCGCCCATCTATCCCGAATCCTCTCGCACGCTGAAGCGCATTTCCAATGGCCACTATTCGACTTAGTCGGGGAACTAATCTTAACTACCGTAATACCAGCACTGTTGCTTCCCCTCCAAAGCAACGGACGGACATTAAAACCATCCCTCGTGCACGGAGATTGCTGGGACGGAAACACTGCGATGGGCGAGGACGGGCGTGCGTATTTCTTTGATGTAGATTCATTCTACGCGCATAATGAGTATGAACTCGGGGACTGGAGGGCGAAACGACATAAACTTAGCGAGAAGGATTATGTTGAGGCTTATAAGAAGCTTGTCCCGGTTTCGGAGCCTGGTTTGTTTCCCCTGTTCTTACACTATCTTGTCCTGGGTGTTGATTTGAACAGTGGAGGACTGGGATAGTAGGAATTTATTGTATTCCTTGACATGGAATATATGCAATGCGTTGTTTGTGCCTGGGTCTACGCAGAAGGAGCCGTGGGTATAACATCCTGTCAATATCGGTTATCGCTAATGGGACTAGGGTATTTCACGATATGTTAACGCTGTGCGAGAGGATCTGTCCTCATGAGATCCAGAGTCTACTCGGTAATAGTTCCGTGGAAGTGTAAATGGGCTTTAGATGTATACAGTTAATGGGTACTGTTAATGAGAGTTATGCAAGTTATGCAGAATTGGAGACCGAGAGCCGAGGTTTCTCTGGCTGTCTTCCCCGCATTGTGGTCTTCCTCTGATCGTGAGAAACCTCGGACAACGTCAAAAGATAGATAAAACCATGTTTCTTCCTTGAAATTAATTCCTAATATACCTGAAAAGGTAAGGGAAAAGAAAATGTCCGACTCACGCCTCGCCAGCTTCCCAACAGCCCCCTACTCCGAACCTCTCCTCCCCCAACTCGACATCCCAAACCCCTACTACACCGAAACACACCACGCGCTGCGCGCCCACGTCCGGTCCTATATCGAAACACACATCGCGCCGTACGCACAGGAATGGGAGAAAGCAGGAGAGATTCCGCCCGAGGTGGTGAAGCGGCATTGCGCCTACGGATTTGCGATTGTGCACCCGCTGACGTCACTCGCGGATCGCGCAAACTTGCCATTGCCCGGGAATGTGCCGCCTGAGAAGTGGGATACATGGTGCTCGCTGATTGTCTCGGATGAGTTTAATCGCGTTGGCTTTGTTGGTGTTATCTGGGGTCTTGGTGGGGGAAATGGGATTGGGTGTCCCCCTATCGCGCGGTTTGGGACGCCTGAGCAGAGGACGCGGTGGTTACCGCGAGTTGCGACGGGCGAGATAAGATTCTGCTTGGGAATTACGGAGCCAGATGGTATGTCTTGCTATATTCATTGGGATATGAGACTGACTGTTTAGCTGGGTCTGATGTTGCGAATATCCGAACTACTGCGGCGCGTCAAGGTGACCACTACATCGTCAACGGGTCGAAGAAGTGGATCACGAACGGCATTTGGGCAGATTATTGTACTGCTGCTGTCAGAACCGGTGGATCAGGGAGAGGGGGGATCAGTTTGCTCGTTGTTCCCTTGACTGCAAAGGGAGTAACGAGGAGGAGGATGCATAACTCTGGCGTCAATGCCAGTGGTACGTGAACGTATATCAAATACTCGACCGTAACTGACCTCCAAAGGCTCTACGTTCATTGAATTCGACGAAGTCCGCGTCCCAGTGGACCACCGCATCGGAGAAGAGAACCAGGGTTTCGCCCTGATCATGTCAAGTAAGCCAGTACTGACCTTAACATGGACTACCGCTAACGAGACAGACTTCAACCCCGAACGACTCTCCCTGGCCTGCGCATCCCTCCGTCTGGCTCGAGTTTGTGCTGAGGATGCGTTCAACTACGCCATTCAGCGTGAAACATTCGGTTCCCCCCTCATTCAGAAACAAGCAATTCAAGCCAAGATCTTCAAATTCGGACTCTTGATCGAGCCTGCGTATGCCTTCATGGAGCAGCTCGTGAACATCATTGAGAAAACCAAGGATCGACCAACGGACGACGTTCGCATCGGTGGTATGACGGCAATGTTAAAGGTGATGTCAACTAGGGCTTTAGAAAAGAGTGTCCGTGAAGCACAGCAGATTTTCGGTGGTGCGGGCTACAACAAGGCTGGTAAAGGAGCCAGGATTGAACAGATCAGTCGTGATGCGAGGGTCCACGTCGTCGGTGGAGGCAGTGAGGAAATCATGCAGGGACTGGCGCTGCGGGAGGAGACGAAGGCTTTGAGGACGAGAAGGAAGGCATTAGAGCGAAAGGCCAACCTGTAAAGTATATATTCAATAAAATAATTCTGCCTTGGTTCCTCCAGTCAGAGCGATGCGAGTCGCTCTTTCCCAAAGGCTCTGTTTCTGTCCTCCATCCCAGACTCACTGAAGGCCAACTGGCATAATACAACAATGTCTGCAACATATACACTATTTAATCACTATGGCCCAATTATCGTCACCCACATCTTCTAGTTGCAGTCTTTACAGTCCCCCCAACTCGTCCTCTCTCTCTTCAGATCACGATACTGACAGCGAGCTTCCCATTCTCCCTCCACAGTATACCCTCCTCGAACAGGATCAGGCTGCTGGTTCTGTGTTCCCTGGTACACTACACCCAAAGATTGCGATTCCCAAGAAACTCTACTGAGTCTGTCTTTCCAGTTCTGCACGGTGTCACAAGCGGTGATCTCCCAGCTGCTCCCCTCGGAACGAAGAACCCCGTCTTGAAGCATTACCTATCTCGCCCCGTACGAAGACATTTAGACTGGAAAGAGAAAGCCAATGGAACTGCCATCCGGAAGCCCCTTGATGGTGTTCTTGCCATCCAGGCTGGGTTCATCCAAACACGTGGAGAGATAGCACAGGCTGCCTGCACCAGCTGCTCCAAGGGGAAAGGAGTATGGAAGACCTGTGTAGTTGGCAATAAGATCGGCCGGTCGAAGCCGAGTAATGAGGTCTGCGCCAATTGCCTATTCTCTAAGTCTTGGGCGTGCAGTCAACGTACGTACCTCACCTTGGGCCGTACGGTGCTGTTTATAGCTAATTCCAGCTCTGTAAGGGTTTGCTGCTGGGACTAGAGCCTCTGGTACTTCCGACGCGGAACCTTCCGGTTCATCTACTTCCAAAGACCCAAGAGGAAGGACTATTGCTCGAAATAGCTCAGGGAGGCGTGCACAAACACCATTCCCTCGACGCACTGCCACGGCGGTTGATCTTACTTCCCCTGACCTGTCTAGGCAGAATTCTGCCAGCGTCCAAAATGACACTCCCATATTCCAGGGTCGCAGCCTACCGGACCCTATGATTTTGCCTGAGGCGGTTGTTGAATTCCCCTTGTCTGCAACAACATTCAATAACCTACCCGTTTTGAAACGAGCTTTGTCAGATATGGGAGGCCATATTGGGAAAATCAAAATGAGAATCAGGCAGCTTGAGCGGATGCAAATGGGATATAATTCAGGAAACCCGTGGGACTCTCTGTAGATATAGAGCTGGGACCGTATGGCTTGCTTTGAACAAAGAATACCAGGAGGGATTCCGTTATGTCGCTCATTGTGCCAATGCACCATTTATATTATTACGATGAACTCTGGATATCAGACTCAACAATAGAGATTTCTTTGAGCTTACACTCTAGTTTCCACAAGTAGCAACATCTCATCAGGCATTTGTTGATTCATTAGCAATATATTGCCGCACCCAACATCAAGGTCTAAGAGCCACCATCACTTGTATATGAGCTTCTCGACGCAAGGTCAGCCAGATCATAATCCTTTTCAGCCGACGATCCCATCCTTTCATGCCGGCGTTGGTGCCTCGATGCGTAACAAAGAAACGGGTGTTGTTCAGCCCTTTTGGTATAGGCAGCCTCCCTATCTTGCTGCGAAGGACCCGTGGCTGTCGCAGGCGTACTGAGGTCGCTCAAAAGAAGGTACCATTTGCATCGTTGTGCGAGAATCTGGTGCGACTCTTTAAGGTTTATAGAATGATACCAGTTACCAAATGAAGCTTCCGTCGATCCCGGAGAGACAGAATCGGGAGGGCCTGCGAGAAGAAAGTCCCGTACGCTACTGTGAATAAAACTGACTATCTGTCCGCGGAATGTAACAAGAGAGCCTCCTACCCGTCTTAGGAAATTCTCCCTGGCAGGGTGCAGATCTGGGAGTATATCCCGGCTATGTTTATGCTCGGCACAGATCGACAAGGCATAGTCCATTTCGATCAGAGTCAGTGGTCGTGCAGCAGCGAGGAGAATCTGGAAGAAACATTTTCTGAGCTCTGCATCATGCTCTGAATGCTTCCGTGTACATTGACCGAGGTAATTTGCGTATACCGGGTATATAATGCTGCTATCATCGAAGACATTAAGCAATTCGGCCTCGGAAGCACCATCTTCAGCGCACTCTCTGAGTTTTTGGAAAACTCTAGAAACCCAAAGATAGGTATAGTTGTCCTGCTCCGATAGCTTCAAATGAATAAGAGATGATGTGCGGCGCTCGATGAGGCCATCTTCTAATAGCTCGCTGATTTCTCGGTTTAGGACATGGTGGATATCGAGCCCTATCAACTCGGCTTGGTCCTCGCCTCTCACGCGACAGTGACTCAGTTTATGTAGTTTTGTCGTTACCCAGTTTAGAGGCCTGGCCGTGACGAAGATCTTGAGGAATGGAGACTGCCCTGGCTGTTTGGTGTTGTTCAGAGTCACATCACCCTCGTATAACTTGGATATCGCCTTGGCTAAGAAGCTCTGGGTCACTGCCTCGCACTCGTCAAGGCCATCAAATATACAGAAAACATCCTTTCCTCCCTCAGAAACTGCACTGACGAACAGCCTCCATAAATCTGGAACACTCGAAAATGCCGCCTCTCCCTTGTTGTCGTATTCTGCCGCCAGCGTAGATGGTATCGTTTCGCTAGCCATCAGAAGCTGGTGCAAAAGCGCCCGCAAAGCAGAGATTGCATTGTTTTGAGTCTCATCATCATCTCGAAAGAAGAAATGGCAAACCACCGCGGCTGTCTCGCTCCTCCGTAACTCGTCCACAATCGTCGATGCCAGCACCGACTTCCCGCTCCCGGCATCGGTCGTCAGCCATAGAAAACTGGAAGTAGGGGCAGGTCTCCATTTCTCATACTGCTCGCTCTCCAAGAGCCACTCGCAGGTTCCAGGTGCACCCGTAGGATTTCGGGCCTTATACGATTCGTAGTCGATGGGACATGCAGCTTCTATGCCAGGGGCCTGGTACAGCTGCTGGAGGATTCGGAGTCGTTTTAGCTCTGGATTTGATTCCCCCAGACCATTATCCCCGTAGTAGAATGTGTGGTAGTTATTCCCCACATGGACATTCGCGTTGTCATGAGCGAATATGCTTTCCGCTGTGTTGTTTGGGGGCATTGTTTATTGCGGATTTTCTTTATTCGGACTCGACAAAGGTTTTATAGCAATAGTATTTACAACAGCAATTGTGGCAGATACAAATATTTGAGAAATCCTGCGGCGGCTGGGTACCGTATTTAATTGGCTGCTGGTTCAGGCTGGGATGGCCGACATGTCAGCAGTGTTGGGGCTCTCGAGGCTACGCGCGCGGTTCCCAACGGGCGTTGATTAGCCAACTGGACCATTACTATTATTAGAGGAGTAAGACTTGTCATTTCCATGGCGGCACAGTTCACTGTCTTACAACGGAATAGCCAGCTGATCAATATCCGGACCCCATCCACCGGTTCCAGAGATCTGGATGGTATTAACCCCCGAGTTCAGCTCAACATGCACTGCACTGCTACCAGCAGTATCAGAGTGATGCGCCGTAGAGATAAAAGCAGCCGTCTGAGCCTCACCCCCATTCACCGAAACCGCAGCATGGCGAGGATTCGTATCCCCATTCAAGTACTTGATATTGAGCGTCACACGGCCCGGGTCCCCGCTCTGCGCGTCAACGTCGGCTTCAAGGACCACAATGCCGTCATTGTCACTGTCTGCATCTCCACCAATATAGCCCGCCGCGACACCACCACTACACTGCGAGCAGTCAATGGTCCGAGCACCACCGGTGAGTTCTCCATCTTCGCCTTCATACTCCAATACATCAGCTGGTTCAGACCAGCTGCCAGAAGCTATATCCACGCTCCAGGCGTCGTACCAAGTCAGGCTTGCAGTTGCGCCGTCAAGTTCTAGCGGAAGCCAGATGTACGTACTCGCTGCTAGGTTGGATGATACCCATCGATCACCCATGTAGATGGCTTTATCGTTTCCGAGGGGCAGGACGTAGTTGACCTGGCTGTCATAAGTGTTTGTGCCGACGGGTGCGAATTCGGTCCACTCAGACCATGCGCCGGAGAGGGAGGTTGCAGTGGAGTAGACCTGTAGAAATAAGGGTTAGCAAAGCGGTTGGTACATGGAAGGAGGTTCTTACATTATCGTTGGGATCCCAGCCTGTGAGATGTGAGCCAAAGATGTAGTATGTATCTCCGCGTTTTATCAGGGCAGGCGACTCGGCGAAGTATTCCCAGCCAAATGTGACTTCATCAACATCAAGGTAGTCATCCGTAAGTTTGATAATCCTGGTGCCATACTCTCGCTAGCTTCAAGTCAGCATAAGAAGACAGGTGTACGGAGGGCGACAAACATCCTCACTAAGAAGATAAGCAGACCCATCCTCATCCTTAAACAACCCAATATCCCGACTCTGAAATCCCAATGGCCTGAAGCTCTCACGGTATTCATACGGTCCACAAACAGAATCACCGGTCGCAACGCCGACTCTTGCATCTCCATAATCGCTCGAATCGATGTGCATCCACATGACGTACTTCCCCGTGTCGTCGTTCTTGATAACCTTGGGTCTCTCGACGATGCGGTTGGGACCTAGATCCCCATCTTCCTCTGTCCGCGTAAGAAGGTTTCCTACGAAGATCCATTCCTCTAAGTTGCTTGATGAGTAGCAGTTAACTGCTTGGAATGCAGAGCCATCGGTCTTCTCCTCGCCGATCATGTAGTAGATGCCGTCTTCTTCACTGTTGGGCATTAGAGCATAGTTTGCTATATGAGGATATAGCTTACATGATGCCGGCGCCATGGGCTTGGATGTGTTCATTTGTATTGGTCTAAGCAGTCAGGCGTCAAATTAGATGTTATTGAAAAGCTCGGGGGGACTCTTACGGCAGTCCACGTCGCTCCTGGAATGATACTGAGGGCCGCTCTGGCATATCCAGCGACGAGGGAAATGCACAATGCAGTCTGCAATGTGTACATCATGGCCTGTCCGAAATATTACGCTGGCAGTCCACACGGTCAAGCGCCAGATCTCGCCAAAACTGAATCTGCGACGATGGGAATTGTTACGCAAACTTCGTGTAGGTAAACTTCACGGCATCGTCGTTCTTAAATGGCGGCCGCTCTGCTTTAATAAAACCTGCGGGTAAACCCAAACGGGTGTTTCATTTAACCGACACACAAATAGTATCACGTCAAAGTGGCCAGGGTGGAATCAACCGAAGGCACGATGGCTACGTAGCAGATCGATGCGGGGAAACCGCCAAGGTCCATAAATCGACAGGGGTATTGAACATTCACGCATGGACTATAATTCCGTAGGCCAAAGGTTTAATATGATTGCCTGATCCCATTCAGGACGGGTATTCCTCCGGCAAGACAAAGTTGTCGTTGGGATAGGCAGGCCGTCAACTACGCCTCAACCCGCTGCTTAAAAAGACTCTTCCCTTTCAACCACTGGCGATACCGCTTATACCTCTTCTTATCCTGGTCTTCTTTCACGACCGTCAAGCCCTCTTCTGAGACATTCAGGAATTCGGCGTAGTCGGCTAGATTCTCCTCTGCGTTCGCGCCAAGGGTATATTCTTCTACATTGCACTTGTTGACGTATTCCAGGAGGTCGAGATTTGACTCGTGCTCTCTGATTGACGCAGCTGTTAGCTCATCTTCCGAGGTGACGACCAGCGGCACTTTGAGTGGGTGGTTGATATAGCGTTCGTACTCCTCTGCTTCCGTCCCAGTCACAGAGGGGTTTAAGGAGTCGCTTACGAGCTGGTCAAGCGTCCATTGAGCGATTTGTGCCTTACTGGGGTTGTTGACCGATGACTCCATAGACGGGTGGCTGGAAGTTGTGGAACGGGTTCCCCCTTGTGACGGTGGCAGTTTAATTATCCCCGTTGGCGTTTCGAGGAAGTGTGGATGGTGAATCTGTTTCGGGGCATTTGTTGCTGACGGCTCTGGTTCTTGGATTTTCACGCTTCGTTGGGGTCGCTCCCGGTTGATGTGTTCATGGGCGATGCGTGGGACAAAAGGGCTGAGATTGTATTCCTCTGTGGAGCTTGGTCGGAAAGGAAGGTATCTGAGTGTGGAGTTCATCTTGTACGAAAAGACTTTGGAGAACGAGGTGAGGGCGAGTGGACGATAGTATTCGAACCAGTAATCATCATACCGGGACAAGGGCTCCTTGGCCTGAGTTGCAGAAACTGGCATTTCTCGTTCCTTCAGGTTCTCCTCTGTGTACCACTTTATATAATTCGGCTTCTTCTTGTGGGCCCAGTATCTCGGATCGGCGTGATGGAGGTAGTAGTCGGTCGACAGATCCCAGAGCATTGGTTGACCTTGCGAGAAGATGTAGTTGCCCAGAAACAGGTTATACGCCTCCTGACGCTGGGCATCTAAAAACGAATTGTTGTAGTACCGCTTGAAACTCTCCACCATGTCGCGAGAGGAACTACTCCACTGATTGATTTTTCGGTATGTTGCCATGGTGTTCACAAGATGAGACCCCCCATACTGGATAGCAATGTTGTCACCATGGTCATGCCACATATCGGTAAAGAGGTTGACAACATCAGTATCGTAGTCAACAGTCGTTCCCTCGATGATGCCTAGTGCGTGAAGCTGGTAGCCCAGCGCCCGCTTTCCAATGACGAACTGGGCAGCATTTGTACGGTCGAGACAATCTATACAATTGGTTCTCGCAATCCCGTTTTGTACTTTCAAGCCCGACGCCGTGTCATATCCATTCTGGAATAAGCCGGTTTTTGGAATGATCTCGCCCGCGATATCTTCCAGAGTGTCAATAACATCTTGGTCTCGGCTCTTGGCCGCCCGACTCATATCCCAGGGTTTATATATGAGCTTCTTGTCCTCGGGGAGGAACTGATTCAGATACTCTACTGCATTCGTATATTCTTTCAACAGTTTCGACTCTCGCGGTGTCCGCTCCCGCGACTTGATGAGATTTAGAATGTAAATCGGTGCGCCGTACCGTGCAAACAGATGGTCAAAGTGCAACGCAGCCGCAGAGTAGAATGGGTCCACAAGGTTCAGCTGGATGTCAGGTTTCGGGCTGACTCCCGAATTCTCCTGCGTCCAGTAAAGAGGGATGCTTCCGCGATGCTGAACATAAGATGTGTAAAGCGGGCTCGCGTACAGATCTGGACCGGCCGCATGAAACGAGGTCGTGGTCATTTCGGAAACAATTTGCTCGGTTTCTACATCATTGGCGACATACCCTAGATCATTCGCGCCTCTTTTCAGAAAACGCGCGCCCGCAAAGAAGCGCGATCTACGAGCCATAATTGTGATGTACACCAGCCGACCGTAGACAGACATCTTGGCCTGTTCGACATAGCCGTGGATGATCGGTAAACACCACTGATATGGGTTCTTCAAATGGATGATGGCCGGCGAGAGAAGGTGGTGGTTCCAGATAAACATGGAGTTGAAATCCTGCCGCAGATCCCTCGGCTGTCCGTCCTCATGAACCTTGCGTTCGCGACTGATATTATGCTGCAGTGTATGCGTAACGTCGTACGAATAACTGAAATAGAAAGCGCGTGTAAGGTCGAGGTTGTTGAGAATCGCGATATATCTCGCTTCTTCGGGGTTCTTGTCAGACTTGAACCGAGACGAACTCGAAGACGCGGTGAGCGAAATCAGGTCAGTGCCGTCTATCTTGTAGATATAGTGTCCTCCAAGCATAGCCACCTGGCTGCGCTTTGTGACCAAAAGCATGTAGTATGCCCCGGTGAACCGCACAAACCCGAGAATAGCCCACGCACTGCATTTCAGCTTCAGCCCGCCAGAGCTTTTGTTTCCATCGTCGATCGCATCCAGCAACTGGCTCATTTGTCTCTTCGTATACACAATATCATCCTCGGTAATACTCAGGTCATCCGTTTCAGATGTCCGGTCGATCTTCAGAATCCGAAATCGAGTGTCCGACAGATCCATGCCCACCACATAAAACCAAGTTGCCGTTTCATACAGCGAAAACTTGTGCATCCGGTATATTCCATCGTCACCTCCAGTATCAAGATACACCTGTTTCTGCGCCGACGTGGGCCGAGAGTCCCGCTCAAAGGATGTCGCTATCCGCGGTTCTTCGTCCTCTTCATCGCCGACTTCTTCGCCGATCGAGGGTGGAGGTGGTGGGTTAAACGAACCGGAGGCGGGGGGCGGGCTGAAAGGCGAAAGAGGTGATCGTTTCAACCCGCCCTCTTCATCGATGGGAGCATTTAATAGACCATCGGTCTGCTCTTCTGCGGGTTTCTGGGAGGTCGACGCTTCTGGGGCTGCTGGGCTGGGCTCGGCCGGAGAGTGTAGCGAGCCGCTGTCACCGACTGACGCGGTCCGAGAAGAGCGTCCAGCGCCGGAGACGGTGCTCCTTGCTTCGGCCTCGGCTGGGCGAGAGACCTCATCGAAGCTCTTCATGTTTCATACTGACGAAATACGTTGGTCTGTTCAGATGTGAAGCGTTTGTTGTCGGTGAGGTCAGATTGATGCGGGGAGAGCTGGTGATGTTATGTAATCAGGACCAGCTGCTTTCCCAAAATGGAAGATCCACAACTTCAAGGTTGAAATCGCACGCGTTCCTCAGCCTGTTCCAGAGCCATATCTTCCGTTCTGTGAATCATTCTGCTAAATCCGCTGGGCTGATCGCAATCGAGCTGTGTGACACTGCCGGATCCAACACCATCCCACCAAGGTCGCTTGCATAGCTGCTCCAGCATATATATATCACAGGATTACGGTCCATCGTCGTTTTATGCCTGGAGGGAGCCAGCTTGGCTGCTAAAGTCCTTGCCAGTAGTCTTCTCTCAATATATTCCTCCATTCACTCTGAACATCCGAGAAATGAAACGCACAATAATATACAAAATGGCTGGGTTACTTCCGCGGCAACGATATACTTGATATACAGATGAAAGGCCGCGCTGCAGTCAATCGAAGGACGATGCTGTTACTCACTTGAATGTTGAACGATGCAACATTGTTCTCTTGGCCCGTTGGAAATGCGGAGTGATGCCACGAGAACCTCGTGTTTAAATGATCAAGGTGTGGCACCAAAATACCATTGGCGATGTTTCGATGAAAAGTTTTGTATAGGAAAGCCAGTAGGTACACTCAGTCAGCCTCACAAAGGTTGCTTCCAAGCCTGTATAGTAATAGCCTATTTGCTTCTATGATTGAGTCTGCTCGATATATGTGAAAGCAACGTAAGCCGCATTAGCCAAAGGACTGCCAACTTACCCCAATTTGGGGATGTCGTTGGAGTAGGAGGGCTTCCCCGCAGGATAGGTGGTAGAAAGCCGAATATGTGTGCACGGACGCATTAGACAGTCTGATAAATCGAGTTTGATAGTCTCATGATGCTACTGGAAGTTGCGATATGCAGCTGCGGTTCCGCACGCGGGGGTGGCTGCGGCGAGAAACCAAGTAACCGATGTTAAAGCCTATTAAATGTCCTGGACCTGTGTACAGTAGGACCTCATACGCTGGACATGAAAATGTTGATGATGTAGGAATCATTTATGGTAGGTTGTGGTGGATATACGGAGAAAACTAACAGAGAAGCCCTAATTAAGACACATTGATCACAATGCTCTTGACTGCAAGATACTCCTCAATCCCCTGGCGTCCTCCTTCGCGTCCGTATCCCGATTCCTTGACACCTAGAATATATTAGAAAATGCGACATGCGTATCAAGGGTAGAACCCACCTCCAAACGGACTCTCGCAAGCGCTCAACATGCCCAAGTTGACGCCAACCATACCAACCTCCAGACTTTCTGCAACCTTCCAAATACGAGCCATGGATTCAGTGATGATGAAGCTGCCCAGGCCGACGTCGCAGTCGTTGGCCTTTTCAATTACTTCCTCCTCGGTTTTGAAGGGATACAACGCAAGAACAGGGGCAAAGACCTCCTCGCGTGTCGTCAGGGACTCGGTTGACATTCCACTGATGACCGTAGGTTGAATGAAGTAGCCCTGCAAGTTATCAGGCTGGAATGACTGTCCGCCTAGTAAGATGGATGCACCCTTTGCTTTGGCGTCTAAGCACCAGTTAGCCATGTCACTTCCTAAGCACATATACATACCATCTATATGACCGAGAGCTTTCTCGACAGCGCGGTCATGACTAAGAGGACCAATGGTGACACCAGCCTCAACCCCATTTCCGACCTTGAGACTCTTGATCTTCTCGACCAAGGCAGACGCAAACTGCTCGTAGATACCCTCCTGCACAAAAACCCTGTTCGCAGTGACACAAGTCTGGCCCGAGTTGCGGAATTTGGCCATCATGCAGGCCTCGACAGCAGTCTCGATCTTCGCATCATCAAAGACAATAAACGGACTGTTCCCACCCAGCTCAAGAGAGAGCTTGGTTAGATTCTGGCTGCACTGCTGAGCCAACAGTTTCCCGACCCTCGTAGACCCGGTGAAACTAAGCTTGCGAACAAGCTTGGACTTGCAGAGTGCTTCTCCAACCTCAGCCACATTGTTCAGCGTAGTAATGACATTAATACTCCCCTTTGGAAAGCCAGCCTCAACAGCAAGAACAGCCTGGGCAAGGGCACTCAGCGGCGTCTCACCAGCAGGTTTCCAAACAGTCGTACAGCCGGCCGCAAGTGCAGCCCCGACTTTGCGAGTGATCATCGCGATAGGGAAATTCCACGGCGCAAGACACGCTGCAACCCCGAGCGGCTGCTTGATCGTCAAGATGCGCTGTCCGAGATTCGCAGCAGGCACGACCTCGCCATGGACCCTCTCTGCCTCGCCGGCAAACCAGTCTAGGAATGAAGCGCCGTAGAGAACCTCCCCCTTGGCCTCTGCTAATGTCTTCCCATTCTCCAGCGTGAGAATCAAAGCCAGATCATCAGCATGCTCGAGACACAGGGCATGCCAGCGCCGAAGCCAAGTAGCTCTCTGCCGGGCTGAAGTATTCTTGTAAGTCTTGAACGATTCATGCGCGGCGTGAATTGCGGCCTCAGTATCGGCGGCATTCATCTCGGGCAGTGTGGCGATCGTGTCGAGGGTCGCAGGGTTGACGACATCGAACACGCGGCCGCCTGCGGAATCGACCCATTCATCTGAAATGAACCCTTTTTGCTGGAAGAGGTCTTTGCGTTTGAGCTGGGAGAGACTGGCCATTGTGTGGTGATAGAAGAGCGGACTACCAGTAGCCGATTAAGACGTGCAAACCTCGCCCTTAAAGGCTGCCAACGCTGTGTATAGTTTGCCACCTCGCGAGTAACCGAGAAGCCTACGGCAGACATTACCGAGCATCTCAATATTAAAAAGAGTGAGTCTCCGAATGCTGACCCCGCCCCCAACTGCTCACCCCACCCCCAACTGCAGGCCACATCCAGGGGTTGGCGGATGCTGGTGCTGGATTGGCCGGAGCTATGCAGTATGATGCCCTGGGCTGTCAAGCAGGTAGGACAGCGCTTGGACTGCAATGCATATAAACCTGTGAGCTGTAGCTGCAGTAGTTCTGTCGTAAGCCACGCTACCCCGAATGATATAAAGATATTTAATTGTTCTTCCGCACAAGATTTAGCTACTACAGCCACACCATGTCCGCAATCCAAACCCAAATTCAAAACGGCGCCGTCCCAAACGCCGTCTCCAATGTCTGCCCAACAGGAACAAAGTTCCACGTCCTGGAAGTCGGTTGGCTGGAATGCGACGAAGGCTTCGTGACGCGCGGCGGCAACACCAGCACAAAGTCCACAGAGGGCAAATCCTTCCCCAACAAACGCCGCCAGATGCCCATGTACTGTATCCTGATTGAACACCCGCACGAAGGCCTCATTCTCTGGGAGACTGGCTGTGGGAAGGACTACCCCGAGGTTTGGGGGCCTGTTGTCTCGGATGTGTTTTCGCGGGTTCGGTATGAGCCCCAGCATGAGTTGAGAGCTGCGGTTGAGGCGACGGGGAATCGGATTGAGGATGTGAGTAAGATTATCATTGGGCATTTGCACTTGGACCACGCCGGCGGGCTGGATCAGTTCTTGGATAGGACTGATGTGGAGATCTGGGTGCATGAGCGAGAGCTCAATGGGGCGTTTTGGTCTGTTGCGACGGGGGCGGATGCTGGGGTTTATCTGGAGCATTATTTGAAGTTGTCATTGTAGGTTTCAGCCTCTATTGCCGGGGTGCGATATTCTAATTCAATACAGGAACTGGAAAACGTTCAACGACCAGACGATGGATTTCTGTCAGGGCATCACGCTGCACCACCTGCCTGGCCACACGGACGGGCTCATCGGGATGCAAATCAATATGCCTGAGACTGGGACGTTCTTTTTTATTAGTGACCACTGTCACGTCATTGAGAATGTAAGTCCTGGTTCTTATGCTGTCACGCGAGCTAACATGGTAATAGTGGCGCGATGGCATTCCTCAAGGATGGCTCGCTCGCGATCACCCAGCTTGGTTCAGGAGCACCCAGCGTCTCAAGCAGCTGGAAAGGATAACAAGGGGACAGGTTATTCCTGGACATGATGAGGCGACGTTCCTCGCACTGAAAAATCAGGCTAAAGTGTTTACGTGATGTGGCTTGCTCTATTTGATAGTTTATGCTTATCAACATCGCAATTTTATAGTCTATTATAATCAGATGCTATGTCTATGTGATACGTCTGGTCATATCCTACAAACTGATATGACCAGATACCATAGTTCCTTCTAGAAGATCGAGGCCTCCCTCCATAACCGATGCTTTTATATTACTGTGTTAGGACGGGCCCGAGAGAGAATATATTTGAAGCGATCGCCCATTATTACATTCTAGCTGCCATACGAGATACAAGCTGATACATCGTGCAGATGGTGAATATTCAAATGGTTCGACATATTACATTCCCACCCAGCGTCTACTAGGATCATAAGAATACACATGCGGGTAGTGATGGAAGTCATATTTGAGATACCTGGGAATCTTCTATAACCTGTTAACAAACATGAAAATCAATTAAGCAGACTTCACATCTTATAGAATACGGACCTTTTGGCTCTCGATCACAGTCTTCATATACTCGGTATCATAGGCGAGATCCTCAGCACTGGGCCAGTTCGAACGATAGGGAGCAGCTGGATTATTTAGGCCGGCACCCAACAGGGTCTTGTAGCTTCCATTGGGAGCTCCAGGAACTTGTTGAAACGGCAATGTAGATAGTACTGGCTTGAATCTTTCACGCTTGGCTGTTTGAAAAGGAACCTGCGTCTTCGGTGTTGAGAGCACTGCTCTCTTCGGAAAGATTCCGGCCATCAGATAGAACCCCTTAAGGTTGGAGTAGAGTCCCATCGTTATTAATTTCATCCAAATCAATTATACTGTTAGGGATTTGGTGAAGTAACTGACACGAATTGGCAGCTGCTTTCTAGTCGGCCGTTTGAGGTGTGGACGTTGTGTGCCCTCGATATACAGTTTTAGGGCACGGTGGAAGGTTACTACGTAGAGATCGTGCCACCTCGGTACCAGACCACCTAATGCGTCACTACTCGAATTCATAAGTACGACTTTAATTCAGCTCCGTGTTACAACGACTAAACTTCAACATCGTAATCAAAATGCGTTGGTTGTCTATAGCACTGTGAAAACTTCGGACCTTTGATTGCTGGATTTGACCCGACCAGAGTGGCTGGAACATTAAAGACTACTGTTGAAAATTAGAGTCAGACCCGGTCCTGATGAGTGAGGCGTATATCGCCTAGTTAGCACCGTTTCGTTTCCGATTCCACAGTTGGAACATCCAAGGGTAGACCTACGTTATATACCTTGATTGAGTGTATACATTCCACCTGTTAAATCCATTAGAGCCGGTAGAGGACACCCGAAGCCTCTTGGCTGTCAAACTTGATACTGTATGTGATTCGCAGTGATTGTGGAGCACCAACAGTCTGTCAAGCTGCTGACTGGATATAGAAGAGTTCAGTGTACGTGAGATCGTCCGAGTCTCTTCTCTGTCTGGTGTAGTTTGTGGCAGGGGTGGGCGGCTGTGCTGAGCCTCGATGTTTGCCTGCTCGTCCGGCTTCGGCCTCCATCCTCAATTAACGTCAACATCTTCGTATTTATCAACCAATATTTATATACAATAATTATCGATATCTGTGCTATGTCAGGATCGGAAAACGAAGACTACGTTTTTGTCGACGAACCTGCGCTCAGCGACCGAGAATCCCCCGAGCTAGTCGCCGAGTTGAGAGCCTGGCTGAAACCCACCGATTATCTGGGAGAGTCGTCTGATTTCAAAAGGCATCTCAATTCACACGTCCCGGGAACAGGGGACTGGCTTCCACAGACATTTCAGTACCAACAGTGGCACGATGGAGCTGCGGGCGCGCTCTGGCTGAAGGCCATCGCTGGCGCTGGCAAGAGCGTCTTAGCAGCCAGACTTGTTTCGCAGCTAATGAATACCGAGAGCAAAGCGCCTGTTCTCTTCTTTTTCTTCCGCCAGATTGTCGCCTTGAATCATGATGTCTGTCCACTTGCTCGAGACTGGCTGGCCCAGCTGCTGGAGTTTTCGCCGAATCTGCGGACGACACTAAAGGCGTGGATAAAGCAGGAACGCGACATAGAGGACGTTGCATTTACAGAGCTCTGGAAGCTACTGCTGGATAGCTTTAGCGTTCTACCGAAGGTCTATTGTGTTGTGGATGCACTGGACGAGCTGGATTCCGAGAAGACGAACGATTTCCTGCTTCACCTTGTGGACTTGGGCCAGACACGCCCAGATGCTGTCAAGGTGCTCATGACCAGTCGACCGCTACCGCAGATTCAGAAAGTCTTGAACGCCCCCTCTGTCTTGCAGGTCAGACTGGAGGATAGGCAGACAAATAAGGATATCTCGCTGTTCATCCGGCACCGGCTGCGCGAGGCACACCATGTCAACGAATATTCGAAAGAGACCATTAGAAGAGCAGTGGAGGATCATGCTCATCATTCGTTTCTGTACGCCCGCCTGGTGCTGAATGATCTCTTGGACGAGCACAAGAGAAATTCGGTTCACATAGCATCTGCCGAGAATGGTCTCCTGGCACTCCCGTCGAGCATGGAAGACATGTATTCGCAGATGTTGCACGAACACGCCCAGGTCGCCGGAGTTCCACAGGAGAGACAGATGCTGATTCTCCAGCTTGTAACCCACGCATCGCGCCCTCTGCGCTTACTCGAGATTGCCACGGTCTTGGACTTTTTGGATATGGGCGATAATGGCAACAGGTATGGTGACACTAAGAACTTGACGCGGATGTCCTGTGGCCCTCTGCTTGAGATCCTCGACGATGAGACAGTGTCAATCATCCATCATTCTTTCACTGAGTTCCTGATCGATCGGGGTGGACAGCAGGATGTTGGTGCGTTTCCGGTGATCGAGTCGACAAAAGCGCATGAGTTTCTGGCGCTGCTCTGCGTGCGGTACTTATTGTCAGGGACACTATCCTCATGGAAAATTACAAATGTACGTCCAGTATTTCGCAACGCTGGTGTGTCGTCGCGGCAAAAATCGCTCCAACTGCAACATCCGTTCCTTGCTTATGCGCTTTCCAATTGGGATTACCACATGCGGCACCTCAAGGAACTGAATGAGCCGCTGGTAGGGGCTATAAAAACGTTCGTAAGCCCAGGGAACCACGCCTTTGGCTCTTGGATTGACTTGGCTGTTTGTCCGGGGTTCTCCGTGGAGCTCATGTCTCCTCTCCATGTGGCCGCATGGGTCGGCCTGACGAGCATGGCCAAGTTGCTGCATAGCACAGGCTACAGCCAAATGGTTAACGGATGCGACGGGGATGACCATACACCACTGGCACTGGCTGCTCAGCGAGGCTACATCGACACGGTGGCCTACCTACTGGATATTGGGGCAGTGCCAGATCAACCAAACAAACTCGGCTTGAGCGCCTTGCACTTTGCCGCGCAGTCAAACCATCATGCCATTGTCCGGCTCCTCCTGAAAACCGGCGTTAGCCCATTGATCAAGAAGGCCTGGGAAAACCCAGGGAGGCGTTGTGGTAATGCCCCCAGCACGGCCGGGGATACCCCGTTGAAATATGCCTCTGAGTCGGGTTGCGTTGAGACCGTCCGTGAAATGATACCATATCTAGACCCAGACAGTTGTGTTTCGTCGCTTAGACTTGCAGTCAAATTCCGGCACGCAGCTCTTGTCAAGGTGCTTATTGAGCCTGCAAATATTGATATAAAGGCTCCGCTGGCTGGCGACCTTCTGCTCAAGGCTGGAACCAACGGAGATGTGGATACTATGGAGTTTTTGATGGGGAAGGGCGTTGACCCCTTGTATCGTAAGGAACGTGATAGTCTCGCTCTTGGTCTAATATCTCTGCTCTCTGACGAGCCAGCCGAAGACTCCTCCCTGCTCCTTGCCATTTGTGCTGGGTCTCTGGATAGGAGATCTTACAGATGGAAGCCTCCGGGTCTGCCGCTTGAGCCAGCTTTGGATTTGGCTCTTGATGCAGGATGCAAGGTCAACGATATAGGGTTGAATGGCAACACACCATTGCATTACTGCGTGGGGAGCACTGTTTCTGTCATCCAGAGACTCTTGGAACGTGGCGCAGACGTTCATGCGAGAGACAGCGGCGGAAGGACGCCCTTGCATCTATTAAAACCATGCCCTGAGACGATCCCGATCCTAGATCTTCTTCTGCGCCACGGGGCTAAGTGGGACGACGGTGGAAGCGACACGGGGAAGACACTGGCCCATATTTGTCTCGAATCCTGGGAAGGCGATGATGATTTGGGAGTCCTACAGCCGTTCGTGGAAGACTGGAATGTCCAAGACGCGGCTGGGAACACGCCACTTCACGTACTCGTCGCAAGACGCATGTGGCCGAAATATATTGCCCGCCTCATTGAACAGCTCATATCCTTTGGAGCGGATGTCAACCAAAGGAATAACGCCGGTAATGTTCCTCTACATGTGATACATTCTGATTGCGTATCTCACTATGCTCCCCTCTTTGCTGCGGCTGGGGCAAATCTCGAAGCAAGAGATAATGAAGGCAGAACGTGGTTTCTACGGGCTGCCATGGACGACTCGTGGCGCCCTAGTAGCCTGTCAACAGTGATAGATTTTGGCGTCAATATAAACGTCGTCGACTTTGACGGAAACAATGCACTTCATCTTAGCTGCACCGGGGAACGAGCAGCAGACAGAGTCAAATACTTCCTGCAGGCCGGTATTGACCCTTTACATGTCAACCACAAAGGAGATACCTTGTACCACCGGCTTATGCGGCGGTATTTCGAATTCCGCCTGGATGATCCTTTTGATGTGCTCTGTCTGCTGCGGGCTACAGATATCCCCGTCCACTCGAGAAACCACAGTGGCGAAACTCTGCTTCATATCGCCTTCAGTAGTTTCCCGGAGGATAGCGAGTCTTGTAAGCTGCTACATTCAGCCCGCAGCCCATTTTGTCTGTTCCAGGCATCCGACATCGCCTCGATGATATCCACGGCAGATCACCAAGGTAGACTGCCGATCCATCGGGCAGCCACCACTGGGGAGGAATATGTTGGGTGGCTAATTCATAGAGGCGCGCAGGTCTCTGTGCGAACGTATCAAAAGCAAAACCCACTTCATTTAGCTGCTATTGCAAAACAAAGCAACGTAGTCGGGCTTGTCCTAGAGGCCTATGGGGATGCAGAACGACAGCGCAAAGCTGTCAACGAACGGGATGCCTGGGGACGCACTCCTCTACATTATGCCTGCCAGTCTGCTCGGCCAGAGAGTGTCAAACTCTTGTTGAGTGCGGGCGCTGACCCCGGGATACTTGATGAGGAACGCTGCACAGCACTGCACATGTGTGCGCAGTTTCACAGAAAGTTGGATATCAGCTTCCGGTATCGTGATATCATAGCAAACCCCAGTATCAGATCCGACGACGACACGCTTAGGGTGAAGGACATTGTGCATATTCTGTGCCGACATAGAGTTGACCTTATGAGCTCCAAATGGCCTGTGATAAATTCTGTTCAGTACGCTATAAATGCCCGCAGTGGGCCGATGGCAGCTGCTCTTCTAGATGAGATGGAAGGTGCAACGGACGCGCGGAAATCCGAGCTCGAACGACATTCTGATCTGGTTCCATTCCTACAGTTGGCTTGTGCTAACGGGAATGCCAGCTCTATCGTTGACCAAGTCATGCAGGACCACTCTACCGATATGATTGGGATTTGTGACCATGCTCTTGTCGCTGGGGCCTTTGGTGTCCTGGATGGGCTGGCCAGGCGCGGCGTCCAACCACGGCGCCGGCTGAAATCTGGCAGTGAGGACTTTCTGCACAAGCTGGCCCGTTGGGGCTTCTTTGAACAGTTTGAGAAGTTCGGATCCAAACGACAGGAGGAGGGCTGGGTCAACGGTTCTCAGAGCTCACCGGATACGGACTACCCTGGTGTTCAGCCGTTCATTCTGACAGTGGTCCAAAGCACTTTACCAAACATGGATCTCCTCTCACTAGTTGTGGAGACCTTCAAGGCCGACGTTAATATAAAGCCTGTTGAATGTCTCCGGCGTAGCATGGACACCTGTGCACTGCATATACTCGCTCGAGGCAACCATTGGTGGCAGACAGGGGCTATTCAATACCTTCTCGACCACGGGGCAGATGGTAATATCACTGATGCGCTTGGCCGAAACGCTCTCCATGTAGCCGTACAGGGTGGTTATCAACGTCTGCGCATAGTCAAGCTCCTTTTGGACCACGGCGCCGACCCGAACGCAGCGGACGAGAAAGGTACGACACCGCTGACCCTGGTTGAGGGAGATAGTGCGATGGCCACGGTACTCATCGAATATGGTGCCGATTTAATATCTGGGAAGATGTCATTGCTCTCCAAATGCATCAAAGTGTTGGATATTGACGTGCTGAGAGCTATTTTGGCTACGGGCATAGACTGCAACCAGCGAATTGACAATGTCTATACCCCCCTCGACATAGACGAGTGGGATTATATGGATACGCTCCGTCTATTTCTTAGTTCCAACGATACGTATCCCCTTCAGCTAGCCGCGCTTCGGCATGCAGGGTCTGATACCCAGCGAGCAATGGTCGCCGCGACTGTACAGCTCCTCCTTGACAACGGGGCTGATCCTTGGGCTCCTGTGAATGGAGATACAACTATCCTGCACGACCTGCTCTCGCGCAGCGCCATGGTAGATACCTTCCTTGCCCAGCCAAACATAGAGATCGACGGGCGAGATTCCCGTGGTAGGACTCTCCTCCTGGCGGCTTGTCACGGCCACGAACAGGAGCGTAGTCGGGGTCTAGACTCAGTGGTGGAGCTCGCTCGGAGGCTCTGGGACATGGGGGCTGATATATCGGCTGCAACGAATGAGAGAGACACGGTGGTCCATCTGCTGCTGCGTAGCTATGACCTTCGAATCCACGAGTTCGAGGCACAAGTTGCGGCAAAAAATAATAAGGGACAGAATAATGCAGCCGCCGAAACTCTGCGCCAGCTCATTGAGAAATGTCCTTCTCTCAGCGTCCGACCAAATCTTGCTGGATACACTCCCATCCATATAGCAGCTAGACGGCTGCTCCTCTGCCTCGTTCGGCAGCTGAGAGACGCGGGTGCTGATATACAGACCCCAGATCCTAAAGGAAACACCATTCTACACCACATTGTTCCAAATATGCGCCGTTGTGGAGAGGATGCTCTGCATGAGTACCTGGCCCTGGGCCTCGATATCAACGCAAGAAACCATGACGGCCTCACCCCTGTCTGGAAACACTTCGCTGACGGTGTTTGCGCTGGAGAAGCGGTGTTGACCCCAGAGATGCTGGAGACCCTCCGTATTGCGGGAGCAGACTTGATGGGGAGCAATGGCGACGGTGAAACCTTGCTTCATCTGGTTGCTAGGATGAAGATCCGATCGTATGATTCTGATCGTGAAAGCAGGCCATCGGAACGTTCAGATACTGGCGCGTTCAAATACCTGTTGGGATTAGGACTTGACCCGCTTTTGGAGGATAATAAACAGAGAACGTCGATGGTAAGTTATCCTTTCCTCTATTTATGTTTGTTGTCTTTGTTGGTTGGATTAGGGCTGATATCATGAAGGATGTTGCTGCGGCGTATGGAAAGGACGGTATTTTGGAACTCTTTCAGAAGAGATGATATGCAATATAGCAAACGGAGATGTATTGAGGCATTCCACGTAAGGATTAGCTTCCGTGTTACTTTCCATATAGCTTTCTATGTTAATGGTGGTGATAATGGCAGTAGTCTAATTGTAACAAGATCTTCTTGATACGCTCTTGGATTTGCTAAGCAGTCTACTGGTAGTAGCTTCATTTGAAGGCTATTAAGATGAATTACTCATGATTCGTTTTATACCAGTAAGTGATTCACCCACCAACCTCAGGCATGACGGTGAGAAGCAGGGTTGTTGGATATTGTCTGGATGGTACTTTAGTTCCAATATGACACTAGGGAAGGCCATTACTCTGGGACAGTGATCGTCAAGGTCTTGGTATATATTCTTTTCTACTTAGGTTTCTATACCTCCATTTCAGTATATAAACGAATCTGCAGTCTATAGAATATACAGATAAAATGTCATGCTCTGCTAAGACCAGTCCCCATCATCCACAACAGGCTCACCACGGTCCGCAGCATCTAGAAGCTCCCTCGCAGTCCATGGCTTATACGTGTAGCCAGGAACAGCATTCGCATTCTCAAACGGCGCACCGTGGAGGAGATGCTCGGCACATTTCGCATAATTTTCATACGCGTACTGCTCCGAATCATGGTGCACCACCCAGTTTCCTACCATTTTACCCAATACCTGAGGATTCTTCGCAACAGCATCCCAGTCTGTGTTATGGAATAGCTCGCGGTTCTTGAACCCCATCTTCTGTGCGCATGAGACTCGTTCGAACCTGTCACGTATTAACACAGGAGAATTCAACCGTCCAGTTTGGTCAACGCCTACCGTAAATGATTATGCACCTTACTTGCAATAGGCACGCCCTTTCTTCCGGCAATCTGCAGACATGCAGCCAGTGAATACGCGTCCTCCATGGCCATAGTCCCGCCACTCGCTGACGTGGGTAGGAATGGATGAGCGGCGTCGCCAATCTGGACAACTCGACCACCAGGCGATGCTGACCGGGGCTGAGGGTTCCGCCACATCAGCTTCCAGTCGAGTACGGTCTGGTTGGGTGTCGCTTTGATCAGCTCGGTGACGAACTCGTCCCAGCCTTGGACCGCCTCGAGGGCTTTGCTGATTGAGGTGGAGCTTGTCCAGCTTTCTTCCGCAGTATTGCTGTCTTCCTAGAGTGCCATTAGCACTATATCCACTGAATCCCACTGCACAAGCCCGGTTTACTACGCAGACAACGTACTCTGCGGGTAAGAAGCCAGCAAACATCCTCGCCGGACTTGCAAATCACGATATGTGCCCCGGGCCCTGCATACAGAAACGCACGATCCTTATACCCCGCGAATTCAGCCGCGATAACCGGATTCTCAAGCGCCGGCGCCACAGGGAACGTAACCCGATACATCACGAACCCCGAGCTGATAGGAGGGTCACGACTCCCAGCAACCAGCTCCCAAGACCTCGATCCCACGCCATCAGCAGCAACAACCACGTCCGCCGTTAAGCGCCGCCCATCGGACAAAACGACACCGCCTTGCTCATCGTTCTCGAAATACTCGACTGCGGTGGCTGAGAACTCGACCTGGATTCCGAGATTCTTGGCATACTCGAATAGCACCGCATGCAGCTTTGCGCGATATATAGCCAGAGAAGGATCGCTGGGATCGCCCGCGGTGAAGTCGGCAATTGGAGTCCCGTCAAACTTGCGCATGTTATATACGGGTGGAAAGGCTTCTTGCCTTGCCCGCTCCATGAAGCCTGGCCATTTCTTTGGTGTCTGTAGGGCTGGGGTGGTGATTACGATCACCTCTCCTAAGTCGGCAGTTAGCTGCTTGTACCTTTGCATGGAATATTATTCCACGCCTTATCCAGCGTTACGCACCAGAAGTCTCCCCTTCAAATCGCCGTTCGATGACCTGAACGGTATGGCCTTTGCGGTGGGCCTCAATGGCAAACGTTAGGCCAGCAATGCCACCGCCGACAACTAGGACCGAGATCCCGGTATCAGTGTTTCGTTCCATGTTTGTCTCAGAGAGGCCTTTGTGTTCAAGGTGCCCTGGTTATCAATTCATTCTGGGGGCGTCTGGGTATAAATAGACAGGAAACCCCCAAGTCTAACCACGGGAACTCACGGAAAGCAATGCACCATGACTGTGATGTCCTGCGTTGCCAGTGGATCTCAGGTTCAGCTTGAAGCAAGACGCTGTCCATCATTCCCATATCTTGCTAGGGCTTGTCGGTTCGGAACTGCCATCGTTCATACTCCGCTGAGTCAGCGCCTCAAACCTGCCTGTTTTAACTTGTTATTCAAGCAAACCGCGACGCAGCTCCCCGGAGTTAAAAAATAGGTCAATGGTAAGAATTGGACCCACAGGTATAGAGTATTCGCTGCTGGTAATGTGTTGAGATCAACTATCCGGGGCCGATATTTCGTAAGCGGGGTGGAGCAGATTGACTCCATTCGGCTGGGGATGCATTTATGCGTTAGAAAAAAGACAGCATTGTGAGTAAATTCTTGGTAACTTTTCTATTATGCCAAAAAGCCTTCCCTTTCGTTGCCTAGTGTGTTTTTCAAGTTGGAGTATAAATATGGCTATCGTCTACTTTTTCGACTATACTCAGCACCTCATCTACTAGCCAGAAAAAGCCAAGGACATACTAAGTATATGGCATATAATGACCTTAATTCAAGCTTAAACGTCTAATGAGAATAGAAAAAGGGTAGATAATAGTAGGGGTTTAGTATAGCTAAACTGTCTTTATAGGGAATCGGAATGGTCGGGGAAAGCCTTTCGAACCATGCCGGTGTATAAGTCCATCATCGCTGAGGGTCCTTTTGTTCGGGATGGACTAAGGAGTGGCAGCTACACAACATACTACGACGGATATAATTCTATATGGAATAGACTGGATTGCAAGACGACAACTGACAACTGTAGGTACATGAAAACATGCGAAGATAACTCTTCAGTCCATCTCAATAAACCCAACGAAACATCAATCATCTTAACGAAAGTATCTTGACCAAGAGAACAGCCCAGAAAGTGCCGAGGGCTTGCAAATGATAGTTAGAATATTTTCTTCACTGCAGCTTCTCGATGGCTTACATGCGCATGGACTCAATCAAGCAGAGCGAGATCCCATCGAGTACGCCCCAAATCCAAGGTCGACACAGTCGTCTTTCCTGAAGACATTGCTGCCGCCATCAGCCCAGTAGTCGACCCATCCCCGGCCTAGGGCATTGCAAGAGCCGTCCGAGTAAAACCCAGCACGCTGACGATGAGCTCCGTAGGACAGGACACGGAAGGACTGTGTCTTGGGAAGACCCGAGCCTTTGCAGGTGTTGTCGTAGATGTTGACTTCCTTTGCGTCGCCCTTGCAACCTGGGTCTGTGAATGCGCGGACCTTGAAGGAGAGGGCGCCGCTGCTGAGGCAGAGGAGGGTGAGGATGCTTCCGAGCTGCATTTTTGTGGTGGCGTTGATATAGGTGTAGTTGAAGTAGATATGATATTTTGATCTTGGAATAGAAGCTGTGTGTTGATACCCAGAGATTCGACTTCCCTGAGGCCCTTTTATATTAAGATTGGGAGAAAGGCTCGGTGACGCGGCGTACAATTCATCGTCGCAAAGGAGGAGGCCTATACACCTGGCCCGTGTGTTAGATACGAAGATGAATATGTTTTCGGATATACCCTGCGCAGTACTATGGCGATCTTGACGTTATCCAGCAAATACTCAGCGCATTGGGGCCAGGGGCACAGTACCTGCGCATCGTATATCCGAATAAAGTTACTCAGGGACGATCCAAGGGTCGAGATCCTGCCGAGTTTCTGCAGATCTGCATATGGTTCGGGGACCTGATATGCACCTTGCAGCAGCTTGCATTCCAGGGCTCGGCAACCCCAGACAACATCCAATAGGACCATAACGTTGTTTCTCTCATAGATGAACCTCTCATTGATCGGCGCTTGAAGGGAAATGTCGGTCAACGATGAGGTCAATTTGGAGATACGAACTGAAGGCGTTTACCTTGATGCGGTTTTACCCAGCGCTGTGCGACGATCGTTTTATTCTAACCAAGGAGGCAGTGCCTCAACATGTATGCTTGCTATCAAGTTGAACTTCTGGCCTCGTCACTGCTGATATCCAGCTATAAAATCCAAAGCAAACCCCCTCAGTTCTCATCATCCATCAACAATCAATCCACTTAATTCCAATTCCAATTCCACATTTCCAATCAATCCAGTACTTCAATTCCTACAAACGCATCATGCATGTCCTCAAGACCCTCGCCCTTCTAAGCGCCACCTCGGGCGCCCTCGCCTTCAAGGTCCGCGCCTTCACCGGCGAAAACTGCTCGGGAGACGCCAAAGAAATCAACGTCTGGGACAACACCTGCCGTGACGAAAACGTTCCTGCCACTAAATCCTACCGCGTGCTCGCCTACGGCGCGGGCCGCCAGAGAGCTGCCTTTTACGAAGGCGGAGACTGCATTGGCGGAGGACGATGGAATGACTGGTGGGCTGATGGTGGAAGTGATACCTTCAAGAAGGATGCGTGTATTGACTTGGGCTTTACGTCTAAGGCTTTTGGGTCTCGCTCTGTTTAGCCCTAAGGTAAGCGTCTTACTCTGGTTATTGTGTAGCCTAGGTTGTGTTCCTAACATTGTCTAGATGTGGACTCCGGATCGTTCTAAAGAGTCGAAGGCCAGGAGAGGGGGGTAGGAGAATGGTATCTGAAGGGTGGAACTGGGTCTCTGTCACTTTAGTTAACAGATATCTAAATGGGACAGCTTTGAAATAAACCAACCCAACGGGCGAAGATGGTGAATTTCTAGTTTTCATAGAGATAGACTTCATACTAGGTTTTACCCCCAAGAAGCTGTTCTTGCTCTGTCTTAACATCACGCTCCGTGGGCTAGATAAAATACGATAGTATAAACACTATGGGTAAAATATGACTATGCTTTCATTAGAGCTTCACGGGGGAGCCAATAGGCCAAACACTACTTTCCAGCGACAAGGTCAGCAGGGGCAAATGATTTTGTGACCCATGCACATCATTCTCCATGAATCCGCCTGATGGCTGCAGCTTTCCACCTCGTCGGCGGGGAATTGTTGCTTTGAATGCCAGGGCTGGATCAAAGAACCCGGACCACACAATATCTGCGACCGCGATACCGTAAAGGTCAGCGATGCGCTGGGGTGTCAAAGTCTGGCTTCCTTGATCCGCTGATACACTGCTGGATCATCGAATATCACATCGAGTGTGATTTCGTAAGGGCCGGCGTTTTTCGATCGGACCACACTGGCAATGTCACCGAGGGTCTTGGGTGCCGAGGATGCAGTTGTTGGAGTACTCCTGGATCCAGGGGCGAGCGTGTTGATTCTCTCGCCGTTAGTGTTTTTCCCTGGGGCCTGGCAATCCGTTTTGTCAATTCGAGGTCCTTTGCCCAATACACGCATCTCCCACTTGAGAAATTTGCCATCGACCTCCTTCGCACTCTCCCTCTCCTCAAGAAACTGGATCTCCTGTGCATACTCCTGTCCCTCTTCAAGTTCCACTAAGTGATATACCGAAAACTCAGCGCAAACTCCCATCTCAATTTCCAATTTCCCACCGATCCCCATGCCAAAGTTCCCACTCGTTGCTTTCTGACCTGCATATGCACCATGGACACAAGCAACTCTGGCGCACGAGGCAATGTCTGTTGCCAAGGCTTGGTTCTCCGCCAGGGCCTCTCCAACAAGAAAGACTTCTCCGCGGTGTTCCGCCGGTATGCTTGGATTAAAGCCATAGATATGAAAATACAACGACCATGCTTCCCCAACATGTGAATGTTGTTCGGTGACATAGGCACGCACGCGAGAGAGAAGGGAAGGAAGCTGCTGGATCAATATTGGGTCGCAAAAGGATCCCATGAAAATTGTGCGATGTCCAATGATCTTGGCTCCTTCAAACTTCATCGTGTACGGTGTGTTCGCATGCTTGGAAGCCTTGAAGACAGAGCCGTCAACATGGACAGTAATGCGATCATCTAGAACAGAATAGTTTGCAGTGGTCAGGTCCAGACAGCCGCCAGGGCCATGTAGAATGTCTGGCCGACACTTTTCGTACAGTGCATGTGCAGCTACACTCGTGGCGGTACACCGTGAACCAGAAGCCAAGGGACGTATGTCAAATGAGCCATCACAGTAGATAGTAGCCATGGAGGCCGCACACTTGGGAGTCGCGCAGGCTCCTCCACACTCCATCAGCTTACCCATATGCGTGAAGCCGCCAAGTACTGTGGAGCTTAGGTTCAGGGCGCTCGCATATGAATTGGTAGAAGACTTGAAGGCGCAGAATGCAACAAAAGGGCTCGGGTCATACGCTCTTCCGGCAACCAGAATGTCAAATTCAGGATGAGCGGCCATCGCCCGTACCATGGGTTCTGGCCCAATTTGGCCAACAATTGTTGGGGTAGCTTTGATGTCCTCGACAGTGAGGGCAGGTACACATGGACCACACCCGGAAACCTTGCCGGCTTCAAGCTGATGCAAAAGCCATTCCTTCCTCGTCTCACAATAAATTGAGAGGACCTTCAAGCTACTGTGCTGGCTGACACTAAATTAGCAAACTGCAAAAATCAGGATTCCAATGTGAAAATCTGTCTTACCTGGAGCCGGAAGTCTCGAGGGTCTCACGAATTATTTCAAGGAACTCGTTGACATGCGCATTACTGCCATCCCCGCCGGCTGAGCTGATCAACAAAGGGACATGGTAGCGTTGCACAAGCCGGATTAACTGGCGGAGATCTCTCTCGTAGGCCGATCGAGGGCAAGTCATAGTTCCTAGTGCAAGTTTTGCTGGTCCGGAATCTGTCGACCCAGAGTCCAGGATAATTGCTGTAGGGGCCTTTGCTTCCAAGCTTAATTGCAGACCAAACTCGACGTCTGCTACATTGAAACCATAGCCCAGCATCCCAACCGGAGTAATGATCTGGCATAAACGCTCGCGCGGGGCTTTGAGATCAGGCTGAATCGATTCCATGGTAAGGAGAACAAGATAGGAACGGAATAATTCAATTCAAGATACAATTATATCTCCCGCAGGAAGGTAATTCGCATTGACTGGATGGGAAAGTGACTTCAAATACGCGCTGGGGTTTGATAGTTCGGCCCGGTAAGCGAACATCGCTTTGGTGCCGCAGTTCCGAAGCGATTATGGTGGATGATTATACACTAAGGAGTTGTGGCTGGCATTTGGAACAATGTGCTGATGTTATCCATACCAGCGAACCAGGAATTCCATTCAAACAAGTCGTCTCCGAATGGTGGTAGATCGGTAAAGTCTTCCAACGCTGGTAGATCCGAAACCCCGGCGGGTGAGTCTTCAGCGACGTTCGACTCCTGAGAACCTAGCTGGCTTCGAAAGTGCCCCACCATTCTCATCCCGCTGTTTATTATGCTCAAAGGTCGATTTCCCTCGCCAGGCTGGCGCAGTTCCATGCATACGCCCTGTGCCTCGATATGGCGTGAGAGGAATTCAATTGCTTTTCCCGCTCGATAAGGCTCATCCCTTTCCTCTGTCGACTGGGCAGTCAGTGTCTCATACGCCTTTTTGATATGGTTCCGGGCGAGAAGCTTGTCGTGTATCGATATATTGGTGTCAATAGCCAGCAAATTGATAAAATACATCCCTGCCATTACAAGTGCAGATAAATATTGCTTTGGAAAATGGGTGACGAACGACTCGGTTGTCGACTCAAGATTACCTTCTTGGCTTGACTGAGCCCAGCCAGAAAACGTATCCACAAGCTTCATGGCTGCATGGAAGCCTTTGTACCACGTTGCCTTTGTAAGAGCGTCCGGGCCATCATTCGCGGTCTTGTGTGAGGTTCGCGAAAGCAGCGGTAGCGAATACAGCCTAAGCCGTGCTGCAACTATGCTAATCTGAAGTGATGCATAGATTCCTCTCGGCATACGACTTTCAATAGCGTCCAAATCACTGTCAAGAAGCTCTATGAATGATCTTTGGGCTGTACTGCTGACTTGGTCGTTCAGCAGCGAAGTAGCTCGGATTGAATAGGCTTGGATTTCCAAAAGCGCTAAAAACTCTTCTGGGAGGCTGCTCCTGATAGAGTCGCGAACTCTAGGCATTAAGGAAGCAACGGAGGCCATTGGGGGAGGCAGCGACAGACAAGCCGCCAGGCTTTGACTTCAGTTAGTTCCGCGCCAGACACAGTCACATCCAGATGTACTTACTTTGTGCTAACTACAAAGCACCCGAGCCACGTTTTTAACCGCGAAGTATGCTCATCTGGGCTCGGTCGAACGGGCTGACCCCAGTTCACTGGAGAGCCTTCTAGGCCCATCTTCAAGGCAGCAGCAACGGCTATTCCACAGTACTCCCAGCTTGGGTCGTCCAGCTGGGTTTCTACGGGGAACGGCCACAGACAAAGGAGCAGGAGGGCTTGAATAGTGTGAATGCTGCGAACTGATCGAATCATACTATTCGCCAATATTCGAAGAAATGGCTCCTTGAGCACACGGGAGAGGTCGCCATGTAGGGGGTGCTTTCTGGACGCAATGACAATTATCGTCCAGAAAAGAAGAGGGCTTACGATCCTGATAGAATCTATCGACTTTGTCAAATCCAGAATGGGAAGGTGATGGAAATAATGACGAGCAAAGCTGCAACCTAATTATTAGCCCACTAAACTTCTCCAGTGTCAACAGGCGGGGATACCATACTGTTCAAAGAGGTCTCGGATAGTCAAGCCATCTAATTCAACTTCTTCGAGTAGCTGGGCTTGTGGTAATTCCCAGGTAAAGCTACTCGGCAAAGGGGGCTCTTGATCCTTTTGCACAGGTGGCAAGGCATGCCCTCCTGGTAAATTAGCGTCCAGATCTGATTTAACAGGCGTCGTTTCTGTGTTAACAAGCCGGCGTAATCGTTCATTCTCTTCCATCGCTTTCTCAAGCGACCTGGGAAATTTAGATCCAAGTTTTGGTCAAGATTCCAAGGAATAACTTACCCTCTCACTGGTTTTCTTTTGAACTTGGAGTCGAATTTGCAGCTCATGCGATGTTTCTGGCATCGAGTGCACGGTGCTGGAAAACATTGCGTGGCATCGCAGCGCAGCTGAAGATGATGTGAGTTCAACGAGCGTCCGATTGCCGGGCTCAATAACCAACCTTCACCTGGCGGCAGGAAGTACATGCCATTGATGAGCGCTTGGACGGACGAGCTCTACTTTCACTTCGGTCCATTTTTCCAATGTTCGCAGCTTGCAGTATCGGTGGTACAGATGGGAACAAGATGGGAAGTGAGGTGAAATTTTACCCACATTCCAATAGCCCCGGTATTTGTTCGCTTCAAACCATGGCAGCCTGGTGCCAAGAATATGGACCTCAGTTATTACAAGAAAGTGGGTGTTATGAAGAACAGAGGAAAGAGAAGTGAGAAACGAAGAGGAAGAGGGGAGGAATTCCACGTGACCTCGCCAGGCGTCCTGCTCCCTACGAGTTGTAGATTTCTCTATTTTTCTACCAAAATGAGTCGGATTAAAAATTGTCAGTCGATTCGGGCTCGTACAAAGCAGAGCTATCGATTTTAGTCTTTTTAAAAGTGGCCCATTCAATTGCCGACTATTTACACAACATGGTCTGCCTATAGCATCATCCAAATATATATCTGGAAAACAAGTGATCTATCGTGAAACCTGATGGCAGTCCAATGGACTCAGGTGGTATAATAGAAGTCTAATATGGATTACAGGTTAGCAAATTTTTCAATGGCCTATGAGTTGACAGTCTTACCAGGGTGAAGGTCTCCAAGTTCTTCCAAGCTCTCCTCTCTCTGGCGGTGCGCCTCGTCTGTGTGTTGGGCTTTCCTCTTTCTCTCATTCAAAACACCCAGATACCATCTTAGGACAAGAGAGAGTACGAGAGTGCAGCAGCACAAGCCAAGGGCAGAGGCATTGCCTTTCCGGTCTGTTGATATTGCTGTCAGTAAACTACCAACGTAGGTTAGAGCTCAGTATCAAGACATACACAATGGCGGATCACTATAGGCCTGAGTTCCACAGATGGCGAAGGCCTGTGAGAATATATTCATAAAAGCCAAACAAGAGCCCCTGTTTTCCTTGGTTAGTATTGAAGTCTCTCAAATGGTCTATACTCGGCCTACCTTCGCGTATATCCAACGAAATTCATAGCCGCCCAGGACAATTGAAGGACAATATTCGGGTGAATGGAGAACGCAAGAACACATGTCGCAGCGAACCGAGCACGTTGATTCTTAACTGCTAGCAGCACTGCGTACCCAACAATTGCACCGCATGTCGAGGCAGCAAGAGTGAGGCCTCGCGCGTTCGTTCGATCAGCCACCCGGGCCCAGAATAGAATCCCAACGCATGCACATGCGTATACAATGACCGTAAACATCTGCGTATCTACTTGGTTGTATCCAAAGCTCTGTGAACAAGTCATATCAGCATCTAACTCACCACTAACAGGGTGGAGCTACTACCTCAATAATCGCCGGAAGAAAGTTGGACATCGAACCAACACAGAAATGTCCACAGCATGCAATACCCAACAGAAGCCAGAAATGCACGCTTAGCAGGATGAGCGGTATTTTCTTCACCTGCAGCCTTGCTTCGGACGTGTTATGAGCGTTTCGTGCCCGACGCACAACAAGGGCCTTTTCCTCCTCGCTGAATCCAAGCTTGAGTGTTTCAGGGCTGGCCGGTAGGAGGAATAGAACGATAAATGCAAATGCACAGGGCATGATACCCTCGATCAGAAATATCCAGCGCCATGCTCGCCAGCCATTCACTCCATCTAGATCTTTGGCAATCCCGTACGCGATAAGTCCGTTGAATGCCCCGGCCAAGGACGACATGGAGTAGAAGATGGCACCCCGTGTAGCAAGCTCGCTGTACTGATACCAGAAGCTCAGGTCTATAATAACACTAGCTGTTAGATAGTAGTAGACACACGAGAGACGAACACTCACAGAAGACGCCCCCCTGGACGAATGCCTCGGCGACGCCGACCAGAAAACGTACTGCTAGAAGATGCGCCGTGGTCTTGATGCAGACAGTCGCAGCCGTAATTGCTCCCCACTATCAAATTATATCAGACTTGGGTTCTTAGACTATGTTCAAATTGAATGGCTTTCTTACAGTCATCATTGCGCCAGCAAATTGCCTAGCAGGGCCTATCTGCTTAATCAACAGCGTACCTGGTAGCTGGAAGATAATGTAGCCAACTAGAAGTATAGTGGCAGCATTTGAGTATCCTTGGGGTGATATGCGTAGTTCCTCAGATAAACCAGCAACCTTTGCATTCGCGAGATCGGAGCGACCGTGAGCAGAGTTAGATCGGTGACAACGAAATGTCATCGCTGCCTACCATTGACGCGAAGAAGTATACACTAGAAATAAGTGGTAGAATGAGTAGATCGAGCTTCCATTTCAATCTGCGATGCTGTGACAAAGGAACGTCAGTCTCGACGTGGACTTCTTCATGGCTGTGGCAGACTTCCACATCGTGAGACTCTTTGCGCTCGACGGAATTTGACGACATGATGGCCTGTTTGGTTCTGCCGTTCTTGAAGCCTAATGACCTACATCTTAAATGTGTCCAAGATGAACGCCTAGCTGAGATTTACAGTGGCTCATCTGCAGCGATTCTCGGCAGTGGAAGCGCACAGAAGCGATTTGATGAGACTGTGGGAGATCGACGTGGCGCAGGCGAATATGGGGAGGCCTTACAGAATTCATATTCAGGTCTGTCAGGCCTGGATAGCCTGAAGCGAAGTTCGCTCCGTTGTGCGAAACTCGCTTGCCGCCCGTACTACCTATATATATGTTGATCGGGTTCGAAGAGCCTCACCACAATAACCTTCAAAACATCCATTATGCAAAAACCGTTGTCAACAGCCGATGTGCCTTCTCAGTTCCTCCAGGCGGCGTTCATGGTGGGCCATACGCCACTGAGGGCACTGAAGTCCGATCCACGCGTTTCGTACTCGCTCTACATACCACCACAGCACTACGACACAGCCTCAATTAAGAAGCTGCCTCTTCTGGTTTGGATACATGGCACCCTCCGAAAAATGGGCACACTTTATTCTAATGAGATGGTCTCCTTTGCGACCTCGACACCTTGCGCCATTCTCGCCCCGTTATACCCTAGTGGTCTGGACGGGCCAAATGACTTGGACTCGTACAAAACGCTGCGCTCAAAGTCACTCTCTTCAGACCTTGCGGTGTTATCTATCCTGGAGGAAGTCGCGGCTCGGTGGCCAGGGATAGAGACCGGCAAGATCTTCATGATGGGATTCTCAGGGGGTGGCCAGTTTGCTCAGCGATTCCTCTATCTCTATCCTGAAAAGCTACTGGCTGTCAGCATTGGAGCACCAGGACGTACAACAATGTTAGACCCAGACAAACCATGGCCAGAAGGCATTGCAAATGTGGAGGAGTTGTTTGGCCGACCAGTGTCGACAAAACCTATTCAGCAAGTGCCTATCCAGCTGGCTGTCGGATCTGAGGATAACCAGATTCATGGCAGCGAGGAATTCTGGAACTGGGTGGGAAAGCTGACAAGAGGCCAGAAATCTGGAGATTTATCGGCGATGAGACAGGGAAGGCTGCAGACGCTGCAGGAATCGCAAACGGCATGGGAAGCGGATGGTATCAAGAGTCAGTTGGCGGTTGTAGATGGTGCCTCCCATGAAGCTGATAAGGTGCGACCGCATATGCTGCAGTTTTTGGAGCCCCTGATCCAAGAAGAATTTCGAAAGGGAGACACATGCTAGACCGTGGTATCCGTATGTCCATTTGGTCGGCTTCCTTAGTTATCTGATCCGGTGGCTTAACCTAATCTTATCTCTCCTGCCAGTATGGATGATCCGTCGAGCCTTCTTTCTGATTCCATCGATGACACCAAGAACGTACTCTAGTAAAAACCAAATTGAAACATTGTCGAATGCCGCACTAACAGACAAGCCACCGCTTAATATCTGGTACTGGTATTCTAATTCGGGGACAAGCTCAGGAGGTCCACACACACGTCACGCGCCGAGTCCAGGCCCATGCTGCCGAATTTATGCGACTGTCTGGCGTACGTCAAACAAATCGGAGCTTCGTCATCAACCAACGTGCTTTACCTTCAGGGGCGTTGATCTTGACGGATCTTGACGTGCGATCGTCGACGCCGGACGATCATCCGTTCGCTTCACCTTGGGCTTCCGTTAGTCCGCTGACGATATTGGAGGTTTTTGGAAGAGAGGTGGTGTACAGAGTATTAAGAATATCTCACTTCACTCCTCGATAGCTCTGATATACTTTTCCAAAGGAAGCAGCCTGGACCCTGGGAATAGCGGCAGTATGGCCTGGCTCAGAGCTGTCGTGATTGACCCACTGACCCACAAGGCAGAATGCTGCATGATCAGCATTCAATACCGTTGGGATGAAGGTCAGGAGTTGATAGCACCCTCGCTTTCATATGCCCATCTCTCAAGGTACCTCATAAGGAGCTTTGCGTTATAGCGCGTACCCCTATCCCTCGGTTATCTCCTGCTGCCTTCTCTCTTCCTTTCATCCACTGCCTCTATATAAAGTCCATCTTGCTCCATAGATTAGCATCATCTTCGACTGGCATCTCTTCACAAAGATTTACGGCTGTCATGCACATCCCATCTACGACCCTATTAATAGCTCTCGCAGCAGCAGCGCACGCCAAAGTCGCCCCTGAATGGCTGCAGGAGAACCACTCGAACGGCGACAACCCACCAACAGGGAAAGTCGACGATGTGCAGAAGGTAGTCTTAACGGGCGGCCGAGATGCCTTGAACCAGACTCAGCCTAGCAGCTGCCCGACTATTATGATTGGGACAGCCAAACCAAAGGGTGATAAGGATACCGGATGGGAAGAGTTGTATGTGATAGCACCATTATACAAAGCTTGAAGCTGAAGCTGATTTAATGCTATTTCTCAGGCCTACGGTTGCTGGATTTGACTTGAAGCGGGTCGTCGTCGACGATGATACCAACGCTACCCTGGTAGGTCTGACAATTAGACATACAGGCCAGCCAAGACTGATATTTCCAACAGCCATACTTTGTCGAGAATACAAAAGACTTCAGCCGCGTTAAGCGTGTGATCGTGACAATTGCTGGTGCCCGGAGAAAGTATGTCATTCCTTGCCTCTTAAACTGAGCATCTCTAACAGTCTGAACGCAGTGGGTGGCAATATGCCAACGGTAGGATCGAGCTCACTATCCCTCAGAAAGCCTCGCTAATTCAAGTGTGTTAGATATGCGGAACGCTCTGGTATGCGCGGCCGGGAAAGACAGTGTCAACGCAGACATGGACCGGGTCCTTGTTACCGCGCCTCAATGGCTGAATGAGGACGATGTCGACGCTGGAGCTGGGACATCCGATGATATCTATTTTGAGGGCAATGATTACCAAAAGGGCGATGCTGCAGTCGGTCCAGGAGATGTGAATCTCTCTTCCTTTGAAGCGTACGTGGAATTCAACCAGTCTGACTAGACGGAGACTGACATACCACAGGATGGATAAACTGGTCAAGAGCTTCTGGAACAAGGATGTTTATCCTGAACTGGATACTGTCGTTATTGCTAGTCACTGTACGTCCCTCTGCCGTCCGCTGTGACTACGTATCTGGCTAATATATACACCACAGCACTCGGCGCACAGATGATTCAACGCTGTATGTTATTCTCTTCCCCTTGAGTACCTCGACTAACTATCCAGACGCCATGCTCCGCCCAACCCAACCCGAAGACTCCAAAGTGCACTACGGCGTCATGAACCCAGGCTCCTACGCCTGGCCCGTAACAGACCGGCCCCTCGACGACAGCAGCTGCAACGGCACCTACAACGACTGGCCATACGGTATTAGTGACGACGAACCAGACGCCTTCCCCAAGTACGTCCGCACCGATGCCGTCGCCGGCCGATCCTCGATTCGCGAACGATACTTTTCACGAAACATATTCTATGGGTTTGGTCTGAAGGATCATGGCAAGGGTGATTCGAATTGCCAGGCACAGTGGCAGGGCAGTACGCATTTGGGCCGGGGGAGGAACTTTGATGATATGCTCAAGGGGCTGTCAGGGGGGTTTCCGAAGAGTCAGTCTGTGCATTATATTGAGGGGGTTTCGCATCAGGATTATAAGATGGTATGTTTATTCATCAGTTGGACATATTTGTGCTGACGTTTAATAGTTTATTTCGGATGCCATGCAGAAGAAGATGTTCTTGTTCGACGACAATGAATAGGAAGAAAGCCCGGCAGTTCAGGTATATCAGAACTCGTCATATTACTTGATGTTGCTGGGTTGTATTATTGGACTACATTTGGTACTATAGATTAATCACATAGATTTGTTTTCTTACTGCGTTGCTCATAAACACCAGGAACGGCGTAGAAGAATGCCTAGAGATATGGTACTTTATATTACAGGTTCTTCTGCTCCCACACCCGGAATTGCGTCTTGATTCCATGCTGCTGTCCCACAGCTCCGAAGAGCCACCTGCTTACGAGCGGCCACGGTAGACTGGCTGAGACGGTAGACTGGCTGACGGTGGGGGCCTAATGGACGTGCATTAGTGTTGGACATGGCGGCTCTTCCTCTGTTCCTTAACGCTGGGCTTGCCTCATGGCAGAACTCCATCCGGAAATTACCGGGAACACTGGAGCAGGAATACTGTCAATCGATTTCTACAATAGTTTACGGATCTCGGTCACAATGACAAGGACAAGACAAACGTACAATTAAGCACTGATAACGGCGATAACCGGGCCGCGTGCCATGAAGCCGAACGCCCACTAGCAACGGTCTAGCAACGGTCTAGCAACGATCTAGAAACGGCCTAATGCAGCCGATTCGCGATCCGGCTCGGTACAGCCTCACACTCTAGCCTGGAGGAGTTAAGGACAGAGCCTTAGGTCACTCCATCGTGAGGGGTTGTCCCACGGTGGCTTACCTGTCGGGGAGGCACTGTGCCCCTCAACGTCAGGTTTATATAAATCTCTTCCTGTTGGATATTGCAATTGCCTCTTCGCACGCGCTCGAAATAGCAATGACTTTAACCTCAAGCGAAACCATGCCAGCTACAAACGGCACCGCCCACGATGACTGGGCAATTGACACGTCTGCCTTTGCCTTTACCCCCCGCAAGCTGCGCGTGGTGTGTATCGGCGCGGGCATTTCTGGGTTGACCATGGCGTACAAGCTGAAGCATGAGCGCCCGCTTGACTATATAGACTTCACCATCTACGAGAAGAATCCTGAAGTCGGCGGGACGTGGTATGAGAATGTCTACCCGGGTGTTGGATGGTGCGTCCCCATGTTCAAAATGACAACATGACTACGCTAATAAATTGATAATATAGTGATATCCCAATTCGTTGGTTAATCGTTCCTCTTCGCTATTATGTCAAGTCTAATTCTACCAGACAGTTATGCTTTCTACTTCAATCCCAACCCCGACTGGTCGCAGTGCTATGCGAAGGGACCGGAGATCCAGCAGTATATCCTTGAAACAATCAAGAAGTTTGGTTTGGATGAGAAGGTGCAGCTTAATACCAAAGTCATTAGTTCGGTTTGGAATGAAGACCAAGGCCATTGGCAGCTGAAGCTTCAGCGCGGTGATGAGGTGGTCGAGGATAAGGCTGATGTCCTTCTTGATGGAAGTGGTATTCTCAAGTATGCCTTGTCTTGGCCTCTCGTCTCTATGATATAATATTAATGGGAACAGTAACTGGAGCCTTCCGGATATTGACGGCCTCGATACATTCCAAGGAAAGGTGCTGCATACAGCCAAATGGTGGCTCACCCTCTTTCTCCTCTGCATCTGCAATGCGAATTGACTTAACTAGGGACCTCGACTATGACTGGACTGACAAGAAGATTGCTGTTATTGGCAACGGCTCCTCAGCACTACAGGTCATCCCCGCCCTACAGCCAAAAGCTAGCAAACTCGTTAACTACATCCGGCATCCAACATGGGTATCCACCAACCTAGCTGGCGATATTACCAAAGACAAAATGGGAACAAACTTTCAATATACAGAGGAGGAGAAGAAACTATACCGTGAGGATCCAGCCAAATTCCTAGAGTATAGAAAATACATTGAACGATCGTGAGTGACCTACCGTGGACACTTGAACTCCTACTAATATACTCCAAAGAGTCAACATTACCTACCAGCTCATGCTCTCCGGCTCCCCCGGAAACAAATTCTTATATAACCTCGTTAACGGCGTCATGCGCGCCCGTCTCGCTGAAAATCCCCATCTCATCGACAAACTCATCCCAGACTATGAGATTGGCTGTCGTCGCCTTAGCCCCGGAGACGGATATCTAGAAGCCATGCAAGAGCCTAACGCGCGTTTCTGCTTCGACCCGATTACACGAATCACGCCTCGGGGGATCATCACGAAATCCAAATCCGAATCCGCGGAGGGAAAGGAGGAAGAAGAGGAATTCGACCTAATCGTCTGCGCCACCGGATTCAACACCTCGTTTATTCCCCCCTGGGAGCTGGTCGGACGGGACGGGCGAAGACTCGATGAAGAGTGGAAGGATATCCCACAGGCTTATTTCTCTATGTGTGCGCCTGGGATTCCGAATTACTTTATCTTTACTGGGCCTAATAATCCAATTGGACATGGGTCTGTTCCTGCCACGATAGCCTGGTCGGGGGATTATATGCTGGATTGGATTGAGAAAATTGCAAACGAGGATATCAAGTCAGTCTACCCTCCCTTTTATTTACAGATGATATACTGATGATAGGCTTAGGTCTATTGCCGTGAAAGACGATATTGTGTGTGCATATAATCGCTACGCGGTTGAGAGCTTGAAGCGCTGCGTGTGGTCCAAGGGCTGCACGGCCTGGTATAATAAGAAGAACGGGCAGAGTACGACGGTGACGGCGATGTATCCAGGAAGTGTGCTGCATTATAAAGGTGGGTTATTGTCCAGAGATAGTCTATCTGTGTGCTAACGAAACAGAATATATCAAAACCATCCGCCCTGAGCATTTCGACATCGGGTACAACACGTCCAATCCATTCCGGTATCTGGGGAATGGGGAACTGGAGTTTGAGAGGGCTGAGGATGGTGATCTTGCTTATTACTTGACTTGATTGATAGCAGACGATGGAGAGCGTGGTTCTTTTAAATGTTATTATGCGGGACTCGTAACCACGTTATTTCAAATCTCTTGTTTCTAGCTTGAAGTGACATCAACCACCAACTTCCCTGTAATCTAAACACATTGTCAGATAGGATAGCAATAGTTAGTAATGGTAGACCATGACTCACCTTATTTTGCGCACGTAATTCTCCTATACCTTCCATGATCTTCAAAGGTATTATCTGAACCTCTGGGACAACCTCTCCTCGTCTCACGAATTCCACGGCCTCGACTATATCTTGCCTCGTACCAGTCATCGACCCAATCACCCTGATACCATTATCAATGAGGGTTAAAGGATGGACCTGTATCGGTTCCGAGAGTGGCGTGATTCCAACACACACCAGCGTCCCAAATGGTGCTACAAGGTGGAATGCATCCTGGTACGCACGAGCAGACCCTGCAATGACAATAACAGCACTTGCTCCCTTGCCATCAGTTAGCCCTTTCACCGCACGAGCAATATCCAGCCCTTCCCGGTTTATATCCACGTAAACACTCGCTCCAAGCTCTAAACAAGCCTCTTCTTTCTCACTGCCCGCATCAACAGCAATAACCCTATATCCCATCGCCCGCGCGTACTGAATCCCCAACGAGCCAACACCACCTCCAGCCCCAAGCAGCACAACCCAGGCCCCAGGAACCACATTCGCAAGCTTCAGCGCTTTATAAGCCGTGACACCACCACACATAACCGGAGCAAGAACCGCATCCTCAAGGCCCTCAGGAAGCATACTGATATAATCAAACGGCACAACTGTGAAACCCGCAAGAGTCCCATCAACCTTCCGTCCAGAATGGATCTGTGCGGCGCAATGTGCCTCGCCCTCCCCGCCCTCATGTAGACAAAATGCGCAATCCCCACAGACGCCCCGGACCCAGGATATACCGACTCGTTGTCCGAGTTTCACTTGGGATTCGTTGAGTGCAGAGCCGAGTTTTGATACGCGTCCGATGCCCTCATGCCCGAGGATGGGGCGGGTTTGGCCGAGGGCACCTGAGGCAAGTGCGAAGTCGGTGCCGCAGAGACCTGTTACGGAGAGTTTTACGAGGACGTCTGTTGGGCCGGGCTGTGGGATTGGGAGGTCGGTGATTTCGAAATGGTGATTGGGGCCTGGGGACTGGACCGTAGTGTTAGATTAGGGCTGGATAGTAAGGAGGAATTGGCGAACCTTGAGCACCGCGGCTCGGTGAACTGGCGGTAGGTCCATGATTCTGTATTCCTGGACTGAGATTCATGCTATTGGGGAAAGTGGAATTACCTATAGATAATTGGATTCCAGTTCGGCATTGGCATCTCGAGATCTGCCGGTCTGGTATGGGTGGGGGTCCTCCGCTGTGCGGGCGCTCTCCGACACTGCCACGCTAGAGTAATGGAGTATAAGTTATCACGCACCGTGTCTGTTCGCACTGGCGAGAGATGAATTATGGGACTACATCATTTCTGAATGTGTTCAAGACTTTAAATCGGAAGTGTAAACTCGGTCGAGGCCTATTAACAAACGTGGTCTATGCAGCTCTGGCTATATAAACACAAAGTAAAATAAAAGTACAATAACAATCCGAACGCCCATCCTCAATCGTCTCAAAGGTCCACCTCAGCTCATAAGGGGATAAAAGCCACAGCAAGCGCAGCAACCAGTGCAGCCCCAGCACCAGGCTTCAACATGCCAGCAGCATCCTCATCGTCATCCCAGATATCATCCCATGTATCCTTAATGTCATCCCCAACGTCATTGACACCGTCCTTCACACGGTCCACAAAGCTATCATCGTCATCGTCATCGTCATCGTCCCAGCTGCAGTCGTCCCCATCAGGACAGCATCCCCATTTGCCATTGTCCCTTTGGCACTCTTCATTGCTGGGACATCCACCAGACACATCGTCAGGGCAGCAGGTGTAGTCCTGGTCCACGCAGGCGTCGCCGCAGCGCTTCTGGTCGCTGCTGCAGACTTCATCGTTGTCTTGAGGTGAGCGAGCGAGGACGTGTGCTGATGAGCTTAGGGGCTTCATGGGCATTGGGCTGCGCTTGGTGATCGCATCGTTGCTTTCTGCTGCGAGGTTGGGGGTTGCGATAGCGAGGGGAGCGAGGACCAGGGCGAGAGATATTGAGGAGAGACGCATTTTGTTGAGTGTTTGTTGTTCAGAGGTGGTATAATAAAGTAGATAGACTGTAGAGGTGATTTGAGATTCAAGTCGTAATAATCAATTATTGTGTTGCTGATGATAAACCCCAGATGAACGGGCATCAACCTCCCTTATATACATGCATCCTCTCACCAAAATGACGCTGCCAACGTTCCATCTCACCGGTTCCCCCAGCCCGATCCTTTGGCTGAATCCCCATCGGTACATGAGTATAGAAATAGGCAAACACGGCGCCGCCCAGCCCAAAGCAGTAATTTCGAGGCACAGCCACCGCCGTCAGCCCTGCTGCCAGCAGACGACGCCAAGCTGCTGATCGCGCTCTCGCCCAATAATACGCGCTCGAATCTTGTTTCTGGGTCTTGGAAACCCTGCTAAGGAAACCTCCTGGGTCATCAGCTCTTCAGGCTAAGCCATTCTGGGTGTTTTGGAGCGCTGCGTCGGACTGCGATTCAGGGTCTGGGCTGACCTCATTTCTGAAGAATTTCCTTCACCGCTGAGGTTGAATTGCGCGATCAAAACAGAGGTGTGAGGATTTTAATCGACCTATTGAGGCTGCATGTTGCGGGCTGCTATGTTTTCCCTGCAGCCCACGAGCCCTAATCCCCAAGACTCACATTGAGTGCTGCCTAGCTATACATAGAATCGGGTTCAATTAAAGTCTTACTCTTACTGCGCCTTCATGGACCCTGATCTTTCCGAGCTATGCGAATACGAGATGGATCAGGAAATAATTATGCAGGTTCCTGCGCAACAGCTTTGAATGACCGTCTTTATTGCACTGTCCACTATTGAGTTGCTTGAGACTTTTCTCTCGCTTTGCCGGTATCCAAACTAGAAAATACGTCTGCCTGATCCTTCTATACTATTTTCTCCGTCAATAAGTCACTATGCCTCCGAAGGGCATCACAGGGACGAAAACAATAGCATCATGGTGCGACTACTTACCTGCCTGAGCCTACAATTTCAGTCGCAAGCCCGAGGTGTAATTGTGGATGCATCAAGTAGAGGTGTATATCATGCAATATCAATCGTTCAGCTGGTATTCAATGCAATCATGAACAACTACTCAAACAAAAATACTCCTAGGGCAATAGACCAAACCCTACAAATCCCCACTATATTCCTCTTTAACGAGCGGAACAACAACCTTCAACCTCGCCAGATCCCTCATCGTATTAAACGCACTCTCGTACGAGTCCGCCGTTCCCAAAAATCCCAGTCTGCGTGCCTTGCACATACTAAGCGAAAGCGCCCAGCCGCCAATAACCGCGGAATCCGTCATTCCAAAGATCTGCGCTCTGTTCTTTGGCGTGAATGGGTCAAGACTCAGCCCGTGCTTTGAAGCGAGTTCCTTCCAAGCGTCTTGGACTTCCCCCCGTTCAGACCATTCTTGGAGACTGAATGTCGAGCGAGTCGTTCCAACGGGGCCATAACTGCAACACTTATTAGCAAGTGATTATACATATTAAGGATTTCGTACCCCCTCGGCGTCTCCACATATCTCGACGTGGTAACCCTATACTTCGACTCATCACTCTCCGGCGGCGACCAGGTCGTCCCATACCACTCCGCCAGATACATCCAGAACCGGCCCCATGTAAACGGCAGACCATCCTGGATATTGAACGCCTCATTCGAAGCCCCATCAGTAAGCAGCGCCCACTCCTCAAAATACCCATTCAGCAGCGCCGTGCTCTGGCAGTACTCGCGGTCCCACGCCGCATAGTCACCGGGAAATGCAAGAGGCTGGTTTAAGTGCGCCTGAATGGAGGCGTAGATTGACAGTCCCACCATGTGGTTGAGGGCACTATCGCGCACTGCGCCTATGATATACGATGGGCGGACAACGTTCCAGGTGACGCCGGTGGTGTTGCAGTACTCGAACAGGGCGTCTTCCTGTGGGTAATAGAAATTTGCTTCGAGATCGATTCGGGGATCAGATTCGAAGGAGGGATTTGTTGCTGGGCCGATGTGGAAGCCGTAGTGCTTTGCGCCGGTTTGCAGGAGGAAGCGTTTTGGTTTCAGGGCGGATTGTTGGAGGCCGGCGATGAAGTTTTGCAATAGGGTTCCTATAACATTAACATATTGTAAGCAGGGAGTGGATGGGAGGACGATACCGTTAACCCTGGCCAGTTCTTCTGCGTCTGACCACATCCCTAGTATATTTCCTTCTTGGGGTGGCTGCATGTACGAGAAGAAACAGACGTAGTCTCTATTCAAACCAGTTACAATCAGATCAGGTTAAATGATTTGATATACGTACACCTTGTCAATGACACTCAATTTGTCCGCAATCTCCGCCTGATCAGCGAGAAAGTCCACCGGGATGTGCGTAACTCGCCGTGCACCTTCGCCCAAATCCTCGAAGAAGTTACTTGGAGGAGGCCGACGAGATAGACAATAAATCTTGCTCCAGCGCTCTGGCGCAGCCGCTAGCACACGGACCATGTGGTATCCAGACATTCCATTTGCACCGGTGACAATGGCAGTCAGGTTCGAGAGCCCTTCAGTATCGGGATAGGTAGGGAGGCCCTGAAACGGGCCGTGAGACTGGACGAGTTGCGTAGTAGCCATGTTTAACCGGCTGGACTGAGAAAGGGCTGTCAGATCTGCAAGCTAGACAGAGAAAAGAAATTATCATCACCTGCTTTTATCTATGCTGTGATGGCTGTTGCCAACCCTACGTCTCCCCCGCATCTGTGCAGCACCCCCTCCCCAGACCCCTGCACACGCGTCGCCCTCGGATTTCCGATTTGTACTTGCTCATGCACTTGCAACTTGGAATCTTGACGGCAGCTGGTCAGGACTTTTAATACCCTGGTTCTGCAGTTCTGCACAACCCCTCCCTCTCCTCTCTCCCCCAGTACTAACCCCTCTACCCAACCAAGCCAGCAGAATGTCAAACCATCCCATACCAAGTGCAACAGAGCTCACAGAGCTATAAATAAACGGCACATACACCCCTGCCAAGTCTAAACAAACATACACCCTTTACAACCCAACCGACGCGTCGATCGTCTCCTCCCAAATCCCCATCGCGGGGCCCGAAGACGTCGACGCCGCCGTCACCGCAGCCGAAGAAGCATTCAACGGGGAATGGAGCCAGTTCAGTGGTGCACAGCGTTCAGCGTGTCTACGGAAACTAGCTGACCTCTTGGACGAGAATGACCGGCTTGTTAAGATCTTGACCCTTGATGCCCTGAGCACGGGGAATCCGGTCTCGCTTATCCCGACGAGGGAGAAGGGGTATATTATGGGGCAGTTGAATTATTATGGTATTTTATCCCCCTTCTGTAGATATTGATATAGTGAGAGATATGTCTAACAAGTGTAGCCGGCTGGACTGACAAATTACGCGGTGATTACTTCCCTGCTGATGATGGATTTGTCAAGCTTGTTCGCCATGAGCCACTTGGGTATGTCATGCAAACCACATTCAACCCCTAACCACCTATCTAACAATGTACAGGGTATGCGCAGGTATAAACCCATTCAACGCCCCCGTCGCGACATTAATCATGAAAGCCGCACCCTGCCTCGCAACAGGGAACGTCATGATCCTGAAACCGTCCGAGCACAGTCCTCTTGGGTCGCTGGCAATCGCACCTCTATTCGAAGCTGCAGGCTTTCCCAAGGGCGTATTCCAGGTTCTCACTGGTGCTGGAAGCACTGGGGCGCTTCTTGCTAGTCATATGAGAATCAGAAAGGTAAAGTCTCAGCCAAACCTTGTGAGGGGAGAGCAAGCTGACTCCTGCTATAGATCAGCTTCACGGGCAGTGTCGCAACAGGTAAAAAGATCCAAGTCGCCGCCGCCCAAAGCAATTTGAAGCGCGTTACGCTAGAACTAGGCGGGAAAAGCCCTGCTGTGGTATTCGAGGATGCGATCTGGAGAATGCACTGACTTGGTAGGTCTTCTTTAGTTTCCAGGAGCAGCTGTGCTAATAGAGTAGGACGGTAAATGCGATACTGGCACGCTCAGGCCAAGTCTGCGTTGCTGCTTCTCGAGTATACGTTCAACGATCCATTGCAGACAAATTCATCGAGGAATACAAAGCCCGTATGAACGCTGCAGTCGAGAGACTCGGTGACCCCCTTGATATAGCGACTACCCTGGGCCCGCTGGTAAATAAGGCTGCCTTCGAAAGGGTCACGCAGATGATCGAGAGAGGGAAGAATGAGGCGGAGCTGGTTGTTGGTGGTGTGCGGCATACAGAGCAAGGCTACTTTATCGAGCCTACGGTGTTTCTGAATCCCAAGAAGGACGCCGAGATCTATAAGAACGAGATCTTCGGTCCGGTTGCCATTATCAACACCTTTGATACTGAAGAGGAGGTTCTGAAGCTCGCTAATGATACGGAATTTGGGTTGATGTCTGGCGTCTTTACCAGGAACATCAACCGTGCAATGAGGGTATCAGGCAAGCTGGAATCAGGCGTCGTGGGTGTTAATTGCATCAGTATTGTGAGTTATGACCAACACTATTAGACTTCTAATACTTACTCCCTTCAGATGAATGTTCAGGTCCCCTTCGGCGGCAAGAAAGCGTCTGGCATTGGCAGGGAATTTGGTGAATATGTATGCTCAATCTTGCAGAACACCTTATACCTTCAAGCTGACATTATCTAGGCTCTTCGTGGATTTACTGAGCCTAAGACCGTCCTTATCAAGTAAGTTGATATAAATTATTCTGGACCTCTCTAACAGCTATACAGCATGAACTCCGAGTAAATGATATAGCCAGACCAGTCTAGTGAATATGAGATATGTCCTCCTTAATTTAAATAGCTAGTATCTCTCCTTAGCCTGCTTAATATGCAATTAATGCATAACATAATCTCTCGAAACGACAGGAGATCCATAGGTTGGGGCTTACTCCAACAACAACATCAGATACGGTAGTCAGATATATACCCTGGCAGTACTGCATAATACTAGGCAAATACAGATACTGACTTCATCTTTACCCCTCATTCCATACCCTCGGTCAACTTCGCCACTACAGACTGTGTGATGTGGCCGCATTCGCCCCGCAGGACGATGCAGATGGAGATGCAAGCTGGCGTCACTGTAGCACGGACCCCTGCAGAAGGTGAGGAGAAGATACATTCCCCTCTCCAGAAGGTTAGAAACTGGACAGCTCATTCTAGCTGGCGATGTTGGAAGTTTAATTTATAAGCTATCTCTACGCTGCCACGCCTACCGTTGTACTACCATCCACCCACCACATCCTGACACTGTTTAAGATCTATACCAAGAAAGAATGGATATATCAGGTCAGAATGATCCATCTGGTCTCCTCGTAGGCGCCGGGGTTCCGGCATTCAAGTGTCCCCCCGGAACAAAAATGCATATATTGGACCTGGGAACCCTTCAAGCTGATGAATCCTGGTCTGTACATTCCCCAGCATATCCAGTTGGTGCAAGAATTAATGCGACACAGGATCCTGAGAGGAGGAAATACCAGCTCTTTAAGCAACCTCAACCCCGAGAACAAGCGGCGCGATCTGGTCATCCTCTCCGCCCTGATCGATTACCCCGGCATAGGGCTCATCCTGTTTGAAACTGGGTGTGCAGAAGATTTGGAAGTAGTATGTCTAGTCGCATCTAATCTCCTTATATCTATGATACAGTAATGTAATCTACTAACACGGGAGTACAGAAATGGGGAGCCCCCCTAACAGACGTCTTCCCTCGGACCAAATACACGGAGAACAACAAACTCCCCGCCGCAATCAAAAATACTGGGCACGACATTAAAGATGTCAAAGCCGTGATCTTGGGCCACCTGCACCTCGACCACGCCGGCGGGCTCGAGCACTTCCTACACACCGACGTGCCCATCTACGTCCACGAAGAAGAATTCAAACACGCCTGCTGGGCCGTCGCCACGGGAGCCGATCTTGGTGTCTATTTGGGCCACTATATGCTCCTGGAAGAGCTAAACTGGAATACATTCACGGATTCAACGTTCGAACTGTTCCAGGGGATTACGCTGCATCATTCGCCTGGGCATACCCCTGGCCTGTGTATGATGCAGGTGAATCTGGCGCGCGATGGGGTGTTTCTGTGGACGACGGATCAGTTCCATGTTAAGGAGAATTATGAGGAGGGACATCCGCATGGGGGACTAGCGAGGGATCATACGGCGTGGTATCGGAGTTTGCAGCTGGCGAGAAGGTTGGTAAGGATGTTTAATGCGCGGCTGGTGTTTGGACATGATATGGATGTCGCGGCGGCGTTGATGAGTGAGAGGCCATTTTATGAGTAGTTGCTCAATCCAAATTTCATCCTTTTTCTTTTTCATCAGTTTCTCAGCCTTGCAATTCTTAAAAAGCCGCAAATTCAGGGGCCCTTTGGTACTTAAATCAGTCTATCCACCAAAGATTCCAAATATCGTGTCGTCGGCAAACAGGTCGTCGGGGATGCCACTTAACAAAGAAACATCCCAGGGTTCGATCTCGAACCCCAGATTAACTTCAGGATTTAAAGATGGTTGGCCAGGTTCTGTTCGGCTTGTTATTACTGTATATACCATTTCCATAGATAAAGAGGAAGTATTTACCGGCTGGGGCAGACCAGTTGCCCACCGGCTCCTCTGTTTCAATGTAGTCTGCCACGCTTTCAAGGCGTCGCATTAGGGACCTCAGTAGCCTGAGGGGCCGGGTCAATCCATAGCAGCATCCCCTCTGGTACTCCCACAGCGCAGACCAGAAAAATCGAATGCATCCAACGTACTCGTGATTGTCATGATGGGTATGTTGAAGCATAACCAGAACCGCACAATAGGTGGCGTACGATATGAGGTATTGAGCCCGCCTGAGTGTGAATGCCTGTTTGTATGCCTCAACTAGTTTCCAGATGCTGAGCGCCGCCTGTATGCATCGTTGTCGACAAGCTTCCGCTAAATCTGGGCTTAAAGTGAAGCCAAAGCAACCACGACTGAGGAATGCCTGCTCAGTCAGAATCACCAGGGTCCAGTAGAGGGCACTACAACAGATAAAGGGTTAGATACTGCGGAGTGTCGAAGATTGAGGCTGCTTACTGCGGGGTGATCTGGTGCGGTGGAGGTGTGCTGTCGACACTGGGATCGAATCGTAGCCAGGAAGGAAGTTTATCCCTCCAGGTAGCCAGCTGCATTGTCACATCTTGTTTGATCTGTAGAAGTGTGGACTCGTGCTTTTCTCGACTTCGGACTGAATAGAAGGACTCAATGATATGGCCTGCTATTTCGCAGAGTTGAACAAAAGCTTGGAATGTGCTGATGGCACGAGATGGTCGACCACGATACGACGGAATCGGAGTATCAACATTTGCGACAGGGTCAATGTATGGCGTCCACTCTTCCATTTCCTCAAAGGTGTCGAGATAGACCTGCGTTACATTTCCCGTAGAGACGTGCATCGCGATGGGACGACCAAGGAACAGAGCCTGCAGTTTATCACCAACGAATGCAGCCCAATAAACCCTCTTTTTCATCTCCTGCTCGATTGCCGCTGCGTTTGAGGAGGCAGGGCTCGCCAGGTGACACCCAAGGTCAGTTACCATCTGGTACCCTATTCCAGACAGTGCCCACCCGGCGCTTTGGTAGCCATATGGAATAAGGCATGCTGCCGCTGTCAGCAAAGCCACCACGGTTGGAATGGTCGGCTTGTCAATGTAATCCGGCAGCAATGCTTTGAAACGGTCGTAGAAAATCAGTCCTTTGGCATTCGACTGTTGATCGCCAAAGAAAGGCGATACTCTGTCGCTATACATGCTACTCTGCAGGAATATGGCATTCATGAGCAGCTTATTAACATAAGGACCATTTCGTATCAGACTGTCCGTAATTGCTGGCCGATAAGTAAGCAGATACGACAGATGCTGGCGGTTCCAGTGCAGGTCAAGCAGGTGCATTGCCAAATCCATAGGGACGCCATCGAAGTCTATATTTGCTGCAATGCTCGGTGTGGATGATAGGGACAGCTCTTCCTGTCGGCGTATAGCTGCATTTGAAATTAGCTTATCTTTAATAGTCTCGTCCGACAAAAGCCCTGTGTCGACGCCTCGGATTTTCTGATTTGCCAGAGGGGTGTCCGACGACTGGTCGTGAAGCAGGCTTGTCGCGCCGTATACCTGAGGACCATCATCTGCAGCACCGGGTTCGGGGAAGTCTGCCTTGTCAATATTCCTTCCCCTGATTTCAGACGGCGACGGTGTTACTGGTACTGTCCTTGTAGGCTGTGATGGTGCCCGATTCCCACCCACGCAAGGTGACTCGGTAAGCGCTTCCAATCGCCCCTGCAACGACTCAATCTTACTCTGCAAGGTTCTCACGTCTTCCCGTTTGGCACGAACGACGGTTCTCCGCGCATCTTGGGGATAAACACAGTCGATGATGCCCCGCGACTGGCATGTTCCGCATTTTGGCTGTTGCCCATTGCATTTTACCTTGCGGCGACGGCAGTTTCCGCAGGTACGACAGGTAGCAGCCGATGTAGGAGTACGTGACAACCGTGGGATGACTCTGGGCGTGATGTCAACCATGTTGTATCGTCCTCATTGCGGAGTTGCAGGTTGGATGTCCGAGAAATGCAGTTCGGCACTTTGAGAGTCCGAGAGTGGCTGAGTAATCAACCTCCTTCCTAATCGGGGTCAACACTGGACTGCCCTGCTACCTATATGTACACCACAATATTTTACCCATACGTGTCTCGTACCAATTACCGCCGTAATATGTCCACTTCTATCCAGATAATATAAATATAGCATAAGTTGGGCTTAAGCTACGAACGGTGTATGTTGGACGTGGGCACCCATCGCTTATCAGCGGACCAAGCTCGGAGGTTGAAATGTCCGCATATTTATACAATCGTCTCCAACCATATCCGTCGGGGTCATGGCGTCTACCTGGAGACTTAAATAGCTGTCTATGTGACATTCGCTTTGGGATCCAAGTTCCTATCTACTCCATTTCTGTATTTCTCTGCTGTAGCTTGATCTCACTCCACCATGGCTCCCACTATTTCCAAAGACGAAACAAGGGCATTGTTCGCCTCCGCTCTATCAGAAATGTATCGCCGCGAGGTCCCCCAGTACGGAACTCTCCTTGAGCTCGTCTCCGATATCAACAACCGCAATTCCAATTCAAACGGCGTCAGCACTGGCGACCCCTTGCAGAATCAACCGCGCATAGAGGTTGAACGCCACGGCGCAATCCGTCTAGGCAAGCCCGAGGAGCTATCTACTATGCGCCGCCTATTCGCTATTATGGGAATGCATCCGGTAGGCTATTATGATCTAACTGTTGCCGGTCTGCCCGTGCACGCGACATCCTTCCGGCCGATTTCCCACGCAAGTCTCTCAGCGAACCCATTTCGGGTATTTACTTCGTTGCTGCGGCTGGATATGGTCAGTGAAGAGGGCGGCCTGCGATCAACTGCCCAAGAGATTCTATCCCAGCGCCAGATCTTCACGCCACGATGTTTAGCATTACTCAACGAACTAGAATCAGAGGAATCCTATCCCAGGCAGAAGGCTGAAGAGCTGCTGCAAGAAGCCCTCGAGACATTCCGCTGGCACAAATCCACCACTGTCGACAAGGAGACATACCAGGCCTTACAAGCTGCACATCCACTCGTTGCAGACGTCGTCTGCTTCCGCGGCCCCCATATAAACCATCTTACACCGCGCGTGGTGGACATAGAAGCTGCACAGATTGAAATGCAAAAGCGTGGACTCAATGCAAAAGACCATATTGAAGGACCGCCGGTCATGAAATGGCCAATTCTCCTCCGGCAAACTAGCTTCCTGGCGCTGGAAGAGCAGATCACATTTTCAGATGGGACACACCAGGCTGATGGGAAGCACAAGGCGCGATTTGGTGAAATCGAGCAGCGAGGAATGGCCCTAACGCCGAAGGGTCGACGGCTGTATGATGAGTTAATGGGGCGTTTTCATCACAGCTGCAATAATAGTGGAAGGCAGACGGGCTCAGATCCCAGGTCAAGCGATGATATTCTCCGTGAAATATTCGAGGAATTTCCAGATGATTTGGAAGCACTTCGTCGAGACGAATTGGCTTACTTCCGCTACCATGTGCAGACACCCCGAGCAATCAGTAATAATAGAGACCTAAGCGCCTTGGTCAAAGCGGGCACAGTACAGGTCGAGCCCATCACATATGAGGACTTCCTCCCTATTAGTGCTGCCGGGATCTTTTGCTCGAATCTTGGCTCCCTGTGCGCAAACACGAAAGCTGCCAATTCGGATCGCACGGCCTTTGAGCGAGCATTAGGCTGCACTGTACAGAGCGAGTTTGAGGTGTATGAAACGATTCAGAAGGAAAGCATAGAGGAGTGTTGGGAAATTCTGAAATCCACAAGTTAGCACTATCCATCTATTTATGTAGACTCTATCAAATTCTGAACAGTTGCACACTGCATTACAGCAGATCCAGAACATCATAGTAAATTGCAAGGAAGATGGCCATCTATCAAAGAAGATCATGCAGGTCAAGACCTTGAGTGGTCTCATTCGGTTTCCCAAATATGCTTGCAAAGGACGAGTCAAGACATTCGTGATAATCAGAGCTATAAGTGCGGCGATAACTGGAGATATCAGTGCCAAGAATCCATTGTGGATCCCTAAATGACCGTATCTTCTGCACAAGGCCGCGACGGCTCCAGCCAACAAACGGTGCTGCAGGTCTCGGTGAAAGCAGACCAACTTTATGCATTTCCCTCGTAAGGGCCCCGTACATGATTGAGCTGCACTCAAAGCAGCATCCACGAAATCCCGTTAGCAGTTCTCCGTGTTTATCATGTATCAGTCCAACTAGTCTGTCGATATTCTCTTGTCTTTGCTTATTTATTGCTTCTGTGATGCTGTCAGAGACCCGGCAGTCTATATTTGGTCTTTCTTACCTATGACTTCAGCAGGAATTGGCAGGCCGAAACTGTTAATCCCACCGTCACTCGAAGACATAATAGTTGATGTTGTCTCTTTGAACTGGGTAGGGAGCTGGAAAGCCCAGGAAACCCACAACCACAAAAATAAATCTCGACAATATGTGACCGGAATCTTTTCCTCCAGAGATTTGATCCATATAGTAGTCCAAATATACACGGCCTCTTTGCAATCATAGTAATCAACGAGCACAGCGATCTTGGCGAGCATCTCAAGGGTCAGCTTCCGGGGTATATGGTATTGTTGGCCGTGAATGGCACGAAGAAGGATCAACAATGCTTCGATATCCCAGCCCTCCGCGGTAATCTCAACTGAGCGTTCTTTCAAAAAAGTAACACTCTCCTTCCAGCCACCAGTGAGTATTTTCTTGAAGACAGACGAAGCAAGTATCAGATGCTTCGCGGAGACTTGGATGCGGAAACAGGTATCTTCGAGGTCAGATTCTGCTTGCTCTTCCGTTTGCTCTGCAGACTCTTCAACAACCCCTTCTTCGGGAACAGGCTCTTCGGGAACAGGCTCTTCGGGAACAGGCTCTTCGGGAACAGGCTCTTCGGGAACAAGCTCTTCGGGAACAGGCTCTTCGTGGACAGAATACTCGGTGGGAGGCTCGGGGGCAGGTTCCTCTGTTGGCAGTTGGATGGGCTCAGGTGTAGGTTCCGGAGGTTCAATCTCTTCGGGGGGAATATGGATATCATCGGTATGAGAAAATCCGTTAAGAGACATATCTTCAGCCGGCTCTGCAAAATGAGAATTCGAGTTACATAATACTATGATCACCTCGCCGTCTGGATCGATAATATGAGTTGGAGGGTCCATTATCATCAAACAACCCAGCCGTTCAACAGCAGAAACACTATCTTGTTCGAGGAGGGTGGGGAGTTGAATGAAAGCTGGAACTACGAATAAGGAGATATGAGCTGGTCGCAGTACTTTATGGGTCGTGCGCATCCATTCTTTTGTTTGCTTTTTACAGTGTATGTGTGGCAGGCCATGATTGGCTTCCGAATTGACGCGCCTGCATCGAGTACGTGGCTCTTTCCCTATATATATCGCCTATATTGACAAGGTTAGACTCAGAATATTATTCATTGACCTGAGAGTACATATCTCTTTCAGGTTCAGGCTTACCTTCGTTGTGACTATTGTATGAGCCCGTGGGGAGGTTGGCTTAATAGTTGTCATCATTCTTCTAACAAGCCCTAAATCAATTGCGAATCTACGGAGTACTCATGCCACGTCCCTTTCCCTAATGAGGCTTTGTCGATGTGACCTCCTTTGTAGGAGGAATTCAGACACTCAGCATTCCCAGGCCCTGAACCGGCCTTCCGCAGAAGTCGAATAACTTCTTCGAGCGCTATACCACCTTTAGACGTTCCACCTGTCTCATTCCCCTGCATTAATGCATCGTCCAGAGGTGATTCACCAGCATGATCTTCAATTTGATGATTTGCCCCATTGTCCAGCAGCATCTGGACAGCGAACAGGTTCCCACTTGCAGCGGCCACATGCAAGGCAGTGCGCCCGTGGTTGTCTGTGGCATTTACTATATCTTTTGATGGCCCAATGACAGCGTAGAAGAAACTCATATCTTCTGGCTTCCTCGCTGCGCGATGTAGGAAGGTCTGTCCGTAATAGTCCCGTTTCTTCAGTGACTGTCTCAGGATTAAATCTACTGTCTTCTCGTGTCCTCCCTGAAACGCCAGGTCGAGAGCTGTATTCTCGAAATTGTTCTCCGCGAAACTATCCGCGTTTGCGTTTAGGAGTAACTCATTAACCGCATAATTCCCTCGCCCAGCAGAAAGATGCAATGCCGTGTTACCGCGGTGATCTATGGTATTGATATCGGCCGCGCTATCAATTATGGCTTTCACAATGTCTGTATTTCCAATTTCAGCAGCGTAGTGGATGGCTGCTCGACCACGGCTGTCAGCCTGAGAAGCATCGCCTCCATACTTGAGCAGTAGCTGAAATAGAGCTAAGCCGGCGTTTATTCCACAATGAAGTGCTGTCTGGCCATCATGATTCGCTTGGTTTGGGCCACATCCGAATTCAAGCAATGCTTTGACAGATTCTATACGGTTCCGTCTTGTCGCGTAGTGTAGAGGCGTGTCTCCATTTCTATCCTTCAGTGTAACATCGGCTCCATGGTTAAGCAACAGATATACCTTTGAAGAATCCTGTCCCATCGAGCCATAATGTAGGGCTGTCTCGCCGTGGTTATCTTGTTTATTTATTGCTTTACCACAATTCTCAGCAAGGGTCTTGAGTAGTTCAGTATCCCTCCCCTTAACTGCGTAGTGCAGGGCCATTCGACCATAACAGTCGGCTTGGGAGACGTCCGCGCCATGCTCCAAAAGCATTAAGACTGTGATACTATCCCCTCTTTCGGCAGCAAGATGAAGCGCTGCTTTCCCGGAGCTGCCTACAAAGGAAGTATCAATATTGTTTTCCAGAAATCCATGGACAACTGAGACGTAACCCCATTTCACCGCCTGCTGGAGCCCTCGTGGAAAGTCAATATCTGACTGGAAGATGTCTATATCTCTCTTACAGGGCACCCTAGACGCGGAGCCCTGTCCATAGACTGACTTCATGTGGAGGAAAAGGCAAACAGCTGGAAAGTCTGTCTTTGTGAAATGGTAAAGCAGCGTATCACGTATTTCTCTGCTTTCCACCTCTGATGCCCAGAAAATGGCAGTCATTGTGTCATGTCGATTGAGCAGGTTCCAAAAGGTGTCATTGTCATTGTTCTTGAAGGCTGTTAGAATGTCCAGTGTTTCCATCTCCAAAAGTAACCTTGAAAATTTTGAGGAATCATGGTTTCCAGCATATATAGGAGCGTCATATAAATCGCCACGGAGCTTCTCTCTCAGCTTCCCGTTCTTTCCATAGCAAAGACACAGTTCGAACAGTGCAGCAACCGTAGCCGGGCTTGAGGAACCTGCCGAATCAACTTGGTATTTCCAGATAATTTCCCTGTACTTCTCCTCTTTCGTTGGTTGGGAATGTTTTTCGTAATAAGCTGCAAGGGCTGAAGCATGTTGCAAAGTCTCTCTGTCCCTTGGACCGAAGAGATTAAATGTTTCTTCGTACCGCATTATCATCTCCCACTCTTCGTCGCCTATATCTAAGCCCTGGTTCGGCTCTTCGGAAGCCGATTTGTTCCCTCTTTGGGTTGCAATAGCTCGTTGAAAGTCTGACTCGCGTCGAGCGCGGATCTCGCGAGCTTCACGGAGGGATGCAGATGCTCGTACCATAATGTCCTCTTGATCAGATATGCAGCAACGGATTACTGATGCATACTTTTCAATTGCACTGTCAAGATGTCCGAGCCTTATGTCGACATCAGCAGCTTCAAGGAGCTCATTTAGTTGCATCTCGTTTCGAGGCCATCGACTTCCCTCACTCACCAGCCGACATTGCAGACAGATGTCCCAGACGTCTCTTGCCTTTTGAAGGTCCCCCTTGAGACGGCAAACACGAGCATAAAGCGGTGCGACGGAACCAAAAAGCACAAAGTACTTGCCATGCGGGGGTTGAATGAGATCTCGAGGGACCGTCGATAAGAAGGTATCTAGAACTGTACTCAATCTGTGGCTTTGAGCTCTCATGGCTTCGTCATCCTCCATTATCCCATTGCTAAGGTATGTTTTGGCGTTGAGAAATATTGAAGCCGCTGCATTTTCCAATATCTCTTGCTTGGACATCTTGGCTCGAATAAAAGATTGCACCAAGTCATGAATAACAATATTATCGACGGTACCATCTAAACGGTTACGCTGGAACTTCACAAGGCCAGTATTTTCAACTTCTCCAATTGCCGAGGGCAGTCGACTGAAATCGTTCGATATGTCCTCCAGCCAAGATATTATGTCCAAGTTCGCATTATCAAACGTTCCTGTTGAATAGTTCGAAGGCTTGCCAGACACTAGTACTCTGAATGGCACATATCCCGGGCCCAGGAAAACAGCTAAATGGATAAGTTTCAGGGAATCCGAATTATGCTGGCGCAGCATTTCATGTAACATGTCGAACACCATCCAGAGAGTCTGCTCCTTTTCGTAGGATCCAATGTAAGCCCTGGTGTGGGTTTTCAGGGTTTCACTGCGAAACCCTGTTTCAAATCGTCTGCTGTAGTCTTTTATCGAAACGAGGCCGTATGATAGAAACGACCCCGCTTGCTCGAGGGCAAGAGGCAGGCCGCCCAGCTTGCGAGAGATACTTTTCGTCGTTGCGGTTGCTAACTTTTTGTGAGTAAGTTTTATGAGGAATTAGGGCCACACCTACTAGACTCATCAGGCGATTCGATATTAGCACACCGTAGGATGAGATCAGCGCCCGCATTCTCATCAAGGCCTTGTACGTGTATTCCCGAAAAGTTCAAGCGTGAATGTAGATGGCACGAAGTCGTCAGCAGTATAACATGACCGTGGTTACATGAGGGCAGGTATTTTCGGATATCCAAGGCCCCATTCCGGTTCCACCCAGTATCGCCAGCGTACGGGATGTTGTCATATATTATCATCCAGGATTGGTTGGAATCCGATTCAAGCCACTCGAAAACTCTTTCGGCGGCTATTTTCCCAGGGAAGAAGCCAGAAGGTATAAGCCGAGCTATTTGTTCAAACGAGTCCTCTATCACTGAGATCGATGATGCATCGACCCAGAGGACAGAATCATAGTGATCCTTCTCTGTATCGATGTAGTTAAGTGCCAGCTGCGTCTTACCACATCCACTAAGTCCCCAAAGAACAAGGGGTTTTGTAGGTTTTCCTGGGAGGCTGGAACAGTCTCTAATCAGTTGCAGCTCATGCTCACGTCCAAATACCTTCGTTTTTGGAATTGGGATCTTCATCTTGATACTGGCCGGTGCCTGTTCGCCCCGACTCGTGCCGGGGATAGACGTATATAGGAGTTCTTTCGCGTACGCGGCGGCTGTTGCTGCTGCATATCTCTGCCAAGCTTTGTCTTTGTGGGAGTCCGCATAGTCAGATATCCCCCGAATGACAAGGCAAGGGAGATGGTCCATCAGTCCTGCAGCTTCCATGTCAAAGCACAAAATTCCGAATTTCTCCGAGAGTCGATCGCGTGTTTTTGCATCTCTCATCACCTGGTTTGCAGACGCTATGAGACCGTAATGTATTTCAGGCAGTTTTGATGGCCTTTGTTTACGGTCCACGGTTTTCTTCACGTCACATACGCCTTCGCAGGTAGAACCGGAAGGCCCCTGGTGGGGATAAGATGCATCAAAGAGAGCGTCCTGGCTCTGCCTAGGATAGACTAAAGACTCACACATGGCCGGATATGTCTCAGCCGCCGTTCTCAAATGTGAAGGAATGCTGTTTTCCCCCATCATATGCTTCGCTTGAAGTTGTTCAACTGCCTTCAAGAGGGCCTCCGGCGGCTTGTTTAAGACTCCCGTCTGGTGGAATGAACCATCCGCCAACGTCTTGCCAAAGTCATACTGAATGACGCCGCCGAAGTAAGCAGTTGGTTTACTTACTACAACATCTCCAAGGCGAATGTCATCTGAGGCGCTGGGGGCACCACCACCAATCCCAACCATGAGACTGTATTTGATAGACGGGAAAGCAGACTTCATCTGTATAGCTGCCGCGGTAGCAGACGAGTTGCCGTATACGCCAAAAGGTAGACATGCCAGGACAATATTATGCCCAGCAATTTCCCCCAAGTAGTAAACGTTGTTATCGTTTTCTCGTACGGGCAGTGGAGTGTGGATATCATCAAGCATTACCCGCGCGGCTGCGATCTCGAGCGGCAGGGCGCTGATCCAACCGATTGTGTAGTCATTACATGTCAGAGTCTTTCTTGGGACCGAAATTCTCCCAGATTTATCAACAAGGTGGCTGATGTGCGTGAGGATGTAAGCAGTTGGACAATTGAGCCCCGCGCCAAGAATGTTGGATGCGAGAAAGCGCCAAGACAACAGGCTTGGGGCAGATTCAGATCACCCCGGCTGTTATTGATGGAGCAGTTGCCTATAAAGACAATAAATGTGGGTGCTAGAGGCAAGTAAGGAGACTGTACAACAGGCATCCCCTCATGTTCAAGCCGTGAAGTAGCAGTGAAGAAAACCAGAGCAGAGAATATCCAATCCAGCGCCAAATGCATACATATACAGCCAGTTCTATAAGTATAATACAGACAAACACACACTCATCCAGCTTGTCAACTCCTCATTTACCATCCTCCTCCTTCTCCTCTCCCTTCTTCTCCCCCCAAGTCCAAACCTCCCAAATATGGTCCTTGATCAAATCGCCATATCCCCTCCCCTCATCCAACGCCTTCTGCTCCTCCCGTAACCGCCTCTCCTTCCACCCACCCTTCTCGTTCCCCATCCAAAACCTATCAAGCACACTGCGATCCTGCTCCTTCTGCGCCTTCAATCGCTCCATCTCCTCCCGCCCAACACCCTCCTCCTGCATCCTCGCCTCCCGCGCAGCACGCACCTTCGCCTGGATCTCCCTCGCCTTATCCGACGGCAGGTCCCCACTCCCTATGAAAGAAGGCTTGGGACTATGCGTACTCGATCTCGATACCCGGTCCTCAATGCGCTCTAGTATACTGCGCCCCGTGCGCTCGCGGGTGATGTGGTTTGCGGATGCGCAGAACGCGCCGGTTAAGAGAACGGTCAGGTGGTCTAGTTTTCGGGGTGGGAGGGCAATTAGGACGGGCGCGGCGACGAGGAAGGAGATTGCGGTGTAGTTTTTGAAGCGCTGGAAGTCGGCTTCGCGGTTTGGGATGGTGGTTGCGCCCGGTTGTTGGGTTTGTGGTTGTGGTTGTGGAGTGTCGGTGGACATTTTAGTGAGGACGGTACCGACCGCGTCCGGTTTTATTTCGAGATTTTGGGTGTTTAGATGCGGTTTGGCCTGGATGGCTGGCTGGTGGTTTATTTGGATGCGGTTGGTATCGGAGGTGACTTTTTTGCGCGGAGATTAGGAACGGTGCCTCAGGCAGAATGTTCGATTGTCATGTGATATCCATTTGTATAGAAATTCTTGCGCGAATGGTTCAAAAATCAAGATAGTCTATTTATTTTAAAAGACGAAATTTATTATGAAAGATCTTAATATACGAGGTCGGAGGCCCTGTTCTATTTAAATGGTGTGGTCTTGCCTCGGACTCTGGCTCGTAGGCGGGTTGTATATATTCTTGTTTAGGGTAGTGCTTTATATAGATAACAGTTGTTTATTGTCTACGGCGTGAGTAATGTACAAGCCTCACCACTTTCATCCAAGACGCTTTGGCCTTTAATACCAAACTCATCCTGGCTGGAGGTCCCTTCTTCCAGCCGTAGTAGTTCCACCCCTTCGCCCTCAATCTCATACTCCGATTGTACTGGAATAACATCAGGACAACATCAGGCTCGAGAATCTCAGGCTCGGCAGTGTTGCCCTGCTCGAACGACATCGGTTGCGAGAACACAATTCTCTTGGTATAATTCTCCTGAACAAATCTCTCCCTCCGTCGCGAATAATGGACCTTGTTCACCCGAAAGGCATACACAAAGTCAATTGGCTCCCCGATTTCCTCGCTCTCTTCATTCTTCCAGATCAACCCAGCTTTTGGGCCCAGCTCGAGCCCTGGAACACCAGGACTGATCCCAAAATTACCTTCACCTCCGGTTCCCTTCCCCTTTGACATGGTCGTCTTCCCCCCATACGCAACCTTCAGCCCAGTAACAACATAGATCGGCTTCCTATACCCCGTCTCTTTCAAAAACCTCAAATTCAGCTTCCCATTCAGCGTCTTCTCCAGATACTCATCGCCAGGCTCAAACTTCACAGTCTGGAGTCTCGCGACTTCAACCCGCGACTTGCTCTGCCGGTCAAACTGCGCGCTTACATCCCCGCCGAAACCGACATTTGCCATGAATGATCCAAACAGCCCGACCATGCTCGAGCGCTCATGCGAGACCTCACGCGTCCAGGGGTAGTTGAATTCGGTCGTGGCGCCGGGCGGGATGGGCAGCGCGGGGTCGAGATATGGTGGACCTTCTGGAGTGAGGGGATTGACGATTAGTTTTCCGAGTGTTATTGTTGTGTTGGGCTGTATATCGGCTGGGGCGAGGATCCATTCTGGCTTGCTAGGCATTCTATAGGGGTAGTGACTGATGAGGTGGTTTTTTTGATGTTGTGGGCGTTGTATCTCAAGCTGGGAGCTTCAAGGTTGCTTTGATAGATGGCCCCCGCTGCTCCATAGTTAGCTCGTTGGTTGGTTGGCTGATCGTGTCAATCGCGCTGCAGCGACGATCTCCCTTCAAGTTGGTGGCTCTGTTTACCGTCCATACTCCGTACAAGCCTGATAACTCTCCAGATACAGGTGATAGGACATGGTAATAGTATATATTGTGAGCAGAGATGCGAGCATAATGCAATCATATAATGAGTATAAAATGAGCATAATATGAGCATAATGTTTTGTTGTCATTGCACGTGAACACATCCTGCCTAATCGGGAAGGCAGCTGATCTGGAGTCTCTGGGATCCTTTCACTTTCATCCTCTGTGCAGTAGATACGAATACTACTCTGGAGGAAGTGTTCATGATGAATCCTGACATGGTCTGCGTCAACTCCATGGGTGGAACCGGGGGTTCTCAGGTGTGACGTACCCAGACCGAGATCAGGGGCGGGTGGAGCTTCTGTCATGGTCGCCATCAGCCGCGAAGAGCCTGCTGATCGCATCCATCCAAGCTTCAACTCAACCATGGCTGCCAGACTTTCCAGAGGTCTGCTTCAAGCTAATTGTCGCCGTATCGGTGGCCTTTCTTTGCGCGCAACACCTCGCATTGCCATTGCCAGCTCCAGTGCCAGTACTGGTTTCTTGGCCCGCCGTAATGTGCGGAACACCGCGCCTTGGACTTCGCGCGTCCCACAGGTGAACTTCGCCCGGTATGCTCATACGGACTCTGGCCCATCCGAAGAGCCACAGGCTGCCATTCCCTCTGTCGTCGAGGTCAAGGGCAACCCCGTAACTGAGAAACATTGGACGAGTCAGGAGTTACCAACTGGTAGGGCCCTCAACGCGTCGTCCTGAACGTGACCTTGCTAAGAAAACCAGTGGATCCTTTGATTGAGCCCCAGACCATCCACCACTTTATTGAACTCCTCGCATCCGGTGTTCTTCCTAATGGGAAGAGAACCGATTTGCCTTTGCTCAATCGAGATGAGATTGATCTTTTTATGGCCCCAAGCACCCAATGGGCGCCCGCTCCGTTTAACAAGAGCGATCTCCCGGCGATATACAACATGATGAGCCGTATTCTCAGCGTGGAATCCAACGCGCTATGCCAGGTCGGATTCAATATCCACACAGTCAAAAATCGCCTGTGGGAGGGACTCGTTCCGGTCTCCGCTGGGCGCTGGCTCGAGAAGGATCTCAACAACCCTGCCCATTTCGATATTGCACATGAATATCTGACATCTGTGATTGCTGTTTTCGAGTACCTGAACATAGGACCGCTCCGCAACAAAATGCGCGACTCGTTTAACCGGATGTCGGATGACTTGCAAGATATGCAGGATGCTCTGAACGCCCGGCGCAAGGCGCAAGATCCCTCGCTCCCGGAGATCAACCTACCTGCGCTCTGGATGGAATTCTTTCACGCAAAGTACGAGGTTATGACTAGCACCTCCCATTCCTGGGTTATGGCCCGTCTTTCTGAGATGCGGGAGCGTTTGGTGAACGACTTGATGGCTCTCTCGCCCGATGATACAGACAGCCCCGAATTCAAGAAGTTTACGGAGCGGTGGCAGGCTCTCATTTCAGTCGGTTCAATGGCTGATTTGAACATCTGGATGTTCATGGACGGGTATAATGGCTACCAAGCACCATCCGAAGTGGTTGGTGGACTACACCAGCCCGATCTAAGGAACATTGACGTAAACTCCGAGCTCAACAACCTCATGTGGGAGCGGCTAAGACAGCGCATTGAGGCCCAGGATGAGGCCGCAAAGGTTCAGGGCCCCGAAGTTAAAAACCTCGAGCCAGCCCGCCGTGAGCGCATCTCTGTCACTACAGAAGTCCAAGATGAACTGCGGACAAAGATCCGCGGCGCATCGCCGCCACAGCCGCCATCTGCAGTCCCTTGGATTCAGCTCGTTCTTCGGGGCCAGCAGTCAGTCTTGCGACAGCCTGAATCAGAAAGATCGAAGTATGGCTTTGGCTTGGCGATTTATCGCTCAGCGTACGACATGTCTGATGAGCAGTGGGAGACGCTACGTCGTGACGTGGAGGCCCATCTTTCCGCTTGGGGAAATGGCGTGCCGGGAGCCGACGAAGTCAAGCCTCTGTTCAAGTTGCACTGGTTTGACTGTAAGGATCTTGGTGTCGACACCAAGGATCCATCGGCTGTAGTAGAGGCTGCAAAGAAGTGCGATTCCTTAACCCTGTCAATACTATCATGAGGTTACTGACATCTCGCAGGCACTTCCAAGAAATCCGGAGCTCGGGTGGGTACGAGCGTAAGATTGACGGCTCTGCTTTCCTCCTGGTCGATCCTTGGACAGTAGCATCATATACAAACAAGGATGCCGCCCCTCTCGCGACCGAACCAGGAAATCTCCCGGGCGACTTCCAGCCCCATGTCCTCGCCATTGATGCAGACTTTAAACCCAGAGATACCCCCGAAACCGAAAAGAACGACGAAAGCGCCAAGTCCGAGACCGACGCCGACGCGAACAAGCAACCTCAGCCCGCCGAATATCAAGGCCATGTTCGCATTCAAGGCAACCTTGTCTGGAGCGAGCTGTACCCATTGCTGTCGTCAAAGTCAGCGGAGCTGGAGCACCTGTGGCCGCTGGCTAGAGATCATCCAGAGAAGGTCTACACGGGCTTGACGGTACCGAGCCAGGTAGCGCCGTGGAAAGAGCATAATTCCCTGAAGAGCTTTATGGCGGACGGCTTTACGGATTTTCTGAAGAAGAAGGATCCCAAGGCAGCCGAGACACTCGAGCGGATGAGAAAGTCGGGTACTACTAGTCTCTGATTGAGAATGGGTATTTGTATGATTATATAAAGGGGAGATGTACGGATATTATGTTACAGTATGGCTCACATCAGGTAATCTAATTCATGGTTCCCACCTTCACTGAAAAAGCAACCCTGCAAGCGAAAATGGAAACGCAGACACTGGGGGAATCAACCCACTCGTCACACAATCCTCCACAAACCCGATCGCCGTCAAAACCAGCATGGTAAAGGTCCAAACATACCCAACCCCATAAACCCAGTAACCTAGCTTAGACCCAGAACCGCCCAACCTCCGCCCAAACTCCATCCCCAAATCCTCCAGCACAACCAAAACAGGCTGCAGAAGAAAAAACCTCCACGTCCCCGAAAACCCCATATCCGGCCGCGCCGTCTTCGCAGAAACATAATGATAAACCCCCGAAACCCCAAACGCAGTGAAAGTCTGGATATATCTTGCTGATAACGAACCGCGCCGCGCCTTGAAGATCGTATTCGCCATATACCGCGCAGGAGACTGCAGCACCCGCCGCATATTCTGATGCCAGACGCGGCCCCAGAAGCGGGAGACTGTGTAAGCATCACTCAGATTCCCACAGAAGGGCGGGTTCTCTTCATATTTCGTCCAGAATAGACCGGATGCGGAACCGATGAAACATAGCGCCGCGAAGCCGAATTCGAGGATGGTGATGTTTGATACTGCGAATGATATCACTGCTATGCTGCGTTGGGGGAGTGCCAGGTCGTAGAGAGAGATTGCCCCGGCGTTCGTTAGATTCTTGAGAAGATAGACACTGCCATCGTGTAGGAGGTATAGCTTTATAAAGCGAAGGACGAGATGGCGTAGGTATTGCCCCTTCGATAAACCTTTCTCCGGACCTGAGGGGAGATGCGGGATGGTCCAGTTCCAGCCTATGCCGCGGGTTTCGCCGGCGTTTGTCCACACCCAAAGGAGTTTTTCTCCTGTTGATAGGGATAGGTATTTCGCTGGTTCTGTATTTGAATTTTTTTTCTTGCTGCTGCTGCTGTCATCCTTTGTTTGGCTGGGGGAGGTCCGCCAATGCTCCTCGTAAGGGTTAGAGAGGATGAAGAAGTTCAGAGCAGAGAGGATGCTGAGGAAGCCTGCTTTCATTAATACCTACTGCGTAGAATCTGCGATGTGATGAAGGGGCCTACATATTCCAAATTGGTAATCTTTTGCTGGGTTTGTTGGCGGGACGAGGAGGATTACTGAGATGTAGATTCCCAGTTGCAGGGCTGCGAATAACGGTCGTACCTGTTGAGGGACATGATAAGCTAGGAATAGATTGACTGGGTTGAGGAGCCACAGGAGTGAGGCGAATTGGTCTCGCTCCATTGTGGCAGTGAATAGGGCCTGGATGTGGAAGCTGGAGGGAGAAAGTATCAGTAAACGGGAGGAAAATATTGTCGGAAGTTGTAGGAATGACGTCGCGCCATCGGGAAGATCCGCTTTACTGGAAAACATCCCAACACTGTACAGCTGTATCTACAGTCTACAATATATGAATTCCAGAACTCCGGCCAGAACTACAGGGTATCCCAAAGCGACTGGAGAGAGATTATAGCCGTGGAGAAAAGATAAGACCCAGACATGTTCAATTGGGAATTAGATTGAGATTCAGGGCATTCCTGCAGCGCCGTTGTACTCCGCTCATCGAGACCCGTTAATCGCATCCACAGCGCCAGAAATAATTTGCTGATTCTGTGGCTTAGGCTTCTCGACTCCAGGCTCCAGAGACAGTTGAGTTGAAGGGGGGCGAACTACTCAGCCCTACGGCCTCGGCCTCACCCGTGGTTCTTCCCCTGTTGATCATCGCCTTGAGCCAAATCACTGGAAATAGTATTGTAGAATACACCAAGGAAGTCTCTCTCCGGGAATTGTGTCGGAGATTATAACTTAGTCTAAAGGCGTGGTTCTCGCGGTATCTGCAGACAAGATTCAACAGCGGGAAGATTCCATGGTTCTTCGGTTGTGTACCTGGCTTGCATGTAAAAATAGACCATCGATGTTTCAGGCTGAAGCATACAGTGGCTGTGAACCTTGCGTTTCTCTGCAAAAAAACAGCAGGCAGCAGGAATAATAAAGCGAACTCGACGTCGAGACAAGCCCCACAAGAAAGCTTACTCGAAGCTTGGGAATTCGACGCGTCTCCACTGCTAATTTGGGAGAATGTGGCTGCCTGCAAAGGAACAGTCTACGGAATACAGGGTACTCTGGGCTGTGCGATGCAATAAATATGCAATAATAAATAAATACAGAATGTCTATTAATGATTAATGAATGCATGTTTATTAATTAATATCCGCAAAGTGATGTCACCCCGATCTCTGCGACAAGAGATCCCTCCACCTCGTCAGTGGCTGTGGATTGGCAGCGCTAGACAGACTCACTAGACAGACTAAGGCACAGGGCTGACTGGTGGAGCTGAAGCCATTGGAGAATGCAAACTGAGCGACGTCTCGTGCCGCTAACCGCGTGGCCTGCAAATTAACAGCCCTGCTATTACTATCGAGTAGTATTAGTTAGCTAATTCTGTCCCTGGACGTAAAGATATAAAGGGGCACCACCCGCCTGACTGTTCCTGTGACGTCTCTACACTATTATACACTGCTCTCCTCCACCTCACAAAATACTTAATACAACAAATAATATAACCATCAAAATGGTCTCCTTCAACCCCCTCTCCCTCTTCAAATCCTCCAAGGACGAACAAGCCAACTCAAACCCAACCTTCGACCCAAACACACTCACCATGGTGCAACCGGGGAGTCCCAACGGGCCATCTATGAACACCAGCAACAATGCGAACGGTGTTGTTTCCGAACAGCCTGCGCGCCAGGAGCAGATGGGCACGGGGAATGATTTGCACCTACGCGGTGGTGGCGGTGGTGGATTCTGCTGCGGGATGTGAGTTTTGCCATATTTTCTTTCTTTGTTTTGTTGTATATTAGTGGGGAGGCTAATACTTGGTTAGCTGCGCGGGTCTTGCCTGCTTCGAGTGCTGTGAGATTTGCTGCTAGATATACCGGAATACGTTTGTCCCAGTCGATAAGAATATAGCCTGAGGGTGCTGCTGTGTCGGTATTCGGCGGTACCGGTGCCCAGTTGATACGATGGAAATGACTGGGTTGGTCGTCGCTTTTTATGTTATACCCTGCGTTCGTATTGCTAGATAGCCTCATCTGAAATACAGAATGATTGCATGACTTTCCCAGCCAGCCCCCGTATCGTATGCAGTGCAGGTATCGATAAATGGTTGTTCCTCGCCCATGTAAGCTCCCTCACCAGCCGAACTTCTCCAAGTCAACGCCAACGGTGATCTTCTTTTGCAGTTCCAGCTTGCCCGCCTCGTACTTGACAGTTCCATCGTCGTTGAATCCCGCAATCTGGACCAGGCCGCCACTAACCTCATCCATGATCTGGCCATACGAGTTGCCGTCCTTAATGTCACAGCGCAGGGTCGCAGATTCCCAGTGGGCGACAAGCGCGGAGGTCGAATTGAAGGACCTGAGGCAACCAGGGCATCTTTAGGCTCGACATTAGCATTAAGGACAAGAAACATGACGACGAACTTACTCCATCCGACGCGAGCCCTGACTCTTCGCGAGCACATGCTTTTCGAACCCTTTTTTTGTCGAGCAACGCCTCCCGCACGGACAGACATACTCGCCAGTGAACCCGTCAAGGAAATTCGCTGCATCGAAGTCCTTGTAAATCCTCCGCAGCACAAGAGCCATATCAGGAGGCCCGATTGATCCGGATGTAGCACCCACGCTCGACGCAGAGACAGAACCACCCGCGGACCCAGACCCAGCACCTGACGCACCAGAGTGCTCGCGGCCCTTTCCTTTCCACCTCTCATTTTCCTTGTCGCTGTCCTTAGCAGTTTTCTTCGCAGCATCCTTAAGCGCCATCACACCCATTATTTCATCTAACGCCGTCTCTTCAGTCCCAGGGAGCCCAGGCCAATGTTCATCAATAAGGCTACCAGCCACTCCACCGGGTTGATTCGCCATCGCTTCGCGGTTACTTTCGCCTATAGTCATCGGAAGCGCAACGCCGCCGCCGTCGCCGTCCTCGTCCACGTCAACAATAGACGGGGTCATAGACGCGGCCATACACGCCTCTGCTATCTCCAGCGCCTCCTTCCGCATGAGCTTCTTTGACTGTTCGAGCAGGAGTCGTTTCTGGCTGATGGCCGTGCAATCGCCGTTCTCGACGTGGCGGACCATGCCTGCGGCACTGCGGAAGGTCTCGTTGCATCCGGGGCAGGTGAGGGTTTGGGCGGTGCGGTGGTTCTATCATAAGCACATTGTTAAGATAAGCCAAGTCATCATAAAACACAGTTTAACATGATAAATAAATGCACGGCACTCACCAGGCGGATATGTCTATCCCGACCACCCTCACTTCCAAACTCGATTCCACAGACTGGGCAGACGATGTGCTTGTTGCTCTTGATCTTGTGGATGAGCAGCTGGTCTTCGGTCTCGCAGTCTAGATCGCATTTCTCGCAGTACTCGTGGTCGGGGGATGTTGATTTGTGTCTCTTCATTGCGGCGGTATTTTGAAAGAAGAATTTACAGCTGGCGAAGGTGCAGGGGATTCTGCCGGGTGGTTCATCGCTGGGTAGTTTGGCGAATGAGGGGGGAGTGAAAGAGGTTTTGGGGGTTGGAGGGCTCGACATGGTGACTCGGGCTCGTGGATGGGGACTCGGGATGGGATTGACGATAGTGAGATGGAAGAGGCGAGGATTCGGATGGGAAGAGATTTTGGGAAAGAGATGCGAGATTGGGAGGGGTGAGTGTCTTGCTCAGGTCCGATGCGGAGGGCAAGATGGGAAGCAAACGAATGGCATGGAACTTCAGTGAAGTGAAGAGGTCCAGACTCATAACTCTCCGATGACACTATGCAAGCAACAAATCCATTCATTGAATCAGTTATCATAACACATTCCGAGCAACCTATCAGACAACATTCAATAGCTTTTGAAATAGCCACCCAACAACTTGCCGACTCTGTCAAAGGTCGAGACATCTAAAACCTGGAGAATGGCAGCCACTTCCCCCTCAGCGTAATAACAGCCCAGTTGTTCCCCTGCTCATCCGTCTCCTTCTCAACCTTGGTGGAAAACGAAATCGCACTCATAATCCCATCCCCAAACTTCTCATTCAGCACCGCCTTATATGCATACCCATAGTTCTGCACGATCTCGTAAAGGCGATAGATCAGCGGCTCCTTGGGCGGCATTTCGACAGTGCGGCCACGGTCAGGGAAGCCCTCGAGCTGGGCGCTCAGGGTCTCATGGGGGATGTCGAGGAGGGAAGACAGTTTCTGGATATCTTCCGGTGAAGCCTTTGCCTGTCCGTAGAAGATCGCAGCGGCGGCGACTTCATTGCGCCCGATGTGCTGGGCGATTTGTTCGAAGGAGAGCTGTTTCTGCGCCTTTGCGCTGAATAGCGTTGCGGCGGAGGCGGGGAGGTTGGGGTGTTGAGTTGTCTACATTGTTAGTCTAGTAGTTGAGTTTGGGTGAGGCGGCGTACATCAAGAGTTGCGAGAGACATCGTGTTGGAATACTGCAAGGTACTGGAAGGTTGAGCAAGGATCAGGGTTGGTGGAATATTTGTAGAGGGGCATTGGGCCTTTATAACCGTGACGTTATCAGTTCTCCAACTGGCAGTGCGGGGTAGCTATCTGTCGGTGAGGGGTTGAGCATTCCATGATTAATCGATTGATCGAATGATGGCTAGTTAAGTAATTATGTTGTCAAGTCTGGAAAACAAAAGAGTATCAAAAGAAAGACAGCATGATCATTTTGACTATGATTTAAGCCTTGGGATTGCCTGTCGATCATTGTACCGTATTCAGTCCTGCCGAAATGTCATGTCAGACCAACCATGGCATCCTCTCAGCTCTAAACTTGATTGAACTCCGCCCAACAGCCGGAACACCCGGGAATACAGATACTCCAAGACAACAGCTCACTTATCGACCTATGTGGGCCACCATCCTTCTAGGAAGCTTCTCGGCTTGCTTGGATGGCATTTGGCTATACATTTTGAAACGACCCAGAAGTGCACTAAATGAGCCAAATCTATCTATAAATCCATCCAACGATCCACAATACGACCCTTACCATGTGAGATCCGAGCCAATTTGATGCACGGCCAAAACAGCGAATTAGAACTCATCACGGGCGCGGCTGCAAATCTTATGCCCGTACCCTGTCGTTCTGTTTCGCCAAAAAGCCTCAAGGCTCCTTACCATGTGCTGCCACTCAGGCATGATGTTTTCGCAGGCTAACACACTTTGACTGCACCATGGCAGCTACTCCTCGCTATTCACAGCTTTACCCAGGGGCATTGTTGTGCGTTCGGGTCCCGAGGCCGCCGGGATCATCATACAACTACCCGATGTAGTTACTCAACATGCCAAGGCTTTTGTATAGATGACAGCCTGAAAACTAATAAGGATCAGGATCGTGGCTGAGGTACAAGCCCGGGGGAGAACCTTATAAACGGAAAAAATTTCGTCAGCCTCTCACTTGGTATTACCATCTATCAATTCAGTGACAATGTTTATTTCGGGATTTCTCCTGCTCTTTGCCGGGGCGCAATCCGCTTTGGCTACATGCAAATGCGTACGCTAAAGCCTCACCCAATGCTACACCCCCAAATCTAATAATAATTAAAACAGACACCAACCGATACCTGCTGGCCATCATTATCAAGATGGAGCAAACTCAACTCCACCGTACATGGCCAACTCATTTTAAACACCCCAATTGCAAAGCCATGCTACCCCGGTCCGAGCCAAGATAAAGACCTCTGTCAGGACATTAGCAGCGAATGGAACGATGCTTTATTCCAGGAAAAATATCCAACTGGATATACATATCCGCTGGTTGATACTTGCCCGCCAATTAACGCCACGGTTCCTTCCTATGGTGTATGTGACCTGGGCAACTCGCCGGTGTATACGATCAATGCGACCAGAGCAGAGGACGTCGCTGCTGGAATTAGGTTCGCGAGGGATAATAACGTGCGGCTTGTGATTAAGAATACCGGGCATGATGCTTCGAGGAGGTTAGTCGAGGATGTCTAGGTTGTCCCTAAAGCACGCGCTAACTATACCAATATCGTGTAGATCGCAAGGATATGGCAGTCTGATGATTTGGATTAGAAACATCCGAAATGGCCTCCATTACCAGGACCGCTACACTTCGTCCGACGGCTCTTGCCAGTCAAACTGGACTGAAAGTGCAATTACCATTGGCGGCGGATATATTTGGAAAGATGTGTACGCATTTGCGGCTGAGCATGGTCGTATTGTCGTTGGCGGAGATGATCGCGTGCGTCTTCCTACACCTTTAGCACACCTCTTCAGCATCAACAATTTTGCTAACGCTATTTCAGACCGTCGGTTCGATAGGAGGATATATCCAAGGTGGTGGTCACGGACCTGCAAGCCATACCTTCGGTCTGGCAACAGACCAAGTCCTCGAATACCAAGTTGTGCTTGCATCCGGCGAAATCGTCACAGCCAATGCGTGTCAAAATGCGGACCTATTCACTGCTTTGCGCGGTGGAGGGGGAGGGACATTCGGTGTTGTCGTATCTGCGACAATCAAAGCACACAAGACGCGTCCGGTTCTCGTGCACCAGGCGGAAATTGTTCCGCTGGATACAGGTAATAATGGCAAGAATGCTCTCTTGAATGTGACTGCGGAGCTCTTGGCGCGATTTCCTACCCTCTTGGATGCTGGGTTTGCGGGGTATGCCAAGTTGATACAAGCGGGCGAGCAGCGAGTTTATGAGCATGTTTTCGTTAACCTGCTCGAAAGCAATACATCTGCTGCTGTTCAACATGCTAGGCAGATTATGCACAAACGGGTTGTGGAGGACGTGCTACTTCCATTGAATGGCACCTCGCTGTTCGTCAAATCGAGCTTCCAGTTCGTTCCCACGTTCGGGGAGTACACGTCAGGCGTTGGGAGTAAGCAGGATTCTGCCGGGCCGGGACTTATGATGGCGTCCCGCTTTTTCGATAAGAAGTCATTGCATGATCAACAGGAAGGTCTTCTGGATATGCTTCATATAATGTTCTCTCAGAACAGCACAAACAGCACAGGGGCACTGCCCTCGGCATCAATGTTCGATTTTGGTTTGATTGGTGGTGGGAAAGTGCTCGAATCGGCGCCGCATACCTCTGTTAATCCAGCATGGCGAAAAACGTATGGCCTTGCGAGGTACATTGATATTTGGCCGGATAATGCGGACTTCCGCGAAATCCAGCAGATCAACGATGGGGTTACATTCCAGAAGCAGGGTGCCATGAAGGCGCTGACGCCAGGTATGGGAGCCTATCTCAATGAAGCTGATGGCGAAAACCCGGAGTGGAAGGAAGATTGGTTTGGGGGCAAGTATAACTGGCTCAGCTCCGTTAAAGACAAGTATGATCCGGAGGGAGTGTTCTGGTGTTGGCGATGCGTTGGGAGTGAGGGCTGGGAAGAGGTGAAGGGTGGGACAGTGTATGGCCCACTTTGCAAAGTAAAGTGAGATATTGCCATGGCTGTTAGAACGTTGAAGTGTATAATTATTGTAGGTTATGCATGAATAATACTAGAGTTTCCTTTAGTTCCAGATACGTTGAATCAGCGAACAGCTTGCCTGATTCCCGCATAGTTCTTCACTCATTTCCCGGGTTTCCCCCTTCCAAGAATTTGAAAAACGACAAATGATTGCCATCGGTATCTCTTATTGTAAACTGTCGATAACCCCAAGGCTTATCCTCAATCTCCTCAGTGATTTCCACCTCAGGCAGTACCTTAAGGACCTCGTAATATTCATCTAATTCAGACGTGCCCAAAGCGATCATCGCCTGGGATGCTTTGAATTCTTCATCTGACTTGAAGAAGTAGAAATTCGCATCCGCTTTCTTGCCGATGGCTAAGGAACAGAAGAACAGCTCAGAAGACCCATCCTCAGGCTTTACGCTGCCAAGTTCAAATCCGAGCTTTTGAGTGTAGAATTCGATTGTGCGGGGTATCGATCGCGATTCGAACATTGGAATCACCTTCCACGCGGAGTTTGCCAGCTCGGAAGCCATTTGTAACGTAGGTTTGGGCAAGCTGAATGCGTATGAGTGGAGGATGTGAGGATGTGAGATGCAGAGACAGCGAGATAGCCCAAGTGTTCAGGCAGCAGACACAAATCACGTGGCTGATAATAGTGACAACAGATACAATCCGTTTACTACTAAGTAGAATATGGCTGCTTACTTTAAACCTGTAATTTACATCCAGAATGACCCATATCATAGAGTGGACGCCACTATTCGGCTCTCAGCCAGAATACTTAAACACAGGAGATAAACCCATTTCATTCTGCTCCCAATCTAGAATTACAACTGAGCATGCATGGGAAAAGACTTAGGGGTCTTTCTGCTTTTTCTAGAATATTCAACCCCTCACTGAGCCAACAGTCTTATGACCCTGCGATCCTCCAACGTTTGAAATTTCGAAGAGCAACCGTTTGCTGCCAAAAGCCCTGCGTACAATTTCATCGCCTCGCCTTCTGCATAATTGCGGTGACTGGGGATCGTACTCTTAGCTAAGCGTCTTTTTCAAAGTAGCTTATTGTTCTTTATGACATCTAGATTTGAAAGAGAGTATATTTTGCCCAGGGATTTGGTAGCCCAAAAATATATAGTTGGCAATCAGACCAAATATGAAGCGTTTCTACCAATCCGCATGCAAAGCGACCGTCTTGATTCTGGGATAGATACTTTGACAGATTGTATATGCACAGGTTAGCCTTGGAAGTCATATCCGTTAACCCTCAAAGGCCTGGCTTATGTGTGGAATTCCCAATTGGGAAGGTCCTATGTCCCGGGAGAATCACGTGCAGAATGTGGGGTGTCTCTCCACATTCCAAAGAGCGACAACAAGCTACAATACTCCAGCAACATCTTCGAAAGCCTGATCACGTCAATGCCACGCGACATGAAATCTGTTCAGACGCGGACTTGCCATACTTGCAAGAAGACATTCTCGAAAGCAGAGCATTTGACGCGCCATCTCCGCAGCCACACCAAGGAGAGGCCCTATGAATGCTCTGTATGTGGGAGGCTCTACTCCCGAAGGTGAGCACTCATTGCAATCGTTTATTAGTCTCTCGCTCATTGTCCAGCGATGTACTTCGGCGCCATGAAAAGAGCCACCAAAATGACTCGCCTCCGTCTCAAGGCCACGCCGAAGGCGAGACAACAGTTCTCACGCCATTATCTCCAGAACTTCCTAACCCAGTACCGGGGCTCCGTCGCTCTTCCTTCGTAACAGCACCGCCCCCCCAGGTGCGAGACATACAGGGGAGTCAGGATTCTAATTTACAGCCAGTTGATGGGATGGACCTGCACGACCCCATCCTCCAGGCTGATTCAAGTTCCTGGTTCCTGGGGGCAAACCTTGATTTGAATGCGTTGGACTTTTCGCTTTCTTCGGCAATATCTGAGTGGGCTCAAATTCCACCTATGCCATCAGCATCAAATTTTGCTGACCCGGGGACTCTCTCTACATCAACACCTACGTTTCCTAGAGCTATCCCGGCGGGGGTTCGCAGTTCGCCGGCAGATAGCGTCAAGGAAAAGTGGTTTACTCGTTTATCTGGTTTTAGAAATGGAGGCCCGGATGGTCCGGCTTCTAAAAATTGTTGTGGGCTGTTTGGCCAGGGCAACATTGTCGCAGATGAATCATACCGGGCCGACTTGTCTCAGAGACTCCAACCGCGAATGCATGACGGAGCCTTACCGTCGTCAGAACAGCTAAACCTGTTTGCGAAACTCTACTTCAGCCGATTTCACCCACTGTTCTCCGTTGTTCATGCCCCATCATTTAAACCAACTCTCGAAAATTCCCTACTGTTTATATCAATTTGTTCTGTTGGAAGCCTTTTCGTCGGGTCTTCGTACGCTATTGCACAGGGCTTGCAGCTATTTGAGAGGCTTAACAAAGCTATCCTGGCCTCTTGGGAATCTATATTGGCAAACAGCTGTTCTGACGCGCTTTATATGGTCCAGGCGGGCATACTCGGCCAAACATACGCCGTACTATCTAGCCGTCCTAAGGACCTCGTGTTAGCAGATGTCTTACACGGTACGGTTATGGCATGGGCCCGCGAATCTAATAAGAATGCACTGCCCAGCCCGATCAGTCCAGATGACGTGACCTGGAGCGGCATCAATGTGGACGAACAATGGAGTCGATGGATCGATCATGAACAGAGAAGACGGGTAGAGATTGCGCTAAACATACACGACGCGGAACTTGCCAGCTTGTTACACCACGAGCCTATTCGCAAACACCGGCTCTCACAGTATCCATATCTCGCATCTGATGCCCTATTCATGGCACCGACCGCATCTAGCTGGGCGCAGCAGTACAAACAGTCATCGGACCCCTCGCCTTCTCCAGGGCTTTTCGACGACCCTTTACAGGATGCCGGAGGGGATTCTAAATTTGGGGCCTATGCGGTTCTAGAGAGTATCCATGCGTTTGTGATCGAAGCCCGGCGTTCAAATTCCTTCAATGAGCACGAGTCGAAACGATTATCAAACCTGCTGATGCGCTGGTGGAGGAGGCACAGCGTCCACTTTGTCGAGGACGAAGACGAGGACCCATTTAGTTTACCTGTTCTATGGCACTCAGTGTACATGACCATTTATGCCGACATGGACCTACTGGAACGAGCTAGCGGTCGTGACGGCCTGCCTGCTACTACTACAGCACATTCTTTGGTTCGTCCTTGGGCAAACTCACTAGATGCGAGTAAATGCTTAGTCCACGCATTGCTCGTTCAGCGCTACTTAGAGAGGATGCGAGTTTCATCGGAGCCAGCAATCCACGTACCACGTAGCCTCTTCCATGCCGCCCTTTCCTGGCTCTGCTTTACTCGCATTGGAGGCCAGCAAACCGTCAACTTGAAGGCTTTCGATGCGCCAGAAATCCAACTACTGGGCAGTGACACGGCCCTCCATGAAGCACAAGGTCAAGCATTTGGTGACTCCACATTCGCAGACGTCAATCACTTGCATCGACTTATTGACCTGCTGAATCGGGTCGGGCGCTGGGCTATCTCGTCTTCGTTTTCATCTGTGCTGTGCGCAGCGATAGAAGGATCAGATCCATAGGTCTTGAATCCCTATGGGAAAGCGATTCAAATTCGACGACATTAAACTTCATATAAGCTGGGACGTACTTGGAAAATTTTGTTACAGCTGCGCACAACCACCCCCCGGTAAAGCGTTCTGCTTTACGCGATCCACCCCACACGAGGCAGCGGGGTGACTGGCGGGGTGTGGAGAAGGCATTGGGCAACCACAATCCACGATATCTGATTCTTTACAAAGAACTGCAGAATATTCCAACAGTCATCATGCACTGGAGGATGTAACTCGATCATGTGAAATATAATTGACCCCCAAAGTTGCGATACCAAGGCTGACGCCTGGGCATGGCTAGCAAGTTGGCGTCCCCGGGATACACCCCGCATGGTCCATTATTTTGTTCAACAGCAGGCGGGTCTTCACTCTCACCAAATTATTCCCCATGTCCGCTAAGAGTATTTTGCGGGGTTTCTCCAGACTTGGACATCCGCGAATCACGAAGCTACGTCTCGTGGTGGGAAATAGGACCCTATAAAGTTCCGCCACTCCTCATTTCGCATCTTAGCTTCTGCATTCAATCGACGTTACGACGATGCCTGTCTTCACTGAAAAAGGATCTTCATGGCGTGACCTTAGGGTCGTACCATCATTAGCGCCCGTCATACCTCGTCTGGCACCGGCATTTAACCCCCCGGAGGATGGCCGCGAGCGGTATGAAGTGGTAATCATCGGGGTAAGGCTCGAGGGATACTATATGCCTTGTAACCATGCTAACCACAGCAGGCGGGACCTGCGGGTCTTATGCTCCAACTCCTTCTTGCTCGATACGGATTGACCGACAAGTCATTGCTCTGCGTTGATTCCAAGCCCAGCACCCTGAAATCGGGCCAGGCAGACGGCATCCAACCTCGGACATTGGAGGTATTCAAAACGCTAGGCATCTCTGACGAGATTGAAAATGAAGCGTGCCAGATGTGGGAGTTCGCCTTTTGGAACGCCTCTGATGATCCCAAGAAAGTGATTGAGCGACGATCTGTTGTGCCCGAAGTCATCCCACCAGCTCGCTTTCCTTACGAGGCAACCATCCACCAGGGTAGAGTGGAACGGATTATGGAAACCGATCTTCTCCGCTACTCCCAAAGAGGGGTTGTCAGAAGTACGAGGCTTGTCTCTTTAGAGATCGATGAGCGCAGCGACCCCGAATTTCCGGTGCTGGCAACTGTTGAAACGGATGGCGTGACGCGAGGCATCCGCACAAAACATTTGGTAGGCGCCGATGGCGCACACTCCATTGTTCGGCAATCCGTCGGACTGAAATTGGAAGGGAAATCGCTCGACCACATCTGGGGCGTCATGGACCTGGTAGTTGACACCAATTTCCCTGATATCCGCAGACGTTGTGCTATTCACTCTCCCGCCGGCTCCGTCATGATCATTCCCCGCGAGCGTATTTGTACCGGAGAATACATCACTCGTCTCTATGTGCAGGTTCCGGGCTTAGAAGACTCGGAAAATACAGACATCGACGCGGACCTCAAAAAAGATGCGAAGATGAAGCGCAGCAAAGTCACTTTGGAGGCGATTCTTAAGCAGGTCCAAGACGCATTCCAGCCATATTATATTCAGCCGAAAAGAGAGGATGCTGTTGACTGGTGGGCTGCATACCAGATTGGTCAACGAGTGTGCCCTGAGTTTATTGTAAAGGATTCCACCGGAGTCGGTCGTGTGTTTATTGTGGGTGACGGTACGTCTCGCCTTGATCGAAACAGTAGGAACTTTGACTGACAGAGAAATAAGCCTGCCATACACACAGCCCAAAGGTAAACAGAACATCAACCATGATGGCCATGGACACTAATAATTATTTAGGCTGGTCAAGGAATGAACGTCTCAATGATGGACTCATACAACCTCGCCTGGAAGCTCGCCTACCACATCAATGGCTTAACTCCCGCATTATCAGATAAAAGTCCAAGGTTGCTTGACACATATCACGCGGAACGGCACGCCAACGCACAACAATTGATCGACTTTGATAGGACATTCTCTAGCGGCTTCTCGGATCAGCTAGGTACAGCAGGCTCAAAGTCGGGGCTATCTCATGAAGAATTCGTCAACATTTTTAATACTGGGAACGGATTCACCAGCGGCTGTGGCGTAGAATATGCCGAAAGCCTTGTCGTCGAGAGGGTCCCGTCTACCAACGGAGAACCTCCTGTCCATGGAGAAGACTTTCTATCTGGAATATTGCGACCTGGAAGACGGTTGCTTAACGTTAAGGTGAAGCGCTTTGCGGATGGTAGTCATCGGGATATCCAGGATGGTTGGTTCACTCCGCATCCTCTTGTTTTCACTACTCACCATGATATACAGAACTAAAATCAACGGGTCGATTCCGGATCCTCTCGCTTGTCTCTCACGACCTACTAGAGCCTCAGGGCGTTTCTTCAACCACATTGAAAGCAGTTATCGCACTCTCGCAGCGTTTCCCTGCGACTCTGATTGAGCAAATCATACTACACCCACGTTTATCCGGCGAGTTAACTTGGGAGAGTATCCCGATCTGCTTGAAGGAGGAGGCGGAAATGTCGCTCTATAGCGGGTATGAGCTTCAGGACGCTTACCAGATATATGGAGTTGATCCTGCCAAGGGTGCACTTGTCGTCGTGCGGCCGGATGGATACGTTGGTGTTGTTGCGCACTTGAATGATGTGGGTCGCGTCGATGCGTATCTCAACCGGTTGATTGTTATGGCTATGTAGGGGATCTTAAGACCCTATTTGTCTACGGTGGCACTCACTCCACAGGTATATAGACTGGCATTGGCGGAGATGCTCAGGCGGCTTTATTGACTTGTGGTAAATCATGACTAATCCAGTTGCTTGTTTCATGACGGTAGAATGTTATATAGAATGTTTTGTTGATGTCCACCTGAATTTCCAGATTTTGTGCATCCTGGCGGCCAAATGCAATGCATAACTCAGCCGTATTATTGCGCTGCCTGGCCATGCATTAACATTGACTATCCACACGTAAAACGTCAGGAGGTGCTCAGCCACAACTGCCCCGCTGCATCTGCTCCATGACGATGCGCTTACCGAGTCAAGTTAAGACGGCCGCCTAGTCCTTTAAGCAGTGTGGCTGGGTTCGGTGTCAGGCTGCCACGTACAGGGCCACAGACGCAGTGAAATGCCCGCAAAATGAACCAACTCAGCCAGTAGAAATATTGTATGTCATAGGGCTCCTGTAACCGCCCATTCCGTATGCATTAGCGGGTCTGGAACAATGCCATGGACGTCCGGCCGGAGGAGTTGGGCTGTGCTGGGCGAATGGCGGGGCAGCGGGCGTCGAATGAGATCAACACCACGAGCTGAGCTGACTCTCATCTCCTTCCACGTTCCCCTCATCTCCAAGCGATCTCTCCCTTTTATTCCATCGTCATCCTTAAGAGGGCCTCTCCCCGTCCATAATTCTCATTCTCCCCCTCCCTCCCTCCCCTCTTTCATCTCTATACACCGATCGCCATGTCCCACAACCAAGACCACCTGGCTTACGGCCAGTACCACGGCCAGGACTCTGACCGTGCCGGGACTGGAGACAGCGCGAGGAGCCTCGTCGGCGATGCATTTGGCATGCTAAAGAACAAATACAAAACACACCAGGGATCCCACTCGTCAGGTCCGGCACCCGGAAACCAGAACCAGCCGCCATCGCAGAGCTATAACCCCAGCGGATACGGCGTGAGTAGTGCTTTTAGCACATTTTCCGATAATATAGAGCTGGTTGCGAACAAAACAATTAACTAGAATTCCAGAGCCAAACCCACCCAAATCCCGGTTACAACCCGGGGCCGACCCAAGGTTCAGGCAACCAGGGGAAACCACCAAAGCAAGATAAGGTGTCCGGCCTGCTCGGCAAGTTTCAGGGCGTCATTGCAGACTATGGCGGCGAATATGCTCAAAAGATTGGAACCGCTATCGATCCCCAAGGGTATGCAGAGTATGGAGCTAAGCCGCAGGCCCAGTCGCAGCACAGATTCGGCAGTTTTGCCCCCGACCGTCAGGGCAACGATGTACAGTGGTATGTCGATGGGTGCTCCTATTTCTATGCTGTCTCCAAGGCCCTGGAGTCGGCCCGAGAGTCCATTTGGATTTTGGATTGTAAGTAGCAGCGAAGAGGTTTGTTGTGACGGCCTACTGACAAAGCGTAGGGTGGCTATCGCCAGAGTTGTACCTTAGACGACCCCCGTCGAAGAACGAACAATACCGGCTTGACAGACTGCTGCATGCTGCTGCGCAAAGAGGCGCGAAGGTCAACATTATTGTATACAAGGAGGTCACTCAGGCGTTGACCCGTATGTCCACCAGGCCTGGAGTCGCGGATATATACTGACGAGTAGTTTAGTTTCTTCACACCACACAAAACACCACCTAGAGAACCTTCACCCCAACATCGCTGTATTTCGCCACCCCGACCATCTCCCAGACCGTCAAGGCCTGGCTGCTCAAATCACATCTTCTCTTCAAAATCTGTCCCTGGACGCCCTGAAGCTCGGCCAGATGTCCTCAGACGCCATCCAGGGCATCTACGGTATCCACGAGGACATGATTCTCTACTGGGCCCACCACGAGAAACTTTGTATCATCGACGGCCGAGTCGCTTTCATGGGCGGGCTAGACATGTGCTACGGGCGCTGGGACACCCACCAGCACGCCCTTGCCGACGTCCACGACAACCCGGCCGACAATGTCTTCCACGGCCAGGACTACAACAACGCCCGCGTACTGGACTTCACCGACGTTGCGCACCCGGACCAAAACAAACTCGATCGAACCCAGACTTCGCGCATGGGCTGGTCCGATGTCGCCGTGAGCTTCCATGGCCCGGCTGTCGAGGACATTCGTCGCATGTTTGTCGAGCGCTGGAACTTCCTGTACGATAGCAAGTACCAGTCTCGCAATGATGCTCGATTCGGCAGACTTGCGCTTTATGGTCGCCCGAGCTCTACTGGACCGCCTCACTCGCAGCAAGGTGCTCAACAGCAGGCGCCTTACCAGCCTGGTCAACCCCAATCCACTCAGCAGCAGGTCGGCGGTGTAGCTGCCGCCCAAGCTACTCAGCCTAGCTGGTCCCAGCAGCAGACGTACCAGCCTGGTCAACCCCAAACCGGGCAGCAGCAGGTCGGTGGCGCTGCCGCTGCCGCCACTGCCCAAGCGACTCAGCCGAGCTGGTCTCAGCAGCAGACCTCTTACCAGCCCAACCAAAGTCAGCACAGCACCCAGGCTACCGCACAATCGAACCAGCCCGCTTGGTCCCAACAGCAACCTCAATACCAGCCATACCAACCTGGCCAATCGGGATCTAGCCAGCAGTCGCACCCCGGTACTCCCCAGCCTGCGGCTCCATCCACCCAACCCGGCTGGTCTCAGGAACAAGCCGCCTACCAGCCTGGACAGAACCAACACACCCAGCAGCAACATGGAAGCGATACGCAGACTACTCCTCAATACCAGGCCTACAATAATGGCCAGCAGTCTCATCCTGGTACTCCACAGCCTACTGCCCCATCATCGCAGCCAAGCTGGTCGCAGCAGCAGCCTGCGTACCAGTCCGGTCAGCACTCGTACTCCCCAGCGCCTCAGGGTGTCAGTGAGATAGGACCTTCGAGCCCCCAGCCAAGCTGGAATCAACAACACAGCTCATACCAGCAACCTCAACAGCAGTTACACTCGAGCACCCCACACTCTGCTAACCAGTCACCTTACACTGGTCAATCCTTCCCACCCCCTCCCCCGGGACCACCACCAACTCAGGGCTCGACCGAGAACCAAACGCCGCCCTACTTCGCGCCTCCTCCTTCGCAGCCTGCGCAGGATTCCTCGTATTCAGGATCGCGAGGTATTTCGGGTTATGACGGGGGAGACCGCGAGAGAGGACCAGGCGGCAAACCAGGCTCCGGTTCCGTGTCTGGCTTCGTACCCAAGCGCTTCCGTGACAACTTCGATTCCCTTCGCGGTGAGCTGGCTGGTCAAATCCACCAATACCAGGACCGCTTCGCCGCGGGTAGCCTAGGACGACCCCAGCAGCGCGGAAACATGTCCTGCCAGATCCTGCGTAGTTGTGGAAAATGGAGCAACGGCACACCCACCGAGAAGTCGATCCAGGATGCATATATCGAGATCATCAAGCACAGTGAACACTTCATCTATATTGAGAATCAGTTCTTCATTACCGCAACAGGTGATAAGCAGAAGCCCGTCAAGAACCAGATCGGTGCTGCTATTGTTGAACGTATCCTGCGTGCCGCCCGCGCAGGCCAGAAGTACAAGGTCATCGTCGTAATCCCCACTGTACCCTGCTTCGCAGGTGATCTGGCAGACCAGGCCGCCCTCGGAACCCGCGCGATTATGGAGTTCCAGTACAACTCGATTAACCGCGGGGGCAACAGCATCATGGAGCTGATTGCCAAGGAGGGATACAATCCTATGGAGTACATCCGATTCTACAACCTTCGGAACTATGACCGCATCAAGTATGCCGCTCCCCAAGGCGCCCCTCAAGGCGCTCCAGGATTCGGACCCGGCCATCGCCCTGCCTTTGACACTTCGGCCGCCTACCAGTCGTACGGAGCTGCCCCTGCAGCAGGTCTCAAATCCGGATCTGGGCAGCTGGACACCGTGAGCTCGTGCTACATGCTCAACGGGCCAGACATTCGTAGCCTCCCTTGGGACGGTCCCAGTGAAGCGGAGATCAACGCCTTCGTGACGGAAGAACTATACGTACACTCCAAGGTAAGAGTTTTCCAAACAAACAAACCATCCCCACTTTCCCACCCCCATTCTCATTATCGTTGAACAATCTAACAACCGAACAGGTCATGATCGCCGACGACCGCATCGTCATCTGTGGATCCGCCAACATCAACGACCGCTCACAGGTCGGCGACCACGACTCAGAAATCGCCGTCATCATCGAAGACCCAACCCCAGTTCCATCCAAGATGAACGGGCAGTCCTGGCCAGCCAGTCGTTTTGCATCGTCACTCCGCCGCCACCTCTCCCGAAAGCATCTCGGCCTCCTCCCGCCTCAGAACTATGAGCAGCCCGAAAGCGACCGCTTCGACTTCGAGTCTCCCGAGAGCCAGATCGTCGCGGATCCCTTGGCAGACACGTTCCTCAGCCTCTGGAACACCCGCGCGCACACGAACACCGGCGTCTACCGAGAGGTCTTCCACTCTGTTCCCGACGACACGGTACGCAATTGGAGCACGTACAAGGAGTTCTACGGGTACTACTTCAAGAATGCCGATAAGCAGGCCTTTGGCGAGGAGATGGATGGGCCGCCGGCGGCGTACAAGTACGGCCATGTGGTTTCGGAGAAATTCCCAGGCCCCGAGGGCGTGGCGCGAGTCAAGGAGCTGCTCAGTCAGGTGAAGGGGACGCTGGTGGAGATGCCATTGATGTTCCTCTGCGAGGAGGACGTGGCTGAATCGGGGTTGACGCTTAACGATCTGACAGAACCGCTGTACACCTAAACCCAACTTAGGGTCCGTCTGACATCTAGTCTAGTTTCTTGGGTAGTTTCTTTGTTCTTTTTAATATTTGTGGCGGGTTTCTTGGATCTTTGTTCTTTGATGTTCTGGAAATTGACGTTGGGTTCTTTGGTCGCCAAGTTGATATTGTTGTCCAGAGAACAATCTGTAGTTCGCGTGTTCTGATTGGCCAATGCACTCTCTGCATTCTGCATCCTGCAGTCCAACACCAGAATCCATCCAGAGCCTCCCAGGGTCGAGTCAACCGAAATACTCCGCCGGCTTTGTCTCGCGTGGCTGCCATGGCTCCAGGAAGGTTTCAATTTAGCTGTATCGCCTCCACACGTGGAAATGCAGTCTTTATCCTCCGTCTCAGGAACGAGGCTGTGATGCAGCATGTCAGCCCTCAAGAATGTATTTACTACTCAAACCCCTCTAAATGCCTTAGCCCTATTGGTCCATCCTTAAGAACAATATCAAGCCCGACTCAGCGCCACTCACATTGAACACAGCGGCCACCCATTCAGCGTCTGCCTGGGGAATACCCCATTCACCACGCCAGGTCATTGTTCTTCACTCACCACACGCACCTCGAGTCATTCAGCTCGAGGTTTTCCTGGTCTTCTGGGCCTTTCCAGGTATCAGGAGCACGTGTATGCGCATAACAAGTGCACCCTCTGCCACCAGGCGTAAATGGGTATAAATCTCCTTAGTGTCCCCAGGCAGATCTGTCCTTTCCCTGCTCATCATCACAAACAATCCGAGTTTACTACTCCACTACTATTACTGATCTACAATTTTTTGCTTGATGCAAAAACCAAACCAACTTTACAAAATGTCCCCAATTGAGAACACCCCCGTTCCAGTCACTAAGGGTATGCATTCCACCCCCTCCTCACCACTCCGTTCCCTCTATCTATCAATATCAATATCCAAGATGCAAAGACACTGACATTCATCTGATACAGCTTCTCCCGGCTCCGGCTGTGTGATCATGTAAATGATCCCCCGGTAGTCCGCGCCTCCCGCTCCCCAAATCCTATCCTTCAGCCAAGTTCAACGTCCACCAGTATCACGCAACAATCCGATATCCTCCTCAAACATCGACGTACCGCCGCCATACGCATATATCCTCATTGTTGTCCAAGTATCCATCCAATCACAGAAACCATGGCACGCGCGAGGTGGCCTACAACCATCGCCACGAGCGAACCATGAAAGAAAAAAACGCCAGAAAATCATCCCAAAAAAATCAAGTAATCATTAGTATATATCAAGTCAATACGATATATCCTCACTCTCATTTACGAGCGAATGAAAACCGAGTGGGCCCGCAACTTTCCCTCTGCTCGTCTTTCCTAGCTTCCGATATGTACTGGCCTGTCCTGTTCCTGATGAGGCTCGCTCGAGTTTTATCCAGGTTACGAACTGGATTCTCTTGGGTTGCCTTTTGAACCTCAAGCAAACCTTCTCTTCACACACCTTACCCTTACCTCGATGACTGTGATTGCGATCGGATACAGCAATTCTTCCTGTTTGCAAGTTGTTTCCTTTACTTGTTACTTGTTATTTTACTGGTTGGGCCTGGATAGGATTTGGGGATGCCATGCCATATCTTCTTCCTCTTACAAAGGGTTTATCTATTGCTTCTTGAACGTCTTAGTTACTTCTTCTTCTTTTATAACCTTTAGTACCTAGTACTTTGCTTGAACAGGATAGGTTTCTTAGGTCACGCTGGAATGAATGGAAAATATATCCGGAATATTTCTCTCCTGTATCTGTAGTTTCCAGCCTTTGTGGAGTCTGTCTGTCTACTTCACTGCCTTTGTAACCACCCCACTACCAAGTAGTCCGTCTTGTATGAAGGGGCTGGGTCGGATGGTTAATTGACTAGTGATCCCACGTGGATACTGGCCTGGAAACCTCGCCTCTTTATGATAAGTTAAAAAAATCAGCTGGACTTCAGCTCAGTGAATCATCGTGGCTTATATATGCATCTGTTGACCCGGTTATCTGGATGGGTCGGGCTCATGGTGCTGTAAGAAGGGAAGGGATTATTCACATACTCGGTCTTTAAGGACCCATCGACCCTAGTTGTACAGCGGGATCATGGACAAACGACCGAGTGCACAGTTGTCATTCCGGGGCGGCCCAGTTTGTATGACGAAGGCGGGTTCGAGGAACTGGGTCGTGATACCAACCGATCAGGCTACGTTGGGGCTTTTGGATTACCCAGTCTAGGTAACTCCCAAACCGAACAGTGTAGTTCATAAATTCATTTCAGTCATACATATACGATTGTTAAAAACATGATTTATATACAAGGGAAGTTTTCAGTTACTCGACAGCTGTCTCCTTCCGGATGGTATCCACGCGTGCAATGTCATCAGCGCTGGGCTCCTGCAACTCCGCGTCTCCCACCACAAAGGCTTCGCTCACTGCGTCTTCGACTTGTTCCACGATATGTAGAATCAAATTCACAGACCGAGCTGTTCCTATCTTGACTGCATCCTCGCCCACTGAGGCTTCGATTTTGCCGTCGCCACCGTTTTTAGCGAGGTCGGCTTTGAAGGTGCTGCAGATTGATTTGACGGGGTCGAGGAATCGGCTGCGGAAGTAGGCGTAGGTCTTTTCTAGTTGTAGTTGACTGCGGAGCTGTTTGGATGATATGAGGATATAGTAGAGGTTGAGGGCGGAGTGGATCGATGGGCTGAGTGATTGCGTGAATTTGACCCAGGATGTCACGAGGTCAGAGGATACATCTATATCCCGAGAGGGAGAGGCGAAGATAAGGGGGAAGGCGACGGAGAAGTAATGAGGGTTGGAGAATATTGACCCAGAGGCCGAAGTTTCTTTGGCTGCCTCTAGGATCTCGTGCTTGAGCCAGTCAATTGCCCTATCCTTGATCGTTCTATAGTGATCGTCCTCTAGCACCTTGCGGATGACCTTGAAGCGGGATATTTGAGACGGGTTGGCGTGGATCACAGTTTCTGGGAGCCTTCGTACTGAACTGTAGGTTTGGCGAACGGTACACGCTGTCAGCGAAATGACAAAGTCTCTAAACCCGTTCTCATCTGACGGTGCTGGTATCGGGCCTTTCAGGGATAGGACGGCGAGAGCGAGGAGCGAGTCAAGGAGCACCTCCGGTTGCTCGAAGGCAACCTCATCCAGAGTACCAAAATTCCCAACAAAGTTATCCAAAACACGGGCTAGGTCGGGGTAAACCTTGATCGGAGGAATGGTTCCAGACGAGAACAGCTGGGCGACTGCTGCCCGGGCAGCCAATAATAGTACGGCTGCGTGCCTTTCAAGGGGAATTTCTTCTGCCTTCTTCGGGTGTTCTTCAAAGTCTAGCGGTGGGGGTTGCGCCTCTGGTGGTTGTGTGACAATCTTCAAGAGCTCTGCATCGGTCAGGCCAAAATCTTGGGAAAGTGCCTATTCGAGTCAGTACATGGCGTTGTCAGAGAACGAAAGAAAGCATACAGTAATCTTGGCAATGATACTATCCCTCTCCCCCAATTGCTTATTCTCCACATAGACATTGGTAGGTGATCCAGAACCAGGCATGCGCGTTTCCGGGTGTAGCTTCTCCTGCAGCCTAATACCCCAGGACATCCCAGGGTCCATGGCACCAGAACAACTCAGGAGATAGGACTTGAGAAGCTCAATCAACCCGAATTGTAGAAACCTCCTAATCAATGCACCTTCTGCGTCGAGAGCTGGGCTAGGGGTTGTGACCTCCGCTTCAGGATCCGGGGCCGATGCTTCGGCGACGCGCAGCACCGTCGAATCGCTGGCCTGCCTTGGGGGTGGCGGGGGTCGCTTCGTGGGAGATACGTCTCTGAGGAATTCTAGAAGGGCGATGGTGGTCTCATTCGTTGGCATTGAAGTGTATGCCTCTAGCGCTGCCTGGAGGGACGTTGCAAGGAATCGGCTGGGTGACTTGGTCTGGATTCGCGAGTGGAGGGTCGAGAGCATCGCAACGAGCGTGTTGAATTTGGTAACGTGGAGAGGAACGCTCCCTGTCGCTGCATTTTTACTGCTGCTGCTGAGGTTAACGCCCTGGAGCTGCTTCTCCATTTGCTTGTCTGCGTCCTCGTCGTCGTCGTCTTCTTCTGCGGGGTGTAGATGCATGAGAGCGTCGGATACGCGCAAGATGACTTCTCTGGGATTCCCAAGCCGCGCAACATCTTTCAAACACTCCTGGGACTCTGGAAGCATAGGAAGGAGGATCTTGACCAGGTCCCAGCCGATATTCGTCGTAAGAACCTCATCTTGCAGGAGCTTGTGGAGGAGAGGCAGTCGTGCGGGGGTCAACTGATACTCGAGCAGAGTGAGGTAGGTAAGGTAGTCGGTGGCCGGGGGGAGGGCCTGGATGAGGGGGTCTTCTTCGGACATTGGGATTGACTGATTGATGGACGACATGGGATATGAGACGAAAAGATTGCCAACGCGGGGAGAGGAGGGGAGGATGAAGGGTCTGGTCGTAGGAGCTGCGTCAGCTCATCGGTCTTGGCGGTTGTTGCGGGGCATCATGACATCACAGGTACAGAACACTCTACTCTGTACACAACACACTGAGATATGCGAAACATACGATGTACTCAGAGTAATACCAGGCTCTCTATAGAATATAACTCAATGCTGCTCCTTGAGCCAGTAATTCACACCAAAGCTACGTAGTTCGCTCGACTGTTGTGTTCACGCGTCGTCCGGCTATGTGGACTATTAAATACAATTTTCTTCCCTCAGATATATAATGTATACCATCGTATTCAATTAAACCACTTGTGTCTACCATCTCATGGCATTTACGAAAAGCCAAGTATGATGCGGGTCTCATATCCATACTTTGCCACGTGACGAGGACCCTGATGATCCCATGCTTGGCTTGAGTTTATAATAGCAGGGATCAGAATTCAATAATATGACTAAATTTACCCGAAATCGGGAACTCATTATGTTCACAGAAAGTATGTGCTCTGTTCAATTCCAGCGTGGCGACCATGTGCAGAGCCATTCTGCGTTAGGAAGTTCACGGGAGTGGGTCCGCCACTGAACCACCAGTATAGAGTATAAAACTAGGGCTTCTCTATAAGACGAAATCTGCACTGCCCATCCGCCTTTCAAGTCTCAAGATTAATTTTATAGTCCTATACTCACTCCTGTCTTCCTCTTCTTTTTTTTTGACTTTTTACTTCCACGTTAACAATGGCCACTGAGTCCGCCCAGATCCTCAAGGCTGCACGCATAGCACCAGAAATCTTCCAACTCCGACCCGACTACCGCGCCCTGCTCCTAGTAGTGGACGGGATCCCCCCAGGCCCCAGCGACACCGCCAGCGAAACCCTTCTCCGCGAAGCCGAAAATCACGTACGTGAGCTCCTCACGCAGCACCCCATACCCGACTTCCCACACATCGCCGCATGGCGCGAAGCATACAAATCCTTCGGCACCAAACCCAACAAAACAAGAAACAGTCTGGAAGCACTATCCCGGCGTGTCGTGACAGCAGGCGCAGGAGCAGGAGGAGCGGGTGGTCTTCCGCGCGTGAACCGGCTGACGGACATCTACAACGCGATATCAGTGAAGCACCAGATCCCGCTAGGCGGCGAGGATCTGGATAAGTACGAGGGGGCGCCTTTTCTCATTCGTGCGGCTGGCGATGAACCGTTTCAGACGTTCTCTGGGGGTGAGCCGCAGACTGAGTGCGCGGCGCCCGGGGAGCCGATTTGGTGTGATGGGAAGGGGGTTACTTGTCGGAGGTGGAATTGGAGACAGGGTCCACGGACGGCATTGACGGATGATAGTCGTCGTGTGTTGTTTATTTTGGATGCGTTGGAGCCGCTTGGGGATGATAGGTTGGTGAAGGCTGCTGAGGAGCTGGCGGCTGCGCTCAAGGGTCTTTCTACGGAGGTGCAGGCGGAATATCGAATTCTTGGTGCTTCAGGGTTAGGCGACGAGGTGAAGCTTTGATTTTATATGGAAGAAAGTTATTATTGAGGGCGCTGGGTGGGACGAGAAGTGGTTAGAAGCAGCGCAGATCGTAGGCTTAGCATCGAGTAGCTTAGCCCTAGTTCAGAAACAATCTTTAATGACGACGATCTTCGGCACCCAGATGCAAGGATAATCCATTTCCTTAGACAGGGCAAAAGTGGCTGTGCGCATTTCATTTGTACTATCGCGTCCCCCGCTCAATTTAAAATTATAAGTACTTCGACTGCTTGTTACAAGCGTCATGCACATTCCAGCGAGAAATGCGGAGAAGGCCATGCGTGTATGGTAGGGAAAACTAAGACTCTCTGCAAGACTCCGCCCAGCCGGCTGTCAAGGCTTGCCTGCGAAACGCATGTGATGGCTTCAATCACTTTGCACAAATCCTGCAGCCTAACTACCGGGATTAAGCATATCCACCTATCCAGACAGGTGGGCCAACATTCTTCAGCCCAATCTCCGGTGGATTCAAGCAAGGATGATGCGATGTTTCTCCGGCGCACCAATCAAGGCGACGGGGCCGAGGCTAGACCGAGTGTGTTATATAAACCGCGAGAGAAGTGGGCCGTGGGGACTACCAACAACAGTGCTCTTAATATATCTATATTGTCCAAGCCCATGCTGTAGTGACGGCGGGCGCCACCGGGCGAGCGGATTCGGGGATGTTGTCCGTATTGGATATGGATGTTATGGAGGGCATTTATAAAAAGGCCTGTCCGTCCTGCAAGTTAATACGGTATCGCCATATTTTCCTACTTGTTGCCAAGAGAGGAATTACTCAAGATGAGGCTTCATCCATTCATTCTGCTAGCAGCTGCTGTCACCAGTACCAGCGCGGCTGGGGTTACAGGGGCAGCAGAGGGCTTCGCGAAGGGTGTGACTGGTGGCGGGAGTGCGACTCCAGTCTATCCAGAGACTACTGCTGAGTTGGTTTCGTACTTGGGGGACAGCTCAGCGCGGGTCATTATCTTGACCAAGACGTATGTCTTCAAACTGGTACCTTGTCCTGTATAACAGCTAACCGAGTCCAGATTCGACTTCACTGGCACTGAAGGCACTACAACGGAAAATGGATGCGCTCCGTGGGGCACTGGGTCTGCTTGTCAGCTTGCGATCAACAAGAATGACTGGTGTACAAATTACCAGCCAGATGCCCCGTCTGCTTCTGTTAGCTAGTAAGTCATCCCCATTATGCTGCAGGGATATATGCTAAGCGGGCAATTGACAGCGACAATGCCGGAGTCCTGGGCATCACCGTCAAGTCCAACAAAAGCCTAGTAGGCGAGGGCTCCAGCGGTGTGATCAAGGGGAAAGGCCTCCGGATTGTGAGTGGTGCAAGCAATGTCATCATCCAGTATGCCACCTAATCCCATACCCATCTTACCATAACTAACCCAACCCAGAAACGTTGCAATCACAGACCTCAACCCCAAGTACGTCTGGGGCGGCGACGCAATCACCCTCAACGACGCCGACATGGTCTGGATCGACCACGTTACGACCGCGCGCATTGGCCGCCAGCATCTCGTCCTGGGAACAAGCGCCTCGAACAGAGTGACGGTGTCCAATTCCTACTTCGATGGCGTGAGCTCATACTCGGCCACCTGCGATGGGTACCACTACTGGGGCATCTACCTAGACGGCTCCAACGACCTTGTCACTCTAAAGGGGAACTACATCTACCACATGAGTGGCCGTAGCCCTAAAGTCGCCGCAAACACCCTTCTTCACGCAGTAAGCACCTCTTCTTCTTTCCTTTCCCATTCATACTAACATGTAAACCCCCCAGGTAAACAACTACTGGTACGACTCCTCCGGGCACGCATTCGAGATCGACGCCGGCGGCTACGTCCTCGCAGAAGGCAACGTCTTCCAAAACATCCCCACCGTCGTAGAATCCCCCATCAGCGGGCAGCTCTTCACCTCGCCCAACTCGAACACGAACCAAGTCTGCTCAACGTACCTGGGCCATACATGCCAAGTCAACGGATTCGGCAGCTCCGGCACATTCAGCCAGGCGGATACGGGCTTTTTGGTTAATTTCCAGGGAAAGAACATTGCCAGTGCAGAGGCTTATACTGTTGCGCAGAGCAGTGTCCCGTCGAATGCTGGGCAGGGGAAATTGTAAGGTATATTCGATTAGTTCCAATGCATGTCATATATCGGTGCGTCAACGGGCAGGAGCTGGACTGACGTTCACCGACCCTTCCTAAACCCTAAATTAAGCTTCTCTTTTCAGAGAAAGTGCAATGAAGAAAGTCAGGTCGCTCCTTCCAACCCTGGACAGCCTTCCATCGCACCTTCCCTCAAGCCACCCTACAAACGCAATTAGTAACTCAACAGGAAGGAGCAACCTATTATCGCTCTTTCCAATTTAAGTATACTGGTACCTACTATTTGTAGGTCGTAGTAGGCAGCTTCGGCAATCAATAGATAGAGTAGGAGATGGTTTAGGTTAATATATTTGTACATGGATAAGAATGTAATAGAACACTTAATCTTCCCATTCGTATTCCGGTATTTCATAGTCATCCGAATGAGCAGACGACGCGCCGAAGAATTTTTGAAGAAGAGTTGGTATCCCGCTCCAGCATATAAACGCAAAAATAGCATTTCGGAGCCACAACCCCCAGGCCGTCTGAGGCGCCAGTATCCCAGGTATAAAAGCCGGAATCTTTTGCATCTCATTAACAAAAGGCCGCATCTGCTCCTCGTAGCCCCTCAGAGCTGCTAGTACATTTCCCCGATGCTTGCGGATCTCACCAGCTAATATGTACGCACCGGTAAGGGCGAGACTGGTGCCCGTCCCAGTGGGACCGGATGCGTAGCCGGCATCACCAACCAGCACGAACCGTCCCTTATGCAGAATCGGCGGCTTGACCTGGACCATCTCGCTCCCGTAAAAGTCATCGGCGTCCAGCATACCCTTTATGACCTCGTCGCATTTCCAGCCCGCTCCATGGAAGTACTGCGCCACGTATTCTTTGAGGGCATTGGTGCCTAGTTTTTTGGCTTCACGGAATGGTTTGGCGGCGTCGTGGGCGTTTCGTGGATTGATGCCCATCATCGCAACGCGGGTTATGCCAAAAGGGTCGGATCCCATGCAAATGAAGCGGCCGCCGGGGGTACTGTATGCCTCTCCTATTTGGCCCCCATTGAGTAAGTCCTTCTTTATGGAGAAGAAGACTACCCACGAGTTGAGTGAGTGTATATAGTCCCGGGTACCACAACCAAGGCCCATGGCACGAGTTCGCGATGTAGCGCCATCACAGGCGATAACTAGATCGTATTCCGTAGCAGGATATCCGTTCATGAATTCGACCGAAACAGGCCCGTTACTCTGTTCATTTTGCTGTAGAGAGGAAACTTGTTCACCGAAAACATACTCGATGTTCTTGTGGTTCTTTGTAAGGTTGAAGAGAATGCGTGCTAGATCACCACGGAGGATCTCATACTCGGAGATGAGGGACTGTTGATTAGCATCCCCCGTAGGTCTGATGGTTCCGTAGGGCCTGCCATTCTCGCGGACGAGGCTGATGCCCTTGACAGGAAGGGTATTTGCTCGTACTGCCTCTTCCATCCCGGGCATATTCCGCATTACAGAGACACCAGATGTCCGAATATCAACATTCTGGCCGCTTGAGCGCATCTGTGGAAATCTCTCGATGATTGTGACCTTTGCGCCGGCTTTGGCGAGCCAGTAAGCTGTCGTTGGGCCTGCGACGGATGCCCCCACGACGAGAACGCTCAAGTTTGACATGCTGATTATGCTGACGGTCCGAGAGAAATATTAATGAAGACAGAAATTCCAGTAACGTTGTCTCAGAGAACGAGCTCCCGGATCAATATAATATACCAGTATGGCAGTGGGCGAGCGCCAGGCTTCGCATTGTTGGGCCCGATGCTCTGTGGTTTGTGATTGGGCAAGGCGTTCAAGCCGGACTTGCTGATCCCGATGCTCGGTCGCCAAGACCCGAGCAACAGACCAATAGCAGAAACGAAGTCCAGCCTGGGCTCAACGGTCCGGCACTGGTGTGAGGTACACCCCAGGGCGAAGTGGTTACTAGGTTGCTTGTGCCAGTTGGTCCTGCATCAATTGGTCCCAGAACACCCAGTCGTCAACATCAAAATCTAGATCGCTGTCTATTCCCGAACTGGGTTGTTCCAGCAGACCGGTAAAGATATTTGTGCCACCCTTAGGCCCTAGCAATGATGTCGCGCAATGACTTTCCTGACGCTCTGCCTGTTTATTTTCCTTCGCCCCTCGCAAATTCCTTAAAGTGGCAATGAAGGCTGGCTCTGAAACACCACTGTCCAGCTGGTAGGAGTCCCACGCCTTGAGCGCAAGGCGTTGGAGCGTCACATACAGCGCCTGTTTACTTTCAAACAACTCGTCATGGTTTCGGTATAGCTGTGCTACACTCTTCCAGGCAGTTTCAACTTCCACAGGCGAAAGCAGGTCGCGCCTGTTTGATAGCATGGTCAGGATGAAAACAAACGAGTCGCGCGTTCCCCACAAAAAGAACGGTCTGACGTGCCATTGATACCTGCTAATTCCGATGTGAGAATGGACAGTCGCATCAGTATCCAGAGTCTTCTGCGCAAGCTGAAACATTTCTTTCCGTTCTGCGTCAGTGGCAGTCTGGTTCCTAATTTTTGGGAGCCGGATTTTGAGGCGCAAGGCAGTGATTCCCGACCGAGCAAGGCCAATGGTGAGGTAATGGAGGGGGTGTACGATATCGCAGTAGCGGATAAACTTCTCCTCTACTTCGCTTTCCGCCTCACTGATAACTTTCTCCGCTTCGTGGTGATCCGGAAAGCCAAGAGGAGCACCGCCGTTGATGGGAGTTCCAGCCCTAGCCAGCTTTTGCCCAAGGCATGCGCGTGACAAGCAGAATATCATCTCTGTCGCACCGTTCTGCTCGACTGGTTTGCCGGTCATTCCTGGCCAAATTTGATCATCATTGATGTTGAGGGGAGGCTTGGTATCCCAAGACTCGGGCAGTGTCATCATGGCGGTTCCTGCAGACTGGCTTGCTCTACCGTCAAGCGGGAAAATCTGGTAGAAAAGCCGTCGTCTCATTTCAACTTCGAATGGAGGCAATTCCAGTTTGTCTCCATCTTGGTGTAGCCCCATGCGTTGCGCTATGCGAACCGCGACCCCTGTCAGAATATAATAAGTATGCGGGTCGTACAGATGGCGACTAGATAAAAGGAAGAGATAATAAGCTTGAAGGACAGCCATCTCGGTTGTCTTTAGGAAAGATGCATTCACGAGAGCTTGTCGCGCAGCCAAGTGATATCGCTGCATCAGGGTAGAACGCGTTTGTCGAAACTGATCGGTACACTCCTCGTCTGTTATTGAAAATACAGCGACATAGTAAATCGCGAATAGTAAGCACTCATCCGGTTTTGACGCCGTTTCAGGACTCTGCGACACAGATTCAACCATCTTGGTGATTGAAGGGATGTGGAGGACCTTGCATATGGGTTCTACATTTTCCGTGTATATTTTCCACAACACCATGGCATCCTTGTGGTTTGGATGATGCTGAAGAAGGCTTTGACCCGGGGCCATGAACGCTGCGGCGGTCAAAGGGTCCAGTACTACAGATCTAGGGATACCGGTGCCACCTCGGAGCGTTTCATCATCTTCTTCGTCGGACATGTGTTGCATTTCATCCTCGTCCAGGCTGTACCAGAAATGACTGTCGATATATCTCGACTTTCCCTGGCGGGTGAAAAGCTTACCCGTTCTCGAGTTTCCGGGTTCCACGAAGGGCACAGACCGCGTCTCCTTGGCCGACGTCGATGTCTCGGCATCCAGTAATCCATGCTGCCTCAGAAGGCGCTCATATCGATCGAGCCTTCCGAGTTTTTCAAGCGTATCGATACTGAGTTTTCGTTTGCGATGACGCGAATTTGGTTCTTGGTAAACACACTCTCGCCCGCTTTTCCAACACCTAGCACAAATAGGGACGGTCTTATCGCATTTGACCTTTCGCTTCGCGCAGGTCTGGCAGGCACTTGGCATTGGGTCCGATGAAATGGGCGAGTTGCCGCGATCCGGTCCAGGCTGGGCAGTGGGTGCCGGGGCAATGGGAGCGAGCCCACTGTGTTCTGGCCCATTAGCAGCAGCCATGGGTGTTCGTGCCGAACTGCCGATCATGAAGACCGGGGAGCCTCGTAGCTCCAATGGTCAAAACATTTAATCATACCGAGCAGGGATTTCCTCCGTTGGCATACACCGTATAGGAGAGGTGGTCTACGCAGTCGTAAATTCAAAGTTCAGCCGCTCTGACTCAGGCACGCGAGGCGATCAGGTGATTCGGCCGTGCTGATGGCAGGGATGTCAAGCGAGGCAAGGCTGAAGAGCCAAGCCACCCGAATTTTTGTTCGTTTGGCTGCGATGATCCACTTTCCTTAGAAATGTTATGCTGGACTGAATCGGTTGCAACCTCCCAATGCCCAAGCTTGTACCTGGATGTTCGGCTCCCCACGGTAACAACGGCCATGCCACGAGGGCCACAATCAGGGACTGCAAGCACTGCCCCCTGTCAACTGAGACCCAAGCTCTCAACTGCGCATTCAGGATGACTACCTCTCTGGGTAGTTGTGGGAACTCTTGCAACCATCCTTGAAGCTGCGGGAGTTGCCGGTTGAGCCGACTCTGTTTATGGCCACTGATTGGACGGTGCCAGGGCCGGTCCTTGTTGGATGTGAAATGATGACTCGAGAAATCAAGCAAGTTTGGCCCAAGCGGAGAGTTTTTTCGCCCTGGCTCCATCGTCAAGGCGTTCGTTCTTGCGACTATACCATGAATAGCAAATCCTCCCCTCGATCCGGCATATGCTTGATTTTCACGAGGCGCTTTCCTCCATCCGCGCCCTACCGATTTTCCGCCCTCCCTCCCATCTCACCCTCCACCTCCACTCCCTTTCTCGCCCATCCCTTTCTCCTCTTCTTTAGTTGCACCGCCGGCGTTCCTTGTATATTAGACCCCTCTGTACGCAGTGTCTGTGAGCTAGTTAGTCTCAAGCCGTTGCGCCTCTACTCCCTGACCGACTATTGATCGATCTATCCGGGCTATCCGGCTGCTCCGGCTCGTTTCCTGACTGCTCGCAGCTGCTGTCCNCCTGGTCGTCTCCAGAAGTTTTGAACCTTAGAATACCATCCGGTTCTAACAACACCTAAGAATCGGATCGCGCATCCCATCTCTCGCTGCTTGAGTCCCATCTGGCGAATAATCCGTCGCGCCCCGACTGCTTGATATCCGACCACGCTGAGATCTAGGGGTTGGGAGAATACTCGTCGTCGGCTGCAAATTAATCCCCTCAATTCAAGTGAGGGGAAGGGAGAGAATACACAAAAAACAAGTAGTAATCGGGAGGTGCGACCAGCTTCCAGAGCTGCCAACACCCTTTCTCAACGCGGAAATGGCAACCGAAATGCAGTCGTTCTACACGCCCGCAACCTCCAACCACATCTCCTCCCATGGCACTGTCGCTGTCGATGAGCTTATAAACAAGTACTCCTCCACCATGGCTACGGCGACATGTCCCGCCAGCACCCATACCATGCGCAAGAGGCGCCGCAATATCCTTCAGCGCGCCACGGACCGCGTACGACTAGAGTACTATCGGTACGAGGTTACCTTCGGCCTCTATGTCATGACACCAGCAGAAAAGCTTGTCGCAAACACGTTTGTTTTTGTTTTTCTCAGTCTCCTGCTCTGGGCTTCGCTGGTCTACTTCCCCGGCTTGCTTTACCAGAAGCTGTCTCGTCTCGTCTGGTTGTTGACCGGCCAGAGCGGTGAAGAGATGGGAGCTGCCTTGGGAATTTTGGATACACACGCAACTTCAATACCGCCGTTTACTTCCGAGAGAGCATTGTCATGAGCGGGGCGTCTGCATAATTGCGCGCTTACCGTGACACCCATCGCCAATTTTGACTATTCATTTTGTTCCGCCCCCCGTATTTGGTCAATCTTTTCTGGCCTCGGGGTTTAGCATGGAAGGTATATATCTATATATGACTCCAGGGGTGATCGGTGGCCCGCTTGCTAACTGACGCGTCTTGCACAGTACCCCACTATCGTTTCCTACAATTTGGAGTTTGGCGCAATTGGTGTTTCCTATAATTTCCTAGATGACGAAAACGAACTCGTCACCCTATAATGACTTGATTGAGGGACTGGTTTATTCCGCGAGAACGACTACCCGAATATAATGACAGATAACGCGTCCACAAACGGCCTTCTTGGTGCAGTTGCTCGCCCACCGAGAAGCATAGCTTCCCGTCTTTTTCGATACCTGCCCTCCTATTTGTTTTGTTTGGGTTTAATGTCCCGGTGCCTTGGACTCAGCGGCTGAACCAAGACGGCTGCGACGATGATTGCTCGGTGTACATTGGATCCCCGAGTGGTTGTCGATGTATAGTGCAGATCCGCCATATTGGATTTGTGGGGCCATTGTTAGAGGTGGAATAAGGTACAATAATGCATAATGTTAAATACGAACCTCCCATTGAACACAGTACCGCGTTTCAGGCTGTAGACCTTCATCCTCCGTAGTTCATCCGCGATTTGACGTTGCTAGCCAAGCCAAATCGAATCAGGCCGTCCGCGGGTACGAGCCTCAGCCACAATGGCGATAAAAATAAATGAACTATGACAGCACCAGCCACGAGTCCGCGACATGCTCAGCCGTGTCGATTGCCAGATTGACGAGGATCAAGAGCCGAGCCTCCAAAACCCACTTCAGACCGGCACGCAGGGCTGGAGTTATGGAGCTCCTGCCAGCGAAGATGCTGACGCAGCTCGCTGGATCGGCACCCCAAATCCCAAAAATAGCGGCCCGCAAAACGACTGCCTAACCGCCGGACCGCGCGACCACGCTCTCTTTTTCTTTCGCTGCTCCGCTTCATCTTGTCTCTCCATCTCTCGCTTTATTTTCCGCTCTCTGGCACTCGTTTATTTAGTTGCCACCGGCTCCTGTCTCGACTTCACCCTCGCGCTACTGTTCCGCGTGGTGTCTCTCGCTCGTCTGGTTCAGGTCCCGTTCCAGCCTCGGAAGTTGTTTATTCCAGTGGCAGCTGAGGCCCCTTGTTTTTTGAGTGATTGAGGCGTCTGCCCACCAACCGCAACACGCCGGCCTCGTATTTACCTTTGTCCCTGAACTGGTAGAGTCCGAGCGATTTCTTTGTTTAACCGGACACGGTTCTCAGACCAGCGAATCCATCCCTTGCGCCCGCGAGCGACCCGTCACAATGGCCGCCCAAGGCTACTACAACGGCGCGCAGAGTAACCCTCCGGCATACGACCACCACGGACCGCCCTCCGAGTCGTTCAGCAGAGTCTCGCCCTCACCGCGTCCGAGCCCCAGCCCCGTGGGATACAATCACAACGCCGCCCCTTACTACCAGTCTCCGGACGACCTCCACGATCCGCATCACCTTCGTTACAGTCAGCAGTCTATCGGCTCGGACAGCGGGGCATATGTTGCTGGAGGAAGGATACATGACAACGATCAATACGCAGAGAATATCCCTCTCAAGTCCGCAAATCCATACGATAACCAGACTCCATACGATAATCATTCTCCGGGCCAGCAGCCCTGGATGCAGCAACCGACTCACTATGCGCCAGACCCTGCCATGATGGAAACGCAAACGCATCCTCCGCAGAAAAAGAAGAAGGGCTTCTTCAAGAAGAAGATTGCATTTGTTACTTATATTTTAACGGCCGCTCAAATTATTGTGTTTATCGTCGAATTGGTAAAAGCCGGTAAGTCGTTTGCGGGACGTATAGACAGGGGCTCGATCTAACAAACTTAATAGCCCAACTTACTGGGACACCAGTCCAAACGAAACCGCAATTCAACCCGATGATCGGTCCATCGCCATACGTCCAAATCAACATGGGTGCCAGATATGCCCCTTGCATGAAGAACGTCCCTCATGTTCAGAACAACACCAATCCCAATGGGTTCTTCTTCCCCTGTCCGAATACGACAAGTCAAGTGGCAGCCTGTACACTCTCCGAACTATGCGGTTTTGACGGGGTTCCGAACCCAGTACCAAACGGTTCTCTCGACGATAAGCCTGCCCCGAATCAGTGGTTCCGTTTCATCATCCCAATGTTCCTTCACGGTGGGTTCATCCATATCGGTTTCAACCTCCTCGTCCAAATGACTATGGGTGCGGATATGGAACGGATGATAGGATGGTGGCGATATGGGTTGGTTTACTTCTCCAGCGGAATTTGGGGGTTCGTTCTTGGAGGCAACTACGCCGGTCAGGGAGAACCATCTAGTGGTTGTTCCGGTGCGCTTTTCGGAATTCTCGCGCTTTTCATCTTGGATCTTCTCTACGGATGGAAGGATCGCGAGAGCCCTTGGGTGGAGTTTATTATTATGATTGTCGGTATTGCGGTCTCCTTTGTGCTAGGCCTGCTGCCGGGTTTGGACAACTTTTCCCATCTTGGCGGATTTACCATGGGGCTTGCACTTGGATTGTGCGTTATGAGGTCTCCGAATGCACTACGAGAACGTATTGGACTGGCACGCAGTCCTTATGTCGCCATGAGCGGCGGCGTTGCCTCAGAAAATCCGAACCCCGACGCAAACAAGGCGGCAAATGGTTCGAACTTTGGCGGTTTCAGCAAATATAGCCCCAAGGGCTTTTTTGCCGGCCGGAAACCTCTATGGTGGGCCTGGTGGTTGGTCCGCTTGGGCGCGTTGGTTGCCGTTATCATTGGCTTCATCCTGCTCATCGTGGACTTTTACAAGTATCCGAGCTCAAATTGCTCCTGGTGCTACAGGTTCAGTTGTCTGGTGAGTATCCGCACTTTCTTTAGGCCGCCTGGACTCCGCTAACTATCATTCTTTCTTTATAGCCCGTCAATGGCTGGTGCGAACAAGGAAATCTGAACCCCACCACCGTAAACAAGACCGATTCCGGCAATTAGTGTTGTGGCATGTTTTCTGATTTTATACCTACGCATTTTATCCCCTCTTCCACCATAATCCTTATTTCACGAAGCCGGGTGAATCGGCCCAGTACCATATATCATTAGCATTACGAACCTCCATACCATATATTGGGCGTTAGAAGGATTGGCAGTTTTGCTGTTCGCGGGTTCAGGAACAGCGAATTTCCTATGCTTGTTATATCATGAACAATATACAAATAGTAGTCCCAATTTAAGCAAGGGGCAATGCACGAACAATATTCAGGCAGCACTCAGTATTTTTTTTCTTGATGTGGGACACGATACACGTAGTGCTCTGAGACTAGAATATGAGCTGCGCCCCAGCCGCGTGGCTGTGGCGGTGTAATTCCGGATCATCACGATATGGGCCAAGACCTCTCAATAATGTGAGCTCATCTCGAGCCTTCTCAGCGCTCCCCCTCGACTTCTCCGGACCATCTCGCTTCTGTACAATATTGTTTTATCGTTCTCGGCTTCAGGCCGCGTGTTTTACCGATAATTCCTTCGAACCGTTGACACTCTTTTTACGCCTGTCTTTCGCCGCTGCCTATCCTCCCCGCACCGCTACCGTCGAATGCAACATACGCAATGATCCTGCCCCCTTTATAACCACGTCGCGCATCATTTTCTGTCCTTCCACCCACACGACGGTTGAAGTTCTGTACCTGTGATGGCCACATTGGCCATGTCGGAACCCTCGTCGCCGTCCTGGCCGAAGCGCCGGCCCAGGGCTTGGGCTATGCGCTGCGAACGATACTGTTGCATGGCCGCGACTTACTTCCCGTTAGCATTCGTCTATAGCTTGACAACATGGGCTGTGTATGTCGAGGCTAGCGTTGGTTTGAAACCTACGAGTAGTCCCTGGATCGGTAGGTCAATACGGTCTCCTGGGGTATATGATAAGCGGGATGCTGACAGGGTCTTATCGATGTAGGACTGCCAACCTCGATCCTTGGAGTCGTCCTCTACCTTGGCCTTAATATATCCTATACGACCGCCGTCTTTACCGATCCCGGTTCGCCCCTTGGAAATAGCGCACGCGGCAATGACCGACATCAGTACAGCGCGCTACCGATCACCGAGATGCCCGAGTATACATCCTTCACTGTGAACTCCTCGGGAGGATCACGGTTCTGCAAGAAATGCCAGTGCCCGAAACCTGACCGGGCGCATCACTGCTCAACGTGTAAACGCTGCGTATTGAAGATGGACCATCACTGCCCGTGGCTGGCGACCTGTGTCGGATTGCACAACTACAAGGCCTTCCTCCTTTTTCTGATTTATACGTCGCTGTTTTGCTGGGTGGATTTTGGTGTGTCGGCTCTCTGGATTTGGACGGAGGTGTTCAATAACACTCAATATATGGATGGCATTCTCCCAGTGAATGTCGTGTTGCTGTCTATTCTCGGTGGTATTATTGGGTTGGTTTTGACGGGTTTCACGGCTTGGCATATCAGCCTTGCTGTTCGTGGTATGACTACGATAGAATGTCTAGAGAAAACCCGGTATGTCTCGCCGCTGCGGAAAGCGCTGGACCGCCACCGTTACGAGAGCCTACTTGGCAACAGTGATGCTCGGAATGGCGACGAAAACCAAGACAGTCTCGGCGGTCGGCTGCAGGGATACGGAAACCGGATCCTGGATGCGCACGCAAATGCTATACCCGGCGTGACCCGCCCAGAAGAAGGCGAGGAGTCAACACTTGGATCGGAGAACATGACACCCGCGCAACAAGCCCTATCCCGCTCATACGCCGATCTAGAACGACAACGCGAGCACGACCGGTACGAAGACTACCTAGCGGAACTTGATAACGAAAAGATGCCGAACGCGTTCGATCTGGGCTGGAAGCGGAATTTCCTGCATCTCTTCGGCGACAGGCCTCTATATTGGCTACTGCCTAAACCCACAACAACAGGGAACGGGTGGGACTGGGAGCCAAGCCCGAAGTTTCTAGAGGCGCAAGAGCGGGTACGTCTGCGCCGCGAGCAAGCGGCTGAAGAACAACGACAGCATGATCGGGATCTCTACCTGCGAAACATCAACAATGGTCGCAGTTGGCTGGGCACGGATATTCCACAGCCGCAGGGACGCACACCGGACCAGTATTTGGCTAGTGCCAGTGATCCGGACCGGCCCACTACAGGAGTCTCGATGAAGACACTCCCGCCAATGTCTCCGCGGCCGCGGCCGGGTGAAGGCAGTTATGGAGATGACCTTGATGAGGAGGGGTTTACCCTCACACCTAGCCAGGGCAAAGGAGCGGGGAATACAGGTTCACGGGATGATGACTGGCGGGACTGGGAATAAGTATTTGTATGTTGTAAGCGGGCGTCCGGAATTGTACTTTTTTCTGTATCCATAGGATTGTTCTAGTCGGAGTTATCAATCAGTTCATAGATTTGTTTGTGCCTAAAATATCAGGCACATATTGAGGTATTCGCAATCCGATTCCGCCAGCTTGCATTAACTCTCCCTCATTTATTTCCCTTCTTCCTTCCAAACCATCTCTCTTCGCGAACTGTCGCTCTATTTCCTCTCTTTGTAATTTGCGCTATCCTAGCTGGCCTTGGAACTGCCGCACCCCTCTTATAACCGTCATCCCACTTAGCGACAACAACCCCCCATACAAGCTGTATCTCGCCTTCACGACCACCGACCAGCACGTCAGTGGAAACGAGATCACCATAAAACCCGCCCAATACATACCAACCCAATAAACCCTATCCCGACTGTACAAATAAGAAAGAAAGACAACATGTCTCGCTCGCTCCGCCGGCTCATGAAAGAGGCCTCGGAGCTCTCCTCCTCGCCCTCCCCGCACTTTCACGCCGCCCCAACCTCCGACGAGAACCTCTACGACTGGCACTTCACACTCGCCGGCCCCCCACCTCCATCTCCCTACGCCGGAGGAATATACCACGGTCGCATCGTTCTCCCACCTACATACCCGCTGCGCCCACCCTCCTTCCGCTTCCTTACCCCGTCAGGCCGCTTCGAAGTCAACCGCGAGATCTGCCTGAGCATATCGGGGCACCATGAAGAGTCGTGGCAGCCGGCGTGGGGCATCAGAACTGCGTTGCTTGCGATTAGAAGCTTTATGGAGGGTGATGCCAGAGGTCAAGTCGGAGGGCTGGAGGGGGTGAGTGATGAGATCAGACGGCAGTGGGCGGGGATGAGTCGCGGGTGGAGTTGTGAGGCTTGTGGAGGGAAGAGTAATGAGGAGGTTCTGAGGGAGTGGAGGGGGTTCTGTGTTGAGCAGGGGGTTGACGTTGAGAAGGAGGAAGATGCTGAGGGGGTGCCAGAGGAATTGAGGATTGGGATTGGGAAGGAGAAGGGTGAGGGTGAGGCAAAGGATGGTGAAAATGGCTCTGGTGGTGCGCCTTCTCATGGCGCAGCCAATGCTGCTACGAACAGGCCGTCAGATGGACCTACAGCGGACGCGACAGAAAAGAGCACGAGTACATCTGCGCCGAGTGAGCCCGGCTCGAGTGCCGTAGCTTCGTCGACAACGGTTCAAGCACCAGTGTCTGCGAATACACCAGCACCGGTATCTGTACCCCCAGCTGCCCCGCGGCGGCAGCAACAACCTACCCCTACGAGGACATCTGGCCAGCCCGCGCAAGTGGCCTCGCAGGATAGTCCATGGTTGGACCGGGCTATATTCGGCGTGCTGGTCGCGCTGATTTTAATGATTCTGCGCCGGTTTGTCAATATCGAGGATTAGATTGTGTTTTGATATGATCGGTTTGGATAAGATAGCGGGCGTTTGATAAGTGTTTGAACTGGATAGCTAAAAATATATTTCTTGATATATTCCAGCAGTCTTTCAGCAGAAGCCCTATACTTTGGTACAGGGACCAAAAGCTTTCCAGAGGAAGGAACGACGGATCCTTGTCTCCTTCCTCGACTGGCCAAGCCGTGGCTGCTGCAGTTGAGTGTTTGTTTGACTCGCGGAAAGAGCATCCTCTGTTATATCCTGCGATGCTCGTCCCTTTCAGCCCAAGCTCTCTCTCCTCTTGACTCCTGTGGATTGCTTGAATTTCCCTCAATCATATTTACCCCTCCACGTCCAAAATGGCGCCCTCTCTTCTCAGGCGCGTGAAAGATGTTCAGTTCAGCAAGCCCAGCCTGGCAGTGCCTACCCTGCAATCGCCCACCTACAAAGTGAGTTCGCAGCTGTCGCAATTCTTCCCTCCGTCGCCAGCGTTCACTGGGAAGGATATCCCTTTTCAGAAAGGAAAAGTATTCCTCGTGACCGGTGGTACTTCAGGCATCGGCTTCGAGCTCGCCAAAATCCTATACGCCAGAGGCGGCACCGTATATATCACTGGGCGGACAGATGAGAAGGCAAAAAAAGCTGTCCAAGATATCCAGGCAGCTGTCGGCGAGCGTGATGGTCAAATAGACTATGTTATTCTCAATCTTGATGACCTGGAGTCCATCAAAGAATCTGCCGAAACGTTCATGGCGAAGGAATCGAAACTCGATGTCCTCTGGAACAACGCCGGCGTTGCTCAGCCGCCTTTGGGCGCCTTGTCGAAGCAAGGATTTGAACTTCAACTTGCTACAAACTGTCTCGGTCCTTTTCTGTTCACGCAAATGATGATCCCTCTTCTCGACGCAGCTGTCGTCCTGAATGGGCCTTCTTTCCTGGGCTCCGTAAGAGTGGTCTGGCTGAGCAGCCAGGTTGCTGAGTTGTCTTCACCTCTCGATGGCATCGTCATGACGGAACTCAGCAATGCCCCCCAGGATAACGCCCGCAATTATCAGAATTCGAAGGTAGGCAGCTGGTTTCTGTCGACTGAATTCGCCCGTCGGTATGGGGACGAACACGGCATTGTCAGCGTCGCAATGAACCCGGGTGCTGCCAATACCAATCTCTTGAGAAATGCGAGATGGTCGAAAATCTTCAGGTGGCCGCTGCTCTACAGCCCAAACCAGGCTGCCCTTACTGAATTGTACGCCGGTCTGTCGCCAGATATCAACCTCGAGAATAACGGATGCTATGTGATTCCCTGGGGCCGCATCCACACCACCGTCGCTCCCCACTTGAGAAATGCGATGAGAGTCCAGGATGTCGGTGGAACAGGGAAAGCGAGACAGTTTTGGGAATTCTGCGAGGACAAAACGAAGGGTTATCATTAAAAGCATGAGTTATGTTGGACAAAATTGTCTTTGTCCTTGTCCTAATGAACATTCGTCTCTGTTGGTATTACACCATGCATATTGCTTTATGCTTTATTGTCTTATTAGTCTGATACCTCTTCAACACGGAATCACATTTCTAGGTCAGCATAACTTGGTTCAAGACTCTTCAGAAAACATTCGTAGTCTATTGAGATATAGCGTTGACCGCATTTACAGCAGTCTCGCAGAGCTGTTGTATCTGTTTCCACCGAGCGAGTATCGAATCGAGTTTCTCTTTCTCGGCATCAGACTCGGTAGATCCGGGTTTTGTTCCCTCTGAGAGGCAATCGATCGTCACCTCGCATTCCCGTAGGTATTTTGCAATCCAACCATTTATAATATCCGCAGTTTTTCTTTCATCAAGCCCTTTCTCAGAAGCCCCCGCAACATACACCAACCAGTCTTGCCGGTCCATATATTTCAATCCCGCGGCAGCTACAGTATTCGTGTCCGCGCCGGATACTGTGATTTCAAAGTTCCTATTCGAAATAGTCTCAGAAGTGTATCTCATATAGTTATACGGTGGGTTGGATGCAAGGGAAATATAGGTACTCACCCGAGACAATCCTGTCCAGCTAGTTCGTCTTTTTCGGGGGGCGTAAGGTCCTTGAGAATGATGTCGTCGAGATATACTCCGTCGGATGGGTTGTCGTCGAGATAAAATCCGTCTATATACATATGAACTTCTGTTACACGGGGGGTTGGAAGGAGCAGCAGGGGAACTGACATTCGACGAGTAAGAAATCATTCGAATGTGAGCCGTAGCTCATGTATATCTCTTCGCCTTTTTCTGTAATCCGCATGTTTAGTGGTGAAATAGGGACTCAAGCGGGGGAATCGTATATACGGACCATATCGTCTTGTAGCTTTGAAAGTATACTCCTCCCCGTTGAATGTAACATCGCAGGCCTATTTTTTTCGGGCATTATTAGTACCAGGACTCATCAACTCCCCTGTACTCCTAGAAGAGATGAAATGAGAGGAATTGAATAATAGAACAATACCGCATCGTCAACATGATTAAAATAATCCGCGTACGGAACCATGCCAAGCGCATCATTCCAATCTTCAGGCTCTTCCATTCCAGGCGAAACATAATAGAAGCTTCGCGAATTGATAATGGCCCAGTTATACACGAAGTCCTTCCAATTCGTCTGTGGGAACACGGACAGAACCTGTTTCCATGCATTCTGCAGTCGTTTCTGCTGTTGGGAAAGGATATTCTGGTACCTCGTCTCGTACTTATGGTTCTCTGGCCCGGTCAACTTCTCAAATGAATTCCATAGGCCTGAGATAGACGGTGGGAGAAAAATAGGGCCTCCAAAAACACTATCACCATCTAACTCTCTTTCCGCCACAGAAGAATCCGACCGCCGTAACCGTGACGGCCAAAAGATAGGCATGCTGCTCTCAAACTCCTCCCAATCGGGCCAAACACTACGCCAGGCCTCCAGCTCTGCCAGGAGCCTGGGATCCCCATGCGTCAGAAATGCAGCCAGAACCCCCTGGGTGGATGTCCCCTCTGGAAACATGGACACAAAGGATTCCGGGATTGAGTCGAGTGTGAGCATTAGAGAGACGGGAATGGAGAGCATGATTTCATTTTCCTAGATTTGTGTTAGATGATCAACAAATGTCCAATCATCCATACATCTGACGACAAATTGAAACACACAGCCCATTCCGCTACAAAAGCGAGAATCAAAATGATAATTAAAATGACATAAGACAGAACTACTCACTTCTATATCGCGCGTCGCGATCATGCCGAGTCGCCGGCCGGGGAATTGGGCTGGAGCTATGCCCTTGATCTTGATTCCGTGGGACACGGCCCATTGCGTGAATGCGGCGTGTTCTTCTCCTGGTGAGTTGCTCATTGTAGGTTTCCTTGTCTATCTAGGTAATACAAAAACAGAATTAGAATGGAAATTCTTGTCTTTCTTCGCTTCAATCCGCTGTTGTGAGCATTGCACGTGACTGTCTTTGTTGTCTTCGCTTAGTCATTATTTAGTAAGCTTCTTGCAGGTCAAGGGAGACTCAAAAAGGGGGGGATAATATTAATCAGTTGAAATAATATTATATTATAGCTATTCAACGTATGGTCTCTCATTTTGTTATTGTCCCTTTGTCCATTACCGTTGTGGTAGCATTCGGAGCTGACGGGAGTTTGGAACTATATATTTCATAACCAGTCGACCTATAAACATGGTGTATTAATTGATTACATCTCACTATCTACAAAGCTCCCCCCAGCAGCTAGTGTAGCATAGTAAAGTTCAGTTTCAGCGCAAATAACCATGCGTCCATCACCAGCAAAGTTGAAGTTTGCCGATGTGGTGCCGAGATAGATTTTGCCGATTAATTTCCCTGAAGGGTTGAAGACGTGGACACCGTCTCCAGTTCCAGCGTAGACGTTGCCCTGGGAGTCGCAGTGGATACCTGGCAGCAATGATTAGCAGAATATAGGGGGATGTCTGGGTCAACGGATGCTTACCATCGGGGACACGAGCGTGGACAAAAGCGAATGTCTTGCGGTTGCCGAGGGTTCCATCATCAAAGACATCAAATTGGTAACTGTTACAATGTTAGTTTTCATTCACTGTTCTCCCATGAAAGTAATATAAAAAAGGAGCAAGGCTTACATAGAGGCAGGCTCAGTCAGGTTATATCCATAGAAGCCATAACTAATACCAGTATCCGCGACATAGGCACGCTTGCCATCTGGGGAGAAGGTGAAACCTGGACGTAGTCAGATATCTATTTGAACATTGGTAATTGAGATATTGCTGTACCATTTGAGTGCACGAATCCGTCTGCCGCGATTGTCACGGCCCCGGTTTCTGGATTGAATCGGTATACTTGATTCGGTAGCCCTGGGGCAGGACGGAAGTCTTGGACGTAGCCGTAGATGGTATCCGTAAAGTAGATGTCTTTGTTGTCCGGGTGAACGTTCACGTCGTTGAGCGAGTTGAATTGACGACCAAAGAAGTTATTCAGAAGAGCTATTGGGGAAGTCGAGTCAACATTGACATCCGAACAACGGATTATCCAGAAATTGAGGCGCTTGGGACCATGACTTACGCCTAGTAGCATAAGGCTTCTTGGGGCTCATTAGGAAAATCCCGGGAGCGACATTGTCACCCTGGCCTTCAGTTACAAAGAGTATTCCTCCACCGTAGTTTGTACCACCTAGAGCATGTCAGCTTTCTTTCCCCCGTCATTATGATCTCCAATGTTTCGATAATTAAACATACCATTAGGGTTTGCAATCAATTGCGACGGGTGAACAGTTGTCACATTGACAAGCCCGACAGCATTTGTCCGATCAGACACAGCCGCGGCCTGCGCGAGGGACACTTTCTGGATAATGGCAGACTTGTGCAGGCCGGTACCTGCATCCTTAGCGCCTGCGTTCTGAACAAAGAAGACCTCATCTGTGCTCTTGGACCTGTTCAGAATTTATTTGGTTAGAACCTCACTATCAAGGTAGCTTTCAAACAAGGCCTACCAAACTACAGCCTCGTGGAAAACAGGATCCTTCTTGGTCTGTGCAATGAGGGTCAAAGTGGGATTCTCGCCGATGATCTTCAGGAATTCCTTGTCATAAACATGGAAGGGGCGCTTAGACAGAGAATCCCCTGTCGTGCCTGGAGGGATAAAGGTCTACAGAGGTGAGAATACATCCAAATGCAGAAGAGTCTAGGGAATACCTACACTCGTGGCATTAAACTGCGCAGGTGGCAATGTAGAGTTCAAAACATTGAAGGTCCGCTGGTCAATAAACTGTGCTTGAGGTGGTAATCCCTCGGTGCCAGCAGAGCTCACTGGGGTGAAGAGAGCACAGTGACCCAGAAGGAGCAACGCGGAGGCCTGTACAAAGCGGGAAATCATATTGCAGATGGGGGACCGACCACGGTTATGAACTTATGATGTGGACTAGTAGTCAGGTCGGGGAGGAAGCCCTCCTTTTAAGCAATAATTGACCCTGCAAGACGCAGCGTGGAGCCGGAGAAGAGGGTCGGGGGACGTCCGTCCGTCCAGACTGCCAGAATGAAGATCCGTGTTTTATTCAAGCATTAATATTTCCGCCTCGATACCCCGCAATGGATGGCGCTGCAGATCTGGGGAAGAACCAGAAAATGCCGCAGTGGCCGGCATTTCTGTCGGAAAAGACGAGAGTTGGCACTGCTTATCCGAGTTCCTTCTGTGCCGATCCTCCAGTAAGGCTGTCGATTAGGTTGCATATATCGACGTCATCAGCCTGTAATTATACATACATCTTGGCTCTGTCCTGGCAGTCCCAATTAGACAATCTTGAAAAGAACGGTTCTTAAATGGCTAAAGGGACGGGAAGAAACCTCCCCACAAGTCTCATCCCTCTGCTCATCCTGTTATGGTGCGGGGGTCGAAACGGAGTTATCCCGACCATCTACACTGTGCACGTCCGCAGACTATCGGTGAGTTCTCCGCCGATCTTCATTCTCGAAACGGATGAACACTCAGTTGGACACGGCTTGAGGTGATCTAACTTGCTTCCGGGCTATTATTGTCAATAAGGAAGTGGGTCGGATGAGATATTTAAGATCCATGTTAAGAAGCCGACGTTGAAAGACAGTGCCTCGGAGCTGTAGCTGAAGCTTCCAAAAGCTTTCAAATTTCTTCCTGTTATAAAATTCTATTCGTTGAGTCCTAAGCTGAAAATGCACTGAACCCCCGCTAAACCGCTGGACGCCTAGGCGAGCTGATTGATGGCTCACTTTTAAGAACAGCAAATTGAGACAATTTGTCTCAGACCGGGATCCGTATGCTTCCCGATGGAGACTAGAATTTTTGTGAGAACAAAGACGACCTCGCCAGGAGATCCAAAGAGACGCATGGACATGTTGCAGTAATACATATGATGATTGAAGGAAAGAAGCATGGGTATCTATTGCGGCTCATCATTAAATCGTGTAAATTCGGCGCGAAGATCGGTGTTGCTGATGAAAACGTGGCGGGTTGATTAAATATATTGAAACGGCGACTATTCCACGACTAAACTTCAGCCATGGATGGCGCAGAGTTCTTTTCTCGGATTTGTCTTTGCGGAAAGAAACGCGGCAGGTGGAGAGACTCCAGGCGAGTTCTCGCACTTGGGGCATTGATGTCGTCGCAATACGGCTCGCCCCCTTGAGGTCCATTGGTCCGCCATGCTTCCTTCTCACGTCGAAGATCGCTCTGTACCCAAGGAATGGTAATTAGAGCCCATATACCTGCCCACACGAAGGGAGCGGCCCATCCTATCTGCAGTGAATGTTAGCAGTCACGTTGGAACACATCGGGGCGACGAGTAAAGACATACTGCGAATGCCGCATCTTGAGGCGTCGTGAATACCATTGCGGTTATGGCGGCACCCCAGACTATGGAGCCACCCGCCCAAAAGAAATTCATCTGCACGAGCATCCGACGGAAATATGGGCTCGACAAGTACCGCGTTCGCAGGGCGTACCGATACATTTGGCCTCCTCCTCCGTCGACAGCAACCACATCTTCAATGAGGACATATAAAGCTGTTGGCATGACTGCTCCTTTTGGCGTTGAGGATATCCGGAAGGGAGCTCGGAATCCGCAAGCGCGGAGGATATCTAATGAAAGGTAGACGCCTCCGAAGTAAAACATCACTGTTGGGAGGACCATAGCAACGAGGCGCACTGAGCCACGGATGTTAGTAAATGTTCGGATCATGTCTTGTGAGCTGGTCCTTACCAAATGGCTCCTCTTGTACCGTACCCCTACAAGAGTTGTCAGCGTAATTCATGACCGCTAGAAAAATTGGCAGATCCGACTTACACAATGAGTTCAACTGCTAGAATCAGCCATACTATGGTGAAGTTGATCTGAAAGAAATCCAGCTAACTAGACGTCAGCATCCATCTAGGTTTATTTTGATCCTGGGTGGGAGTCCGCCTACCCATGATTTCCTTGCGTTCAGCGGCCGGGTTCTGGAATCGGAGCGGAAGAGGTTGTAGAGTCGGTAGAAGTACTCGAAGACGGAGATACCACCCAGCGTGATGGTCACGATGGTAAAGACTATAGACAGAAAAATTAATGTTAGCGGCAATTCTTAACAAAGAAATCAAACCCAATGCAGCAACAGGCATTCATACCCAGATTATGCGACAGATTCGTGCCATACCAAAGCCCAAAATACAACGCAAGCGGTTGAGCAACGCAATCTAGGATGAACAGCGACCAGAAAAACGCGATGGACTTCTTTCGATCTCGCAGGGAATATGGGAGAGGTGGAGGCTCGGCCGCGCCCGCAGTGGCGATAGTCGTCTCTGTAGTCGGTGCCTCTGTGGTAGGCGCATCTTCGGGGGGCGCCTCGGCGGTCGCTGGGTTTGCTTCAGGGTCCATGGAGAAGCGACAGAGTCGATTGTGGTGGTTTGGTTGTTATCCGCAGAGTTTACGCGCTCATGGTAGGAGATAGGAGTGAAAAATTGATGGGAAACACGACGATGGCAAAAATGTAGGCACTAGGCTCGTTTTATTGAATCATTTAGTCTAGAGACGAGATCAAAGAGGAAACGCCCGTCGGCAACCGGAACTGACGGGATCGTCGAGTGGCCGCTGACCGTTCTTGTTTTTCAGCCAGCACCAGCGCTCGCAGCCTCAGGTTTACGTATGTCAGGCTGTTGGTGATGTCACGGGCGCTGCCCAGACTCCGCCACACACATTGCTCCATTCTTGTTGACTCTCTGCCAGTCGCGCTCGGTGATCTTCAATTCTTCACGGCCGAAATCCTGGCACGATGTTGCATCCTGAAACAACTCCCTCTTCCTATTTATGCGAGCACCGACCCGCCGAGCAAGCGATGAAGCCGGAGTGATATCAGCCCTTGTGGACAACTCTTGCTCGCTGAGACCTCTTCCTCGGATTCGGACGAGTCCTTCAGCCGATGACAACCATGGACAAACGATGAATATACCTCGGATATCCCAATAGTCGGTGGTTGCCCTTTGAGCCTGTGTTACCAGGACCGAATTTCGTCGAACTCTGAGTAAGCGGAGATAGGCTTTATTTCCGCTGCTTGCATAACTGGAAGATCAAAACAGACAACAAATGTTCTAGATGATTATGCCAAGCTGCACGATCTACATCGCATCAACCGAACATGCAAACTAAAAAAAAAAAAAAAAAAAAAAAAAAAAAAAAAACAAAAAAGTCACTTTTAAGTCTACTAACAGACGACAGCAGGATCTCAAGTTCGCGCCAATTCGCTCCCTTTTGCCGAGTTTCGCCCTCCGTCCTTCTCGTTGCTACTAGGCCGGCTTCTCAGACTCATCACAGCGTTGTTGTTCCGCTCCGGTATCGCGGCAGCGGTCGACATGATCTTGTGCAGAGTTGAAATAATCTCGACTTGCTGACCTTCCAGCCAGGAGAGTCGACGGGTTGATACCTACTTCGATTAACAAATTTCGCACATTTTGGTTGAGGAGTTCGGCACTCTACCTTGCCTTGGTCCAGTCGTATAAAACACCAGAGGTAGCTGTCTGTCGCTATGCCGTATATGGGGGAATTGGCTTTTCCAGACTTCTGCCTAGTATGATAGATCATAGCTTGAACACGGAGAGTAAGCAAGACATTCTTTCCAAAACTCTCCACGCGTCCACGAACATACCTATGTATGATAGCGCCTGATACTCGCCATTCAACCCCTGCCTTTCGGTCTTGACCATGACCATACTGGTATCAGCCCAGTTGGATCGACCACATGTTAATGTGTAATCTACATTGCCGTTGATTAGATGAGGTCTGCCCCTATACATCCACAGGAAGTCGACTTGGTTCTCGTATTTCCAGTATAGGGAACTCTCGTTGTTATACAGACGGAGCTGTTCGCGTTTGTGTGCCGCAAGTGTGGTAAGAAGTATGGCGTCGAGCCGTGAGCCGATGGCAGCGATGTTCTCGTCAGCATCTCCTAGTGCTTGCGAGTAATCGTTTAACATGGGTTCTACACTGTTAGCTGTATCTGGAGCCTAGTCAATTTTGATGTGGCTTACTTAGGTGTTCAGGAACCGGACGCTGCTCTCCAGGCTGGATTTGCCAGGTTGTCCCCGAATTTGACTCGTACTGAAGGTGGAAAGTGCTCATTATATCCTGTGGTCGGATATCTGAGGCTGGAATCCGTAGCGTACTTCCCTGCTGCCCCTGCTGGCTTTCTACTCGGGCGGCTTTAAAGGCCATCCTTATATCTGCCACTGCCTTGGTGGCACCAGTAGGCGAAAGAATGTGAACTACCTTGTTCTCAAGCCTATTGAACCAGTCCATATTGTATGGTTTAGGCTCTGTGACTGAGAACGTTTGTTCTCGCCGGCAGTACAAGGATGACGACTTTATACTCACTATCAAGGGACACACTAGACATTACTTCACACACTACTTCAATCCGCCTTAACTATACTATTTTTCTTTGTATATTCCATAGTTATCTTTGCGATCTCATTCACTTGTCAATAATTCTGGCTTTTTATGAAGGGCGCAAACTCGGCGATTTGGCAAAGAATATTCACCCCATCATTTTTTCCTTTGATACTACTGCGTCATGACAAAAGTCTAGGCGATATATTCTTATATTCCAGAAAATTCGGTGACCGTAGCAGTGACAACACGCGTTGATGGGGCATAAATAGTAGCTTGTCCCAGACATCTCTCCACTATCTCGACCAGTTTATGCCTAAGGCATAAACTATTGTTACGCTGTCACGTGTAATGCCACCCCGCCTTGGACACTCGAGTTTCAGCTTTTTCTCTCACGACGCCGGTTCGAATCGCGCTTCCTCTCATCCCAAACAGCGACTTTTTTTTTGCACTTCAAGTCTCTCCGTCTCCAAAACATGCTCATTTGTATTGAGACAACTAATTTACTTTAGCAAATGAAAGCATGGTCATGTCATGGCCCCTAGTCTCCGAGACCTGATTGATTTCCTCCTCGCAGAGATTGCGCTCTGCGGCAGTCAAGGTGAGTCCACTGCAGAGCTGAAGCTTTTCTTTTCTGACGATGATCCACCCCTGCATCCGCCCGGGCCCCGCCCAATCAGACTTGTTTGGATGCACCATGGACATCGTTGGAAGTATGTATTAGCGGCTATTGACATTTCCCAGGCGCATCTCCTGCGGACATCTTATCGTTCATTGATATTTTCTATGCGAAATCCGCCAAAAATGATTCGGATCGCACTCCCATCATTGACCGGCGATTCCAGGAAAAAGTATGGCAGTGGCTAGCCAGGAACCCTGAAGTTTCCGTGGGCAAAAGCCGTGAGGGAAATGGGTTGACCCTCGAAGAGGCCGAAAGGCGCCAACTTGGGATGAAGGATGCAGAGGAGAAACCTATTAATATGTTCGTTTCTGAGGAACGAACATGGCTCGCCATCACTGGGCATGGGCCCGACGACACCAAAGTTCTTCCTATGGAGTTTTCGCTTCTCTCTATCATCGCCTCCCACAAGTCTAGCGGTATTGCTCAACCAGAGTTGATAAAACTCAGCGGTCAAGACAAACGATCAGTGCCCAAGCGTACCGACGTTCTGCAACGAAAGGGGTACATCGAAAAGAGAGCCATTCAGATGAAAGCGACCCGTACAAGTCTTTGCACGCTGCGCAAATTTCTGTCCCCAGAAAATGTCGCCGCTGATGTCCCTGATTCTGGAGCGGATGCCGCCGCCAAGATGATCGATTTCAATGCTTTCACTAACAAGCTCTTCGAAATCCTGCGCGAACATAAAGTTATCGCCCGAAATGACCTGAAGGAACTGCTGGGCTTCAATGACCATTGGCGGTGGAGGGTTCTTTCCCGCGCTCTACGAAAGTTTGAGCGTATTGGTGTAGTCAGACGTGTTAGAGCTCTGTCACAGTATGCCCACACTATGAAGAAATACCACCCATGCGTAATGCTCGTCCGCGAGCCGACAGAGAAGGATATAGATGCGTTTCACGATTTCAGCCTGCATATGTATTCCGACATGGAGCAGAGTGGAGATGCAGGTTTCGATGACGACGCAGAGGCCGAAGATACAACTGAGGGCCCATCTACTGCAGGCAATGTCGGATCGATGGAAAGGGAAGAAGATGTGGAAGTCTCTGGACGAGCCATACCTCTTTGGTCCCCTGATCGAATCATCCATAATCAACTGTTCGAGGTGATCGATCGAGCTGGAACTATGGGGTGCACCAATTTTGTAGGTACTTCGCATGTTTTCCTGATATAATCACTGACATGCGCAGGATATCATAAGAGCATGTTTCGGGGTTCTCTGGCGACGACCCTTGGAAAACACCTTAACTCGTTTAGTGGAATGCTGGCAGCTGTCCCAACCTCCGTATTTGCGGCATCTCGCTCTTGTACGTGATACAGCTTTACACCGCACGATCACCCACTACGTCCATTACTCTGCGACGAACTTCAGCAAACTGGTTGAAGCTGGAGACGCATCCTGGGAAGCTGTTGAATTCGTTCCAAGGAATAATAAATTAGACACAATTCCTGTTCCGCCTGTGGACGCAAAACCACAGCTCGATGACTACGGTTTACCTTTGGATGCCCCTACGAGCGACTTGGTGAAAAATGGCGACTGCTCTCTTGCGGACGGCATATGGGTCGTCAAACCAAGGGATTACAAGTGCTCTAGCAGTGATCCCCAGGCAATAAAGTTAGAGGGTGGCTCATATAGTAAGTTAAACTTCCCCACCGTCAATGTCAATACTAACCCTAATGTCCCTCCGTTAGCGATCCAGTACGGTGTCAAAGGACAGAACATCCCATCGCCATCCGGGCGGCGAGCCACACCCCCGGCCTCTCCAGTACGGTTGAAATTCGAAGACGAGGCAATGTCCAACATAAGTGCAGATGTCCTTAGGGCACCGGCACCTAAGCGCCCGAAAAAATCAAAATACGACTCCTTGGATTTCGCAGGAATGTCCGAAAAAGAGAAGCTTGAAGCTATGGGCATGGATGCGTCATGGACTGAATATAGTGTCCTCCTTATCGAGCGCCCAGGTCCTGGAGTGTATGTTACCTCGCGCGGACGACGGCGACCAGCTGGTAAAGAGCGAGGACGTCCCCCGGCTAGTCGGATCGCGGTATTTAAGACGCCGAAACTACTAGATTTACCGTGGTTTCGGAAAGAGAATATTGGATCAGAGAACGGCGGCAGTCCTGTACCTGAGTCGTCTCAACCGCGGAATGTCGACGAAAGCCTATTAACGCCTACGCCTAACTCAGTGGAGCCCCCTGGACCGCCGGCACTGGGTGTCGAACGAGGCACAAAACGAACATTTCAGCTAAGAGAATCCGGACCAGAGCCTGATAAGGCTTCAAAGTTACGCCGTACCGGTGACGTTGCTATCGGTTTAGGGACTCCTCAGGAAGAACCGGGTGCAGACGAGGTAATGCTTGAAGGACAAACCGCGGAGACCGGGATGCAGGAGCCTCAAACGCCCTCTCACACCAGAAGCAAGAGGAAAAGAACACCGTCTCCTCAAATAGCGCGTGAAGAAAGTGCTCGTGCCCGGGAAAATGATGGTATAGCCACAAAACCGTCTTCTGAACAGAAAGGTACCCCAGTAACGGAGGAGACTGGTCCAAAAAGGCTCCGCCGAAAATCACCTGGCGGGCGAACGAACGGGGGAGCAGAACCTTCGGCCATACCAATGGCGGCCACAAATCCACCGGAGGCTCCTAGGGCTGACCATGGCGACCAACGTCCACCAGAGTCGGCAGCACCGGATGAGAACATGCCCGATGCTTCCCAACGCACGGCTGGAACGGGGGTAAATAATAAACCTGCCGTTAAAGGTCCACTGGAAGAATCCAGGGTACCTCCACAGAGAACCGTAAATAGTGGTTCGAGCGCATCTAATGCTGGTGCCACAAGTATACCGCCATCAACACCAGGTGTTTACCGGACTGAAACACCCGGATCCCATATATCCCAGACTCCCGAAACCCCAGGCTCACATGTGATACGGTCGAAGCTTCTGGACAAAGGAGGGTCTGTTGCCTTTCTACGAAGGAAGATCGTCATGGACCTCGTCGAGAAGGCCGGAGGTGCCTTTCCCATGGGCACCGAGCTTTGGTACCCCTTTGTTACTGTGTGGATGAAGACCAAGTATAAGGAAAAGCCGGATATGAGGACGCTCAGGACTGCAGTCAAACATCTGGTAGATACGGGGAAGCTCCGCCAACAGACCTTCTGCGGTAAAGACAGCAAGGGTGTCATGGTCACGAAGACACTCATTTGCAAGTCGGAAATAGGGCCAGATGATCCCATTGTTAAGGATATGCAGCAAAAGCTTTTGGCATCGACAACTCGACACTTTTTCCCGCCTAATATTGAAGTCGATCCGAGCCTCTCAAAGCACAGGGGAACACCTAAGACCGTCAAGCAGTATACTGTTCCTGTCGAACCTACAGTTACCGTGAAATTGCATCAGAAACCAGCGGCAGTCGCCGCGTTGGAGAAGAGAAGAGGAGAAAATATCCAGAAGAGGCTCCTTCGACGGCTCGAAATCGAACAGATGCGGGAGAGCATGCAAGAAGTACGACCGTCAGGCGCCGTCAGGTTGTTCTCAATTCCACGACCTGACGGACTTACACCTTCAATACATTCTGTTCCCGGAAGTCAAGCTAGCTTTGGGGTTTTCGATATGGGCGGTGCATCGATGCATCGCCCTCCAACTGGTCGGATTGGCCCTCGTCGATTGAAACCCTTCAGTTTTCCTATCTCTTTGATGGGACCATATGCGATGTTGATGAGCCCAAGCCAAACGTTCAACCCTGTGAATGGTACTTTCTCTACCAACGCAGGCCTCGCCACTATCACTAGGGATAGACCTAGAGCCCGTCCACCGCCGGCGATGTGGATGTTGATGTGTCCAGGCCAATCTTTTAACCCAAGAAACGGAACTTTCTCTACGAACGCAGGGCTCGCCGCTCCTAGGCCTACTCACCCCCGTACGCCACACAGGCTGGATTCCCATTTGCCGCATTCACTCGATGATCTATTTGTCCGAGCTGGTAGACGGAAGGTGGGGATGGCCGGGGAACCAGACCCGCGGTCGAGGAAATTCATCCAAGATACCAATGCGATTCTGCGGTGGGAGCTGCAAAACGAAAGGCTTCTTCAGCAGCAGAGAAGCGAAGATCTGCATTATATTAACCAGACGATCCACGATTCTGATACTTTTGAAAGTGCCCCAATCGAGGGTGGTATTCAGTTCATTCCCGGGGTCACACCTGACTCGAGTGCTCGCAGGCGAAGACGGCCGCGACGTGAGCGCCGCTCTGGTGATTTTATCTATGAAGAACATCCGCCGTTCCCGCCGCGGCCTGCAAGTCCGAAATTGATGAATGAGCTGCCCATGGATCATTATAATTATCCTATTGGCCCTTCTGCCCCCCAGCAACGCCGTGTAGAGAAATTGAATGACATGATCACTACCGGGGCTGAATCTTCTGCTTTACAGAGTCGCCCACTAGCCCGTCGTACTCGCGTTACCGGGTCGGTCTCTCTTTCAATGTATCAAAACCTCATGATGGCGATTGTGGTTGTGCGTGCGTTAGCCGGAGGTGCCGACGGTAGGATGGTTGATTGGATTTTGGTAGGATGCTGCTTCCCAGAGGAAGATCCGAAGGTCGTCCAGGATAGGGGAAAAGCATTGCTGGCTAAAAATCGCCTTCAAATAGCGAAGATGCAGGGCGACTTTCAAGAGCGATTCATTGAAGCATACGCGAGGGATGAAGTTCCCCCAATTAACTACGACAATCTGGAAGAGTATGACTGGAATGCTGTTATTGAGTGGGCTAACGCCAACTTGGACGCTCCCAAGTCACATACCACCCCTGATTTGCCTGCCACGCGGGACCAGTTCAATGATATATTTGAGCTCCGTGAAGAACCGCTGATGTCTATGGACGAGTATTATCAGACCCACAGCGTCACGCTTAACCGCAAGAAATTGATACTATCCAACGTCGCGTTCGCAGAGCCCCTACCGTCAAAAGCAAGCAAGCAGCGTCTCAATCGACACATAGAACTTTCCCAATTCGAAACCGTCAAAACGTTTGTACGGGCAAACATCCTCACCCCGGCAGAAGTATACCGCGCTGCCGATGCAAAGGCTGCTCTTGAGTATGTCGATCACAATATTCTCAGCAACGCACTTCAAGCCCTGGTAACAGAGCGCGTCATTTCACAAAGCAACAAAGGTCGCATCCTCCCCGGACGCAACTACGACATCACGGAGCACTTCATTTACACCCTGAGCAAACGGCGTGCGATTGAATCCACCGAGCTTCGGCGCGCATCCAAATTCAAAACCGACACCCTCGACTCCGCATTCACCAGCCAGGGTGTCTACAGTGTCCCCTTCAATGCCGAAGACGGCGAAATCCTAGCCATGATCAACCTCTTCGCCTCAGGCCGACTCACAATGGCTCCACGGGACCCCCCAAGAGACAAATTCGGTCTCACGGAAGGAGGATATCTCACGCGGATGATGAACAAAGACAAGCTCCGCTTCCCTGTTGATCTTTACCCCGTAGACGGGAAATACATTACAGGAAACCCTGTCTCTGAGAAGACATCAGCAATCCCACCCCCTTGTCCGCCGCGCTTCCCGCTCAACGAGACATTGTCCCTCCCTGAGAAATTCCCGCTATGGTTCGATATACACGGTGGGTTTATCTCTGTTCTCTGGGACCTTGCGGTTTCGGCTACTTTGAGTAATGTTGTTGTAAGACCGGGGATTACAGCTGAGAGGATTGCGGGGATGATCAGGCCGACTATGGGTGCCTGGGAGGTGCGCATGGTGCTGGATTGGCTAGTTGAAGTTGGGGTTATGAAGAAGAGTGGGGGTGATGATGGTGATGCAGAGCCTTCTTGGTTTGTTATGGATTGGTGGTGGATGGTTTTGTCTTGAGTCTTTTTGGTGTAGTATATCTTGTACAGTATTGTTAGACAATGAAGCGATGTTGACTGAATGTTGAGCTGGACCACCGAGGATTCATACATCTAAACTTGCATATCTACCCAACCTAGTAATATTTGTCTGAAAACAAATAGATAAAGTTCTATATACATGACTATACCTAGCTCTAGCTACCCTGTATCATATAGAAGAAACAAAAACATAAGTACTAGTAATATCCCTGACCCCGTATGTGCCGATATTGGGTATATATGCATCCATAGGCTGTCTGTCCTAGACACAGCCCAGCCCAGTCCAGCCATATAGCAATGATATCCAAACAAACAAAGCAAGCCCATCATTTTATGTAAAGCCACACGCCAAACCAAGCCACGAATGCGACCAACACCGAAAGGTCTGAAACAGATATGGTTGGTTACCTGCTTGAGAAAGCAAGTAAACAGAAGGGATTATACACCGAAGGAGGTTATATCGAACAAAGAAAGCAAAGCCAGCAGAACAACAACAACCAGACTATCGACGCTAATAAAAAGCAAAGCAAGCAAGCAGGATAAGGACCAAATCGTGATGCAACAATAGTGTAGAAAGCCTGACGCCTATGAGTATACCCTACCCCTGTGTTTTGGAGTATTTGACTGAGGATGTTGAATGAAGCGGTGTGGTGTGAGAGAATTGTAAGGGCGGATGAAAAGTGGTGGAGTCGTGACGGTTTGTTGAGTAATTAATCACTTTCGACCGGGTATCAGCTTGCGGCCAAAGTTGCGAATCGTCGACTTGGAGCTATAAATTTGAAATCATGGTTAGTCACTGTGACCCAAAGGCTTAATAGTAATGCTCACCTATCTTCCGAGTCGCCTATTTTCCGTGCGGTATCAGAGCGCGTAATGGTGGTGTGAGATGTCATAGGTCGGTTGGGAGGGTAGACGATACGTCGGGATTGCTATAACCGGTTAACATTTGACACACACAGAAAACCCGGATTTAAAGTGTTAACTTACTTCCCAGCGAGCGTCAACATCGACTTCACTCGCAGAGCGAGAATCGAGGAACAGCCCACTCTGGTCTTGGCCACTATACATACTAGATCCTAGAGAATTCGACCGCCCGAGAGGAGATGAGCGATGAGATTGCGATTCTGAGTTATACCCACTGCTGGAATCCGCACTAAGCATGCTAGGGCTTTGGCCGTTCTCAGTAGCTGGAGTTTGGTTGTCTTGGTTATTAAGGACCTGAGACGAAGACGCAAGCTCGCGATAGCGTTTCAGTTGCTGTTTAGAGGGACGGTGGTGGGAGAACTTGTTGCCTAGAATTGCAGGCGTGTGGGAGATGAGAGCCTTGATGACATCTTTCTTGAGTCGCAATGCCAGGTCGAGGTTGGACCATGTCTTGTTCCGGTACTCGAGGATGGGAAGTCTGAAGACGAAGTCGTGCAGATCCTCGATATTATGCTCTGCTCTACCCTTGTAGCTAACGCAAAGGACCACGTCCTGGACCCTGACGTGGGCGAGCGTCATGTAGTTTGATGCACGAGCCATCATCTGGGCAAAGTCATCAACACCCTTCTTGCCTCCCTTCCCGCTCTTGTGGCCCATTATACCCAAGCCGAATTTCTTGCCCTTTTCGTCGTTCGCGTTGACACTGGTGGTTGACATTGAAGTTGCCTGCCGTGACAAAACCTTGAGGCTGTCTGTCGACTTTTTCTTCAAAAGTGTATTAGAAGGCCGAGTCTGGGGCCGATTATCCTTATCCTTGTGAATAGGGGTCATTGAGAGGCCCTTGAGCTGCGTAGGGCGGCGTTCAATGCGTGGGTTTTCGGATAGCGACAACGTAGGTTGGAGCCTCAGCTCGAGTGGACTAGGGCCCTTCGCCGTATCATCCCCAGATGCATCACTGTGTTCGGGGAAGTCGGCGGTAGAAATTGCGGGTGACCCCTCTTCGGAATCCGAATCTTCCAAGGGTTTAACGTTCTTGATCATGAAAGGCGAGAAACCACCGTTCTCAAAGGCATTCGAGCCGACATTAGGGAACATGTACTCGAATACCCTCTGTCCAAGCTCATGTTCCAACTGGATCTTCAGCGGGAACAATGAGACTTCAAATTCATCCACAACAGGAATTCCAGCAACAGCCTCGAGCATATGCCACTTCACCTTGACCATGTAGTCATCCGGGCCCTCAAGACGTCGAGCCTGGTCAAGATAAGGTACGATAATCTGTGGATATACGGCATCTGGCAAGAGGTTCAAACCGTACACCCGTTCAACGGCAACTTGGTTATGATTCGAGCCATCGCTATTATCAGTGCGGTCGTATTCTGCATTGCGCAGTTGGAATTCGACCAGAGGCTCCGACTCATCCTTCATTAAGTGCCAAACGATCTCAGTGGCAGAGATATTCCAGCGTAGAAGACCCGTGGCATTTGACGTTGTGGGCTCGACTTTCCGTTGCGAAGTAGTGATTGCCTTCATCAAGAAGAACAGCTCATCCTCACAACGAGCAATATCCCTCTCCAGGATCAATCGATCCTCCCAACCGCGCTTGTCTAGGTACTTGGCATGAATTTGGAAATGGTCCTTGATCTCTTCTAGCTGTCGAATTCGAGACTGTAGTTTGTAGACCATCTCTGGAGCACCTCTTAGATCACTGAAGTCAGAGGTAAGCATGATCCTTTCAAGACGTTCGCTCCGGACCTTCTCAAGGGGTTCGCTGTAGAGAAGGAGATCGAGGACGATGATATAAAGCGCGTAATACTCGGCAGAGTCACAAATGGCGCGGAACTGGGGGAAATCAACGCTGATACTGTCCATTCGAGTTTCTTGGCCATCAGGATGTCCTCCTTCCTGGTCTAGCTGCCCCTTGGCTACTTCATCATTGTACTTCAGACGGAGGTTGTTGTATTTGTCGTATCGCAAGCTGGCAGAAGTCTTCTGGATGATCCTTGAGAAGCCGAAAGGATTAAGCTCGAAATCAAACATAGCCTCAAGAGTAAGCCAAGGCGGCCATGCAGACCCCGGGGCATTTCCGTATTTGTTCCCGGCGTAAAACTGCAAATACGTCATGAGATTCTTCTGCGCTGCAACAAAGAATTGAGCGCCATCCATGCTGAGGGTAAAACGGCGTTGTACGAGACCGCTAATATCGTCGAAGGTGCGCTCTTTGTCCATGATAGACACAACCTCAAGTTGCATACCCTTTGCAGCAACAAGGATCACCGATTTGTGATTCTTCTCGCTCTGCAGCTGGATTTGAGGCGCAATGAGTCGTAGGTAGTAACTATTTTGCGCAGTGAACTCGGGAGATATGCTTTGACTGGACTCAGCCCTGACGGTTGCTGGATCTTTTCGGCCAGAGCCGGAGCGTTCTAGTTCCTCTGCATTGACGAAGCGCTTGGCATCATGGAGCAGCTGCTCGATGCGGTCCTCCACATCTGAATCATCGTCGTTCATGTCGTTCACAGTGGTAGAAGGCCTCCTTGATGAGCTTTTAAACATCTTGGAATAACTTCCTTGGTTCTTGCTCTGTTCTTCAACAATATCCAAGATAAACTTGACAGCCCTCCGAGACATGTAATACACAAACCCACGTCTTTGGCTGACTTGGTGGATATAACGGAGTATGATGTTCCTTAGCGAGTTGTTCCACTTCAGTTGCACGCTGTGGATCATAAACCGGTTGTTGAAATCGCTGTTCACATCATCATTGGCGGATGAGTAAAATGCATCAAAGTCCGTTTCCCTGCTCTCGCTCGCCGAGTCTGAATCGGCAGCTTCATTCTGGTTGACATCAGGGCCCCTGGTGCTCCGGAGAAGCTGTTTCTCCAGTCGTTGAAGCCCCGCGGTCAGAAAAGCGCGCCTTCGAGCGAGCGATGCCGCCTGCCGGAGATATTCGCCGTGCTGGACCTTAAGCCGCTCATTGTTGTCAATATCCTTTGCCATCTGCAACTCCAGCTCGCCAATGGTGCGGCTAAATTCTTGTAGTTTGGATTCCACCGTAGAAAGTCGGTCTTTGATAAGCTCTATCTGTACCCGACGGGGCTCATTTCTTTCGGACATAACGCACGCGTGGGTATCCTCATGCCCAAAGCTGGAGTAGCCAGGTTGACCAGGAGCAATTTCTCGGTGGTCTGTCTGTCTGAAGTATGTGAAGCGAGGAGTAAAGGCCAGTGGCAGGATCTTAGTTCGAGGATTAGACTCCTGCGGGAGGATCCAATCAAGCTCGACAAAATCATCCATGTCAACCCAGTCGAGATTATGATCCGGAATGGTGAAGCGAGATAGGTCAGCTGGTACCACTGGTTGTTGGAAGGAAGACAGAATGTCATCTCGTTTCCTTTCGATATCATCGAGATTCGTTCCTTCAATACTTGCGGAAACGGCTCTAAAGTCTGCAGCCTGCAAGTCCAACTCTGCCTTGTAAATCCGGATAGCACTGGCCTGAGGTTGTCTCAGCCGTCCTTTGGATGGGACCTTGATTTGTTCGCGTCGTTGATGCACATCCAACTTCAAGCTGTCTAGTCGAACTTTTAATCCCGTGGCGGTGACGACATCTTCCGCATAATCTTCGGAATCCTTATGCTTGTAGATGTGGGCGACAAATAGAGGAGCTAGAAGCAACTTATACTTGATAGTAGCCAAATGCCGATTGAACTTCTTGTTCGTTTTCGTAATCCCGGGCCACAGCTTTCCTTGACGAACAGGCAATGACATAACGCCAGAGAAAAGCGACCACCAGCTGTAGAAATGCGTAAAGAAACGCGGGGTCAAATGAACTGTGTTGTAGCTCGAGGTTGGCTTCTCAAAATCGGAAGCCCAGTTCTTGCTGTCCGGCGCAATTATGGCGACAGAAAGATGGATGTGATTGCTTCGGAATCCGCGATAAGCATCGTAATCCTTGCGTTGTTCTGCATCGACGTAGATAGGGTTCTGCAGGACTACATCGTAGTGAGGCCTAAACTCCATCGACCGCTCACGATCGTTGACATTGCGCTCGAAAACCAAGCCAGCACCCCATTTCACATCACCCGATAATTTCATGATGACCTTCTTGAAGTAAGCCGCATTCTTAACATCGCTCGATGTTGAGGCTGATTCGAGATCATCAGCTGTTGCCTCGGCCATGTAACGGGCTTCGTGGCTGTAGTCGGGAATTGCCAGGACGTATTCTCCACTAGTAACACTCATGAATTCCATCGGATCATCACTGGTATGGATGTTCCACTGGACGTCTTTGCGCCAACACATGACGAATCCGCAGCCAAATCCGGTTACCACGTACGGATCGCGAGAGCCCTTCATGCGGAAATGAACATCACCATCTTCCTTCCACTTGACTCGAATCCGAGAATGGAAACTGAGCCTAATCTTGTCCCAGAATCCGACTCGGTCAGAGGGATCAATTTCCACCTTGGTAAATCCTTCAATGATCTTCATCATGTCCTGAATAACAGGCTGGTATGACATGCCCCAGGATATACTCGTGGGGAGATTTGTGTTGATCTCGATAACAGGATCTGAATAGGTCTTCACGGGACTAACAGACCTCCACACATCAAGGACGAAAGGCGGGCTTGTCGTGCCATCGGGCAGCTCGGACGAAGGAACAAGTTCCACCTTCACTTGCCTCGACGACTTATAATCACGGTATTCTTCAGCAATAACAAAGTTGGTTCGGAGCGACCAACTTGGAAGTCGAGGTGATTGCCCGGGTCGCAGCGCCGGTATGTGCAGGAAATCCAAGGGGTAGTCTCTCAGATTGACACGAGCCTCGCCCATGTCTAGCTGGATACTCATAGGAATCAGTAGTGCATACTTCGTAGACATGGGCATGCCTTTGCCAATGTCATGAAGGAACTGGGGATATTTTTCATAAGGAAACGTCGGTTTATCGATTACTAGGTTCACGTCGCTAATCAAGGCAGCCATGAGAGCGGGTCTATTCGGTATTGCGAGCACCGTCTCGGTTTCAACCACATCTTCAGGGGGCTCATCGGCTCCCGAGAATAGGTTTCGGACCTCCCTGATGGACGAACCCTGGAATTGCATCACGGCGTCGATCTTAGACTTCCAGCTTCGCGCGTTGTACTGCTGGAGGCGGTACCGAGCGTTCTCCACGGACAACTTGGCGTCGCAAGAGAAGCTGGAGACACCCTCGGTATCGTACCTGAATTTCTTGCCACGTCCACGCTTCTCATCGGATGCATCGTCCCTTGATTTCGCATCATCCCTTGGTTTGGCATCAGCACTCTTGCTTCTGCGCGTATCCGAACTGACTCGCTCACTGCGAAGCGTTCGGTGACTAGACCGAGTACGTAGCCTGGAAGAGGTCCGCCGTTGATCGGATTCCCTAAGTTTCTGCACCTTCAAGTCAAATGCATCCTCTCTAGCTCGTCGTTGGCGCTGTTCAATAAGACCGGCTCGATATATACACCCAAGCTTCCACTCAAAAGCATCATCCTCCAATTCAAATAAGAGTGCTTTACTCCGAAACGAGATCTTTGGCACTTTCTTTGGCTCTTCTGGCCCTCTTTTTGACGTAAATTCTGAAGAGTGGGTCTTCTGGCGCTGATGTAGTTGTTTAAGCGCCTTGGAGGTATTAATCACATTGTCGAAAATGCGATGCATGATCATATGGTGGGGAACACCTAATCGTACGAAGTCGGTCCAGATATCGATCGAGTTATCTTCCACCAGGTTCTTGCCCTGCTTCAATTTCATTTTCCGCATATCGAGACGGACGTTGTTCATACTGACAATCCTTGCCCAAACACCTTTGAGTTTAGGTGCTTCGGCATGTAGTCGGACCAGGTGGGCTCGAAGAAATGGGGCTGAATGGCGGTGATAGCCGGCGGTGACACCATATACCTGAAGCAGCATTGGTGGGTCTGCGGGCATGAAGGTCTTGAGTTGAATTGCGGTAGCTTTTACATCTACCGTAATAAGCTCGCTCCTCTGCATGGCAGGGCGGGGAGAAGAAGGAGGCTGGAAATCATTACCATACTTCTGGGAAGACGCGTCTGCTTGCTTCAAGAACGCCCCTTGAAGTACGGACAGTGCAACACTGAGACAATAGTATCGATAAAGCGAGTATTGGAGATAAACGCCCTTGATTACGGAGTGGATATTGAATAGCGGCCCCAGACGGTCACTTGACGTGCTGAGTGCCACCTCAAATCTTGGAAGCGAAAGAAATGGCTCGGACTCAAGATAGTCTTCGGATTCAATGACAAACCCCTCGAAGCCTCGGGCATGGAAAGCTAGCCGCCTGCCATCTGCAGCTCCTGCTCTGGTTTGTTTGGGAGGAGACGTAGGAGTAAATCTGAATGGAGACTCGTCGCCAATTGTGGAGTGGCTGGGAGTTCGCCGCCGTACCATGCTCACAGCACTTGGCTCTGTTTTCTGGGCTCGATAATCAGCTGTCCATGACTGAAGTTGCAATGAGACGCCCCGCGTCGCATTCGATACACTTTCATCAACCCCAGCAATTTCCAGACTGAATCCAGTTGCCTCAAATTGAAACCGGGTCAACCAAAGTGGAAGGCGTCTCAGTACACTAGGCCTCCGCTCTTCAACCGCGATGGGGTATCTCTGCTTAGGTCGCATTTGAGCGTGGAATTGCTCGACGACTTGTTGTATCCCACGGTTGACCTCCCAGTTGACCATGTGGGCTGAGAATGTATTCAGAGTGCCAGAGACCATAACGCATACCTCTGGTGATGCGCTAAGATGGAATTTTAATTCCATATTATCTGTCGTTAGGAGATTGTGTTTGATTCCAGATGGCGTTTGGTAGTAAAATTTATGGGACGCAACCCGATAGATAGATGATAGGGAGTAGTGGGCGCCGCCCTCGGAAGAGTGAGAAGATTCAAGGTCAACGGAGATGGAAGAGATTGAGGAGATAAGGAGATTATAGTCATCTTCACCGGTAGAAGGGGAGTCCTGAATCGGAAGAACAAAGCGGACAACCGGCTCGTGGACAGAGAGTTTGATATTCGCCTTGGGAAGTAGACGCGAAATCAACTGGCCTTTCGCCCTTTTCTTTCCTCGAGATCTTGATGCCTTGTGTTGAGCCAAGCCCAAAAGTCGCGAAACATGGCGGGGCTCGAGGTCAAGGGCAGGAGAGGTGACAACTAAATTGGCGAAAAGGATGTTTGTATTTCGCTCTTCCGCATTGAAGCCATCATATGAGCTGATTGTTTTAGATGGTAGTGTAGTCTTGATAGTTGTAGTGGCCATGGGGATATACAGAATGTTGTCCGTTTCTCCTGAGCTGTCGTCTAAACTCACGGAGAGGGAGATAGCCGCAAGAAGTGCTTGGTGAGCAATGTCATTCCGCTGGAAGTACATACGATGCGCCGGACTCGTCTGGTCCATTCGGTGGAGGTCAATACCGATTTCGTGGGATACAACATTGAGGTAAACAGTATTGTGGTCGGAGGACGGCGACTGGACTGCCCGAGATAGCCTGAAAAAGCTCAGTGCTACCTGGATCTCCTGGATTCCACGCAGAAGAGAGCCGGCAAACTCCTTGGAGGCAGTGACTGTCGTAACAATTGACTCATCTGTGCTGCCCGGCTTCTCCAGCTCTTCCACATAATCGGCGAAGGAGACCTCCTCGTCGGGTTCCGCAATATCGATTGGAATAGTCGGCCTTCGGGACCGCTTTATGCGCTGCGCTAGAAGCATCAAGTCATCATACGGGATATGCATCCTCCCGATTTTGAAAGCAACCGACGCATCCCTCAAGCCATCAAGACCCTTCTGCAACATCCCGTGTATGTTCACCCCAACATGGTCCAGAAGTTCAACAGGCTCATTGCCCTCGACAACAAGTTGGACGTTGTTCACATTCAGAATCCATTCAGCAGGCCTTTGTTCACCAGACTCGCCTTTCTTCCGACGAAAGACCTTCCCTCGCTCCACCATCTTACGTCTCGTATCCACCGCCAATGACAACGTGCCGACCTGAACCTGCCCGGCCTCGAGAAAGTTGACTGTGGTATTAACGGCAACAATATCCACCAACCGCAACCAATGGACCTTCCGGTGTATGCGCTTCACCTGCTCCTTAATGCGATTGAGCGCAATCCATGTCTTGTTTTTGCGAGCGTCCGATCCGTCACCTTCCGCATTCTCTTGTTGAAGTGGTTCGTCATCGGACGGGTTCTGGGGATCATCGGTCTCCGATTTGCCCGCCAAATTGTTCCTCTTCGCTGCGGCCGACGGGTCGAGCGTCACCTTCAGGTCTGTGAGTCGCAGGCTCAGCCATGTCGGTTGGGCGAACGAGGGCGGATGCAAGGAGAGTCCGAGTCCGCGGAGTTCAATCTGCACCCCCTCCTTCGGAACGTATGCAATGCGGCGCAGCGAGAAGTAGCCTATCCGCTGGATCGAGATTCCGGTCGCGATGCGGACGATAGCGAAGATGAGAAAGGAGGAGAGGTATAGGAGGAGGAAACCGACGAGGACGGTTGTCGGGTTGAATAGTGTCATCGTGGTTCACTATCAGCGGAACCGGTCTGCTGTGGGGAGTAAGAAGGCTTCGGGGGAGGAACCATGGAGAGCGACCGAGGCGACGATTATTACAAGACCCTAGACAAGACTCCGAATAGTCTGTATGCACCCAGCGTCACTCTGGAACATCCCGGTCAAGATGGCGCGGGACTTCGAGGACAAGTCTCAATTAGGAGAACCTGGCCGCGTCGGGAGCACAGTCGCAAGGGAAACCGGACGGGCGTGAGGCATTCATGCTTTGGACGAGATTAAAACATTTAAACAATAAAGGGCGAAAAAACGAAGAGAAAAACAGGGTGGGAAAGAGAAGAGCAGTGCGGTTCACGCTCACAGGTCTGGATGGGGCCGGGAAAGGGAGAGGCGGAGATAAGTGGAAGTTGGTCACTCGCGATTTCTCAGTTTCCCTCAGGGCTGAACATTTAGAGCTTGGAGCCGCCACGCCGCCCGAACCATCGAGTGCTCTGGCCAAAAGGACAAATCAGGCTCCCCGACAAATAGGGTCCGTAATCATGCACAAGCCTGTTTGTCCGGCCGATTAATTATTTGCATCCTTTGATTGACGGGGTTAACTGGATGCGGAAAAAGTCGCCCGCTTGGCGGAACTGCATGCAGATTGCCAATTTGGTAATTGTGCACTTGACAGTAATTATCAGGCTATCTATAGCAGCTAGTCTAGGTACTGGGGGGTTTTTTTTTTCTGTAGTTGCGTTGGGGAAGCCAGAAAAAACAAACAGATGATCCGAAGAGATCGGCGTTGAACCGCCCGGCAGCTGCCGTGGCTGCGAACCGGTTTACAGGCAGTTCTCGTATACTACACCATACTACGGACAACAGAAGTACCAGGATGTGGGATTAATCTAAAAATGCTATGAAACAACAAATCACCGCGATTCCTGCACAGTCGATACAGTCATGCCATCCAGCTTCGCCTTCTCAAGCTCCTCAATCTTGTCGTCAATCAGAGCAATCTCCGCCTCAATGCTCAGCAACTTCTCGCCCAGAATCCCCCTGTACTCGTCATCAGAGAGCGACTTGAGCGGAACCCATTTCGACTCAGCCAAGCGGTCAAGGAACGGCTTGGACTCCGTGTTCGCATGCCCCAGTTGCCATCTATCAATAGCATTGTACGAGGCCTGTCCAGCATACCCCAGTAAAGAGAAAATAACCAGTCCGGGGACAAGCCGGCCACCTGGAGGACAGCATTAGCCAGAGAACACAATACAATGATTAATCGACCATCCAAGAGAGACGTATTGAACTTACCCATCAACCTGGTCACAACACCACCAGAAATCCCACCAGAAACAGCGCTGGCATAGGTGCGCTGCTTCGGGGTCGCCTTATCCTCATAGTAAGCATTCAGGATATTGCCCCTCAACCCTAGAATAAACCTCCGGTCAATCTCAATAGTTCCCAGACTCAGGGGTAGAAAGGTACGCAAGACTGACACCAAAACGAGGTTCCACACGCAAACCAGTGGATACCATGGGAGATGGAATGTATGACAGGATGCGGCGATCGGATCACACCTGAAATGCCGCCGTAGACAAGGCCAGCAGAGCCTGTATGGCTGGTTAGAAAATGGAATTCAATTCTTCAGTGATATAGCTGGTCGAGACCAAACTGTGAAGATGATCTCCTCTACAGGCGAAAATCTCGCCAGGGGAACTTGGGCAGATGTGACGCACCACTCAGGGCACCCACTTTCAGTGAGGTCGCCAATGCATTGTATTCGGCATGAGGAGATGGGATTCCACTCATCTTGCGAATTTATCCACGCCGCAACCCATTGGTGAGAGTGATCGCGAGTCTGGAACTGGTATCGGTCCTTCGTTTGGCTGGCCGGCCGGGCACGTGATCAATATATGCAATTATATGTATTACGTAAGCTGTAACATAATTTGCATATTTTCTTAAGTCTGATCCATCAGTATAATGAAGCAAAGCAGCACTCACTTGCAGTACATGATACATCATTGCTCGGATTAATAGATCCAAAGAGTACCCTGAGTTGTCATTTTTATATTATACTATAATTTTTAAAAGTATCGGAAATCAATTGAAAAATGATGGTGGATATCGCATGGGAATAAGAGAGCGAAAGCACCACCACACTCCCATCATAGTCCTACACTGAATATAGTGCAAACACAAGACTATCCCCAGGCCATGCTTCATAGTTGATGGCGAATGCAGGACTGTAAGTCGTTACTGCTTTAGGCTCAGCAACTCCACATGAACCCCGCACGAGTCAACTGTGGTGGTGCCATGACGATACCTATCCACAACATTCCACCTCACTACTCGATACATTTCAAGCAGATAACCCGATCCAGGCCAAAATCTATCAAGATGCCCAACACCAAGACCGTCCGCGTTCCGCACCTGGGAGGCATCGATGCGGCCTATCAGATTCCCAGGCCGTATGATAGCTCCAAGCCGACTGTGATACTAGTCAACTCCTTCACCACCTCTTCGGAGCTGTACCGCGCCCAGTATAATGACAAGATCCTAACGGACATTAACCTTCTGTCCATTGAGCTTCTTGGACATGGCCAGACGCGGACATCGCGCGAGCACTGGACCTATTGGGATACCGCCGAGATGAACCTCCAGGTCCTGGATGCACTTGGTATCAGCAAGGCGTTCGTTCTAGGAACCAGTCAGGGCGGGTGGATCACCGTGATGATGGCGCTTCTGCAGCCTGACAAGGTACTTTATACTCATGTATACCTGATTTGCTTCTAAATAAACGGACAGATCCTGGGTATAATTCCCCTTGGAACCTCTCTAGACTCAGAAACCCAGAGAACAAGACAACTTGGATGCTGGGACGGGCCTAGCCTCCTCAGTCCTTTCGTAAATGAGTGGACAAGTGACCAGCAAACCCCAGGCTTTGAGCCATCGGATGCCTTCTGTGATGCTATCATCGCGGCAGGCTTCAATGACTGCCCGGCTGAAGTGCACGATTTCTGGAGCGCAGCTATTAAAGAGAATTACCGAGGCGACGAGGGTCGCCACCGGATTCGCATGGCGACTATCAACTTAGCTGAGCGAGGTGGCCTGCTTTTGAGACTGTCGGATGTGCGGTGCCCTGTGCTGTGGTTGCATGTATGTTCAGTCATTGATACTAACGGTAAACACAACAGTGGCTGACTACTACTAGGGAACGGCAGATGCGGTCTATACAGTGGCCAATGCCAAAGAGCAGATCGAGCTGTTCACTCAATCACAGGATGCGAAACTGGTGGTTGTAGAGGATGGTGCACATTTCCTTAGCTGCACCCATCCTGAGGCCGTAGACAATGCTCTATTGGAGTTTGTCAATAAGTATAAGTGATCTGAGAGTTTTGATGGCACATTTCGCCGAGGCTCCTATGGTACTACTTTATTGGGCCTTCCAGTTGGCCTTATCAACGAGAATTCAAGCGAGATTACAATTCCACCTGCTGCGAGACGTCATAATCACGCAAATAACATATCTTTATTTACTCCCTTCTGGATAGAAACATATATCGGCTTTAGGAATGGTGTTATGCGAACAGTCTTCACCCGCATAGCCTTCTTGTAAAAAACCACCAACACCATCTCCATACCCTATACCTGAATAAACCCTCCTCCGACCCCAACCTCCCTTTTCACAAGCAATCCTCCAAATACAAGACAGGATGCAATCCTGCGATATCTGCCGAAAACGCAAAGTCAAATGTGACCGCCGCACCCCCTGCGCGCGCTGCCGCCGTCTCCGACAACCATGCACATACACCGACATCCTGCGCAAGAAGGGCCCCAAGTTCGTTCACAGTTATCCCAGTATCTATTCCGCTGCGGCATATAACACGAACACCTCGACCTCGAGTGAGACGTTGGCGTCTGCTTCGGTTTCGAATGAGGCGCTGCCAATTTTGACGGGGGATCTGGGTTTGGATATGGGGATGGGAATTGGCATCGGTAAGGAGGGGTTTACAACTGGTGCATCTGAGACGATGACTGGGACTGGGACGACGTCTGAACTCGGCGATGAGTTGGAACTAGAGCTGGATTTTGGGAACGCTTCTCCCGCCGAGCAGGACCTGGTGGGACTAGGATTTGATCCTTATTCTGAAGTGAGTTCGGCTACAGGTATAGAGTGCGCCTTGTCTCTCTATGCTGTGAAGCTATATCCGCTTTTCCCCGTTGTCGACGTCCACGAGCTGCGACTTGGGTTTGGAGTAGGGCATGGATGGAATAACGGGTATAGCTCGGCTCGATGCGCGCTACTATATTCGATATGTGCTGCGATCCATGCCTATCTGGGCTTCAATTCCAGGTCCTTGGAACAGGATTTAGGGCATGGGCACGGACATGGACATGGACATGGACAACTGTGCGAGAAATATCTTCGTTGTGCACTGAGGGTCCGATCTCAGTTCGACCTAGTCCAGAACCAATCTTACAGGCGAGAGTTTCAAAGCAACAACTGTGCAGGGAGAGACAAAATGTTGATATCCTTTTTCCTGTTCCTGGCATATTGGTTTCTCCGCCGGGAAAGGCATGCTTGGTGGTACCTCCGTGAATGTATTTCTCTGCTCCTCTCGCTCCGCATGCACCGAGAAGACGAGTATGGAAAGCTTGAGCCCCGAGAAGCCGAGAAGACGCAAATCATCTTCTGGACAGTGTTTGTAGTAGAGCGGTACGTACTTCACTGTTGGGTCGGATATGGCTAACAACAACGCAGGACGTTCTGTTTACTCCACGACAAGCCAATAACCCTTCGTCCGTGGATAGATCTTCCCGGTCAGCTAAGCGCCTCTGATGACGATGGCGTCATTCCCTGCTTTATACGTCTGGTGACTCTATTCCAGGGTGTGGGTGTTGATCTGTCTGGAGGTTGGACGGCAGCTGGGTTTGTGACACCCATTACTCTCAGTCTCGCCACTCCAGCAGCACATGGCCATGAAGACGCGGATGCAGGAATACCGAGCCAGAGAATTGAACTAGCGGTGACGCGGGAGTGGCTGCGAGCGAAGGTATGGAAACTGGGAATCCCAGGTCAGCCGTCGTCCTCGGAATTCGTGGCGTCCAAAGAAAATGCACACTGGCGGCTCGATGAGCCGCTATCGATCGGAAGGGACATCCTCGGAGAATTGCAAGGCTTATCAGATGTTCTGCAAGATAACTGGAGCGGGATACTGGTATGTGGGCTGGTCAGGAGACAAGAGCATTAGGCTGACCAGTGTAGGACCAGAAGCTGTGCAACATCTGCGAGTGCTTGTACGACATCCGGCCAGTCATGCAGACCAGAGGACGATCTGGAGAATCAGATCTCGATCAGATCCTTCGGGGGCTTCTGGAAGTCGTGGCAAAGGTTGGCGGGCGTAGTGCTTACTTGCTGAGCCATCAGCCATCCTTGTCAAACTAGTAGCCAACAAGATGTTCAGAATTGTTAGCCATCGGAGATTAACATCTTCATCCTGCCGTTAATATTGGTGGATTGTGGCGTACCCCGCGTCATCCCAGACTGTCATATGGGAATAGGGTTAAGTTCCAATTCCAGCGAGAATTCCAGCGAAACTATAGAATTCAAAGCGGAAAATGCCAGACCATACGACATCCTTCTCCTCTCCTCTTGGCCAGTTTCCTCCGTCCCAGGTCCATGTTCCTCGCATCCCTTATCAAGGCCCGGCTCTTCTAACACCACCGACATCGAATATAGCGACACAGCAGAGGATCATTGCAACCGGTCCAGATCCACCAACAAGGCCATTTTATCCCACATCTAACTGAGCTCCTGTGCTGCATATCCCAGGATAGGCTGAGAGCAATACGGACGTCGGTATGCATCGTAATAATGGGTTCGATCTCGAACAGGCCCGTCGCGGAGCAGAGCAGGAGCACAGCTTAAGCCTGATCCAGGGAATGAAAGCGTATAGGAAAGCCGTGGGTTGGTCGATGCTATTCTCGCTCGCGATTGTTATGGAAGGGTACGACACCACCCTGATCCAGTCGTTCTTTGCCTTCCCCGAATTTACAAGAAAATATGGTGCGCCAGTCTATCGCACGGGTCTCGATGCCGTGAATCGGTATGAACTCTCCGCAGCCTGGCAGTCCGGTCTCAGCAACGGTGCGTATGTCGGTGAAATCATTGGACTGTTCATCACTGGTCTTGTTTCGGAGCGGATGTCGTATAGACGGATTATGGGCGCGGCAACGGTGGCCCTGGCGGCGTTTATCTTCATTCTGTTCTTCGCGCCGAATCTACCGACGTTGCTCATTGGGGAGATCTTGTGCGGTGTACCCTGGGGAGTGTTCCAGACGGTGACGACAGCCTATGCGGCCGAAATATGTCCTGTTGCTCTCAGGGGGTATCTCACTACGTATGTGAACCTGTGCTGGGTGGTTGGCCAGTTCATCGCCACAGGGGTGCTAAGAGCCTGTCTGCATCTCGAGGGCGAGTGGAGCTACCGCATCCCCTTTGCGTTGCAATGGGCATGGCTTCCCTTCATCCTGGTCTCTGTATGGTTTGGCCCTGAATCGCCGTGGTGGTTAGTGAAAAGAGGGCGAAAAGACGAGGCCAGACAAGTGCTCGCTCGTCTGTATAGAGCCACTACATCCGCCGACGAGAAGGAAGCAGATAGTGCGCTCGATAATACCCTCTCACTCATGATATATACCTGTGAAATGGAAAAGACATCGTTGCCCTCATCCACGTCCTTCCTCGACTGCTTCCTATCCGGACCCAACCGTCGCCGTACGGAAATCACCTGCATCGCATGGGCCATTCAAGCCCTCTGCGGTTCCTCCTTCATGGGGTACTCAACATACTTCTATCAGCAGGCGGGCCTGGATGTATCACAGTCCTTCAACATGTCATTGGGCCAATACGCGTTCGGCGTTGTAGGCACAGTCCTCTCGTGGATAATGATGAGCCGGTTCGGGCGGCGCTCGCTATACGTGGGCGGGTTATTTGCACTTGCTCTGATTCTCTTCTCTGTCGGGTTTGCATCGCTCTCGGATTCAAAGGCTACAGGGTGGGCAATTGGGAGTCTCTTGCTTGTGTTTACGTTCATGTATGATTGCACCATTGGGCCCGTGTGCTATTCTATTGTTGCGGAGATGCCGTCAACTCAACTGCGTGCCCGGACGATTGTGCTGGCGCGGAATGTCTATAACATGTTTATGATTGTCAATGGAGTGATTGTACCGAGGATGCTGAATCCCACAGCTTGGGACTGGAGGGGGAAGACGGGCTTTTTCTGGGCTGGGATTACGGTTGTACTGTTTGTCTGGACGTATTTCAGACTGCCTGAGTCCAAGGGGAGGACGTTCGCGGAGATGGATATCTTGTTTGAGAAGGAAATTTCAGCTAGGAAGTTCAAGGGTACGGTGGTTAATATTGGTCAAACTTAGTATATGTATTTTGGGTTGTTCGAACATGTAGCCCTACTTGAGGTTATTCAGATCAACCCTCCGGGGACCTGTCAGGGGCAGATTAACAGGAATTGAACCAGCCTTGTCTGCACCTCCAAGAATAGTGACCGATTCAATCTGTAAATCCGTTTCGAGGGTAAACTCCCCATCAAAGCTCAGTCGACCATCCTCGTAGACAAATCTCACGTCGAGCGTAGCCGGCTGATGCAACGACTCGCCATCATCCAGATACAGCTCACCTTCAGCTTTCCCATCCAGCCCCGGTGCAACAACCAGCCTGAAATTCTGCTTCCTCAGTTCTGTCGTGGTATTCGCACTTTTCGCCCTCACTGGAATGACGCTCCCCCCTCGCACATGAAGCGGGATGTCCGTATACCCAACCCCGGTCAACTTCACCACATCGCCCATGCCTCTCACCATATCCCCAGTATACCAGTCATAAAAGACATCATCTGGAAAATAGACATCAACATCCGTACTCCCTTCCTCAGTAACCGGACTAACAAGCAGCCCCTTCCCATAAAAGAACTGCAAGTCCAGCCCAAACGTCGCCTTATCACCCGGGTACAAGAAGAACAGCGGCAACAGAAACGGCTCCCCCGTCTCCGTCTGCCGATGGAACGCCGTATACAGATAATCAAGCAGCTGGTACCGGATGGAAATAGCCTTTCGCGCCGCCTCGGCCACGGATTCCCACCGGTAGAACTCCTGGCTGATCATCCCGTACTCGTTGTGGTTGCGGTACAGCGGGTTGAAGGCGCCCAGCATTGCCCAGCGTGCGCAGAGCTGCTCGGTTGTGTTTCCAGTGAACCCGCAGGTGTCGCTGCCGACCATGGGAATTTGAAATAGGGATGCGAAGGATAGCATCTGGGCAATTGAGATGCGGTACTTTTCCCAGCTGCTGACGGTGTCGCCGAGCCTGGCAGGTTAGCTGGCTTACAAATGTATGCTGTTCTTAGTTTCCATACCAGTGAGCAACATGAGACCCAGCACCAGCGAAGGTGCTGCGTGTAATTACCAGAGGCCGTTTCTCTGGCCGTCTGTGTAGCATGGCCTCTCGGGAGAGGGAGCTCATCACTGAAGGGCGCTGTTAGCATTCATGGTTCGCTTGGAAAGGACAAGGATGCTGTACTTGTCCCATAGAGATTATGAGTATCGTATTCAGCGAGCCCATTCGCATGAATCAGATCCGTATTCATAGTCTTATTGCTCAGCGAGCCTGCAGCATTAGCAATCTTATACAGCGGGTCAATCAACTCGCGGCCGCGAAGGCCCAGCATGGTCCCATTTCCAAGAAAATACTGATTATTGTGACTCCTGATAGTCTTTATATACCTGTTATCCCTATTTCCAGACTGAAACTCCACCGGGAATCCAGGAAGGCTGCTCGGGTTCGGCCTAACAAGTGGCGGATCAGGAGGCAAGTTATTCTTCTGCGCATATGCAATGGGGTCTGAGCATGGCCAGTCGCAAAAGTTCGCGGCCTCATTCATGTCAATCCACAGAGCATCTATATTGACCCCGGTTTCCGCATCGAAGAACAGGGCAAACTCGTTGATCCAGTAGTCTGAAGCATTTGGATGGAACCAGTCGGGGAAGACAGTTGGGCCGGGCCAGACAGCGCCTGTACAGGAAGGTCAGTTCGGGCACTTCGCATAATATAACTCTGCACAATGGATCAAGTTGGTACCTTTATACAATGAACCATCCTGGTGTCGCATGAACACATCCTTCTGTACGCCGCGCTGGAACGCAGAACCGTTCGCATGAGCCACCGCCGGATCAACCATGACAATATAATGCTGATCGTGCTTATGAAGATAATCCACCAAGGCGCGCACCTTGTGAAGAGGAAAGCGCTGCTGGTCTAGCGTGAAGACCTTGCGGTGATCCATGTAGTCGATATCAGTCCACATTGTCTCCAGAGGAATGTCCGCTTTGCTGTAGTTATAGACAACCGCTGCAACTTCGAATATGTCCCGGTAGCCATAGCGACATTGGTGGAACTGCCAGTGTTAACAAGTATTCTAATGATTTATTCACAGAGTTACATACTCCAAACCCCCAATATGGCACCATAGCTGGTAATCCAGCAACCTCTGCGTACTGCACGCTCACGTCCATTGGACTAAGGCCGGCCAGGAAGTAGAAGTCGAGAACGCCACCTAGAATATTATATTCTAGAAACTGGCTACCATTGGCGTCCTTGTCAATTCTTATGTCCATCCCGTTAGAGTTTAGCAGAAATACACCATGCGTCCCAGTCTCGCCGCGGTGGTCGAGATATAGCGGGTGCGTGCCGTAGAGATTGGTCCCGGCCGGAATCATGTACGCGTCTCTGTTCCAAAGCGTCCGGGTATAGCTTGTCGTATTCAGTCGGAATGGGTCACTGTGTTCTCCGAGCCCATACAAATTTGGGCTCTCTGGGAGAGAGGTACGGACATTAACGTATTGCGATTCGAATACTAGATCGTGGCCAGACGAGTTGAATAGGGTCTCCCCGTTGCTAGCCCGTGAGACAGAAAAGGAGAATGGGTGCTCTTCGAACGAGAACCGGATCTCTGGAGAGCTTTCATCTTGACGACCATTTTCCCTGGTGGCAGGCCTGGGGAATACCGACTCAGGCACCTGGTAGACATTTTCATCTGCGTCGTAGATGACAACATGGAGCCTTGCGTCTGTATGTACTGTCAGGACCTCAATACACCTTTCAGGCTCTTGAGCTCGCTTACCGGTTTGATACTCAACTTCCAGTCTCAAGTGTTCAATATCAGTCCCGTAGATATTGCACGGTTCGCCAGCAAGCGTCAGATCCGCAGTCAATCCACGAGATCTCTCTTCTACATTGGTAGCCCTATATCCGGGACACTTTGGCAAAGACAACGGGGTGGACAATGTCTTTGCCAAAGCCAGAAGAGGCCATAGGAGAAGTATTGCAATTGCCATCATCTTGATAGAGCTCGACGAGACTTACACTTTAGAGACCAGATGAAGCCCCGTTTTCTAGGCTTTTATACAGAGCCTCGGATCAAGGGAAGAAACATCTCGCCCAAATTCACGTCACAATGTATCTCCAATTCCCAACGGTTGTGCGGGTTTCAGAGCGCCACTGGAGACATGCGGGTTTGGGTCAAGCATCTTTTGCGTGTTCCCAGTAACGTCGAGAGCAGAGAAGTTGAGTTGGTCCGCGACTGTGATGTATGCCCGATGCCCTGGTAGCGCCTTGTACCAAAGCAAGGGACGAGAAAGTTATGTTCCATTGGTTGTCTCTTGATATAGCGTGCAGCGAGAATTTTAGCGAAGAAGAACCGCGCTTGCTTACGCTCTGTACAGATGCTAGACGGCTTTGTTTAGGAGAATCTCCATTCTACGGAATTGAGTACATCGGGTTAATCGTACACTTAGTTGGAATGAACAGCAGTGCGGACATATTCGAGCAATGGAATCTATCAGCGTGCACCGATGCCGGTCCTTCTCTGCGAGCGCTGTCATCACCCTAGTCAAATTTCGAACGCGGCGGATGAAAACGCCGCTGGTTGAGCTGGAATCTCGGGTATATGAGATTCCAGAGTAAAAATATCAACAGGGAATCCATATGAAATGCCTTCCTGTCCAATATCCTGAAGGCCACCTCCGTCCCCCGACCATGGGAGGAGAGATACAATGCCAACCTCAGAGAAAAGAGAAGAGAATTCAGCGTCTCTTTCAGTCGTTTGCAAGATATCTTCTTTCATCTCACCTCCAGCACATTTATAGCCTGGTTTATATCTCGAACCCCCGTCATCCGCCTTGTGTGCGCCCGGTATTTCGTAAACAACAGACGGTTCGTCGAGATCTTGGAATCCCTCATCACATTCACTCTCCGATAAAGGTCTCCTCGGAGTCGGTGTGAAATCGATCTCTGCCATGCGAGCATGCAGCCTATTCAGTCTCTCAGACTTCCCTCCAGCCACGGTATCCAGTAAGTGCTCCAAGGCAACTACTGCATGTCGGGGGCCCCATTCAGAGCCATCATATGGCGCGGCTAAAGAAGGGACATATACGAGGACATCTAATAACGAATTCGCCAGTTGAAACAGCTTGATTTCCTAGATTGATACATGTCAGCTTCGTCCCGAATGAGAGAAATCACGAAACCTGCCATTCCATATCCATGAGGCCGAACCGACTCAAGCGATGCGCCGCATACCAACGAGAGAAAGCTCTTCGCAATACTAAACGGATAACTTGGGGCAAAGAACTCGTTGGAAGACTCGGATGTGAGCATGAAATGTGACGCCGAGTACTGCCAGAGCAAGGAACTTAGCCATGCTAGAGTTATCCAAATGTCCACACGCTGGACCTCGTCAATGTTTGGGTCTTTGGTGGCTCCGGTTTGCAGGGCCTCTTGGATATCTGCGATCCTGGCCCGTGAATATGCTGGATGTGGAGTAGACATTTGCGCTGCTTGGATCAGGGGCCCGTCGATTCGCGTGAAGAGTCGGACAAGACTGCAGAAACCGTTGAGTAATGCTGGATCAGAATCACTATCCTCGACTGGTACGGGTAATTCTTCTATCGTCTGTAGCGTTATAGGGAGGTCATGCTGCATACAAAAGGTACTGCGAGGCTTAGCGACACAATAGTAGAATACCATCGAGACGCTTACCGTTCTGTAACCAGAAGAATCCAGTAGACACGAAGCCGGAGCTGCCGCTCCTCGACATGGCAATCCTTGAACAGCTGTCGATTTCCAAGGTTAAGCAGATGTGCGTGGGTAATGGCATCACGCAGCGCAAACGTAGCGAGGGCGATCTGATCTACATTGGCGTAGTACATGTGCAAAAACAAAGACGTTAGAAGTGACTCCAGAGTAGGACTGCTTTGATGGTCATAGTCAGTCCGAACCCGAATGCACTCGCGTACAAAGTCGCTCGAGGTAACGGTGGACTGTTCCTGCGCTTGACTATGGCCTGGCAGACGCAGCTGGGCCAGAGTGGCCGCACAGAGAGCCGCTGCCAGGGCACAGGACTCTGTGTTCTCAATATATCTCAATTGGGCCTTTAATTCGTTGGTCGAGACTATAGGCCACACAGTATAAAGTTGACTGCGGAAGATATCGATGTAGGTGTAGTAAGTGGACAGCGGGATGCGTCGTCGGATAGGGAAAGGCAGGAGAACATCACTCGGCTCCGGTGATGTGGGAGTATCGTCGGAGGCCGGTATAGAGCACTCTCGCATGGAGCAGCTCTTCTCGATCCCGAGATGCTTCTGCATGGCCTGGACTCTGGCGTTCGTTGACCTGCGGGGACCTTTCGGACCGCGTCGTTTTCGGACCTTGAGATAGGTGCACGACTGCTCCCGACGCAGACAGGTGCTACACGGGTTCTTGCCATCACATTTCACTCGTCTAAACGAGCACGCATCGCAGGGGAGAGTAAGTGGCATGATGAAATAAGTACAACTTCCACGGATAACTGAGAGGCTGGAGATGGAGGTCCGGTCCATGATCTCAACTACAACAACCCCGCAATGAGGGATACCGGTGCACTAATAGTAATAGCATTGCCAGACCGAAGTGACCAGGGTGGTCTGGTCTCTCGCTCGTACCCTGGCGCCACAGCACAGTGTGGATGGTTGTTTATGGCGCACTGATGATCGTCCGGGGCCCGGCCTCAGCAACCACCAAGACCGTTCAACCTCCTGACAGCCAAGGAAGCGGGGTATGGAGACGGAGCAACTGGGAAAACAGAGAATTCCCCGGCCATCTGCGCCCCGGACACGCCGTCTGAACTTTCTCATCTCGCGTGCGTGTAACCGCACTCCGGCTCCTGGTCCCAAAAAGTGCGTCATTCCCGATATTCGGCGGGTCATCTACAGACTTTCTGCAGCCTGATCACCAAACGAAGGCGGGCCCAATAGGGATATGGATATATACAGGGTCATGCTTGTCTGGGAACGCAGGACTAGTGAGTCTTAGGGTAACTGTCAGGAATCCCATGAACATCGCCCCCAAGGGAAAATGAGGATAACGCTTACCTCGTCGTGATGCTGTCATGCCTCTAGAAGCTCTCTAGAAAGACATCGAAGAATCTCACTGTCTTCATCTGAATTTAGGTTGGCATGTGTCTTAGATACGTGTAACCGAGGGCTTTTCAGCACGGTGGCGTCTAGTAATACCGTGGATGAATCTTACTCAATATCAGTCCAATATTGGCTCAGCAAGCATGACAGCCGACGACGATCCTAAAGATGCTTACTGCACATAAGCCAAGGTAGTGTCTTGCTCATCGTCGCTTGGCCTGGTGTGCATTTTCTGCTTCCATCTATACCAAGACTGATTGCACTAGTAGACCCCCGTCGACATGTGTATACCAGAATGTATACCATAATAACAAATGACATGGATAAATGCCGCTATTCAAGGTTCTCTCTGGGTCTGGTAGTGCTATTCCCCTCCTTATGGTTGCAGCCGGTTCGCGTCTCGGCTTCTTCCGCCTCCTATCTCCGTTCACACTCAGCTACGACTGGCTGGTACTTGACCATTCATTAAACATCGCTGGCCAGGATCATCAGCGTCAGCGCTAGAAATGCCATATACCGGAATTTTTGCCTTTCTTTGCTGTTCCTGTTTCATCTTCATGCCCAGCTCGCAGTGCTGTTTGCTTATTGGGTGACGTTTAGAATGATGTCTGGTTTGATTGGCTGCTACTCGGCGAGGAAGGTGCAATGAAAGGCTGATGGCACGGGGACCTTCTCGGTGTTGTCCAATTACATGTGGAAAGAGCGGTGGAAATAACCATGCTCCAGGTCGTCCATCGCTCTTTCCAATTGAGAGCAAGATATCGCAATTAGCACATATATCCAGATTGTTTAATTGTTGTTTCGGTTCAACTACTCTTTTCGTGTACTTGGTAGGAGAAAGTCAGACCGTCGCTGGTCCGCTGACGTAATAGCCCGGGTGGTCTAGTGGTATGATTCTCGCTTAGGGTTCACCCTATGCAAATGCAAGTATGCGAGAGGGCCCGCGTTCGATCCGCGGCTCGGGCCATTACTTTTTTCTTTTCTCTTCTTTTTTTTAGGCTGCATCTTGCTAAACAAATGATTCTACAGCAATTATGCTCTCAAACAACCAGCCAGATCTGCTTGCCAGAAATGTGCAGGTGATATATTTTTGCGAGTAAACCTATCGAGAAGACGGGTGTATATATAGGAGGCTATAAACGCAACAAGGACCAAGGTAGAGAAATCAACGGCCCTGAGGCAACTGAGGCCGGCGAAGGAGTCTCATTCCCCTAGAGATAGTAGTATTAATAAGAGCAGCAGCAGTTGTGTTACTACTGGTGGGAATACCATTGTTATCAGTGACCTGAGCTGGCTGCTGTGAAGGCAGCAGCTTAGCCTTATAAAACATTCGAGCACCGGAATTCCATCGGTTGCGTCTTGCTTAGGGTTAATACTGGCAAATATACGAGGTATCTAAGGTCAGAAATGGTCATCGACTAACTTCAATAGTAATTGCTAGATAACTTTCAGGATCACTTTGAAGGCCGAAAGTATCCGTAGAACAATGGACCATTGAGAAGAACAAGATTAATAGCTCTATTCTGGGAATATTCATTTCAGAATGGCGTGATTGCATTAAAAGTCAATATAGTTCTGCATGATCTGCCCTGAACTTTACTGGAGACACCTCAAGAACAATGGTCTTTTCAAATGCACACTATTGTCACATCAATACGTATTGGCGGAGTGCCTATTCATCAACATCAATTGTATTGTTCACGAGTGTCAATTTTGACCCTCCAGTCCATATCAAGGCACACAATGCCAACCAGCAAACCTAAGGACAGCTTCCGGGTCGTGAAGACGGGCAAGACACTACAAGCCTTCGCGTCCAACCTAGAAAAGGCTTTGAAGGCATCCCTTCCCTCTTCAGGGAAGCCTTACGACAGAGTCTCTGTGCTTGCCTTCCATTGGGCCAACGATGACATGGGAGTCGACAAGCTGGAAACCGAGTTGCTGGGCGTGTTCCGCGACATTTATGGGTTTGAAACGGAATCCTGGACGATCCCTGTGGTTGGTAAACCTGAAAAGCAGCTGGCAAAGAAGCTTGTCAACTGGACAGAAGACCATGGGGGGGAGCGTACCCTTCGAATATACATTTACTCTGGTCATGCTAGCTCTCATGGTACGGTAGACCACGAGTGGTACTTCGGGTAAGTTTCTCTGGCTATATGGCATAATGGAAGTTGACGTACGGTAATCACAGCGGGCAAGCGGACAGCCATGGGAATCTACGTGGCCCGCAAGTGGAGTGGCTGGCGACACGAACCCCAAAGATTGTCGAGGAAGCAGACGGCGATATGCTTTACATTTTCGACTGCTGTTCAGCGGGTTCGGCTGCACTCCGACCAGGCCCTGAGATGCTGTGCGCATCCGGATGGCTGCAACCAGCAGAGGCTTCTCTAAAATTTTCATTCACCCGAGCACTGATTGGCACTCTGATCGACCTGAAGGGGGAAACTGAAACAGTTGGCGGGATTTTCTCGATTCTTTTCCGGCGCGCCTACCAGAGTCAAGTGGCCGCATGCCCCGTTCATGTCCTGAAATCAGGAACCCCGAGCATCACCTTGATGCCGCTCAGCCGGGAGACAGCCACGCATCAGCGAACCAAGACCCAGCATAGGGTGCTGCTGACCGTCCATCTGAAAGACAACAAGCCGAACCTGGAGGCCTGGCGCAATTGGCTCTCCACCCATTTGCCCCCGGGTATCGTCACAGCGGACGTGAAAATTGAATCGGTATTTAAGAGCTCGAGCATCGTGGTGTTGGTAACGGTACCGGTGGAGATCTGGACCATGCTAGACATGGAGGACGAGACGATCTCGTTTGCCAGCCATGTTTTCTCGCATAATATCCTGCCGGAGCTCGAGCAGTCTCAACTTCCTATACGGCCGTCGCCTAGTTCGCAGGGCTCGGAGAACATGCCGCCTGCTCATCATTATCAGAAGTCGCTAGGATAAGTTTGGTTGTACATCTCTTCGGTCTTTACATCTGCTTCGTTCAACGAGTTAGTCTCTTAGACTCGCACTAAAACAAAAATCCATCGTTTCTTCTGTCTCTCGTGAATTTCCAGCCCGCTCATATAATAACGTAAATATAGTATAACCGTAGATGTGAGCTGTTGTAGGTGCCTGGGCTTCCCCGGTTCTGCACCCCGCGAAACTGGGGTAAGGCGGAGGCTGAACAGGGTAAACCAATATTAAAGGCATATATCTCGCTCTAACTTGTTGGGTAGTGTCTCGCATTATAGACGGACAAAAGCCGGTTCCCCAGAATGCGTGCAAAGCCGTGTCGCTCTTGTATATCTGGATACGACCCCTGCAGGTCAGGCGACGCGTCGTTTGAGCGACCATTTTCGCCGAACACCAAGCATCTCATTTCAATCTCACTCTTGGGTGTTCTTTGCTGGCATAATTCTGTCTATATAGTGGGCTTCGATTTCCACATCATGTCGATCCTCACACATCATTATTCTACGCCTCCAGGTTGGATAGCCGCAACCAGCCCTAGCCACCATGAAGAACATCTTTCACCACTGCGTCTCAGCACTGGCTGTCATAGCCAACGCTATGCCGGCGCTTTCACTGCCAAGTGGCAGTGCCCAACTTGCTACTCGTGAGGCTTCAGACAAATACGTCACGGCGCATTTCATGGTAGGTTCACCCGTTCAGCTGCTTAGTCCTTGCCTAATATGGCCAGGTCGGCATCGTCGAGAATTACACAGTCAACAACTGGAAAGAAGACATGGAGCTCGCCAAGGAAATCGGTATCGACGCATTCGCCCTCAACTGCGCCAGCATCGACTCCTACACCGACAAGCAGCTGGCGTACGCATATGAGGCTGCCGAAGCAGTGGACTTCAAGGTATTTATCTCCTTTGACTTTGCCTACTGGTCGAATGGCGACACGGCGAGGATGACCTCGATTATGCAGAGATATGCCTCTCACCCGGGCCAGTTCCAGTACAATGGCGCTGCACTGGTGAGTACCTTTGTCGGGGACAGTTTCAACTGGGGCCCAGTCAAGAATGCGGTGAATCATCCAATATTCGCTGTTCCGAATCTGCAAGATCCGAACTGGGCAAGCAATGCCAATACCGATATTGACGGTGCTTTCTCGTGGTATGCGTGGCCGACGGACGGGGGGAATAGCATTATCAAGGGTCCGATGACGACGATTTGGGACGATAGATTCATTCGGAATCTTAAGATCAAGGACCAGGTGTACATGGCTCGTAAGCTGCCCAGTTTCTTCCCCTTGCTGTCACGGTTCTAACAAATTAGCCGTCTCGCCATGGTTTTCCACCCACTTCAACACCAAGAACTGGGTCTTCATCTGCGAGGACCTTCCGCATCTCCGCTGGGAGCAAATGCTTGAGATGCAGCCGCAGCTAATCGAAATTGTCTCCTGGAACGGTATGCTCTCGCTCTAAACACCCTCAAAGAGAACAGAAACATGACAATTGGCAGATTACGGCGAATCCCACTACATCGGACCCTACTCAGAGAACCACTCCGACGATGGCTCCGCACAATGGGCAAAAGGCTTCCCCCACGACGCCTGGCGTGTCCTCTCCAAGCCCTACATTGCTGCATACAAGGCCGGCGAAACAAAGCCCACTGTCGAATCCGACCAGCTTGTTTACTGGTACAGGCCTACCCCGAAGGGCGTTACCTGCTCGAGGGATCCATTGGGTCCGCCCAACGGCATCAACCTGCTCTCTGATAGCGTCTTTGTCACCACTTTGCTCACTGAGCCGGCCACGCTGACTGTCACTAGTGGCTCCCAGCAGGCGGTTGATGTGCAGGTTGATGCAGGGATTGTGACAACCAACTTTACCATGGGTGTTGGGGCTCAATCTTTCTCCATTAGTCGCAACGGTAGGAAGATCCTAGGTGGTGAGGGTGGCTTGGATATCAAGGACCGCTGTGATTATTATAATTTCAACGTCTATGCGGGGTCGTTTAGTGCATAGGCTGGGGAGGTTGTCCGATTTTCGGGACTTGTTGGAATAGTATCCAGGAATGAGACGCAATTTCTGATACAGCAAGAGCTTATAATATACAAGTGTTATCAACTGTGTCCCCTCCGGTAGTATGTGATGGTATGCGGTGTACGTGAAGAATGCACATTTTGGTTCCTGAGAATCAGGGCACCAATCAGTCACGTGCTCATACCGACGAGCCAATCAGAGGTGTGACAGGGTCTCCGCCCGTTTCTCCGTGCAAGGAAGCGTCAGGGGTCTCTGTGAAGAACAGGCGGGAAAACGGGAGGAATAGTGGAAGTAGAGCCCGTGTAGAAGTACAGGATAGACAAGCGGGGGAGTCGCAGGCGCAATGTGATAGGCGGAGCTGGGGGAAGCCCTGGGGTTCAGGCCAGGTTCAAAATGTTCGGTCGGGTTCCAGTCCGGGTCGAGAGTCGAGGCGCACCAACACTTTTCACTTTTTGGAGGCTGACTTTTCTAGCGTCATCACTAAAATTTATCCTCACGCATTAACCCTCCGACTTTCCCCTCTGCTCAACCGCGGAGCTTCTGCACCACCTACAATCTCAACCCCAGAACTTCCTCGCCGGGAGTTTCTTTTTATTTCTTTCTATTCTAGCTATCTGTGAGGCGCGCGCAGGTCGTCCCTTGGCGCGTTCCGATTTCAATCAACCGCAATCATGGGTTCGTCTCGACCCCTCCCACTGCCCACTCGCTATCGCAGTGGCCTCGTTCCCGTGTGCAGGCTGGACTCCGGATGCTAACAGATGGATTCATATAGCGCCCGGAAAACAAAAGGCCCAGAAGATGTCCCTAGGGAACTTCCTGGCTGATGATAGTACGCTCCGAAAATCGACACTTCCCCGCGCACACGGACATGGCTAACTTGACCGCAGACCTTGGCTCTTGGGCTGATGAGATGGAGGACATGCCCATGCCTGGTAAGTTTCCTATATCATTGCTTTTCCACGCTTAATGGCTTTTTTTTCTAACGTGATTATTTTTTGTAGCTGGTAAGCGACCACCTTCCCTCGCACGCACACACCGTACAATGGCCATATATCGTTTGCCTAACACAACATCGCAGTCCCTGCCCCCTCCAACTTTGGAGGCGACCGCCGTCCCCCTCTTTCTTCTGCTGGTTTCGGTGGACCTACCTTCAATGGTACGACCTATTGCTCCCTTGGTTTCATTAAATGATATATGTATAATTGACTGTGCGTGGTGGAAATAGAGCGTGGCTTTGCCATGAGAGAGCCCCTGCCGCTGCCTACCGAGCCACCTTACACCGCTCATATTGGAAACCTGTCTTTCGATGCTACTGACGCCGACATCTCGGAGCTGTTCGTGGATTGCGGTGTGACGAACGTTCGTATTGTTGAGGACAAATTAACAGGAAGCCCCAAGGGTTTCGGTTACGTCGAATTTGAAACTGTCGATGGTCTCAAGAAAGCTCTCGACTTCTCTGGCTCCTCCCTTCAGGGACGAGCCATCCGTATTAGCATCGCGGAGCCCCGTATGTCCCCCGCCGCCCCCCTCCAGACATAATATGTCAAATCTAACAAATACACAGCCAAGGAGCGTGATGTGAAGGAACTCGACTGGACTCGTAGAGGACCTCTTCCCGATGCTCCACAGCGCCGTGTACCTGACCGCTCCTCTTTCGGTCGCAACATGGACAATGTTTCCGACGCCGGTAGCGAGCCGCGACGCCGTGGTGGTTTCGAGAGTGACGGCAAGGTCCGCGACTTCTCGAACTGGGAACGCAAGGGCCCTCTTTCACCCCCACCTGCCAGAGAGGGTGGTCGCCCAACCAGCAATGAAGGCCCCGCTTTCAGAACCCGCTCGCCTGCTTGGGGTGAGGGACGCTCTCAGGATGGCTCGCGACCTCCCCGACGCGAGTTCCAAGAACGCACACCCACCGCCGCTGAAATGGATAACCAATGGAGAGCCAGGATGAAGCCTGATGCGCCAAAGGAACCCAGCAACCCGCCCTCTCCCGCTCCTGCAGCAGCCACTCCGGCTACTACTGCTGCTGCCCCTGCACCCGCTCAACGACCGAGGTTGAATCTCCAGAAGCGGACGGTGCCGGAAGCCGCCGCTAGCCCCACTAGCAATACTGAATCCAAGTCCAGCATCTTCGGGGGTGCTCGGCCAATTGATACTGCTACCAGAGAGAAGGAGGTTGAGCAACGGCGTCAACTTGCTCTGCGCCAGAAGAAGGAGGCTGACGAGAAGGCAAAGGCTGAGAAGGCCGAGAAGCAGCGAGCTTCCAAGGAGGCCGCCAAATCCGAGAAGCCTGCGTCTACTCTTGATCCCAACGGCAAGGACCAGGCTGAGACACCCCGGGGCGGCGCTAACTTCGAGATCCTCCGGCGGGCCGGTGAGGACGAGAGTGGAATGAACGCCGATCAGGATCCAGAGCAGCAGGGTGCTGAAGGTGGCGCCACTGCTGCTACTGAGGCCACAAAGGACGATAAGACGAACGGTTCCTGGAGGGCTGGACCTACCTCCGAGGCCGCCGGCGGTGACGACGAAGGCTGGAGCACCGTGAGCACAAAACAGCGCAGCAGCCGCCGTGGTGGCCGTAACTTCGCATAGATTCATGGATACCCCGTTTGAAACACCATCAGTCGACCGAAGTATCACCATGCCTGCAGAGAGGCCACGTTTTCGGGTTTTTTTTTACAGTGTGCATCAAGCCTTTGGCCAGGTGCCACTATAAGTCCCGTACACTCGCTCTTTGCACTGCCGGTGTGACTTTTGGTTACGTTGATCGCCATTTGTCTCTCATTTTACCTCTACCATACCGCCTTCGCCTCTTGTTTCTCTTATTTCTAACCTTACCTCTTGAGATTTCTCTTTGGTTCCAGTTCCAGCATCTCCTCTTTGCGCCGGCTAGATCTATGATGTTTATGTCTAGCCCTCTATCTTGTACCGTTGTCATGCATGTCGAAAAGTTTATCTGCCGTCTTTTCCTTCTCTCTTCTGTTTTCGAACCGGTCTCGGCCTGTTCTGCACCAACCCGTTTGCCGATGTGGAGGGGAAGCTACTGCGTATTCACAGTGGAGGAAAGTGAATAGTTCTCTTAATTGCCCGCTCTCCCCTCGAATTCTGTCTTGTTTGGGTCCCGGTGGGCGTGTGGAGTCTCCTTTTCTTGTTCTTCTACCAGAGATGTTCTCTTCACGCGACAGCCATGCGATGCGAATAGGATCACGACTCAACATGATGCGTAAAGAGAATGATGGAAGCATGATATGTTAATTTGATACTGTTACTATATTTGTTTCTTGTACGTAGTATGTCTCGGCGTGGATTCTATGACCAGTATGAAGTTCATCATAGTCCATAAATGCACAGTCCAATCTTCGATGTCTGTGCATTGAAGGAAGACGCGATGTGGGGCCGTGATGATCTGGAGTGGGTTTCGACGCCGCTGTCACTGAGATAACACTCACCTTCCTACCCTTCGCTCCCTTCTCTTCATCGATACCAGGTCAAACAACTGCTGATAGTGTTGGCACTTGATAGTGGCGTTCCCCATCGGGTGTTGTACACAGAGAGGAGGTTCCATTGAATTGATTGGTTTCCATTTCACATTCCAAGACTACCGACGTATGCATTCGGTCACTGCACCAACAAGGATGATGATGGCAAATCAAGTCACAGCTGCACGACCGCATGTTCTTGGTATTGGCAATGCCGGTTTTGTCGGTTTCTAACCGGCCAACGACGGATGAAGAGATCTCTTCCTTCCAGTATCTCCCTTGTCAACTCCAAGCTCTGTACAATCCTACGGAATGATCTCGACCAAACTTCGGCCGCTTCAAGGCTGTGGTATGCATCGTTATCATAACTATATAAAATCGCTTACTGATTTGGTGGTCATAAAAGCTCTCTATAACCAGGTTTGCCGAAGCAGCGTCTCTCATCAATATTCACGCCTGCCCATCTGGTCCCCAAGACGGTGAGCCATCTCTACGTCCGCTCTGGCTCCAGACCAAGCTTGGCTAATAGTCCCTCTCTCGTATAATATCAGACTCGCTTCTAATTTAAACAAGTCACCCTTTACGCGTCCCCGATCTATCCTCGCAAAGCAACGCCTCAACCGCCCTGTCTCCCCCCACCTAACCATCTACAAGCCCCAAATAACCTGGATTGTCAGTATCGCGACTCGCATAACCGGAGTTGCGCTCTCGGGCGGTCTATACCTTTACGCAACAGCCTACCTCCTGTCCCCAACAGTGACAGGATGGGACATTGGCTCTGAGTCCCTGGTGAATACCTTCGGCGGCCTCTCGCCTGCATCCAAATTCGCGTTGAAGTTCGCGGTCGCGCTTCCGTTTTCGTTCCATAGCTTCAATGGTGTTCGTCATTTGATTTGGGATACCGGGAGTATGTTGACGAATCAGCAGGTTGCAAGGAGTGGCTGGACGGTTGTTGGGGCCTCGGTTGTTGCTGCCTTTATATTGGCTTCGTGGAGGCCTGCTGGTGTTGATCGAGCTGTGCACTGATTCTGGCAGCGCTCTTTGTTAGTTCTCCCGCTGGGATTCGCCTCTATTCTGTGTCGAATTACCACTAAAATTGGGATACAGTCTCCGACTCAACATCTTCAGGTCATCAGGATCTCCGGATGTTCCGTCAAACAAAATTGGAAAACACATGCCCCAAGAGACCACAAACCCTGACGCCTGGCGGACTGGCCTTGAAAAGTTGCATGGAGTTGCAGTAATCCGGAGATATTCAGCAAATCGGTTTCTACGCCTATCGGTCATAAAAGCCATACGACTGGCTCAGCCATGATTGCACAGCTCCCGAAAAGAAAACAAGAAGAAATACGGTTATTTTTGTATTTACCACTTCATTCCATCAGCCTTGCTTGTTCTGCAACACTTTGATATACGACCAGAGTGGGTCCAAACACGGCACAGAATCAACCACATGGGAAAGCTTCCCGTGTGCACCACTACCATACATCAGAGACCAGATCAATCCTCCAGCTCGTGGCTTACTCGGCGCCTGTAGATACTTTGTAAGATCCACGCCAAGAACGGAGATCGCGGATCAAAAGGCAATCCATTTGGAAGGATTGTCTGTCGATTGGAGCTCGTTTCTTTTTCCTTCTTTTTTTTGAGCTTATGCGAACCCCTCCCTCCACAGTTGACAGTCCACAAAAATCATCCAATCCACCGGCTGACAAGAGCAATCATAAATCATCATCAGCCGGCCCCCCGGCTTTCCAGTTCCCTTGCATAAGCTAGCAACCTTCCGGTTCTCCTCTTTCCAACTCCCACCGTTCCCTCAACGGAACCTCAGTTGATTGTAGTGTTTCGTTCCTTCGCATCGTTGTGAAGCCAGTTCCCCCCAAGTCATGACGGGCCCATCCCAGAGCGGATCTTGTCGATCATATCAGCAGCATGAGGGGGAGGTAACAGACTCGACATCTGTGCCTTGGTGTATCGGGTTCCGCTCCTCGAAGGCGTTCGTCACTTGGGTGGTGGCGATTGCTGTCTTTACGGTGTGTCGTGTGCTGTGCCCATCCGGTATTTCTATAACTAATTATCCCGATAGGATGTCTTCATATATGGAATGGTACGCGCTATCAAGGGTCCCGCACTTCACAACTCTCTGCTGAGGCTAACTGGGACGGTCTAGATAATTCCGATTCTCCCAGAAGTGCTTCAGACCCGGGTTTCTATACCAGAGGAGGAATGTACGTTGTTTCGCCAACCCAAAGGCAGATCACCCTAATCAGTCCTAACGGCAAATCACCAGTACAAAAATGGATGTCTATCCTCCTCGCTGCCTTCGGGGGTGCTATCTTCATTGGCTCCCGTAAGTCCGGTCCTTCACCTTTTACCGAGCTTCAACCCGGTATACTAATATAACTTGACCAGCGATATTCGGCTACTTCGCCGATAAGAGTTCCTCGCGTCAAGCGCCCTTCCTGATCGGTTTATTTGCGCTGGCCGCGTCGACAGTGATGTTCTGGTTTGCGCGCACAGTATATGCTTTGGTAATTGCGCGAACATTCCAGGGGCTCTCTTGTGCGGTTGTTTGGACGGTCGGCATGGCGCTTATTGTTGATACAATGGGAAAGGACCAGGTTGGGACGGCTATGGGGATTGTTTCGATGGCTATGACTGTCGGGACGGTTGCTGGCCCTTTTGTTGGGGGTATTGTGTAAGTTTTCCTCGGGTTTCTTTTTTTCCTGGCACTTTGACGAGGACTCGCAACTAATCATCTTTTGAGGATAGCTTGTCGAAGGCGGGATACCATGCTGTGTTTGCGATGGCAATGGCGCTGATTGTTGTGGATATCGTGCTGAGGTTGGTTATGATTGAGCGGAAGAGTGCGGCGAAGTGGATTGATGTGCAGTCTGGGGCTGCAGAGGCAGAGACAGAGACAGAGCGACTTATAGCTCCTGCTACGGAAAACAGCTCTTCGTACGAAGGAGTCGAGACTGAGCATATTTCACAACAGCAGTCAAACGGAAAGGCTGCAGAAGATGGACAGTCCAACCCCAGCAGGCGTTCAATGCCAGGTATCATGCGCTTGATGGGCTCGCTTACAATCCTGGTTGTCCTCCAGGCTACTCTGGTTGAAGCCATGACATACTCCTCTTTTGACTCGGTATTGACCACCCGCTCACCCAACCAATATAGCCACGGGCTAACATTAGCAAATGCAGGTCCTCCCCCTCTACGTAAGATCCACTTTCGACATGGACCCCATGGGAATAGGCCTGTGCTTCATCCCGCTCTTCATCCCCTCCTTCCTCTCAACCATAATCGGCTCTGCAGTCGACCGTTACGGGAGTCGCCGGATCGCCTGGATGGGATTCATCCTAGACGTCCCAGCCCTCTTACTCTTGCAAGTAGTTACTGAAAACACGACGCGGGATCAGATCATTCTTTACGTGCTCCTCTTCGTTTCAGGCTTTGCTGCGGCTCTGAAAACCGTTTCCTTGATGGTTGAGATCAGCCATGCTGTTGAGGAGAAGGAGAAGAGGTGTCCAGGGATCTTTGGGGATAAGGGAGGCACAGCACAGGCGTATGGCCTGTTTAATGTGGCTTGGTCGGGGGGGCAGGTGCTGGGGCCGCTGGTGTCCGGGGGGTTGGTGGATTGGGTTGGGTGGAAGTATATGGTGAGTACGTTGGCGGTGGTTAGTGGAGTGACAGCAGTGGTTTTGGTTGCCACGGCGAAGGGAGTGAGGAGGTAGGTTGGCAGGCTGGGATTTAGGGGGTGGCTTGTCATGAGGATGTAGAAGAAAACTGTGATGAAATGCTAAATAAGAGTTTAAAATCAAGCGGAGATAGAAGCAAGGACAGCTGAGTTTCCAGGGAGACAAAGCCAGAGAGGTTGGACACAACTTGGACACAGCCTGGACAACAAGGGGCTAACGTCGATAAACTATGCAGCGTGCTCGGTAGTTCCTGCGATTCCCCTTGCTTTGATAAAATCAGGGGAAAGAATTCCATGCCAAACCGAAGATGACCAGTCAGGCCCCATACCAAAACAGGTGGGGATACACGTGCGGGCTGTGGAGGATGGAATGCCCAGCGAGACTTATCGATCATGCAAAAACAATCCCAGCCTCAATCCCGATCGCCAATATCTGGAGATCCCCGAGGATGACACCCCTGATTTGGTTGGATCCCTTCTTCACTTGACGCCGGGGCTATAATTAGTGTGTTATTAAGGACCCTTTCGTGTTCCAGATTCTCTTTATTGTTTCCACTCCTTAAATACGCCCACCTCCACCTGTCCACTCCGCATATCCAGGATTCACCTCCTTTTCTTTGCTTTCTTATGGCTTGACGATAATGGCAACTAGCACAACTACCGCTCTTGCGTCTACAACACTAGTCGGGGTGCCTTTCGAGAAAACCTGTCCAACATGCGGCCAGGCGCCGGACACTCCACCGCCGCCAGATTTTACGCGCCGGCGGGTGAAGGACTTGGAGGGACAGGTACATTATTTGAATTCCCAGGCTTCTCATATGAGTACGTGCTCTCCTTCTCTTCTTTTTTTTTCCCTTGTAAATCACCTCCAGTGATGCCATGGATCCACCAACTAACATCATCGGTGTTCCAGCGGAGAAACTGGCCGAGTACGAAGAGGAGCTGCGACGACTTCGAGCCCAAAACCAACCAGCCGCCGCCCCGACCAGTTTAGTTAAACGGAACAACTCGTTGTTGTCTTTGAGTTCCACTTCCTCGCGCGGTGATAACTCGCATTCGAACTTGAATCCGAACTCGCAGTCACCGCCGCAACAACAAACCCCACAAGGCCGTCTGGCATCCCTTGCCTCCTTCCTCCCATACCGCCGTCCAAGCACAGCGTCTTCTCAACCGCAGTCACATCAGTCACCACCACCACCGTCGCCATTACAACAAACGCGGACGCCGCCCCCACCTTCGCCACGCACTCCTACCCCCCGCCCTTCTACCGAAGAGGCACTCGAGCTCCAAAATGCACTGAATGAGGAACAAAAACTCCGCAAGGCAGCCGAGACGCAGCTTACACAAGCAAGCTCTGAGCTTGAAGAGCTCACGGTGCAGCTCTTCAGCCAGGCGAACGAGATGGTCGCGCAGGAGCGCAAGGCACGAGCGCGGCTAGAAGAGCGTGTCGCCGTCTTGGAGCGCCGAGATATCGAGAAGAGGAATCGCTTGGAGAGGTTGGAGAAGGCGATGGCGAGAGTTGAGCGGATAAGGGCATTGGTTGGATAGACTGATAACGCCCCTTTTTTCTTCCTTTTTTGGCCGGAGTTGGTTTGTTTTTGAACCCGTTCTTATATATACCCCGATTTTTTCTGCCTGTTTTGAAATTGGATTTTGGATACGATGGGCACGAATGAGTTATGATTGCATGCATGGCATGGTTATGGATACTGGGTTTTTTGCTCTTTTTGGATGACATTGAATTTTGGATAGGCGTATATATGGCGAGCGTGCGATTAAACCCATATCATATTTTGCATACCTGAACCCTGATATTATTCTCGTTCTCTACTACTTTCTATATAATTAGAGACCAGCTAAATGTGTCATTGTAGCCGCAAATTGCCAATTAGTGATGACGAGACAGTTGGTTGGAACCCCACTTGGTCCCCGCGTACAAATATATATCTCCGGTCTAGCTCTCATCCTTTTCGGAGCACTTAGAAACCCTCATCTCACTCCTAATCCACTCGCAAACTACATGCCAAAATGACAACTGGAGTCGCCATCATTGGAAGCGGTTGGTGTTTCGCTATTCCATTTTCCTGGCCGTGCCAAACTGTTAAGTTATCAAGCTAACAAAGACACTAGGAATCTTCGCTAAGGAACAACATCTTGTACGTTACAACTAGTAATTGGATGCTACACTACACAGGAAACCCACCTGCGTGTAGCTCACCGAAGAAGCTAGAAAAAACCATTGCTAACAAGCTCTATGATAACTCAGCCTGCGGTCAAAGAAGCTCCCACACTCTCTCTTAAGGCAATCTACTCGCGCTCGCTCAAATCCGCACAGGGTCTATCTGAGGGTCTCGAGAATGTAGATCTGTACTCGGATGATTCTGGCCCTGGGAAGACCTACGCGGACCTTTTGAAGCGGGAAGATATTGGGGCTGTTATTCTGGCGTAAGTGGTAGCCTTTTATCCCGTGGCTCAAATACTAGTCCACCTAGTCTCTACATGCCACGAGAACTAGGAAGTGTACAATGTACTGATTCATACGGTGCAGACTCCCTATTCTCGCCCAGCCAGCCTACATCAAGCAAGCCTTAGTTGCAGGCAAGCATGTTCTCTCGGAGAAGCCAATCGCCAAGGACCTAGCTACGGCGCAGGACCTACTGTCCTGGTACAACAATGGCGCCAACGTTGACAAGTCCAAGACATTCTGGGGTGTCGCAGAAAACTACCGCTTCATACGCAAGTGGATTCAAACCGCCGCGGAGGTGCAGAAGCTCGGAGGCATGAAGACGTTTCGGCTCATGTTAAGAGCCAACATTGGGACTGAGGGGAAGTATTATAGTACGTTATTCCTTCCTTCCCTCCTTCCGTTCGTCTTACGCTATATTGGGCGATTTAGTTCTACTTTAGAAGGTTGTTCGTTACGTTAACTTGGAGTTCTAGACACATCCTGGCGCAAAACGCCCGAGTACCAAGGTGGTTTCGTGCTAGACGCCGGAGTCCACTTTCTCGCAGGCCTCCGACTCATTCTCGGCCGCGGATCAAACAGCCTGAAAACTGTAATCGCGCAGACAAGTCAGTTACAGGAACATCTGCCGCCCATCGATACAGTCGATGCACTTGCGACGACCGCATCTGGGGCTCCCGGGGTAATCAATCTCTCATTCGGGTCTGAATTTAGGGACTCTGTGTTGGAATTTACGTGTGAAAAAGGTGTTGTGACTCTTATTGGTGACAAATTGACAGCTGGTGGTGTCGTGACTGACATTCCCTTCGAGGGTGTGGGCGTGAAGGAGGAGGTTAAGGCCTTTGGGGCGTCGATTGTTGGTGGAGGATTGGATGATAGGTTGCGGCCTGAGGAGGCATTGGCTGATCTGGAGGTTTTGGAGATGTTGGTGACGAGTGGTGAGGATGGTGGGAGGAAGACGTTGAAGTTGCAGTAACTAAGGACTAGAACCCGCAGTCCGACAAGGCCAGGCGAGGCGCAAGTATAAACGTTCTAAATTAGGTTAGCTTAGGAATATCAGTCTAAACCCGATCCGAAACCTAGACTCTGGAACCGTAGTAGGGCAGAGCCCACTAACCCTATCACGTGCCCACAGCTCATTCCCCTCGCTTAGCAAAGGGCACTAACCGGGTCGTTACTGTCTCGGGCGGCCAAACCTCAGCGCGAAATTTCGAGACCGATTTCGACCGTTCGACAACTCCAGCGCCAACGGGACAAACGACAAGGTATATTCACAATCCTTTCTCTCTCTCTCCTGGGGATCGTTGTTGATACTAATTATTGCGTGAAGATGGCCCTCGCTAAGAAGCACGTCCCTATCGTCAAGAAGCGTATGTCACCACCTACCTATCTATCCATTATCCTACCCTGCCCAGATTGAGCGTCCAAGAGGAGGGAATTTGAGAAGAGGAGAAACACAATGAAGGGAACATCAGAATTTTGATCGATGAACGTTGAAAATATGGGGAACCAGCACCGACGCAGAGATGGGAATCGAATTTTACCACTTGATACAAAGGCTATGAATGATCAAGTCGACTGACTGGTCATACTTTACAGGCACCAAGCGTTTCTTCCGCCACCAGTCCGACCGCTTCAAGTGTGTGCCGGAGTCATGGCGCAAGCCTAAGGGTATCGACAACCGCGTCCGCAGACGCTTCAAGTCGAACATCCCTATGCCCTCCGTACGTCCAACCACCCACCTGATCGACATCGAATTTCGAGTCGTATCAAGCCGAGTCATTCGGAATGCACTGCGAATGGATGAAGGCTAATGCACTGGATAGATCGGTTACGGCAGCAACAAGAAGACCCGCCACATGATGCCCTCCGGCCACAAGGCTTTCCTCGTTCACAACGCCAAGGACGTTGAGCTCCTCCTCATGCACAACCGAACTTACGCTGCTGAGTGCGTCCCTTCCCACTAGCCTACTGGAATATATGAAATGGAGGAACTAATTTCAATACAGGATCGCCTCCGCTGTCTCTTCCCGCAAGCGCGTCGACATCATCGCCAAGGCCAAGGCCCTCGGTGTCAAGGTCACCAACCCCCGTGGCCGTGTCACTACTGAGGCTTAGATGGATTGATTGAAACGACTAAAAAAAGCGAAAATGATTCTGGGAATGAATTGATAAAGCGCAGGAACTGGTCACGGACGGAACGGCCAAGACGGACTGGACTGGACCGGACGTCTTAGCAGGACAATTGATGGATAATCACACAAGACGTGGGCTCGGGACAGGAACGATTGATTTTTTTTATACATAACCTAACCCACCTACTCATCCATCTATCCATTTAAATACCAAATGAGTTGTTAAATGGGATTTCAGCGGTAATGCTTCGCTTGTTGCTTGGACTTGTCCTGGATGAAGTATGGTTTGGTGTCTGGGGAGTATTGAATGGAGTTCTTTCATTTCCAGGATACTGGTCTCGTCCATTGTAGAATTGGACCTGCGTAATTTTGTCTTTGGTATATGGTCTATCTATAAATGCCCCAACACCTGGTACCATGTGCACCCCATGCAACAACATTCAACATGCAAAACCAACACTTTTGTTTACCTGTTCTACAACCCGTTCCCAGCACCAGCAGCACCAGCAGCAGCACTTTCTTGTGCCTGTCTGGCTGCCGAAATATCAACAGACCCAACACCCTCAACCAGAGCCGTAGTTCCATCCTCATCACCCCCGAGCTCAGGAACACTTCCCTGCCCAACAACAGTCTCCTTGTCCGCCTCTACCTCCTCCCACGCAGGAACCTCCCGCGGCCCATCCATTCCTACCGGCGGCAAAGCCCACCTAGGCATCTTGCTCCGATACTGCCACTCGCCACCGGCATCCGAGTACGCTACAGCATGCAAGAAGATACCCAGCTCGTGAACACCAGGGTCAGTATACAGTTCTGTCCCACAGACATCACACGTCTTCCCGGAGAGCCTCTCCCCCTTTCGTTTCTGGTACGCTTCCACCGCGGCTTCATGCTCCTTCGTCATGATCGCCTGCACAACCGAACTGTCCGTCCCCGGCGGCACAACCGGCAGCGTGGTCAAATGTGTGCGGTACGATACTGTCTCCGGAAGCTCCGTACGACCCATCTCCATTAAACGATCGATTATTTCGTCGTCCCGGTCAGCGGTCGATTCATTCTTCCCTAGCTCTGGACCGAAGACGCGCCGGTTCGAGTAGATCGGGTCGTTACTTATCGGGTGACCGAGGAACTGCAGATGCACGCGGATTTGGTGCGTGCGGCCCGTGAGTGGGAGGCAGTGGACGATGCTGTAGCCCTCGCTTTCGTTGATGTAGGACGGCGGCGGCGTCGCCGGTCTTGTACCTGATTCCTTCTCATCACCTTCACCCTCCGCAGCTGAGGCTTGAGGTGCAGGTGGTGCAGGAGGGTAATACGCCAACCGTCGAAACTTCGTCTTCGCTTCCTTCCCAGTCGCCCGAACACGGTTCAGCCCAACCTTCGGACTTATAGACATAATCGGCTGGTCCACGATAAGCACCCCATCCGGGAACTTGCCCTTCACGCGCGCAACATACTCCTTCTGAACGGTGCGCTCCCTCAAACTAACAGTCATCCTATCCGCGCCCTGCGCTGTCTTCCCCACAAACATAACCCCGGATGTCAACCGGTCCAGTCTGTTACAGGGCCGCGGAACGAACTTCCCGCCGTAGTTGTGCCTTATGATCTCCATGACAGAGTTATAATGGTACCGGCCTGTCGAGTGGACGGGAACGCCAGCGGGCTTATCAATGACAAGCAAATCATCTGTCTCTTCGATTATGCCGACGTCGTTTCCTGTGACGGGGGGTTCGTGGCGATGGAGGGTATGCGAGACGACTTCGCCGTTTTTGAGGACGGTGTTGGGACCCGCGGATTTGCCGTTTACCGTGACGTTGCCGCTTTCAAGGGCTTTTCTCTGTTAAGAAAATTATAGCATGTTAGTTTGCTGTTCCCAGCACTTATTTGATCTCGGGTTGGGTAGATAGAGAGCGTACGTAGTAGCCGGGCTCGCGGTCGCGAAACTCGGTGGTGAAAATATCTATCAGCTCCCTGTTGCGCCATCGCTCCTTGCAGTAGGTGTTATAGGTATAGTGGTATGGATATACGCGACGAAGGCCCCCTTCGAAGTAATAGCGAACAGGCAGCCCCTCGCACGGCGTTACGGCGACTTTTGGCGGTTCTTGGGCGGGCTCCGCAGGAGGAACCTCCAGCTTCGGCGTGGCATCGACAGGAAGGACGGACATGATGGAAGCCGAGATTTTACCCCGGCGAGCGAGGAATTCGGCAAGTCGAGGAGAGCAAGCCAGGTTCCAGGTTGGACGTTATGCTTGACAAAAAATTAGGTGGAGGACTTGAGAAGAGGGGAACAAATTATTTTTGCGGATGTTCCTGACGCCACTGGAAATTTACTCTGGCCAAACGTCAATTCCTAGGTTCGTCCTCACCACTACCATGTTATCGACAATTAAAAATAGCAATATCGCACTAACGATACATAGACAGATAACAAGACCACCCTCTACGTGTATTCGTCTCAAAGAGGAATCGGCGCATAGTACGAGAACTTGCCCTCCGGGTCGTACTTCCTCTTGACCTGCTGCAATTTCTCCAGTCTCCATGGCTCCCACCCATACCAGGCGCGAGGTCCCTCATTTCCAGCAGCATAGTTGACGTACGAATGCAGGTTATCAGAACCCGTTCCCTTGAGAATGATGTCTCGCAACTGGTCTCCAAACTCCACGGCCTTGTTCTCCACCTCCTTGGTGTCGGAGCTATAGGCGATAGTAGGCGCGAATAAGAAGAAGTCCTCTCGGTTTGGGAACGCCGTTGAGTCTTCATGGATGGCCTCGACACCTTGCGCTGAGTATTGCTCGATGAGGGTTAGGGAAGTGTTGAACTGCGAATCGCCCGCAGTACCCTCGGCAAATGCATCGAAGTATTCTCTCTGCGCTGGGATATCAAATCGCTTGAAGCCAATTGGGAATCGCACCTTGCTCCCTTCTTTCGCACAGCCTCTCGAGTTCACACCCGTATCGATCCATGTAGGAATATCGGTATAGAGCCCATGCTTCTTGACTGCCGCGGGAGTCGCGGCAAGGTCACGGAAAGGTTGAATAAGTTCAGGCTCGATTTCCTCGACACCCTCGCGCACGAAGTTGGCGAGATAAACAGGCTGTCCAAATTAGCTTTATTCAGCGGGGGAGAACAGATGGACCTACATTTTTTGGGTCCAAGTCTGGAATGCGCAGGAGGTATGTCCAAACGAAAAAGCCGGGCGGCTGGATGTCAGCGAGGTCATTGAAGTGCTCAAACAGCGCCTCAACTTGGTCGCTGGTAAATGCCAACTGCTCATAAGCCCACAGACCACCATCTGGGACGTCGTATACCTTCGAAGTGACCGATGTAACAATTCCAAAGTTATGGCCCGCGCCTCGCACAGCCCACCAGAGGTCCTGATCATCACTTTTTTCGGAGACCGTTATGATCTGGCCATCGGCCGTAGCAATGTTCAGCGATACAAACTGATCAGCAGCCATACCATATTTCCCCTGCAGAGCACCGTGGCCGCCGCCCAGGGCTGGTCCAAGATAGCTGACGCACTCGCATACGCCGTGAACTGCATATATCAATACCATCCTAACCGATCTAAGATGAACCAACTAGCTTACCAGTCTGCTTTCCTTGTTGGAAGAGATCTCTAATCAGCGTCACTGATTTTGTGCCACCCCCAAACGTGGCTGTTTTGCCGTCCTCCGCGATCTTAATAGAGTTAAGTTTGTGCAGCCAGATTTCAATTCCGTGATTAAGGTTCGCCAGAGAAGAGATAGCACCATGCCCATCATTCACAGCAAGGAATGGAAGGCCCTCGGCGTTAGCGTAGCGAATCTACTTCGTCAATTTGCTTGTGCTTGGAACCATTCTGTGGGAAGAAACTTACAGTCTTGGCCACATCTTCCTCCACGGCGACCTCAACAACGACGGTGAAGTTGGGTGGGTGGTAGTAAGACCATCGTGCTGTGGCATCTTCAAACACGTCCGAGTCCGGATAGTAAACAGCTGCGTGTTCAGAAAGCTCGGGTGCCAATTTGGTACGGATATCGTCACGAGTGGTGAATCTTCCATAGCTGCCAGTGCCCAGGAGGGCAACAGCGCAGGCAAGACTGGCCCAGAGGCGTGCGGAAGCTCCCATCTTGGCGGGTCAGTGTGTAAGTTTCAACGTGTGGTGCGTGGATCGTGTGATAAAGGTTATGGGTGGGTGTCTCCCGGTTTTCTTGTCCGGGGACAAGAATGGATAATGTCTGTTGTTGTTGTTGTTGTTAAGTATGCAGCATTCTTAAGCGGAAAAAGAATTCCTGAAGGATACGCTCTCTCAAGCAGGCTGGGGAGGCATTGGAGGCGGGATTTAAATCATTCTGGCACCTGAAGGGCTGCAGGAGCAGACTGCAGAGTGCTGTTGGGGAAAGAGCAAGCAGTCGTTGAGGCCGCAAGCCCGCGACCATCCTGCGTGTTCCGCAGTAGTCTAGCAGGGGCCACAATCAAGCAGGTCACAGACAGCTCAGAGATCGATTATCCGGGATCTGTTAGCCGGTCTGATATATTTGGGGGCACCCTTGCGATCTGCTGCGATCTACTCCATCTCTACCTGTTTTGTGGTGACAACTCACTCAAGCACGGTGCTTTGCACATTCCAACATGGCCAAGGAACGATTATAGGAATCGATTCTCCGTTAATCCCGCACTGTATCGAGAGGGTAGACACTACTGCTAATTAGCGTAACATTATGGAATTCGGTCTAGTCTGACCCCGAAGTCCGTTGCCATATAAACAACAGCGAGGTACATAGTCAGACAGCAGGCGTGCTCTTACTAAGATGACTCGAGCCACGTAGAATGTATAGAACTCTAAAACATTTCCAAACTAGCCAAACAAACTAAACTATATCTGTCTCCGTGGCTAGCTGACACATGAATAATCTCTGGAATCGAGATGATCTACGTGCATGAATCAAGCCCCCGAGTCAGAAGTGAGTGCCTCCCCAAGCAGTGACGGCTCTGGACCTCGGCCCATTTCCACCGAGGATCGCAACTCCAACAACTTCAACTCTACATCGCATCCCTCGTCGGATCCCTTTTTCTTACCCAGACCCAGGTTTATTCAAAGCAAGCTAAGAATAATACGATTGCATTTTGCTTTAATTCAACTAGAGCCCCCAATAACCGCCACCAATGCCCAAAGAAGTCGACATCAAGCGCCGCCGCACCCGCGGGGACTACGTTTTCCACCAGACGTACCGGACAAGATGGTACACAACCAGCAGCCTCCCATTCGAATAACTCTAGTATAATTCAGTACCACTGCAAAGGGTCGTCACTAACAAGAACCCAACGTTTCAGGAACGACAACGACATGTACGCACACCTCAATAACACCATCTACGCACAACTCTTCGACTCTATAATCAACCACTACCTGATCAGCGACTGCGGAATGGACCCTTTCTCATACGGCTCTGATTCTTCCGAGTCGTCGTCTTCGTCCACAACGACAGGGGGCAAGCCGAACCCCAACCCCTCTGGACAAGTCGCCATCATGGTGAACTCCTACTGCGACTATTTTGCGTCCGTTTCATACCCCGATATCCTGGACCTCGGACTACGGGTTAACAAGCTGGGGACGACGAGTGTGGTGTATGAAGTCGGGGTATTTAAGCAGGGAGAGGACGATGCGAAGGTTGTTGGTGGGTATACGCATGTTTGGTGTGAGAGGGGGGTGATGAGGCCTGCTAAGGGAGGAATGGAGAATGGGATTAGGGAGGCGTTGGGGAGATTGATGGTGAAAGAGGACAGTAAGATTTAGATTAAATAGGTCTTGCTTGACGGGTTGTATATACCATATTGCTCGATCCGAGCGTATTGTTTATGAATATAAGGCTGGATAGATGACTAGTGGTAGAAGGAAAGAGTCCGAGATTATCTTATTAAAAATACCAAGTAGATAGTAAAAAACCAAGTATCGCAACGCTGACGAGTAAAACCTTCTATCGCTTTTCTATACCGAATCCTAACATCATGATTATTGCAAGAAACGCCAGCCGAAATCATCACGGTCCTAGCAAAGCATCTGAAACAAAATTAAACGTGAGAACAAAAGAGTAAAGGAAAGAACAGAGAAAAAGCAGGGATCTATCGTTGTCCAGCCTTGGATCATGTCCAGCTTAGGCTTGTAGTTGGCTTGGTCTAATCTCACATCGGAGATTTTGCGGATCAATTGAGTTTGTCCGGAATGATGCTGACCCGGGAAACATTTGAGCTTGGGGGGAAGATGACCTTTTGCATTGTCTTGCTCTCCGGCTCAAAGTACCAACGTTGGTAAGGGCCGGGGATAAAGTTTCCCTTCGAATCCCACCCGGGAACATAGGTGTATCCGTCGTCGAGACGGAAGAATAAAAGCTTCTCGGGCTTGTCTCCATCTTCAGGAGTGACGGTGAACCAGCGGCATCGTTCAGCGACTTCGTCCTCGAAAAGGTATTGATGGAGGATGCGGCAGTAGACGACAGGAACAGGGACTTTCTCGTCGTAGTCGCTACCGTCTCTGCAGACAAGGTGCCATCCTTGGCTGGGGACATATTTGTAGATGCCGGGAACTGGAGAGTCCCAGTGTTCTTCTCTGTTGATTGATCCTTGGATGCGCTGCCCACGCTGAAACCAGTACGTCGGGCAAAAGACGGTGCGCAAGCAGAGAAATAGGTTGGGTGCCATTGCGACGGGTAGGTAGTTGTCGGATATCGAAAACTACCGGTATATTTCAAACGCGAATATCTTGGATAAACGAGAAAAGGTGGGTATCGTAGGTGCGTAACAAGAAAATAAACGCTCGCTTTTCGGAAGGCAATGAAGAAAAGATAAGAATGAGGGCTGAGCTCGAACGGGGTTATATATCGACGTCCATTTTGAAGGGGGAATGAAGGTCTTGATATCACGAGACAACAAGAGAGGTTTTGATGGGTTTCAGTACCGCTGCGACAGTGCTTTCGGTACTCCCAGGGTCGAATTGCTCGACGGTTTAAATGGAGAGAGTCAGGTGTTCTCAGCCAAAGAATTTATGTAGGACGAGGAGGTTGCGGTGAGAAGCAGGGGGGGATATAGGGCAGAGATAGCGACTTGATCGAGACCGGGCCGAAAAATCGGAGTTCAGAGAGGATATCGGGGAAAGAATGCTCGAAAGGAGTTCGAGTTCGGTCTTGGAACTCGGTCTGTCACACAAGCCTAGCACGAGAATAAGACTGAAGGCTGAGGCGCAGGAAGAGCAGCGATCCAACGACGCACGGCGCACAAGGATGCAGCGATTCTTATTGCTCGTCAGGGGCGCATGATAAAAATCGGGCAGATAACTGGAGGAGAGGATGAAAGAGCATGCTGATGGATTTTTTTAGAAAAAAAAAAGCAAAAGGAGAGAAAGAGTCAGCCTTAAAAGCAACCTGAGGAGCGGTCTGAAACCGGGAGCGTTGTGTGAGGTCAGCTCTAGAAACGAGGAAAATTTTGCTGCAAAGTTGGAGCTAAAGTGGCGGGACCTGAATCCCGACGGGAAGACCCAGACGGTTCAGCTCCACCCGAGGTCACGATGCTGGCCACTCCGTCCTGAAATCACACATTTCAAAGAATCTGAGACCCACCGCTCCACTCGGAGAGTACTATCAATACGTCTCGACTTTCCGACGCCTCTCTGCCCTGGTCTCGTTGGTGCCTAACAACAAAATACGCCGGAGTTTCCCCTTGTTTGTTCGTGGTGTGACTGTTATTCCATCCACCGGTGATCACCGTGATCCTGCCGGATTTCCTTCGGTGCCCAGAGCGACGTCCTGCATTCAGCTGCATCTCGTGTTATCTGGCCACAGCTGTCGCCATGTGCCCGTCGCTGCCGATCGAATTGGTTGGCCAAGCCAGGAGCTTTCGTTCCAGACTGCCGGGATCCCGGATGCTAGCTCAATCCTTCCGTCGGCCAGCAGTCGAAATTCTAATAATCGCAGAAGGACGAGACTCGAGACTCGAGGCAACGCGTTGAAACATGAAAAAGAGAGCGGTCCCATCCTTGGCTCTCTTGGCGACCCTTTCCTGCAGGGTTGGTCATGCGTCCAGCCCATCGACTTTATCATTCTATGCCGTTATCATCTCGTCATAAACGCTTGTCGAGTCCGGGCTAGACCTCGCCAAGGCCGGTTTTTACCTAAACTATCTCAAATACGTAAACGGTGGCCTGTGCACCCTGTGATATCTGAACCTTGAAAGCAAGTAGTGGAGAGCACCGCGCTCCCGAGATCGTCTCGACCGAATTCTGCATGAATCCGAATAACGTCGAGGACATCCAGGCTATACGGTGTAGTACGGAGCGGTGGCGACCGAAAAAGCCACCATGGATTGATCAACCATCTCCAAACGGCGAGTATCGGGATCCTTCATACAGCTTGCGTCTTGAGTACAGGGAACATGAAGCTACGGAAAGTGGCGTGCGAATTCGAATTGTCTTGCCATTGATGCCTAATTTCAATTGACCCTGCAACAAGGGTTGGTGATACAAGCAACCCTTGCATGAACTACCACAATAACTCAATGATTATGGCGGGGCACCTCCGGGCGTTGAGCCAGTCGCTGATACTTTACAGCCTCCCGCAAGACCATACCTTCATTCAACTGACTGGTCTCCTTTCTGAAGAGCTCCTGCCACGGTGTCTGACTCTCCGGGAAGTTGTAGCCTCCAGTCGATTCGAGCTTTCCCCTTCTCTTGTTCAGTTCCTCTTCTGAAAGGAGAATATCCACTCGCCGTTTGTTGAGGTCAACACGGAGTCTATCTCCGTCCCGGAGCAGTGCAAGATTTCCCCCGGCCGCTGCCTCGGGACTCGCGTTTAGAATTGACGGTGAGCCGGATGTTCCCGACTGTCGACCATCTCCTATACATGGCAGGGACTTGATCCCCTGTCGCAATAAATGACCCGGAGGATGCATGTTCACAACTTCTGCCGCCCCGGGATATCCCAGTGGACCAGCCCCGCGCATTATTAGAATACTTTTGTCATCAATCGGAGTGGAGGCGTCCTCCAAGCGACTATGAAAATCCTCGGGGCCATCAAAGACTACGACTGCTCCTTCGAACGCATTGGGATCCTGGGGATTTTCCAGGAAATTTTGCCGAAACTGCTCTGATATGACGCAAGTTTTCATGATGGCTGAGTCGAACAAGCTCCCCCGAAGGTGCACGAACCCCGCGTCATTCATTATGGGCTCGTTGTATGGTTTGATGACTCGTCGGTCCCAGCTTTGTTGTCCTTTCACATTCTCGGCTACAGTCTGCCCGTTGCAGGTTAGGACGTCGGGATGTAACTTTCCAGCGTCCAGCAACTCCGCCATGATAGCCGGAAGCCCTCCTGCTCTATAGTATTCCTCACCTAAGAATTCTCCTGCAGGCTGCATATTAAGCAGAAGTGGAATGTGGAATCCAACTTGATCCCAGTCATCCAGTGTGATGTCAACGCCAATATGCTTCGCAATAGCATTGATATGGATCGGGGCATTCGTGCTACCGCCAATGGCAGTGTTTGCAGCGATGACGTTCTCGAAGGCTTCACGCGTCATAATATCGCTTGGCTTCCGGTCGGAGTGCACCATTTCAACGATCTGCAAGCCTGTTTTATAGGCGCATTGCGCTCGTTCACGATAAGGAGCGGGGATTGCAGCGGACCCGGGAAGGGCCATTCCGAGTGCTTCTGCCAGCGCATTCATTGTCGATGCTGTTCCCATCGTATTGCAATGTCCTGCTGACGGTGCTCTTTGAAAATATCAGCCGCCGCTTTTAGATGTATCAACTTTTGGACATACCCTCGGGAGATGTAATCGACCAATCCTTCATCACTCATTTCACCGGCAGCATGCTTCTCTCTTCCCGTCCAGACTACCATACCTGATCCTGCTAGCTCGTTTTTCAGATAACCGTTGATCATCGGTCCCACGTTCATGCAGATGGCAGGAATATTCTTGAACTCACTGTTAGATGACAATCGCAGGTAGAGCAACGACTGAGCTATGCAGCACTTACCATTGTGGCAGCGGCCATCAGACATGCAGGAGTTGTCTTATCGCAACCAGTCAGCAACACCACACCGTCGATTGGATAACCGTGGAGAATTTCCACCAGGCCGAGGTATGATAAATTCCGGTCAATGCATGCAGTTGGCCGCCTTGATGTCTCCTGGATTGGGTGTGTTGGAAATTCAAATGCGATACCGCCAGCGGTTCTGATTCCTTCGCGCACCCTTTTCGCGAGTTCTAAATGATACCGATTGCATGGAGAAATATCCGAGCCAGTTTGCGCGATTCCGATGATTGGCTTCCCAGCCATGAGCTCTTCTCTTGTCACGCCATAGTTGAGGTACCGCTCAATATACAAAGCTGTCATCCCCGCATCGCCTGAGTTGAACCAATGGGTCGACCGTAGCTTTCGGCCAGCACCCAGTGCACCGGAGAGCGAAGATGTCTTTTTCGCCGAAGCGCGTACTTTCTCCAGCTCCAGGGTTCGCTTCCGGAGGGCTTCTAATTCCTTGTCGAGGTCTTCGATGTTGACCGCTCCTTGGCTGCCGGCCGGACCGCAGGCGCAGCCTTCGCATTTTGATTCGCAAGGCATGATGGGAGTAAGTGTCACCTGTCGCGCTCTGCCCTTTTTTAGCACCCTGCTTTTAAATCACATATATCTCGGTTCTGGTAGGTGAAGTGCTACCTTATATGGCGATCGCGTGTACCGGCTAAACGTGTATGTGGTGGGGTTGCAGCCGAAACGACCGGCGAATGTCCGATGGGATGAAAGCCGCGTCCCGAGTGTTCGCTGTCTCGCGCCGAAAAATCGACTAAACAGGGAAGGAAGATGCTTTAAATAACCGGAAGCTCAGTGGCTAATAATTCTTCACCTCCCCAATCCCACCGTTCCCACTCTTTCCCATCAGCTCTCGGCTCGGGTTGGTGCAGACACATGGGTGAGGTTCCGACCCAGCCCCGATTTGCGGTTCAATACCCCACGCCACTCCATGGCTCTGGAGAAGAGCGTGGGGGTCACTTTACAGTGCCAGTCTGACTACTATATGAGTACCAGGCGTCAGAACAGGAAGGCAGGGCATGACATTCCACGATCATGCTTCGATTTGTACGAGTACACACCTAACCTTTGCACCTTCTTGTTGAGCCTAGGTGCAGGATCCTCCCAATCTTGAGCCAGTTCACACCAGTCTTCGAGCCTTTTCACGGCTTCTTGACGACCTACTTTCGTATACTGACAAATCCTCAACGATGCAAGCAACGATGCATATACGTATTGGCCCAGTCAGTAGTAATACATCGCATTTTTGTATATCATACCGAATTCCTGACCCCGGAAAGACCACTCTGCTCGAGCTCCTGCCGTCTGGTGCTGCACCGAGGTCATCTTGGTTTGGAATGCAGGGCTGGCTAAGTCGGAATTGGCGGCACGCATTGGAATGCCCTAATACGAAAATTTTCGGTAGAGTTAAGCTCATTCACCTATCAGTCGAGCATCCAATACCATCCAGTATACGTACGAAAAGGAGTGAGTTTGAGACTGGATATGTCGAATATGTATAAGCCCAGGAATAGTGCCACTTGCAGTGCTTGCTTTTGTTTTTTGTGACCGAAACAATCGAGTCATCGTATTCATTCCCGTGTGGAAGCAAAGAATCATGGGCACTTTCGCCACCTCTCCCCACGCGGCTCGTTTCGAGAGATCAACAGAAGCAATTATCAATCCAATCATTGTGTTTCTAATCCATTGACTTCGTTAACTCCTACCTTGGCTACATACTGGGGCGTCCTCTTTACTCCATTCATATCGTTGAAACATGATATCGATGCAGCGTTATTTTCTGCGCACCACATCACACACAAGACCCTCCTGCTGGACAAACCACGCATTCTTCGTCTTCCACTCCTCGCCCGGCTTATGCAGCTGGAACGTGAAATCCCGCAGCAACTGTGGGATGATCTTATGCATCTCGATGAGCGAGATGTTCTTCCCCACGCAGGTCCGAGACCCAGCGCCGAAAGCGAAAAAGCTCTGCTCCATCTGCTTCAGCTTCTCCGGGCTACTCTCCAGCCAGCGCTCCGGGACAAATGATTCAGGGTCCAGGAATACTGTAGGGTCGTGATGCAGAACCCAGGCGTTGATACCAACAGTCGTCCCGGCAGGAATATGCTTCTCACAAACCGTGATTCCACCCTCAGGCACATGGCGTTCTAGAATGAATCCCACGGACGGGTGAAGCCGCATCGCCTCTTTGATGACGGCGCCCAGGTACGGCAAATGAGACATTGATTCCCTGTAAGAGAGAGGGCTGCTCAACTGGCCCAGCCTGTCAGCCTCGTCGATCTCCCCAACGATCTTCTCCATGGTTGTCGGATTCCGAAGCAAGAAATAGATAATCGCCCTAAGCGCAATTGCTGTTGTATCAGAGCCCGCAAAGACATTTGTGGACAGATGCACAATGACATCCCTCGTGCTCATCTTCCCGGGATCAGAATAGTGAATTGCCATCCACCGCGAGAGCATATCCTTCCCTTTCTCCAGATCGCCCTTCTCCAGTTCCCCATCCCGCGTCAGGGATGTCCGCGAATTCACCTGCTTCAGCGTAAACTGCAGCACCTGGTTCCAGCTCTCCATGCTGGGGAAGAGAATCGGCATAAGTGGATTCCCTAGTAGGATCTTATGGGCTTCGGGAACCTGCCCACATAGACTAGCATACGCTAATATTCCCTGGATCCCACTCATCATGTCGTCAACATCGCGGCCTTCCTGTAGAAACCCCAATTTCTTCGCAAAGGTGAATTCGCCCACTACGTCGAAGGCATAGTACTGTAACCAGGTCCCTAGATCAATCGGTCGCTGCTTATCCGCGAAGTCCTGCAGTCGAGAACGGAAAATCTCTGTGCACGAGTCGACGGCAGGCTCAAGCTCAAGAAGCGAAGTCATGCTGTATGCATTCGCGACAGGCCGCTTCTGGTCTCGGTGAAATTGCTCGTCGCGGGTAGAAAAGAGGTTCATTTGCGGTGCCTTATTCCAGGATATACATTGGATAGGGTAGAACCCTGTCTATAAGTCGCACAGTTGTTCGAGTCAGTTGCCATCGAATCAAACGGTGCGGTGTCTTGGGCAGTCTGCATTACCTTCGTGAAACCTTTATTCAATCCATATATTACCGGTATTGCAGCCGGATCGGCGACAGAAACATGGCGAGGGCCGATACGCACGAGCGGGCCATGTTTTTGATGAAGCTCAACTTCTGTGCGATGATGGTCCCCCTTCCACACGCTATGGAGCTTCCAGAGCCGTGTAAACTTTGCAAGAGTTGGCCCTGGGATCCCAGATAGTCCCCCTCCGAACCTCCTCCAGAGGAGTCGGAGGGTAATCATGCCTACAAGGACAAAGAGGATGTTGGGCTGGAAAGCGCCGAGGATGGATTTATGAAGCATGACGCAAAATCGTACAACAGGTCATCAACCTGGGAAGAGGAAAAGCAGCGGGGCGAGTAACTCGATTTTTAAACCAAGAGACACGCAGCTCCTTCTGGGATACCCATGCTAAGGGCAGACCTGCGATTAATATAAGAAATCCCTCCATCTGGACCACACAACACCTCATCGGACCGAAAAGCCCAGCTGATCACCATGCAGCTTCCGATGTTTAAACCCGATACTAATGTAAGCCAGATGGACAGGATTAGCAATTCTCAACGACCATTCGACACACTGCTTGACGCGCAGTTGCCAACACAGCATCAGCACCTGCGAGGAAAGCGGGGTTGTGTAGTCTGGGCCTGCGGGGAGAAATCAGTGCTTGAGCCCTAGATTAGATGATAGTCTGTGCAGTATTGCCTACTCCAGAGGTACCATTGCGTCCTCGAGGTAAAGTACACTTCCGATGTTTGCTTTGCTGGCCAATGTGCAGCTCTGGATTACATCCAAGCTAACTTTGTTGCTTCCGACTTGCTATCCGAAATGTCTATCTTTGGGGCCCATCTTGCCTCTTTGGGGCTTGTATGGGAGGGGTTTAGGTTCGGTTCTTGGTGATGGTTTGTCCTATTAGGAAGTTGATTGGGCGTGATAGACAATGATATTGCTGCTTCGTGGTTGAATTCGGAAGAGAGTTGATATCCGGGGAATATGGGGCATTCCCGATAGTGGAGTTCCCCCGCACGAGAAGAATACGTACGATGGTTACTGTTGGGGTCTAACTTTTGGGCACGAGAATCAACGATTCCAGTGAGCATAATTATGCATACAATACTGCATTGTCAGAATTGAGGGGAGTGAAGCCCATCTGATATTCGCCCGAACAGCCCAAACGCCTGCGATGCCGGAGGTGAGTGTGTCATGTGTATCTAGATCTATCATGTCGTGGAAGAATGCCCTAGTAGACAGGAAAACACTCGGGAAATGGTATCAAGTACAAAAAAAGAACAGAACGACAAATGCCAAAACTGGTGATAGATCGATCACTGGGTGGCGCACTGCGCTCCGCCTTCCTCTTCGTCGTCATCTTCCCATGCATCTCCTCCAGAAGGGTCCTGAGACCCGAAGTCATCGATGTTCGCCTTGGCCTCGTATTCGACATCATCCACTGTCTCTGCTTCGATGCGAGCGTCGGGCCCGGGTAGCATCTCCTTCAGCCTTTCAAGAACTGCCGCGCTGGGCTTCCATTTCTCGTCGGGGAATTTGATGTTGACAAGTAAATACAAGTCGCCGCGGGAGTCCGAACGCTTGATCGGCATTCCTTCGCCAGGTACCTTGAGAACTTGGCCTGGAGAAAGGATCTGTCCCGGCGTCTTGGGATGTTGGAGTTCGATTCCGCGTCCATCGAGGTGTTTGATTACCACGCGAGAAAAGCCGGTCAATGATTCGGCCAATGTAACGTCGATTGTTGCCTTGAGATCCGCACCGGCGCGTGTGAATACCGGGTGTTCTTCTTGTTCGAGCTGGAAAACGATGTCCCCAGGCTCTTGGCCAGGGACTTGGTCCGCCTCGCCTTCTAGCACAATCCGATCACCATCCCTGTGAAAGGTCAGTATTGCTTATATTATTCAGGCAGAATGTACTCACTTCGCTCCGCGGGGAATGTAAATCTCCAGAATCTTCTTCTCCTCGTTCGTTTTCTTGCCCTTGCACTTCTTGCACTTGTCTTTGGTGGCGAAGAACTGGCCGTCACCGTTGCAGGTTGTGCAGACAGCAGTGGACTTGGTCAAGAACTGACCCATACGAGTGAGAACCTCCCGGAAACCTATATGACAAGAATATGTTAGTCCAGTGTTCTCCAGCGCCAAGAAAATCGATTCCATACCTTGCCCCTCACAAGTAGAGCATTTCTTCGCTGTCGCCTTCTCCTTGCCACCCTTACCCTTGCAAAGACTGCAGATCACGTTCTTGGTGCTCGCAAATTTGGTTGTCTTCCCCTTATACAAATCCTCCAAGCTGATCTCGTACTTTTGCTCCTCGTCCGGGCTCTGTCGCGGCCGCGGCATACCACCCATACCTGGCATACCACCACCCATGCCGCCCATGCCTCCCATCCCGAACATCTGGGCAAGTATATCATCAAGATCGGGTCCTCCATTCATTCCCGGTTCACCTGAACCGTTGAAAGCACCCATGCCATGTGTATCGTAGAGGTGTCGCTTGTCATCATCGCTCAGGATTTCGTAGGCTTGCTGGACGTCCTTGAATCGGATGGACGCAGCTTCGCGCTCCTCTTCTGGGACCTTATCGGGATGGTTTGCTAGGGCGGCCTATTGTTACTAGGTGTTAGTTATTTGTTTTCCGAGATCTGGGGGTCAGGTTGGTTGTACTTTGCGATAAGCCTTGCGGATCTCATCTCCGTTTGCGTCGCGCGAGATTTGTAGGACCTCTGTTGTTTCGCACGTCTATTAGCTTATTGGTATTGAATGTACCTAATAATTTAAAAGGCTAAGTACCGTAGAGGTCGACCACTGTTTCGGCCACTGGGGAATCTCAGTTAGCAGTCATTCGAAGCATAGTTTGTTGTGGAAAGCATACTTGCAGGGGTTTCAGAAGAACCCGATGAAAAGGGTACAAAGGGGTATCAGTTAACAATACTAGGACAACCAATAAGCTATAATAACAAGGGCTGTGATGGCTTTGACTGTGTTGTGATCAGAAAGAACTGAATCCACCCCAGCCCGAAAATTCCGCCTTATCTTTTCTGCTTCTTTTCCTTCTCCGACTTCCACGCCGCCTCCAGATTTGTTCTCCCGACAGTCACTTTCCCCGGCTATAATCGGCCAATCAACCATTCTCTATTTGCACATTTGTTTAGGTTTAAAGACTTCATACTTGATGCGATGAGAACCCTGCGCTCTGGGCTTCTTGCCCGCCGGTCGTGGGTTTGTATGCAATGCCGTCAAGCCAGTTCAGCACCATCCGCTGCGGCGTCGCATAACAAAAAGACGAAACTCCCCGATTTCCCAGCAAGAACGCGATTTGCGCCGTCGCCGACTGGATACCTCCATTTAGGGTCCCTCCGTACCGCCTTATTCAATTATCTGCTGGCCAAGCGCACGGGTGGTCAGTTCCTGCTGCGAATTGAAGATACGGATCAGGTGCGATGAGAGCGCGACAATTTGCGAAATGCGGAACGCTGATGGATTGGGTTAATTAGAAACGGACGATTCCTGGCGCGGAACAGCGACTGTATGATGATCTCCAATGGGCTGGGTTACAATGGGATGAAGGTTAGCAGAACGCAGTTGCTTGCAGCTTGTTGTGGGATGGCATGATCGCTGACTGGAGTTGAATTGGGTGCTTGCAGGTCCTGTTGTAGGAGGTTCTTTTGGTCCTTATAGACAAGTGAGTTGCCATGAAGTTTAAGTGTGTGAGAAAATGGCTAATATGCGATGTTATAGTCCGAACGTACCGAAATTTATCGCACTCACACCCATGGCTTGATCAACGGCGGCCATGCGTATCGATGCTTTTGCTCCGCCGAGCGCCTTGACACCCACGCAAGACACCGTAGCCAGGCGGGCCTTGCTCCGGGTTACGATAGAAAATGTGCAGAACTATCGCTGGAGGAGTCGGAAGAACGAGCAGCAAAGGGGGAGTCGCACGTTGTTCGATTAAAGGTTGAAGGGTATCCTGCGTTCGAGGACCTGGTGTACGGCAAGACGGGGCAAAACCGCTCGCCCAACAAGTTGGATCTTATTGAGCGTGTTTATGATGACCCAATTCTGCTCAAGTCCGACGGACACCCGACCTACCATTTGGCCAACGTCGTGGATGACCATCTCATGGAAGTCACCCACGTCATTCGGGGCACGGTGCGTGCTTCTTTCTTAAACAACGCAACAAAGCCATAAATTGCTGACGCCATCTTCTATACAGGAATGGATGCCTTCAACCCCTCTGCATGTTGCGTTATACAATGCATTCAATTGGACACCACCTCGCTTCGGACATGTACCTCTGCTCGTGGACAAGTCCGGACAAAAGCTCAGCAAGCGCAATGCCGACATCGATCTTACGTTTTTCAAAGACAAGCAAGGAGTTTTCCCAGCGACCCTAGTGAACTTTGCTGCTCTTTTAGGGTGGTCACATACGCAAAAGTCCGATGTCTTTGACCTTGAGGAGCTCCAGAATATTGTCAGTCTTTAGCATAATCCGTTTATACGCTACCTCAAGCTAACTTCGAATCTAGTTCAACCTCAAGATCACCCGCGGTAACACGGTTGTCGCCTTTGACAAGCTCTGGTTCCTCCAAAAGGCGCACGCCCAACGGTTTGCCGCCAATGATGGTCTTGAGTTCAATGATATGGTTTCGGCCGTATCGAAAGAGGTTGAGTCTACAACATCACCAGAACAGCTATCTAGCATCCTTCGATCTCGACCTCTATCCGACCTCGTCACTGCTCTCCTCAAAGCAGACGCTAAGTCCTTCACGAACGCGCATGAATTCATTGCTCGCAACTCCACGTTCTTCACCCCAGCCGTCTCTCGTCCCCCGTATACACCCATAAGTTCCGACATTCCCATCTTATCTCTCCACACCGCATCTGCGGCTCTCGCTCTCGTCCCGAACTCCCATTGGGCCATAGAAACCCATAAATTCAACATTTCGTCGTACGACGGCGCGAGCACTATCCTAGAGAGCACACCTCCGACGGAGGGCGCCGACCCCGAAAAGGCCCGCGTCGCTGCAGACAAGAAATTCAAGAAGGAGCTGTATCATTATCTCCGCTGGGCGTTGTCGGCAGGTGCCCCAGGTCCTGGGATTCCGGAGACTATGATAATTCTAGGACGGGAGGAGACTGTCAGGCGGTTAGCTGAAGCGAGGGAATTGACGAGAGAAGCTGATTCCGGCCTCTCGCCTGTTGCTGCTAGACGAGCAAAGGAGAGGGGGGCAAAGGCTAAGCAATCAGTGCCGGATGAGGCGGGCCAGGATCGCTCGTGGATGGGGTCTCTTGCTCCACGAGGGTAAGCCAAAAGTCATGACCGGACTGTACGATAGAGTGTATTTTTTTACTAAGACCGGGCTCCTGGTTATCCATCACTGTATTAATATAAGATTAACTGTGTCTAACTCCTCTAAATCCGCTCGGGCTTTACCCTACCTTAATTCCGCGATACCCGTTATTCCTTCCAACCATGGCGGTTATAAAGCAAGCATACTAACATACCAGAGGTCTCGATATCACAATTTACACATTCACACCATGGCTACTAGCGAACATCTGGCAGCAGTCCTCACCGAAAAAGGCGGCCCCTTCGTGGTTCAGCCCCGTCCGACACTCGAGCCCGGCCCTGGGGAACTCCTCATCGAAGCCAAAGCGATTGCCGCGAACCCAGTCGACTACTCCCAGCGTGATAGGGGATTCCCTCCCATTCCCAGCTACCCAACCGTCATCGGTTCAGACGTCGCCGGGGTTGTTGTCAAGACTGGACCCGATGTACCGGACAGTGCTCCCAAGCCAGGTACCCGCGTCACGGCATTCGCCAGCTCGTTCTTTAAGGATGGTCTCGCGCAATACGGCGGCTTTCAAAAGCTAGTCCTCGCTAGCCATGAGGGTGTCGTGCCGCTACCTGAGAACATCTCCTTCGAAGAGGGCGCTGTCTTTCCTCTGGCTGTTCTGGCTGCGCTCTCTGGGTTTACTACGATCGATATCTCACTTGACACCAGGTATACGCCGGAGGACAAGAAGGGAATCCTGGTCTGGGGCGGTGCTAGCAGTGTCGGAACCATCGCAGTTCAATTCGCCAGGCAGCTTGGCTTTACCGTCTATGCTACCGCTAGCGAGAGGAATATGGGATATCTGGAGTCCCTGGGTGCTCATCGAGTCTTCGACTACAGGGCCGGGGACGTTGTACGGCAGATTGTGGCTGCGGTTAAACAGGACGGTGTCACCTTGACTGAGGCACAGTGTGCTGCTGGGGAGGACTCACTGCTGTCGATCTTGGATGTCGTGAAAGAGACAAAGGGAGACGGCCAGGGAATGGTTGGACACGCGCCTCCATTGCTGCCTGGTGCTCCCTCGTTGGAGGGCGTCGAGGTCAGGTTCTCTATGCCGCCCATGGATCCCGATGCTAGAGCACAGCATATTAGCCAGGCGTTCCAAGGCTGGCTTGCACCGGGCCTTGTAGCAGGCACTGTGGTTCCAAGTCCGCGTGTAGAGATTGTGGATGGCGGATTGGAGGGACTGAACTCTGCGCTGGATACTTTGAAGCAGGGGGTCAGCGCAACCAAACTTGTTGTCCGAGTTTGACTTTGGACATGGTTCTGTCTGGTTCTCTGTAGGAGCACATCTGGGCAAGAGCTTCAATGGCCTCCTATGTTCAAACTGAGGGACGGTCGATAATTTTCTGAATAATGACTTCTCTGTCTTACTGTTTACTGCTAGTTTATCCCTAGAATCCGTCTCTAGTTACAATGGAGCCCTCTAGTATGGGTAGCTTTGTCAAACTCCCAGCAGAGCTCAGGGTACTGATCTGGGAGAAGTTGCTGTCAGAAGGCAACACCTCCATCATGGCGACAAGCCGAGCTATCTATGAAGATATCGGTTATACGCAAACGCCATCGCCATTCACGATCCTATTTCTGAGTCTTTTGATAAGAGTAGTCCTGGTGATAACTTTCTACAATCTATTCTATTCCATATTTTCTTTTTAATTTGATATTCAATTCAAGAGGATATATAACCATTGTACATCAGAGTCCTACTCCATTCCCATTCCTAACATGTCCACCGTCGGCGGCTGCCCACTTACCCAATTTCCCAGTATCGCAGACATATTCTCCGCCTCGGAGTAAGTAAACTGATCCAGCATATCTACTTCAGCCGATAAGTAGTCCTGCAGCGACCCAGGATCGAAAAGAGATATATTTCCCGTATCGTTGAGCAAGAGCAAAGAGTCGTCCTGGGCATTGTACGTCCCCAAAAACGAGTTCCTACTCTCAACAAGTCTGCGCGCAACACGTGCGAGTATGGTGCAAATTTGGTACAGGCGGCCGCAGGCCTTGGACGTGTCCTTTGTTGGGTAGAGCGTGCGGACGACGTCTTCAAGGAGTTTTGTGTCTTCGGTGCTGCTAGCTGCGATTGCATGCAGAAATATGACGATGAACGGGGTGAAAGACGCGTAGAGCATCAACCTTTTTGGGCCTCATGTTAACAGACATCTAACTAGTTATGCTTGAATCCGGGTTAGTTAGGGCTTACCAATTCGCGTAGTCGCGCACAGATACATATTCTGAATCAATGCACATCGGAAAGAATCCGAGGTGGGTTTCTAAAGCTGAGCGTGCGGCTCTAAAACATTGCGAGGTTATTTCTGGGGTGGTTGGTGACGTTGACGATCCTCGCAATAATGATGTGAGGATGGAGTAGTACGTGACGTCCCACGTCCGCTGAGACATCTGTAAGATGGCAGGATCTTTTAATTTTACGTTACTGAAATCCACCTTCGGGGTTGTTAGTAACCAGATCGTCAGGTGAGGTTGCATGGAACATACTTGGTACAGCTGCTGATGCCACTGGTGTAGCTCCTGGGCTAGTTCGTTGATACTATGAATGCGAACCTCAGGAGCCAGCTTCAGAGCCGCCGCCGAGTAAACACGGTCATAAATCTGGCCTTGCAATCTGCCCAGCGAAAGGAAAGCAATCCACCCTTCATCCCAGGCCCTTGTTGCTAGGTCGCCAGTACAGGCTGGGTAGGGAACATCAATGTCGTAGTCCTGTATGCAAGATGCCCGTCCAAGGAGTAGTGACATGTTTTTATCGAGGAGATACACTGTCCAAAACAGTCTGCAAATATTCGCTGCCACGTCGGCTTTTTGATTTTGGTATGTGATAGACCGGTGATAGCCAAGCATGAGACAATGTCTAGATGCCACTGAAATAAGGGTCGAGGACAACAACACGTTCGCTTCATCTTGGGCCTTGATACCCTAGAATTATCGCAAGATGGTAAGCCAATTAACTTTACTTTTAATGTGTCATTAAGCTTTCGCCGTCCCGTCAAGACCACTTACTGCCAATAGCAAAGAGAGGGTGTTCTCAAAGCTAGGGACTACGAGAATCTCATATGTTTCGACACCGGCTTTGAGATTCTTCTCACAAGTTTCCACATGTGGAGATAAGTCATATTTCTCCGCCAATGGGTCCTTGAAGCTGATAAATTCCTTGAGCAGATACAACAAAACACCATGCATTGCTGTAACATGCCCGACGGATAGAGCCTCTGTCGGGAAATACACTTTCCGAAACAAGTCCTCAATCAGATTTAGGTCGTTCACCGGTCGGGATAAGAGAAAGTAAGGAGTTCGGACTGCAGACGTTAGCCCTAAATCAAGCTCCCACGCCTGAGAGTAGTAGTAGTGTGTAAATCACGGCTTACCCTTGAAAGACCGCACAATATCGGCAACAATTGCGGAAGGCACAAGCTTCATCGCCGGCATTGATCGAAAGGCATTGCTTTGCAAAAACTGGAAGTCTTCCAAAGTAGTCGAGGGTTGAAGCAGTGACTTCAGGTCATCGAAAGATGCGGTTAGTCTGTCCTGCTCCACTGGGGCCTGGGTAGACGCTGTGAACTGAGCAACCTCGGTTGCATACGCTGACTGGTTTGCAAAGGACGAGGCTCCTTCATATAGCCGCGTAGGACGTGAATCAATGACAATACTTTCTGGCGTTGGTTGGCGACTCTGATCTTTCAATTGATCCTCGATTCGACCAAGGCGTAAATCCAAGCGTTCAATCAAGCCCTCCCTAAGATAATGAGTTTCTTATAACGAAGACAAGATCCCTGAGCTCAAGCCTACAATTTCGTAGATTTATCAGGCTTCACGCGGTTTTCAACCTTGGCGGGTCCCGCCTGTTGGCAAACAATACCGGCCGTGCGACAGTTTGCGCAAGGAGTGGAACGGTCGCAGCGAACCTATGCCCTATTAGGGCCACAGCAACGAACGGGGACCAGGATGTGAATGCCAACCTTGCGGATCCGACATCCGTCACACTGCAGAGAATGTCGTTAGCTGCCAGGTCGGATGCCGTCGCATGAAACACTGCAGAAGTATAGGATAGCGTACTGCTTTGGGGGTCGACGACAGCCGCTGACGTCTATCCTGGATAGTCTCCTCATTCTGAAGGTCGGACATGAGCGGTGGCCAGTGGTGAGTCGAGTCCCAGTCAACCGGAACCTCGGGGCTCATTCTTGGTAGCAAGTGGGAGAGAAGAGTCGAAGCTCTGCAGGTGTTGATGGCCCCCCGCGTCCTCGGGGCCACGGGGTTACGGGGCCCGGCTGCCCGAAGTCACGCCCCGCTCTGCTGAGCACAATCATGATTGGTGATTTGCGGTTGTTGTGACTCAGGAGGAATCCACATCCTCGCGTCGGCGGCGGCATATCAAGCCAGATCGGGCAAGTCGCGGCTCTCACAGCCCTGGCTCTCAGAATGAGCATCGCTAGAAAGCTTAATGGCTGTATATATGGTCTGGACGCTCCTCTGGTCATGGCATCGATCTCACGTTTGGCACCCGCATTCGTTTGGCTGAGTGAGCGCCTCCTACCTTACAATGGAGCCTTCAGAAGGTGAAAAGAGCAATAGCAGAGATGGAGCTGTTGATCTCCAGCAGCCGGAGAACCAGCCTGGCTTCAAGGATTTCGTGGTATGTGCTTTTCTCTTCTCTAGGTCGTTCGTGAAGACCCATGTCGTCTGACAACAGATTAATAGAGAATCTTCCACTATGCCGATCGACTAAGTATGTTCCTAAATATCCTAGCGTTTGCTTGCGCCATTGGTAGTGGTGCTGCTTTGCCATTGATGACCATTGTCTTCGGCGGGTTCGCAAGCAAATTCGCTGCTTTTGCCGGTGGTTCGTCAGATACCGGTTCCTTCCAGAGCATTATAAACGAATACGTCTTATGGTTCATCTACCTCTTTGTTGGGAGGTTCGTGGTCACCCTGACTGCAAATCTCGCCATCACCGTGGCTGGCATTCGCACAACCAGAGCCCTCAGACAAACTTATTTCGAACACCTCCTCCGAACCGAGATCTGGTACTACGATACTGCCAAAGACAGCTCTCCCGCTGTGCAAATCAGCACAAATGCTACTCGTATCAACCAAGGAATCGCTGAGAAGCTGGTGCTCGTCATCCAGGGGCTGGCCATGTTCTTTTCATCCTTCATTGTGGCAATCGCCGTACAATGGAAACTAGCCCTGATTACACTGAGCGTGGTCCCTGCTATGTTTGTTGCAATTGGGATCTGTCTCACCATCGATGCCCCAATTGAGGCGAAAATCACGCAGATTTATTCGAGTGGAGCTGCTCTAGCCCAGGAGGCTCTATCATCGATCAAGACTGTCCAAGCATTTTCAGCTCAGGATAGTATGATTGAAAAATATGATGAGTACCTGGCAGAGGCCCATGAACACGCGAAAAAGAAACTGATACCATACGGAATAATGTCTGGGACAATCTATTTTTGCATATACTCGGGGAATGCTTTGGCATTCTGGCAAGGTTATCGCATGTTCCTCAGTGGAGAAATAGATGCGGTGGGAAGTGTCTTCACGTATGAATCCATTCTGCCTCAGAGATATTCTTATCTCTTCTGAATACCGCTGTTAAGCTGACCATCCATAACCAGGGTTGTCTTTTGTACGGTCATCGCGTCGACTTCTATTAATCTATTCTTCCCGCAAATCCCAGCCATTACTAGCGCAATAGGTGCTGCCGCAGAATTCTTCCGAATCATGGACAAGCCGTCGGAGTTGGACCCTCTATCCGACTCAGGCCTAAAGCCTGATAAGTGTATTGGGGCTATCGAAGTCGAAAATGTCTCGTTTTCCTATCCATCGCGACCGACAGCTAAGGTGCTGCAAGGTCTCAGCCTTTCCATCCCAGCTGGGAAAACCACAGCCTTGGTCGGTGCTAGCGGATCTGGCAAGAGTACGATGGTCGGGCTGCTAGAACGTTGGTACGTACCCACTGAGGGCTGTATAACGGTGGATGGTACAGACATAACCAAACTGAATACAAAGTGGCTTCGTAGCCAGATCTCTTTGGTGCAGCAGGTGCGACGAAATCCCTATCTCAATCATATCTTAGGCTTCTAACTTATTTATCCACAGGAACCTGTTCTATTTCAAGGCACCATTTTTCAAAACGTCGCAAAAGGTTTCCTTGACTCACAAAAGGACTTGCCGTATGAAGAACAGCGGCGACTCGTACAAGAGGCTTGCAAGTCTAGCTACGCGCACGGTTTTATC